CGGACAAGGTTATGTACTCGCTGGCTGCGTCAGTGTAGCGCGCGTGCGGCCCAGAACGTCTAAGGGCATCACAGACCTGTTATTGCCTCGAACTTCCATCGAATTGTCTCCGATAGTCCCTCTAAGAAGCTGATACTCAACAAATTGTTGACCCAGCTATTTAGTAGGTCAAGGTCTCGTTCGTTATCGCAATTAAGCAGACAAATCACTCCACCAACTAAGAACGGCCATGCACCACCACCCACAAAATCAAGAAAGAGCTCTCAATCTGTCAATCCTTATTGTGTCTGGACCTGGTGAGTTTCCCCGTGTTGAGTCAAATTAAGCCGCAGGCTCCACTCCTGGTGGTGCCCTTCCGTCAATTCCTTTAAGTTTCAGCCTTGCGACCATACTCCCCCCAGAACCTAAAAACTTTGATTTCTCACGAGGTGCCGAACGAGCTAAAATAACTACCCGTCCGATCCCTAGTCGGCATAGTTTACGGTTAAGACTACGACGGTATCTAATCGTCTTCGATCCCCTAACTTTCGTTCTTGATTAATGAAAACATCCTTGGCAAATGCTTTCGCAATAGTTAGTCTTCAATAAATCCAAGAATTTCACCTCTGACTATTGAATACTGATGCCCCCGACTGTCCCTATTAATCATTACGACGGTCCTAGAAACCAACAAAATAGAACCATACGTCCTATTCTATTATTCCATGCTAATATATTCGAGCGAAACGCCTGCTTTGAACACTCTAATTTTCTCACAGTAAATGGCCTGACCTTTCTGCCACGCGGTTAAACGCAACAGACGTCCAGGCAAAAAGAATCAAAAGTTCCAGTACGCACCGTGAGGTGGACCAGACTCCCAATCCCAAGTTTCAACTACGAGCTTTTTAACTGCAACAACTTTAATATACGCTATTGGAGCTGGAATTACCGCGGCTGCTGGCACCAGACTTGCCCTCCAATTGTTCCTCGATAAGTGGTTTAAATTGTTCTCATTCCAATTACAAGACCAAAGGCCCTGTATCGTTATTTATTGTCACTACCTCCCCGTGTCAGGATTGGGTAATTTGCGCGCCTGCTGCCTTCCTTGGATGTGGTAGCCGTTTCTCAGGCTCCCTCTCCGGAATCGAACCCTAATTCCCCGTTACCCGTTGATACCATGGTAGGCCTCTATCCTACCATCGACAGTTGATAGGGCAGAAATTTGAATGAACCAGCGCCAGCACAAAGGCAATGCGCTTCGAGAAGTTATCATGAATCACCAAAAAGTCCGAAGACATTGGTTTTTTATCTAATAAATACATCCCAGACGGGATTTTACGCATGTATTAGCTCTAGAATTACCACGGTTATCCATGTAGTAATGCACTATCAAATAAACGATAACTGATTTAATGAGCCATTCGCAGTTTCACTGTATAGATTGCTTATACTTAGACATGCATGGCTTAATCTTTGAGACAAGCATATGACTACTGGCAGGATCAACCAGATAACTATCTTCAACAGTCAAGAGACTGCCTAGTTTCCGAAGAAACATAGTTTTTCAAAGTTCGTGTTTCCACCCAGTCTCTGCATTGTCAGTTGTTACACTGTCAACACATCAACTGCATCCAATTGCCTTTTTGAGTTCTTCAGTTATAGTCCGCTAAGCAAAGCTTAGCATCAATAACTTGAGAGGAGGTTTCTGTCTACAAATCACGACTAAAGTCGGCTATCTGTAGCAGCATGCCCCCGAGTGTTTTCCTGTAAATTCTTGCCATCGGCTAGTAATCCACAGAACCCATCAGCGCTTTACATAGCGCAGTGCTTGTAAAGACCGTTTAGGTAAACACCTTTGTAAGGTTGTGCTTGAGATTTCGTCGTCAAACGAATCAACTCTTTTCACAACCAAACTCGGCTGCGTCTGAAAAGAAACCAGACTAACCGTTTCCGATTTCATCTTTTGCTTTCTCAAGCTTTTATTTTCTTTTCATGAAGGTCATTTTGGCTTTATTGAACTCAAACTCATAGAATCCTTAGCTTATGACTGAATATTTATAATTCAGTAGTTTTTTGAGACGAGCAGAAGTAATGTTGCATAATCAGCACATTGGTTAAAAAAGCCTTATCCATTTTTTTCGCAAGCTAGACTAATATAGGCTATTTAGTCTGTCAACCACATCAGTGAGAATGAATATTAACGCGTATGTTAAGCCTAATAGGTCTGATTAGCTTAGATACCTAGACACTGTGGTTTTAACTTTTTGCAAAATCAATAATTTGGCTGATAAAAAAGTGGAGTAAACTGAGCTGGTTACATCCTTGTTGCCGCGCTTTAGTAAATACTCTGCGTTATCTTATAATATTCTTGGTTATCTATGTGAAATGTTGCCATTGTAAGCCCTTAACCGGCCGAGGGTGCGAGTCGGCACCTTGATCTCAAATAAGCTCTACGTGGATATAAGTGTACTGTTATTATACCTTTCGAGTTGATTGTGCTTTCTCTTTGGGTTAGTTTCATGTCGTTGTGGTTTGTTGAGGTATTGTTCGCTTTCTACCCATTCCAGGCTACGGTGGTTAATCAAAAGTCCCAAGCTAAATGTGAGAATTCTCCTGATTATACATGTACTGCTATCAAAGACAAATAGTTAATCAAAAACCATATTTATATGACCGTAACAAAGGGAAACACTCAAACAACAGCAAAGCGTAAAAAACCAAAAGCCCGGTATGACATCGACCACAACGGAGGCGTGATTGAGCCATATCGGACAGACGAGCTTAATGCTTGAAACGAAGAGTCAAGTAAGTCAAGAATCTGTAACCGAAAATAAGAGCAATTAGGACACCTGCCCAAAGCCCACGCTGGCTGTGGTTGTAACCTAAAGCTTCTAGCACGGCGGTACCACGAATCTGACACTTAGAAGCAAGATCACTGACATACATACAGTTGCATCCCGAGCCACACTTGAAAATGCGATCAGCGCTGAACTCATTGAACATCATGCCTTGGAAAGTATACCGCTGGTAATTAATCCAATACAAGGTGTAATACCAGAACACGTTCAAAATGTTGGAGCTCACAAGGAAGCCGCCGACTGACATCCATAGACCGTTTGCAAATGCAGTCAATGCTAAAGCAACAACAAAAATAGGTGCCAAAGTTGCCACGAAGATGGTTAGACTTTCCGCTGCCAATAGGTCAAGGAAGAGCCACATCACATAGTACCAGAAACCTGAAGCAGAATGTCTGAAATTACACATAAAGTAAGTCACCACACTGAAAAGACAGACAATGACAAAAATGAATGGCAAGCCTACCAAGAAATTTGCCACAACGAATGCGCCGGGTCCATACTGGCCGTTCATAAACTCCTTTTTGTAAGACTGAAGGTCTTCAAGATAAGCAGGGATGTACGCAACAGTCATGAATGATAAGAATGCACCAGAAAAGAAGATAGCATTGATAAAAGGCTGAATATCGCGTTGCTCATCTCCGAGACGCAACCAAACTGTTCCCATGAGAATGGCGAGGCCTAAATACATGACGATGCGAACGTAATAGGCGAGGATATCTCTACGAGCCTTGATGAAAAGTCGTCTTGCTAAAATGAAAGTCTGCCGGGACTGCAGTACTGCACAGTTTATTAGCGTACGGCAGCGGCTAAAAGAGACGGTAGACTCCACATAAGAAACTTCAACATTATGGGTCTTTTTCTCCCACTCAGAAGCCAGGTATTCAACCAAAGTATGCTCATCGCAATCAGAGTTGCGTGCCTCAGCAGAAAAATCGGTGTTTGTTAGTTCTAGAACGTACTCAGCAGGGTTGTAACGCGGTGGAATGGGGTGGCCAACAGTTTCGAAGTGATCCAACAGCTTCTCCAACGGCCCATTGTAAATAGTATTTCCCTTTGAAAGAAAGAGTACTTTGTCAAAGAGCTGGAAAGTCGCAGTGGATGGCTGATGGATAGACATAATCACCGCCATATTCATGGCCTTAGCAGCATCCTTCACAGCCTTTACTACATGATACGCAGCAGTTGAATCAAGTCCAGAGGTGGGTTCATCCAAGAAAAGCACAGAGGGAGAACCTACAATCTGCGCAGCGACGGAAAGGCGGCGTTTCTGTCCACCGGAGATACCTTTCTGAATGGGGGTACCAACTCGAACGCCACGCTGTTCGTGAAGACCCAAGTAGCTCAAAACATCGTAAACTCTTTCAGATCGGCTTTTTTCTGGAACTTCAATTTGTTCACCCTTTGCACGCCTCGCGTTTAGACTCGCATCGTTGAACTGGCAAGCAAAATCCACGGTTTCTTCAACCGTGAGCGATCCGATCAGCGAGTCTTCTTGCTCAACATAGCTTGAAAACTGACGCACATTAGATGGATTCACGATGAAAGACTCTGTGCTCACTGTTCCAGTTTTCGTGGCGTGTGGCGGAACGCCTCGCTGGGCCAAAACGTTCAGAAGAGTGGTTTTGCCACTGCCCGACGGTCCCATCAAAGCTAGCACTTCTCCGGCATGCACCGAGCCGGAGCATGAGTTAATCAAGCAAACACCCTTCGAAGGGATAGTGACGTTAATATCAGTCCAATCCAACTGAGACACAGTGATCATAGGGCGGGGTGGTTGATGCTTGGCACGAGGTGGCGTAGCCACTAAAATAGTGTGGCTTACACACAGAATGAAGGCTAGAACTCGAGCGTGCATATCAAGAAAAAGCAATATAAAACACCATAAAAAGCTCCACGTGTACATCGAATTAGAACCACTGATAAGAAAAAGTGATTGAAGTGTACTGAGAGTTTTCTTTTTAGTTTTCAAAGGTCGGAACGAGTGGTTCAAAAACAAAAGGAAGTATGTAAGGGTAAGGGCGACAGGGTAGGGTTTTCCAGTTGAGGATTGGCTATCTATTGATAATCAATACGGCTTTGCCAAAAAAAAGAGCACACACTAATACCCGGGGGACTCATGCGAATGCCAAGTTCAACCAGAACCAACTCCAAAGGATAGGTCCAATCATAATAAGACGGGGTTAAAGCCACTGATCAGAATAGTTACAGCACGAACCTGATTCCAATTGTATGTATCGAGTCGACCCCTCATGCCTCAACCACTTTCGTGATATTAACAGGAATTGTCACACCCTATTGTCCTTCGGCAAGGCTCTACGAGACCCTTTTTGCTGCTGCGAGTACACTTCCCCGTTGGGATCTGTATAAGTAAGCGCATGTCTGGAGCATCCTCTCCACCTTATCATGAGTGATACCGCTGGGAAGACTATCAAATGCAAAGCAGCTGTTGCTTGGGCCGCAGGAAAGCCTCTTGAAATCGAGGAAATTGAAGTCGCACCTCCTAAGGCCCATGAGGTTCGAATCAAGGTACTTTACACCGGAGTTTGCCATACTGATGCCTATACTCTCTCCGGCACTGATCCCGAAGGAGCTTTCCCTGTTGTTCTAGGACATGAGGGTGGCGGAATTGTCGAGAGTGTTGGTGAAGGCGTCACCAATGTAAAAGTTGGTGATCATGTTGTTCCGCTTTATACCGCTGAGTGCCGAAAGTGTAAGATGTGTCTCAGCAATAAGACGAACCTCTGCAGTTCCGTCCGTGAGACCCAGGGCAGAGGGGTCATGCCTGATGGAACTTCTCGTTTCAGCAAAGATGGCAAGGAACTATTGCATTACATGGGTTGCTCTACTTTCTCGCAGTACACAGTGGTTGCTGATGTTAGCGTAGTCGCTGTTGACGAAAAGGCACCTCTTGATTCAGTATGTCTGCTCGGGTGTGGCGTAACCACTGGATATGGTGCTGCTACGATTACAGCTAACATCCAGGAAGGCGACACTGTCGCCGTCTTTGGCGCTGGCTGTGTTGGTTTGTCTATTGTGCAGGGCGCCAAAGCCCGTAAAGCTTCTCGTATCATTGTCATTGACGTCGACTCCGGGAAAGAGAACTGGGCTCATGAGTTTGGTGCCACAGAGTTTATCAATTCGAAGGACATTACTGACAAGACCATCCAGCAACACCTCGTTGATATTACTGACGGGGGCCTGGATTTCACATTCGACTGCACTGGCAATACCGATGTTATGAGGTCCGCCCTGGAGGCATGCCACAAAGGATGGGGCCAGTCTGTAATCATCGGTGTGGCTGCTGCGGGCAAGGAGATCTCCACCCGACCTTTCCAGCTTGTTACGGGCCGTGTTTGGCGTGGATCGGCTTTCGGCGGTGTCAAGGGCCGCACTCAGATCCCTGAGTTCGTGGAAAACTACATGAACGGCGAACTGAAGGTCGACGAGTACATCACACACCGTCATGACTTGAAAAACATTAACCAGGCTTTCGACGATATGCATAGTGGTAAATGTCTCCGTGCTGTGATTAACATGTTTAGCTGATTTAAATATAACCTGTTTTTAGCTCAAGTGTTAGCATCAGTATCAAGCTCGCCAGTATTGCGCAAGTGAATGCAAACGATCAATAACCATAGGAAGGAAAGCGTTTACCGAGTCATCAATCAGATTCTTGAACCTGAGAATGGCTTCTTGTTCAGTCAAATTTAGACAGAAACGCTCCTCAACCTTATGCACGGCTTGCCCACGCTCAGTCATGATATTCGGAATCGATGACTCTGTCATTAGACTGAACAACGCAAGGATAAGGTTCGACGACCTTCGCAGTGTTGTAAAGGCGGTAAAACAATAACTGCAGAACTTGACGTAGTTATCAGATGTAATACCACCCATACCATCAATTAGATGAATAGGGAGTTTGATCATGGGCGGAAAAGGTTTGGGATCCTGACCCAGGATGTAGCCAAAATCAATATGCAGGAAATGGCCATCGAACGTAAGAAGTAAGTTCTCTAGATGGCGATCTCCAACACCAAGTAAGTAAGTGATAACAGCGTATCCCGCACAAGACCGTACAAACGTGTCCATGACCTCCACCTTGACACCGTAAGGTGCGTTAGTGTCGGCATTATACTTGCGCAAGAACGGAAGAATACCGTGATACTCTCCAATAACATGTGCGACCGTTTCGTTTGGAACGAACTGCATTGCACCGTCACTCGGTGAAGTGGCTAGCACGCTATAAGGAGTCAACTTAAGATCTAAGTTCTCGTTGCGTAGGAGTTGATCCATAAGCTGGATGATCTGGATAACAAGTTGATCTTGCCGTAGGTCGTCACCGCTCTTGAAAATGATCGGATAGGTTCCACCACCTTGTGTCTTGAGTACGATTTTGAGGGGCTGCATACTCGATTTGAACACTGTACATTCTTCGGCGACGCACCCCACAATTACAACTGTTGGATCGATGGGTAAAATAGTAGGTAAGAAGGAGGCCAGCTCATTCCTTGGGTCAGAAACATAGTCGCGCAATTGCTCGATTCGCCTCGGCCGACTCTCTTTACTCTGCTTGACCATTTTTGCCAGGTCAAGAAGCTTGTTGATAAACTTCACCTGGAACTTTATCTGCATAATTTGTCCCTCTCCATCTGGGGCACCAGGCAGAGCAGTCAAATAATGGCGGAGAATGGGCTGGTAAATCTGAGCTCCATAACGGCGTTCAGCTGATTGTACTGAGACGTACCAATAGAAAAAGTTACCAAGAATAGGGTTCAGAATTGCACGATTAATCAAGAATCGCGCCAGGTAAGATTTCGCTGGACTGACTGACCATGGCTCGAATTTCAAAGCTTCAACAAGCTGCAGCAGGTAAAGTTTAAGGTCGTGGTCACTTGCGTTACGCAACCGATCAACAGCATATGCACGGACTCGCGCGTTAGTGGTTCCAGGCCCCAAAAGACCAAGAGCATCCGCAACATCAATTCTTGCCCACAAGTGAAGAACTTCGACAGCTTCTTGAGCTTCGTGGGAGTCGTCCCAAGTCACGCTACGAACAAACTTGCTGAGGGCAGCTGGGTGACGGGTAAGATAGTGCCTGAACTTCCAGACAAGATTTTTCTCGTCGCTTGTAAGCTCTCGAACAGGCGAAAAGTTCATAATAGCAGCAAGCTCATCGCGGATTTGAGGATTAGGCCGCAAATCTTTATCATGGGCTGCCGAACGGACGAGGCGTCGATGCTTAGACTGAATTGGCGATTCTTTGGCAAATTCAGGATCATATACAACCATCACAGACTGTTGCGCCTCATCATCAAAAACGGTGACGGGAGTAGGCAATTGAAATGTTGGGGCTGGTTCTTGGTCGCGTTTGTAGTAGTGATCATTGAATACCATGTCGGCGTCGTATACTGGCAACTCGATGAATAAAAAGTGATCATCAGCACCACGGACAAGACTTTCTTGATTAATTTTCTCGATTCGACGAAAGGCTAGGTTGTCTAGCCAGTCAAGAGCTTTTATATGTCCTGTTTGATGGCGCTTCATCAAAAGCTCTAGGCGATTCATGGGGTTGGTCGAGCCAGTAGCAGGTGTTGAAGTATTCGGGAGACCATCTGCCTTTTGATCGAGCCAAATCTTGAGTTTTTGCCGTCCCTGCATAAGAGTGTTGTCTGTATTATCGAACAACGGCAAGGTAGTGCCACCGTACACTTGCATCTCTGCGCCGCCTGAGGGCCCCCAAATCGTCACACAAAGGCAAGCATCTAGTGGCAAGTCTTTGACGTCAATTGGTATATCTACCCATTCATTCCACTTCGGTATCAGCTCGGGAAGCTTTTGTGGCAGCCATATGTCCTGCGAAAGAGGCTTTGCACTAGAAAATACTTGGGCCTGGATGGTCATAGTGACAGGAGAGCGCGATCCCAGCACCGAAAGACCCAATGCAGGGTCCTCAATTACCGCAGACATCGGTAGACTTTCGCGTTGACGCTCTAGATACCCCAGCTTCACCCTCAATGGCCGATCCACATCTGTGGACCGGTGGAAGTTCATAGTTGGTAAGCGACAGAGATCGCAGCTCAGGAGGTTGCACATCTTAAGAGCCGGGTTGCCCAGCACTTGTAACTAAATATATGAACTAGACTAAACTACGATATTATAAAAACATAACCCCACGCTGCCAGGCTACATATGGGTTTGTTCGAACCCCAAATCATATTTGTCATGATTCGAAATTTGTCCCGTCGAGTTCCGGTGCTTCGACGGTTCTCGTCGAAGGCTGATGATGTTGTTTATGTGGATCCGAACGACCCCAAGGTTGATACCAAGCAGTTCTTTGAGTACCAAACCGGCCGCTGGCTTGAGAACGACAAGGCGGAGAGAGAGCAGCGCACGACCAAGTTTTCTCTCAATGGCCTTGTAGAGGTTCTCAAGCAAAAAGTTGATTACTTGGAAAAGACCCCTGAGCACAAAGATTTTGGAGTTCGTACTATTGAGCCCTATTTTGAGGGTAAGCACAACAAGCTCTACAAGCTCGTTCTCAATGATATGCGCACCTACATCTTACGCATCCCTTATGCAGTTGGCCATGCCGAATACCGTGAGAAACGCCTTCTCTCTGAGGTGGCCACTATGGACTTTATGCGCAAGAAGCACGACATGCGTCTCCCCAATCCTGTTGCTTGGGAAGCCACGGCCGCTAATCCCGCAGAGACTGCCTTTATGGTAATGGACTATGTCAAGGGTGAAAAACTCATGAGCCAGTGGAAGCCATGGGTTGAAGAAATGCAGGAGAAGGCTGCAATCATCAAACCAGCTGCTGATTTTGTTGACAAACTTGTGGCCACCGAGTTCAGTAAATACGGTTCTTTGTATTTCACCGAGGACGTGGATTCAAAGTACCAGACCGATCTTCCTTATGTTGGCGAGACGGATAAGGAGCTTGTTGATCGCTGGAGAATCGGTCCTTCTGTCGAAAAACGATTCTGGAAGGGCCGTACTCCTGAGATCGGTGCCGAGTTCCGTGGCCCCTGGAACACCTATAGTGAGTATCTCCAGGACACTGCTCGGGTTCAGCGTGCTTATGTTGAGGATTGGATTGCGCAGAATCCTAGCAGCGAGCTTTTGCAGAACGCAAAGAAAGCAGTTGAGCGTTATGAGAAGCTCGTGCCCTCGCTATTTGTTGAAGGTGAGTTTGCCGCTGATCTTACCTCCCCTCGCTTGCACCATCCTGACGTGTCCCCATTAAACATGCTTGGACAGGACAATTTAAGTCGTGTCTGGCTTATTGACTTTGAGAACACTGCCATTCGCCCGTTCATGTTGCACGGATTGCCCTGGTTCGTTCGTAACCCCGGCGAGAAGATTTACAAGAAAGAAGAGGTGCCCAATTACGACCAGCTTCCCGAGCATGAGCGAGCAATTGTTGACCATTACATTCGTCTTACTCAGAACGAGTTTACTTTCGAGTATTTCTTCCACAAATTGCGTCCCACTCTTTTCCAGGCCCTCAACCCCAGTATTAAGCGTCGTGAAGAGGTTGTCAGTCGTGCCCTTGCCTGCGACATTGATACTGGATTCTACAATGATCTTGACTTTGCTATCTATAAGTTATGTGAAATGTGGTCATTCCTGAATATTGAGCCCTCTCGTGCTTTCCCCGTATCTTATACCGACGCGGAGCTCGAAACTATCAGTAACAATGTTACTGCTTGGAACAGCGAGCTCACTCGTAACCCGTCTCTCGAGAACAAAGGTTTCTTGTCTGCCCGTGAGTTTGACAAGCATCTTGGTGAGGGTAACCTCGTTCCCAAATGTGACGGTAGCTATGAGTTTACTTCTGAGTTTTTGGACAAGATGGGTAACTTTACCCCTTAGTGTATATACTTCTGTATACTTTCAAGTAACGCAAGCTTGCTCGATTTGATCAAGGGGAAATTGATCTGCTTCATCGATAACGGGGCGGCCTGTCATGACATTTGCCATAAGGAGCACAGGGTACCAAGACATGCGATTGGAGCGGCGCAGAGTTTCGTCAGTCTCATACTCCCAGAGATATTTGATGGGCGTGAGCTTGACTTTTGCTTCGACAACGCCAATGACGCAAGCGGAGGTGGACTTGTCTGACCTAGTCTCGCGAGACCACTGACAAGGCATTTCCTCAAGGAACTTGATGCATCTCACAGCGAGTCGGGAACCACGAATCTGATCAAGGGGAGAAGGAAGACCACCCTGTTGAATATGGCCAGGAACAGCTTCGCGAACATCGAACGCACCTTCAGATTCGTTGCTGTAAATTGAGACAATGTTCTGGGTGGTGAAACCCCGTGAAGCTTTCTCATTGAGAATGATTAACCGACCAGCACGCTGGCGGCCCTGATCTGCCCTGAAGCACTCCCTCAGATGGCGAATATCCATTGTGAGCTGCTCAAGCTGAATGCCTTTCTCGGGAACGTAACAGGCGTGGGCACCGGTAATAAGTGCAGTGTTAGCAGCAATGAAACCAGAGTTACCGCCCTGGACCTCAACAACGAAAGCGCGACGGCGAGTGGACGAAGCTGATTGCTTCACAATGTCACAGTATGTGGTCAGCGAGTTGAGGCATGTGTCGCAACCCAAACTCAAATCAGTGCCAGGAACATTGTTTGAAATGGTTGCCGGTAGACAGACCATGGGGATGCGGAATGCTGGGAAAATGTTACGAGCATTTTCGAGCATCTGGAGTGACTTGTAAGCCTCGAAACCACCAATAATCATGAGACCGTCAATATCGTGCTTGGAAAGATGATACGCAATCATACCGAAATCAACATCAGGGAGACTACGATTGCAGCCGATCTCACAGCCACCAAGGGTAGCCATTCGGTCTGCTGACATCCAATCAAGTTCTTTGATGGATTCATGACGAGCCAACCCAGACCAAGAGTTGAGAATTGCCAGTGGCGTATGTCCGCGAACAAGACAATAACAAGCTGCAGTAGAGATGGCAGCGTTCATACCACCAGCAGGAGCGCCAACTGCGATGATGCCAATTCTCATCGGCTTTGCGGCCTTGAGGTGATCCTTATTCGTAATATCAGCCGAAGAAATGCTCAGATAGTTTTCAAGCACCTCGTTGAAATCGCTATCGCGCAAGGAGCGAGCCAACTGGAAGTCCTTCTTGGAAATAGCCTCAGCAACGCGTTTGGTGGCAGCCACAGACTCCTGCAAAGGCACACGAATGATCTTGTTGAGTCTGATTCCAATAATCTCGGAAGGAGTTTCAGGTGTGGACTCGAGGACACATCGCACAGCTTCTGCACCCTGAAGAGTAGCCAGTAAACGATCGAAAGCAACTGGTGATCCACCACGCTGAACATGGCCAAGGGTTGTCACGCGGGTATCAAGGCCAATCTCAACAAGAGCATCTTTGACCATTTCGGGAGAAATGCGATTCAACTCGCTATCAATTGCACCCTCTGCGACCACGACCAAGGTTGAGCGACGGCCACCCTTTCTATGACGTTCAATTACAGACTGCATCTTTCCAACCCACTCGTTCGCGGTCGGAGGCATCTCAGGTAAAAAGACGTAGTCTGCACGACAAGCGATTGAGGCCATCAAAGCCAACCATCCGCAATGGCGACCCATGACCTCCACGACAAAGGCACGAGAATGCGACTCGGCAGTGGCAGACACCCAACTAATGTTTGTACAAATACGAGACAAAGAGGAGTAGGCACCGATTGTATGATCGGTCATAGCCATATCGTTATCAATAGAACCAACCATACCGGAGATGTTCAGATGCTGATGAGCCTTGTACTGTTTCTCGTCGATTCTTTTGGTGTCCAGAAGTTCTTTGATGAGACCAGGCCACTCATCACGGAAGGTGTCTGCACCAGTGAGCGAGCCATCACCACCGATAACGATGAGAGCATCGATGCCCCTCTCAATCATATTATAACAAGCCTGCAAACGACCAGCACGTTCACGGAACTCCATGCAGCGAGCCGTTCCAATCAAGGTACCGCCGATTGACAAGTATCCTCGAACGTCATCCCAACTCATCTTGTGAATCATGTCGCCACCCTTGATCAGGCCCGAATAGCCCTCGTTGATAGCATAGACATCGCAATTTTGGTTAATACCGGAGCGGACGACTGAGCGAACAGCAGCATTCATACCCGGGGCATCTCCACCAGAGGTGAGAACACCGATTCTCTTCCTTGGGCCCTGGGCTTCCGAACCGCCAGTGCTCGCTCTCGCGTACTCACGAAGATCCTCGCGAGAAGGAACGGTAGTAAGATAGCCAGGGGTGGTAGCACCGGAGGCACCTTTGCGAGTATTTGAGATCATTTTCTGAACTGTAAAGGCGACGAGGTTGCCCAGAGGGTCAACAACATACATCTCCTTGCAATCTTCAGTTGGGGGGATACGTTGAGTTAGCATATCCTTGAAAAGCTCCACATCGATTTCGTCGACGACAATGATCTGGCAAGACTCGACAGCACGCCAGTCCATGGTATCGCGGGCTGATCGCATATGCTTGACTTGTTTTCGCGACACATCACCAGGCACACCTGTCGAGGCGTAGCGCAGGCGAATGGAAGCGTCATTGTTTTGTCCAACTCCGAACAGCACCAGAGTGGTCTCACGCAATGATCCATTGGCATGTGCAGAAAGCGACAGCTGAACCTCTTGAGTATTCCATTCAGCATTGATAATAAAACCAAGCTGCTGGTAAAACTCAATCGCTTCATCATACAATAGCTCGTCCGCTGTAACAAGTGAGATAGCACTCGGTCCAGTGGCAAGCATTTTTTAAACAGTAACCGAGATTTGATTTGGGGACCTGTCGGATAAATAAAGCAAGCTCAAGCCCGCCTTGATAATCTGATGCCGGCATCAGGGTTAGGTTGCCCAACCGGCCGAGTTGCTCTAGCAGAGAAAAACCGGCGCAAAACGCTCAATTATGCTCCCGAAATCAACTGACCACGCAGGTGATTATGCAAAGATACTGACTATTTGGCGCACACGTCCTCGGTCCTAGCAGCACCCACTGGAGCCGGTGAACATGCAACTCAACAATTCTGCGGCCTGAGACATCTCCAAAACCTGGATCTCAACCTAGCTAAAATACGTCTTTAAAACTACAACACACCACCGCTGATGCTTCCTGTTATGTTTTAACAATTCAGACATATCTGTTTATATAGGTTTCGTGCAACGTCTGCTGACATCATGTCGGCACCACCTCCTCCACCCCCGCCGCCAGCCTTCGGTGGTGGTGGCAGTGCGGCTGCGAGCGCGCCTCCACCGTCTGCTGGCCGCAATGCGCTTCTTGACGAGATCCAGAAGGGCAAGAAACTAAAAAAAACTGTGACGGACGACCGCAGTGCGCCCCAAGTCGGTGGACGAATTGTTGATGGCTCCGCGGCCCCTAAACGACAAGGTGCACCGCCAGTCCCTAGTGCTGCACCGGCCCCGCCCACGCCGAGTCACCCACCTGCAGAATCAAACCCGTTGCTGAACGAATTGTTGGGAGCACACAAGCTGCGATCAGTAGGGGCTCGCCATGACGGAGCTGCTGGTTCAGTTCCGAAACCGCAAGCGAGTGCACCCCCAATTCCCGGTGTGTCTACAGGTGCTCCACCGCGGGCACCTGGGTTTACTGCGGCACGCCCATCTGCTGCACCTCCCGTACCCGGTTCGGCACCCCCAGTGCCAGGATTCGCACCGTCCGCTGGCTCTGCGCCCCCGGTGCCCGGATCAGCGCCGCCACTATCAGGTTCGGCACCTCCAGCACCTCCCGTACCTGGAACGGCACCTCCTGTGCCAGGATCAGCACCCTCTGTGCCAGGATCAGCACCCTCTGTGCCAGGATCAGCACCCTCTGTGCCAGGATCAGTACCCTCTGTGCCAGGATCAGCACCCCCTGTGCCCGGATCAGCGCCTCCCGTACCGGGCTTCGCACCACCTGCAAATAGTGCGCCTCCTACGCCAGGATCGAGACCCTCCTCAAACCGTCCTTCGGCATCGCCAGTTCCTGAATATGGGAAGAAGCCACCACCCAAGCCAAAGCATAAACCGGACCTTGCTGCTTTGGCAAAGAAAAAACCGCCCGTTCGAACTCATCTAACTGCTAGTGCAAGTAACAGTCGAGCAAGTTCTGCGGGTGCCTCCCCTGCTCCGCCAGTTCCAGGATCTGCACCTCCTGCTCCTAACGCGGCGCCAAGGGTGCCCACATCAAGCTCGCAGCCTTCTAACACACACCCGCCGATTCCTGGAGCAGCGCCGAAAGTTTCTGGCGCACCGCACTCAGTACCTCCAGTGCCAGGTGCGGTGCCATCAGCACCCCCACTTCCAGGGGCCGCGCCCAGCGCTCCACGGTCGGCCTCACTGGCACCTGCTATTCCGGGGTCAGCACCTCCAGTTCCAGGAACAGCACCTCCAGTTCAGGGAACAGCACCTCCAGTCCCAGGATCAGCACCTCCAGTCCCAGGGTCAGCACCTCCAGTCCCAGGATCAGCACCTTCTATTCCAGGGTCGACGCCGGTGCCTGGAGGGTTGAGAGGTCCACCCATTCTTCCATCAGCAGCCCCAGCGCCCCCAACCACAGCGCCGTCAGCACCATCTTCATCTGCCCTGAGAGGACCTCCAATAAGGACCCCTGCGGCACCGCCTGCACCGCCGGCACCTGCACCAACTGCTGCACCAAAACAAATACCAGCGGCAGCGCCGGCAGCGCCGCCGGCGCCGCCCGCACCTCCGTCAGCACCGTCGGGAAGTGCTCTTTCAGGACCCCCTATTCGAAGAGCGCCGCCCCCTGCGCCGGAAGCAGCAGCAGCAGCCACTGCAGCTACTCGATCCACTTCGTATACAATTAACGGATCCAACGCTGTCAGTGGAAAAATCGTAATCGACGACAGCCGATTCAAATTCAAAGAACGCAACGACCTGCCCGCCCCACGGCATACTGCACCGGATCATTTCAGATCTACCATTCGCAAGTACCCTTCAGGCAGAGGATCAACTGTTCCTTTAAATCTACAACTTTATAGTTAGATAATATATACATTTTTTCACTCGCGCGAGGCCTTTTTGAAGTCCTCCCACCCGTCCTTCCATCTGGCCATCCAGTATTTACAATCGAATGTGGGTTTACCAAGCTTGTCGTTGACCGCATTATGTGCATCACAGAACCAAAAGCTCAGGGCGTTGCGGTTCTCTACTTTGGGTGCGTTCGTTTTGATCCATTCCCGGAAATCCTCGGCACAGGGTTCGCATGGATAAAACTTGGCAAAAGACGAAATAAATGACTTCATCTCTTGCTTGGTTTCCTCGCTGGGATTCTGTGGATAATTAGCTGCCATCGTATGTAGGAAATTCCACGTATGGTTGCCGAGCTGCCATGAATCAATTGGCTCCTGCTTGAACTCATCGGGCATCGACACTGTGGCGGCCGCTGCACTTGCAGCAACCGCAGGTTTGGCAGGTACCTTAGAGCCGACGAACATGCCTGCCATTTGGAAGTCCTTTAAGCTGTTGCACGTCTTGCACGGCTTCCCATTCTCATCCAAAATAATTTTTCGGCCATTCACTATCGTGGTGGTGTAGGGCATCACGGATGACAGATAGGCTTAGTCTAACTCTGGCACTATATTAAAGGGCAGTTTGGGGGCGGCAGCGGTAGCATTGAAAAAGTCGTCGGTACGCAAATTACGCATTTTATGATCGGCTACACGCTGGCCGCCTTTGAAGTTCATACGAATGGTTTCGCGGGCCGCCTTCATCACGGCGTCTCTGCAGACCTCGTTGATGTCAGACCCAGACATGCCGATGGACTGGTCACCTAAAAAGTCCCAATCAAAGCTGGGCTCTAAAGAAACGTCTTTGAGAACCAGGCGGAAAATCTTCAGCCGTTCAGGTGTTTTAGGCAGTGGGACGGCGAACTTTTTGGGCATTCTGCGGAGAATGGCCTTGTCGATATCATTCGGCCGGTTGGTAGCGCCGAGAACCATGACTCGACCGCCGGTGGTTAAACCATCCCACAGAGTCATAAACTCTGCCTTGAGCATAGCTGTGATCTCGTGATCAGAAGAGGCTCGCTCGCGCAAAAAGGAGTCAATTTCATCAATAAATACAATGCAAGGCTCGAGCTTTTGAGCGAGGGAAAAAATCGCTGCAACAAGCTTATTAGACTCGCCCAGCCACTTGTCTAGAATAGCAGACATCTTGATGTTCAGGAAATTAGCCCCGCTCTCTTTAGCAAGTGCCTTGGCCAGCATGGTCTTACCACAACCGGGGGGGCCGTATAAAAGGACACCTTTGGGGGCGGACAATAGCGAACTATAGGCACTGAATACCTCGGGTTCCATCAGGGGATACAGCACTGCTTCTCTTAGCTCCTCGATAATATCGTCAAGACCACCGACAGCAGAAAATCCCGTGGCAATCTCGTCAGGGCTCACTACGTTTGCCAGCAAAATAGACTCGTATTCGTCAAGGTTCGATAGCGCATCTGGGTTGGTTAGTCGAAGGCGGCGTTTGCTTTCCAGCGCCTTTTTCTGGGTGGTTTTGCTAGCACTGGGTCCCTGCTGGCCAACATTGCCTATCAGATATGACAAAATGTAGTATATCGACGTACTCGTACCAATAAAAAGCGCCACATCCAATAGAATTCGAGGGTCGAACTTCTTCGACATTTTTGTCAAACTGGAGATGGTGACTAAGGGGCCCTGAGGGTCATGAACCAACTTGACGAAGCGGTGCGATTAATAGCCCAGGCGAAAAAAGAGCTGTGCGAGGCGGACCCTGAGCATTTGCGAAAACGAATAAGGCAATTGGAGTCTGAAAACCACGCACTACGCCAGACGGTGAAAATTCTCAGCGACAAACGCAGTCAGGATCGCGAACGAGTGCGGCAATGGGAAACCGCGTTTTCGCAGTCAGAGTCGGCGAAAAAACACCAAAAAACAACACAACTACCAAGCGATTCGCTAACTCAGTTGGCAAGCGAGCCTCAAGCTGAGCAAGATGACCCAAAACTACCAGACTTGCCCCCGTCGTCCCAACCAATTGTGACGGCTAGTTTACCGTTGAATTCAGACGATGTACTCTCCGATGAGCCGCTGGACGACTCAATCCTTGAATCGTCGCCAACAGAGGACGATCCATTGAAGCACATCATTGCTCGCGAGTGGCACCCTTCGGACTTTGTCGTCAACCCAAACTACGGCAAAGCATACACTGAAGTTGTCAGGGGCAACCAACGTCAATGTCTTCACGGAAATGATTGTGAGGATTGTGCAAAGTTTTATGCATTGTTAGGGAACGGAGGAAACGCGCTAATCCAGATGGCGTCTCGCCATCGTGAAGACTGGCGACGACAAGAGACTCCGCCGGGATTTTGGCGCAGTGAATTTGTTGATACACAACACCAGGCCCAAGAAAAGTCTGACCTGGCAACAAAAAGAGCCGTTGAGGCGAACCGTCGACTAGAAGAAGCTCTAGTTAATGGTCAATATTTATTCCGTGACCGGGCGTTGCGCGAAATGGTCAACGGGTTACGAAAAAAAAAGATATGTTAGCATCAATAAATATAAGAAAGCAGACTCATTTAGAAAATGCCGACCGCTCAACCAGACTCTTCAAATAATTGTATTCTCCAGGGTAGATCCGGCTGATTTCGTCAACACTAGGCTCTTTGGGCCATAAAACAGTGGCCATGACTCGGAGGATCTGATCCGCGGAAAACACCAGGGTGCTGCGCTTTCCAATACGCCAATGTACCAAGTCGCGGCGGGCTATGTCCTCATCACCGACTGCTGGCTCGTCGATGGTGATAGCATCGTCCTTTTCAAAGTACCGCCATCGCAGCATGTTCTGGGCCATTGCGTCGGTCAATTCTATTCCCCGGCTCCTCAGACTTTGCTTAATCTCTCGCAACTGCGTAGAGCCTTGGTCTAGCAAAAGCAGAACATTCACAAACACGAGTATTGCATTGAAAGTAGTGTTTTCTGCCGTGGCCGCTTTACTCACTAGACTGCGATAGGGCTCGTCTAGAGTGGACACCAGACACATTTCATTAGGTCCTATCTCCTTTATTGTCATTGCATACTTTAATTCGAGGATTTTCTTAGCGTTTTTGAGATTTGCTGCATACTCGCTCCCCACGGCCTCACGAAGCTGCAGTTTGTTAATTGGTTTGCCTGTAGCTTGACATGCCAGCAAGTATCGAATGACGCTGTAATGGTGGTCTGTAGAAACCTCAACTTCTTGTCGAGGTCGTTTCGATCTGTGGTCCATTCAAATGGGGCAGAGGCTTGGGGGGTGAGGTCGTGATGTTTACAAATCACGAAAAATGGACAAGAGCGTGATTGATCTGTGTACGTCGCCGGAGATTGTCGATCTTGTCGACGACCGAATGGTTGAATCGATATTTACACTTACAGACGACGATTTGAGTTTACCAGACCCGCTAATTGGGCCTCCAGACGGCAGCGAGTCTCCTGAAAATGGCCATCAGCAAGACGCCCCGCCAGATCCAGGCCACAAATCGCCATTTAGTTCACCATTAATGATTTGCGAAAAACGCGTTCTGCGTATGGCGATTACTCCCGAGAGGTCGGGGGACCACAACGAAGTCAGTATTGGGTCGCCGCCCTCACTGGTGCCCCAGAAGAAACGACCAAGGTTTGGGAAAACCTCGGTTACCGCAGCCACAAAGACCAAAAGCGTGAAAAAGCGTACAGACAGGGCCGATACAGCCAAAGATATGGTTGTGCATCTCTATGGCGAGGGTTCCCTACTAGAAGAGGCCCTGCAACGTCTGCAAGAGCTGCCAGTGCACACAGCCAAGCAGTTCGAAGCACTGGAGGAGGGAATTACGGTGGTCAAGCTTTCTCGAATTGTTGCTGATCGTTTTGACGAGGCGGAAGATATGTTTGTCCCTACCGAGTCTCATGAGGAACCAGAGGACACCAGCATTGTTGTGATAAACAACGACTCGTTTCTTGATGTTTTACTTGATGAAAGTCAACACGAGCCCTACTTCAATCACTTGGCCACTTTAGCCAATACCCCCAAAGTTATTTATATTGTCCATGGCCTACAGGCTATATTACGGCGTCACCAAAACAAACATAACCGGATGGTGCAACGGCGAGCTCGCGCATACATGGAGGGCAGTCAATTAGCGGACCTTTCACCGGTGACTAAATTAAAGATGGACGCTACAGCAGTTTCCGCGGGCCAGGTCCGGTTGCAGGTCAATTCAGGAGTTCAAGTTCTGTATCCGTCAAGCACTAGCCGAGCAGCTGACTGGATTGTAGACCTGGTGCAGGACCTGAGCCTAGCGCGGTACAAGTCCCGGTATAGTGACCACCCGTCGGTAAAATCAGGCAGCACTGTTCAGGAGTGCACTGTTGAGGCTCTGGTCCGATTAACGCGCGTCACTCCTGCTATCGCGTATAGAATCCAAGCCGTTTATCCGAACATGGCTACTCTACTTCAAGTGCTATATGCCGAAGGCCCTTCTTGCTTGGTGAATGCAGGGGTTGCTGGAGCAGCACTGGCAGATTCCATCAGCCGTGCATTGAGCGCCGCATCGGGTGTCCAACCGTTAGTTTAATTAATTCGCTATCATGATATGCTCATAATAGGACAAGCACAAAGTGCAGATCGTTTATGCAATTCCTCGAGAAACCTTGCTAATCCCCATCACCCGAGCGTGCTAGTGCGTCGATCGCCCGAACGGGTATCGTGAAAGTCCAGCATTCCGGGGTGGCTGGTGAAAAATTCTCAGGTTACCTAGCCTGTCTGCATGAGATATCTGACAGTATTCCACCGCAGTTGAGGTAAACAGGGGGTATACTGACCGGAATTCGCTTATTTTTCAGATAATTGTTGGAAAATAAGATTCAAGGAGCCGGGAGTTTACTGCTGGATTTATCCAGTCTCAAAGAGCGCGTATGTGGGGGAAAGGGGTATGCAGAGGATGCAGATCCTGCACAGATGCGCATGCACGAGAACGACTCACATGTTCCCTTTCGGAGAGATCTTCAAGGGCCGACGGGACAGGATGGCACCCTTAGATTGAGCCACAGGTGTCGTACTATTTGAGTTAAACTGAAGCTGGAAGCAGAAGGTCCTCTGTTTTTAGTTTACACAAGGAAATATCAATAAACCCTCACACTCTCTTGCTAGACATAATGCGCGTGCTGTCCTAGCAGAATCTGGCCAAGACTTTCCCCCTCATCCTAGAAATGTGACTTGCAGGAGCCTGCATGGGTGGATGCTGCAAGTGCTCTATATAATCGACAGAACCGCCGAGCCCGTGCTTAGCTGCTGCTATTGTCGTTTTTGATACCCGAAACACCACACGTTCTTTACATCTATACCCCTAAGCCACGCAGTCTCTGATCACACTCTTTACATGACTATGTTGACTACTACGCTCCTTGCCTCCTTTTTCGCTTCTCTTCCTTTGGCAGCTGCTTTCTCGGACTCTGCCAACAACAACGTTGCCATCTACTGGGGCCAGAACTCTCTGGGCCAGGACGGCAGCCAGCAGAACTTGGCATACTACTGCAATGACGATGCCAGTGACGTTGTCTTGGTTAGCTTCCTGAACCAATTCTTCGCCGAGGGCGGCCTGCCCTCTATCAACCTCGGTCCCTCTTGTGGCGGTACCACCTTTGCTGGCACCAACCTGTTGAGCTGCCCCGATGTTGGTAAGGACATCGCGACCTGCCAGGGCAAAGGAAAGAAGATCCTGTTGTCTCTCGGTGGTGCCTCTGGTGCCTACGGCTTCACTTCTGCTGATCAGGCCAAGGACTTTGCTAACACACTCTGGAACCTCTTTGCTGGTGGTTCTAGCGATACCCGTCCTTTCGGTGATGTCAAGGTAGATGGTTTCGATCTCGACATCGAGGGAGGCTCCAACCAGTACTACAATGACTTTGTCGACCAGATGCGTCAGAACTACGCTTCCGACGCGTCCAAGAAGTACTACATCTCAGGTGCTCCCCAGTGCCCTATTCCTGACCAGATGCTGAACCCTGCCATGACCACTTCCGACTTTGACATGTACTTTGTCCAGTTCTACAACAACTACTGTGGTCTTCAGTCGTACGGCACTGACAACTTCAACTTTGCTGCCTGGGATAACTTCGCCAAGACTCAGTCCAGTAACCCCAATGCTAAGGTCTATCTTGGTGTTCCCGGTGGTCCTACTGCTGCTGGTTCTGGCTATGTTGATGCCGACCAGGTTATCAAGATTGCCAACGACCTGCAGTCCAAGTACTCCTCCTTTGGCGGTGTCTCTATTTGGGATGCTTCTCAGGCATGGGCCAACCACGACTTTGCCGACGTGGTCAAGGCTGGTCTTGAGTCTAGCCAGGCTGATCCCCAGCCCAGCTTGGCTCTCTCAACCACCGATCAGAATAAGAACGTGGTCCCTTCGACCTCCGCCCAGGCACCAGCTTCCTCTAGCGCCCCTGCTTCGGCTAACGGTCCTGCTTCCTCTAGCGCCCCTGCTTCGGCTAACGGTCCTGCTTCCTCTAGCGCCCCTGCTTCGGCTAACGGTCCTGCTGCGTCTAGCACCCCTGCTTCGGCTAACAGCCCTGCTGCGTCTAGCACCCCTGCTCCCGCAGACCCCACGGTGACTGTCCGTCCCACTGTTACACTCACCAAATTCTTCCCCCTCGCGTCTTGCGGCTGTGTTGCCAACAACTAGTTTGGCCTCCACTGCAATGTCCACATGTACTTTATAATAATCTGGTTGATACTAATGTAATTGAAACTAATGTATTGAAACTAACGGAGTGACCGCTAGGCGAAGAACGTCTATCAATTGATGGAAACCTTTTGATCCTTTTCAACGGCAGAGACGTGGGGCATAGCCTCAAGAGCAGAGACGTGCTCCTCAGGCAACGAGCCCGCGAATCCCCTGAACAGAGAGTATTGCTGGGACACTTTGCCACCCTTACTCTCGAATTGCTTGATTGTTTCTGTCAAGTCGCTGTCAGTGGCGGAGTCGGAGAGACGGACCTTGGGTTAGTGAATTGAACCTTCTACTCGCCTCAATTGGCCTCAGGGAGGCTAATTTGGCAGCAAACTTACAATGTAACTGGATGACGACATGGGCAGATTAGAAATCGAGTGGGTAGCTAACGCGGCTCGCTTTATAGATAGCTGCTCACTAAGCTTCTGGCTAGAGGGGGGGCTGGGGCAAAGAGTTTGGGCCGTTGAAGACCACAGTATCCGCATATGCGGGCCAATGGACGAGAAAATGGCTTGCACGCACACTCTGTTGCGAGCCCAAAAAAAGCCGTCCTCAGACGCCGCCACCCCCTCGCACTTCAGTCCATCGTGCCCACGCCGTGTCTGTGCCCCACACATTCTTAGGCGTGGAATAGGGTTTGCATGCAAAGCCGCACTGGGAACCGCTGATTACACAGGCCAGGAATTCTCAGGGTCTCCCGATTTTTTTCCTCTTTTTCCCTCGATCCACACACTATCCCGTCTACAATTACTCGACATGCCACCTGATCGCGTGGAGCTGACACCAGTATCCACCAAACTAAAAGACTCGAATGGCCAGACGGTTCCAGAGCTCGATGACTCGCCGTCCAGCCCAATGTGCTCCCCGGACAGTCCCGCCCTGTCTCAAACTGGCTGGACAAGTACGTCGTGGCCTGCTGCACAGCTGTTCGTTCCAAAGCAGGGCGCGAATGCTAGCATCGACGTCGGACTGCATTTAACCACAGAGGTTCTAGGCCGGGGCTCATTTAGCAAGGTTATAAAGGCTAGGGGTCTTCATGGGGTCTATGCTGTGAAGTTGCTCCGTAAAGGAATGCCAGGCGACCTTGAGGACGAAGCAAGAATACTACAAAAACTGAACGATCCCGGGAACCCGAATGTGATTCGGCTGCTCGGGCGCTGGAACGGCGGGCTTGTGTTCCCGATCTACGAGGGCACTCTAACGAGCGCCGTCGCAGAGTTTTCCGCGCAGTGGGCACAAAAACAGACCGATTTGAGCTTCACGTTCGAGGATCTCAATGGACCGCTATGTGGCCGCCAGCGATGGCACGACTGGGCAAAGCAACTCGCCTCCGGCCTCGCCTACGTCCACTCCAAGCACATGGTACACGGGGACCTGAAGCCCAACAACATTTGCTACAGCCCCGGCCGAGATAGACTTGTGCTGACCGACTTCTCCACGACCGTCGACGACGATGCAGCGTTTTCGCTCATTTACGCGTCGCCCAGCCTGCGGGCCGGCCAGACGCCGTCCCCAGATTCTGACATGTACGCACTGGGGGTGGTTTTGCTGTTCTGCGCCACCGGAACCGAGCCGTATGGCGAGGCAAAAAATACCCAACAGCGACTGCTGTGGATGGACAAGCTGGTGCCCCAGGACAGTTACAGCCCCGAGATGTGCCGCCACTTTGCCAACGAGCTGCCCATGCTCAACGAATTGCTGTCCCTCACACCCGTATCAGCGACCAAATTTGCAGCCGACGTCGCCAATTCCTGATACCCCACACGTGTCTCTTTCCTTACTTGGACAATAAACTATTTATTCGTATTTAATCTCAATTATCCCTGGCGCATCAAGATCTCTGCAGGCAAGTGGCGAAATGACGTCATGAAACACCCTGCATTCCAAAGCAAATCGGCCTACAGAACGAATTGCCACCGGCAGCTCTCCCCAGCTCAGTATTGCTTCTGCTCCTGAGCCACCAGTTGTGAAAACCTGCGACCGAACCCCTCGCGCAGCTGATCTGACATGTCGCTGTTTTATTCTTGTGGGACATCGGGTGGGCTTTGTCAGCTCGACTTCGAATGGAGCAGCCCCGACAGACTCCACTAAGGGAGCAGTCACTGGCGGTTTCGACGCCCGCAACAGGGGTGGTTGGATCGTCAGATGCTACGGAAATACACAAGCCAATTTTAGACCGGCGTTTTGCGGCAGGCGACATGGCGATGCCGCCGCCAACCATGGCCATCGATGACGCGTTGGTTGGGGCGAGCGGCTCAGAAACCGCCCCCGTTTCAGGCGACGAATCGAAGGATGACAGTGGCAATGTAACGGCCGGGAAAGCACCCAATGGCACAGAGGATAATCAGCGTGTTTCGGCGTATGCGCGCCTTGACTTTGACAGCTTCACGTTTTACGTTCAGACCCTAGAGGTGATTCTGGGCCGCCGCCCGGAGAATGGTACCAACATGGTGGATGTTCACCTGGGCCCCGCCAAGGCGATTTCGCGAAGACACGCCAAGATATTTTTCAACTTTGCGACCCAGCAATTCGAGTTGACGGTCATGGGCCGGAATGGTGCCTTTGTTTCAGATGAGTTCGTTGATAGCGGTTCTACGGTGCCTTTAGAGAATGGCACGCGCATTCAGATTGGTGAAATCACTTTTACGTTCGTGTTACCTGAGCAGCCTGATGGTGGGGTTCCTCGCGGCAAGGGTGAAGATCCGGTCAAGAGTGAGGATCTGGCTCTGAACCACGGCTCACCTGCCCCGCGACGCAGCCGCAAATCGGATAAAGTCGACGCTGCCGACGAAAATAATTTCTTCGCTGTACATGGCGGAGACCGCGGGCCGGCAAGTGGCCCCCCTCCGACTCGCAAAAAGCCCCGGCGGGAATACAAACCAGAGGAGATTCCTCCTGAATACCGAGAAAAGCCCCCGCACTCGTACTCGCACTTAATTGCTACTGCGTTGCAGGAGCGGGCGCCCAAATCCGGAATGTCACTTGCTGATATCTACGAGGCAATCATGGACATCTTCCCGTACTATCGGTACTGCCCGCCTGGATGGCAGAATTCCGTGCGCCACAACTTATCGTCCTCCAAGGCCTTTGAGAAGCTCACAAAAGAGGGCAAGGGCCACTTGTGGGGATTGAATCAGGAGCATCTCGCTGCAAAGGAAGAACAAAAGAAGCGGGCAGCAGCTCGTCAGCTTCGTCAACAGCAACAGCAGCAGCAAGCAGCCCAACAGGCGGCTCAACGTGCAGGGCAGTCTGAAAAGACCATTGCTGAGCTCGCACAAGAGATCCCGGCTCGACCACGGCCCCAGACGGGACTAAGCCAAGACACCGTCAAGCTTTTAGGCAGTTTGCAGCAGCGTTTACAGCAACAATTGGCACTTGCCGGTCAACCTGCCATTAATCCTCAAGTTTTGACCAATGCACTGGCTGTTGTTATTGCCCAGGCGGCAAAGACGGCTGGAGGCATCCAAAATCTTGACACATTGTTGAAGAATCCGCAAGCTGCTCAGACGTTGATGGTGCAGGCGCTAGAACTGATGAAGAGACAGGCGGCTAAACATGACGAACAGGATTCTGGTACAGCGAGTCCTGCTCCGTCTGGTCTAGGATCTTCGACAGCGGTCCCGACGGCATCGTCCTCGGAAGCTGCTGCTGCGGTGGCTGTTTCTGTAGCAGCAGGTGTGACAGAGCCTTCTCAAGTTCAGGTACCAGCGCAGGCTCCTCAGGTGTCTGCGCAAGTACCCGATCAAGCATCTCAAGCGCCTCAAGCGCCTCAAGCACCCCAAGCACCTGAAGCACCTGCTCAAGTACCTCAAGCGGCGGAGCAGGCACCTCAGGCCCCGGCGCTGGCTCAAGCTCAAGCTCAAGCTCAAGAGGCAGCACCTTCCGGAGCAAGCCCGACACAACCGGCCGCTCCTCAAACTTCAGCCGCAGCCGCGCCACCTTCACTGGAAAAAATCACCGAGCTCTTGGAAAAGGCCGAAAAAATTCCAAACCCCACCCCGCAAATCCAATCCATGATTGAGCAACTCCGCCAACACAAACGGCAGCTCGAACTTAAACGGCCTGCAGAGTCCGATTTGGAACCCTCAGCTAAACGCTGAACTGTTAATATTTAATCCACACTGATGTGTCTATCACTTTTTTTTGTTACATATTTAATTACCCGTATGCCGAATGCTCTACGAGTGCAAAATCTTCATTCAGCGTCAGTGTATACTATTGAGAGCACTGTGTCCCTGACGTATTGACAGCTTTCTCGTATGCTCTACGAGTGCAAGATCAGCGTCAGTATATGCTCTTAAGAGCACTTTGTTTTTGATGTATTGACAGCTTTTCTTTTTGGTACAACTCTGCAAGTGTCACATTAGAGTGAATTCAATGGTTCATGGCAGCCCGACAACCACTTCTTCTGCATGTTAAAGTTCGTGACGAGAATCACTCTGAAACAAACTTCAAGACCAACTATCATACCGGGTGCATTCGCCCAATTCCCTCGGTCCTCGACCAAGCTTGTTCACAGGTTCCAGAGCACCATCAAAGTGATCAACAATCTATCAACGCAGACGTATTTATTTTTGTTTTAGCTAACCGCAGATACCTGAAACTACGTACGAATGTCGTTGAAAGAGCCTTCCTCTTCCTTGACTTTCCAGATCTCAGTGCCAACGTCGTAGTTGCCATGATAAACCCAGCCCTCCGATTTGATGTGGTACAAGTTGACCGAACCACCAGAATAAGCATCACGATGGGTGGCAGCCAAAATCGCCCGCTTGCCAAGCGCCAGCGCCTCGTCAACGGACAAATCCCAGCGGTAACCTTGGTCAAGCACACCATAGGCAAACGTTTGACCAGAGCCCACGCAGAACAAGTGGCCCGGAACACGAGATCCATCAGAGTCTACGTAAAAGATCTCAGGCTTATCCTGCTTTGAGTAGCCACAAATCATCGTACCCATTGAGAGGCCTGCGCCCTTGTAGTGGTACATGACATTGGCAAGAATCTTTGAAGCAGCACTGACTGTAATACGCTCCTTGTTTCGCAGCTCGTGCAACCGGCATTGAGAGCCCAACCAGCGCTCCCAGTACTGGCAATCAGCCGCGCCGCCGGCCATCGTACCTAACAAGTAGGGGTTGATTTCGAGAACCTTTTTAACGCTCTGAGAAGCTACCCAGTTGCCAGCAGTGGCACGACTGTCGACGGCAACCACAATTCCGCCCTGGAACTTGAAACTGAGAGTGGTCGTACCGTGCTGGATCTTGATTCTAGCATCCGGGTTCGTGGCGTCGTCGGTGTGCGCACGCAAAAACGCCGCGGGACGATCGATTGAAGGAAGCTCGAAATCAAACGCACTCTTACGCTCTCCGCCGCTTCGCAGCCCTTCCAGCGGGCCCGCCACCGGCCGAGTATACTTTGAGACTATAGCGTCCATTAGGTAACCCGACAGTCACCAGGCGATTACTGTTTTGAGGCTGCTCCCAACGAAGGGATTTTTTTTCTCCTTTACATTTCTTTTAGTAACGTTTGAGAAACATGCCAGAGGAGAAGCCGACTGCACCCACTGCCACACAGCCTGAGGGCGCTGCTGCACCGACCGAGGGCGCTGCTGCTATTCCCAAGAACGTATTCAGCATGTTTGGTGGTGGCAAGAAGGACACTAAGAGCGAGGAGGCCAAGGGTGAGGAGGCCAAGGGCGAGGACGCCGCAGCCACCAAAGAGAATGAGGATGATGACAAGGCTCCAGAGGAGGAGGCCGATGTGCATTTCGAGCCGCTGGTCCAGCTCGAGCGTGTGGAGGTCAAGACTAACGAGGAGGACGAGGACACCATCTACAAAGAGCGGGCCAAGCTGTTCCGGTTCCACAAGGACATCAACGAGTGGAAGGAGCGTGGCACAGGCGACGTCAAGTTCCTCAAGCACAAGACCACCGGCAAAGTTCGCCTGGTCATGCGTCGTGACAAGACTCTCAAGATCTGTGCCAACCATTTCATCTCTCCAGAGTACCGTTTGAGTCCCAACATCGGCTCCGAGCGCAGCTGGGTCTACAATGTCACTGCCGATATCTCCGAGGGCGAGCCTGAGGCCCAGACGCTTGCCATTCGCTTCGGCAACAAGGAGAACGCTACCAAGTTCAAGGAGGAGTTCGAGGCCGCTCAGAAGGCCAACAAGGAGAAGGAGTCCAGCTAGAGGGCGTTCGAGCCGAGCCATTTTCCTTTGTTTCTTTTTAAAAAAAGTAGAATAAATTACTATTAAATACAAAGGGCCACAGAAACCGGGCCAGAAATGAACGAAATGCTAAATGAAATGAGCGAGAGGGCTGGAAGGACAAGACAAATTAATTAAAGCTGCGGGGCAGCGGAGAACTTGCGATTGGCACAGAACACGTCTTTGAACTCGTCCTCGTCGTCGTCGTTGCTGTCGTTGTACCTCATAAGTAGCAGCAACTGCTTCAGGGTCGGGATCTCGTTTGCGAAGCGACCAAGATCTGGCTGGATGGGAGACGACTCCAGCGAAGATGGCGCTTCTGGAGTCGTGCTCCCAGACGAGAGTGACGAAATCGTCGCAATGTCAATGGTGTGCATGTTTGTCTTGTGAGTTGGCGTTGGAAGTGTGAAAACAAGGAGGTCAGCTTAAGTGTGCAAATGCAACGGTTGGACGGAAGTTATATATGGAACAGGCAAGAAAAAAGGGGGTGGGCGAGCTTACAGGGGTACCTGGACACACGACATTTCTAAATAAAATTATTAAATCAAATAGACCGCCAGGGCTCTAGAAAATAGTCCTAGTAAAGTAAACAGACCTAACCTTGGACGCATTGCTTACAGGGCCGAGAGGGGGATAGCCAAGCAGAAACTCGCGAAGCTGGTGTACCAGGGTAAGGGCGTGTCCTAACCGAGTAACTACGTGGGTGGGTGTGACTCCCCCCCTCCCACGCTGACTGGCGGCCACACACTAGGGCTTAGGGCTGCCCGCCTCCAACCGACCACTCGCCAAACACTAATCATTCAGGCTCAAGGGATCGTTAATCAACCCATTACAATGAGCGACAAGTCGGCTAACCCCATGCGGGAGGTGAAGATCGAGAAGCTGGTTCTCAACATTTGCGTTGGTGAGTCCGGCGATCGTTTGACTCGTGCTGCCAAGGTGCTGGAGCAGCTCTCCGGTCAGACCCCCGTCTACTCCAAGGCCCGTTACACCGTCCGCACTTTCAGCATCCGTCGTAACGAAAAGATCTCCTGCCACGTCACCATCCGTGGCCCCAAGGCTGAGGAGATCCTCGAGCGTGGCCTCAAGGTCAAGGAGTACGAGCTCCTGGAGAAGAACTTTTCTGAGACCGGCAACTTTGGCTTCGGTATCAACGAGCACATCGACATGGGTATCAAGTACGACCCCAATATCGGTATCTACGGCATGGACTTCTACGTTGTCTGCGGCCGCCCCGGCTACCGCGTTGCCCGCCGTAAGCACGCCAACGCCAAGGTCGGCAAGAGCCACCGTCTTAGCAAGGAGGATACCATCAAGTGGTTCAAGCAAAAGTACGATGCTGTCGTCTTGTAATGATAATGGCCTCCTAAATCATTTTAAATCCCCCATCAGTATCGCAGGTAGTTATTAAAATATCTGTATAAAATAAGGTAAACCGCTTTTATTCGGCGCTGTACGACCACTTCACCAGGGTCCAGAAAAGCTCAAACACAGAGTACTCCGGCCACAGGCTCTTGGAAAACACAATGTGCGTGCCTCGCTGCGTCCGGCGAGACTCTGTTTCCCACAATAAAAAATCACTGAACCGGTTGGTGTCTGAGGTTCGAATAAGCAGGTCCAAGGGCCTGGACCCTGCCGTGTACATGTGGTCCCGTATGGTCGACTCGTCGATTTCGTTCGAGTTTACCTTGTTTTTCGCAATTGTCCGAATAGAGTGGGCAATGTCGTCTCGGGCTGTGTAGGGCATGCAAATATTAAGAATCGAGTGGGTGTTTTTTCGGCTGAAATCTGCAACGTACCGGCAGGTCTCTTGGACGTCTTCGGGAAGTAGACTCAGGTCTCCAATGAAATTGATGCGAATTCCGTATCGCTCGACAAGGTCGCCTCGGTCGCAAATCTGCCGCAGCCGTGTTCTGGCGATCTCCATCAACGCTTCAACTTCTGCAGTGGGGCGGCGAAAGTTCTCCAAGCTGAACGCATAAACTGTGACCTCGTGGATACCCACTTGGTAGCAGAAGTCCAGAATCCTGGACAGCGTGTTGTATCCTGAATTATGGCCCTCCTTGGTCTCCTGTCCCCGCTTTTGCGCATACCGCCGGTTCCCGTCCATGATGAATGCAACATGCTGGGGGACTGGACCCTGCTGTAGCACCCCCACCGCCAGCTTTCGCAGAGGTGCTGCAAATATGCCCGTCTGCACCTCCATTTACTGACAAATTTCCTTTTATTCAACTGCCTAAATGTGCTGCCAGCTCCACAGACCTACCCAATTACCCTAGCCCGGGCGCCTGATGGCACCGCCAACACCCCCCCAGGCCTCGGAGATTTTTCAGCACGCTCCCGAGCAGCGTTTTGCCAAAGCCACCCGACAATCTGTAGTATGTTGGTCCGCCGGTACTCTGTGCTTTCGAAAGCACTGGGAAAAATGATGCCGCCTCAGGCAGAGGCTGCGGTCAGACTTGCGAATCAAATGCAGGACACGCAGGACCCCAAACTCAAGGCGGAAATCGCTAAAGTTGCCAAGCTTGTTGAACCAGACCAACCGCTCCGTGATCCGTTCTCTATTGTGTCGGCGGAAATGTCGACATTGGCCGGCAACATTGCCAGTCTCATTGGTTCTGGCCATCCGACACTCAACAAGGTCGCCGCTTATTACTTTCAGAGCCAGGGCAAGCACGTTCGCCCACTGATCGTCCTGTTGCTGTCAAAAGCCCTGAGCGAGATCCCTGAGGCCGAGCGCACTCGCTACGGCAAGGTCGACAAAGACGACGTCCATGCCCACAAGCCAATGACCGGCGAAGGCATCAATGACCCTTTGTCGCCCCTGTCGATTCTCCACGGCATCAACCCCAATCTTGTACTTAATCCGCTCAGCAGACCTCAAGATCCGTTTCCCAGCGAGTGCAATGGTATTTTGCCCAAACAACGCCGGCTTGCTGAGATCGTCGAAATGATCCATACCGCTTCCCTTCTCCACGATGATGTTATAGACAACTCCGAGACCCGCAGATCTATGCCGTCTGGAAATGTAGCGTTTTCCAACAAAATGGCCATCCTGGCAGGCGATTTCCTTCTTGGCCGTGCTTCAGTTGCCATTGCCCGTTTGCGAAATGCCGAAGTTATCGAGCTCCTATCCACCACGATCGCCAATCTTGTCGAGGGTGAGTTTATGCAGCTGAAAAACTCCGTCAACACCTCTTCAGAGGCTAAAAAGGCCAGCTTTGAGTATTATATCCACAAAACCTATCTCAAAACAGCCAGTCTTATGTCCAAAAGTTGCCGAGCAACCGCTGTGCTATCTGGCGCCAATGACGACGTGGTCGAGGCCTCTTATATGTTTGGCCGTAACCTAGGCCTGTGTTTCCAAATCGTTGATGATATGCTGGATTACACGGTTGCCGAAGATCGCTTGGGCAAACCCGCCGGTGCCGACCTCAAGCTTGGACTAGCCACCGCGCCCGTCCTGTACGCTTGGGAAGAGTATCCTGAACTCGGCGAAATGATCAAACGCAAGTTCAGCGAACCAGATGACGTCTACAAAGCCCGCGAGTATGTCAGAAAAACAGATGGTCTCAAAAAGACCCGCGAACTTGCTGTACACTACCACGACGAGGCACTTCGCCAGCTGAGTGTATTACCAGATTCTGAAGCGCTTCAAGGATTGAAATCTTTGACAAATGCAGTCCTGAACCGCTCAAAATAAGCCTTATTGTAATTATGGTCCGAAACATCCCAGTTTCATGCTCATGTATATATACTCTCATGCTCCGCATTAAAAATTCTTTTTTTCCTCACACATGTCTGATTTGTATAAAGCATACAATAAACGCCGCGAATCAGTGGGGTTTCCTCGCCGTTTAGGCGACATGTCCCATTTTACCCCCACAAAGTGTTACACCGCATTCTCCGTGTCTTCTGGAGTGTATGCAATTCTTGAGTCTCGAGCATGGCGCTCTCCACTCGGAGACACAAGTTTAAAAAACTCTTACATGTTAATATCACATGGATTTTTATCCCACCAGTACTCTTTTCTCGACGTGGACTGCTGCCGTCGCGGTACTGGGAACATCGGCCGTCCTTTGGCTATCTACACATCCCCATCAAAATACATAAATCGAGGAAAAATTTTGGACTTATCTTTTGATTATGGACAGCCTGCGCAGGAGTTCGACCTGGTGCTTCCACCAAGCGCTTATGCCGAGGGTCACGTAGAGTTTTGTGCTTGCGAGGACTACCGCTATGAATGGCATTACGAAGATATTGAACAAACTGGCATTTACGCATATCATTTGTGGAGACACCGGTTCTCGGACGGCCAAGTACTGCTTGTTGGTCGAATTTCGCCCTCCTTGTTTTACAGCCCAGTCGATGGGTCTGCTTTGTGGACTCTTGAGTTAGATACCGATCGACTGCGACCCGAAATAGCTTTTTTGAGTGCGTTTATGGTTAAACGACTAAAGATCTGGCCCGCATTGACTCGTGTTGTGCCTGCCCCTCCTCGACCAGCTGCAAACCTTATGTTCGAGGATGAAGGGGTTGAGATGCAGCACAAATCCTCACATTTCGCAGATTGGGAAGCTGAAATGGGTGGGGATGAAAAAATTCAAGTCCGAGTTATCAAGGTCTTCAACCCAGATTACCTTTCGGCTTTTAGTGTGCCTCTGGACGTTCTTCAGTATCTCGAGGTGGAATCGAATACTACAGCTCGAAACCTCCGAGATTACTACGGCACCGCCCTCAATTGCTAATTTCTATAACACCTAGTTTACAGACCTTGAGTGCCCACTTCCAGACCCGCTTACTCAATGCGACTGTGGTTGGCGGCGGCAACGGCGCTAGCGATTGCGGGCGCTTTAACTAGTCCTTTTGACAATGACGACTGTCCGCCTTGCTTCAATTGCAGAGATCCAGGCATGGAATGTATCCACTACGGTGCCTGCAATGAGTTTACTGGCCTTTGCGACTGTCCCGCGGGATTTGGTGGACCTGATTGTGCATCGCCTGTCTGCGGATCGCTGCCTCGTGGCGCTAGGAGACCAATTCGCGACGACAATGGCTCCTGTTCTTGCGACAACGGCTGGGACGGTGTTAACTGTAATATGTGCAAAGAGGATAATGCCTGCCAAGCCTTGATGCCTGGAGGCGAGCCCGGCACTTGCTATACGGGTGGAAAGCTTGTTAAACAGAACTTCCACATGTGCAATGTGACGAATCGCAAAATTTTGGATGTTTTAGATGGTCGGGTGGCTCAAGTGACGTTTGGGTGCGATAGGAATACCACCCAGTGTGACCTGCAGTTGTGGGTCGACGAGGTGGAATCGTTTTTCTGCAAACTCTCAGAGTGTGATTTCGATGCCGCTAGTAAAGGCAATGGGACCCAGTATAACTGTGAAAATATTGAATGTCAATGTCGCCCTGGTGAACTATTATGTGGCGCAGACGGGTCTATCGACATATCTGTTTGGTTACAAAAGTCTGTTCACGGCCCCGGCGACCTGCGATGTGACGGCGATGGCAAGTGCGAGTTCAATGAACCTGAAATGAACAAGCTGATCAAATTTGTTTTTGGAGACCAGTCCATTCAGCTCGACTGCGATTCTTCTGAATGTGTTCATTACAGTGAAATCCCTGGTTGGGCACCACCGGAATCAGAAACCTCGACGCTCTGGGCGGCAATCTCGCTTGTTTTCGTCGCTGGATTTTTGGGCGTGGCTTTGCCAATGATACGCAGGGCATTTTATGCGTCAGATAAACCCATTGAACTGCCTCAAGACGATACCGGAGCTCCTGGTAGCGGTGGAGGGTTGCACCTTAGAGCCAAGCCGATTACACTCTCTTTCCAGAATTTATCTTATGCGGCAAATGGCCGGGATATTTTAGAGAAAATCGACGGCGTGGCCGCTGCGGGATCTGTTTTGGCCATTATGGGCGGATCAGGTGCAGGTAAGACCACTTTGCTAGATATTCTGGCTCGGAAAAATAAGCGCGGTAAAACCTCTGGTAAATTGATGCTCAACGGTGTTGAGCAGGGTGAGGCACCGGGCCAAGTATCCGCCAAAGCCTATAAAAGGCTAATTGGATTTGTTGACCAGGATGATGAACTCATGCCGACATTGACGGTGTACGAGACGATTGTGACATCCGCGCTACTCCGACTGCCAAAGTCCATGAGTAAGGATGCTAAAAAGCTACGAGCTTTAGATACTTTGGCTGAGCTCGGTATTTTGCACCTCAAAGATCGTCTAGTGGGATCTGAAACCGACCGTGGCTTGAGTGGAGGTGAGAAGCGCCGACTTGCCATCGCTTGTGAATTGGTTACTTCACCAAGCATCTTGTTTTTAGACGAACCTACCTCGGGGTTGGATGCATACAATGCATATAATGTCGTTGAAAGTTTGGTTGGATTGGCTCGTGACTTTAAACGGACGGTAGTGTTTACGATCCATCAACCTCGTAGCAATATTGTTGCCCTATTCGACCGGCTAGTGTTGCTGGCTCAGGGAAAGCAAGTTTTCACGGGGACTCCTCAACAGGCAGCCGAGCATTTCGCTTCTCAAGGCCTCAAGTGCGCTCCAGGTTACAACATTGCCGACTTTATGATCGATGTCACTATGAAGGCAGCGTTGGCTGATGGAATTGAAGGTCCTCCGGATATTGATATTCAACCCGAGCGGCCTGCACCCACTCAAGAATCACTTGTTAGTGGTGAAGAGCCTTGTCCAGATCCTGACAGCCACCGTCTTCCTCCTGGCGAAGACCCCACCCGTGAATGGGCAGACTTTGCCTTCCACAGACAACAACCACTTACATCAGGCGGATCTAGACGGGGAAGTTACCAGTTGGTGGGCTTGCAGCGGCTTGTGAGTGCTTATAATTCAAGCTCGTATGCAGCGGACGTACAGAGTGAAATCGCCCAGAGCTCTCGAGAGCTAGGCGAACTTCCGGAGGGGTACAAGCGAATTTCTATTTGGCAGCAGTTTTTGATTTTATCGAATCGCACCTTCAAGAATCTGTACCGGAACCCTATGCTGGTGTTAACTCATTACACCATTTCAGTGGTGCTGGGGCTTGTGTGTGGAGTGTTGTACTACCGAGTGACAAACGATATTGCCGGCTTTCAAAACCGATTAGGATTATTTTTCTTTGTTTTGTCGTTATTTGGATTTTCTACACTCACGACCTTGTCGCTATTCGCCCACGAACGCCTCGTGTTTGTGAGAGAGCGAGCCAATGGCTACTACAGCCCGTTCTCTTATTATGCAGCCAAGGTTCTGTTGGATATTGTTCCGCTCCGGGTTATTCCTCCTCTGATTTTGGGAGTGATTGTTTACCCGCTGGTTGGGTTGACCCTGACTGATGGCGCACCTCTCAAGTTCCTGCTCATTCTCGTGCTGTTCAATTTGTCTGCAGCTACGATGATGCTAGTAATTGGTATTTTGATCTCCGATTCTGGAGTGGCTATACTTGTCGGCTGTCTAGTCAATCTTTTTGGAATTCTTTTTGCCGGTCTATTTCTCAATCAGGAGTCTATGGGTGCATACTCACGCTGGCTGCGCTATTTGTCGCTCTTCCACTATGCATACGAGGCCCTATCCGTGAACGAGGTCCGCTATCTCTCGTTGGTTGAAAACAAGTTTGGATTGAAGATTCAGGTCCCTGGTGCCTCAATCTTATCAGCTTTTGGCTTTGATAACAACGCTGTGACCAAAGACATTGCTGGACTGGGGGTGATTTCCTGCATCTGTCTTGTGTTAGGGTACTTGACCCTATCTGTATGTTTAGTTGAGAGACGCTAGTTGATAATTTGGGCATAGAACCGTGAAATATTATTTAGAGTAGGTTTCAGCGCATTGCAGTGCGCTCCTGCATTTCCTGCGAGTCGAGTTTGGGTAGACAGTCCTTGCTTTGTGAGCTCGTGGCATAGATCGTTTCACCCCAACCCTGGCTACGTTTCTGGAGTCGAATCAGTCTGCGACATTTAGTGGTGCCGATCGGGACAAGAAGAAGCTATTTTGATCTTTCAGACGCAATCTCACAAAATCTTTCATTTCAATGAGTTTGTGACACTCAGTGGTGGTTCCATATTTAAATTCACTCGGATAATGAGACGACCACAGACAACACGCACAGTCGTAGGTGCAGGAGTCGGCATTCTGCTGGGCAAGGAGAGGTGCAGGGAAAGTAACCCGAGGCCAAGCTCCGATGTGGATACGTGGAGCACCTTGTCGTTGGCGAGCTATTCTGAGTCGACAAACCGTAAACAGGTGCACGTTGTTGCGTGCAGTACGCTGGTTGCGTCGGCGGCTGGTCGGTGACAGTTGCAGCTTGTCCCGCTACTCGGGCCCCTTACCCACCGACCTTTGTACAGTTTTGGAACATGCCCAGTCGCAGCATGCGCAAGGTAAGGGTAGGTTATGGCCACCCGGAACATTCAGGCCTAACGCACCAGCTTGTGGAACGAACGTACACGCTGCACAAAAGGGTGAAAGAGTTCAGTGCAGCCCACGCCTCGAAGTTACACTGCAGACAGACCCAAACAGTTTCAGATTTAACTATATGGAAGGTTGATCGAGGTTTGGGCTGCTGAATTTTTGGCCAAAAAATTATATAATATTTCACGTACTGATGCGGCTTCTGGGCAGTTCTCTGGTAGATCGCCTGGGGATAGACCCACACGGCGGGTAAATGGCCTGATCAGAACCAAGGAAGCTGCAGAGATGTCGGATTCTGGGCATTTGAGTAACGGCTATAGCGAGCTATACCTTGCAAAGCTGTCAGGCACCTGTTCGGCGAACCTGCGGGGAGACCACTGCCCGCCCGGTAGAAGGTTGTAGCGACTCAGATAGAACGCCTACGTCGATGTGGTAGCACTATTATTAGTTCATACAACAAGTACAGATTGGGCATAAATCAGCTGAAATAAACGATATATTCGGGGCGCTAATCAGTGTACCTGACAGTGGTACTGTCTTGCTTGTGACGCATCTAGCAACCCTCAGATCGCATCATGCAGTGACATAAGCGTTACATATATGTTGCTGACAAACAACCTTGGCCACTCATAGCCCCAACTATACAAAGGCACCAAAGTCGCTTGTCGATTTCAGAGGCTACACAAAGGCATAATTCAAGCAGCAGTTTGTTAAAAAGGCAAACTAGCTCCAGGAGCATCATTTAATACCAATATCATATCTCCTGCCGTTCTCCCGAAACCCTCAGAACTCGCCCGGCTTCTCATCCGAAATTCCACCTTTTTAACGCCCATATCGAACTTACCAACAGTTTCCGAAGCCACAAATCTCAACTTGATGAGTACAGTACCTATTGATATCTCATACCGCAGCTCAGGGATATCTTCCCAGTTTAGCAGAGAGAATTTCGCCCATTCTCAGGGAATGGGTGGAATCTCGTGGGGCGGCCACTCCATCGGATCATGGCTTCGTGAAGAGGCTCTGTTGAACACCCTCAATACGACATCGGTAGCCGGTCCAATGGTCTCTTCAGCCTCCCCGATGGATAATTCATGTTTGCCATCATATTTGCCCTCGTTGGAAGCCGACTTTTGCCGCGATTACAACTGCTGCGGCAACACGTTACCCACCCTTCATGATTTACTACGCCACTATGAAGACAGCCACATTTCCCCCTCCCCTCCAATTGAACCTCCGGTTATTCGCCGCATGCAAAACTTAGAAATGGTCTCGACAAACGAGGTCTTTTTGGCCCCAAATCTTGGCGGCGTCGGCGGCGGGGGCGGAGGTACTACCGCTGGCCTGTCTGGTAGTGGAATTTCCGGTAATAGCCTCACGGGCACCAACTCCATGGGCATTGCCAACGCCAACAGTGCCAGCAACGGTGTTTCCCTCGCCGGCACCCCAGTGGGCGTGGGCTCGGGCCTGAATCAATCAGCCAATGGGCCTGGTGTGACACCAAGTGGCTTAGCAGGCGGTCCTGCCTATCCAGCGAAAAACGAAGCAGATATGTGCATAGATGACCCAGCTCGCCAGCTCTATGTCATGGAAAGAAGCGACAACCGCCCGTACCGATGTCCAGTCATTGGCTGCGACAAAACTTATAAGAACCAAAATGGTCTCAAGTACCACCGGCTGCATGGCCACCAAAACCAGACTCTCCATCTCAACGAAGACGGCACTTACTCTATCATTGATCCATTGTCAAACACGCCATATCCCGATGGCATGGGCATGGAAAAGGATAAACCGTATCGTTGTGAGATCTGCGGCAAACGCTACAAAAATCTCAACGGTCTCAAATACCACCGTGCTCATTCGACGCACTGAGAACTCTCCCCCACCCTTTATTTTATGGGTCTCAAGACGATCCGCTATTTTTTATTCCCCCTTATTTTTTTCTGGCTATCCAGCAGTATTTATTGTATGTATTAGCAAAAGAAACGTTTTAGATACCGCTAGCACTTGAGCCTGCTCAGTACTTGTTTGACCGAGCTCTGAGTGAGCCCTGCTCCAGTCAGCATGCTTTTCCAGTTCTGGCGAGCGTTCAGCACGAGCGTGCGAGCGCTAAAAAAGTCGCCGTCGTCGAAACGATGGCTCAACCGGCAGAACAATGATGCGTTTACGCGCTTGGCCAAGACAGACAGTTTTAGGTCCCGAGCTGCCTACAAGCTTTTGGAGCTGCATAAACGCTTCAATTTGTTTCGCCCCGGTATGACCGTCGTCGACCTCGGATACGCTCCAGGCAGTTGGAGTCAAGTCGCAGTAAAGCACGTCCGGCCTAAAGGACGTGTCTTTGGTGTCGACATGCTCTTCGTGACGCCGCCCGACGGTGTAACCGCAATCCAAGGCAACTTTCTCAATCCAGCCGTGCAGGCTCGCTTAAAACAGATGCTTGCCGATCCAACTCATGGACAACCAGTTCCATTCCACCATAATGTTGCATTTGTGTCGCAGGACGAGGCAGATGCAGTGCGCAAGATCAGAGAGAAAGAGCAATTGGAGGCCCACTTGTACGCCCTGGAGCGAATCCAAGAACACGGAGAAGCAGACCCGGAAACACCGGTAGATTTAGTGCTAAGTGACATGTGCGATATCTGGCACCAGACCAGTAACCATTCTGCGCGCAGTATTAACGACCCATATCACAGGCTAGCCAATACTTCTGGACTAATAGCGCGTGACCACAGCGCGAGCGTTGTAAGTATAAATGACAATCGAGATGGACTGTTCTAACCCAGGATTTATGCGACGCCGCGCTATTATTTTGCATCGAGTGTTTACGCCCTGGTGGCAGCTTTGTATGCAAGTTCTATACTGGGGATGAAGATCAGGCTTTACAGAAACGTCTCCAGGCAGTTTTCAAAACAGTGCGGCGAGCTAAGCCTACCGCGTGCCGTCCTGAGTCGCGAGAAGCATATTTCGTTGCCTTGAACAAACGCAAGAATGTTGTAAAGTCTGATGTTTTTCCCGATCTACAGTAATTTATACTAAATCGTCATCGGCGTCATAGCCGTATTTTTCGTTTTGAAATCCGTACTTTTCATCGCCAAAGTCTTCGAACTCGGGGTCATCAAGCTCTTGTTCGGGATCTTGGTATTGCTCGTCGTACTGTTCGTCGAATTCCTCGGGCTGGTGCTGTGCTGGCTGCTCGGACTTCTCGTACTCATATTCGTACTCGGGCTCGAGTTGTTCCTCTTCGTAGTCCTCGGCTTGCTCGGTCTGGTTGTAGTTATGCTCGAGTTCAGGCTCTTGCTCAGGCTCAGGCTCATAGGCCGGCTCAGACTCATAGGCCTGCTCAGGTTCGTAGGCAGGCTCGGGCTGAGCAGGCTCGGGCTGAACCTCACGCTTAGGCTCGGGAGTGTCGGCTGGTGTGTTAATCAAGTCAATCAGAGGCTCGACAGGACGAACTGCCAGCCGCCCTCCCACATTGGCAGGGAACCGATCAGCATCCTGAGCAGGCTCGCAAATGAGATCGGCAATCTTTTCCCGGCCAGACTCTTTTAATTGTGCCTTCCATTTCTCAACATTACCCTGAACATCTCCACCATAAGTTAAAGAAAGCATAGCAGCTTCGGCGCTGCGATTAGAGCGATTCAACAAATCGGCCGCTTTGTCCACATCGCCAATAAACCAGTAAGCATTGAACGCCAAGTTGTACTGACCCTGATCCACGGCCTTTGCTGCAAGGCTAGAAAGAGCAGCTTTGTTGCCCGTCGACGTATGCACAAGCAACAATGTGTCGAGGTCGCCAGCTTTGGCGTAGCACGATTCAGCCCTAGGCATTTGCCAGTTGGCAAGCCACTTGTCACCAAGAGACTTCCACTTTGCAGCCGAGTCCTGCGACTCCGCAACCTCCTCGGCAATCTGCAGGTTATTGAGCTGTAAAGCCAAGTCAAAGCGGTGATCCATATCACGGGTCACCTGCAAGGCCAGTTCGGCCAGACCCTGGGCCTCCAAAAAGCGAGCAACCTTGCTGCGTTCAGCATCAGGCACCTTTTCCAAAAGCTCAGCAGCATAGTCTAAATCGCCCCGCAACACAACTGTCTGGTACTCAATGACGGCAAGGGATAATCTCTGAGCATGAACTCGCATATCCTTGTCACAAAGATACAACGAGTTGTCACGCGGCAAGTAGCCCAATAAATACATATCGCGGTCATAGTGAGTAAGGTTGTAAATCTCTGAACCAACAACGTAATTGAGACGGTTAGCGGCCGATGTGTAAACAAAGCAGTCGCCGATCCAGCGGCCAGAACGCACGCGCTCTGTGAACTCGTTGACGACCTCGAAAGCGCCTTCAACACCCTCCTCGACGTTTTCGTTAACAGCAAGAGCCTCGGCAAACAGATCGCGGTTGAACCGCAAAACATAGAACTCGTCTTCGGATGTCAAGGTCACCAGGTCACCAAAGTCGCTCCAGACCACTGATTGCACATCCATATCGACCTGCGACACGAGGCGACCGGACTCCCAATCGTAAAAGGCAACAAACCCTTGGCCATTGATGGCCAACAAAGCTCCGCCCCACAAGCGCGTAGCCTGGAACTCGATATCAAAGTGGTCTTGGGGCAGCTCGGTGAAGTTACGGAACGCAGTAACAGTACCGTCATCACGGGCAACTGCGTATGCATTTGAGTCTGGGGCCCATGCAAAGTGAACAGCTGAGCCAAAGGCCTTATTACGCCAGGCAAGCGCAGTGTAGACAATGTACTCGCCGTCACCACACACTGCGACGAAGCGGCCATTAGGCGAATGCACCAGCTGCGAGGGTTGCATTTCAACTGTGCCCAAATCTTTGGCAGTCAGCTGAAGAGCAGTCTCTTCTTCAGTGCCGTCGGCTTCAGGACGAGCCTTGATGACCGAAGAAAACGCCTCGAGGTGCTTGACCCAGACAAGTTTTCCAGACGAGTCCATAGAGGCCGCCGGTTCATTGGAGCCGAACTGGAGCATAAGAGGGCCGGTCTCGAAACCAATAGCAATGGAAGAAGAAGTGGGCAAGGAAGCGATACACCAGGCGCGCTCCATACCGAAGTTGACGGTTTTCTCGAGCTTGTAAGAGCGGGCGTTCCAGATCTTGATGGTAGAGTCTTCAGAACCGGAAATAATAATGGGGGCTTCTGGGTGGAAGATTGCGAAAGAAACGTTTGACGAGTGGCCAGACAAAGTCGCAACGCAGGACTTGGACTGGTAGTCGAAAATGCGAATGGTTTCATCGTCAGAGGTAGTCAACAAATAGGGCTTGTCGGCAAACGGATAGTACTCGACGAAGTTCACACCCTTTGTCTCATGAGCCTCCAGGGTGAAATTGGGCACCGGCGACGACAGACTCCACACCTTGACGGTGCGGTCCATGGACGCAGACGCAAAAGTGTTGGCATCCTTGGGGTTGAAGGCCACCGACATGACGTAGGACTGATGGCTCTTGAAGGTCTCCACATTGCGCCAGTTCTGGTCCCAGTTCCACAACTTCACGGTCAGGTCGTCACTGCCTGACAGCAAAAGCGGCTGGGTCGGGTGCACCGCCAACGCGCGAATGTAATCGGCGTGCGCCTCGAACTGGGTGACTTTTTCAAACGTGTTGAGGTTGTAGATGCGGATCTGCATATCGTCGCCGCCAGTCACGATCCAGTTCTTGCGAGCAATAAACCGACACGCGCGGACCGGCGTCGCGCTGACCTCGATCGAGCGGAGCAGAGACTGCGTCTCGTAGTTCCACAGCTGCACCGAGCCGCTGAAAAGCGAACATACAACCCACGGCTCGCTCGGGTGCAGATCGATGCCTTTCACGCGGTACGACCGCCCTTGGAATTGTTTCTTGACGTCAACCTTCATAACACGTAAACCGGGGGTATGGTCAAGAATGGTTGGGTGATTAAGCAGTTTGGTTAAAAAGCCAGGTGGTGGCCTCTCCCAGTCTACCCTGATTACCACATGTGGATTGTTAGTTGGTGTAAGTAGCGCGCGCGTTCCCGGGGGGGAGGGCGAGAAGTTTGCGGCATTTGCAGGGGCGACTTGCGAGTGAACGGAACTGATTGTCCGAGCCGCCTGGCGACGTTTGGGAAAGAGAAACTAACCGTAGTCCGTGACGTTCTGGCCTCGCTTGGGCTCATGAACAAGAACGCCAAACTTCTGTTTTTGGGTCTGGACAATGCCGGCAAAACGACCTTGTTGCATGTGCTCAAGACCGACCGGATGGCCACCCTGCAGCCCACCCTCCATCCCACGTCTGAGGAGCTGAGCATCGGCAACATCAAATTCACCACCTTCGATTTGGGCGGCCACGCTCAGGCTCGCCGCGTGTGGAAGGACTACTTCCCCGAGGTCAGCGCTATTGTTTTCCTGGTCGATGCCGCGGACCCCGAGCGCTTCCCTGAGGCCAAGGCTGAGCTCGACGCCCTTCTGGACATCGAGGAGCTGCGCAACGTGCCCTTCCTTATTCTCGGCAACAAGATCGACGCTCCCACCGCCGTAGGCGAGGACCACCTCCGCCAGGCCCTCGGCATCTTCCAGACCACCGGCAAGGAGCGCACCACTGTCGACCAGGGTGTGCGACCTTTCGAGGTCTTCATGTGCAGCATCAAGATGCGCCAAGGCTACGGAGAGGGCATCCGCTGGCTCAGCAACTACGTTTAAGCGTCTTTTGGAAAGGCAAGGTTTTTTTTCTCTTTAAATACAAAGTAGCTCTTTTATAATTATGCCGTCTTGGACTTTTTGTTGTTCCGGGCAAAATACTCTTTCCGGTCCTCTTTGCGCTTCTCTGCGCGTTTTTCGTCGATCTTCGCTTGCTTGGCGGCAACCTTGGCCCGCGACTCTTCCTTCTTGGCATTCCGCTTAGCATCCTTCTCGTTGCGCAGGGTGGCAACCTTGACCATGAGATCGCGGAGCTGCTTCTCCTTGCCATCAACGACAACAGCCCGCTTCTGCATATACGTCTGTTTCCGCTGAGGCTTCATGCGATGGATCTGCGAACTGAAGGGCAGCTGGGCCTGAAGCGTCTTGGGCACTTGCAAGGGATTGAACCGGCGCGTGGCTCTTTCGATCTTGCCATATGCGGAATCCCGTTGTTGAGGAACAGAAAGCCCTCTTTCGGCCCGCACCTCACCAGTGAGTCGCATACCCTTCCATGTTGCCTTGTTACTGAGTAACAACGACGTGACGGGGTTGTAGAAGCGGCGAGCTTGCACAGGGAACCAGCCCCGCAAGATAATGATATCAGACATGAGGATCTTGTCTTCAAAGGTGGCACGGAAATTACCTTCAGGTTTAGCCAGAGCACGCTTGATTTGACCACGAATACCAGATACAGTCTTGATAGACGCACCTTCAAAGCGGGCAACCTCCATCGCAGAGTTGAACATATCCTTGATAAAGGCAGTGTTTTTGAAAATCTTGTAAGGGTGGCCAACAAGCTTCAGCTTCTTGACAATTTCAACCTCCTGATCAACTTCGACAACCGTGCCGGTGGCAGCGATCCGGAAACCCCCAGTCATGTCCCGGTCAGAGACACTTTGAACCGCACAGAAACCTGTGTTTGGTGAAACAAGCGGACCATAAAACGTAGCAGCACAATGCATATGTTCGGGAGTGTACTTGAGCATACGGTTACGAGTGCGCGAGTCTGATGTAGTGTAGATCGGACATGTCTGGAAGCGTCGCCAACCCAAGGAGATCACAAGAGGATCGTTGGTCTTGAGAATGCGTTTGTGCCATCTGTGCCGCTTGATACGGACTTGAGAGAACCCGAACCTGTCCTCATTAACCAACAAACCGCCAACCAAAACAGGGAACTTGGGATCGAAGTTTTCGACAAACTCACAAGGAATACCAGAAAACACAAGGCGAACATAGGAGCCAGCCCGGAAACCCTCGATGCGGTCCCGCGTAGCGACGTCCAGTTGAGCATATTCGGCATTGTTGATGTTGAGCTGTTTAGTGATTTTGGCCTTCTGGGCATCGTACCAGGTATCCCCTTCTTCTCCCTCGGGATCCTCAGCACCAAACTCGCGGTCTTCGTCCTCCTCGATTTGGAGGCGCAACTGCTCTTTGCGTTTGGCATTTTCCTCGCGCTGCTCCTCGACAGATTTGACCGCTTTGAGGCCCTCTTCTTCTGCCTCATTTTCGCTGCTGCCATTGTTTTCGTCGGCCTCGAGATCTTCAAATTCACCGAAAACTTCTTCCTCGTCTTCGTTTTCTGCATTTTCTGCGTTCTCAACGGCACGGATTTCGCGGTAGAATACATCGGAGATGGTGGCTACAACAGAAGCATCATCCCACTGGCTTAGGTTCGAGTACTCGAGATAACTATGCGACTCAACACTCTGAAGAACCTCTTTTGGTTTGAAAAAGTCGTCTTCTTCCTCGATGTTCTCTTCCTCAGATTCTTGGTCTTCTTCACCACTCCAGCGTTTGATCACATCCAGCGGTGAGATATTGTCCATGTAAAGAAGCTTTCCGATATCCCAGCGCTTTTTGAAGTTATTCGGCTTGTAGTTGTCCATCCAGCGAAGTGCATTGGATCCATCATCGCTGGGTTCAAGCTCGTCGTCACTGCTGGCAAAAGCATACTCTTCGTCTTGTTCTTTCTCGTCAAGAGAATCACTAGCCTTCTTGCCTTGACGCAAGGACTTGCGACCAGAATTTCCGAAATCAGGATGAGATTCATCAAGCTCTTCCAACTCATCGGCATCCAAATCGTCGAGTTCGTCAAGGTTCTCGTCAAGTTCCTCGACATTCTCATCCTCATCCCCGTCGTCGTTGACATCACGTAGAGCTTTCGACGAGCTAAAAAGCTGGATACCAACATCACCGTTACCAAGAATCTTGGAAGAGTTTTGCAAACTAGTTACAAGTGTCTCGCCCAAGCCCTTTTCTTGGCCAGTAGAAAAGCTCGAAGTACCGACATCGATATAGACAGCATCTTTGTCAATCATGACACCGCCAACATCACTCATGGGTGCATAGATAGTCTTCATCTTTTCATCCAGCCTGCGATGTCTCTTTTTGGGTGCATTCTCGCCCTGTGATTTGGCCTCTTCCAGTTTGATAGCATACGGGGTGGGGCAAGGATCAGGGAGGCGCTCTATTTCCTTCACAACGAGGTCACCAACACCAGGAACGTGCACTTTGGCATTGTTGGCCTGCATAGGGGAACCACGCATGTACCCGTAAAGGGTAACTGTGCGATCAACCTTGGGGTTTTCCTCAATGAGAGTAGGATGGGTTATATCGACCACTCGATCAGCGATCAGATAAGGATGCTCATTGCGCCATTTGAGCGGTCTGAACTTCATGACGGAAATGAACCGGGCCAAATTGAGAATCTCCCGGTCCGGGTAGCGGCCGTTCATAACACCAGATAAATAGAATAGCTTGGCTCCTTTGTACACTTCAGTCCAGAAGCGATGCTTCAAAGCCTTTTTCGATGCACGCATAGTGCTAACGCTCTTGAACAAGTCCAAATGTGTAGTGACACCAAGAATCCGCGGGAAACCGTGGGGCGACAGGATGTTCAAAAACTCCATCGTTTCCATTTCGAACCCGAAATTACCGTCAATCATTAAGAGGATAAGATCTGCACACTTGGCAATATCAATCATAGAATTCAGGTCGGTACCACACTCAAAGAACGTGAGTCTTCGGCGTTTGCCCGAAACCACAGTAACTGGGCCATTGATCTCAGTGAGGGTATGTTTGGTAAAGCGGCGGACAAGACTCTTGATTAACGTGGTCTTGCCGGTGCCTTTGGGTCCAACAACAGCAACAAGAACAGGCGGAGGCTCCTCGGGTGTGCGATCCACCATTGGGGCGTGGAAGCGCTTTTCATTCTTATCGTGAGAGCGGCGAGCTTGACGTTCCAGCTTGCCAGGATTGGCCACAGCAAATGCCTTGGCATTAAAGCCATTGGCATGCAACTTTTTCTTCTTGGAAGTATCAGACGAGCCTGCTCTGTGCGGCTTGTTGGTCTGCTGATCGGCCATTGTTCAAAAGCCGTCGATTGATTTTCCAGAGAATAAAGTAATAATTTTTTTTCACCCTTTTCCTGAACCCTGGGAGAAAGAGGGAAAAAAAAAACCTGTTTCATCGTTACGTAATCAACTCGGCGGTTTTAGTAGCTTTCTGCTCATCACATAGCATGGCTTAACTCTGGGTTCGGGTTTCTGATGCAACGCATGCAGATTTGCGCAGCGAACGACGTGGGACTTCAGTAATATAAGGGTTCGCTCGTCTCAGTCCGTTATACTAAGCAGAACCCACTCGTTGGTGGTGTAGGGCTGAAATGGTAAGTTAGTCTGCGCACGGCGTGTGCGGGGCATGCCCGGCTGGAAATGAGCGAGCACTGCCTGCTCCAGCAGGTGCAACGCACTCACGCGTGTAATGCTCGCAAAGGAGGCGCTGGCTCACCGATGGGACAGAGTTTTGCTCTATGCCCCAGGAGGTGCTCGAGGCATGCCCAAAAGCATTGTCTGATGCAAAATACTAACATTTAAGGTTTATTTCAAACGAAAGTCTGTGCCTGTACCCCAGCCAACCCATCTGCCGACCGACCCAGCTTGCCCGGTCTGGGTCATCGAGCCGACTCTGGAGTACTTTGTGAGCTACGACAAATACCTGGAGAGGATGGACTTTTACAACCAAAAACGGTTTATCTGTGAGTTGACGGGCACTTCGTGCCTCACTTTTCTTGAAGCGCTGGCAATGGAAGCCAGAGAGAGTGAAATCATCGTCAAGTCGTTTCCCGAGGCCTTGCGCGAGCCCATCTTGCGCCACGTCCAGTTTTCGACGATGTCTCGACTGGATCAGCTGGTAGACCGCATCTACGTCAAGATGCAGCATGAATACTATCCTGGTGAAACCGTTTACTATCGTTTCCGCGATCACAAAACAAAGTGCGTGGTCAAAGAAAGGGCTACGCCGGCTCCGGGATCCGACCCCAAAGCAGAGCCAGAGTATTTCTTGCAAATGACAAAAGATCTCGTCAGTCCGTCCCAGACGCCTGCCAGTAAGCTCAGTCGAGACCGCAGGGCCTTTTCAAAACTTACCATCCGCACATTCATCAAACACGCTGCTTCTCGTGAAAACTGGGCTGGAGCACCTTGGATTGTGCGCCCCGAGTACGTTGCGCAATACAACTTGCCAAACGAAATGCCTGCCTCTATCAAAGCGCTTGTCGATCAACGCTCGAGCGGATCCGCTATCAACGGCGCCTCCAACAGAAGGCAAACATCGCACCGGCAAGCAACTCCCAGCAGCCCCGCTTCAATTCAAGCCTCCACCAAAGGGGGCATTACCGCCGACACACCGGAGCCCCGGAAACGTCGTAGTAATAAAAATGCCGTGACCTTGTCGGAGGACCTCGCGTTGGCGGTCACTCGACAGGTCGCTGAAAGTCCAATGCCCGAGGAGCCTTGGCCGCAATGGACGGTTGCTGATGAAGACACCCATGTGATTGGTCCCTTACTAGAAATTTGGTCCTTTATCACCACCTACAGCGATTTGCTCTACTTGGAGCCTATTCAATATGACTTTTTTGTTTCTGCACTCAAGGGAGAGGGTCAGGAGAGCATTCTCAGTGAGATTCATCCCGCTCTTCTCACTCTGCTTGTTGATGAAGATGAAGATGTTCTTGCTTTCAGCTTGCCCACCCAAGATGAACCGGCTCGTCGCCGAGGTCGCAAGCGCCAAAAGGTTGCAGCCAGTCTTAGCACTGACACACCCTCTAGTCAAAACGGCGATGATTCAGGATATCCCAGCGAAGAAGAAAGTGGTAATGAAGCTCAGAGTGATAACGATCAGGCTGAGGAAGAAATTACCAACAATGCCGGTGAGTACGTTGAGATCGCCGACCGGTCTTGGTTAGAAATCATCGGCAAACGTCAGTTCGGTGGTGGCGGCTGGCAACAGGCGCTGATTTCATTGCTGTATTATCTTGACTATATGCGAGAGTGGAAGGATGATATTGAGGAGGCCCTCGCTATTCTTGCTCCGTTGAACCGCGAAGGGACTTTGCTTAATGCCATTCGGGGCTACGAGGAGCTCCCCTTCCGCCTTCGTGTTGCTTGCTTGCGTATCTTATGCCGCACTTTATACACCTCTCCGCCAGTGCGTCAATTTATGGAGAAGCGCAATGAGGAGGTTTCCCGTGCTCGTAAACTTCGCACTGAACGGTTTAGAGAACTGCGACAAGCTCGTGATAACCACAAGGCTGCTTTAGAGCTCAAAAGCAACCTTCTTCTCGCTGGCGATGGTGAATCCGAAGAAGCCCTCATGAAAATCTCCGACGATTTTGCTCATGCGGTTGAGCGTGAGAAGGATCTATTGAAACTGGTTGAGGAATCGGAAGAGGCAGCTGAAGAGGTTAAAATTGAGCCACCATCTTTTGATGTTCACAGAATCAAGCTCTTGGGTAAAGATCGGTTCTATAATCGCTACTGGTGGATGGAGGGCGCTGGACTTAGATCTATTGACGACTCTACAGACCCTAGTTCTTTCTCATATCTTATGGGCCGTCTATGGGTACAGGGACCATCGAGTGAGGACTTTGCGGTTTTTATTTCGAGCAAGGACGCTGACGCTGAGCTGACTGTAGTCAAGCAAAAGGCTGCAGATGAGATAACTGAAGTAAAGCGTGCGGCAGAGCGCGCAGCTGTCGAAAGAGCAGGTATTGCCGCTCGAGCAATTGCTCGTGCCAAGGCCCTTCATGAGGCTGCTCGGCTACGAGAGCGGGAACGTGAGGAAGAAAGGCAACGTGAGCTTGAAGCCGAGCGTCAACAACGAGAAAAAGAAGCAAAACAGATCGAGGAGAGGGAGGCAAAGCTCGAAGCAGAGCGCCAACAGACTCAAGCTGCATCAAACATCACTCCCCCGAACGCCAAGCAACCTGTTCAAGGCGTAATTGCTTCGCAAAACTTTCCGCAGCAAGCGTGTGCCCAGCCCATGGTCATGCAGCAGCAAATGGGCCAACAGCTACCAGGTGTTCCAATCATGTTGGGCTCTGGTGGGCAGCCAATGTATCAATTTGTCCCTGGCCAACCCCCTATGATGGGCTTGCCCGACCCCATGCACAACCAGCCGCCAATGATGCAAATGATGCCGCAGATGGTTGCAATGCCTGGGCAGCCCATGCAAATGTCATTCGTTCGGCCCCAGGGTATAATGTATCAAACGCAATATGGAATGGTCATGTATCCTCCAGGCATGATGCCTGTTCAGTATCCTTATGGGGGAGCCCCCATGATGAATGGACAGATGCCCATGCCGATGAATGGGATGCCAAATTATCAAATGACACCTATGCCGATGGCGATGCCGCCTCCTATTCCTCCTCAAGTGGTTCAGAACGTATCACCTTCACCTTCGACACCAGCAAATGCCCCGCCGCTAGTCCAAGCACCGCAGGCAGTCAATGAGCCAGCAAAAGAAGCTCCAACTGATGTCGATGTCAAGGCTGAACCCAAAGTCCAGTCGCCGCCTATAAATGGCGAAGGGCAAGCAACTGATGTGGACACAGATTCGAAATTTGTTAGTGCTGAGACTGCAGTCAAGAGCGAGGCTGACGAGGGTGAATTCGACCGTGAGGCAACAGTCGAGTGCGCTCTTGTGCCAAAGACAGAAGAACCCTCCGAAACGGGCGACACGATGGAACAAGTATCACTTGCCAGCGACCAAGTCTCCCAAGAGGAGTTAGCAAATGAGCCGGTTGAGCCGGTCAATACACTTGAGCTCAAAAGGAGTGTAGAAGGAGAAACTGTACTGCTAGCTCCTGATGAATGGAGATATTACTCTACACCCGCTCAACTAGCTGCTCTAGAACGATACCTTGTTCGCGCCTCTCGTCGGGAGGGTGAACTGGCCGAAGCGCTGCACAAACTGCGACCAGCAATTATTGCAAGCTTCGAACAGCGCGAACAGTGGCTCGAAAAGGGCGGGGAGTGGTCTAACACCCTGGCTATGAAAGAGCTGGGCCACGTTCATTGCCGCCGCCGACGCGGTCAACGATGAAAAAAGAATGACTTTGCATACGTACACATATATTTACTTTGAAAGTGTTCATCCACCTTTTACCAATGGACCCGCTTCGACTGTTGGAATCTCAGGCATGCCTTTATGCTCATTAGGATCTTCTGGACCGTCTGAACAGCCACAGTCGTACAACTCGTGTATGTAGGCACAGTCGAACACCGGCTTGCCAAGACGCACATTGACCTTATTGTGCACATCGCAGCCCCACATCATGGCCGTTTGGCGGCTGCTCACTTGAGGGGGGTATTTCTTCAAGTAGATTTGGAAATGCTCAGCGCATTCGCGGCAGGGGTAGACTCGGCTAAACAGATGCAAAAAACCAACCAGCGTTTCACGTTCGTCCTCGCTAGGTTCTTCAGGGTATTGTGCAAGAACCGTGTGAAGGAATCTCCAGCCCGCTCTGCCTAGTTCGGCACGAGCTGTTTGGTTCTGCATTTTGCTCGAGATAGGTTTGCCTTTGATCAGTTTCTCCAGCTGTTTGGTGTCGGACTCGGCAGGTACCTCTTGGGGTTTCTGGTCGCTGGCATGGCCGAGCTTGTCGGCCTCCCTGATCAAACTCTCTGCTTCAGCTGCGACAGCTGCCGGGCGATTCCAGTCATCTTCAATGAATGCGTCTGCTGTCTTCTTGATGCGATCAATAGCAGCACTTCCAACGCCTGGGCGAGCCATGAAGAAAAATAGCATAAATACTGTTAGCACAATTGCTAAAAATCCGACTCTTGGACGTCTCGCCATGTTTGCAGGTACAAAGCAGAATCGCGTGAGGCACTGGGGGACTTTGTAATAATACAGTAGGGTAGGGATGGTTGGAAGTCAAAAATAAAGTGCAACCAGTCATGCGGCATTGCTAAAATAAATATATATATATATATATATATATACGAACTTACTGCTCATAACGCACATGTAACTCGTCAACAAAATGCGGGTGATGCACTCCAGTGGGACGAGCACGAGCGTACGCATCGAGCGCGTCGCTCACCGTGAGCCCGCAACGCTCAATCAGGTAGCTGCAGATAAAAAATCCCGTTCGATTAAATCCGTAATGGCAATGTACTCCAATCGACTGATCTTTTTCGACGTTGATGCTGTCGACGAGCTCGATGAACTGAGCCACCTCATCTTTCGACGGCGGGATTTTGGAGACAGTCGGCAGCTTGAAATATTTGATGCGGCTGAACGTTGAGCTGTCGTAAGGTGGTGCTTCTCGAGAAATATCAATAACGGCCACAATTTCAGGGTGATTCAATTCAAGCAGTGCTGGAGAGTGCTCATCATCCGTTTGCCGTAATGTTTTCATCCCTCTCAAATGAGAATGCGGCACGACTTGACCAACTGCTGGCGTTTGTTTCCATTTCTCTTCATTCTTCAAGGACCATTTGTCTGTTTTAGTAGCTAGATATGACAGCTGCCACGCCAATGACAACGTCTTGTCAACCTCTTGATCAATAAAGTCGGCAATCAACCCGTTCACGACCTCGGGTCGTTCAATCATCACTGAATGTCCAGCAGCAGTGATAGTTTCCAGCCTCGAGTTTTTGCCTATCCATTCCACCAAGATCTCGGCATTTTCTGGCGGAGTCACTTTGTCGTCAACGGCAGCAATGATCAAAACAGGCACGTCGACCCTCGCCGCCTCGTATTCAGCCAATGGCTTCATCTGACTGAATGTGGCGAGCCAGGATGCAGAGCGAACTTGAAGATTTGTTCTGAGCTGCTTTTCGCGAATCCGGCGGCTCGTTGTCGCCTGCGACAATACACGACTCACCGAAGGAGAGTCGAACCCGCCATTGCGGTCGGCGGCACGGAAATATTCAAACACTGGACGGACAGGAAACCATCTTATAAATGTCTGGGCGCGTTTGACACCATCGCTAAGGACTGCAGGAGGTGCTATGCAAACACAACCCATGCATTTGTCCCTAAGTTTGTGGGCAAGCCGTAGTACGATATGAGTACCCATGGAGTGGCCAACAAGGAGTATTTTGTTGAACTCCGTGGGCAGCAGCTGCATTTCGAGAACTTTTTCCAGCAAATCAACGAACCTGTCGCTTGTATAATGAGCAAAGGGCTGGTCACCGGATTTGCCATGTCCAGGCAGATCTACGGCCAGAACATCAGCAAAATAATTGAAATAATCAATCTGGTGCTCGAATTGGTTAAGCTGTCCTCCTAAGCCGTGGACAAAGAACACGATTGGCCGGCCAGCGGGTAGTTTAGGCGTCTCGCGGTTTGGTGCAACAACCACACGCAAGTCGACGCCGTCAACCGTTATATTTTTAGTGAATCTATGCACAATCTGTGGATCTCCGCCTGCCTTCAAGACTGCAAGTTCCTCGTCGGAGTAGCTAAACACTCCCTTCAAGGCTCGCAACATTTTCGCTGCCAGAATATTTACTCAGCGAGTAGAGGCGCGTGGGCAGTGGAACAGAAGCTCATTTCCCCACGAGCAAGGGTACGGGTCTGTTCCCGAAACCGGAGCAGGTCGGGGTAATTACGGGGGTGTTAGCGCCGTCCCCACGTAAATGACTAGTTCGTCGATTGGAGGATGTCAGACACTAAACCCCAAGTTTTGAAAAATTTCGTGTGCGATAGCTTTCCCGGTGGAAACAGCAATCAAGAATGAAGATTTCTCAAAAGCTCGAGAGGTATCACCAGGAAGCCCCCAATGATGGGGCATCTATTTCTTTCGAGTATTTCGTCCCCAAAACTTCCCAAGGTATCTCGAACTTGTACGACCGTATGGATCGCATGTACAAGTTAGATCCCTTGTTTGTAGATGTGACATGGAATGCCGGCGGGTCGCAGTCCAATTTCACCACCGAAATGATTCACACGGCGCAGAACGTTATCGGCGTTGACACGTGCATGCACCTGACCTGCACTGGCATGCCAGTAGAAGTGGTTGATCAAGCTCTGGAAGAGGCGCACAAGGCCAATTGTCACAACATTCTTGCTCTTCGTGGCGACCCTCCACGTGTGGTTCCAGGTGAGGAAAAGCCCATCACGCATTTCAGGTACGCAAAGGATCTTATCAAGCATATCCGCGATAAGTACGGTGACTACTTCGATATTGGAGTGGCCGGGTACCCCGAGGGTCATCCCGAGGAGCCTGACGCTGACGTTCTAATCGAGTATCTGAAGGAAAAAGTTGACGCCGGTGCCTCGTTTGTGATTACCCAGATGTTTTATGATGTGGACCTTTTCCTAAACTGGGTCGACCGCTGTCGCGCGGCAGGAATCTACGTGCCGATTATTCCCGGCATTATGCCGATTTCCGGCTGGGCCAGCTTCAATCGTCGTGCTAAATGGTGCCAAGTTAATGTTCCTCCGCAGTTCCTTGCAGAGCTTGAGCCCATCAGTAATGACGATGCTGCTGTTCGTGAAAAGGGCTCTCAGCTGGTGGCCAATATGTGCGCCAAGATGATTGCTCATGGAATCAGCCACCTGCATTTCTATACTATGAATCTGGAGAGAGCCACAATCATGGTTCTTGAGCAGCTGCATATGCTCGATAAGAACAACGAGAAGAGACCCTCTCCTCTGCCTTGGCGGCAATCTCTGGGCAAAGGCCGGGAGTCGGAGAGTGTGCGGCCTATTTTCTGGCGCAATCGCAAGCATTCATATGTTTCCCGCACTGCTGACTGGGATGAGTTCCCTAACGGACGTTGGGGTGACTCCCGTTCGCCGGCTTACGGTGAGCTTGAACGATATGGTGTGTTGCTGCGTCAAAGCACCCAAAAGGCTATCGAACTTTGGGGTTCTCCCAAGAGTTTGGAAGACCTGGGACAGGTCATTTCCAAGTACTTGAGCGGGAAGCTGCCCTGCCTTCCCTGGTCTGACGATCCAGTGGGAGCAGAAATTAGTGTTATCCGCGAGAAACTCCTCGACTTGAATAGCCGCGGCTTCTTGACCATTAACTCCCAACCTGCAGTTAACGGCGTACACTCTAGTGATCCTATTCACGGATGGGGTCCCAAGAAGGGCTATGTTTACCAAAAGGCGTACCTTGAGCTGCTGGTGCCCAAAGAGCGGTTTGAGCATATCAAGCCCAAGCTCGACAGCGACGAGTACGTGACATACTATGCTACGTGCTTCCGGGGCTGCCATGTTACCACGAATGCCAGTTCTGACGAGCCCAATGCCGTCACTTGGGGCATCTTCCCCGGCCAGGAGGTGCAACAGCCCACTATTGTTGAGCGCGGTTCGTTCCTTGCCTGGAAAGACGAGGCATTCCGACTAGCGTTTGAGTGGGCCGCCTGTCAGCCCAAAGACAGCGATTCGTATAAGTTCCTGACGTCGTTGAGCCGAGGCTGGTACCTCGTGAATATTGTTCACAACGATTTCCAAGATCCGGACGCTGTATTCAGAATCTTTGAGTGATTCTGGTTTTCTTTTGAAAACGTTTAAATTATTCAACATGCACATACCGTTTCAACAGCGGGTATATTTAACTAGACTAACCAAAAAACCTCATGCCACTAGTGGCTCTGAATCGAAAGAATACTCCCGGAGAACCTGGCATACTTTTACGTCGTACCACTGGTACCACTGGGTTTTGCCTGCTCGTTGGGCCTCAATGTGTTTGGATATTCGCTTGAATTCCTTAATCGCCTCGAGAGATTCCCAGTACGACACAGTGATGCCCACATCCTGGCGGGCTGAATCCATTTTGATAAATCCAGGCTGCCTCGACGCCAGGTCTGCAATTTCGACAGCCATTTCGGCGTACCCGTGCTCGATTGGCGTTCTTTTTGACGTGAAAATCACGGCGTACTGCCCGGTCATTATGAGTCAAAAAGCCATCGTCGCCGCTGGCATTGGCTCTCCACGGCCTGCTCCTAACCCTACGCTACGGGCTTGGCTGGCTGCTGGCGGCTAAAGGGCCGTATTTTTTTGTGTACTCGTCGTACTTGGCAGCGAAATCTGTAATGGGCGGCTGTGGGCGATCCTTGCTGATCTGCTGGGCAATCTCGTCAAATAAGGGCACCAAGTTCTCCAGTCCCTGCCGTGGTCCATTGCCAGCAATGTAGTTCAGTGTTTCTGAAGCATGTATGAGCTTTTTGTAGTTATTGTACACAAGCGATTTTTGCTCGCTGTCCAGCGCATTGATCTCGTGCTCCAAATTGGCAGCGGTTTTGGCGAGCTCAGCCAGCGAGCTCGAGGCTAACAGCTCCGACACATACTGCTTGGGATCCAGCCCAGGCGTGTCGAGATGGTTCAATGACAGCTCGTGGTGCGTGTCAATGTTGATCTCTGCCTCCTCCTCGATCTTGTAAAAGTCCCGAAGTGCCTTTCTCGCCCCGTCCCCACTCATTTGTCAGCTCGCTCACTGCGAGCATCGCTCGCTCATCTACTAAACTCGGGATGATCAGTCTGTGGTTCAGGGCAAGGTCCTGAGCCAGAGCTCGGACCGAACGCTGAAAGATCGGGCATACAAGAGTAAAAGCATTGAGGCCGCCTACTGATTTCGAAACGCCTAAACAAAAAATTACCTTTTGCTGAGTACGCTTTTACCCCGCCACCGGATAACTTTTTTTTTCTGCCGCGCGCTAATGCCGGCTCTCCCACTGGCTATATGCCTCATTTTCATGCTTGCTTGTCAGGTTTTCCCCCCCTTTAGGTAAGCGACCTTGCATGGTTAGTTATTAAACGGCCTGGAGCCAGGCCCAAAGACGCATTTTAAACTCTTAGATTCGCATTTGCGCGCGAAACAAGATTCAGGTGCACGCAGCCGTAATTTTGCTTTAAATAAACACACGCGAGTTGTGTGGTTAACAGGGCAGCGAAATTGAGTGTGCTCTGTACACATTTACTGGCAACTCTGTACTCCTCCACCCCACACCTGCATTTACAACGAACCGACCCAACAAGTGTCCCCTCGTTACACTATTGTGAGCAATGAGTACTGGTTCACCGAATTTGACTGGTCAGAATGAGACCGAGCAACAAACTGTGCTCATTAACAGCAGTTCCATAAAAGCCAGCCTCTCGTTGGCCGAGCCGATCTTGTTTTTGTACGGCTTTTCCAAATCAGAGCAGCGCGAACGTCCCCCTGCACTGCTACGGGGCTCACTCATCTTGAGAATCTCGAAACCAACCAAAATTAAGAGCATCAGCCTCAAGTTCCGCGGTGTTTCTCGCACCGAATGGCCCGAAGGCATCCCGCCCAAGAAGATTGAAACCTTCGAAACAAAAGACATCTACTCCCACATCTGGCCCTTTTTCTCCGCACATCTGCCTGCTGCAGAAAACGGATCTGGCGCCCATGTTGTACATCCCTTGGAGAACGAGCTCTCGGCAATGTCGGCCCTCCCTCGCGGACGAGCAGAGCGGCCAACTGTGGCATCGGAAACACGCGCACGCTCCATGTCCAATCCAATGGACCCACTCAATGTGTTTCACCGACATAACGCCGCCTCGCCGTCCCCTGGCCCCAGAGCAGGCGATGTAGCCACCAAAGGATATCGGCAGTTCCAGCCGGCCGAGTATATTTATAGCTTCGAACTGGCAATTCCTCAAATGCTCGCAGAGACGATCCGATGTAACTTTGGTCAAGTCAAGTATTCATTTGAGCTGCAAATCGAGCGATCAGGAACCTTCAAATCCAACCTCACAGGAACCCGCGATCTCACGATCCTCAGATCTCTAGGGATGTCTAATCTCGAATCATCTGAGCCTATTGTCATCTCTAGAGACTGGGAAGATCAGCTTCATTATGAAATCGTTATTGCTGGCAAAGCCTTCATCATCGGTGGTCAGATCCCAGTGGCTTTTTCGTTTGTGCCCCTGGCAAAAGTCCGTTGCCACCGCATCCGAATCTACATCACAGAGCACACCGAGTACTTTTGCAAAAATCGCAAAGTCCATCGAGTCGAGCCTGTTCACAAATTTTTGTTGTTGGAAAAAGTTAGCCGAAATGGTATCCATGGCTCGTTGCTTGAAGAGTCCACAGATATGAGCAATCTGACGGCTTTCGAGTTCAATGTGCAAATCCCCACTTCCTTCAAAAGCCGTCGTGATCGTTTACATCCAAATGCAAACGTTGGCACCATCAAAGTTCACCACTGGATCAAAGTGGTGCTTCGTTTGTCTCGCGCCCAGCCGGATCCCACTACTGGCAAAACGAAATACTACGAGGTATCTATTGACTCACCTATTACTCTTCTTGATGCCCGTACCGTGACAGCAAACACTCTTCCTGAATACCACACTACAGAAACGGTCAATGCTGACCATTTGCGACCGTATCAGGAGTACATTGAAAGTCAGACAGCGGTGCGACCAATTCATCTCATGCGCAAACCGTCTGTCGCACCACCGCCGTTCGATGCTGAAAGCATACCTCCAAACATTTTCCCCCCGCAGTATGATCAATTGCATGAGTCTCCTGCGAGTTATCATCGACGTTATGAGGAGTATCAGGCCCGCAGTGTGACGCAAACTCCGACTGAGGAGACCCCTCACTTTAGTGATATCATCTGGCGTGATGACGACAGTGAGGATTCTGGGAATGGCTCGGCATCGCCTGGGTCGCCTAGGGCAGATCCGCAAGATCTTGCCAGAGAGACAGTCAGTTCACCTCTGCAGACACCATCTGTTGAGCATTCGGGGCCGCAAATCTCTCCGAGCTCAACTACCACTGGCGAACCGGAGTTTGCTGGCCGGGGCTTCCCCTTCTTGTTGACACCTAGAGAACAACAGCCGTCGACTGAGATAGAGGCAGAGGCCGATCCATTGGATGCAGCAGCCGGACCTCCCCCTGAACAAACTCCTTCGTTGCTGGTAGACACCAAACTTGGTCGTGAACCCCTGGATCATCCATATATGCCACTCACACCCCGGTCATCCGTAGCGGGCTGGCCATATCGTGCAGGGTCAACTGCATCTTCGGCTTCCATACATTCGTTAGCCCGACCAGGAAGCTCCGCTCGACCCGGATCATCGTCCCGGGATGCAAGACCTCGCATGGGATCGGCGACCTCGCTACGAAGTCCCCGGTATTACCGACAGTCATCCATTATTTCGGTTGATCTGGTAGATCAGGGTGTATCTGGACCCGCAGCACGTAGGCCATCTGTGGTCGCGAACCTCTCGGAAGTCGAGGATGTCACCGATTGGTATCATGGCGGTCGCAGTGATTCGCTGTCGTCACTGGGTGTATCTGTTTTGGAATACGAAAGACCAGATCAGAACCCTCTTCTGCCCGGTGGGCGCGGTGCATCGACGGTTTCTGCAGACCTCGCTGATTTCGATTATGAGGATGACGTTGCAAGTATTTACAGCGGCACATCAAGTTATATCCATCCACAGCCATTTTTCCACACTTGAAGTCGGTGGCCACCACCTTTATTGTTCTGTTTTGGCCCCGCCTCAAGGGTGCGCCAATGTATGCTATGCGCCATGCATCCTCCGCATACGACTTCTGCCTGATAACACACAAGCTGTCCCCCGGGAGAGCATGCATTGGCGTCTGAACAGCTTAATTATGGCTATGCAAGAGGTATAGCAAACAACCACCCAGGTATATGTGCTGGTCACATTCACGTAGCTTGTATATAGTTCGCCCCTCTGAGCTAGCGCCCCCACAAACCGGCATCGACTAACGGGCTTCGCCACCCTACCCCTGCCACCCACAACCGCCTTAAAGGACGGAAACTCTGTTGCTGGGTTAGGGTTTCGTCGTTTTGGCTGGCTTGGAAAGAGGGCAATAGGCTTGCTCCTGGAGTAACCCTTAGCCCACTTGCATCGGTATAAGTACGGCAGAGCAGCACCTTCAGAAATGCCCCGCATGTCTACAAATACCGGATCAACAGCTCCACCAGCCAATGCCGGCTCTGGTGCTGTTCAGAACTACCAAACGGACGCTCTGCAGGAGCACGTTGACTCCACTCCTCTGCTCATCAACCGACTAGGCCAATGGAGTCAAGCCGTTGACACCGTCTACAATTACGTTAATGGATACCTGAGCACCCAGAACAGTATCACCAGTAACTTGGAGAAGACCCGCAAATCAATCAACGAGGTTCCTCTGTTTCTAGGCACTCACGATGCTCAACCCACTGCTCAGCAAGCTGCTCACACCGAGGCGAGCCACCCGGTCGAGCCGCCCAAAGAGGTGAGCCTGGGCGAGGCGTTCACGAGCTTGCAGCACCGAACGGACTATTTGATTAATGACAGCGACAAGGCTGCCAGCGCCATCAAGTCCACGATTTTGCCCAATCTCGAGACGCTGAAGAGCGACATTGATGCCCACTTCAAGACGCTGCGCAGCAGTGGTCAGAAGGGAATCAAGGACGTCGAGAAAGCCCGCGAACACACATTGCGTCTTGTGGAGCGCCTGGGCCGTCTCACTTCAAGCTTTGGCACCCAGCGAATCGACAACAAAGACGATCCCTATGTTCTGCACCGCCAAACCCGTGCGGCTGTTGTCGAGCAGATCAACCGGGAGAACATTCAGGCCGAAGCTGCTCTCAATGTTCAGCGCAGTTTTGCGTCTATGGAGGCTCATATCGTTGAGGTTCTACAGAAGTCTCTACAGAGCTTGGACGAGATTGTCCAGACATTCACCTCTCGTTTCGTCAACAACCAGTCGTACCTCAGCCAGACTTTCCAGACCATCGACATGAAGAAAGAGTGGGCCGACTTTACCACCCAGAACAAGGCCAGCCTTGTTCCTGAGAGCAACTACCAGCGTGACCCTTCCAAGGTTGTGTTCACAAACTCAACCCACCAGTCTACTGTTCCTTTAATCAAGGGCGTTTTGAGCCGCAAGCGCACCGTGCTCAAGAATTACACGCAGGGCTACTTTGTTCTTACCCGCTCCGGGTTCTTACACCAGTTCAAGTCCAAGGACCCGCAGCAAGAACCCACTCCGGAGCTGAGCTTGTACCTGCCTGATTCGGGCTTGGGTGCTCTGCCTGCTCGCACCTCGGGTGATCTGACTTTTGTTATCATTAGCAAGAACGCCAAGCGCAGTCTGGGTACGAAGCACAAGTACACTTTCAAGGCATCCAATTACGACGAGCTCGTGGCCTGGTATAATGCTTGTGCTGAGGTTAATGGCGGCGTTCGGGTCGACGACGACCAGGCCATTTCGCCGGTTGCCTCTCCCTCGCCCGACTCTCCTTCCTCGCCCGTAGACTCTCCCATGTCTCCCAATGCTGTCCCTCCGGCCAGCACTGCTGCCGCGAAAAACGTTCCGGCCACTGCTGCACCCACCTCGACTGCGGTGCCTGCTGCTGCCACCTCAGCACCAACAACCCAGGCACAACAAGCGGCATCTGCTATTCCCGAAGCACGACACGCTGCTGGCGGACCGGACCCTACTTTTGGCAACTTTTAATTGATTTCTGTAGAACTAACTCCCTCAACTTAGCACCCCCAATTCCCAACACCCCCGCCTAAGGCATGACAAAGGCGCCAAGTCATCGAACGCGAGACTCTCCATCCTGTCAAATGTCGTCGTCCTCAGTTCCCGGCGGCCCCAAATCAGCGCTCCGACGCCGTGCCAATCAGGAGCGTCAGGCTGCTTCAGCATCGGAGGGTCCCGCTAGCACCCGTTCCGCTGGCGCTGGCGGCAGCTCGAACACTCTGCTCAAGCTGTACACGGACGAGGCTCCCGGCCTCAGTGTCGACCCGGTTGTTGTCATGGTTATGGCTGTAGGCTTTATTTTCTCTGTTGTGGCGTTGCACGTCATTGCCAAGCTGTCTGCCAAGTTTGTTTAGTGCCGTAAATTATCAGTAATAAGACTATTGTCACCCGCTCCGCCCTGTACAGCGCTCTGAAAAGGGGTGTTTTTTAGCTGACGAAAATTACAATAAAGACTAGGCGTCCAGTTTTTGCTATGTTTATATGATTAACGGTTAGACTTAGCGACACGCTCGAGCTCATCCTTCTTCTTGATGGCGTAGGAGTTAGCAGAGCCCTTGGCAGCGTTGATGATCTCCTCAGCGAGGCACTCAGCAATAGTCTTGACGTTGCGGAAAGAAGCCTCGCGAGCACCGATGGTGATAAGAGCAATAGCCTGGTTGACACGGCGCAAAGGAGAGACATCGACGGCCTGACGACGGACGGTACCGGAAGAACCTACACGGGTGGAGTCCTCACGGGGGCCACCGTTGATGATAGCATCAACAAGAACCTGGAGAGGGTTCTGCTCAGTGAGCAAGTAGATGATCTCAAGAGCGTGCTGGACGATGCGGACGGCCTTGAGCTTCTTGCCGTTGTTGCGGCCGTTCATCATCAAAGAGTTGGTCAGACGCTCAACAATAGGGCACTGAGCCTTGCGGAAACGCTTGGCGGCGTAACGACCGGCGGTGTGGGGGAGGTAGACGGGCTGGCGGACCTGGATGTAGTCGGTCAAGGAGATGTCCTTGATCTCCAGGCCGTCGAAAGACCACTTGTTGAAAAGCTTGATCTCAGCAGCGTTCTCGATAACCTCACGGGGCAGCTGGGTGAATGCAACCTGCTCGACTTCAGCCATTGTTGGATGGAATATCCGCTGAGGGCACAAGTTTGGTGTTAGAATGAGTTGGGAGGACTGCCAGCCCTAAGCCCTAGAGTGCACGGGTGGGCACCGCCAGGCTTTTTTGGGCGGCGGAGTGGCCCCCTAACCCTCCTGTCTCCAAACAGTCGTTTTGGCAAACTGCGCGCTTGGCTGTGTTCTATACGAGTTTAGTGTGTGTTTATTTCGAAAAAATGTTCGGCAAGATGGACCGTGATCAGGGGCTGCTAATTGCCCTCAAATTCGTCCGCATGGTTGCCTACGGCCAGACCACCATGGTGCTTGTGCCGTTCTTGTTGAATATCAAAGCTTCTGATCAGCAGATCGGCTGGTTCATGGCATTAACTTTATTCGGAGATGTTGCCCTGTCCGCTGTGGTCACGGCAATTGCCGACCGTTGGGGACGGCGGCGGATGCTGGTTGCAGGCTCTGCAGCCATGATAGTATCTGGCCTAGTGTTTGCAGCCTGTGAAAACTTTTGGATTCTACTGCTTGCAGCCATTGTAGGTGTGATTTCTCCTAGCGGCGACGAGGTAGGCCCGTTCAGAGCCATCGAAGAGTCGACCCTCGCCCATCTCACCGTCTACCATCACCGTCCCAGAATATATGCATGGCAGAATTTATTTGGTACTTTGGGCTTGGCGTTTGGTGCCTTGACGGCTGGTTTTCTTGAGGAGTATGTTTCAAACAAAACAGGTAGCGCGACAAAGGCGTATCAGGTTATGTTTCAGCTATACTCTGTTTTAGCAGCCGTCTGTTTGGTTTTGAATGCGCTGTTAAGCGTCGAAGCTGAACTCAAAGACGAGCCGCCTCAAGAAGAAGCCCAGCCAGTCCCGGAGACTGAAGAGGCCCCTCTGATTCACCCTCAGGAGCAGGCCCTGCAAGATGCTGCCCGTCCCAAGGTTACTTTAACCTTCAGTTTGAGTTTCCTGTTTGGAATTGACTCTCTGGCCTACGGATTTATGACCAACTCTTGGGTCGTAGAGTATATGGAGCGGACATTCAAAACGAGCCCAAGAATTGTAGGGCAGTTCTTTTTTGTCGGCTGCTTTATTGCAGCCATGACATCCCTGCCCTCTGCAGCACTAACCCACCGCATTGGGCCTGTGCTGGCAATTGTATTAACTAAAATTGGTGCTGCGTCATTTGCCGGCATCGTTCCTCTTGCTAGGGTCGACTACACTGCAATGGGATTTTTGCTTCTCCGCTCACTTTTCGATACAATGGACGTGGTGCCCCGCCAGGTGTTCATAACATCCATTGTATCTAGCGGGCAACGCACTCAGGTTCTCGGGCAGGTAAACGTTATTAAGACCCTCGCCCGAAGCGTCGGCCCGATTTTTACCGGGATTCTTGCTGGCCAAGGCTATTTATGGACATGCTTTGTTATTTTGGCGGCTCTTGAGTATGTGTTTGCAGGGCTAATTCTCGAATGCTTCTTCCAGAAGACGCGCAACCACGCGCCGGTGCCTTAAGGTTTGGTTAATGCAGTCATAATCTCCTCCCCGAGTACCTCGCTGGCGCGCGTTAGGCGAGATCCCGTAAATTATTTTAACTCTAGGTAAACCAATTGCTGGTGTCCGCACCATTCGTAACCACCACACGTGCAGAAGCACGTGCTGCATCAAGTATGAAGGCTCAACAGAGCGTGACTCGATGTCCTGTGCTCATCTGCCAAGCATCGTTTTGAGTATATCGGGGTTAGGTCTTCGGGTAGGATGCATTATCCTAATAGGGCCTCTGCCTATATAAAAAGGTGGGGAGCGCCACAAGGAGATCCATACATCCGAACACCACACAAACACTTTCACATTTTCGTTTCACATCCACTTCGCTTAATTGAGTGACTCAATTGACTCTCAGCATGTTGTCTTTCATTAAGCGCGTTTCTGGACTCAGCCACCAGCCAGCTCCGGCTGCCATTCAGCCATCCGTTGACCCTACTCAGCTCAACCTCGTGGTCTCTCAGTCAGACGATTGCGAGGACGGCTACGCTCAGGTCTCCGTGCGCCCCATGACCTACGCGGAAGTAGCAAGTCGCAACTCCGTGCGCTCGTGGGTCAAGCCCGTGCGGACACTCAGGCCCGTGGAACCGCGTGTTGCTCAAGAGGTTTCCGCATCTACTCCACGTAATATCCATGCCGAGTCTGATGATCTGTACGGAGATTTGGCCGAGCGGGTCTACCACCCACCCCGCAAAGGTTACAAGCGATCCCGCCAGCGGGCGTACGTCTAGAGCTTTCTCTTCTCCACACTCTACTTGTGCTGTATTATTTGTTATCGCATATTTATATAAATACTTTTACGCATCCACGAAAACGCGCTCTCCGGTTGTTTGTGACTGATTATGTGCACATGCATTCCGCCTCCGACGGAACGATTACGCTGCAGGCAACCTGCAGATAAGCCCAAAACAACTGGGACGTCATAAATCCAACAGAGGTGCAATGTCATGCACGTCGTGGGGCTTAAACTTACGTGTTGTGCGTTCCGTAGATCGCACAAGCAACCGGCTGCCCGCCAGCTCAATGGATGGCGTCACGCCCTGAAGCTGGAAGACGGTGCCTGCCTTTGTGACTTGCTTCAATTGCCGTTTGGGCGTAACAATTAGCATCATAGATCGGCCCTCCCACAACAGAATGCCCGCTTTCCCAACTAGTGAAGGGTTGCGGGCCGCGGTGATCCGGATCCGGGCTCCATGCCAATCCGCCGTAAGCAACTTTTGGGCGGCGGTGACTGCGTCTCGTTTTGCTGCGTCTCCAAGCACATTGTTAATGTACGAGAGCCATAACTCGTTGAGAGCAACAAACTGCGGGTACATGTCTGGATCAAACGTTTCCTTGAACTCTTTGAGGGCTGCTGAAGTCACTCCTTTGCGACTTCGTCTCCTTGCTGGCTTAGCGGGTGCTGCTGCGTCATGCAACACTAGAAAGGGCTTCTGACCGCCAAAAATCGAATACCGCTGGCTGAGAAGCTCCTTGGCCCGCTCCGCGGAATGCGACTTCAGCAGCAGGGCAAACTCGGTCGAGTTGTTCATGATAAAAAAAATCCCGAACTGTCCAAGGCTGACAAAGTCGACACTCGATAGAGGGTGTACTACCAAAATGGATCGCATAGTGGTTTCGAGGTCACTAAACCCGTATGTGAATTTGGCGATAGAAACAGTTCTTTTCAAATCGTCCCCCAGTGCTCGCAATCTGCTTTTTTTATACGTCAACAAGCCCTGCGTTGTGTTGGGCCGAAACCAAAACCCTTGGAAAGAAATCAACTTGCCCGCCGCGTTTCGTCACAATGTGCCGGTGATTCGGCGCCGATCCGGAGGTGGGACGGTCGTCCATGACGAAGGTAATGTCAACTTTTGCGTACAGACCTCTCGCGGTGATTTCAGCCGGACAAAACACATTGAGATGATTGTGACAGCGTTACGAGCCAAAGGCCAGAGCCTGGAAATAAACGAGCGTCACGACATCATTAACGCATCAAACCAAAAAGTAAGCGGGTCTTCTTATAAAATCGAGCGTGAAAGAGCCTACCACCACGCAACAATGCTTCTAAATGCTGATCTTCCCCGTATCCGAGCGGTGCTGCATCGCACCTCTGATCTTGGAACTATAAGCGGACTAGGTACAGACAGTGTACCTTCCCCGATTGCTAACTGTGGCATAAGTCGTCAATTATATATGGATACATGGATTGAGGCCTTTCAGCAGCATTACACTCCGGTAGAGCCCGAGTTCGTGGATGAGAAGACCGTCCTGGAATTATCTTCGGTTCAAGAGGAAATCGCTGCGCTAAAATCATGGCAGTGGACATTTGGAGAAACCCCTCGTTTTTTCCATCGCTTCGATGGATATCAGTTCGAAGTCTATAAAGGCAAAATAGTCGCTGGTCCCGAAAAATCTACAGGCAAGCTCTATCGAGCAGGCTCAGTACCACACCAGATTGCGCAAATCATCGATCCTTGGTCCAGTAGGAGAACACGTACTTAGAGGGTCCAAAATCGTCTCTCCCGTCATCGTATTCAAAGCGGTCGCGGTTGTAACCTAACTCATATAATCCTGTATAAACAGCATTGCGTTCATTGTCGTACTTGGGTCGCAGTGGTACTTCTAGAATGACTTTTCTGGCGTCAAGCATGGCAATTGATGCAAGCAAGGCCTCCGGGTGCTCAACACTGTACACGGGATCTGAAATAAGAATTAGGTCAAACTTCTGGCCAGCCAGAACCGAGCTATGAGGATCAGACCAATCAAGAACATGACAAGGGCAATTCAAATTGTTTGAGAGAACATTGCGTTCAAGATTTACCACAATTTCTTCCAGATCAGTGAGAACAATTTGGGCCCCCAATTTGGCTGCGGTAATACCAACCAACCCAGTGCCAGCACCGAGTTCAATACACGACTTTTCCAGCAAGCTGGGTTCAGCAACCAATCTTTTCGCCAGAACCAGTGCTGCACCCCATGTTTTCATACCCAGTTTATCAGTCGTGAGCCCTGGTTCCAAAAGCTGTATTTTGAGCTCGCCCACATCAACTGCTCGAGTCACGTCTGCTCGTGCAGTTATCCCGCATTGCTGAGCGAGTCTGTGAGCAGCCGAGTCTCTTATAGCCTGAGCAGTGCTTTCGTCGATCCACTCTAGATCATGGGCTACTAGCTGGGTCAGCCATCTCGTAGTTCCTTGATCAAGATCTGGAATCTCATCGAAATTGTGCAGTTGCACTACAAGTTTCGAGAGAACGTGGTTAAGTTCGTCGGCCTTGGGTTTCAATCGAAGGTTCGGCAGATCTAACCAGTGAATTGGGCCTTCATCATCTGAGATCTGCTGCATCGGATGCACGCTCGATACTCTTTCAATTTCGTAACCAGAACTTAGTCTCGGCAGTGGTTTTTTTTTCTTTCTGCGAGCAGCCCCTTGCCCCGACCTTACCCTAGATGGCTCATTTAATCGAGTGCCGGGAATTCAATTAGAAATCACTACCATTTTTTTGAACCAGATCCTCAGTTGGCTGGTTCGGTAAAAACGCTATTTATCAATGTCTGCATCCAGCACTGTCGACAACTCCGTTAGACGGGTTGCCTGTGTTGGTTGCCGTCAACAAAAAGTTCGTTGCACCGGAGATCGAGATGGTCCCTGTGAGCGGTGTGCTAAAAGAAACATCGCGTGTGTGATCGACGTTGAATATAAACGAACTGCCAAAAGAAAGCGCATGCAGCAGCTGGAGACCGAAATGGAGGAGCTCCGAAAGCAGATCGCGGAGGAAAAGGCCAATGCAACTGTGGTCACCGCCAATACCTCAGACAGTACCCCAGAGGCACATGAAGCCCACCAGCGGGTCTTTGCTGTTCCTGACGGTCTTCCTAGAGCATCCTGGACGCCTCCGGTTTCTCGCTCAGTGACCCCGCTTTACAAAGATGGCGACGATCTCCAAGGCATAAATCTCGCTTGCTCGGCAAAGCAGTATAGTGAGACCACTCTTGAGCCTGATGTCATTGGCAAGCTTTTTACCGAATATGTCAAGTTCTACCATCCGATTTTGCCTGTTGTCGACGTATCGCAGGGCCCAGAAGCCCTGTACAATTTAAGCATTCCTCTATTCTGGAGCATCATGGCAGTGGCAAGCAGGAGATGCTTCGAGGGTGTTCTTTTGACAAAACTGTCCACCATCCAAAAAAGCTGCTTGGCCGAAGTAGCCGTTAGCCCTGTGATTCGCAATGGACCCTCTGGGTCCCGATTCAATTTGCCTAGCGTGTATGCTGTACAGGCGTTTTTGATATGTACATTGTGGCCTCTTCCTACATCATCTATCAATGCTGACTCGAGTTGGAATACCAGTGCTATCGCATACTCAACAGCAATGCGTGCTGGTCTACATTTCCCTGGCTATGAGCGTGATTTCAGTCGAATCAGTCGTTCCAGTGACGTGACAGCCAGCGCAAAGAAAAGCGAACAGTGTGCGACTTGGCTCGCTACAACTGCTGTTGCTCAGCTGGTTGCTGGAATGTTTGGGTTCCCATCGATTGTGACTTTTAACAAAGTCCAGGACTACAAAGCGTTTGACGTGCCACCAGCCATTGTGCAGTTGTATTCTATCGAGTCGTTGGCAAGAGAAATTCAAGAATCACTGAGCACTTATGGAAAAAGCTTGCTGTCTGATGCGCTTGGGCAGCGAATGAGTTTATCGCGGCTCTTGTCAAGCCGTTTAGATGAGCTCGAGGCCCAGCTTGAAGGAGAGCTTAACGACATGACATTGTTCAACCTCTTGGCAGTCAGAGTTGGACTTTATTCTTACTATTTTTTCAGAAGTAAAGACGTTGAGCCAAGAGAAACGCAAAAGGGGTTTTTGGCCGCCTATAACGCGAGCCTGTGTTTGATGGATCATGTGGTGAAAGCCTCGCAACGCAACGAGAACTTTATGCTTTATATGCCCCAAGTGTATGTCCAAATACTTTGGCAAGCATCCGTTATTGTTGCTCGTCTTTATTACTCAGGCTGGTCCTCGCTATTTGACAAAAGACGAGGAAAGGAGCTATACTTCACCGTAGCAGACCTCCTCGGTCGTGCATCAGTGCTCGAGCACGATGTAGCTTTCCGGGCCGCAGAAATCATGACCCAGATGTGGCAGGTATTCAGTGTTATGGCCGCTGATAAGAAGCCTGCAGTCATTGATGCCAAAGTGACCATTGGCACCCGAGGATCCGCCAGTGTATTTTTCGATTGCTTATGGACAATGCGATCCGAATGTGAGATTTTGTCCCAGGCTCCCACCGAACTTGTTCATCGAAAGAGCGTTTCGGGTGATATCCATGCCCTAGACAAGATCTCGCAACATGCTACTTCGGCCATTCGGCAGCAGCCATTGCGCAACCGCAAGACTACCTTCCGGCAGCCCAACCCCAGCTTCAGCCCTCAGCAAGCTCCAGCCACGTCGCCCCATGGCACATTGCTCGCCTCGACAATGAACCACGCAGTCTCTGAATGGAAAACCCCGCCAGAGTACTCGACAACTGACTCGACAACCAGAACTCCGGAGCTCGACTGGGACACCCGTGAGGTTTGGAAAGACGTCGACTACATGATGGACGACTTTGGATTCCAGATGGACGACTTCATGCGGCTGCCAGGACATTAGCTAAGAATAGCTAGTATTTATTCCCCCGTCACAGACAAAAAATTTTAAATAAAAAATTCACAACTTAAAATCCAGTAATAAATAATTGCAGCGCACAGAACCGAACCCGTACCCTTTGTAAGTGAATTTTCTGGGGAACTATAAATGACTCAATATGACGTAAGCAAAGACAGCCCTTTCCAGTTTTTTCACCATGGAAGAAGAACAGCCCAGTGTCGTAATTAACGGCAATCTCGAGGATATCGAGCCCGAGTACGAGTACGACGATTCCGATGCTGAAGACAAGGAAGTTGCCGATCTAACCGAAAAGAAAACCGTCACATTTTCTGCCGACCTGGGTGACGGGATGACCGCAGAAGAGCGCCGCCAAAAAGAATTTGAGGAGGGCGGCGGTCTGCCTGAGCAGCCTGACAACCCCGATTTCAGCAAGCTGAATCCTCTCAGCCCGGAGATCATCCAGCGTCAGGCCACAATCAACATTGGTACCATTGGCCATGTTGCTCACGGTAAGTCGACGGTTGTGAAGGCGATTTCCGGCGTCCAGACCGTTCGTTTCAAGAACGAGCTGGAGCGTAATATTACCATTCGTTTGGGTTATGCCAATGCCAAGATCTACAAGTGTGTCGACGACTCGGTCGAGCGGCCGGCTTGCTACAAATCGTTCGGGTCGGGCAAGGAGATCCGCCCTGTTGTTGACGGCAAGGCTTATGAGCTGGTGCGCCACGTTTCGTTTGTCGACTGTCCCGGTCACGATATTCTCATGAGTACTATGCTTTCGGGTGCTGCGGTCATGGATGCTGCCCTGTTGCTTATCGCAGGCAATGAGCCGTGCCCCCAGCCCCAAACCTCTGAGCACTTGGCTGCTATTGAGATTATGGCTCTTTCCCACGTTATTATTTTGCAAAACAAGGTCGATCTTATGAAGGAGGATGCAGCAGCCGAGCACGAGACGTCCATTATCAAATTCATCAAGGGCACGACCGCGGACGGTGCTCCCATTGTGCCTATTTCTGCCCAGCTCAAAATCAACATCGACGCGGTCAACGAGTTTATTGTTGAAAAGATCCCGGTTCCTTTAAGAGACTTTACTGCGGCCCCCAAGCTCATTGTTGTTCGTTCGTTCGATGTGAACAAGCCTGGTTCTGAAATCGACGATCTTAAAGGCGGTGTTGCCGGTGGCTCTATTGTTAATGGTGTTTTGCGTCTCGGCGACGAGATCGAGATTCGACCCGGTATCGTCCACCGCAACGACAACAAGGTCGAGTGCCACCCCATCCGCTCCCGCGTGCTCACATTGTTTGCCGACGACAACGATCTCAAATTCGCCGTGCCCGGTGGTTTGATTGGTGTCGGCTCCAAGATCGACCCCACCCTCTGCCGTGCCGATCGCCTGGTCGGCCATGTTCTAGGCTACGTGGGCAAGCTGCCGGAGGTTTATATTGAGCTCGAGTGCAACTACTTCTTGCTCCGCCGCTTGCTTGGTGTCAAGACCGAGGACAAGAAGCTCGCAAAGGTCCAGAAGCTCACAAAGGGCGAGGTTCTTATGGTCAACGTCGGATCAACCACTGCCGGCGCCCGCGTCACCTCCGTCAAGGCCGATATGGCCAAGCTTCTGCTCACCACCCCGGCCTGCGCCCTGGTCGGCGAGAAGATCGCTTTGTCCCGCCGTATCGAGAAGCATTGGCGTCTCATTGGTTGGGGTACCATCAAGGCCGGACAAACGCTGGACGTGGAGTAGTTCGGTACGTAAATTCGTTTTAGGTTTACACATACTTTTGCTTAGGCAAGGTTGCCTCGGCCATCATGACATTAACTGCATAGTACAGCTGCTGTTTTACGACGTACTGCTTGAGAGCCGGGGTGATTTCGCTGCTGTACTCTTTGGTGAATCGGGTGGCCAGGCTTTCCAGCATTTCTTCTTGCTGGTGGATTACAGACTCGAGAGACCGGAGAAGAATCTCGGGTCCGTTTCCTAGCTGAGCCAGAATGTTGGTTGTTTCGTCCGTGGATATGTTGAGGCCAATCGGGGCGTCGGCGCCAATGTACTGAAATGCTAGTTTGAACAAAGTTTGCAGCCCTCGTGAGGTGGTTTGGGGGTTCATTGATTGCAGCTCAGAAAAGTAGCGCTTGACATTATAAAAGTCCTCGAGGAACAAGAGCGGCTCAATGCTTTGTTGCTGGCAAACCCACTCTTTGAAGAGAATCAACAGTCCCGGCTCACCAAGCAGCACCTTCAGGGATGCGATTGTCTCAAAGTCTGCTTCGTGGATCCCCGAAAAATACAAGTCTAGAAGCTCAACGTACTTTTGGTCAAGCGTGCCCTTGGCTGGGCTCCTTTGAATCTTGAGATTGTTTGCTGTGATGTGGGTGACTTCCATCTCGTGGGTCCAGTTTGCAACGGAGCGCCCTAAACTGGTTATATCGTACAGTGTCAGTCTCGACACAATCAGAGGCAGTTTGTCTTCGAACCCAACCGACTCACAAACCTCTTCCCTGATTGGTCTGATGAGTTTGTTGACCAGAAACAGATGGACAATGGTCATTGCCTCTTTCATGCTTAAAACATCAGTGCAGTCCATAATCCACTGCCATAAAGCCTTTCCGGAAACAACATAGTCTCGAGTGTTCTTTTTTTTGCCCTGGAAAGTGAGATTCGAAAATAGCCGAACTCCAGAAGCTTCCCAATACTGGCTCAGAGCGTTTGAATTTGGATGATTGAAGTACTTTTTGAAATACGGCGAGTTCCCAGTGGGAGTTGGAATCTCAAACTTTCTCAAGCTTTTCGCATACCTGCCAGCAACATTATGGAACCCCATGCCCGTAACTTTGTCGGGGTGAATTTTGGCGTCAAATACACAAGGCTGCTCTCCCAGAACTTTTTTCCACAGCGTAAATACAAGTCCGGAAGAGACTTTGATATTGCCCTGGCTGTCCCTTGGTAAGACTACCAGATCCAATGTATTATAAAGCGACTGCAACAATTGGCAAACCGGCCCGGTCATCGTACCGTTTTTGGTACAGAAATTGTGTAATAAAGCCAGCCCCTTGGCGGTGGGACGAAGGGTGGAGTTTTGATGAAGGGGGCCAATGATTGTGGAAGGAAATAGCAAATGTAAAGAAACAAACTCTTTGAGAAACAAAAAGCTATGATGTTTTGAAATTTTGATCCTCGTGGTCTGCTCCACACAGCCAGTCGTTCGCTTGATAAAGCAGCTCTGCAGCACTTTCGTAGCTTGTGCGACTGTGAACGATAACCCAGCTTCGCCCAGGTTCTTTTCTGATAATTCACATAGCCCAATGAGTAGACATGAAAACGTCGCTTGAATTTTATCTCGAGAGTTCATAAGGATCAAGTGTACAGGGACGGATCAAGTGTGGAGGGGCGGGTGATATCTATAATTCCGCTGCATGACCATGCATATTTAGCTGCGGGAAACTGTGGTGACCATACCAAGCGACATTGAGAAAACAGCATGATGGATCCCAAAGCAACTCCATTGTTTTAAATTGCACTAAGAATACGTTTCTGCGCGAGTGCTTTGAATAATTCAGCATTCGAAACTATTACAAGCGCGTCCAGCTGAATAGCGGGTGGTTTGGGGGTAAAAACCCCCGCAGCTCCTGCAGCCCTGTTTCGGGACGTAACATTTTAAGATCCTCCTGGCCAGATTGTGCGGTTCCTGTGGGTACCAACAGTTCCAGCTGTTGGAGACGCTCCCACGCCAGCCGAATGGCTTTGGCTGACCAAACACGGTAACCAACTCCAGTAACCGACGAACGCTCGATGCTTAGGGCTTGAGCCATTGCATAGTATTCCGTTTGAGCGAGGACAAGGTTCACACTGTCAATTGAATAGCGAGTAGATGCTCGAGCAGAACAAAGCAAAAGGGCCCACTCTAGTTCTGATAAGCTGGGTAGTAAGGTATCAGTAGAAGAAGGCACATTGAGTTTAGAGATGACCGAATCAATAAACCATTCTGCACACAAGTCCTTGTGGTTTTTCCCTTGTAAATACGGCCCCACCCTTGTGCCAAAATAACGAAGATCTTTTGAGGTATAGTACACTTCAGAGACAACGTCTCCTAACCCATCCTGATCCATTAAGCGGGTGATCTTTGTATTCCATTCTTGTGCTCCATCTATTTGGACGCTTGGATCGACTTGCAGTAATGATGCACAGCGAGACACAAAGTCTTGACGGCTTTTGGGCTTGGGCAGATTGTACAGCCTTTGAGAGAATCGGGATCGCACACGTTTTTCAAGCAGCTCCGCAGCATTCATTCGACAACTCAACCCAACCACAGCAACGCCAATCACCGAGCTTTGAGACAGATCCAGTAAATTGTACAACAAGGTCTGTTTACCGGCTGACGTGAACTGGTCGATATCCTCTATAATAAACACCACGGACTTGTAATTTGTCTCTGAAAAGTTTGCTTGCTCAAAGAGCGTCAAAAAATTCTGCATGGTCACGGCCATTGAAGGCTTTTCGAGTTTATCAGCCTCTTGGTTATTGGTAGCCTCATCGATCTGTCGAGCTATCGCCCTGACAGCCTGCTTATCGTCAGCATGGATGGTTCCATTCAGCTTTATAGTCAAAAAATCGTCGCTATAATTGCTGTTCAGCTTTTCAAGTACCTTGGAAACCATTAATGTCTTACCAGCAGACCTTGGCCCCATAATCATACACGAATCACCACGTCTCAAGGTGATGGTGCTGGCCAGCATATCATACACCAGATCAAATATGGAGTCAATCCCGACCATCACCTCCGGCTGCCTTTTCCCGAATAGTTTATCCACAACATGATCCACAATCGGCTGGCCCATCTGCAGCCAATGATTTAGGTTAGTAACTTGGGGATTCGATCTCAGACGAACACAATATGCTTCCAAACAAGGTTTTAGAATTGCTACGGGAGAACCGGCTGGCGCATTTGGGTACGTGCAAAGACAATGTGCCCTCGGTTTCGTTGATGAACTTTGCCTTGATTGAGGCGGATCAGCGGTTTGGGTCCGCAGATGGGCCAGTGGTAGTTGTTGCCACACCAGAGAACACCCAGAAATACGTGAACATTCTCGCCAACCCTAAGGTATCCTTGCTATTCCACAATTCATTGAGGGACGAGCATCCCCGCAAGTCGCTCTCCGAGTACCTCCAGAGCCTCAATCACTGCGAACTCACCAAGCGCAGCGTGACTCTGCAGGGATATGCTCGGGTAGCTGAGGACGAGGAAGCCGAGTACTACCGGGACGTTTTGCTCACTCGTGAACCCGAGTCGAAACCTTTCGTTCAAGGTGCCAAGATTATTGTTATTGAGCTCGCTGGCGGTGCCACTCTTGCCGATGCCCTCAACCACGTCGAACAGTTTTAACCAGGCGGACGCGCACACATCTATGTGTTTTTTTCTATTAAATCATTTTCTATGTATTCTATTGATGCAGTTTTTGTAGTGTAGCCATTGTCTTTGACATGAGTGGCCGCACTTCGTTAAGCTCCATCAAGCTAAGTCCGTCCATTTGCATGTGCGACTCATTTACAAGGGTGATACCCTGACGGACTTTGGCTTGACGGATCTCACGGAGGTCCTGTAACAATTGTCGAATGTTGTCCAGATTTCCCGTGTAATCGTCAGATGCTCCTGCCAGCAGGGCGGCTGATTGAGGTTGCCAAAACCATGGCAAGGATGAGAACCCAGGCTCTACGCGTTCTTTTTCTACAAAGTCTTTGAGAACAGCCTCGTCCATCCAGTTTGGGAAAACGATCGAACAACGATCTTGCTTTTTCAGTAAAAGAGCGAGCCACAACGGCACGTCTGTTCGACGCATTGGGCGGAGAGCCGGCAGTTTCCAGCCCGCTAATTGCATTTCTTGAATATGCCGTCTTGGGATTATTGTGATCAGTTCATCTTCTGCTTGGAAACTGATTTCCTCTGCCGTAAACGCTTCCAAGTACGCGCCGGGCAGAGCCATTTAAATGCTGACCCACAGTGTATGACTGTTTTGGGACTAAGGCTATTCCGGCAGATGAAACCATCGTTAGCTTGTTTTCGACAAACAGAACAGACGGTTAGGAGGAAAACTCGGGATCTTGTTCTGGCAGTGCTGAGAGCTACTGCTACGAAACGTGAAGCTCGCCAGTACGTTCAAAAGTACTCGGGGGATGGTCCCAAAAGAGTTTCCATTGTCAGAGTAGGTGGAACTATCGACAGTAGGTTGGGCTGGACACTTGCCCAGATTAAGGCGCTAGGAGCTCACCCAGTGGTGGTTTTAGATCCATCTGTTGAGGCCGAGCGCTTCATCACAGGCACCAACTCTTTTGAGTCCTGTCAAGATGCATTAGCAGAGAGAGCCGGCGATCTTTGCAACTCAATTGCCTCATATATGGCCACTGCACGTCCTTTGCTTGCTCCGTTTGATTTGTCCATCAAACATGGCTTGACTACGCAGCTTCCTCGTCTATGTGGACCCTTGGATCTAGATATCATTCCCGTGGTTACCCCCATCACATTTGACCAGGAAATGGCGGAGTTTCGCTTGACAGAGGGCCACAAAGCTGTCAAATCTGTTGTGGAAGCATTCAAGTCCGCACAAAACTACGCGCTGGACAAGATCATTTTCATTGACGCCGTAGGCGGTTTGCCCTCAATGACCCGTATGGCATCCCACGTTCAAGTGAATATTCGGCAAGAGCTAGGTGACATTACCTCGGAAATTCGGGGCTCTAATTTGGATGCTAAAACTAAGCTGGCGCACTTGTCGAACCTGAATTCAATGAGCGTTCTTTTAGGCATGCTTCCTCCGTCTGTTACTGGAATTATCACCTCTCCAACATCAGCCGGAGAAGTAATGGACCGCAATCCCATTGTGTACAATATTCTGACCGATAGACCACTGATTTCATCTTCCCTGCCTTTCCAGCTGGGGCGAACGCAGCTAGAGACTACAGTTTTGAGACAGGGGACGCCTGTTTTTGTCCATGAAGATGCCGATGGATTAGATCTTGAAAAGCTCGCCAAAATCGGCCGAATCAACCTAGCCAAACTTGTGCGCCTGATTGAACTCTCTTTCCAAAAGACGCTTGATCTGGACCATTACCTCGGCCGCATCAAAAACAACGTGGCTGCTGTTATTGTCGTGGGTGACTACGAGGGTGCTGCCATTATCACATGGGAAAAATCGCCCATCACTGGACGCAAAGTAGCCTACCTCGACAAGCTGGCGGTGCTCCCGTCATCACAGGGCGCTGCTGGCGTGGCCGATATCATTCTAAACCGCATGATCAGGTCCCTGTTCCCGGAGGAAGTCATCTGGCGTTCGCGTGCCAACAACCCAGTCAACAAGTGGTACTTTGAACGCTCGCGTGGATTCCTCCGCTTGCAGAACCCCCATTGGGTCATGTTCTGGCATTGCACCACGTCCAGGCCTCCTATCCTGGAATACGCAGCAATCTGCGGTGCAATTGAGCCGTCGCTTAGATCCGAATAGATATTTATTCCAAAATGCAACCTTTTGTATCCGAGCCATAGCTCATGCACAGTAATTATGCTGTGTAACTTGACGTAATTAGGCTGCACATCTCCAACCTGCTACTGCGAAAACACGAAAAAACACGGTTAAATACGGCACGTAACACTATCAGCACCCCATAGTTATCTGTAGCACGGCCCGGGAACCCCACCGACGCGTCGCCATTTTCATGCAAGGAGATTACCTGGTCCTGCACCAAGCAAACCATCCCTCCTTCCGCTCATTCTTTCCCACGACCATGACAGGCGCCGCAACAAACAAGGTGTCCGACAAAGAAAACACGAACCCGGCGTCGCCAGCCAAGACAGTACCGTCTCCGTCGCGAAAGAAGACCCCGCTGGCCGACTGCACGGACCAACAGCCCGGCTACGCGACAATCAACGGAAATACCACCGAATTGCCCCACCACAGACCGCTACAACGTCCCCGAAGAGCGTTCGACCAGGCCATGGCCGGCGTGCACAAAACAGTGCCCTACGTGAGCCCGTCCAAGCGTCGATCGTCCCCCGACAAGCGACTGGCCGCAGCCTACAAAAAAATCACACACCATCTGGACTTTAATATTCACGAAGACAGCCAGAGCAGCAGCAACAGCACAATCTGAGCCTCTGAGCCCTCTCCTCTTATCCACCTATATATATTTATATGCTCGCTTGTAATTTCACTGACTAACTCGATGTCTAGCGATTTTCTGCAAAAAGGCATTGCCCAGGTACAATTAGCGGTCGAGGCCGATAATGCCGGGCGTTACGCAGAAGCATACAAGCTGTATTTCACAGGTCTTGATTATTTTATTACTGCGGTCAAGTGTAAGTGTAATTTGGCGCCGCCTCCCCCTCAAGAGCCTCAAACTAACCCCCAGATGAAAAGAACCAGAAGACAAAAGACCTCATCAACCAAAAAGCTGCAGAGTACATGACCAGAGCAGAGCAGCTGAAAGAACACTTGGACAAGCTGTCCAAACAGAGCGGCCCCTCTGAGCAATCATCGGGGGGCGGCAACACCAAGGCGAAAAAGCCTGGCGCACCGGACGAAGAGAACGAAACAAAGAAACTTAGAGGAGCAATTCAGGGAGCAATTGTGAGCGAAAAACCAAACGTGCACTGGGACGACATCGCCGGGTTGGATGGTGCAAAAGAGGCCCTCAAGGAGGCAGTCATTTTACCAGTCAAGTTCCCACATCTATTCACAGGCAATCGCAAGCCAGTCACTGGCATTTTATTATATGGACCTCCCGGTACGGGCAAGTCCTACTTGGCGAAAGCCGTGGCCACAGAAGCAAATTCCACGTTTTTTTCCGTATCATCTTCTGACCTGGTTTCCAAATGGATGGGTGAATCAGAGCGCTTGGTAAAGCAATTATTTACAATGGCTCGTGAAAGTAAACCGTCGATCATTTTCATTGACGAAGTCGATGCTTTGTGCGGCCCCCGTGACGAAGGTGGCTCTGAAGCCAGCCGGCGCATCATCACTGAACTGCTGGTCCAAATGAACGGTGTCGGACAAGATCAGGACGGAGTTCTGGTGCTCGGCGCTACCAATATCCCCTGGCAGCTTGATGCGGCTGTAAGACGGCGCTTCGAACGTCGCATCTACATCCCCCTCCCCGATGCTGCCGCCAGAGCCAGAATGTTCGAAATCAACGTTGGCGATACACCTTGTGGTCTGTCTGCTAGCGATTTCCGTGATCTTGCTGAAATGTGCCAGGGCTACAGTGGTCACGACGTGGCGGTGGTTGTTAGAGATGCCCTCATGCAGCCAGTTCGCAAAGTGCAAGCAGCCACTCATTTCAAAGAAACACCAGAGTCAACGCCAACCGACAGAAAGCTTGTTCCGTGTTCTCCAGGGGATCCAGGAGCCATGGAAATGGGTTGGATGGATGTTGATTCTCATGAGCTTGTTCTGCCCGAGCTCACAATCAAAGACTTTATCAAAAGTATCGGTAATACGCGCCCCACTGTTAATGACAACGACCTCGTCAAACAAATCAAATTCACAGACGATTTCGGACAAGAAGGCGCTTGATTACTATAGATTTACCGCAGTGTACTTGAAAATGATAATTTACTCAACGACGCCCTTATTGACAACAAACGCATCAAGGACGGCAATAGCAGAGTACAACCGGTTCTCGGCCTCCTCGAAGACGACTGAGCGGTCGGAATAGAAGACCTCGTCGTCAACCTCCTCTTTGTGGCGGGGCAGACAGTGCATGAACTTCCAATTGGCAGCGGCACCGCCCTTGGCGGCCATATCCATAGTGACCTGGTAGCCAGCAAACTCCTTGAGCTTCTGCTGTGTCTCTTCTTCCTGACCCATCGAAATCCAAGTATCGGTGACAATCACATTGGCGTCTTTAACTGCCTCAAGAGGATCAGAAGTGTAGTGGGCAGATGCTCCGCTCTCAGCATTGTTGGCAATCAATTTCTTGATCTCATCACTAACTGGCCGGCCACTGGGAGTAGCAATGCTAATATCCATGCCCAATTTGACGCTAGCAAGAGCAAAATCGTGAAGGACGTTGTTGGCATCGCCAACCCATGCAACCTTTAGACCGGAAAATGCTCCGAACGCCTCCTGAATGGCGATCATATCAGCAACAGCCTGCATGGGGTGGAACTTTTCGCATAGCGCATTAATCACAGGAACCCGAGAGTCCTTAGCCAAAGCCTGGATGTCAGAATGCGGGCCCACGCGAGCAACGATAGCAGACGTCATAGACGACACCACGCGAGTTGTATCGTAAAGAGACTCATTAACGCCAAGCTGGATATCATCCTTACCAAGGAACATAGGCTGTCCACCAAGATATGCAACAGCACCCTCGGTAGAAATACGAGTACGAGTGCTTCGTTTTGAAAAAATCAAAGACACGGTTTGGCCCTGGAGAGGGGCGGGGTTTTTGTAGTTTCCCGAGCGAATTGCTTTTTTGATCTTGATACCGTTTGCGACAAGAGTTTTGAGCTCAGTGGCAGTCAAATCCGCAATAGAAATAAACGAACGAGCCATTTGAAAGATTATGTGGGGTGTGTAGATAGATCGGCTATCGATGAGTCAATGTACATTAAAAATATGAAAATTGTGGATAGTAAAAGTACAATGACGTCATCGTAGCTGGAGGTACCTGGGCTTCAATGACATTTTTGAAATAGGTTGTTTTTGAATAGATCAACTTGGATATTAAAAATGTAGTAAATGTAGTTTAAAACCAAGAGCAAGGGCACCATCTGCCGAGACACCAACATCCCCAGCAACGCTTTTTGCCACAGCTGCCACAGCCACAGCCATTGCAACCGCTGCAACCACTGCAACAATCATCACAATCGTCGTCACAATCGTCGTCGCAATCGTCGTCGCAATCGTCGTCGCAATCGTCGTCGCAGCAGTCATCGTCGCAGTCATCGTCGCAGTCATCGTCGCAGTCATCATCACAATCGTCACAGCAGTCGTCGTCGCAACCGTCGTCACAGCAGTCATCGTCGCAGTCATCGTCACAAGGGTCACAAGGGTCACAAGGATCGCAAGGATCACAAGGATCAGGGTCGCAAGGATCAGGGACACAAGGGGCAGGGTCGCAAGGATCAGTAACACAAGGCTCAGGGTCGCAAGGATCAGGAACACAGGGCTCAGGATCACATGGATCAGGGACACAAGGAGCAGGATCGCAAGAATTGCAGGAACCACAGGAACAGCCCGAGCTGCAAGGGTCACAGTCAGAATCACAAGAGTCATCGGAATCGCAAGGATCATCGCATGGTCGGCAAATGTCACAGAAGTCACATCCCCAGCGCCAACCGCAATGACACCTTCTCTTTGATCCCCAGAATCTGCGGACCGCATGATTATAGGCCTCGTTTTCTAACTCCATGTCATCTTGCGTAGGACGAAGGGCTTTCTTTTGCTGCTTGGATAGTTTAAAGATATTGTCGGCGCGCGGCTCAGCAATATTCTGCTGGGGTCCTCGTGTTGGATGGGGAGCATCCGTAAGTTGATACCCACTATCCGGTGGTCCGTTCAAAGTTGGATCTTTTCCAATAACGGCATCATGGTAGCCGTCACTATAGCCGAACTCGTAGGCTGCGTTACTGCCGTCTTGAGTACCGTAGTCGTAGCCAGCAGTGACTCCATCAGAAAATCCAACATTATAGCCATCACTGTAACCACTGAGATAACCCTCGGAATACCAACCGTATACATCAGAAGGATTGGTAGGAGCAGTCACCTCTGGTGGTAAAATCCCTGGCCAATTATCGTCAGATCCGTCCATAGGAGGGTCTCCATTGTACCCAGGTGGTAGAATAGTAGCTGTAGCTAAAGATGTTCTACCGAAACCAGGATCCAAGTTTGGTGGCATAATGCCCGGCCAGTAATCATCGGGTCCGTCAAGAGGAGGGTCTCCATTGTATCCAGGCGGCAAAAGGGTAGCTGTAGCCAGAGGTGTCCTGCCAAAGCCAGGATCCAAGTTAGGTGGCAGAATACCTGGCCAGTAATCATCAGGTCCGTCAAGAGGAGGGTCTCCATTGTATCCGGGTGGGAAAAAAGTAGCTGTAGCTAAAGGTGTTCTGTCAAAACCAGGATCAAAACCACCAGGCCAGAAATCACCAGATCCATCGCTAGGAAGATCTCCATTATAACCAGGCGGCAAATAGGTAGGTGTAACTAGAGGTGTTCTGTCAAATCCAGGATCAAAGTTTGGTGGCAAGATTCCGGGCCAAAAATCACCAGATCCATCGCTAGGAGGAACACCATTGTAACCAGGAGGGAACATGGTAGCTGAAGCTAAAGGTGTTCTGTCGAATCCAGGGTCAAATGGTGGGTAGTCGTCATCGGGACCCTGAGGGTTCCAATCAGGCCAGCCTGGTGGCCAGAAGCCTGGGTCAGTACTAGTTGGCTGGGGATATTGAGCCGACATCGTTCTCCACCATGCGGGTGGCACGTTGAATCCAGGATCAAAATCAGACGGGAATGGCAGTTCAGATGGCTTGGCTGAACGAGTCGCCAGCCAGGTGACATCCCACTGATTGTCGTCTGTGTTATCGCCGATATCATTCTCGTCTTTAGGCTTTGTACGAATATTGATCTCGAACTCATCATTATCAGTATCGCCCCAGATAAGATTGAGAGACTTCATGTGAGGATATGACTGGCCGGGCATGCCGGGTTCCAATTGGGGGACGGCGGTGGCAGGTACAGTGAGATAACTAGCAGATCGAGTAACAGTTTTGGTTTGACGTACAACAGTTGTTGTAGATGCACCCACAGCCTTGGTCTTTGTAACAAAGTTTGTTATAGTCGTAGGGAACCACCATGTTTCTGTTCTTGTTGCCAAGGGCTTGATTGTTTCAGTAACAGTCTGCACTGGCATTCCTGCTCTGGCTTCGCTCTGAGTAACTACCACGGTCGTGGTTTTGGTATCATAAAAAGTGCCGGGGTAAAACCGAGTTGCTGTGACGGTAGATACAGGATCAAAGTCAGGAAAGCTTCTGGTATCAATGTAAGGAGGGAAGTAGTCAGTTGCCCAAGAAGTTAAAGCGTCAGATGGAGGGTTGAGCGGCGTGGGGAGAATAGTCGTGCGCTTTTTAGTGTAACTCATGTAAGGAATAGTCTCAAAGACAAATGTCGTATAGGCAGGCATCGTGATGATAGGCTCTGAAGTTGCAGTGACTGTGACAACCTGTGTCTGGGTCCGATCGTCTGGGAAATCAGTGCCAAACTGATCCCAAAAGTCAGAGCTACTAGGAGCATTATCATCTCCAAAACCAGGAAACAGTTGAGCTGATGCTACTGCAAAGGCCACAAATGTGAGAGCTAAATTCATGGCTTTGACGATCTAGAGGGGAGAGTTGGCAAAGCTATATATGTGCGGACTGTGCTCGAAATAGTAGCTTCCAGATCTGGAGATCTAATTAATCTGATGATTCGGGCATACATGTACATATCTAAGAATCCGGATTGCCTTAATAGTCTCTCGGGCGAGATTGAGTTTGACTCTGGATCTCAAAATGCTCTAATCGCAACCAGGGCAGGCTATCGAAAAAAAAACTTATTAGAAATACGACATAGTGGTACATGCACTGTCTCACGAGATCTGGACTGAAACTATACAGTGTTAAAAGTGTTTAGCCAGATCCGGTAAAAACGTCAAAAAGGGAAAATGACAAGTGCAACTACACCGATTAGAACAATCTGTGGTTTACCTAACCTGCTCACCTTTGTGATCGCATGGATCCGAAGCTAACCGCGCAATTTATCCCCGAATATTTTCAATTCTCATTTTTACCTTCTCTCGTTAACCACCCGTAGACGCACGTGAAACTATGTCATTTCGTAACCCGACCCTAACCCGTAACCTCGTGGGTGAAAAAAAAAGTAAACCATACGTGTACCCCCGTTTAGGTTTCCTTTCCCTCATAACCTTTCCGATGTCTAACACCTTTTTGTTCACTTCCGAGTCCGTTGGTGAGGGTCATCCCGATAAGATCTGTGATCAGGTTTCTGACGCTATTTTGGATGCCTGCCTTTCTGAGGACCCTCTGTCCAAGGTCGCTTGTGAGTCTGCCTCCAAGACCGGTATGATTATGGTGTTTGGCGAGATTACCACCTCGGCCAAGCTTGACTACCAGAAGATTATCCGTGACACTATCAAGAAGATCGGTTACGACCACTCCGATAAGGGCTTTGACTTCAAGACCTGTAACGTTCTTGTCGCCATTGAGCAGCAGTCTCCTGATATCGCCCAGGGTCTCCACTACGAGAAAGCTCTTGAGGAGCTCGGTGCCGGTGACCAGGGCATTATGTTCGGCTATGCCACTGACGAGACTGAGGAGCTTTTGCCCTTGACCGTTTTGTTGGCCCACAAACTCAACAAGGCCATGGCCGATGCCCGTCGCGACGGCTCTCTTGATTGGCTGCGTCCTGACACCAAGACCCAGGTCACTGTTGAGTACAAGAACGAGAACGGTGCGACCATTCCCTTGCGTGTCGACACTGTTGTTGTTTCTGCTCAGCACTCTGACGATATCTCCACTGAGGACCTCCGCGAGGCCATCAAGGAGAAGATCATCAAGAAGGTCATTCCCGCCAAGCTGCTTGACGACAAGACCGTTTACCACATCCAGCCGTCCGGCCGTTTCGTCATTGGCGGTCCCCAGGGTGACGCCGGTCTCACTGGCCGCAAAATTATTGTCGATACCTACGGTGGATGGGGTGCCCACGGTGGTGGTGCCTTCTCCGGCAAGGACTTCTCCAAGGTCGACCGCTCTGCTGCCTACGCTGCGCGTTGGGTCGCCAAGTCGCTGGTCGCTGCCGGCCTGGCCCGCCGCGCCCTTGTTCAGTTCTCCTACGCCATTGGTGTCGCTGAGCCACTCTCTATCTTCGTTGATACTTACGGCACTTCCAAGTACTCGGAGGAGGAGCTTGTTAACATTATCCGCACCAACTTCGATCTCCGTCCCGGTGTGATTGTCAAGGAGCTCGATTTGGCCCGCCCCATCTATCTCCAGACTGCCGCCTACGGTCACTTCACCAACCAGGAGAACTCCTGGGAGAAGCCTCGCAAGCTCCAGCTTTAATTTCGCGAGCTTGCTCCCTTCTAGTCTGGCGTAGATCGCTTCGGACACATGGGTCGATCAACTCGACTTAATGCATAAAGTTATTTTATTGGTCTTTCAACCGACCTCTTTTTAGATACGTTTAAAAAAATTTTAAAAATCGACCTTTGTCATAATGCCATACTATAGAACGGTTACTGCCAATGCCAAAGGGCGTTGGATTGGCAAGCCGCTGGAGTATGTGGCTAAAGAGGTGGGTGCCCTCAAGATATCGGGGCCGCACGACATCGTCCGCAACCACGATATAATAAACTATGAGATCCATGTGCACGAGGCTTACGTTCCGGATCAGCCGCTGCAGGTCCTCTATAGCGATGATCAATTGGTGGTGGTGGACAAACCCAGTGGAATGCCTACACACCCCACAGTCAACTATTTTACAAAGACTGCTACAGAGCTTTTACGGCCCGAGTATGGGCCGGTAGTGCCCTGTTATCGACTTGATAGACTAACCACGGGAGTGCTGGTTTTGTTTCGCACCGGCGAGATAGCCGCAGATTTGCTGAAAACACCTCGGCGGAAAACGTATTTGGCCAGAGTTTACGGAGACTTTAGTGGCGGAGAGTGCGACGCACCAATTGTCACCTTCAACGCCAAACGGGGGTTTCAAGCTTTCCTGCAGGCTTTAAAGTCTGCCAAGCCGGCACATACCAGGTTTCAAGCACTTTACAAAGACAGCAGCTATACAATTGTCAAATGCGAGCTTGAAACAGGACGAACACATCAAATTCGAAAACACCTTAGCCTTTTGGGCCATCCGATTGTTAACGACGATCTATACAAAGACGGGTTGTTCAAAGAGCTTATGGCCGATCCTGTGCAGTCAAATTTCGATAGAGTTGTACAGGCATCAGAACTGAGGCGCAGGGAGAAGGATACAGGTGAGACCTGTCCAGAGTGCGGTGCAACTATTTATAAAGATGTCGATGAAGCGATTGACCTCCATTGTTACGAATACCAGATTCAGCAGCACACTTTCAAATGTCTTCCTTACTGGATTCCCAAGTCTCTCGAGGCCATTCTTTGAGCGGGCTATAATGACGGGCCAATAATTGGCGATTGACATCCGCCAGTTTGACCTGGGAAGCTTGGTGGTCTACCCATGAAAAATTCCCCTGCATAGTCAAAGAACCCAAGTATTTTTTGAGAGAGCGTTCCAACTGCGCTTCATCTTCTGGAACCTGGTCCATTAATATAAGGTACAGGCCATCACAGGGCTTTGCGGTCTTTGTCCAGGCATTCCAAAACGCCCGCTTGAAAATACGCTTTGTTCGACCTCTCCAGACGGCATAATTGAAAGGATTACGACTCTTTTCACCCTTGCTTTTGCATTCTGGCGCTTGTTTCCCATTAAACTCTTTTCCCTGTGTAAAACATAGCACCACACCGGGTCTTGATCTTCGCGCCAATGCAACGTGGTGCCAGGGTGGGTAGTAATAAATAGCGTGTGTTTTATCAACGAAATAAGGCGGGCCCTTTTTCAGCCATCGCTTTGCGAACAGCGTGCTAAGAACCGTGGTTTGCACCCCCTTGAGTTCGGACGGCGACTGTGCATACGACGATTTAGGACTCACATACGGGGTTGGAGTTTTGAGTGTGTCATTAGGCCGTGTATAAATATTTGCGTCGTCGAAAAGGGTCTCTAATATTGGTACAGGAACTGCCTCTGCGCCATCCATGAGCGCTGCACCGGCCGACAGCTGTTTTTGGGCTTCCTTGGAACCTATGAGGTCCTGCTTTCCTGGCCGCTTGGCACGTGAAGCCTTAGGCTTTTTCCGTAAGAAAGAAATGTTACGGATATGCCCAAATAGCCTCGTTCTTGGTATTTGCAACATTTACATGCAAACCAAATCAAGATATAGCTGGGCTGACCTAATTTTTTTTTCTGCTATCTTTTTTTTTCAACCACTAAGACCATGGATCAGTTTGCCAGTGAGTTAGAGCAAACTCTCGGCCAGGTCCTGAACCCGTCCAACCCCGGAGCCATACGGCAGACCACCGAAACCTTGCGCACTGGCTTCTACAAGGCCCCAGAGTCTGTTCCGACCCTGATTCACATTCTTCAAAGTCACCCAGAGCCACAGATGCGCCAGCTTGCTGGTGTTGAGGTGCGTAAATTGATCCCGCGTCACTGGGAGGGTCTTTCGAATGCACCGGAGCTGCGTCAATCGCTTTTGACATCGACCACAGCCGAGCAGAACGACTTGGTTCGTCACACCTCTTCGCGCGTCATTTCCATGATTGCCTCTGTTGATATGGAGCGAAATGCTTGGCCAGAGCTGCTACCGACTTTGGTCCAGACTGCTCAGGCTTCTAAGAGCACTGACCGTGAAGTTGCCGTCTACATCTTGTTCACTCTTTTCGAACAAGGCTCGATTGATGAGGAGACTCACTTGGCCCAGCTCATGCAGCTGCTGGCTACCACAATTTCTGATCCTGAGTCTTTACAGGTCCGTGTCTCTTCGGTTCTTGCTCTAGGCAAGATCGCTGAGTTGACCAGCAACCGTGACGTTGTGTCTCAGTTTGAGCAGGTCATCCCTCCTATGGTTGATGTTTTACGTGCCACTGTTGCCAGTGGCGATGAGAAGGGGGCGTCTCAGGTCTTTGAGGTTTTCACAGACCTTGTGCTCGATGACCCGGCGCTTTTGGGCAACTCCTTTGCCGACTTGTTACAGCTCATGGTCAGCGAGTTCGCCGTCCCCGAGTCGGTTGATATTGAACACCGCAACGCAGCCTTGCAGGTTGTTTATAATATGGTTAGGTTCCGCCACAAAAAAATTATGGCTCTCAAATACGGACCCACTATCACCAAGGCTTGTCTTCACATTCTGTCTAATGCCGACGATGATGAAGACGACGACGAAGATGACGACGATATTGCTCCTTCACACTTGAGTTTGCGTATTCTAGAACTGCTGGCTTCTGATTTGCCTCCTGCTCAGGTTCTCGCTCCTCTTTTCGAGGTCCTGCCCCAGCTGTTCTCTTCTGGCGATCCTAAACAAGCCCGTGCCGGCTTTTTGGCTCTCAGCGTTATGGTTGAAGGTGCTCCTGACTTTGTTTCAGGGGAATTCGACACTATTATGAACTACGTTGTAGGAGGCCTGCAGTCCAACACTTCTGCTGTTCAGGTCGCTGCTTTGCAGGCTCTTGGCATGCTTTCTCTCGAACTTTCCGACCAGGTCGGTGCTTTGCACGAGACTCTTTTGCCTCTTGTCTTTGGCATTATGGACGGTGCTACTTCTCTCAAGATCGGTCGTGCTGCCTGTATCGCACTTGATGCTATCATCGAGGTCATTGATGGCGAGGTTATTACCGAGAAGTATTTGAGTGCTTTGGCCCCTAAGTTGCTGGACCTCATTGACAACACTAATGATACCGATCTCAAGAGCCGCGTCGTTGGTGCTTTGAGTTCTGCCGCCTTCACTTCTGGCCGTAATTTCTTGCCGTACTTTGAGCGCACCATCCACACTATTTCCAAATTCATCGTTGTTCCAAAGCCCGGTGAGCAGCTTGATGCTGATGTCCTGAAGCTTTGCGGCACCACTTTGGATGCTCTTGGAACCATGTGTGCTGCTGTTGGCAAACAAAACTTTGCTCCTTACCTGAACTCGGCAATGGATGCCGTTGGAGTTTACCTATCCAGCGATATTAGCGAGCTCCGTGATCCTTCGTTCGTTTTCATCAGCGTTGTTGTTAAGGTTTATCGTGGCGAGGTATCTCGTTATATGGATGGTGTCCTTAAGGCTATTTTCGACACATTCGATCAGCTCGAGTTCGAGGAGACTGATGGCGACGATATGGCCATTGGTGCTGAGGACGCGGAGGATGCTTTGGACAACTTCAAGATTAATGGCGCCGTTGCCATGGAGAAGGAGCTGGCATGTGACTGCTTGGCCGAGATTGCCCACAACATGCCCCCTGCAGATTTCGCCCCGCATGTTCCTCGCACCCTCGACGCTCTTGAGGAGTTGTCTGAGCACTTTTACGAGGAGATCCGCCGCAGCACCTTGCTGGCAATGTGGCGCATGTTTATTGCATACTATGTTGGTGATAATGGCTCCAAGACTTGGAGCCCTGGTTACCCCTTCCAAGGCCAGCTTACTCCGGTCACTGGCACTATTCTGAAGCGTATCCAGAAGATCACCAACCTTATGTTTGGTGTTGAGGATGAGTGCAAGGTCATGCTTACTGCTTTCCAGTGCTTGACCGATGCTATCCGCACATGTGGCCCTGTTGTTTTGGGCGACCAAGAGAACCTTGAAGTTTTGATGACTGCTGTATATGAAGTTCTCGGCAAAACGCACCAATGCTTACAGGATGGCTTTGATGAGGAAGGTGGCGAGCACGCTGATGGTCCCGAAGAGCTCACCGAGCTTGAGGAGGCTGTTGCTGAGACTGCTATGGATGTAACTGTCCAGGTCGCCTCGGCCATGGGACCCCAGTTCATCCCTATCTTCCCCAGCGTTGCCTCTATTCTTGCCAAGTACATTACGTCCAAGAGTGCTTCTGAGCGTGCATTGGGTATCGGCACCATGGCCGAGCTTGTTGAGGTTCTTAAGGACAACGTCACTGAGTACACCGGTCAGCTCCTCGAGGTGTTTGTTGCTGGTCTTGACGACAAAAAGCTTGCTGTTCGCAGTGTCGGTGCATTTGGTGTAGGCATGCTTTGCTTCCATTCTGGACAGACCGATTTGACCAAGTCAAGCTACCCCACCATTTTGCCTAAACTTCAGGGTCTTCTCAAGAAAGTTGACAAGGAGGAGAAACGTCGCGAGAAGTCTGCTGGCGGCGAGGAGGAGACCTACAACGACCAGCGCTCGCTTGCCAACGCTTGCGGTTGCGTTGCCCGCATGGTTCTCAAGCACCCTGACGCAGTTCCTCTTGACCAGGTCGTTTCTGTGCTTCTTGAGCGTCTTCCTCTCAAGGATGCGTTCGAGGAGAACTCTCCTATCTTTAACCTTATTCTGCAGCTTGCCCAGCAGCAGCACCCTGTTGTTGCCAGCCACATCCAGGATATTCTGCGTTTGCTCGTAGCGTCCTTCACTGAGCAACAGGTCGTGGACCAGCGTTTGGCCGGCCGCTCTGTGGGCAACGGTTCGGACGTCGGGCCTCTCTCTGATCCGGCTACTCGCGCCAATGCCATTGAGTTGGCCAAGTTCTTGGAACAGACCCAGCCTGGCGTCGCTTCATCTCACCAGGTTCTTGCAGCTGTTCTTCACTAGAAGCATGATACATATGATATATTCCATATTAAACTGCTAATATACTTTACTGAAAATTTCTCGTCATTTGGTAATCTTTTTTGGACGGACCGAACTTTTCGTTGGTAGTCCATGCCGCCTGATTTACCAGGGTTTTACTGGGATGCGGAAAAGGGCAGGTACTTTAAAGTGGTGGCGAATGGTAAAACTACTGTGAACCAACAAACCAATGAATTGACGCCGATGGAAAACTATACGCGATCGTCTTTAAACTTGAAGAAACGATTGTCAGATCGTGTTGCCAAGAACCCTGTTCCAACGTCTGCGTTGCCGCAAAATATTTCTATGAACAAACTTTCCGATACTTCAATCGCCAGCATCAAAGCACAGCGTATTTTTGGCACCCCGCGAGCGATTAAACCGTTGTACACTGATGATGCCATATCGAACTGCGTGCATTACGATAAGCAGGATCAATTGATATACGGTGGCTCATCTAGTGGGAAGTTTGTTTGTTTGAACCCGGGAGGATTCGAACTTAACCCTGGACCGGGCCTCGAGCAGGCTATCACGAGCATCAGCAGCAACCGAACGTTTGTCTCGTTTACCCAGAACTCCGATCAGGGCTCGAGCTATGTGTTTATTTATTCAAAACCGACAGGTCAATTCGTGTCCTGCCAACTACCCAAAGACCGTTTTGTAAATGCGTCCCAATGGCACAACAAAACGCTTTTGGTGGGAGGTCTAGGCGGAGTCCACGAGTTTGATCCAGAAACCCAGAAGTTTAGCAGAGTGCAAAAGTTTGAGGCGAATTCAGCCTCAGCACTGGACTCTGATGGGGAATTTTTTGCGGCCGGTTACCGCAACGGAACTGTCAAGGTTTACAAGGGAAATGAAGGAATCATTATTGACCATAATGCGAGCGTGACGAACTTGAAACTGGTTGAAGGCAGCAGGGCACTAGTTACCGGCTTTGACGATAGAATGTGCCTGTATGATCTTCGCAAACCGTCAATTCCCATCGTGGTGTACAAAAGCTATCATAATTACAGCACTCCCCACGTCGGCCTCGCCCTGAGTCCAGAAGGCACAATGGCGGCAGCGGCCGTTGACGATGGCTCGTTGTTGATCTACAACCTGCTCAAGCGCTCTCCGGTCTACTGTCCATTAAAAGAAAACAAAGTTAATAAAGCTATACGCGGAGTGGAGTGGGTGGACACCGGGGAAATTCTTATCAACGATGGCCACACCCTCAGCATGGCCGGCTGGGGTCCGTCGACCCGGGCACTGCAGCCAGCGGGCCCCTCCGAGCTGCCAGGAGCAGTTCGAGCATTTTGGGAACAGATTCTGTAGCCAACCTATATAGAGCTCAGAGAGCAGAAAATAAAACCATTTTTCAAAGAGTTAAGTACTGCATCTATTTTAGTGCTCACCCTCGTGGCGGAGGTGGAAGTAGTAGTCCAAGGAGTAACCCAGAGTAAGGAAAAGAATAATACCGTGAACAAGGGGACGGCTGGAGCCGTTGTCAACGAACTTCTTGCGGTAGGTGGCAGCGAAGCCGGTGGCCTTAGACTGAGGAGCAGGGCCCTGGGGCAGGCCCTTGTAGAAGTTAACAACGCGAGTCATGCGCTTGGCGTTGGGAGCAGCGCCCAAATTCTGAGCCGAAGCAATCTTGGGAGGGATCAAAGTGGACAGTCCCCGCTTGGCAACGTACGACATCTTTTGGTGAAAAGAAAGCTGGCTAGTCAGCGTTGATTGGTGATATTCTTCGCTTAGTAAGAAACACTTCCGAGTGCCTAATATCCCCTAGATTCAGCCCACCCAGTACCCCGTACCATCTCCAGTTAGGTAAACGCGGAGTCGTATCAATTCTGCGAAATATATATATTTTATAGTTGTAAACAGGTAGGGTGAAAGTGGCGCGTAGCGCTTAATGCACGCTATTTTTTGCTTGACTTTTTTTCACTAGTGACCGCCGCAGCTCTTCATGCGGTCATATGCGCAGCGCACTTACTCAGATATTTAAGAACGAGGTTGGAGGGCCAGTTTATCAATGTACGATAGTGCTTTGCTGGCGGAGCTTGCAGCTGCATCTACTCAGAAGGCGTCTGCCGGAAAGGTCAAGCGTCATACCAACCAAGTGTGGGATGCGCCCGGATTGACTATTGAGTCATGGAAGTTCAACGAGTGGGACTACTATAGTACCAAAGTAAAACTACCGATCCCTTCCCGTGGCTTGTTTACCAAGGAAGACCAGATCGTCGTCCGAGGCTACGACAAGTTTTTCAACGTTGGTGAGGTAGAATCCACCAAATGGAACAGTATTCTCACCGAAACCACTGGGCCTTACGCATTGACCTTGAAGGAGAATGGCTGTAAGATCATGATCGGTGGCTACAACGGGAAGCTCATTGTTACGTCCAAAAACCGGACTGGTCCCCAGGAAAATGATTATAAAAATCACTCGCTTGCTGCCACCAACTGGATCAAGGCCCGGTTGAAGGAGGCTGGCAAGACCGAGCAAGAACTAGCCAGCGAGCTCGAGGAAAAAGACCTGACAGCGGTAGGCGAGTTCTGCGACGATAATTTCGAGGAACACGTCTTGGCGTACCCTCCGGAGAGTGCTGGAATCTACCTCAATGGTCTCAACAGAAACACCAGAGAGTTTCAAACTCTGGCCCCCAACGTGGTCAACGAGCTTGGAGCCAGGTATGGATTTCTACGCACAGACTTTTTGATGGTAGAAGGCGTGGACGAAACAAAACAATTCTTGGAAAAGTGTGCCGAAACAGGTGCCTACAACGGTCGTGACATCGAAGGGTTTGTGGTCAGATGCAAGAAGGATGGAAAGGACTTTTTCTTCAAGTACAAGTTCAAGGAACCATACCTTATGTACCGGGAGTGGAGAACAGCGACCCATGTCATTCTAAAGGACCCCCAGGCCGCCTGGAAATCCAAAATGCACAAGGAGGCCACCAACGAGTTTCTCAAGTTTGCACGCCCATACCTGAAAAGTCACCCAGAACTGGCAGAGAAGATCCAAAAAGAAGGAAAGGGCATCATTGAGCTCCGGGAAAAGTTTTTGGAGTATTCCAATCTTGATCCAGAACAGCTCCTGCAGCTTCAGATCAACGAGAAGGGAACTGATAAATACGTACTGATCCCTGTTGCGACCATAGGATGCGGTAAAACAACCGTTGCATTAACGCTGGCGTCTTTGTACGGTTGGGGTCACGTCCAGAATGACGATGTTTCGAGCAAGTCAGGTAAGTTCCGTACCTTCTCGAACCGCATCAGTCAAGCGTTCAGTGAGCACGATGTGGTCATCGTTGATAGAAACAACCATCAATTCAGAGAGCGTCAGCAGTTGTTTGAAGCTATGGATTTGATGGCGGACGCGAATGGATACGACATGCACTATATTGGTCTCGATTTCCTCCCCAATGGTCCGGCCCAGAAAGAATGGGAGGTCACTTTGAGCAGAGTGATGAATCGTGGTGACAATCACCAGACAATTCGCAATATGGACAGGCCTGCTGTTGAGGCAATCATGAAAGGGTTCCGCGGTCGGTATCAACCTATCACAGTGGCCAAAGAGCCTGACTCAAACTTTGAGTTGGTGATCGATGTGAACTGTGCGCGGGGGTCCAAAGACAACGTTACTGCTGTGGTGAGTGCCTTGAATGATGCATACGACATGGATCTCGAGACCAAGCCGGAGGAGCTGAATGCAGCTTTTTCAGCCGCCCTTGAACACAAGGCGAAGATTCCTGTGGGCACTCAGCCGGCCCAAAAACGTGCCACATGGAGCTTCTTCTGTATCAGGGTTGATTCCAAAGAGATGATGCAACTACTTGCGTCGAATCTGCAAGGAAATCCGTTCTGGCAAGAATTGCAAGTAAGCAAGGGCATGAGCCTCAAACAGGAATTCCATGTAACACTAGCTCACAAGGCGAGCGAGAAAACTCAATTCAAGGCCTTGAAAACAAAATACCACAAATTGCTTACTGGCTCTAAAGAAAATGGCTTTGTTGACCTCAACGTTGAGGAACCGGTCATAGTGGAAAGCATTTGCTGGAATACCCGCATTATGGCTGCCGCAGTCTCGTTACCGGGTGAACACTGCTCGTCGAATTTCCACCCCCACATCACGGTTGGAATGGCCAAAGGCGTGCCTCCAAAAGAAGCTAATGCCATGATGAACAACTACGATAACCGGGTTGAAATAAAGCCTGTTCGGCTAACGGGTAGATTATGTGCATTTAGATAGATAATAAGTTATTTTTTGCCTGGATAATTTGCTCGAGCTCTCGTCTCCGCTGTTCGAGTCGATCCAAATGCCGGTCCAGTCGGCCGTCGATTTCTTCTAGTGACGGCAGCATCAACGAGGTGTGCGTTCGGCTCAAAGCAAGTCCTGACTTGGCCAATTGCTGGTCCTCCCAATCGCTTTCTACAGAAATATCGTCTTGTGGCTCTAGATCTTCTAGAGTGATCTCTTGTATGGCTTTGACGTCAGGAGGAAAGTATCGATCCTGCAGCTCGGCCAGCGTCAGCTTTTTTCTGTCTTGACTCGCGCTCTTTTTCGCGGGCTTGATCACTTGCTCCGGCCCCGAATCGCTACCACTATCCTCTTTTCTCGTGGCTACTGTCGCCTTCCGCTTTGCGCGTTTCTTGAACATCACGTAGTCAGCAAACCTGGGGTCGGTACGAGGTATAGATATTCATATATAACTATTCCCAGCCTAGAAGATCGCGTCCAACGACACGGTAGATACGAATACTGCCGCTTCTAAGGTCATTGAGGCGCACTGTGTCCTTCTTTGAGTCCACCAGATGCAGCTTTTTCTTTGCACCATCCCAAGCGGACAGGACATAGGAGCCGTTGACATCACGGTGATACTTTTGCAGGGGCGATTTAGACCCCTGCAGCTTGGCGTTGTCAAAAACTACAATATCGCCCGGGCGCAGCTCTTCTGTTTGACGTGCAGAGGCACCAAAGTTTTCATAAATGCTTACACCGAACGAGCTGCCGACGGATGGAAGAACGCCGCTCACTGTCTTGAGGAGATCTTTGACGCCAGCAACCGTGCTTGGAGGCTTGGCTTGAGCAGCAGACAAGATTGCAGGGCCAAATCTCGAAGATTCAGACTTCAAAATAGCTGCGTCAATGCGCGGGGTCGCTTCGTCGTGTTGGTCGATCTGAACGTCCTCAGGGTTCGCCTTGTCGAACGATAGATTAATCACGGTCTGTGACAGGTCAGGTCGAAGAATGTAGATCTCTCGGTTAACCACGACCTTACCCCCGCGTTTAGTTGTCTCTGACTCCTCGACCTCATACAAAACGTGAGACATTTTCAAAAGTGCAGGAGGCACGCCTCTAGGCTGGCTATACCAGTTTGTGCCCACATCACAGAGGTTTGAGTGATTCCGAGAATGCGATGGGCCAGCCGGGGCCGCAGGAGCAGCGGGTGGTGCCGGGGCCTGAGGCACTGCCGGGGCGGGCGCACGAGCACTTGGAGCAGGAACAGGAGGTGCGGCTGTGTGATGAGGAGGAGGCATTGGCGGCGCAGAAGTTGCAGGTGGTGGTGGGCGTGGAACTGCTCCGGGCGCAGGCGGTGGCGGACCAGGAGGGCTACTCAGCGTGGGTGTTGGTGCCGTTGGAACAGGAGGTGCCCGGGTCAAGGGCATTTGCCGCGGCGGTGATGACGGAATTTGGGGTGGTGATGCAGGGGCCGGGGGCGGTACAGCAGGTGCTTGTGTCATGGGCGGCTGAGGAACCGGCGGTGCTCGACCTGGTGAAGGAGGCACTGGCGCCCGTGTCATCGGTGGTTGAGGAATCGGTGGTGCTCTAGCCGGTGAAGGAGGCACTGGTGCCTGTCCAGGTGCCGGGGGAAACGGTGGTGCTCTGATAGGAGACGTTTGGGCGTCAGTATCAATGTCTGCATCGCCACTACTCGAACTGATGGGCCTAGCTGCTGTCATGACAGACGGCACAGGGGGTCTTAAGGGTGCCGGAATATCACGCTTTGGCGAACTTACTGGTGGTGGCGTATGGATTTCAGGCTCGGAGTCTGTGTTGTCTTCTTCATCAGCCAAGTCACTCTGTGCAACCAACTCCGATTGTGTAGGAACTGGCGGGGCTGTCTGAGGCATTGTTTCTGCTGTCAAGCGCTTTTCTAAGCTCTGTACAGGTTGCGGAGATGAAGGGGCGGCTGTGACAACCGGTTGAGTCTGTACATGCGATGCAGGTGCTGTCGGAGGAACTGGTGCTGGTCGTGATCCAGGAACAGCAGGGGCAGAAGGTGCAGCAGGTGCTGGCCTTGATCCAGGAACAGCAGGGGCAGAAGGTGCAGCAGGTGCCGAGGGCACAGCCGGGGCAGAAGGTACAGCCGGGGCAGAAGGTACAGCAGGTGCTGAGGGTACAGCCGGGGCAGAAGGTACAGCCGGGGCAGAGGGTACAGCTGGTGCAGAGAGCACTGCCGTAGCGGTAGCTCTTGAATTGGACACAGCCGCAGGATCTATGGTCTCGGGTGTTGAAGTATATTCTAGATTCTCATCATCATCCTCAGCACCTTCCTCAGCAAGTTCCTCAGCAACTTCAGCATCCTCGCCCTCACTAGGCGCTTCATCTTCAGTCTCCTCAGGCTTGGGCTCTGCTCGTCCTAACCTCTTTAATAAAGTAGCATCCATCTCTGTTCCTAAGCCCATAACAGATCTAGGTTGAGCGGTCTCAAATGCCAGCCTTGCCTCTTCACGTTCACGCTCTTCAGGAGTCATTGCGTCCAGACCACGGGGTGCACGAGGCTCACGTTTTGGCGGCCCACCAAAACCAAAACCGCCCATACCACCATGCAATCTGGCCATTCTTTCTCGTAACGCAATCTTTCTAGCCTCTTCCTCGTCATCTTCCTCAGGACTAGCATCTTCCTGTTCTTCGACAGGTGCAGCATCGTCTTGCGTGTTAGTCCTTTCAAACCCGGCCTCCTCAACATCTTCATCCTCGACTTGGGCTTGAGCGTCAATTACATCAGTCTCATCGCCCTTCAAATCAGGAACAGTACCAGCGGAAGCCTGCTGTTTCTCTGAAAGTGCAGCTTTCCGAGCTTGCAACTCTGCTTGGCGCTCAGCTTGACGTTGCTTTAGGCGCTCCTCGGCCTCCTCTAGAGCGCGTCGCTCCTCTTCCTGGCGCTGCTGAAGCTGTTTGATACGCTCTTTGAGCGACATACGTGGTACATCACCCTCCTCTTCGGCAGCGGCATCGGAAGGTTTGCGCTGGACACTATCATCTTGAATAGGCTCAAAAGTCGTGCCAAATCGCTTGGGAGGAACCGGTTTCACCTCAAGTTGGATATCCTCATCAGTTGTCGCGAATGAGAACTGGGTAGATGAACGTCTTGGCGGCGGCTTAGCGTCTGGTTTGGAGTCCTCAGATTTTGGCTGATTGAAAATAGCCATTCGTGATTTGAAGTTTGAAACAAGAGACTCACTAGGATCTCCTTCATCTTCGCTTTCTGTCGGACGAAGATCTTTGAAAGCTGGCCCAGATTTGCCTGCTGGCTTGCTTTCCGGTTTAGCGCCAACTTCTTCTGGGTGCGTACCTTTCGCGGGGGCGTTTTCAACATTCTCGCGTTTAGCATCAGTCGCAGACAGTTTCGTATCGCTCTTTGGTTCTGTGGGTGAAGCCAATTGATCGCGCGTTTCCTTGACCACGGAAGCGGGCTCGACCTCAACAGCCGATGCGGCAGCGGGCGCAGTAGCGGGCGCCACAGTGACTTCATCGGCATCCTGTTGCTCAATTGGAGCAGCTTCAACTTTAGAAGAATCTGTGGCTGCAGCTGCAGCTGGCGGAGGTGTCAATGCTGTCGTATCGAGTTTGGTAGGCGCGCCCAGGACAATCTCCTTCTCCTCTTCCTCGTCCTCAGCGGCGGAGCCCCAATCGTCATCTTCTTGTTTTGGGGACTCAATCGCCTTTGATACACGTGTGGGTCGAGTTTGTGGCGCCGCAGGTACTGCTGGGGTGGATACCACGATCTTTTCAACATAGTTAATCGGGAACATGCCGTCCAGAGTTCGGCCATCAGCGGAAACATAAGTGCCCGCATACCACTCATCATCCAAAACTTCTGTTACAGTAATTTCCTGACCCTCTTGGAAAGGAAGGTCATCGCTTTGTTCGGGTTGATACGCATATAGCGCTCGCACCGGAAATGTAGACATATCGCAAGGTGTGTTGACGTGCGTCGGGGCGATCGGTCAGCTAAAGGAACCACAGGGTATTAGGAAGGTGTTAAGATGGGGATAAACCATCACCTCGAAACTGGTTAAAATAAAAATAAAAATGCTAATTTATGCATCTGTATCATATACAAATATGTTTCCCGACCGGGTAGAGAACAGAATTAGGCGGGGATTGCGTTGGGCCTCATTGGCCAACTTGGACTGAACGTTGAAGATGTAAGCCTTTTGCGTCGGAGAGAGGCTTGCGACTTTTCTCTTCCACTCATCTTGTGATCCCACAGGAACAGTACAGATGGCCTGTAGCACCTCATCCTTCAAGTCAAGGGTGACAATTGGTGCATTTGCCAACTCGCCCATGTAGTTTTGCATCGCCTCACGACAACGCTCTTCCAGAAGCCACATATTCTTGCGACCACCCTTGATCCGTCCGCTCTCATGCAAGATTACAACCCTGTTACCAGCTTGCTGAGTAGAAACAGTAGCGTCGTCCTCGTTTCCACCAACCTCTGGGGCAGGCGTTAAAAAGTCGCTGCGGTTGTTTGAAACACGCTCGTTTGTCTCTGCAAGCACAAAAGGCAGTAGTTCATCAACAGCAAGATCAGTGTCAACTTTTGTAGCCACTGTCTTTACCCGCAATGGCTTGAACGCCTTGTTTGACATGCTGAAGGAGTGCAATTGCTTAACAACAACCACAAAGATCACATGCTCTTTCTCAGCATATTTGATCAACTCTTCTGAAGACTGAAAGTTCCTCACAAGATCGCTAGAAATACCACTTGCCCATAAAAGTCGCACAAGATCCATACAAAGACCCTGTATATTACCGTCAGAGAACGAGGTCACCAGGACCTGGCACCTAGGTCTCAACCATCCAACTTCTGAGAGTCTGCTCTCCGAGAGCTGATCCATCTGGTTCAAAACAACGTCCGCAGCCAAATTAAAGCCTACCACGCGAGCAAGTGGCGTGTTACGATCCAATACCTGATGGCGGAACTGTCGGACCAGCGAGTCGTACCGTCCACCAGCAGCGACAATAAATTTCTTTGAATCCTCGTAAATCAATTGGAACATAATTCCCTGACTGTAGAATTTTGGCTGGAAATTAGACATCGGAGCAATGTAAATCGGGTAAGTGACGCCGTATTTGCGGCATAACGAGACCACGGCTTTGAGATGCAAAATGGCCAGCTTGACTGGCTCAGTAATCTCAATGAGCTTCTTTAAACGCTGTTCGAATGTAGGAACTCGTTCCCGAAAGCCAAACTGTTCTAATAAATCAAGAGATGTCGTCAAAAGGGTTGAGTGGCCAGCAAGTTCCCGACGCACAGACGGCTTGGAGGGGCCAAGGCCCAAATCGCCGAGCAATGTAAGTGCTCCCTGGAACTGAGGAGGCGTGACAGCACATTGTTCAAGAATAGCATTCAAGATGGCCTCATGATTTATGTGGATACTGATCTTGTCACTGTCAAAACAAGGGAACGCAGTTGCAGTATCGGACATTACTTTCAAAATCTCTGCATCATTGAAAACCAGATCTGAAGTTGCTTCGGTACCAAAGATGTCAAAATCAACCTCATTGTAGACCAATGGGTGCTGATCTCTTGTCGGAGATGCTCGATATACTTGACCAAACGTGTAACTCTTGCTGTATTCTGGAACCTGCTCAGCTAGACGTCGTGCTAGCGGCAAAGTTAGGTCGTGAGGAAGCTGTAGGACATTCCCTGAGCGATCTAAAAGGTCCATTGAGGTTGGTGTTTTGTAAAGAGTCGACTTTGGCGTGAGATAAGGCCTGAACCCTGAACTTTCAACAGCGCCATGGCGTTCAAAAACTTCGCGAAACTTTGAAAATACTTGCATTCTCAATAAAACAGCTTTTGTACTAACCATGCAACCGTTGGGTGCTTTCGCGAGTACAGACTGCCGTCCATATAAAATCTGCTGAGCAGACAACAATGGCTGATTGAAAAGAGACTGCAAAACTTGTTGCTTGATGTTGGAATCAGGGTTCATCAAGCTTCGCATTGCTTCTTTTACAGCTGCATCCTGTGGACCCAAAGGTATTTTGCCCGAAGCAAGAAGATCCACGGCTGATGGACGCTGAGAAGGATCGTGCGAGAGTAGGCTCACGACAATATCTCTTTCAGAGTTGTAGCGCTTGAGCGTGAATGCTGTGGGCAGTTCAATGGTTGGTTTTCTCAAATCGCGGATCGTGTTGACCCGCTCCATTTCGGTAGACATGGGAAATACCATCTCAAAAAAGATGATACCAAGTGAATACATGTCCACTTTTTCGTTATATTGTGCCTTTACAGACGGGTCGGTAATTTCAGCAGCAATATAAAGAGATGTTCCAACATTGGTTGTGAGATCGTCGTTCTCGGGAGCGTCGCCAGGCTTTGGCTGTGCAGAATTTTGTACAACACTTCGGGCCAGGCCAAAGTCACCAATTTTAATGTTTCGAGCCTCATCAATGAAAATATTTTTTGGCTTCAGGTCTCGATGGATAATACCCTCACGATGAATATAAGAGAGGGCGTCCAAAAGCTGCCTCATCAGACGCCAGTACTCTTCTTGGTGTCTGTAAAGGCCATCAAGAATCAGATCTGCTAGGGTATGGTTCTCACAATACTCCATCTGAATATAGAGGGTGCTCTTGCCGACAGGCGGTGATACTCTTGAAGCAAAACGCAGGTTCTGAGCAGTATCATCAAGCGTTTCTTCCTCGCTCGATGTGACAGCACTATTGTTGAGAAGGCTGGTTTGACCAACATCATTCTCTTCATCGTCATCGCTATATCCAAACTGGAACAGGTTGTTGGAGCTGGACATAAAATCACCAGAGGCACTGATAAGGTCAAGTTCGGACATGGAGTGACCGAAATGGATCGAAGAAAGATTGCTCGGTGTTAGAGACCTATCTTCTTCACTAGGGTTTGTTGGTTCGGCGATTGTGTCTGTCTGTGCTATGCTTGATTCAGTGATGGTGCTATCGTCCACAATCTCAACTGCATCTTCGAGCCAAACCGTAAAGTAACGCACAACATATTGATGATTCAAACGACTGAGCAAAACCACCTCTTGTAGAATATGAGATAGTGTTGAAGAAGTTGCTTGAATCTTCTTGATAGCATAGACGCGCCCGTCAAGTTTGTTACGAGCCTTGACCACCTGTCCAAATCCACCCTTTCCAAGAACACTTCCCTCGTCAAAATCGTGGGTGTAACGCGAATAACCTGGTAACCGATCATTTGTCAAGCTACGCGGTCGTGATACAGAAGTATGACGAGGCTCCTCAGATGTTTCTAGCTCGTAATCGGAACGTAGAAATGAGCTCGTCAACATATCGAATGCGGAAGAACGTTTATTGGGTGACGGCTCAAGGACATGCTTCAAAAACGATAGGAGGCTTTGTGGAAAGTTTTGAGACTTGACGTAGGTCAATGGATCACAAAGACTTCTGGTTGCCGCACGCCCACAGAGCATTTGTAGTAAAACAATTCCAAACTGCCACATATCTGTCTTGCGGGTTGGAGTAACCCGCGAAGCAGTGGCCTCGGGGGGCAGCCATTTTGTAGCCATTGTCTCCGAAAAGGTACCCTGACCAGCAGTTCTTTTGAGAGGGGGCATAAATGGATGCTCAGAGTCCAATTGCATAAACCGGTACATGTACGAAGTGTGAGACAAGAACACGGAGGACTCACCGGTCTCACGACTTTTGTTGACAAACACTGTGTCAACCGTTAGAGCCTTGTGAACAATTCCGACTTTGTGGATACTTTCCAAGGCATCCAAAATCTGGATTGACCAGTTACGAGCAACCTTGATGCTCAGGCTATCTACTGTATCCAGGAGGTCCCCCAAGGTGCCCATGTTGCAGTGCTGGGTAAGAAGAGATATTTGCCAGCCACTATCTTCATCTTTGGCAATTTTGTATTCGTAGAGAGCAACAATATTCGGATGCTTCAAGTCGCGAAGGGTTTCGAGTTCCCCCTCGAGATCCTGCAACTGTTTCCGGCCAGCAGAAGTGTTCCAATACGGTTCCGAAATAGAGACTTGAGTAAGGACCAGCAGCAGGTCGTCTTCGTGTGCCTGATGAACAATGGGTTTCACCAAATAGGAAGTGCCGAAAAAGTTTACCGGAGTTACTGCAGCACGCGAAACTTGTTGAAACCGAACCATTGTGCCATTTGGCCGACGACACGAGATGGGCCGATCAAAAGTGACAATTCCTTCATCTTCTGGTACAAAACAGATATTGGAGTCATCGTAGTCATGTGTTTCTTCGTTTTCGTCCTGGAGCTCTTCCAGAACAAGCTTTTCAAGTTGCTGTTGCTGTTCCTGTATCTTAGCCTCTTGCTCCTTTTTCTTGCGTTCCTTCTCCTCCATTGCCTTTTCTTCCGCTAGCCGCAAACGTTCTACCCGTGCTTCTTCCAGACTAGGTGTGACGGTTGCAATTCTAGCGAATTCATCTAACTGCTGCTGCAAGTTCGAGGTGATTTCGAAAATCATCTCGTTGCCCTTCAGAGATTCCGCAGTGGACTGTATCGATTTTCGCAGCAATTCCAGCTGCTTATGGTGTATTGCATTCGACTTGTCAATCTTGATCATCGGCAGAGACCGTGGATACGTTTTTGTCAGTTGAACGACAATTTCTAGCGAGATAGGCGTGTCCTTGAACTCGCTGCTCGGGCGCAGCTTGATTCGAAAGTGCGGGCTCGCCCGCTTGCTCCAGATCTCACTCGACTTGTACTCTTCAAAATCATCCATATAGATTGCTTTTAGTGCCTCCACCTCATTTTCCTGAATCTCCTCGTACTCCATGACGGAGGTGGATTAGTGAGATTTTGTCTGTAAACAGAATTTAAAGGACGTGAATCCCGACAAAGAGCTACATATATACAAGAAAGCGGGCTTCAGGCGGAAACTACCCGGAAAATCAATGCTGTGGACGTCAATCCGAAAAAAAACGCAAGCCCGGCTTTACAGAGAATTCAACGTCTCGATCGCCTGTTCGGTGGTGATGCGGTGCATAACGATCTTCTCGCTACTGCCGTCCTCGAATTTCATAACCGGAACGTCGAAAGCATACAGATCATAGAACTCTTTGTTTTCTGGCTCGTCAATGTTCACCTCCTTGTAGTCAAACGGTACAGTTTTGCCAGCAGCCATGAGATTGGTCTTGGCGGTTCCACAGAGACCACATTGCGGGCGGGTATAGAAAGTCACACTCTTTAGTAGATACTGTGAAATACGCATATTGCACTGGAAAGACTCGTGATAGCTGATCCGGACTGGGATGCTTGTTAAGCCATCGTCTCATGCAGCCTGAAAACCATGGCCCGTTGCCTGCGTTTAATGTGCTAGTGAGACTGCTGGAAGCGCTGGAGAACTGCACGGGCCAAGGATCGGTAGATAACCGCCGCATTCAAATTGAGACATTCATAAAGCAATGGCGCGACAAGGTGGGCAACGACATCTACCCAGCTTTTCAACTCCTTTTGCCCCACATTGATAGCGAATTCCGGCAGCTATACAACGTCAAGGAGAAATCTCTGGGCAAAATTTTGGTCAAGGCTCTAAATCTGAGTCCGAAGTCTCCCGAGGCAGCCTCCTTGCTCAACTTTAGAGCCGCAACGACTAAAGGATCTGGGGTTTTTGCCGATTTAGCGTTCCACATTATTGATGAGCGCGACACGCGAACGACTGCCAGCGAGACCTCAATGGGTGAAGTTTCTGCGCTTTTAGAGAAACTCATTGGGGCGAAGCTGCCTGAACAAACCCAAGTGATGCGAGAAATGCTCCAAAAGCTGAGCGCACGTGAAATGAAGTGGGTTCTTCGGATCATCTTGCGGAATATGCATATCAACGTATCGGAGCGCACGTTTTTCCGGTGTTGGCATCCTGATGCTCAGCTGCTTTTCAATGTCACAAACAATCTCAAAGAAGTATGCCATGAGTTGTGGGATAATGACGTTAGGTTAGAGGCCAAAGACCAAGTGGTGCGACCACTTTCTTGTTTCAGGCCCCAGCGAGCTTTATTCAAAAAAAACGTGATTGGAAACTTCTCGGAAATCGTGGACCAGATGCCTGGTTTTTTTTACATCGAGGAGAAAATGGATGGCGAGCGAATGCAGTTGCACTATGTCGACCATGGGAAAGAGATGCGGTATTTCAGTCGCCGGGGAAAAGACTATACAGCATATTATGGCAAGTCAGTTGAAGACACAAAGGGAACACTCTCGAAACATCTCAAAAATGTCATCAGCTCTCGAGTATCGAATTGTATTTTGGACGGTGAGATGGTGGCATGGGACGACTACAACAAAGAACTGTGTCCTTTCAACAAAATCAAGCAAGCTGCTACAGGTTCCAACAGTAAATGGAGACCAATGCTGTTGGTTTTTGATATTTTACACCTCAATGGCAAAGACTTGGCTGCATATTCTCTGGAGCAGCGCAAGAAGGCATTGGAGGCGGTTATCCCTCCTGAGAACCGCGAGCGTGGCCAGGGTTACCTGGAGATTTTGCCTTATATCGTCGGTCATGATGCCGACACTATTGCTAAAGAATTCAATCGAGTTATTGCTGCTACATCAGAGGGCTTGGTGGTGAAGAATCCCAACCTCATCTATCAAGTTGACGGCATTAGCAACAGTTGGTTGAAAGTCAAGCCTGAGTTTATGTCTGGATATCAGGGTGAGAACTTTGATCTCATGGTTGTCGGCGCTTATTATGGTAGTGGGTTCCGGTCGCAGTTACTGTCTAGTTACCTGTGTGCCCTCCGAAATGACGAAGACTACTTGAGCTTGTGCAGGGTTGGCTCAGGGTTTTGTACTGCTCTATACGAGAAAATCGCCCATGAAACCCAAGGAAAATGGTTTTCTGGCCCTACGCCTAGTTGGTTGAAACTGTCACTGGAAGTACCCGACGTCTTTATTCACCCCCAAGATTCTCTAGTGTTTGAGGTCAAGGCCTCGCAAATCATTCCTTCAGATAGATACTATGTGGGGGCTAGTCTGAGGTTTCCGAGGTTTGTTTCGATTCGCGACGACAAAGGTCCTAATGAATGTCTCACATATCAGGAGTTTCTGGACTATCGTGAAGAGCATACTGGCAAAAAGACCAAGAGGGTATCTAAAACTTCAAAAGTCCGCAAGAGAATCCATGTGCAAAACGTTGATATCAAGCACGAGGGTCTTGAGCCTAAATCGAATATTTTCGCCTTTACAACATTCTGGGTGGCCGGAGACACCTATAGTCCAGGATACTACACCCAACACGAGCTTGAACGTATCATCAAGGAAAACGGGGGTGAATTGGTGCATCATGGAAGGGCAGTTGATACAGTGGTTGTAGCAGACTGTGCAACTCCACGAATTGCCAGAATAATTCGAGATCAGTCTCGTGATGTGGTTCATCCCCGTTGGATATTTGACAGTATCTACAACAAGCGAGCTCTTCCCTTTGAGCCGCGTCATTATTTATTTGCTCGAAAGCAAACCTTGGAAGAGTCAATCAAGCTGGTTGATAAATATGAGTTTCCTTTGTATCGTGACAAACGACCAAGCGAAGCCGTTGAGCTACTGCTCTCAATGCCACCTTCTGTTGGGCCCTATCCGCGAGCCCGCTTGGCCCAAGTTTTGGAATCTATCATCAAGAAAACTCCTTTCAAAAACCGCTGTGTAGTTTTTCACGGCTTTTATTTTTATTTCGCCAAACCTAGCTCTCGGCTCGAGCGCATGGTTCGATTTGGTGGGGGGCGCATTCGTCACGCCAATGACCCAGAAGTCACCCATGTAGTGGGTCCGCCGCAATTGAAAACTGCGTATCCGCATGCAGAAATAGTTACGAACGATTGGATAGAAAAGCTATGGGATTCTTGTGGCTAAAGGTCCAGGTGGAGCACAGTTCCGAAAAGTTTCCGGAACCACCGCTTCATTATGTAGGGAACTTGGCCGAAAAGACCCGTTGGAGCCACACCCCTTGACTCCAAAAACTCGGTCAATGCTTCATACGTAAGATCGCCATGGTAGTTCTCAGGCTTGAGTGGGATCTGAGAGCCCTCTTTAGAAAAGTACAGCACGGTGGGATACTTGGACAATGAAAAGACGCTTGGAAGCATTTGCGAATCCATTCTGGAGGACTCAACTTCCGAAATTGCCACCTCCTTATTATGCTTATAATCCGCAGCAATCTGTCGGAATACTTGTGTGATATGGTCGCAGTTCGTGCAGGTGCCCACAAACAATACCAGAGCATGTTTGCCCTGGATACCGAGACGGAAGCTGTTATCGGAAAGCCTCTTCAACGGATAATTTGTGTGTTCGTTTGTATGGTCGATGCCCAAGTCGTGGCGAATCTTGCGTTTAATTGCCTTGAGCGGCGTCTGCTGCAGCACCTCGGCATTGTGTTCTGATCCGGGCCGAATGAACACCACGGAGGGCACTTTCGAGATACCGTATCGTTCGGCAAGCTTCGGGTTTTCGGTGATGTCAATTCGCAGAAAATTGAGCTCGTCGTCTTCGTAGATTCGAGAAATATCACTATAGTACCCGTTCAGGGGGACTGCATCGTGAGTCCACGAATAGAAAAGCACAAAGCTGGGCGTGTCCTGGCGAAGAGCTGCCCCGAAATCCTCGTCAGAAACATCAATCACTCGAGCCGAAGCGATTGCTGCGAAAATCAATTGCAAAATGCCGAGAAATCGCACCATTGTGGGTCAACAGCAACGGGAGTTTGGTGTGTCGATTTATGTAAGGGCGAGCATGCGAGAGAACCGTCTTGTTTGAAAACGCTTAGAGGTTGATCTATAGGAAATTGAGAGGGGGTTTCTGAACGAAAATAGCTATTTTGTGCCAGTTCATTTAGAGCTCGTCCTTGCCGGTGTCCTTTGCGACAAAAGTGCGAAGGACGTTGAGCTTGACCCGGAGCTTGTCTGCCTTTTTGGGAGCGAGCTTAGTGGCCAGCAGCTTCTCGATGCGGGCCGACTCCTCGGAGACGTAGCTGGCGCCCTTTTCAAAGACCTTCTTGGCGACGCGGGTGTAAACGTCGGCAAAGGGAGTGCCGCTGGTCTCAATGGCCATAATGAAGCCGTCGTAGGCCTCCTGGGAAGCGCCAATCAGGCTCTGGGCCTGCTCAGTCAAAGCATCCACGACGCCGGCGTGGTCGTCAAGCTGGCCGTCAGCGTTGCGGAAAGAAATACCCTCGTCCTTCATGAACTTGACGAGAGCCTTGATATCGCGGCCCGAAGTGTAGGGACGGGGGGTGGATCCGTCCTTGGGGAAGTACACAATGGTGGGGTAGCCCTCGACATGGAAGGTCTCCATGAGGTTGGCCACCGGCTCGGAGTCGGTGCAGTCGACCTCTGCAACGACAATTTCATCATCCTGCTCGTAAAGAGCAGCCAGCTCGTCCCACACGGGCTTCAGCCGCTTGCAGTAGCCGCACCAGGTAGTGGTGAATGCAACCAGGGCGTCCTTGTCGTCGACGGCGTCCTCAAACGTGTCGTCAGTCAAAGAAACAATCTTGGACTTGGGTGTTCTGACCTTCTTTTCCTTCTTTTCTTCCTTGGCCTGCTTCGGTTCGGCCTTTTGCGGCTCAGCGCCCGTCTTGGACTTGATCAGCTTGTGCAGCGACTTGGCGTCCCGCGAATTGATGTCCTCCTGCTTGTCACCGTCCACAAACTTGATCGTAGGGAAGAACTTGACGTCGTGCTTCTTGGCCGCCTTGCGGTGGATGTCGCCGTCGATTTTAACGAATTGGATCTTGTCCTTGGCGTGCTCGTACAGAGCTGCCACCTCATCGAAAACTGGGGAGAAGGTCTTGCAGTGGCCGCACCACGAAGCGTAGATGTCCAGAATGGTAGGGACACCATTGGACATTAATTTGTCGAGATCCACGTCGGTGGCCTCAATAACTGCGGCCGCACTAAGCGGCAAAACTGCCAACCACTTTAACAACTGCATGTCGCTTGGAGTGCTAACGTAAAGTGCGCCGGCACCACGCTGGGGCGAAATAAATAAAAACTGGCGGAACGGAACCCAAGTTTAACAGTTAAATAAATACAGGAAATGCATAAAATCTAAATAAACATGAACTGAATCTAGAAGTAGAGTGACAAAAGGTGTCTAAGGGGGGTGTTTAATCTACAGCGTAATAGCCCACATCAGGATCCTCAGGCACGTCAACTTGATGCAACAAACCAGTAGCAACGTCGTAAATCATGCCATAGACCTGGACGCCTCGCTTGGCCATGTGCTCGCGGACAATGTCGTTCGTTTTGACGTTCCACACCTGCTCAATCACATTGAGCTCGGCGAGTTTTTCAGCGCGCTCCTTGAATGACGGAATGGCCTCCAGCACCGTCTTGTACTTGGCCCGCACGTCCCGCAGGTTGCGCAGCCAGGCCTCCAGACTGCCACCGACCCGGGCGTTATTCAGGGTGGTCTCGACGCCCTTGCAGTCGGTGTGGCCGCACACAATGATGTGTTTGACCCCCACAACCTCCATAGCGAGCTGGATCAGCGACTGGCTGCTCGGATCGCAGTTGGGCACCATGTTGGCGACGTTGCGGTGGACAAAGACCTCGCCAGGAAGCAGGTCCAAGCTGGCCACAGTGGAGCGAGAATCGGCGCAGCCAATCCAGAGAATTTGCGGCTTCTGGCCCTTGGCGTTGGCCTCGAGCAGACCTGGGTTCGCCTGATCCAGGCGCTTGGCCCATTCTTTGTTCAGTTTCAGGAGTTTATCAACGCCGTCAGTAGCAGAAAAACGGAAGGGTGATCGGCACATGGTAGCAGGCTTTCTCTGCGATCTCAGCTGATTTTTTCAACCGGGGGACCCAACGACCTAAATAGAGCTGCTGATCAGCCAGGCCAGCGGGCCACATGCAGCGACCTGCATAATCGGAAAATGTTTATGTAACTCGGCTGTCCTATAGGCCAGATCGAGAGAAGCAGGGAAACCCACGCGCGAGCAGCAGGCGAGCAGAGCGCGGAAAAAAGTGGGCAAAAAAGCGCCATGGTTGCGGCAAAAGTGTTGGTTATTATGGAGCGCCGTATCAGGGCCCTCTAGGCCGTGATCGGGATGCTACGGAGGGGCTATGTAGGCTCTGACTCTTTCCACAATGTTTCTACATGTCGCTGGTTAGCATATTGATCAGTGTTAAAAAGCTCATTTTTTTGATCCACACGAGTTGTTCAGGTGAAGAAATTCAAAAACATCATGCAACATACCTTTCTATCCCTTAACCTCTTGGGCCCGCCGCCAAAAAACCCGCGGAGAGGGTGTCTGGAGTGAAAAAAAAAATTTTCTGGGCCTGTTGGGTTAGGCTCAATAAAAAATTCAATTACGCAATCCGCCAACAGAAAGAACCCTGGGTGGCCAAGCCTGGAGGTTTCTCCCAGGAAACCGCTTGAGTAATAATAATGCCCAAGGCCAGTTCGGAGGAGGAGCTGCCGCAGATATGCCAGACATGTTTGGGCAGTAAAGACAACATACGCATGACGAGGGACGTCAAGGGCGAGCCCTGCAAACTGTGCAATCGGCCGTTTACCGTTTTCCGCTGGCAGCCTGCACCAGGTGCGCGACGCAACGCGACCAAGATCTGTTCGTCATGCTCCCGCAGACGGGCCGCCTGCCAATGCTGTATGCTCGATCTCAACTACGGCCTGCCCCTGTCGCTGCGAGATTCGGTGCTGAAGATCTCTGCAGACCCGGGACAAACCCCAGTCACCCAAAAGTATATTGCCGAGAACAGCGACAGTGCCGAGACGCCGCAGCTGATTCACGATCGGTCGCAGGACCTGCTGCGCAAGCTATCGCAGAAACTGGTATCGGCCGAGCCTGTTGCAGCAGTAGAGGCCGAGACGGATCCCGATCCAAAACGGGCCGCCCGCAACATTCTCAAGCAGCTGCCCCTGGATGGAAGCATTCGCTCGAATCACAATGCGTATTCGGATTTATTTATTATGGGGCTAGAACCAGACTTGAACTTGGACCATTTGCGATCTAAGCTGAACGGCCTTGGAGCATTGAACGATCTGAAGGCGTTCAAAACGGCCCGTTGTGCTTTTGCTTCGTTCACAGACAACGACCAGGCCGTGAAGGCGGCCGGCCAGCTGTCTCAGACCAATGGCCTGCTCACCGTCAACGGCAACAGACTGCGGTTCGTCTGGGGGCCCCGCGAGGTGCCATTGGGCTCCGCTAAGGTACAAAAAATCATTGGCTTGGTTATCAGGCGCTTTATGAAAACGGGAAAGCTGCCTGGGGACTCCCAAGAGACTGAGTCTGCGACTTCATCTTACAAGTCCGCCCAGCCAGATTACGACGACTAGCCGTACATATCATCATAGTCTTCTTCTTCGTCGTCTGCCTCAATTACAATCTCTTTCTTTTTAGACATGTCGTACCGGCACAGCGGGCACGTCGAGTTCCCTTTGAGCCACGGCCCTATGCACTCGAGGTCAAACGTGTGCTTGCCGGGGCATGGCAGCACAACTACCAGCGGATAGGGGTCTTCCAGGTACTCTTGCGAGCAGATTGCACACTGGTCTTCGGTCTTGAGGTCTTTTCTGTCGATTCTGTCGAGGCTGTCCACAAACGAATCGGGCAAACCAGTCCCGTTACGAGCATCACCAAATCTCTCATAGAGAGCAAAGATTTCCTCAAACGCAGCCACCATTGGGCTGGTATCCTGATCTGCAGACTGGCTCCGGGTCCGTTGCCACAGCGCTTCGGTCTCGAAGACGCGTGTCGGCGGCCGGGCGCTCTGCTCGCTGGCAAAGCGGTCCTCAGTCGACATCAACTATAGCGCGTGCTAGTCGACAGCTCCCAAAAAGTTTCCCCACACTTTGCACTAGCGACTACCGCAGTGCTATCTTATGATCGTCTCTTGGTCTGCCCGACTGACAAAGCCGCGCCACCTTGGTTTCTAACTTTACATTACCACCCATTTAGACATTTTGGCCATGGAATCTAGTGTTAAGCCTACAACGAGCGTGAAACTAGTGCTTTTGGGAGAGGCCGCAGTGGGCAAATCGTCACTTGTTTTGCGCTTTGTTAGCGATGACTTTCAGGAGAATAAGGAGCCGACGATCGGAGCGGCCTTTTTGACCCAAAAATGTACACTTGCCAACCGGGTAGTCAAATTCGAGATCTGGGACACTGCCGGCCAGGAGCGATTCGCCAGTTTGGCACCCATGTACTACCGCAACGCTCAAAGTGCAGTCGTGGTCTACGACGTCACAAAGCCAGCCTCGTTCATCAGAGCCCGGCACTGGGTCAACGAATTGAAGAGCCAGGGCTCGCCCAATATTATTATTGCCCTGGTTGGAAACAAGCTGGACTTGACCGGAGAGCAAGAGGGCCAGGAACCCGGTCCAGTGGTCTCTCGCGATGAGGCGGCCGCCGCAACAGGCGATTTACCCGGCCGCAAGGTCTCTTATCAGGAGGGCGAGAAGCTGGCCCAGGAAGAGGGCCTATTATTCTTTGAGGCCTCGGCAAAGACTGGCTTCAATGTGCGCAAAATCTTCCTCGCCATTGCCAACAAAATCCCTCTAGAGACTGCCAAGCCCTCCACCACCGGTCAGATCGGAGGGGAACGTCCTCTGGAGCTCAATCAGGCGTCGACGCAAGACACAAGCTGCCAGTGCTAAATTCTTCTATCTTTTCTAACTATTCCACCCCTCGCGTTCCCTATATATTTACCCAATTAAAGCTGGTTCCTGCCTAGCGGGGTTTTTGTCGTCTTTGCTAGCTTACCAATGAGGAGGGCAGTCACCGCTCTGGCTGCTCCGGGTAGGACGCTTTCCACACAGGCTACGCGCCCAACGGCTCAGCAAAGTTGGAGCAGCCGCATCCTTGAAGCGAAACGGGCTGCCGTGGAGCAGGGAGCCGGGGCAAATGCTGGCAAAGACCTGCTGGACAAGCTGTGTGCCTCAGAGGCTGCCTCAGAGCTGCTGAAAGCTCCAGACGTCCGGCATGCTGTGTTCGTGGCCAATCCTAAACCCTCAATTGATCTATGTGTGCAATTGCTGCCTCACGCAACCCGAAGCGACTATTGGACCTGTTTGCGGACCGCACTTTATCGTCACAAGTTTGTCGAGTCGTTCAAAATTATTGACATATATCCAGAGTCTCTACAGCTATCCGTGGTACCTTTTGCAATCGGCCTCGCGTCCTGTACGCCGTGGCTGCCTACTCTGGTAGCCCCCATTGTTGCTGGGTGCTGGATCGGGCTGGCCGCGGCTGCGTTCAGCGATGCAAACCTCACCCACGTACGCTGGAAGCCTAACGTCAAGTGGAAATACCGCTTATTGAACGGAACCCAACTAAGAATGGCAAACACGCTCGTGGAACACTACGAAGAACTTCCTCGAGCCCCGTCCAACAAGCATGTGAGACATCAGGAAAAGCTAATTGCAACTGCCCTCAAACAACGAGGAATCGAGGTTTTGCTGCCAGGTTCGGCGCTGTATCGTGAGTACTGGGGACTGACGCCTAATCCATCAAGTTCCAAGCAACAGCACAACTCATACCCAGAATATACCGGACGAGAGAATCACCAGTAAGACTGCCGATCGCCCAGACGTTATCTGCTATTTTGGGCAGCGGGTAGCCAAGGTCCCGTAATGACATCTTGCCCACCAACTCTGTTTTCTTGGGCAAAACGTCTTGGGCGTATGCCAATGATCCGGCTCGGCCCGTGCGGATAATGACTTCCTTGGCCTGAGCTTCCAGCACGTCTCCGTCCTGTTTTTGTATTAGCACTTTGTTTTCATCAATTTTTATTATCTGGCCATTGGGTATGCCGGTATATGTAGGTCCAGTTCTTGATTTCATTTCTTCAAAAATAGCAGCGTATTCCGGATATAGCTTTTTGGGGTATCGTCTGAGCGGTGTCGGCTCCCCTTGCGGCGAGGTCCATTTGTAAATGTGCAGGACTTTGTCGGGCTTTGCGCATATCACTGCGTCGGCGGCAGACACCCCAGATCCCACTACGACGACGCTACCTGAGGGCGCGAGTTTTTTGGTCTGCATCGAATCGGTCTGCGCACACGAAATTCCAGAGGCGAGAACAACGTCTGTGGCTTCGCAAATAAGGTCGCCGGCCGTGGTTAGAACCGCAAAGCCGTTTGGCGATTTGGTGATATTGCCCACCAATTTGTTGGTGACAGGAATGCCCATTTTATCAGCATAGAGCTTATAGTACTCGGCTACAACTTTCCTTGTAGGACGTAGAAAGTCAGGCACGGCACAGTTGTATCTCTCACGATAAAAGTGTGAGAATGCCCAGCCGGGCAGAGACAGCATTTCTGCGTAACTCAACACACGGCTGTCTTCGCTATCGCTGTCCATATTGGACCATTGTCCTCCTGCACCGTCTTTACCACCAATTAGTGTATATGGGACCTTGTTTTCTGGTGAGGCTTTCCAGGAAACCCGAGACTCCATGGTGGACTGGTTTTGAATATTGGTTTCACATGGAATGCGCAAGGTATCAAACAGCAGGCTCACTGGAGAGCAGTCTGAGCTGAAGAACGACTGCACGTTGAGTTTCACGTACTCTAGTATTTTTGACTCGGTGGCCGCGCACAGCAGGTTGGGGCAATTGATCAGGAGCTCATGCAACTGCGGGTCGGGATGGGGGCCAAAGAGATCTGGATCGTAGTGCGGGATATTTCCGTTCAAAATATGAGCCAGAGCCAGTCCTGCTGGTCCTGCTCCAATAATGGCTACGGTCATTAGCCCAAGGTTGAACAACAACGGTTCAGTTGGGTTTTTGCGATTGACAGAGACAGTTACGGGCTTAAAGGCGATGAGATGAAGTCACGTGATATGGTCATGTGATTTAGCAATAGCAGTATACGACTGCTGAAATGTGGGGCAGGAGTTCGCACTACGCCGGTAATTCTAAAACAGACGGTTCTGTCAAAGAGTAAAGGCTCAATTGGCAAAAATCAAACGGTCAATCGGCCAAAAAAAGTAACTGCAGCACCTTCTGTTCTCACATGGTCTCCCACTGTAATACTTGGTAAGGCTCTCAGATGGTTCAATAGGACTGATCGGACGGGAAGTCTTGCTTTCATCTGGATATGGCCGCAGCCGCTCACATCTCACACTAGCACTATTTGTTGAGCATGGCTTGCTCAGAACCTCGGATTCGCGCTCCCGCTCCTCCACAAGAAAGAAGAGCCCAGATCAGCTGCCGATCTTTGATACACAGAACCTAGGGCTCTGCCCAATTCACTAAAATAGCTCACCGTTTGAAACTCAAGGGTAAGGGTGGTATGCACATCGGATGTACACGTCTCAACCCTGCAAGAAGCTTGCCATCTTCTAAATGACAGTTACCAGCTTTGACGACTCTGTTGAAATTGCTCTTGGATCCAACACACAGACCAGTGTCAAGATCCTGAACTATGGTGCGACTGTGTTGTCCTGGAAAATCAACGGCAAGGAACAGCTCTGGCTCTCTGAGGCTTCCAAGTTGGATGGCTCGAGAGCAGTTCGCGGTGGAATCCCATTGGTGTTCCCCCGCTTTGGTCCTGCTTCGGGTAATCATCCCGCAACCGACAAGCTGCCCCAGCATGGCTTTGCCCGCAGCGTTACGTGGGAATTACTCGGTCAAGTCGACGATCACACCGTGCAGTTTGGCCTTGGACCTGAAAACTTGCCCAAAGACATTGCCGCAGCCTGGTCCTATGATTTCACCCTGATCTACACTGTTCAGCTGCTGCAGGATAGTCTCAAGATCAGCCTCGATGTCAAGAACCCCGGCAAGGAAGCCTTCGACTTTAATGTTCTCTTCCACACGTACTTTGCTGTTCCCGAGGTGCAGAACGTCACTGTCGCTGGTCTCAACAAGCTTGCGTACTTTGACAAGGTTGCATCAGCTCAAGTTGCCAGCGACAGCGAGAAAGAGGTCACTTTCTGCAAGGAGACCGACCGGGTCTACAGAAACTCTCCGGCCCAGGTCGAAATCAAAGAAGGCTCCAAGACACTGTTCACTGTGCAGGCCTCGAACCTCAAGGACACGGTCGTCTGGAACCCGTGGACCGAGAAGGCCCAGGAAATGTCCGACTGGGCCCCCAAGAATGGTTTCCACCAAATGGTCTGCGTCGAAAGCGGCGTGGTCGCCGACTTTGCCAAGCTCGCATCCGACGCCTCGTGGACGGGCAGCGTCATTCTTAAAGCTCACATTTAAATAGTGCTGTTTATTTACTTTATAACTTGGCCTTCGAAGGTACGTATGTGGCTTCGTTGTTGACACGGATCTTGCCTGTATCCTCGACATTATCGCCAAAGAACACAACCGTGACCGTAAGGTCGTCACGGTAGCGGCGGCTGAGCGGCGAGGGAATGGAAACAAGCATGGAGACCGACTCTTGGTCCGCACCACCCAAGGCATTGCGCATGAGGTGGGTCGCGGCGTTTTGGTCTTGCACACTGATTTGCACGGGAACGGAAGACTGGCGGCGAATCGGCTGCTTTTGGGCGTCCTTGTTGGCAGACACATCCTCGACCTTCTGCTCGCTGCGCTTGTTCTTTCCGCCGCCAACCCATTTGGGAATCCACTTCGATCCGGACGGTTCGGTCTGGCTCAACATAGTTCTAAGCGACGCAGGGCGCTTTTGATTGATCCACTCAACAACCATACTGACCACCTGCTCATTGGACAACATCTCATACAGGCCATCGGTGGCTAAAACAAGGAAAGCAAGCTGGTCCTTCTCCAAGCGAGTGCGAGTGATTTCAGGCCGCGCGGTCATATAGGGAGGAGTGCGTAAATCACGGGGGATTGTTCTGCCAAAGAACTGACGCGCCAGACTATGCTGGATTTCCCGAGACCATTTCGTCGTAGCGTCGCCGAAAGCACGAGTGGGCTCATAGATACCTAAAACACGACCTCTGCGCACCGCTGTCTCCTCCTCTCCAGGATGTTCCTTTTTGATGCGGCGGGCCTCCTCCTCGTTTGACCCGGTCTGATCTGTAGTCAACGCACGGGCCTTCCAGGAACCATCAGGCTCCTTTGTTCCTAACACAGCTCTGGAATCACCGGCAACTGCAACTCTCAGATCTCTCGAAGCAGTATCGTAAAATGCCAGCAGGGCACACGAGCCACTTAGCGCGGGGGGATGGCTTCGACGGCGCCTTGCTTGTTGGGGTTGGCCAAAAGTCGTTCAACACTCTTGTTGACAATTTCATCATCGAGGCTCACAAATGCTGTCTCCACCGCCTTGTCAATGGCTTCCGGAGACGGCACTAGCCGCCGAGGACTGTTGGGAGCCACGGGAGTGTAAATCTTGTCGAGCTCACGAGTGACGTATCCAATCAAAGACTCCCTCAGCTTGGTACTGGTACTCCAGCCGCCGTGGCCATCGTAGACACCCCAAAACAGCCAGTCAGTAGAGTACTGTTGGTCGTCCGGTGTCACCAGAGGAACCTGCACAATCCGCTCCGAGTGGTCGTCCTCAATTGGATTGTTACTGGGCAGCTGGGCAATGTCGTAGCGCACAACGCCGTTTCCGCGCTCAATCAGGAAGCTTTCCTCGTGCTCTCGCAGTCGAGCAGAAACCTGCGCCGGATTCAACAAGCTGACCATGGTCTTAGACCGGGGGTCATTGCGGACGCCCTCAGAAAGAATGTACGATCCGGAAAAAAAAGCCACAAGTGCCGATGTAGCAATGAGCGGCCAACGGCGCCGCAAAGTGTTCATGGTCGCCGTGCTGGGCCGCAATCTCATCGTCCTAAACATCGCTTGGGTAACTGGCCAGGATATTATTAAGGCATCGAAAGTTGAAATTTTTTTTTTCAGACAATCTACGATGGTCAAGAAACAACCGGAGAGCGCTAAGAACAAAGCTGCGAAGCGCAGCAAGCAAGCTGATGACAAGACTTTTGGTCTGAAGAACAAAAACAAGTCGTCTAAGGTGCAGGCTTTTGTAAAGCAAGTTGAAGAGCAGGCGAAGAGCTCCGGAGCAGCCGCGAAGAAGAAAGAGGCCGACGCTGCCCGACGGGCTGCCGAAAAGAAAGCGGCAGAGGCGGCCAAGGCAGAGGCGCGGGCTCTTTTCAGCCAGGCAATCACGCCGCAGAAGGTGCCGTTTGGGGTGGACCCCAAGTCTGTGCTGTGCGCGTTTTTCAAGCAGGGACTGTGCAACAAGGGCAGCAAATGTAAATTCAGCCACGATCTGAACGTGGAGCGTAAAGCAGTCAAGAAGGACTTGTACTCTGACGAGCGCACGGACAAAGAGAGCGACACCATGGACAACTGGGACGACGAGAAACTGGCAAACGTGGTCATGTCCAAGCACGGCAACCCCAAAACTACTACGGATATTATTTGCAAGTACTTTATCGAGGCTATTGAGAACTCCAAGTACGGCTGGTTCTGGGTGTGTCCCAACGGCGGCGACAACTGCAAATATAGACACTCGCTTCCGCCCGGATTCAAGCTCAAAACAAAAGAGGAACAACGCCTGGAGCGTGCTGCTGCTGCTAATGAACCCAAGATGACCTTGGAAGACTTTATCGAGATCGAGCGCAAAAAGCTTCCCAAGAACCTTACGCCAGTCACGCTGGAGTCTTTCACAAAATGGAAGACTGAGCGGGAGGCCAAGAAGCTTGCCGAGCGCGAAGAGGCCCAGAAGAAGGCCAAGGGACCTATGTCTGGTCGCCAGCTCATGGACTCTGGCAAGTTCGTTGCTGATGAAGAAGACCAGGAGGACTGGGACTTTACCGCCATGCGTGCTGAAACTCTGGCCCTGGAACAGGCTGCCGAAGACGCGGCCGAAGAAGCAGCTCGCGAAGAAGCCGAACGGGCCCGCCTCGAGACATAAACCGGGGCGGTCTGTTCTTTATTTGCACTCATCTTCTCCACCCAAAATATTTATCTTTTTTTTTTTCTAGCAGTTCTTTTTCCATTATATACTAAACTTATAGTGAAGAGTTCTAGTTAACTTCCTGGACCTTGCTATCGTCATTGTCCTCGGCCTCGGCCTCATCAGCCTCGCCAAGCGTGCTGCTGATAGTCTCGTCGTTGCCCTGGCCCTCGCCGCCAAGGCCGAATTGCTTCTGCAACTCCGCAAGCTTGGACATGTCGAAGCCGCCGTCGCCGCCGCCGCCCATGCCAGCAAGAAGCTGAGACATATCGAAACCGCCATCACCAGCGCCCGCGCCAGCACCGCCCATACCGGGCATACCGCCCATAGCGCCCATGTCGGGCATACCAGGCATGCCGCCCATGCCAGCCATGTCGCCAAAGTCCTCGACAGGCTGCTCGTTCTGCTCGTCCTCGTCAACCCACTTGTCAAAGTCGGTCTTGATGTAGGGACGCTTGACCTTGTCCTTGGTCAGACGAGGCCAGTACTCCTCGTTCAGCTCCTTCTTGCGCAGAACAAGGAAGACGTTGCGGTCGTTCTTCTGCTTCTTGGAGTTCTCAACGTCAATCTCAGCAAAGAACTCAAACTCGACAGCAAACTTGTTGCTGCCGTCCTCACCACTGAACTTCAACGAAGTTGCGGTCAACTCCAGGCTGTCGTTTACTAAGTTCGGCTGCTCGATCGTCAAATAGACAAAATTCTTCTCGGCGTCACTAGCACTCGAGCGCTGGGCCCATCGGATCTCAGGAAAAACGGCCATCGTGATGTCTTGAAATTCAATCTGCCAGATGGGGGGCTGCGCTTATTATATAACGGTTGCATCACGTGACGCTGGAATAAGCCTGGAATATTCTTCGACTTCTTTTGCTATTTATTTCTATAACTTTGGCTGATATTTCACCGAAACACACTGTCCTTTGACAAATTGGACAAGGCCCTCTTCGTTCTGGCCCCAGTCGTAGTGGATCGTGCCATCGTCCTGCTGGGAAATAACTTTGGGCACAATGACCCGATCCTTCATGTGCTCAAGAGCTTTTTCCTGGCTAAAGTGCTTTAGGAGTGTCATAATGTAGGCCTGCGGCGGGAACATGGTAAATCTGCCCTCTTCGAACTCAGCCAACGCTTCGGCCGGACTGATCCATAGAAGCGCCTCTGCCTCGCTGCTTTTCCTGAACCAACTCAAGTCAAACTCCTCCGGTGAGTTGTACAGAAAGAATTGAGTCGTAAACCGCTTATTTCCAGCTTCCACTGGCGTTGTCCACTGAGAAGCGCGCGGGAACCCGGCGCCATGGGACCAGTCAATGTCGCTGAAATTGCGATTCATGTATGTCTTTAATGCTCGCTTGTAGTCTGTCTCAGCAAACCCCTTTACCAAAACGCTTTTCTTGGTGTTGGGATCGATCAGAATACCGGTTTCTTCGTAGGTTTCCCGAAGCGCACAGTGCACAGAAGACACATCGTCGGCGTCCTGGGCTCCGCCTGGAAAAACATAGGTGTTCCGGAAACTTCCCCTTGATGGTCTGAGCATAAACAGCACTTTACGGGCTGGTGATACCACCACCAAAGAGGCTGATAGTCTGGGTGTCATTTCTTCGGCTGCTGTAGTAAGCGTTTGGGGCAGAGTGTGGGGTAGATGTAGGCCGGTCTATTTAGTGTGTATCTGGGAAACACAATATACACTCTCTTTCGGAACTTAACCGTTCCAAGCAGTGCATGTGATACGCGTGACGACACTGGAAAATGGCCAGCATGGTTCCAGGAATCTCGCTATTTTTCATTTTGTTCTCCCAGGCTCGGTACAGCACGTTGGCGTCCACCCCCAAGCCGGAGACCTTTTCTCCGCAGCCTTCACATTCTGCATTGGCTGAAATAGACCAGCCTCTCAGGCGATCGTTTAACGACTCAATAAAGCTTCGATATAGATCTCCTTCAACAACAGCTTGCACAGCTTGCAAGGCAATCAGCTGAATGGCCATTGCAGTATACGCTTCATCGATGAGTGCAGCTGCTGATTTCACTTCGATATCCGGCAAAAGCTTCGATATAACTTCAATTGCGACGTTTTGATTGCCCTCCACCAAAACTCTAATTGTTTGTGCTATCTCGTAGCTTGTTCCCATCTCCGCTTCAAGCAGGCTTATCCATAACGCCTCTCCTTCTGATGCATCCACTGAGGAAACATCACGGCAAATGTCTATGGCTTGTCCCACATATTCTTCGATATCTTCATCCAGTTGTCTCGTTCTGATATGGTTTTTGAGATAGATCATAGCCTCGGGCTTGCGGTCCAGCCGGCAAAGTAGCAGAGCGAGCGCGCCAGTTTGGCGATTCTCTAGTAAACTGTCAACAATGAGCGGAAGGTTGATATTTTCAGGTCTCGTTAAAGTGTGTCTTAGAACTTTCATGAGCTTATCACTATCTTTTTCGGCCAATAACTCCACATATTTGTTACAAACCTCACGTGAGGGTAGCAGAGCAGAGTCCTTGACCAGTGCAAAGACCCTATCCAAATATTGATATTGAGCGTCCACACTCACGTTCAGTTTCAAAACGTCACGGTGCATCTCATTACAGTACCGAACTGCAATATCTGCAAGCTTTTCAGGGCTGTCCATCAGACTCTTCAAGTGCTCAACCAGCACGGGGTAAACACTCTTGTCATTATCCAAAGCGACATGTATCAGTTGCCATTTATTATCGTACGGGTCCTCGAGAGAGGCCAAAAGCATTTTTTTGTAGTTGCCTTGAGCTCGATAAATATTTTCCAGGACAGAAAATAGCTTTTCTTCATGAAGCATACCCAAAAACTTGTCCATGCTTGTGGGCTTGTAGACCGAGAGCAATGACTCAATTGCAAGTTCCCTGTCATTTTGAGGCAGTTCGCTGTCTAAAATGTTGGCCAGCACCTTATCAAGTCGTGACACAGGTACCATAAGATACTGTTGGTATTTGGGATAATTTCGAGCCACAAAAACATCGAAATACGGGTTCCGGATCGTATCGAAGAGAACGTTCAACATCATCTGTCTAGAGACCGGTAGGTGGGCTTCCTCATCATCATTAAGATCCGAGTCCTCAAAAGCCTCGTTGAGAGCGCGGAAAAACGAAGCTGCGTCGGCATCAACAAGTGATTCGAGACAAGCATGGTCAGAGGCAAAGAGACGTTCGTAGACTTCACTTTTGGCCCTGATGGGGTTTTTCAAGGGCTTTTCTGTTGGGTATGCCCGGCCAGTCAACACGTATGATAAATATGCGAACCTGTCGGGGCCATTCAATGGCGTAATGAAATCATTGAGGGCATTCAACAAAAACACTTTCGCTTCCTCGAGTTTGAACTCCTCACAAATGTTAAGAGCTAGGTCAAAGTCCAATGTGGATATGTCCAAACTCAAGATGATATCTTGAATAACCTTGGAATCGGCCTTTGCCTTAACCAGCTCCTTAAATACTTTTGGAGGCAGCCTTTTAATTGAACCATCAAGTACAAAAGTGACGAGGAAATCAAAATATACCTGAGAAAAGCTACTCTCCAGCACCATATCCATAATCTCTTCCAACAGCGGCACCTGTGTAACAACGACGGCCTGTATTGAGACGGCCAGAAGCTTGGGGAAATTAGCCACATCGTGGGTGACACAAAATCTCATAGACGTCAAAATAATATCTGGAAGAGCTCTTTCAAGCACATCCTTCCGGGTTTCTTTTTCGAGACCGATCATGGAAAGATCATAGTCACTCGTATAGTACTGTAGCAAAAGCAGAACAGCATTTACTGGTCGTGATTGGTTCAATAGACTCATAATGCAATCTGCCCAATTTGCAAGTGTTCCATATTCAAACTCATGACGTCCAAGAATAAATATATTGGCATCCTGAACCTGAATAGCGTTGTAGAAAGCGTCTGCGACTACCGATAACTTACCCTCCTTTAAAACCTCGCTGTAATAATCTTGGTGGAGTGGGTACTTTCTCAGTATACTCGCCTTGCTCAACATGGTCAAATCAGCTCCATAAAACTGCAATTCTTGGGTAACTGTGACCGCTGCCAGCAAGCTGTCGGTGAGCCAACCAATGTAGACAAATGATTCCGTGCCTTTGATCATTCTATCCGCGGTCACGACATACTCTTCACCATTCCATTTGATTGAAACCACTTTCAAAATGTTACCCCAGCTGTACGCGAGCTTTTTGGTAGCAGAGCAGTACGCCAGCGATGCTGCTAAACCTGTATTTGTGTCAACATTATCGAGGGTGCTCGAAAAACGGAATTGTGACTTGAGCGGAACAATTGAAACCCCCCTTAATGTAAACGGGTTGGTTGTGATGATCAGTAACGGAGCATTTTCTTGTTTTATGACTGTGGCAGCTAGAATCGGGGTGGGTGTCTTTTGTTTATATTGTCCATTGACTCTCCGGCTTCTTGCTGTGGTTCCCAATAAGATTCTCATATTCTGGTGGATAAAAATCAGCCCTCGGTTGTCCATGGAAATCACGGTGGATTTGTGTTTGCCAACAAAAAACACAAAGCATACAATAGATCCGTATAAATGCGATTCATTGGCTTCAACGGCACCTGCTGCTTTTCTAGTAATTGTCGGCAAAATGCTCATTTTTGGACTTGTAGGATAGTTTATATCCCACACAAGGACGGATCCAGTCGCAAATCCGGCCGCTATACAGCTCTCGTCCTGCGAGATGGCTAGCGAGGTCACAGCCCCGTAACGACCGTTTTCAAGAGGCGGCGGGGTCAATTTTACTTTAAGTTCTTGCTCGTAGTCGAAAACAAGAATATCTGCTGTTTCCGTGCCTAGGACAACCCAATTGGCACTACATCGAAGCACCAGAGGTCTACCATGTGGAGCAGCTGAGCCATAAACTGCACCGGCGATCTTTCGCAGTTTACCCCACCTGATAGCGTCACCCTCGTCCTGCAATGGATTATAATCGCTTCTCAGCTGCAACAAAGGCGCACTCTGAGCAGGCTGCCAGGCTGCCTCAAGCCTCAAATCCATAGTATGTAATTACAAATAGTTAGCGTTTTGACTTAAAATGGGGCCTGCACGTCGAAGAGCCCAGGAATCGTCTGACGAGTTTGAGGAGTCTAGTTCGGAAAGTGACTTCAATCCCGAAGAAGACGAGGTGAGCCCGCCTCCTCAATTGATGCCCACAAAGACTCGTAAAAGTAGACGGGGCCAGCCTGTTGAAAACGCGGTAATTGCCCAAGAACCACCTGCTTTCAAGCGCGAATCGTCAGCTAAACCTGGTTCTAAAGATAGTTTGCGTGATAGATTTGAATTTTTCTTCACTAGCGATGAGAAAAGACTCGTGAAAGCGGTTCGAGATCGGATCACCTGGGGTCATATTCCGTTTGCGCCAGATCGGAGCCTGTATTCGGTCTTGGCTCCCGAAAAGGGCTCACATATTTCCTCTTTTGCTAGTGTGAATTTAACTGGAGCACCTGCTCCTCCTTCTGGCTCTCCAATTGTGTTCGAAGACGCGACCCTGTATCCCGGCTTGACTCACCAAGCAAAGCGCGTCCTGCTTGCTAACTTTGGGCATCCGGTTTCCTGTATCGCTTGGGCACCTTATCATGAAGATGATTCGCAATTTTTGGCGTTGGGAATCGTTTCTGGCCAAAAATCGCCCCTAGATCGCAATGCGGTTGACCCTGATCTGGCAGTTTTTTCAGAGACTGGCGACCTGCCGGCAATTTTTTATATTTATTCTTTCAATCCGAGCACTGAAGCATTGAACCTTCTCGCTACTTTTTCCTGCAACTTTGGCCCGGTTGTATCTTTTGCTTGGCGGCCAGTTGAGTCGTCAAGGGAATTGGCTGTGGTGTTTCAACGCGGCCAAATGGCACTTATCAAGGCCGATGAGAGCGGCTCATTCCAGATAGAGGACAACGTTTTCCAGCTGCCTTCGAAAATTACGTGTTGTGCTTGGAGGTCTTGCGATGAGCTGGTGGTAGGAACTTTAGCAGGAGAATTGGCTGAGTTTAAGGTGGATGATGGAACGGCGCCTTCGTACGTTTACACTTTTTCTTCTTCACCAATCTCTGCTATCCAAACCTGCTACCCGGATAATTCTAATTTTGTATTCTTCTCGTCTATGGATGGTTACAGCAAGATTGTGGACGTTCGTGACCTGCGTCATGTTCGGGCAACCGTATCTCAAAGGGCGCGGACTTTTTACACGCAGGCGGCTTGGAGTCCCTTTGTGAATTCGTTTGTTTCTTGTGACGATAGCGTATTGAGTCGCTTGGTGCCGTTGATCCATTCTGAGGTAATTCTTCTTGGTCTCAATATGACGCGACACAAGAGCACTGTGACGGCGTTGGCGGCCTCTCCTGTTCATCCTATGGTTCTTACCGGGGGCATTGATGGTTCGGTGCGTATCGCGAATGCAGTGACCCGGGCAATGGTTGTGAAGAGAGCTGCAAAGCCACCGACAGAAGCCATCGTCTGGACTCTAGAGTGCAGTGAAGCAACGTCCACTTATCGATTCGTGGAGAACCTTGCAGTAGAACCTCTCGGAAAACCCCCTGCGGCGAGTGAGAAGCTTGTATTGTTCCCAAAAACATGTACGATTACCTCTATTGATTGGATTGTGTCTAGGGCCCATGGCGGGTGGTATGCGGCTGCGACTGCTAGCGGGTTGGTCCGGATAGAATGCTTGGATCAATAAATCGGAAAAGTCGGGTCAACGGTTTTGCTGTAGGCTTGCAGCCCTCCTTTAATGTCTTTAACGTTTTTATGACCAATAAACTGCAGATGGCGGACGGCAGCCTGAGAGTCGTTCCCGTAGCGGCACACGGTGACAATGGGAACGTCTTGCTGTAGTCCAAGTTCATCTAGAGACTTGGCTTTTTGTAGAGTTTTCAAGGGGATGTGCATCGAGTGTTCAAGATGGCATATATCAAACTGCACTCTGGGGCGAACATCAATTAGTTGAACATCTGAAGGGAGATCAGATGGAGAAATCCGCAACGAATCCTCGATTGGATCAATATTTGCACTGCCACAGAATCCTTGGTAGTCTGTTTCTCCCAGGTTGGCCAGTGTGATGGTTGGGTTTTCTCCACAAGCAATGCATGTCGGCTTTTTTCCTCTGATTCGCATTGAACGCCAAGGCGGGAACGAAAGAGCCGAGAAAATAGTCAGGCTGGGTGTGAAGTCTTGAATCAGCTCTGCAGCTACCTTGATGGCCTCAATTGCCTGAAACACGCCCATGATCCCTACCACGGGCCCCAAAATGCCCCCGTCACCACAGGCAGTTACTGTTTCCGGGGGCGGGGGCACAGGAAACATGCACCGATAACAGGGACCATTTTTGTAGTTGTATATTGCGATTTGACCCTCTAGTTTCAATGCAGAAGCTGAAATCAGAGGTTTTTTCAATACAACCGCAGCATCGTTGATGAGGTACCGGGATATTGGAGAATCAGTGCAGTCAAGAACGAGGTCGTAGTCGTTCATGATTTCGACAGCATTGAGAGGGGACAACGCAGTGTAATACGTTTGAACGTCTACTGAATCATTGAGGTTCAGCACGAATTTCTTGGCGCTCTCGCATTTGGGCGTGCCCACGCTTGCCTGGGCGTGGATAATCTGACGATGCAGGTTGGATGTCTCCACGACGTCTGGATCAACGATACCGATTTTAGCAAATCCTGCGCCCGCAAGATACGCGATTGCTGGACTTCCTAATCCACCCGCTCCCACAATCAGTACTTTGGTATTTCTGATCTTGATCTGGCCGTCTATACCCATTTCAGGCACAATCATTTGCCGTCCATATCGCTCATAGTCTTGCAAACAGATCATGTAAGCCCAGTTGGAGCGGATTCGATATATATTGCAAGTGTAGGTTACTTTTGGTGTGGTTTAAAAAGGTAGCTGGTAAACAACGTTCTGTGGATGTATTTAGATTGTGTGGTTTTCAACTTGGGTCTTCACCGCCGCGACCAGGCTATGCAAGCTAGTTAGGGACCCTATTTAGAACCCAATTTGGGACCCAATTTAAGACACTGGAGACCACATTCGAAGCAAGTATAAACGGTCAAAACACTGCTGAATTGCTAATTATGCGCTACTTATAACTTACACAAGCTTCTGCTTGGTGAAGAAGCCGCGGAGATGCGAAATTTGCCAGGCACAGGTAGCGGCGAGAACAACTAGCTGCAAGATAGTCATGCGAGCAACCCGAGCATTCGTGGCCTCGGATTGATCACGGAACGCAGCTTCACGCTCCCGCATAAGGGTCTGCTCGCGGCGGAAGAAAATCAGCTTACGGTTAAGGTCTGCAATGCGCTCGGTCAAATGGTCCACTTTGGCGTTGCCCCGAGTATCAATAATATCGCTCTCGCCAACGACAAAGTCGACCTCGAGTTTGATGGTCTCCTTGGCCCACCAGCCGTCAACAAGGGCCCGGTAGCAGACGCGGTGCTCTCCACCTTCCTGGGAAACAAACTGATAGTCGCCGAATGGAGCGAGTTTTTGGTTGAAAACGCGGTGGTTGTTGTCGAAAAGCTCGTCAATAGTGACCTCAATAGCCAAACTGTCGTCGCGCACCCAGTTGTTGCTGCTTTTTTCAAGCTCCCACGCGCTGTGCGTCGCAGCAAACATCATGTCCTTTCTCAAATCAAAGTAGAAACATCTGGGCTCCTCGTTGCCGCCAAGGTAAAAGTGCATGGCCGTGGCACGCATGAACAGCGCCGCAATACTCAGAACGGCCGCAACGTACATTTTCAAGTGAACACGAAGCAGATGACAAACGCGACTACACCCCACATCCTTTGAAGGGGAACGTTCGTTGCATAAAATAGTGCTATAGTAAATACTCTAGTTATGATTTAACATCGGTCGATTCAGTTCCTGCAGCCTCGACGGAATTGGCCTCGGGGGTCGCGGTGGCTTGTGGCGCCTGAGCAGGCACGGGCTCAGCAGCACCAGCGGGTACACGATCGGCAGGCACGGCAGGCTCGGACGCAGCGGGCTCGGGCACAGAGACTTCAGGCTCGGGCACAGCGTCAGGCTCGGGAGCAGCAGCTTCAGGCTCGGACACAGCAGCTTCAGGCTTGGGCACAGCAGCTTCAGGCTCAGGCTCAGTACGAGCAGACTCTGCTTCATCTTGGTGCATTGCTTCTGGATCTGTGGGTACAGGCGTTTCTTGCTTAATGTCAGCCGTATCCTCCCTAAGTTCAGAACCATGCGGCTCTGCAGAAGGCTCCACAGACATTTCACTCTCCAATTCCTCGGTGCCGTCCTCCTCATTTTTAATACCATTTCTTGCATTTTCCTCTTGGAGAGCCTGATAAGACGCAGGAGGAAGTCCGTGCATTACCGGCTCGGCAGGAGTGTTCCACTCCTCTAAAAGGGCCAGGCAGCGGGATGTGAATTTAAGGTCCGAATCAAGAGGCAAGTCAAGCTTGACCGCTACCTTCAAAACACGGTTTATTTTGCTTTGACGAACAAACGCAATTTCCAGGCTCGGAACTGCTTCAAGCTGTTTGAGGTACGACGACAGCTTCTTCATCATGGCGGGAGTAGGGGGGGCATCCAGAAGCCCCTTTTGTAGCCGCACCCTCAGCTCTTTGCATAACTCAAGCCGCAGATGACTGCTTCGAGCAAAGTCCTCGTCTCGGGCAGTGTTCTTATCCTTGTCGTTAGAGGGCCGTCCGCGTTTACGCGCTTTTAATTCGATCCGGTGATCCAGCTCTTCAATATCCAAATCATCCAAAGTTCCATCGGCGTCCAAATCGCCATCAGCCGCTTTCCGTTTACGGTTTCCTCTGGAGCGGCTGGTTGCCTTCACAGGCTTTTCTACAGCTTTGCGGGCTTTTTTAATCTGGTGAGGAACAACCTCGGGCTCAGCTTCAGCTTCAAGCTCTGCAACGGGCTCCTCAATGATTTCAGGTGGATTGTTCACCAGGTCAATATAGTCTTTGTAGTTTGGTGGATCTGCGGCAATCTTGAACGCTTCGACGAGTGCTTTCTTTTTCTTGCTACCAGAAGCCAACTGGGCTGCTCGTTCGCGAGTCAGCTCCTTGATTTCGGTATCTGTGACCCAAGAATAATTATTATCAACGTAGAACAGCACAGGGTACACCTCCTTGCTTTTGGGTTTCGCGTCGAGAATCTCCGGAGCAAGATCCTCCTCCCCAACAATAACAGCAGGCCACGCTGGGTAGCCCTTTACCTTAACAAGAACAGTGCTACCTGTATCAAACTCACTGCCTCCGACCTCTGTAGAGACATCGGCCATTGATGTGTCCTCAACTTCAGCGCTCATGTTGATTACGCGGAAGGGAACAATCCAATTTAGCGATTAAAAGCAGCAGAGGTCTGTACAGAGGAAAGAGATTTGAGGAATACAAAGCACGCAAAGCGAACTGAAGCTACGTTATATGTACCAGAACGCCAGCAGCCGTTTGTAAACACGATATATTCCGGCAAAGTCGAGACTTTGAAGTAAGCCTGCGTAAAGCAAAGCATGAGAATGATTCAAGATCAAAAACGTGTTAAAGTGCCGAGATTGCAGGATTTATGAACAAAACCGCATGGAGTTGAGCAAAAAAGCCAAAGGGCGGGCAGGCCAAAACAAGCTAATGCGGGCAAGCTGCATAAGCTAGTTAGGGCAAGCTAGTGCGGCTCTTAGCTAAAAGACCATTAGCATTCCAATTTGCAACACAAAATACGTCCGTCGAGATATCTCATACTAGAAAAGCACCATATGAGGCGTTCTACAATTCAGTATACAAATGCCAAGATCAGGCTTTTTTCTGATAGTGGGTAAAGTGTCCGAGTGGTTAAGGAGTCAGACTTGAATTTTAGTCGGGCATCTGATGGGCTATGCCTTCGCAGGTTCGAATCCTGTCTTTACCGCCATTTCTTTTTGCACCAAACACTCAGACCAAGCGACGAAAACTCGTATTTTTGCCAGTCAAACACGCAGAATCTCAATAAACACTAACATCCATCAATAAATAAAGCTACTCAAAATCATTATTTCCATGAATCAGTTCCAGGCCATACACAGTGAGCGTTGTAAACACATTGATCCACCCCCAGAACTGCCACGACAACCGTGAATTATACCAGATATTCCAGGTGGAGAATACTGCTGAAAAGGGAGCTGCCTCGGTGTTCTTGGCAACGTGAACAATACCCCCGAAATGCTGCACTAACAAATGGGTGTAGACTGCAATTACGATGCACGGCGAGTACGAGTAGATCAAGAACATCACCGGATTGTATCTCCACCTTGGTCTCTGATGGCTGGGGTCCCTAATATAAGGAATAATGCGTAACGCTAAAAAGAACGCAGCAAGGCGCACCACCAGCGAAACAACGACTGACGGAGTAATAGTAGAAAGCAGCACCAATACAAACTGCGAAAGGGTTCGAAGACCTGTTGGAGCCAGCTCTGCCAGTGTCGTCATAAACCCAGTGTAGCTGTTGATCAAGTGCAACGGTAAGGGGGGGAGGTCTTGATCAAACAGATGCTGGCCCTGCCGAGGGGGAACAGAGTTGCCGAGTTTCAGTCCCACTTGCGAAAAAATGACAGCAAGGGTCGGTGCCGACGAAAACAACGTGTTTGATTGGGTTGCTCCCTCTTTGGCCTGGTTTCCAAATGGGAACAGCGACAGAGGAGCATCGGACGCCTGAAAGTCAGTGAAGGTCAGATAAATAACATAGACAATGTAAGAAAACAACAGGCTAGTTTCTGTCGCATTGCTCTTCTTTGTCCAAATACCATAAACGCTGAGCGAGATACACACGGTTATTGCTGCGCCAATCAAGGTTGCGGTCAACGCACCCACGACGGACGGCATGGTGTATATTCTAGCCAAGAAAAATAAGTCCAAGGAAATCAAAAGCGACGCTATGCATAATTGCCAGATCGACACCACATCAGAACGGCGTGCCAAGTTCCTGGCAAGTCGGCTGATCACCTGTATCGTGACAATGGTGCAAAAACCCTCCAGCAACGCAAAGGGTCCTGTGGCGTAAACCAGTGTCATTTTCCACGGATACATGACTTTCTGATACAGCGGGTTCTCGATGAGCTGGGGGAAAAAGCTCATATGCAGCAGCAGCAGTGACGGTAGTACCAGAATGGACAGATAGTACATTGCTGATCCCAAGGTGTGCAGACGCGTCCCCCGAAGAACAATTCTGATTGTCGCCATAGAGGCATACCAAATAATTAGCAAAAGGGTATACGAGATACCGCAGTCTTCGCCGCCAACATCAAATGCTAGCGGAATCGACAACAGGAGGACGCCCTGGTAGAGCGTGCCATATAAAAAACGCGTAATTTCTGCAACTGTCATTTACCTTGATCAAGTCTGAGACTTTCAAAATATGATCTGCACTACGCGATATCCACTTGCCAGCCGGTGACGCTTTACCGGAGGACGATGGGGCTGTATAGAAAAACCTGACTAACTTGGAGGGAATTATAGGTTGAGTTCGAAATTTATGCAGAGAACAGTAATCCTCGGCGGAACTCACGTTTGCGGGCAGAACTTGCAATTTGAGTAATTGGTGGTGTTTCCAACTTTATGTTGTGTTTCGCCCCAAAATAAACTGCGGGTGGTCTAGTTGTGAGGCCGCGTGCCCGCTAACCTAACACCTCCCACTGTGATTTATAATTTATATTTTTTTTCCACATGAAAAAAGTCCGCAGTGAGGACGATGGACAGGAAAACCAGGCCTACAAAGCTCTGTTGACGCTGCTGGATGACGGCGAGACACTTGTTCACAAACTGCCCAAACAGCGGGCGGTGGAGATCCAGTCCAAGGGCAATATTGAAGGTGCAAGCGATAACGAAGAGGAGGAAGAGAGCGATGATGAGATCCAAGTCGAAGACGATAACGAGGGAGACTGCAAGGACCCGTTTGAGTGGCACTTTGCCTCTGCTGATCTGGAAAATGTCGACACCCCCACAAAATGGAAGTCTGTTAAGCGCCAATTAGTCGAGCTAGGGTCTCGATCAGTGCTGCAGCTGCCCGATCCTGCTATTGACTTGGGCCAAGTGCCAAAAGTATCAGGCATTGGCAGCCTCAAGCTGAAATACCGTATTATAAAACCGTTTGAGCAAGTAAACCCCGAACTTAGCTCTCTCCAAACCGAGTTGGCTGGACCGCTGTTTGGGTATCAGGACATTTTCGTTTCGAATCGGACCTGGGAGAATGCACAACAGATCCAGAATCTGTACGTTTTGCACGCAATGAATCATATTTTGAAAACAAGAGACCGTATTTTGAAAAACAACAACAGACTGTCTGCGGACACCAATCTCGAACCTAAGGATCAGGGATACACTCGCCCCAAAGTGCTTTTCCTTGTTCCCACGCGTAACTCGGCCGTCAAGCTTGTTGAGACAATTATTGCAGTTTCTGGACTGTCGCAAATCGAAAGCAAGAAACGATTTATGGGTGCCTTCAACGAAAAGACCGAGCCTGCGGGCAACAAACCCGAAGACTTTCAACAGCTGTTTGCTGGCAACACTAATGATCTGTTCTGCCTGGGTATCAAGTTCACAAGACAGGCTGTGAAGCTGTACTCTAGCTTTTACTCGAGTGACATCATTGTAGCCAGTCCTTTAGGACTGCGTATGATCATCGGAAACGAGGGAGACAAAAAGCGAGAGTTTGACTTTTTGAGTTCGATCGAGCTGATGGTTGTGGACCAACTTGATGCTATTCAGATGCAGTCATGGGAGAATCTCACCCATATTTTCCGCCACGCTAATCTTATGCCCAAAGAATCACACGGTTGCGACTTTAGTCGTATTCGGCCCTGGTACCTCGATCAGAAGGCCAAGCTGCTCCGCCAAACAGTTTTGGTGTCCGCATACACAACACCAGAAATGTCGAATCTAATGTCAAAACAGTGCCTCAATATCGGGGGCAAGCTGCGCTGCCGTCTCGAATACCACGGAAGCATGGCAACCATTGGTGCTCGCATCCGCCAGGTGTACCACCGCCTACCCCCCGTAAGTTTCGATCGGGAGGCTAATGAGCGATTCGATTATTTCACCAACGTCTTGCTTCCCGGCTTACTTCGTGGAGCTTCCCATGACGGTACCCTAGTGTTTATTCCCTCTTACCTCGACTTTGTACGGGTCAGAAATTATATGGAAAAGCACAACCACAGCTTTGTCGTTTTGAGCGAGTACACTTCTCAGTCACAAGTCTCAAGAGGCCGTACGTACTTTGCTGATGGTCGCAGTAAAATCATGTTGTATTCACAGCGTCTGCATCACTTCCGCCGGTACAATATCAAGGGCTGTAAAAACATCGTGTTCTACGGGCTCCCGGACAACCCCAAGTTCTACCAAGAGATTGTGCGCTTCCTTGCTCGTACGAGCATCGAAAAGGGCATCGATCCGGACCTGCTACGCGTCCAGGTTGCTTATTCTAAATGGGATAGTCTGAAACTAGAACGCATTGTGGGCAGCAACCGGGTTGGCCCCCTGGTCGAAGGACTGAACGATATGTACGAATTTTTCTAAATGTAAAATAAATAATTCCAAAAACCGTTTCACTTGGAGACGATCGATACAGCCATAAGCACACAGCAGATCGCCACGTACGGGCTCAGTCTCTCGCCTATACGGGCAGCTTTCCAGGTGATCCCCAAGATGCCGTCTTTCTTCCGGTCCACAAAGCGAGGAATCAGTGCGCGGAGGTATGTCGCCGTGCAGACAAGCAGCAAAATCACCAAAAGCAGCGACTGGAAATTGAAGATCGCAGACATGTCAGGATGACTAACCGGGAAAGAGGCATGAAGAATAATTAAAATGCTAAACATAAGTCGTAAATAGAGGTTTCGTCGCTTGGTCTGAGTTTTTGGTGGGTCATTTGCAATGCATTGGCAAGCGACTCGGTCATTAGGGGCAGATCGTTGGCAATGTCCAGAACTAGGCTGACGAAAACATCGAATTCCTGCACCGACCACTGGTGCCGAAACGCTCGCGTGACGCGGTATATAAGGTCGCGCGACGGATTGCTGTGGTTGGCAAGCTCTTTGAGCATGCCGCACAGCTTTGCAAAGTCACCCATTTCCAGGTACTTGTTTGCAAATGCCAGCAGAAGACGTTCGTCAGGCACCAGGCTTACCATCTGGGTGACCTGCGAGTCGGAGTTCGAAAGCTGCCGTGTGCGGTCTATCATCCACAGGAGCATCGACAGCTGATTAGGGTTGGTGTCCACAACGTGCGTGTTCGGGCTGTTACGCAGTAATTGATGAAGAAAGTTCTCTGCGGCCGCAATGTAGCCGCTCTGCAACAGGCCTTGCATCATGATGTACAGGGTGGAGATATCAATAATGAATCCTTGGTCACAGAATTCGCGGAAAAGGGCCTTCAGCTCCACTGGCCGATTACGGGCCCGCCGCATCAGACAGTGGAACGTGAGTCGATCGGGTTTGAGGCCGTGCGACTTGATTTGGTCGAGGGCGAAACTCTGCAACTCTGCCGAATTGGAATTTACTCCAGCATTCAGCAAAACATTCAAAACCCGCAGATCGCCACTACCAAAGTGTGCTCGCCAACTGGAGAATTTGTCTCTCAATTGTTTTTCTGAGTGGGAATTTTTCGACATTAACAGAAGAGCCTCTGCTCGCTCAAATGAAGAAAACTCGTACGATACACGCTCCAGAGACTCGAATACCGCCATGTATGCCTTGGAATCGTTCTTTTGTCTGGCAAATGCCATCATGTCCCGCAAATGGGCTCGATAAACGTATCGCGCAGTCGGCTGGGGTAAATCGGCCATGGCCTCGAGCACTTTGGGCAGCTTGATTGGCTTTCTATACAGCTCAAACAAGAACGCGTTGTACTGTTTAGCCGGACACCATAGTTTTGTGTCCTCTTCGGATTGAACAGGCACAGACGGGCCATAGTACTCGGTTTGAAGCCGATTAAGGATTGTTCTGAATGTCCGCCGGGAATTGGGCTGTGATCTGAGATCAAAATGGGCCGCCAGGTTCGCCTGGTTCTCTTTGACAACAGTTTCCAAAATTTCTTGATATTCCTCTTTTAAATTGAGCTTCTTCCGTCCAGCGGGCGGCGTCCATAACCGTCCAGCGGTGTATCCCGAAAACCTCGCCGGGTCTGGGGGTTTCCATCTCGTTTTGGCCCTACTGCTCCAAAAGTATTGTCGGAGCATGGAAATAAATAATTTTTTATTGGGTTGCTGCGAAATTAGTCCGGAAACAGCACAGTATTTTTTTTTCAGATCTCCCCAAGCACTCCTAAAGATTTGCTGACAAACTCACAGACGGTTTTTCTAACGATTTACTGAAATTTCAAAATGAAGTTGCAGACCGGAGCGACTCAGGTTGCACTGCGTACTTCACAGCTGATGCGTGCAGGATCCAACATTCGCGGTGGCAGGACTGCTGTTTCCGAGCCCGCATGGTACAAAGTTGTCTTGGCCAACCCGCCGACACACCAGCTCTTGCCCAAGCTGCGCAAGCTCAAGGAGTACGTTGAGGTTGCTCGGGCCCAGCCAGAAGTGAACACCCGTACTGGTATGTACACTACGCGAATCAAGGCCAAATTCAACACCCGTGCTGGTCACCTGTACAAGCTGTCCAAGATTGAGTATCCCGAGGACAAGATCCGTCGCCTGTTTTACACAAACCACCCTTGGGAGATGGCTCGCCCGCGGAACATGATCGAGAACAGCGGCCGGTCTGTGGCAGACTGCGACTGGTCTAATATGCGTCAGCCCACTCTCCGTCTCAGCGGTGAGAACGTTGTCCAGCGCACCCTTTGGTTGGCTTCGCAGCCTGCGTACATGAAAGAGCACGGCAAGGACTGGTACGAGGCCTACAAACAGGCCCGTCTCGAGTTCTACCGTCTGCGTATTGATGAGAATGCCAAACAGCAGGTCGCGGCCGAGGAGGCTATCATGAACGGTGCTGTCTTTGGTCCTTCAAGCATCGAGCACGGTGTTGCCGTTGAGCAAAAGGTTATTGACAAGTACATTGATATTGCCAAGAAGGCCACCGAGCTCAAAGCCCAGCGTAGAGCGGGAGCCCAGACCGAAGCTGAAGAGCCCTCCTCTGCATAGAAAGGACAAAAAAGCAAAGTTGTATATATTTACATAGATTCAATTGTGAATCAATAATAAGGAGCCCATCCCTCATACAGCAGCGCCAAGTTCTCCAGTGAAGAGGCTTGTTGGATCAGCTGGCGCACCGTCGCTTCACTACTCAACCGCCCAGAGAGCTTTTTGCGCACGCCTCGAAGTGCCCTCTCTGCCTCGTCCGATTCGGGTTTTTCGGGCTGCTTGATGCTGGTTGCTTTGGAGACGAACGTGCCGTCTTGTACTGCTTTGCCTCTGATCGGTGAGAGACACCATTGGTAGAGTGGATCATACAGCAGCACATCGAGAACGGTGAAAATATCATCCTGCTGTTCTCGAAGCAAATCCATGGTGATTTCTGCACATCTCGAAAAAATGCCATGGTATCCGGTAGAACCAAAGCCATCAATAATCTCACGCGACAACCGAAACGGAACCGTCTCTGGAATACGCAGTGCCTTACCTTGGTCGAACGCAATGCCCAGGTCAATGTGCACGACCTCACCAGTGGAAATATCGAGAAGAATGTTGCTGCAATGTCTGTCTCCCAAGCCAAGAATATGACCGACTATCGAACTAGCAGCTGCGGAGCGAGAATAGACAGTTCTAGCTTTGAACCAAGCTTCAGCGTGCCTGAACTGACGGAAAAAAAAGATACGCAACACAGGTTTGATGTTGTTACATATTTCCCGGAAGGTCGCAATCCGCTTCTCTCTGCCCTCCGGATATGCTTCAGCCATTAGTTCACGGGCTCGTTTTGCTGTGCACTGTTTGTCGTCGTGTTCGCGATGCAGGGGCTCTAAAATATCAATCAAACTTTTCGTGTTATTCACAAACTCAATCACGCCTGATTTTGGGCTCAGAGAAACTATGTTGTAGGTTCGGACGGCTAACTGCCGCTTTTGAGCCTCTCGATCTTTGGCAAAGAAATTGTTTGTCTGTCCAAACACTTGCTCCATGATTGCGTCTTGACGAAGATCATCTTTCGAATCTTTGAACAGCATTGTATTTCGTTCTCCCCAGGAGTCAGTGGCATGAACAATTTTTGGAGCACTAATGCCGCTAGCAATGGTGATTTTAGTTTCCAGAGACTGGAAGACGGGGACATCCCTGTAGCTGCAATCAGCACGAACCGCCAATGTGCGTGTGGGAATCGGCACTCCGATACTGGGGAGAGTTTCCCTCCACCATCTGCCTTGTTTGTTTTTCAACCGCCGGAAAGAAAATGAAGACCGCTCCTCGACTGGTACCTTTTCCGCACCTAGAGCAATAGCTTGTGTACAAAACGACCGAATCGAAAGTGTCAAATCAGCCAGAGCCTCTTCTTTACTTAAAAGTTGCCAGAATTTCGTACCAGCATTCGATCGTGCCACTGCACGGGCATCTGTTTGCGTGACTTGAGTCAACGCTTGCATGTACCATATTGTATGGAAAGGATGGTCCAAAGTGACAGCCCTAAGAAGCTTCCAGAGTACTTTTTGAAACGACGGCGGATCTTCGCCCATACATGAAGTCAGCTGGTTCAACCAGGGAATCCAGTTGAGAGTAGGCACAGTTACAAAACCTTGCTCAATGATGTCGTTGATTTCGCTAGTATTTGTGTTTGCTAGCCAAAGGGCAACTATCCGAGACGAATCGTTGTAATTATACTGACTTCCAACTGACAGGCTTTCAAGGTACATCTTGAGCGCTTGGGTTACAAGGCGAAGCCGCTTTTGCATTAACCGCTGATAATCACGATACTCTGATTCGAGTAAAGCTCTACCACGACTGTATTTTGCTTCCAAAAACGATTTCTCGGCTGGCTGCGCTCTTCGAAGTTGCTCTTTTAGGCTCTTCTGCTTAGCATCACTGTTTGTTACCACTCGCTTCGCTTCTTTAATTTCTTTGATGAACAAAGGATCCTGATAGCTACCGTCACAAAATTTCGCAAACGTGTGATATACAAATTCCTGTGTAGGTGGTTTGGTGCCATCAAGACTGTTCATAGCTGGTTTCAGAAACTCTTCTTGAATCGTCGATTCTGTCTCACTGCGCGATTCTGAAGCCCATTTGGCCAGAGTGCACAGAACCTCACATCGATCAAAGAGTGGCTCATGATCTGAGAGCACTAAAGCGTTGCTTTGTGAAGCTTTCCGAAGCATAAATATAGAGTCTGTCTGATTTCCGAGCTGCCAACTGATTTGAGCCGAGGCAATCAGTGAGGAGACTTGAATATGGTCACTCATGAGAGTGTTGTCCTGCGATGACTTTGCTAGGTTTTCTAACTTGAGTGCATACGCAACTGATCTCATGACATCGCCATCTTTCAGTAGAGTCATAAAAGAACAGGATAACTCACGAGCGAGTTCGCACTTGCCTATCCGAGACAATAAAAACTCACGGCCAAGTCGTGAATGCTCAGTTGTCGCTGCCAAAGAATTATACTTGATAATTTCTTTTAGCGACAGAAGTGGTTTTAGGTCCTGCTTCTCGCGTGCAATACAAAAGGCATTGACCAAGGCAGGTTCAAAAACGAGTTCTTGGTTTTTGAATAGTGCAAAAAGCAGTCCTGTTTCAGTATTAGCTCGAGCTGGAGCTGGAAGCTCCCACATTTGATGCTTAAAGGCACTATCGTAGCTGTAAAGATCGGGTTTGTGTATCGTTTCTGCCATCCGCAACATACCAACGTTGCAAAAAGAGTGATAAAGAGAGCGTGTTCCCGACATGCTTTGGTCAGAATGATCCATACCTACCTCGAAACGACTGAGGCTCAGTTGAAGCTCACGCCAGGGATTTAAAGAAGCAGCAACTGTGTCCAGGTCCGTAGACAGCTGGAGTCCATGACTGATATCAGGATCGTCAATACCTTTGAAAATATCAGCCAGTATCGCTCTGTCACATTGCTTATTTTGGTCAAAGAGCAGCTCAGCAAATAACAAGGCTTCAATATCCATATTCAGATCATGTGCATACAAAACGAGAGACTTGAGCTCTTCGAATGGAATAGGCTGCTCCAAATGGGCTCGCCGATAGCTGTTCACGATCACCTTGCGCACTTTAGGAAAAGCGCTTATCATTTCTTTCAGACAATTCATGAGTGATGATGCAGTGCTATTGGAACCATTCGCAATCAGACTTTGGTATAGAAACGGAATGATCTCTTCAGCCAACTGAGGAAGGAAATAGTGGGCAACGTTGAGTGGTACATCAGAGTGAGCGTCGAAAACAGACGCAAGCTGATGTTCAAGAATATTTTTGATACTGGCGACAGGAAATTTGGGCTTTGGGTAGCCATTTGGAAGTAGCTTTCGATAAAACGGGTAAAGCTGGCGGGCAGCTGGAATATCACGCAAATACGGGATGAACCATCTGAAGACAGAGTATCCACGCTTCTGCAAATGAGAATAAATAACATATACAGTCGCAAGCTGGGGGTTGTCAGGAAGGACATCTTTAGAAAGTGGCGAAAAGTCCTGTGTAACGTTCACCAAGAAATTGGCACACCATGCCGACCAGCCCTCCGTGTTCTTATCCAAAGCTCTTGTCCACTCCAGCAAGTTAGAAGACAGAATCTGGCTTCGCCTTGTGTCTTCTACTTTGGGGATCTTTGAGACTTCGCAGTGCTCTGCTTGATCAAGTAATGCGGCATACATTGGAGCCTCAAGCTCCAAAGAAGGGAAGTCTCCATCTAGAAGCGACAGAACTTGGCTCGGAGAAGGTGAATACAAAAAGTCGAAAACAAAACGTGCTTCTGTTTGGAAAAATGCCGAGAACTTGAGCTTTAAGGACTCACGGAGGGGGGTGCTCAAGGAGCATGCAAGCTCACTAGCCAGAACGGCATCAAGATCACCAGCAACAAGACTGATCAGATGTTCTAGTATCGGCAACAACAACGGATGCTGGAAAGAAACGGCACTCCTAAGAAACGACTTGAGTACAGTTGAGCATCGCTCAGAAGCAGAATAGGCCAGCCAGCACCTTCTAATGGCAATGTACACTCTGGCTGGGGTCGCGTATAATGCAACTGTTTTTAATGTCTCCTCGATTATCCACTCAAGAGCTTCCGGGGCCAGTGGGGGTAGCACTGGAAGCTTATTGAATTTTGAATTGTCTTGCGAAGGCAAAGGAAAGAGCTCCCAATCGTCTGCCGAGATACGCACCAAAGGTAAAATCTTCAAATAAATAAGGGGAGCCCAGCTCTCCAAATCCAAGTCATCTCTTTTATGTTTCCCACTGAATCCCGTGCGCGGTGATTGAACCATTTCCGAAGCTCGCACAATTGCATCTTCATAGTCCGCGGATACGCCTTGTGGTAAAAACGGCAATGGAACCATTTGAAAGACCTGTGATGGATCTGCATTGAATAGATCAAAAGGGAAATTCCAGTTGTTGTGATTGCGAACCCATATTTCGAAAACATCGGTGCCTACAAAATACAGCAGCGCCCTGGCTGGCTGCTGAAAGTGCGTTGCAAGAGCTTTTATCGCACCAATTAGTTCATTTGAGGCACAAAATTCAATGATAACGGCCAAGTCACCACCTTTATCAGCACAGGCTACAACTATAGTGTCAATAGTTGCGCTACTTCGGTTCAAAGCGCTCGACAAAAACTTGATAAGGATCTCATTGTCCATTGACAGTGTCTGAGGAAAAACAATATATTTTGTTAGCTGCAACGCAATGTCTTCACAAGAGCCCTCAAGTATTTCAAATACCCATTCTGGATTAGCCGTAGCAAGAGCAGCCGCTGGTAACCTCAGTCGGCTCAAACATGATTGATTGACAACCACACTTTGCACAAACGCACCAAGCTCAGCTGAAAGCTTTGAATGAAAGGAAAGATCGCGAACTGTGGTTAAAGTCAGTATTACCCACTGAAGGGCCTTTCTACCCCTTTGATATTCGTAGGAGGCAAAGACAGACTTTGCTATAAAGTTGAGAGTGGCACTGGGGTCGTCAGTCGAGGTTGTGTAAAGAAAATTCGACAGAGAAAGTGTCTCCTGGGCCAGTCTTTGACGAGATTTATGAACCAACTCATCAAAGTTGTCCTCATGCGGCCATTTCGTGGCCATTGATCCTATCAACTCTGCGTGAACGAACGATTTAGCAGAGTGCGCGTATAAAATTAAATTTTCCATATCGTTTTTGAACCTTGGGGTGCTAAAGTACTCATACTGTGCCGTCGTCAAATTTTTCGAATTGCAGAGTGCAAGCCACATCAGCAGCTTTTCATTTGACGGTGTGACAGAGGTGACTAGAGTAGAGTCAACATGAAGCTTTTCCCCAAAATAACTGACAGGTTTGACAGAGTCTGGTTTTCGAAAACTTTCAAAGTCTCTGCACATTTCGGATATCTTGCCGCTGTACAAGGAACTTTGGGATGTTTGATCGACAGCCGAGATCAACTCTAAACTGAAGCTTGGTATATTAGGACTTGCAAGCCACAAGCACAATTGAGTACTAAACCATTTGTCCAAATCCTTCAAACCATTTTGAAATTTCTCATCCACGATCTTCAGCTCTTTGAAGGTGCGGTAGAGAAACAAGCTACCGGAGGAGAGGGGACTGGAGTGCAGCTGACGGGCTAACACATTTAGCAGCTGAAGAATATTGATCTCGACTGGATCGAGCACAATCAGTTTGCGGATGCACAGCGCCAGACAATATGCAGCGGAAGAACTGCACACGGGGTCGCTCAGTTTCTGAGACGCAGCCCATCCCACTTTTGAGCAATCGGTGAAAGAGAGGTTGTGTAGGCCGCCGGCTGAAATCAACATGAATACCCAAAAGCATTCCAAGTGTTGCAAGTCGAGAGCCAATAAATAAAGCACATCATTCGAAGTCAACTGGGAGTCAATGAAACACAGTGCCTGCAAAAGGATTTGATTCAGGGGGAAGTTTTCATCAATTAACTGCAGAACTGACTTTTCGGAAGGTGTGGTGAACGAGCTGGATAGCAAATGTGATAGACTCTTTGCTGCTAAAAAAGGCGCCAGGGGTGCAAATGAGCGTGCACGAAACCATTTTGTGCCCATCCAGCTTGATTCAGATGGTGAGAACTCAATGTCGGTTTCGGGGATTTTCAAACTATCCATATTCATAATTAACTTGGAGATGATATTCTGGGGAACGTTGGGATCATCGAGGCTGGCACAGAAGGCAAAGGCCTCGACTTTCAGCTCTTGGCTTCTGAATGGGCCAATCTCGATAATACTCAGGCCCAATTCTCTTGAATAAGTAGCAACTGATGTGTTTTCGTGGCTGGAAAACAAATAAATAAGCCCCACGCATCCCAGCATGTAAGGGTGTGCCGAGGTTTCCTCACCTAGATAGCGGAAACTGGCGATGGTATCGAGGATTTCAGAAAGAATTGAGACATCAACAGCTTCGAATGATTTCAGAAGTACGTGTATGCAGCGAAACACCTTGGTGGATAGCTTAAAATAGAATCTTTGCGAAGAGTCCGGCAAGCCTCTGTGCAGTCTACAGAGAAACGAGCATAGCGCGGACCATTCATTGATTGCTAAATGGTCCAAATGGGATCTTTTGTCGACAATTCCATTAACAAACCGCAAATAACCTGATGATTTGGACAAGTCGCGGATTTTGAACGCGGTGCTGCTGGAAAGGCGCGAGATCACTCTTCGCACAGTCTTTATGCGGACGGCCGGGTTCTCGAACAAACGGCGCACTAGCCCGTCGATCTCGGACTTTGAGCTCTCGAGCTTGTCGAACAACTCATCAGCGAACGCTGCAGCTTCGGCGTCGGTGCTGATTTCTTCCACCGACCTTTGCAGGCTCATAAATAATGTAATTGGGTAATTAAGTTACAAAATGCTCTAGAGATGCAAAATAATTAAGGCTTTAGCGGAGGGGTTTTGCGGATAATTTCAAAGAGATAGACCACGTCACGGTGGAATTGCTCGTACTCGGGGAAATCTCTGATTTCGACCACGTCGAAGTTCTTTTTGATGCGTTTGAAAAAGTGCTTGTCGGCTTTGCGTCGTTTCTTGTAGGCCATCAGAACACGAGTGCCATCGTTGGTTAGATCCAGCAATGTTTTTTCCAAAAGCGGGAAGGCAAACTCGAGATAGACACAGTCGGCGGCTAAAATGAGGTCGGCGCCCTTTGCGTACTCCGGCAACTCTTCACCCCAGTTCAAAACCCGTGCCTTGACCCTTTGTTGTTGGTTGTTCAACACAATGTTTTCCTCCATGAGATGCATCAGGTTTTCTTGGTCGGTGATGTAGAGCTCGAAATCAGCCTCCGGGTGCCCCACGGCGACGGCCAGACCGGCCAATCCCGTGCCACTTCCAAGCTCAATGATTTTTCGGTACGGAATCTCAGCCTGTCTAATTAGATAGCGGCTCAAGAGCTCGCCAGCAGGCCAAAGACGACCGCCGCAGCCCGCAGCCCCGCCGTCTTGATGAACCTTAAGAGGCTCTTTCAAAAGACCGTCAAAGGTCAGGTCCTGGATACCCCGATCCGAAACATCGTTTATGGGCACAAACCCCCAGTCGAGATCCATTATGGGAAGGCTGACAAAAGGAGTGAAAAATCTGGGAAATCTAGAGAAAAGAGTTTTTGGTTTTTAGAAAGCTATCAAGGAGCAATATTTAAATGCACACATTATTTAAACGACGACACCGGCGTTGGAGGCAATACGGGGCCAGAGATCGGCGCACTCCTTGGCGACGGGGCCGGTAATAGCAGAACCCTTCATCTCACCCTTGGGGTTGACAATGACGCCAGCGTTGTCCTCAAAGTAGAGGAAAACACCGTCCTTCCGGCGCCAGGGCTTGGACTGACGGAGGACAACGGCAGGCATGACCTTCTTACGGAGCTCGGGCTTACCCTTCTTGACGGTGGCCATGACCATATCGCCAACGGCGGCGGCGGGGAGACGGTTGAGACGAGCACCAGCGCCCTTAACGGCAATAACGTAGAGGTTGCGGGCACCGCTGTTGTCGGCGCAGTTCATGACGGCGCCAACAGGCAGAGCCAGGGTGACGCGGAACTTGGAACCGGCTTGCTGCTTGGAAGACATTAGTACAGTGAACCATCGTCGCGCTGCCAGGGTTTAGAGTCGCTTGGGAGTCACAGCCCTAAGCCCTAGAGACTTGCGGCAGCCGTCAGGGTGTTGGGTAGGGGTATATCGTATGGCGGCTGCGCCGGTGTTCAAGCGTCAAAGGGCCCAATAATAAACGCCTGAGCAGCCGCGTTGTTGAGAGACGTGGTAGTCGCATTGAGCTCAACACACCCCACGACGAGTCTGCTTCTAGCGGCAGGATCAGCGGCAGTGCCGACTGAGCACCAACCACAAGCTCAGAACAAGAAGGAAATTCGTGACTATGGACGCTGGATTTTATCCGCTTTATATATTACTTTTAACCGCATCGAACAGTGAATTGGTCGAACGGCTACAGCTTCACCCTTAGTGGTGGTGAGCGTCGGGCTTGGCGGTCATATACTCGTAGGCGTTAAACAGAGCAAATGCTACAAGAGCAGTGCCAAAGCCAGGAAGACTGCCACGGAAACGATTCATGCGGGTAAAAGGGCCCTGATAGCGCCACGCCTCTCTGCGGTTAGTCCTGTTCTCATTGCGACAAGGGCAAGCGGGTGAAAGCGGCTGCGGCAAGCGAATATTGCTCACTCAGGCACCACTGCAGCCTCCTCCGTTTCCATACCTGCTCTTTGCTCGCTTCCTCTTCTTTGGTTACTTACTGACGAGCCCATGGGTCCTTAAAGTTAGCCATTGTCAAGTTACTAAGGTCGAGCGCTGACTGGCTGATTAGTGAGTTGGCTCGGGGATGCCTGAAATAAATAGATATGTGCATATGGAAAACAATACGAACTAGAGAGGCCAACTAGACCGGCAATTATACAACATCATCACTTTCGTTCGATTCAATTACCGCAAGCGGCACGTACGACTGCGGGCTCTGGACGCTGGGGTAGTAGTGGAAATAGGTAAAGTATGCCACGGTGAATCCAAAGCACGAGCCCAGCAGCACGTCGAACCAATGATGTCTGTAATCTGCGATCCGCGAGACAGCAACGTAAAGCGCAACAACAAGAGGGAACCCGCCAATTAGGATCTTGTAAACACTGGCACCACTGCGCCATAGCCCGAACTGGCCGCTGGTCCAGAGACTGAGGAAGCCCAAGCCACAGAACGAATTCGAGGAGTGACCAGAGGGAGTCGAGCGGAATCCGTCGCTCAGAACCGACTTCTTTGTGTTTGTGCAGACCTCGACCGATACATACTCGTGCAGAGGAGTGCCAGTGGCCGGCATGCATCGAGAAATGAGGTCCGGGCGGGTGTTTCCGATCCACAGCTTTACCAGACCGGTGATGAACAGATTCACAACCATTGCCATGACGAAAGCCATCACGGCAATGAGGATATGTTGCACAGTGTGCTTGCGTCTCCACGAGAGGAGAACAATTGCAACCATTGGCAGAATACCGGCAATGACGACCAGAGCCAGGTTAGGCACCCGCTCGTGTTCGGTCATTGGGAACTGGATCGACGGGTCGTCCAGCCGGAAAAGCCGGTGGTTTCCTTTCAAAATGAACTCGACCGGAACACACAGTACTCCGAGACCGCCTATTGTGAGCGCATCAAGCAGAAAGTTCCCCTTAATCAGGAGAATAACGTCCTTGAGATCGTTGAACATATCGAAAACGCTAAACATCCCTCGAATCAAGCTAGCGACCTTCAATGTGTGCACTGGCAGATTACAATGCTTTCTCCCGTTTTGGCCTTCGTCTTGAGAGAGTCCTGACGTAAGCATCTCCAAATACCCCCTCGGGCCCGCCGCCAGTACCATGAGCAGCAGGTTTTCAGTTCTGGTTACGACTGATAATCATGTTGGATACATGGAGAATGATGCAGTGCGTGGGGATGATGCCGCGACGACTTTTCGAGAGGTAATGGAAATTGCCCGAGACCGGCAAGTGGATTTTGTCATTCAAGCAGGTGATCTTTTCCATATCAACAAGCCTACAAAAAGGTCAATGTACCACGTTATCAAAACTTTGCGGGAGACCTGTCTAGGGGACAAACCTGTGCCGTTCCAGGTGCTGCACCACGGGCCACTAGCCCTAGAGGGCGACGAGAGCCTCAACCATGTGAACTTTGCTGATCCTAATTACAACGTGGCAATTCCAGTGTTTGCAATTAGCGGGAATCACGATGATTCCGGCGGCGTTGGCATGCTGTCTCCGCTCGATGTACTGAGCGCGTCAGGGTTGATCAACCATTTTGGACGAGTCACTGATAATGACGAGATAACTCTGGAGCCGATCTTGATGCAAAAGGGCTCGACTAAAATCGCATTATACGGTTTGGCCAATGTCCGAGATGAGCGGCTGTTCAGAACGTTCCGAGCGGGCAATGTGCGATTCCTCCGTCCTGAGGTTGAACCTGATACATGGTTCAGCATTTTACTAGTCCATCAGAACCGTGCAGCACACTCGCGCACCAATTACCTGCCCGAGAGGTTCCTTCCTACGTTTATAGATCTTGTCATCTGGGGCCATGAGCACGACTGTCTCATTCATCCCCAAACCAACCCATTGACTGGGTTCAAAGTTATGCAGCCTGGATCAAGTGTAGCCACGAGCATGTCTGAAGGCGAGGCCGAGCCCAAAAAGGTTGCTATTCTCACAGTTGTTGACAAGGAAATGGATGTCGAGACAATTACTTTGAAAACCGTCCGTCCCATGCTCATTGACACTGTTGTGCTGGCGACAGATACAAATATTCGCCCGTCGCGTGATTCCAGACAAGAAGTTACCCGTTGGTTAGTTGAAAAAGTCGACGGGTGCATTGAGCAGGCTACCTCGCTTTGGAGAGAGGCCAATGGCCCAGACTCTGAACCGCCGCTACCGCTGGTACGCTTGCGAGTTGACTATTCCGGTGGCTATGATGTGGAGAATCCTACTCGAATTTCAAATCGATTTGTTGGGAAAGTCGCTAATCCCAACGATGTGATCCAATATACCAACAAGAAATCACGACCGGCGGAAAAGTCAGAAACTCCCTCATTGATTCCGGAAGCGCCTGCAGAGGAAAAAATCCAATTGAAAGAACTAGTACACCAATTTCTGGCCCAACAACAGATGGAGCTTTTACCTGAAAAGGGGATGGAATACGCAATCTCCCAATTCATCGACAAAGATGAAAAACAGGCGTTCAAGGCACTTGTCGATAAGACCCTTATCAAAAGGGTTGAAGATTTGATTGGTCCTATTCAAGAGCAGTCAATCTCCCCTCATCCCAGGAAACCCACCAGGGAAATTAGATCCGTTCTGTCGACTCCAACAGTCACCGCAGAAGATGACGCCAATGCGCGAGCTAGAACAGCTAGGCACAAGGCTCAATTAGAAATTTCCGACGATTCAGACGCTATGTTTGTTGATTCGGAAGATGATGAGCCCGCACCTCGCAAACCTGCCAAAAAGACTGCCCCTGCTAGGTCTGTCCGGAAAGCCCCTGTCCGCAAAGCGGCAGCAAAGTCAAAACCAGTCGAAAGTACTTCTTTGCAGGATCTCGATTCAGATGATGGCTTCTGATTGCTTCATAGTCCTTGCCTCCCCGCGTTTATTTATATTGTAAATTTCATTTATCAGCTGAATAATTTCCTAATGTCGAATGCCTTAAAGGCAGGCCGTTTAACCCGACAACTAAAGCCGCAAGAGGTAGTACAGTCGCTGTTAACGGAGTCGAAACGACATAGAAATAAAATCAATGATTCGTTTTGGGCCAAGGTACGCCAGATCGCGACCAAACAACCCGGCACGTCGCATCCGGATCAATTATTGATTGAACTGTTTGAGGCTGCGTCAAAGCACTCGCAAACTATATTTATTGGCAGCCACTTGCTACAAAACAATGTCAGACTGCCCGAAAAGCAAGAATCCCTATTTATACTGGCTTTGGCCCAAAAAGACCCCGACCAAGCAATCCGACTATGGCAGACGAGAAAAGTCTCGTCAGAGTATACTAATTTCTGGAAAAACGTCGGAGTCCAGCTTTATTGTGCTCTAGGAAAGCTGAGTATTGCTGAAACCATTGCACAATCTGCAGAATTGACCGCCAAAAGTATTTATTTTCTGCTCAAAGCATATTCCGTCTCGGGTGGGCCGAGGCTTGAGTACTGGACACAGGTTTTAGCAGAACGAGGATCAAAATCCGATCTAAACCAAGCAGCATGTGTGCTGTTAAGGCGTGGTCAAATCAGAGCTCTCACTCCGTTGGTTTCCAAGTTGGAGGGCGACCTTGGGCAGCGAACCGTCACCAGCATTCTTGGATCCACAAATAATCGGGTCGCTGCAGCTACTGCATTGTCCATCAAACCCGAAATTGTATCTGACAGACGCTTTGTAAAGTCTTGGATGCAATCTTTAGATCCTGATCTGGTTACTCAGATCGCGCCGCTATTTCAGAACTCTATCTGGGCAAAGAATGAGCTCATTGAGTCTTATCTGAAAAAAGATCAACTCGATTCGGCTTTGAAACTTTTCCAAGAGATGATAAAACATGGGCCCCGTCCCACAATGGCAACAATTCACCGGTTTGTTTCATACGGGATCTATCGAAAGGATACGCGATTGGTAGATGAGATGATCGCCAATTTGCAGAACTTAGCAACACAGACCACTGATTATAGCAGAACAATGCAACTGGTTGTCAGGTATCTCTCCTTCAAAAGACAGTACAGGAGTTTGCTAGTTCTGCTTAAAACCATTCACATGTCCAAGCTGCAGCACTCGAATTTTGTTGCCATATGGAAGGCGTTGTATGCATGCGCTAGATCTGACCCTTTCATTTTGCAATCAGATTTTGATCTGCAGCATTTTTTTGTTGATATGATCCAGCGGCCGAACTTTCGAGTTGACAAACAAGTGTTCCAGCTGGCAACACGGACCTTTTTGCGGATCAAAGACGTCCATTCCGCTGCGTTTGCAGTAAGGTACATGTCTGAAATAGGCAATTTACCGATCGATGATGAGTTTGTCCGCGGCCTGCGTGAACTGTCAAAAACGGCAAGTCCTAGCCACAATTGGAAAGGACTAGTGGAGCAAATGTGCATACAATATCGAGCCAGATTTGAGACTATTTGTTCAGACATCTCTTCAACCCTACCAGGTGCATTTTCTCCATGAAGATTTTTGCTTTTACGCTGATCACTTTGGCCATTGCCATGAGCTTTGAAAACACATACCGCCGTATGAACAAACTGCCTGGCACAGTTGCCTTTAACCAGCTCCCGGGGCTTGCGTCCACTGTAAACTACAATCGTGACGGCGTGTTTCTGAATATTCGTGCTCTCAACTACAGCGGAACTAATGGTCAACCCGGAGGCAGCGCGGTATACCGAGAGATCTGTGATTGTTTAAAAGATAGCCAAGGAGACATCAAAGACTACCGCTTGCGTTGTGCCAAACTCTACGACAAAAAGGGCGAGATACGTGTCGCATACGGTACAGACGAGCACGAGACGCAAACTGAGCAGCTCTGTTGGCGGCCCGAAGAGCATCTTGGCATGCTCGTATGCTCGTGCGATTCATTGAATCGACTTTACATATGAAATAAATAAACTACTTGATAAGGCTACTCTTCTTTTTCTTAACCCGGCCACTGGGCAAGGCAATTGGCGTTGATTCTTTGGTTGTTTTAGGCTTTGATTTAAGGCCCTGGGCTATTTGACGTTCTAGTTCAGCCTCTTTGGAATTGGCCTTTTCCTTGACCTTTTTCAGCCATTGTGAATCTGTCGCACTCAGGGCATGAAAGGCGTTTCGCTGCTGATAGCGTAATTGGAACTCTTCGTCTTGTTTTGTCCGGTTCTCTGCCAGAACTTCGTGCAGCGGCTTTGAAGCGGCTGGTTCGGGAGCCTCATTCAGCTCGCATATCAATTGGCGGACCCGTCGGACCCTCTCCATGCTTACAGAGAAGATGAATATGGAGGGCGGAAAAGCAACGAGAACTAGCCTTTGGCAGTCATACAGTAGCAGAGACGCTACAGTTTACGGAAGAAAGATAGAGACAGTATGCCTATTTAATGAAAAAATCACGCTATATTACCAGTTTAAGAGCGCTTGCGGACAATACCAGTAACACCACCACGACGACCGGTGGTCTTGGTGTGCTGGCCACGGACACGGTAGCCCCAGTAGTGACGCAGACCCTTGTGCAGACGCATACGCTTCATACGCTCAATATCGTCACGCAGCTTGGTATCAAGGTGGTTGACGAGCAAGTGAGAGTCCTTACCATCGGTGAAATCACGCTGTCTGTTCAGGAACCAGCCAGGGATCTTGTATTGGCCAGGGTTCTGGATGATGGTGATAATACGCTCGAGCTCCTCAACGGTAAGCTCACCAGCGCGCTTAGCCATGTCGACATCGGCCTTCTTGCAGACCAAGTTGGCGTAACGGGCACCAACACCACGGATAGTGGTAAGGGCGTACATGATCTTGGTGTTACCATCGACGTTAGTCGACAGCAGACGCAAAATGTGCTGGAAATTGCCTTTCTCAGTAACCACGAGGGACATGCTGCTTGATGGATTCCTTGTCGGCGTGAGAGTTGGGTAATGAAAAGTGCGTGGGACCCGTCGTTAGGGCGGTGCCCTAACTGCCCAAAACAAACCCGCCACATCCTCATATAATCAGAATCTATCTGCTGACAAATAGGCCCTACCATGCGAATACTCGAGGGCCCTCAGCCGCTGTTAACAAACGTCGAGGTTTTGGAGCACATTACAGAGGTCAAGCGCACTGCTGCGAGCGAAAACCTTCAGACCATCATCGTAGAGCTGCAGGCGTACCTTCGCGAACGCCCTGCAGGCAATGTCGGGAATCCTCAAAAAATCGAAAACATAGCGAAATTTGTCGCTGCCATTAAGCAAGAAAACCTCGAATTCGAAAAGGCAGAGATCCTGGAGATCTTTAACTCCGCACCCTCGAGTTTAGCCGTCTTGTTCTGCTTGATCGAAGAAGCCGATATGCGCTTCACCGAAGACCAACTAAACAAAGTGCTTGATCTAAGTGCAGAGTATCTAGGAGCAGAGCCTGTTCCTGGCGAATAGACTATAGGTATATATTTATTCCATTCCGGGCATTCCACCGGGCATTCCACCGGGCATTCCACCGGGCATACCAGCAGGCATACCAGCAGGCATACCGCCGGGGCCGCCTTCAGCACCGCCATCCTTACGACGGGCAGAGACAATGTCGTCGACGCGGAGCAGCAAGCAAGCGCTCTCGATAGCAGTCTTCAGAGTCTGGGCCTTTACTGCCTCAGGCTCCCAGACGCCAAAGCTGTCCATATCAACGATCTTGCCCGTGTCGCCATCAATGCCGTAGTGGGTCAGGCCCTCGGCATGCTTCGCCCGCAGAGAAGTGACTGACTTGAGCGGGTTTCCACCGCAGTTTTGCACAAGAACGCGTGGAATAACCTCCAAAGCGTCTGCAACTGCGCGGTAGGGGTACTGGTCGGCGCCCTCGATTTCTTTCGCCTTGGAAGCGAGACGAACACTAACTGCCATCTCTGTGGCACCTCCACCGGGAGACAGACTGGGCTCGAACATAACATTACGAGCAACGGCCATTGCGTCCTGCAGGTTACGATCAACCTCGTTCAGAATATCCTTGGAGGGGCCCCGCAGCAGAATAGTGCAAGCGCCAGGGTCTTTGCACTCTGTAATGAACGAATAATACTCGTCACCAATTAAATCGACCTTGAACAGACCGCAACGTAACCCGATATCGGACTCCTTAATGTCTTCAACCCGGTTGACAATTGTCGCGCCAGTGCACCGGGCAATGCGGTTATTGTCTGTCTTGCGCACTCGGCGAAGAGCAGTAATGTTGTGCTTGAGCAGGTAGTGCTGAGCGAGATCTGAAACGCCCTTTTCGGTAAGAACGAGGTCAGGCTTGAAGGAAGCAATTCGCTCACACATTTGTTTGATTTGCTCCTCCTCGATTTGCAGAATGCGAGCCCACTCGTCTTCACCGGTAATCTCAATGTTCGTCTGCGATTCGCCCTTCTTGTACTCAAGCGGACAGTCGAGAAGAAGAATACGAGGGTTTTCAATGCGCCGGCGCATCTTGGGGTGCGTGATATCCTTGTTCAGAATGACACCAGCAAGCACCTCGGATTTCTCAATATCGTCACCAGCGATCTTCTCTACACGCACATAACGCTTGATATCAATTTCCTTACGCACGCCGTCATCACGCATCACCGTGCGAACAGCATCAAGCGCCAGCTTGCACATATGACGGCTCCAGCGGGCAACGTACTTTGTTCCAATCGAGGAAGCAACAATCTTGAGCACCACCTCCTCGTCATTTGGGTCCACCTGGCGTGAGACCTCATGGATAACCTCCAAAGCATCCTTCAAGGCCTGTTTGAGTGCCCGAATAAGAATAACAGGGTGGATGTTGCGCTCAAGGTAGGGCACAGTTTGTGCCAGAATCTCGCCCGCAAGAATGATTACACTGGTCGTGCCATCGCCCACCTCTTCGTCCTGAGCACGGCTTAGTTCAATCATGGACTTTGCAGCCGGGTGGGTTACCTGAATCTCCCGCAAAATGGCGTGGCCGTCGTTGGTGAGCACGATTCCGCCTACTGGATCAAGCAGCATTTTGAGCATCGCTTTAGGGCCCAAACATGTACGAATAATATCGGCGACCGCTTTAGCGGCAGTCACGTTCGAGATCTGAGCCTTTCTTCCGGTCTCGCGTTCGGCGCCGGTATTCAAAAACACCACGGGAGCTTGCATGGAAAGTTGATGATGCTGACTTGCCACAACAGTAATATAGATCTGGGGCTTATCGAGTCGGGTTCAATGGGGGCAGCAGGCGGGTATTTGCAAGGGATAATAAAGGATTTATAGAGTTGCAATAGAAACTTCGGCCCCCCCAAAAAAAAAGAGAAAAGAATTGGGATACAAAAAAAGTTTGCGTCAGCCCGGAATCGAACCGGGGGCGCATCGATGGCAACGACGCATTTTACCACTAAACCACTGACGCTTCTAGTAGGAGCTTTCATAGTTGCCCCTAATAGGAGGTGAAAGTCTATAAATGCGTGCGGCGTAGAAAGGCGAAATGTTCCAACAAAACATTAAATATGGTTAAAATGAATGATAAAATCACGATTGGAGCGTATGTAGGGCCGCTAGTAGCTACTCACAATTGAGTGAGAAATAGACCTGCATTAAACTTAATACCCCTCCAAAAATTTTTGATTTTTCATGCGCCTAAATTAGCATGTGATGCGGTATTTTTCAGGCAAGGTGGATGCGACGAATATGAACTTGAAAATGTACAAAGCTATTTAATTATGCAGAGTTCTGCACAGTAGAGATCAGATCATCGATAATTTGAGGATTGCTCAAAGTCGAAAGCTCGCCAAGTTGATCAGTCTCGCCGGAAACGATCTTGCGCAGAATACGACGCATGATCTTGCCTGAACGAGTTTTAGGGAGGTCACCGACAACAAAAACCTTTTTGGGAGCTGCAAAAGGACCAATATCCTTACGAACGACCTGAATGGCTTCGCGAGACATGTCAGAGACGGTGTGCTCGCCAGCAGCGATCTTATCCTTGAGCCAGCCTTCGAGAACAACAAAGGCAACAATGGCCTGGCCAGTGAGCTCATCCTCAATTCCCACAACAGCACTCTCAACAATCATAGGCTCATTGTCAAGCTTGCCTTCAAGGAAAGAAGCCTCAATTTCGGCAGTGGACAGACGGTGACCAGAAACATTAACGACATCATCCATACGACCAGCGACGAAAATGAAATTCTCGTGATCCATAGCAGCACCATCACCAGTGAAGAAGTGACCAGGGAACGGACGCAGGTAAGTGTCTTGGTAACGAGGATAATCGCCCCAAATAGTGCGCGCCATGGACGGCCATGGGTTGGCGATGGCCAGAACACCCTCAGCCGGCCGCTCGTCGACCTCCACACCAGTGGTAGGGTTGATCAAAACCGGCTTGATGCCAAAGAATGGGTAGCCACAGGAGCCAGGCTTCATCGGGGTGACACCAGGGAAAGAGGTACCCAGGATGCTGCCCGACTCGGTGAGCCAGTAAGTGTCGCAAATGGTGCAACGGCCGCGGCCGACGTTATGGAAATACCATTCCCAGACCTCCTCAGCGATGGGTTCACCGACCGAACCAAGAGTACGCAAAGATTTCAAAGAGTACTTTTCGATTTCCTCGTGTCCGTACTTGCGGAGCAAACGAAGGGCGGTGGGCGCAACGTAGAACTGTGTGACCTGATGCTTGTCCACGATATCCCAGTAGCGGGTGTGAGTAGGATATACTGGTGTAGATTCGAAAATGACTGTTGTAACACCATTAATTAGGGGGCCGTAAACGGCGTAGGTGTGACCGGTGATCCAACCGACATCGCCCGCAGTGAACATGATGTCGCCTGGAGTTAGGCCAAAGACGTGTTTGGCAGTCAAAGCAGCACCAAGCAAGTAACCAGCAGTAGAGTGCTGCATGCCCTTGGGTTTGCCAGTAGAGCCGGAAGTGTAGAGCAAGAACAAGGGGTGCTCTGAATCGACTGGGACGGCCGGGCAGTAGGGCTTGAATTTTCCGGCCTCGCCGTACTTGATATCGCGGCCCGGGATCAACCCACCCTTGCCAGTGCGCTCGACGACAACTACAGTCTGAACGTCAGGGCAACTCTCGAGGGCGTCGTCCACGATCTTTTTCGCCTCAATGACCTTGCCTGCGCGCAGGCCCTGGTCGATAGTGATGACGACTCTGGAGTCTGCGTCGAGAATGCGATCGCGCAAAGCACCAGGAGAAAACCCAGCAAACACGCACGAGTGAATTGCTCCAATGCGCGCCACTGCCAGCATAGAGATCACCGCCTCGGGCACCATGGGCAGGTAGATGGTGACCACGTCGCCCTTCTTGACGCCCCGGCTGATCAACAGCTGAGCGAGCTGGCAGACCTTTTTCAAAAGCTCACCATAGGTAAGGGTGTAGCCCTCGCCAGGCTCGTCGGCCTCGTAGATGATAGCGATGCGGTTGGGGTCAGCGAGCGCATGACGGTCGACGCAATTGACAGCGGCGTTCAGCTGGCCGTTGAGGAACCAGGCCGGAGAGTCGACGAAATTGGCTGATTTGTGCAGGACCTGGTCGAAATCGCGGTTCCACACGAGCAGATTGCGGGCCTGCTCGCCAAAAAACTTGTCGGGGTTCTCCACAGACTCCTTCCACATGGCCTTGTAGGTTTCAAGATCACGCACATGGCCATGGCCGTCCGCAGGCAGAGAGTTGGCAGGAGCGTCCACAGACCTCACGTCCAGCAATTTCTGGTTGTCCAATGGCATACTAAATTCACGTGAAAACTGAGAAAAAGTGGCTGCGAATTGGGGATGATGATCTGATTGTTAAGACAAAGGAATAATGCTCTTTACCCCCCACGACATGCGTCACACAAGCATTACGCTTCGTCAGCAAGATATCCCGCTGCAAGGATTGGGGATTGGGGTCAACCGTTGAAATGCCTGGTCAGGGTAAGGCCCGGCCTTGGGGGACTAATGCCAATTGCCGAAACGGTAAAATTACAGGGCTACGTGTGGTACATGTATGGCGGAGCCTGGCTCCCTGGTTCTCTGGCTACCCCGCACTTATGCGCGCCAGTGGATCGCAGACCTTACCTCCAATCGGAAAAAAAAGCATCACGGGACTTCCCCACTCTGTGCGAGGGTGGCTTCTCCACCACCGCCCTTTGTCGTTTGCTTCGACTCGAAGGGATGTGGGTTAGGTTATATGCTTCCATTCGCCCAACTGGGCCATCGCGAAAGTGGAGGGGGTATAAAGAACGAAAAAATAACTTGCCGTGGCCACACCCCACGGGTACTGGGCAGATTGAGATTAGTTCAGCGGAGGATCTACAAAGCGCAGTCTGTATATGAAGCTGTCTATTCAGGAGGACCCACTGGCCCAATGGGCGTTTGAGCTGCCGGCCGGCGTAGTCAAGGCATTCAATCAGGCCGGCTACACCGAATTGGCCCCGCACTTGCACGAAATCCTCATCTTCCTCGCGGTGTACTCGGGCATCTACACTCTGAGCTCGGTTGTGACCCCCGCGGTGTATCCAGCCTACCGCAAACTGTCGAAACGGAACCAGGTGAACTTCGACATGCACGTAACGTCGCAAGTCCAGGCCATTGTGCTGTGTGCGTTTGCTTGGATAATATTTTTCGACCCGGACTTGACCAGCCTGACGTCGCATACCCCGTTCAGCTCTATGGCGATTTCGTCCGCCGTCGGGTACTTTCTGTGGGACCTGTACGTGTCTATCAAGTATGTGAACATGTTTGGCATGCCGTTTTTGGCGCACGCCGCTGCCGCGTTGTTTACGTTCTTCGAGGCGCTGCGGCCGTTCTTGCACAACTACGCCGCGCCGTTTATGCTGTATGAAATGTCGACACCCTTTGTCAATAACCACTGGTTTGCTTCTCATGTTCCGGGGATGATCTCTCCGGAGCTGCAAAAGATCAACGGCCTCTGTCTGCTGGCAATGTTTTTCATCTTCCGCATCGTCCTTGGCTCCTACTTTGGAATCAAGCTGTTTACCGAAGCGTTTACCAATCCTCCGGTGGGAGTGCCCAGTTGGTCTCTATACGCGGTTCTGACGACGTACTCCCTGCTATCTGCTTTGAACTTTTTCTGGTTCTCAAAGATGATCAGGCTAGCGGCAAAGGCCATGAGACAGTCTAAACGTAAATCAGATTAAGTAGCGCAGCACCGGTCAGTTGTTAGGTGCGCTGTTTAGCTCGTCTATGTGATCTATAACGTCCCAACTTTTTCAGGAGATAAGGTTTTGGGCCTCAGCGTAAGCCGGCCGATCCAGGCTGTGCAGGGCCACCTTAATGTCGGTTTGAATGTCCTCGATGAGCGCGTCGACAGAGTCGTAAGACTGCTCGTTGCGAATGAATCCCAAAACCACAATTTTAATGGCGGCTCCGTAGAAGGAGTCGGGGAACTGGTGGATGATATGGACTTCGGCACTCTTCTGTTTATTGTCATAGAACGGGTTCCAGCCAATCGACATGACCATTGGGAAGCAGGTGCCGGCCAGAGGGCCCAGCTTTGATCCGTAGTTGACGTCGATCTTGCGTTCCCGCTGCTTGGCCTGTTCGACCCACTCGGGAACCGTCGCAGGCTCTCTTGCCTGGTCAACCACTGCCCAGCCGTAGTAGACGCCGGTATCCAGCTTTGCTAGGAGACCCGGCGGGATATTTGCCGTCGGACACCCCAGCTCAGCAGAACCACGCCCAAATCCCGCCTCGACTGTCGTTTCTACCACCACTGGGAATGGGGTTCCAACCTGATCAGGTCCTACGATCAGCGGCCTGGTCATGTTCAGATTAGTAAATGGCGTTCGGGGCTTCGTGCTCCAAGCCTACTTGGCGGTGCTGGACCCTTCCCGTCGGCTTTTTGCCTGGAAACTGTGCTAGTGGCCCCTGGTTTCAAAAAGTTTGCATCACTGCGGCACCAGCCCGCTGTTCCCGTGCGAGAATCCAAATCGCATCTCTGGGTGGTTTTCCCGTATGCCCATGGCCCCAAGCACGCGAGCCCGCCAAAACAGGAAATGGCTTAGGGTTCGCTTGCTTGGTGCATTATACTGTCTACTAGTTTTGTTCTGGGAGGTGGCCAGTCTAGGAAAGTTTGCTTTTAAAACCCCAAAGTTGCAGAGGGACTCTTTAGTTTCCTCCATTGTCGACCCAGCCGAGCGCCACTATTTTATCACCGTTCTCGAGTACCCAAACACGCCTCTGCCAGCCCACCGCCATCCCGTATACCTGTCCGTCTAAACTATGCTCAAAATTATCCATCACTGGTGGTTGGCCGTTCTCTCCGCTATTGTATGGTGGGGTATGCTCATTGCTCTTTTAGCGTGCTGGGCAGCCCAAGGACACCCAGTCTATTCCTGGATCACTGACCGAAACAAGACGATTCTGTTTATTTCCGACGTTGCTGCAACTAACCTACAGCCCATTTTCATCTCCTGCTCAGCGGTCCAGGGTCTCCTTTTCGTGCTGGCTCTGGCTTCCGAGCGACTGCTCCGCCACAATGGCCGCCTACTGCCTAACAATCGCCGTCGCGAGAAATGGTGTTCGATTTGTGCGATCGTTTGCGCCTTTGTCGGCCAGCTCGGTATTTTGTTTGTCTCCATTTTCAACACCCGCTACTTTAGTAGCACGCATTCGGATTTTTTGGTGGTGTTTATTGTGTTTGTTGGTGTTTCGAGTCTTTTTTCAATCTACGAGTACTTTTACTTGGACAAACACTACCGCGACTACCTCTCAATACGGTGGTCGCTTGGAATCAAGTGCACTTGGTTTATCACCGAACTGGCCCTGGCAATTGCCTTTGCCTCAACCCACAACAAGCATGTCAATGTTTCCGCGGTGCTCGAGTGGCTCGTCTCGTTCGTGTACCCGTTTTACACGCTGATTATTGCCTACGATCTTTGGCCTGCTCACAAAACTGCCAAAGGCACCTATTTGAACAAATCTTATCCTGATCCCTTCAGTCAAACGCTGCCTGACGAGATGCCTATCAAAGAGGCTTACGACGCTTGAATAAGAATAAACGATATATTACTAGAAAACAAACACTAGACTACACTTAGATGTCCTCCTTAAACATCCCCTCGTCAGATTTGACATTACTAGACTCGAAGCCGGCGAATTTGTCCTCTTTGGGGCTCTGAACGTTGGGCTTTTCGCTTGCGACATTCTCATCAGGCTTGGCGCCGTTCTCTTTTGCGGCCTCTTCGGCAACCTCCTTAGCCTCGGTCTCGACATCAGCTGTAGCCTTGTTCTCGACTTCATCCTTGGTATCAGCTTCAACATCGCCCTTTGCCTCAGTCTCATTGTCAGCCTTATCAGCTTCAGCCTTGGTCTCAACTTCAGCGTCAGCCTTGGTCTCAGCTTCAGCGTCAGCCTTGGTCTCAGCTTCAGCGTCAGCCTTGGCCTTAGCTTCAGCTTCTTCAGCTTCAGCTTTAGCCTTAGCCTCAGCTTCAGCTTCTGCCTTAGCCTTAGCCTCAGCTTCTTCAGCCTCAGCCTTAGCCTTGGCCTCAGCTTCAGCCTTAGCCTTAGCCTCAGCTTCTTCAGCCTCAGCCTTAGCCTTGGCCTCAGCTTCAGCCTCAGCCTTAGCCTTAGCCCTGGCCTCGGCCTTCTCAGCTACAACCTTGTTGAGCTCGTGATACTTAGACTTGGCCTCGCGGTGACGTGACACGGCCCCAAGCATTTCCTCCTTGGCCCGCTCTTCAGCAGCAGTGGCATCCTTGAGCTTCTCCTCAGCCTCTTCAATTTCCTTGTTCAAGTCGGCCTTTTCCTCTTCAGCAGCGTCTTCGGGAACCTCCTCGAGCTTCTTCTTGAGGGACTCGACCAGTGCCTCGGATTCGCGGCGAACATCACCAGCATTCTCGACAACTTTTTCATAAGACTGGCGGTCAATCTTCAAGCGACGAGCTTCTAACTTGTAATCAGCCAGCTGCTTATTATCAGCCTCGGTTTCAGCGTCGTCAACCTCCTCAACTGCAGTAGGCTTAATCTTCTCACGCGCCTCAGGCTTCTCGGGACGTTCTACGAAAGGAGAGCTGGGCTTAGTGGGTACACCACCGACGGCGGCGCCAGCAGCCGCACCGCCAGCAGCTGCACCAGTCAAAGCAGTTGTGAACCATTTTTTGAATCGAGATCCACTAGAACCTTTAGCGGAAGCCTTCTTGGGAGATGCAGCAGAAACTGTGCGGGTAGGAGGAGCAAGATCCTGGGCATCGCTGACGGGATTAGCGGTGCTGGCAATTGCAGAAGTGCCACCAACATCAGGAGAAGCCGCAGCAGGAGCAGCAGCGGCAGTAGCATCAGCATCAGCGGCAGCAGCAGCAGGAGCGGAAGCATTGGCAGCAGCACTAGTGGAAACAGGATTAGCCAGCGCCTCTGGAGCGGCTGAAACAGCGGCAGGTACACTAGCAGCTACGGGGACGGAGGCAGCAGATAAACGTTTGGCAGCCTTGGCCTGAGTGCGAGCCTCAGATTCCAAGCGACGCTGAATAGCACGCTCCTCGGCCTCGGCTCTACGGGCGGCTGCGCGCTCTTCAGCCTCTGCACGGAGTTTTTCCTTCTGTTCCATCTGGATGCGGCGTTGTTCTTCACGCTCTTTCATCTTGGCTTCTTTGACGGCAGCAGCTTGTTGGCGCTTTTCCTCCTTGGCTGCGGCACGTTCGCCACGCATCTTCTCCTGAGCAACCAACCGGGCATTCAGCGTCTCACGACGGACCTGCTCACGTTCCTCATGTTCCTTGCGACGAGCTTGCTCTTTCTTTTCGCGCTCCTCGTCCTGGATGCGACGTTCCTCAGCAAGGCGTTCTGCCTCAATACGGTCGGCTTCGCGTTTCTCAGCGGCGACCTCGGTGACCTCATCGAGAGTGGGCTGAACGTTGCGACGAGCAATGTCGTCAATCTCCTCCTGGGTCATGAAAAGACCACCACCGACATTGACTTTACCGAGGTGAACCGTGCGCTTCTGGTAGTTTTCAGAAGCCAGGGCAAATGCCTTTCGCTGGGCCTCGAGGGTGCCGCCAATAGACTTGTCGGCGACGTCCTTGTTGATGGCAGCGAGCTGAGATTTAACATTACGGTCGGCAATTGACACAAGACTCAACACGTCCTGTCGCTGCCAGTACTGCTGCTCGCCCAAATAGTCGAGCATTTTCGGGTCTTCGGGAGGGGGTTGGTTAACGGCGTTTGCTCCCTTGAAAGCAAGCCGGTCGCGAGTGAGGTCTAGGTACACGTTAGAGAGGGTCTTTCGGGCCCGCTCGCGAGCCAGACTTTCGATCTTGACAATGTCCATGCGCTCCAGCTGCTCGTTGGTACCGCCCTGCTTGAGCGCGGCAGCACTGCTTTGTTCAGCGAGCCGCTCATCTTCCTTGCGCAGAGTACTAGTCTGGTTGATACGGGTAGCCGCCAGATGAGCCCACTCACCAGCAGGCTCTTTGAGGCGGTTGGTGAACTCGTAGCCGTCTTTGAGGTACTTGGCGCCGTACTCCTCGCCAGTGGTCTCAGCCGCCTGCAGGGCCGCCTTGGAAGCGGACTTGGACAATGGGGCCGGCTCATGGTGCGGGATCTTGGTGTGTTCTTTAGACTTGAGTGCGGCAGTCGCGGCGTCGGCTGAGAGCGTGGGCTGCCAGATTTTGGGGCTGTTGTCCGTTTTGTTGGCCAACGCAGAGGCCTTGAGCGCAGTGGGGGACTCCTCCGGGTGCCACAGCTTGGGCATCAAGTCGGCCTGAGTGGCTAGGATGGCAGAAGACAGCGAAGACTCCTTGGAAATACCAATCACGGGGTCGCTAGGTAGAGCATAGTTGTGGGTTGCGATGCGTCGTCGATAAGCCGCCATGGCGGCCTCAGACATGTCCACCTTTTTGCCAGGGGCATTCGAACTAATTGAACTGGTCATCGTACAGTTAATAAATTCACTAAACACGAGCCTCTAAAAGCTGTAATTTCGCAAACTGCCAAACGGTACGGGATCACTTGCAATGGGGAGACAAGGTGGTTGGACTTCTAAAGACCCCCTTCTGATTAAGCAACCTTGCGAATTCCTGCACACTTAGCTTGGCTGCATACGTCATGCCGCAGAATAGCGACTCATTTTAGGTTCAATCATAACAATCCCCCTGGCGGAGGAGGGGCAGCTAGGTGGGGCAGCCAAGCCGCCACCAGAAAAATAAGCGTCAGGGACAGTTTTACCAAGACGTAGCAAACAGGTTATTTATAGCCCCCGGGAAGGCAAAGCTGATTCACCCTGTGGAGACCAAACAAGATCATGCAGGCACATCAAAAGTGCAAGGCTAATAGACGGGGTGTTGGGCCAAGCAACCATTAGCGATGGGCGGAGGTCACGCTTGCGTCGTTCCGAAGTTACCCGGCGCTTGTGGAGGGATCTCTGTGGGTGCAATTTCTTAGATAAGCCAAGCCGCTGTGGTTATCACCCTTACCCTAGGGTGTGGCCTCATGTCTATGAGGGGGGTGTGAGTAGTCTCCAAAGCGCTGGTTAATAAATGTACTGTCGGGAGTGGGCAGTACATTACCGCATCTGAATCGACCGATCTGCTCTAGACATATGCATTGCGTTTATTTTTGCAACTGGAGTATATATGATAGGGGGTATAGCCCAGATAAGTTGCCAGTGACGAAAGTGACCCATATACTTTATGCGTTTGCAAAAACTCACCCCCAAACGGGCACAGTGAGTTTGTCGGACCCTTGGGCAGATGTTGAGAAGCCTATGCCGCTGGGCGGAAAGGGGTGTCTAGGCGAGCTGTATATCTTGAAAAAACAGAACCGCAATTTGCGCGTTCTGCTTTCAATCGGCGGATGGTCTTATAGAGCCGACCTAACGAGTGCATTCGCAACTCGGGAGGGCCGCAACGAATTCGCCCGTTCCGCGGTCGAGCTCGTAAAAACCCACTGGCTCGACGGACTCGATGTCGACTGGGAGTACCCTGAAAACGCTGAACAAGCTCAGCAGTACGTGGAAGTTCTCAAACTAATCCGTCAAGGTCTGAACGAGCTTGCCCTGCAGTCTCATTTGCCCACCTCGTTCTTCGATCTCACTGTTGCAGTCCCTGCAGGCGCCGCACAGAGAGAGGTGCTTGACATCCCAGCAATGAGCAAACACCTCACATTTTGGAATCTTATGTCCTACGACCTTTCTGGAGCGTGGTATCCGGTAGTAGCCCACCATGCCAACTTGTTCGGGGGCGCCGACAATGTCACTAACGCGGTCAACCACTACATAACCCACGGCGTGCCACACGACCGCCTCGTCTTAGGCATGCCTCTGTATGGCAGATCCTTTGCTAAAACACAGGGTCTCAACCACAAATTTAAAGGTACTCTGCCAGGACGCTTTGAACAAGGCGTGCATGACTTGAAAGAGCTGCCCATACCGGGCACTACCGAAATGGTCGATCGCCGTCAAGTCGCTGCCTTCTGCAAGGGGCCCGATTTTTTCGTCACTTATGATAACGCAGAAACATTCAGATCCAAAGCTGTGTTTGCCAAGGAGCACAACCTTGGAGGCGGTATGTGGTGGGAGGCCTCGGGTGACCGCCCTGGCCGCCTTTCGGGCATCAGCGCGTTCGTCGATGAATTCGGTTGCGGAGCTCTTAAACCCAACTGGATCAATCCTCACTAAAATCGAAAACGTAATTCTAATACAAAAATCATACTACTTGGTACACACCGTCTCGTTTTTACATACTTTTACCTTCAATTGCAATCTCTCAAACCGCTGACATTCACCTCCCTCTCCGCTTAGCCCACTGCTTAGTAGTAGGCTAGGCACGTGGGGGGTTTCTGGCTTCTACAACGCATCTCGCAGTTCTTGCATAAGAAGCTATGAAGTTTGGTAAATACCTTGCCAAACGACACTTGGATTTACCAGAGTATGCCAATTACTTTATTGACTACAAGGCTCTGAAGAAACTCATCAAACGGCTTGCTGCGCCAGACCCGCAGCAGGGCGAACAGAGTCGTGAGTTTGCCTACAAACGATTGCAAGAGAACAAGGCGACGTTTTTTTTCCAGCTGGAGCGCGAGCTTGAGAAGGTCCAAAATTACTACGAAAAAAAGGAGAGCGAGCTCGAGGCTCGAATCGCAAGGCTCGAGCTCAAAAAGACCGCCGCCGCTCAGTCGGGCGCTCTCAGCAAAAACTCTGTGGCTTACATTTCTCTTTATGAAGGGCTGCAGCGGTTCAGGCGTGACCTGGAGCGGCTCGAGCAGTTTATCGAACTGAATGGGACCGGATTCTACAAAGTGCTCAAGAAATGGGACAAGCGCTCGCGCTCCCACCTCAAGGAGCTGTACCTGGCCCGGGCCGTTGAGGTTCAGCCCATGTTTCACCGCGAAAAGATGTCTGCGCTCTCAGATAAGGTCAATCAGTACTTTTTGGAGCTCGAGGCGCTGGCGTCAGGGTCGGATCAAGTTGTGTTTGAGCCTAATCAGGCGTCGCAGGAGGCAAGCCGAGACCGGGATCTTTGTTACGAGTTTATCAAGTTTGCCCAAACGTATTCTCGCCAGGAACCTGATTCCCAAGGCCAGATGGACGAGTGGATTTCACAGCTGACCCGTTCTGATGACGCAAAGAAGCAAATCACATCGGCATTCCTAATGGCCATGCCCACAAAGGCCCGTGACGATGCGTTGCTGGCACTTATAGAAACCAGGAATGTCGATATGTCTGCCGTTGATGAGATCGCGGGCCGGAACTGCCTGCATCTTGCTGCAAGCACGGACGGTCGCGAAAAGATCGTTGCCCTGGCCCTCAAACAAAATGTCAACGCTTCATTGCAGGATGTCTATGGCAGAACCCCTTTGCATTACGCTGCGACCTATGGAAGACGTGATTTCCTGAATATGTTCTTGGCGGCTGGTGTCGACGTAAACACTTTTGACCATGATAACTACTCAGCTCTTCATTATTCTATTTTCAACAACTTCAGCGGCATCACAGAAGACCTTGTAAACGCCGGTGCATCCACTGAAGGAGACTCTGAGCGCAATTATATTCCTCTGAATTTTGCTTGTCAATACGGAGCCTTTGGTGCAGTCAAGATACTGCTTGCCAAACAGCAAAACGGCAGTATGGTTCCCGATGCCGAAGGGTTGTATCCCATTCACATTGTTGCAAGAGCTGGCTTTGCAAATATCGTACCCCTTTTAGTCGATGCTGGAGCAGACGTTAATCAACTCGACAAGTTAAATGGATGGACTGCCCTCATGTATGCGGCCTCAGAGGGTCACGTTAATGCTGTGAATACCCTGCTAGATGCCAAAGCAGACTGGAGAATTTTGGACGAAAAGGGTTATAGTGCATTGTTTTACGCTACCTTTGAGGGTCGTCCGGCTTCAATGCGTCGTTTGATCAAGGAACTTCCCGCTGACACTGTTGATATTTCCGCCGACAACTCAGCGCTAATAACCCAACCCCAATCTGATACCGGCGAGCTAGTTGATCCTCTGGACGAAATGGATTTGACAGATGACCCAGCACTTGATCTCGATGGAATCCCCAGTCTCGCTCTTCCTCCTCCGATCATGCCGCTGCAACGCTACGGCCACAACTTTCTGGATTCAAAGAAGACAATTCTGCAGCTCACATTTGCACCCGCTACGTCAAGCTCAGCGTCTGAACCTTCTTCCAACCAGCCTACAAAGTTTACAGAGAATCGCAAGTTCTTGTCTGTTGGCCGTATGACAGTTTCCACATCAGGCACTCGTGATTCTATCCCGCGAAATGTGGCACTACCTTTGCAGGATAGCGAGTGTGTATTGACCTTCCAAATCGAAAATATCGACAAGTTCTCAATTGACTTTGAGGTTTTCCCTATGTTCGGTACCCGACTTCTCGCCAAGACGACCGCATTACCCTCCACATTCGCCGGCAGCGACAACACCTTGAACGAGGCTAAACTGCCAATGATGGATGTACTTTTGCGACCAGTTGGTGAGCTTGATTTCAATTTCCTTGTTGTGAAGCCGTATGCAGGCAAACCTTTGGAGATCGCCAAGTATGAAACGTATTGGAAATCGACTACCTATGTTGATGCAGAATCGAAATTGTCTATTGTTACCGCCTCTTCGTTGGTGGGAACTTACCATAATGCCAAGGTTGTTCTTACTCGTGATCTTGTTCCCGTGGTTATGGATGTGTACATCGACTGCCAGGGAGTGAAACTTGGGGTTCCGATTTTGACTCTTGAAGAAGTCCGCAAGGTGAGCCCGCGGCCGGTTGAAACGCTTGCCGAGGTTCTGGCTCGTAGCGATGACTATCGCAAACTTGATTTGATTATTCCTTACCCCACGATTGTCGAACAGGAACACTCTGTGATTCAGTGGCCTGGTATCAATGAATACGCAGACAGAATCCTTCATGTTGTATTTGATTATGCGCGGGAGATGCGATCGCAAGACAAAAAGACGCGGTCAATAATGTTCTCGTCTCCCAACCCCGGTCTTTGTGCAGTGATTAACTGGAAACAACCGAACTACCCCGTCCTTTTCCGAGCACAGGCTCTTCACACCAGCGACATCTTCACTTCCGCCAATAGCTTTGTTGCGTCTGACTGCCCCGTGAACGAGGCTCGCGTCAGTCTGTCTATCAAAGAGGCCGCACACTTTGCTGCGACCAACAATCTCATGGGTGTTATTGTATCCGCAGACGTTCTTAAACTTGTTCCTGCCGCTATAACTGCCACAAGAATGCAAGGACTAGTGCTAGTTGCTAGTTCTGAAGGCGACGTGACGGTCGAAGGTTGCGATGGAGTAGAAACAAAGGCCACCTTACATTTTAAAACTCAAGCTGTATAAAGAAGTAAAATAAATATGAATATCCATCTATGCCAGTTCGTAGTCGTCGACCTTATTGTGATATTCGGCGATTTTGCGTTTGATTTTAGATCCATCGACCCACGTCAAAAAGTCTTCCATGTCTGTGGTAACCAGCAGGGCCGGATCGGTGACAAGCTGCGGGCCGATACGGACATGGCCCTGTTCGACCATTTTGGTGGCGTCCTGGACGTTAGGCACCATGTGCAGACGGGCCATCACCACCGGCAGTCTTCGTCTGCAGAAAGCGGCCACAGAAATCTTCTCCAGATCGGACACTTTGGGACGCTTGATACCGAAAATACCCATCTGTGCGAGTTTTTCTAGCAGCATCTCTTCGTGCCGCAATCTAACGGGGTCCTGAGGAGGTAGTTGGGCCAGCTTGTGTGCCAACTGACGAATGTTTCCGCAGACTTTGTTATACTTTTGGTAGTCGCCTCTGTTTTGCACATGGTACATCCGCATTACCTGGGCATCACGGTGTCCCTGATCTTCGTTCCAGTCGAGAAAATCGACTTTTTTCAGCAACTTCTTTTCATGATGCTTCAATTGACGGCCCATGGTTGATTCAAGATTTTTTTTATTTGATTAAGTAATTTTTTATTTTGGACCTCCACCAGGTGTGCCCACGTGACTTGTACGACGTCGCGAACTGTGTGTGGGGTGGGCTTTTGTGCGACCAAAAAAATAAAAAAAAACCATAAAGGAAACGTCTCTGAACGGTGAAGATAAGAGGCAAACAATTCTCCGCCGAAAATTCGCCGAGTGTTGCCAACCGCTCAAATGTGGGATTTCGCTTGTATATCGATTATATTCAACTAAATCTTCACATGTCTAATCCATATGACTCATAGCCTACATCTGTTGCAACAATGCGATGTGAGGCACCTTTAGCCACTAGTAAAAATTAAGACCCCTCTCCCATTCACCAGCAAGAGCCTGCTAGAAATCGGCTGGCTAGTTGTTAGTCATCCAATCCTTTCTCCCATTCATCTCGCACCTATGGAGTCGATATTGGACTTTAGCAAGGAGCTCGACGTCGGTCTACTGGACCAGGTTGTCGAGCAGTTCTATGGTGGTAGGGGCAGTGCTGTTGAGCGGAAGCAAGCCGACGAAGTCCTGAAAAAGTTTCAGGATCACCAAGATGCGTGGGTACGTGCCGGAGACATTCTCTCAAAGGCGCAGAGTCCTCACTCGAAATACCTAGCGCTCGCGATTCTGGACAAACTTATTCGTCACCGTTGGAAGGGCCTGTCGCTAGACCAGCGCAAAGGAATCCGTAATTTTGTTGCCACGATGTGCGTGGAATGGAGCAATGATCCAGCCATGTTTACCTCCCAGAAGGCTTTGCTGGCAAAGGCCGATCTCACTCTTGTTCAGATCCTCAAACAGGAGTGGCCCAAGAATTGGCCTCAGTTTATCCCGGAAATCGTTCAATCGAGCCGGAGTGGTCTGGAGATTTGTGAAAACAACATGACCATTCTGAGGTTGCTTTCCGAGGAAGTGTTTGACTATTCTGCCGAGCAAATGACCCAGGCTAAAATCAGCAATCTTAAATCACAGCTTGGTGAGGAATTCGGCCAAATTTTCCAGCTTTGTCTGGAAGTCCTGGAAAAGGCTTCTCGCCCATCTCTTATCGAGGCTACCCTACGCGCTCTCCACCGTTACCTTAGTTGGATTCCGCTAAAGTATGTCTTCGGGACAGAAGTAATTGAGCTTCTCGTCACAAAATTCCTCACTCCGTTCGAGACTCGCAATATCACGCTCAAGTGTTTGACAGAAATTGCTTCCCTTGAATCAGTCGAGCACGACCCGCAGTTCTATACCATGTTCGCTGCCTCAATGCAGAAGGTGTCTGAAGTTATCCCCGTGACAACAAATCTGCGAGAATTATGGCCCAATGCTACTACTGCAGACCAGGATTTTATGCAAAACCTGTCACTATTTTTGTCGATCTTCCTCAGCCATCATGTTCAGCTGATTGAGGCTCGTGATGAGGGATTGTTGCAACTCTCTCATCTTTACCTGATCAAGATTTCCGAGGTTGATGAGCGTGAGCTTTTCAAGGGCTGTCTCGACTATTGGTCTCGTCTTGTCTTAAGCTTGTTTGACGAAATCAAAACATTGGCGTACTCGGAGACCGACCCGGAAGTCCAGCAGTATCTGTTGCCAAGCTTTAATGGTGGTGGTGCTATTGACCCAGAACTACTCACAGGATATCCACTCCGCAAACACAAGTATGCCGACATTTTGTCCAAGTTGCGTGTAGTTGTGATTGAGCATATGGTCCGCCCCGAGGAGGTTTTGATTTCCGAAAACGAAGATGGTGAAATTGTGCGTGTAGTGTACCAGGAATCAGACACCATTATCTTATACAAGAGCCTGCGCGACATTCTTGTCTATTTGACTCATTTGGATGTTGTAGACACTCGCGACATCATGACGGCCAAGCTCGATCGCCAAATCGATGGGTCCGAGTGGTCTTGGAATAACCTCAACACGTTGTGTTGGGCAATTGGATCTATTTCAGGCACAATGACTGTGCAGCTGGAAAAGCACTTCCTAGTTGTTGTTATCAAGGAGCTTCTGGGGTTGACCGATCAGAAGCGGGGCAAAGATAACAAGGCCGTTGTTGCCAGTAATATCATGTACATTGTTGGTCAGTACCCGCGCTTTTTGCGTGCTCACTGGAAGTTCCTCAAAACTGTTGTCAATAAGCTGTTTGAGTTCATGCATGAGACCCATGAGGGTGTTCAAGACATGGCTTGTGATACTTTTATCAAAATCACCGAAAAGTGCAAGTCGCACTTTGTCGAGATCAAACCAGACGAGAGTGAACCTTTCATTGATGATATTATTCGCAACATTGAGAACCATACGATGGATTTGGCACCTCATCAGGTGCAGGTGTTTTACGAGGCGTGTGGGCACATTGTGAGTGCTCAGCGCAACACGCAAGCTCAAGACCACCTTCTGGACCAGCTCATGGTTCTGCCAAACGCCGGCTGGAACGGCATGGTTCAACAAATTGCTCAGACTCCCGAGATCCTGGCCCAGAACCCTGACAGCGTCAAAATGCTGGTGGGGGTCATCAAGACCAACACTGCAGTATGCACTTCTCTTGGTGCACCGTATCTTGCGCAGCTGGCCCGGATTTTCACCGATATGCTGGGTCTCTACCAGTTTGTTTCGAAACAAATCAACAGTGCCGCGGCGGCCAACGAACAGTTTGTATTGACCCATTACTCGCGGCTGGTGCGTACGGTCAAGCGCGAGATTTTGAAATTGCTCGACACGTACTTCCGCCGAGCAACTCAGCTTGAACAAATTGCTCGCGAGATTGCTCCACCCTTGTTGGCAACTGTGCTGACCGACTACCAGGAGTCCGTCCCGCAGCTGCGGGAATCTGAGGTGTTGGCATGTGTCTCAATTTTGGTAGAAAAAGTTGGTTCGCTCGTGTCAAACGATATGGTGCTTGGTATTTTGGAGAAGGTGTTTGAGTGCACGCTTTCTATGATTGCTGGTGATATGACAGAGTACCCGGAGTTCCGAGTGGAGTTCTTCAAGTTGCTGCGCACCATCAATCAGCACTCGTTTGCCACCCTGCTCCAACTGCCTAACGAAGTGTTTGCTAACACTATCAATGCTTGTCTGTGGGCCGCCAAGCATGATAACCGCGACGTCGAAGGCGTGGGCCTGTCGTTGACTCTGGAGATCGTTCACAATGTAGTGAAGCTCAACAAGCCGGAGGTCGCCGACCAGTTCTTCCAGCAGTTTTCGAGACTCATCCTTGGTGACACATTTGGTGTACTTACCGACCCTGATCACCGCTCCGGCTTCACCATCCAAAGCGATATCTTGGCCACTTTTGTTGATCTTGCAGTCAACAACCGGATCACTATGCCGTTGTATTCTGAGGGCGACGCGCCACCCGGCACGTCTAATGCGCAGTTTTTGCGAGAGTATCTGGCCAAGTCGCTCAAGAACGCGTTCCCGCACCTGCAGGACCAGCAACTTGCTGCGTTTGTCGACGGCATGTTCAAGCTGTACCAAGACCGGGACATGTTCCGCTCGCACCTGCGCGACTTTTTGGTGCAAATCAAGGAGATCGGCGGAGACGATACCGAGTACCTGTTTACTGAGGATCGCGCCAAGCTGATCCAAGAGCAACGTGAAGAGCGACGAAAGCTGGAGATGACCGTGGGGGGCTTGGCCAAACCCAGCGATCTCGAGGACGCGGATTTATAGGAAAAAAAGAATATGTAGGAAAACAGATGTAATCGAAAGTAACGCGTATTAGGGGAAGTCAATTGAAAGTATATATATCAGATAAATAAGACACCAACTAACCGGGCAAGTTGACTAGATCGTGGAGAGCCATCTGAATAGCATGTTTAAGGGGTAGGCAATTAGCTCGACAAACGCCCACGTGAGGTTGAAGACGGGATAGATGTATACATAGATCAGCGCACCGACGCCAATAGCGATGGAAATACCCACACTAACCCTCATTTCTGGGCTAGATATGATCGCCAAAACATCTGGAGCAGGCATTCTCAGGTTGTTGAAATTGGTCAGCGAGGTTGCGCCAACCTGTAGCGGAGGGTTAGGAGGGCAATATTAAAATATTAAGAACGCAACCGCGGGGTTTTCAGTTTGTAGGGATTTAATACTAAGTTGGGTCTAGTAGTTTTGAATATAGACAGCACGAGGGGCCCGCTGGAACCCATCAGACTGTTATGTACATTATGCCTTTGGTAGCGGCTTCTTGACAGCGTCTGTGATCTTGACCAATCGACCATCTGCGCCACCGATCGAGCCGCGGACAAGAATGAGGCCGTTGTCAGCGTCGACCTCGAGAATCTGGAGGTTCTGAACAGTGCGGAAGTCGTAGCCCATGCGGCCTGCCATCTTCTTGCCGGGGAACACGCGGGCAGGGTCCGTGTTCTGACCTGTGGAACCGGCAGAACGGTGAACACCGGACGTACCGTGACTGGCAGACATACCGCCAAAGCCCCAGCGCTTCATGACACCCTGGAACCCTTTACCTTTGGTGCGGGACTTGACGTCGACGAACTGGCCCGGGATCAGATGGTCTGCCTTGAGCTCAGAGCCGAGCGGAAGAAGCCCAGACTCATCGCGGACCTGGAACTCGACCAGATGGCGCTTGGGAGCCACTTCACTTCGGGCAAAGTGTCCCAGCATAGGGCGGGTGGTATTTTTCACTTTGCGCGAACCAATGCCCAGCTGGACGGCAAAATAGCCGTGCTTGTCTGCGGTTTTCACGTCCGTGACCTGACAGCGATCAACCTCGAGCACTGTGCAGGCAAAATGCGTGCCGTCTGGCAGGTAGTATGGAACCATGCCTCTTTTGTAGGCCAGCAGGCCGACCCGGTTCCGCAGACGGCGGCGGGCATGGGCCGCAGCAGCAGACTCGAAAAGAGCCGGCGCCTCACTTTGGTAAGTGTTGACCACCGACTTGGCCGTCAGTTGGGCCATGAACCTTTTGAAAACTCGCATGGTGAGACGATGAAAAATATCGAACCGGTTTTGACAAATCCCTTCTACACCCTGACAAAGCAGGTCTTAAACCAAGAAATCTCGAGGCTGATTCGGGTGTATCGGCGGGCACATGTACATGAATATAATCATATACGCATATAGACGAACAGACATGTCGATTGAATCTGCCTTGGGTGCCAACACACCCTAGAGGCCCCCCAGCCGCCCAAAAAACCCGGTCGCCTTTGCAACTTATCTAATGCCGAAAGCCCTCTAGCTGACAACCATGTTTAGGCTGGGAAGTCGTATGATGAGAATGCGCAGCGTACCCTTGGTGCGGTTTGCGCACAGCACTCCCGTGACGCTGGAACGAGAGCTTCCGGACGTTCTTGCCTCGAGACGCAAAGGCCGCCTCGGGTTCCTTCTATTCGCCGCCACCATGGGGATCAGTTTGTACGGGATGGCCAAGTACGAGAACGCCAATTCGCCTATCGTCTCCTCGACACTCTACACTTTGAGGCGGTCCAAGCTTGCTCACGAATACATTGGTGACAATATTCGTTTCCGCTCCACTATGCCTTGGGTTACTGGCAGTGCTGGCATTGCTCAAAGCCATGTCGACTTTAGCTACATGGCTACCGGCTCCAAGCACGATGCTCTAGTGCATTTCGAGGCCACACGTATCCCCCACGAGCACCGCTTCCAAGTCATCGACTGGTCGTTCACTGTCGACGGCGAGAAGATCGATCTGATCGATGAGGATTTCCATCCCTACGTGCCCAAATCCAACGAAGAACCCGGCATGCAGCCAAGCCGCCGCTAAATACGATTAAAATCCTTTTTATGTACAGAACTAGAAAATAAATTAGCCCTTTATTTGATCTTCTTTTGCTTGAGCTTGATGGTCTCGTTGTCAATAAAAATACCTTTGCCCTTGTAGGGTTCTGGCTTTCGGAACTTGCGAATCTCAGCGGCCAGAAGCTTGACTTGCTGCTTGTCGCAGCCCTCAATAACAACCCGGTGAGGCACAGGCACCGTCACCGTCAGGTCGTCGGGCACAGGCACCTGTTTGGCGTCGCAGTAGCCCACTCGCAGACTCAGCTGCTGCTTGCCATCGCCTGTCTTTTCGAGCTGGGCACGGAACCCGGTGCCGACAAGCTTCACAATGCAAAGATGGCCCTCGGTGACCCCGATAATATTGTTTGACAGCAGCGTCCGCGTCGTCCCCCACATCGACCGCTGGTGACGCTTCTCGGGTTCCTCGACCTCGATGGTGATCTTGGCGCCGTCCTGGCCGACCTTGATGAAATCAGCAACGTCCATCAGCACCTTGCCTTTGGGACCTGTGATCTCGGCCTGCTGGGTTAAATAGATGCGAGGCTTTCCGTTGCGCTTTTTGTCGAGCTCCATGCGCATTTGACTGACCTCATCGAGAACACACGGAATCAGCTTGAGCTGGGCAGTCTCGGGCAGCAGAATAGGTGAGCTACCAATGTTCGACCGGACAATACGGTTTGTTGAAAAAAGCCGTCGACCGAGCATTTTGGTGAAAAACTCTTGGTTAGTCAGGCTTTGGAAAGGCGAATTTCAGTGCCCCGAGGTTAGGGCCCAACACAGCGCTAAGGTTGTGCAGGTTCAGTGTAACAAACATGGTTGATCTGACGCTTTACTATTTGTTGCAAACAATTATCACCTGCCGCCAGCTGTATGATCCCATATTCACTGAGTGCAAAAAATGGCGGGGCGCAGTGGTCTACGAATGCAATGATTCTCGCGCGCGCAGGTACTTGGAGAAGGCAGCCGCGCTGGCGGAATGGTACCTTGAGTCGACAGGGAATGTGTCAATTGCTCTAGTTATTTACAACAAAAGCGGCGAGCCGCAAGAGAAATGGTCTTTTGATTGCCACAAGGCCAGCGAGTTTGACGCAAAGGCGTTCCAGGCGGTAACAAACCAGATCGTGGCTGCTGCTGGGTATCTCCAGCCGTTAGACGAATCGTTCAAATTCAAGGTCCTCGCCACTGTGCCTGCCGAACTCAATCTAGCGCAGTTCAATCTCCGACTATCCAGGGACGCTCTCCCAGAGGTGAGCCCGCTCAAGCTTACCCAGATTCCTGGCATTTCAACAATATTTTATGGGATTTAATAATAGGGGTTAAGACATGGAAGATGCTAGGGTGGCCCGTAATTACCCTGACCAGCATGCTGGGGCGGTAGTGATTTACCACGGGACTTTGGTCCGAACTTGCGCTTCGGCTGTATGAACACAGACTCGTCCAGAACGGCAATACTGTTGCGGGGCGCAGGCACCGGAGGACGAGCATTTCTTTGCGAGGAGTAAGATTTTCTTCCTGCTGCATGGGGCTTGAACCCACCGCTCGATGGCACGTCTGGGAGATCCATGTAGTCTGATAAAGTCGGGACAAACACGGGGCCCGGTGATTTGTTGCCAACTTGAGGCGATGACGGCTGGGAAAACCCGAATTGATTTGAAATCGAAGACTCGGGATACACCGACGACGGAGCAGATGAAGTTGCGGGCGACGGTGGACGTTGGGGCAAAAAGTGGTTATTACTTCCCCATGGAGAGTCCAGGCTCATGTCGTAAGATGATTCGGGCGTTGGTCCTAGATGAGGGGTCGACACCATAGTAGCGACTGGCTCAGGTTCATTTGAGGATGCAGGTGTTGTCTCAGGACTGGGCAATTGACCAAAGTCGAAATCTGAGGTATTTCGCTGGGTATTTTTTTCAGGAATGGAGTCCGCGCCTTTGTGGGCGGGCTCAGGTCCTATATTCTGGGGTACATCATGCTTGGGCTCTGTATGCTGAGGCACAGGCTCGGGCTCTGTATGCTCAGGCACATGCTCGTGCTCTGTATGCTGAGGCATATGTCCAAACTCTGTATGCTCAGGCACATGCTCGGGCTCTGCATGCTGAGGCACATGCCCAAACTCTGTACGCTGAGGCACATGCTCAGGCACACTATTTTCAAGAGGAGCCCCCACAGGCTCAGGTTTCAGAGCGAGGCTTTCGGGCTCATACTGTTCTCTAGCATCAGACGCAGCATGTTCTTGAACAGCATATTCGGGTTCAGCATGTTCCCGAACAGCCTCTTCAGGCCCCCGCTCAGCGGGTTCAGCAATGACACCATGATCAGACTTGAAGACAGCATCAGACCCGGCCTCGATCCGAACATGCCCCACCTGGACATCAGACACCGCAGAATTATCAAAAGATTCGCCGGTGTACTCATTACTATCATTAATTTCACTGTCATCCGGCAAAATCTCATTCGCGAGCGCCGAATGGGCCAACGAAGTTTTTGAATCAGAAAATTGGGGGTTCAGGGCATTGGACCGGGCTGTGTGCAGCGACGCAAAGGAAACCGTAGACAAGCGGGGATCATCACTACCATCACCCTCATAACCAAAAGTGGCACGGTGGCCCACCGACAAACGCACGCTTTGTGCAGAGGTTGTCAAAGGAGGGGTTTTATTACGCGAGACCGAGGAAACTCTGCGGAAATCCGGATCTTCCAAGGCCATCGACTCTCTGTGAGTAGCGTCATAAGACAAGTCACCCTCGTCGTCGCTTTCAGACGCTAGTGACTCCAGTCCGCCGGGACTGCTGGGAACACTCGAAAGAGTATGAGTGCTGGTATAAGAGTTATGGGCACTACCCTGGTCACTCCAGGGCTGCGTAGGAAGCCGCGGCGCCTGCCACTGCATTGAGGAGGCACTGTAAGAACGAGGGGTGCGGAGCATCTCTGAGGACTGGTGGAAAGGAGAGGGGCCCAAAACAGAGGTCATTGAACGAGAGTAGCCATCGACGCTCTGCATCGAAGGATCTTTGAAGTAAGGCGTATACATAAACGAGGAAGAGTTGTCTCTGTGCACTTTGGGCCGGATGGCATACTTTTCGTCCGCAATACCAATGTGGTTTTCATACAGCGTGACGTCTCCATCGATATCGATATTCTCATGTCTTTCGTCTTCCTCACGAGATACCCGACGAGAGCGAAAGTATAGCCATACCAGAATAACCACAGTTACCGCACAGGGTACGCCTACACCAAGCCCCACGGCCAGTGGAACGACATTACTGGAAGAGTCGTCCGACGAGCCAGACGTGCGTGGGGCCAAATAACGGAACATCTAGTTTATCAACTCTTGCCGTGATCGAATCCGACGAATGACCAAACTAACTACGTCGTCGATCAGAGCTAAGATGGAAGGTATTGAGTGTCCCCCTTTTTTTATTGCTTCATACAGCTCCCTGCATTGAGCCCTTGCCCTAGTACACATGGAGCCGCCCTGTTCGCGTTAAACGGAGCGTGCCGCGAGCCGTGTGTAGGGGTAGGCAGAATAGTGCCGGCGAACTGGCCAATCCGTTAGCTTATAGATGCATGGGCTGGCTCTCAATCGATCGGCCTCTCGATCCATCTCTTGCTTTCATTAATAAACCAATCTCGATTTTGCTCTTAAAGCGAGTCTGTCCAACTGTCATCACTGCGGAATGCTTACGTTGCGTCCGCCGTGAAATGTCATGTCGTTTCAAAGTTGGGCGGGAGATTAATAGACGAGACATTTTTATGTACTTTTAGCGAAACCCCCATACGTTAAACCCACCACCACAGCTTTCCTGCAAAATCTGGCGAGCCTCTGGCAGCTCCTGTTTGATGTTTTCAATTCGTCGTGACGACGCCGGATGTGTGCTCAGCAGCTCGGGAGCCCACTCGCCTTTGCGCTTCTCCATTGCAAGCATACGCTGCCAGAAGGCGACTGCGGCGTCGGGCTGGAAGCAGGCCTTGGCCATCATCATGACCCCCACCCGGTCTGCTTCGGTTTCCATCTCACGTGACGCAGGCAGTTTCAGGCCCATGCCGATAAGGATATCGCCCAATTGCGCCGAGCCAAACATTGTGTAGAGCGCCAGCGAGATTGCAAGATAAAATGGGCTCTTGGACAAGGACTCTGCGCTGTGGCGGCATACTTGATGTGCGGTTTCATGCGACAACACTGCAGCAAGCCCATTGGCGTCCTGGCAGAGCGGCAACATGCTCTGGAAAACAAACACTTTTCCGCCAGGCAGTACAAATGCGTTGGGCGGGTTGTTTCCTCCGATAACGTGCACCTCCCACTCCGCATCTTGAATGCCGCTGACTGCGATCAGGCGCTTCATAACCTCCCGTACCTGACGCACATCACTATGATTGTCCGGTAGCAGGCTACGGCCAAACTGCATCATGACCTGCTTGTATCCCATGTATCCCACCTGCTTTTCGAGCCACCTGGGACACATCATGAACCGCCACCGGTGCGAGAATGGCACTTGCTCCAGATTGACTGCATAAAACCCGGCCCCCAGTGCTAAGAAGCCAACAAGCGGCTTTCGGTAGGAATTCCAATTGTATCCATAGCCATTGTTTGTAAAGGACTTGTATGTGTAGTTAGAACCGCCCGGACGAAACCCCGACGAGTAAAACCTCCTAAACATGGTCGTTCACTAAACTCTATTTGGTTCGATCTGGTTAGTCATCCCCCGTGCTAATTAAATGGCAAAGGCCCAGATTGGAACGGCGAAATATGTGGCCAACAAGTTAAAAGCAAAAGGGTTACAGCGCCTGAGATGGTACTGTCAGGTCTGCGAAAAGCAGTGCCGAGACGAAAACGGGTTCAAGTGTCACACCCAGTCAGAATCACATGTCAAGAAAATGCTGCAGGCTGGAAGCGATGGCGGGTTCACTATCGACAAGTTCTCGAAACAATTCCAACACGATTTTGTATCCTTACTGCGCATGTCACACGGAGATAAACCAATAGGTGCCAACCGTTTCTACAATGAGTACATTCAAAACAAGGATCATGTTCATATGAATGCCACGCGCTGGTCTTCGCTTGCAGCGTTCTGCCAGAGTCTAGCAAACCAAGGGATTCTAAATGTCGAGGACACCCCGGAGGGCCAGGTTATAGCGTGGATCGACACATCTACTGAAGCTGCGAGCCGAAAGCAGATGATGGAACAAACAGAACGCAACAATGAGCGAAAAGCCGCCGAGCGAGCTCTCGCGCTCCAGATGGCTCGCGCCAAGGCAGCAGCACCTAACGAGCCCAAGGAACCGAAGGAGTTCAAGGAGCACATGCAGACCAGCAAGACCAAAATAGCCTTTTCGTTGAAAACCAAGCCTGCGGCAGGCCCGCGAGCCAACCCCCTACGTAAAAAACTCTAACTATTTATTCTCCACTAAACCTTTGACTTTGGCACACGACCCCGCGGCCCAAAATCAAACGCTCAGTGAGCTGAAAAAGTTCCAAAAATATGTTTAAAGCCTTGACAGCCCTCGTCCGGATGGCTCTGGTAAAAGGCAAGAACCCTGTTCTTTGACGAGGTGCTGAGCTTAGAAAGCTGCCAGCCACTGATCGACGTATATCTGTCTATGTGACCTCTACCCCCGTAATACCCCTTTGTCACATGAAGCCGGATAAGCGACCCCTGCCCATAACGGCTAAAGTTCTCTTTTTATACTCTCCGCACCTCCGGTACACAGCGCCATAGCCCTCCTCAACCTCGGTCAAGACGCTCAATGATACCGCTGTTGACTAGGAGAGACCCCAATTATGACGCTTTAATTAAGGAGCAGGCTAGCGCTCAGGATTACGACGAGTGGCTGGCTGCTTCGGTCAAGCTGGATGAGCTCCTGGGCCTAGATAGATGGAAAAAGCACAATGCAAGCCCATTGTACGATTACGAGCTAGTGAGTCACCGCCTGAACGAGCTGCGTGAAGCCCGGCTCTCTGGCAACATCAAAAAATTACTTTATTTGGTCCGAACAACCCTCTCCCGAAACCTTGGCCGCATGGGTGACCAGGAGCTGTACAAAAAGTGCTACTCAGGTACTAAAACGCTGATCTCGGATTATATATGTGAGTGCGAAGCGGCAATCGAGTCGCTGCTTGAGGCTAACAACCTGGACGATTCCTATCTTGTGCAGACATTACTCCAGACCCGGAAGGCCTTTGGGCGTACAGCACTCGTGCTGTCAGGCGGTGCAACACTAGGACTACTTCATGCCGGGGTTATTTTCGAGCTGCATGAACATAATTTGCTTCCGAAAATTGTCTCTGGATCTAGCGCGGGGTCTATTTTTGCTGCACTGATATGCGTCACCAAGGAGGACGAGTTCGATAAGCTGTGGAACCTCCGAAACCAGGAAATTGCCATTTTCCATAGTGCTGGTATCGAAGAAACAATGTGGCAGCACGTCCAACGTTTCCTGATTGAAGGCACTTGGGTCGACAGTGTCTGGATTGAAACCATGACCAAAGAGCTTTTAGGAGACTATACTTTTCTTGAGGCGTACAACCGTACGGGACGTATTTTGAACGTCACAGTCTCGTCATCAGGTGTTCATGATATGCCACGACTGCTGAATTACCTGACGTCGCCCAATGTTTTGATTTGGTCGGCGGTCTGTGCATCATGCTCTTTGCCACTGGTGTTTTCGTCAAACACCTTGATGGCCAAAAACCCCAGAACCGGTGAGGTGTTCCCTTGGGTGAAAACAACATTTATCGATGGCAGCGTGGACAACGATTTACCGCTGGCTCGCTTGGCAGAAATGTTTGATGTCAACCATTTCATTGCCTGCCAGGTAAACCCGCACATTGCACCCCTTTTGCATTTGTCCCAACATTTCAGCCCGCAAATCCCGAAAAAGAAGCTGGACGATAAAATCAAGCTGGAGGAAAACGACATAGTCAATCAGCACACACTATGGTCCAAAACAAAGAGTATGCTTATTGGCGAGGTGTCACATGCGCTGCAAATGATGAAGCAAGCAGGGATTCTCGAAAAGACAACTTCCTCTTTACTCAATGTTATGGCCCAAGAGTACATTGGAAATATCACCATGCTGCCATCTATCGAGCTAACCGACTTTGCGAACCTGTTGCGAAACCCCACACCCGGCGTTCTGGGGGCTGCAATGCAACGAGGAAGGTTAGCAACTTGGCCCAAACTTGCAATTACTAGAAACCATTGTGCCATTGAGCTCAAACTAGACGAGGCTATTATGCGAGTGCACAGTCGTATGATTTCCAAGAACGCCAACCAGCTCAAGGCAGCTATGAAAATGCATCATCGCAACAGCGAAGAGCTCCTCCACAGTGTTCGATCACATCGTAGCCGCTATTCGCTTGGAACTGTACGCTACTCGCCTTCGACCAATAACGTTGCTTCAATCACTCGGCGAAAGTCGTCGGTGCAAATCCGACCAATGTACTCACCATTGAATCAATCACCGGCTCTATCCCGGACTTCATCGGGATCAAACCTTGTAATGGTAGGCCGTCAAGCAATGACAGCTCCTAACTCGTACTCCTCTTCTTTGGCGACATCACCGAATGGTGCTCGCAAGCCCAGGACCCTGTCCACGGCGGTTGTTGAGGGAAGTACTAATAAATAGATGCTATATTATTTATTTTTTATGCAAATCAGCCAAGCTCTGGTCCTTTTCGCCGAGCGGTAGTAGTTCGTTTTTGGGCTTGAACGAGGTAAGAACGACCGAGCCGTCATCGTCGTAATCCTCTTCATAGCCGGATAAATCAGGGGCTGTTTGGAATAATTGTGGATGCAGCTCCTCAAGCGCTGAAATGCGAGTATGAGAACGGTTCAAGCCCGCAGGGCCGTCCGAAACAGACCCTAGAAGAACACATCGCATCCCTTCCACATACACATTATCATAAGGAACCTCGGCAGATCCAACGTACCATATGTTTTTACGGGACTCTCTCGGAACCTTTTGCCACGCCTTTTGAAACGTTATGGGCAGCGGCTTGAATACACCCTCGCGGGCCATCACTGTACAGAACGGCTTTACACCGACGTATTTCAAAACTGCAGGATACAAAGGTCCCTCGTTTGCCACAAGGCCCCACAGAATGGACTGAGACTCTAGCGTATCGATGAATTGACGCACTGAATCGGGCACCGCATAATTTCGAACTTTGCCCAGCTCGTTAGGCAATGCCGCCAGAAAGTTAGCACGGTCAGAAGACGATTCGAATTGAATTGTATCGGTCACCGACTCTGCTATAGATTTCAGCCAGTCTCGATGCTGTGCAGGCTTGAACTTTGTTGTGGTTTGAAATAAACTCGCTTGAGACTTGACCGACAACGCAGCCTGGTTATAGACAGATTTCAGCAAATCAGCATTTGATTTGCACTGAAACTGCGATGCAAGTCTTGAAATGGTCGCCAAACCGTGCGGGGGAGTCAAAACTGACTCGCTCAAAAACACAAATGGTTTCCCCCAAAAATTTGTCATTTTGTAAAGTATGAGAGATTGTCTTATTGGACTTGTGGGAAAGCCATCAAGTGGTAAGTCGACTACGCTGAATAGCTTAACAGACGCTTCAGCCAAAGTTGGCGCATTCCCCTTCACCACTATCGACCCGAATAAAGCTACTGGTTATGTGCCTATTCCGTGTGCGTGTTCTCGGTTCAATAAGCAAGACTCTTGCAAACCAAACTACGGTTGGTGTACAAATGGGACAAGATTCATCCCAATTACCCTGCTGGACGTAGCCGGACTGGTGCCAGGAGCACACGAGGGACGGGGACTCGGCAATAAGTTCTTGGATGATCTACGACATGCAGATGCCTTGATCCACGTCGTTGACGTTAGTGGTACTACAGACGCCGAGGGTAAGGCAACAAGAGGATACGACCCCACACATGATATTGAATGGCTGCAAGATGAGATTTTCCGGTGGATTCGAGGTAACCTAACCGGTAAATGGGGCTCGATCGCCCGACGACACACGGCGACGAAATCGTCGGTTGTAGATACGCTTGCAAATCAATTCAGCGGCTATGGTGCCACTAAAGAACTTGTGGCTCGAGCAATATCGCTGGCAGAGGTGCAAGCAGCAAAAAAGTTTGAAGTAGAGCCTGGGAAACCGACGCTGCCTGCTCTCGAACATTGGCAGGACGAACACATTGATCTTGTGGTTCGGTGCTTTACAGCCGAAAAGTTCCCCACTGTACTTTCTTTGAATAAGGTTGATCATGCCGATAGCGATGCCAACATTTCGAAAATTGCCCTAAAATACCCAGAGGTCCCCCAGGTGGTATCGTCTGCGATCAGCGAAGTGTTTCTGAAGAAGCTCGTGAAACAAAAATACATCATTTATGAGCCCGGAACGGAATTTGTTGATACTAAAGAGGACCTTCCTGACTCTGATCTGAAAGAGCTGGATGAAAAACTAAAAGCTCGGGTTGAAACGGTTCGCGATCTTGTGCTGTACCGCTTTGGGTCTACTGGGGTCGCCCAGGCTCTGCGAGAAGCAATTGAGGTCCTCAAACTTGTACCAGTTTTCCCGGTCAAAAATATAAACAACTTTGGCGGCAAGTCTGTCTTTCCAGACTGTTTATTAGTGCGCCGTGGAACCACGGTCGGACAAGTGATGCGTAAAATAATGGGCGATGCACCGGTTCTCTGGATAGAAGGGGTTGGCTCAATTAAACTGTCTGAAGACGATGTCGTTAGCGAGGGCAAGAACGATGTCCTTTCGTTCAAAGTTGGTCATTGAGAGGGGGATTTTTTTTTGTTTATATTCGGCCTATTAATACCCGTAGGGTTTATAAAAATAATGCTTTTACGCGATAATACAGCTTTTTTTTGTTTCTGCCTCCTGGGTAGCGCCTTTAGATTTCGCAGACAGAGCGACCCTTGCGGCTTCGGTGAACGCCTCGCGTACACCACGGTCTTTTTTGGCGGAGCACTCTAGATATCGCACAGCACCGACCCGTTTAGCAACAGCAACGCCCTCGTCGTAAGAAATAGTGCGGTCCGGTTGCTGCAACGTGGAACCATCTGCATCTTCCTGGTTTCTGAGATCACACTTCAAAGCCACCAGAACAAGCTTTACGCCCTCGCAATGGTCGATGATTTCAGAGACCCAGCGAGTCTGGGCATTCTCAAGAGAGTCCCTGGAATCGACGGAAAAGCAGAGCATGATACAGTGAGTATCCGAATAAGAAAGGGAGCGCAAGCGGTCGAACTCTTCCTGACCTGCAGTGTCCCACAGCGACAATTCCATAGGTTGGCCATCAATAAAAATATCGTGAACATAATTCTCAAATACAGTGGGTTCGTAAACCTGGGGGAAGTATCCACGGGTGAACATGTTCAGCAGGGAGGTCTTACCACAAGCACCGTCGCCGAGAATTACAATCTTGCGCTTGATGGGCTTGGGATTGGTACCACATGAGATAAAGCGCATTGTTCAGGGAGTTGTGGAATAGTCGACAAGTAACGAGGGTTCCGGGGTGCGTCTGATTGAGGAATGTTCTGTTGCAGTAAGGAACGATGAAACACGAGCCTTTGAGTTATGTCCTGGGAGTTAGAGTTTCCACGCTAGCGGTGCAGATGACCGATTCGATTATACAGCGAAAATTGAAAGGTGGGGCTCGACCTTTGTGTGGTCTGTGTATGTGTTATACAGGTAAGAGCACGTCACGCATTATCATAACTTTACATACTGGGCTTTTTCCTCGACAGATTACCCTAAGCCACATCACGTGACATAACACTGAACGAAGCAAGCTGTTTCCATGTCTGTCTTTGATTGCGGTGCAGCAGGGGGTCCCAGGAGAGCCCCGATCCGGCCGTGAGAGGACCACTGAGCCTGGTGCCGCCAATACAGTCGTCCAGCTGGTCTGCCCATGGCACAGTGAGCAGCCTCTTTTGGCAGGGCGTGGATTGCCGTCTATATTATTGCTCTCTCCAACGACATTGAATAGACATTATAATCACAATATCAGCAATTTTATAGCCCAAGCACCCCATACCCACGTCTACCCAAGTGGTTGTGTTAGATTTTTCAGCTTGAATGGCGTTGATGCATAACGCCAAGAAAGTCGTGATCGCTCATTCTTCGTCCAAGCTAGATGCTCAGGCAATTGATCGATCCGTCGCTTACCACTAGATTTAGAGCCTAGATCCCACGTCATTGCTCAAACAGAACCCCGACTACTCTGCGGCGGTATTTTTCTTCCAAGCCGTAGATGTATCTGAGCATTGAAGTCAAACCTGTTAACGGGTCGAATCAGAGGGGCCAATGCTGGTGGTAGTGGGGGATCTTGCCCGAATTGACCCAAGCTGCTGCAAGGAACAGTCAAATGATGCGAAATTTACCCGTTTTGAACTAATCGGGGCTGCAGGTATCATCAATTGGCTGGCTAGCCTTAAAGTTCGAATCCGCCGTTAAGATTCAAACTGTGTCTCTACCACGACTTTATTTGTGCTTGCTTGAGCTCCATCTCGTACGGATCTGATCATAAACGCTTGTGCTTTGCAGTTGAACAGGTGATCCCAATCTTGCGCTTCTGCCAACCTCTACTGGCACTGGTTTGGACGAAAAGTGTGCTTGTTTTACAAATAAATTTGAAGCTAAAGTCCACCTTCACGTTGCGTGTAGTCCAAGACTGTTGCCTCTATAGCTCGGTATACTCTGCATGACTGATCTCGCCCTCCTATTCAAGAGCTAGCCCAAAGTCCCTATCGCTAGCTCATTGAGTTCACATATTCATGAATGTTATTCAGAAAAGGCCCCTAGGCATCCTTTGACGGCCCGCTTGCTTCAAGCCATTGCCCGCCTGCTTCAAGCTACCGACCTCCTAAATCAACTATATTAGCGCAGAGGTAGTTTCGTCTTTCTCAGCGCCGTGTCACCCTAATTTGCTAGTGGCTACTAAACTATCCAGTCGAATTCGAGTCAACTGTACCATCCGCTTCTCTATGCTCACACCACTGGCCTCGAATGATCTGCACATTTCACTGACTGTCCGAGCCTCGGGTTTCCACCCTAAGCCTAGAAATTTTCATGCATGATGACTTTTCATCGAAGATTTACTCATCGCATAGCCGAAATATATATCACCACTTACTACCCATTGACTTATCTAAATGGCCACGCCTCAAGAAATCAGAAAACCCCGCCCCACCAGCGATGTTATCTCGTCGCCCCATACTTTTGACAGCATGGCGTCGCCTGGCAATTTCCGAGGCCGTCGGGTTTCTATCAACCAACGCCCCGAGAAGGACCTGAAGCCCTTTCAGCATGGCGACATCAAAGTTTTGCTGCTTGAGAACGTCAACAAGACGGCCTTGGACATTCTCGAGAGCCGCGGCTACCAAGTCGAGTTCCACGACTCGTCTCTGCCCGAGGCCGACCTGATTGAGAAAATCAAGAATGTGCATGTCATTGGTATTCGGTCCAAAACCAACCTCACAGAAAAGATCTTGTCTCACGCGCAAAATCTTTTTGCCATTGGCTGCTTCTGCATTGGCACGAACCAAGTCGACCTCGACTATGCTACCAAGCGTGGTATCGCGGTCTTCAACTCGCCGTTCTCCAACTCCCGTTCCGTCGCCGAGCTCGTGATCGGCTACATGGTTGCGCTTGCTCGTCAGTTCGGTGATCGCTCCATTGAAATGCACACCGGTGTCTGGAACAAGGTCTCCAAGGGCTGCTGGGAAATCCGCGGTAAGACCCTGGGTATCGTGGGTTACGGCCACATTGGTACCCAGCTGTCGGTTCTTGCTGAAGCCATGGGCATGAATGTCCTGTACTACGATGTGCTCAACATTATGGCCATGGGTATGGCTCGGCAAGTTGACACTCTCGAGGAACTACTCGGCAACTCAGACTTTATTTCCTTGCATGTGCCTGAACTGGCTGAAACTAAGGGTATGATCTCCACCAAAGAGTTTGATGCCATGCGTAAGGGTGCATACCTCATCAACGCTTCCCGAGGAACTGTTGTTGACATTCCGGCCATGATTGCCGCTCGCAAGGCCGGTAAAATTGCTGGTGTCGCTATTGACGTGTACCCCAACGAGCCCGCCAAGAACGGCCCTGGCTTCAATGACTCTTTGAACGACTGGACTTCTGAGCTGGTGTCTTTGGGAAATGTCATTCTCACCCCTCACATTGGTGGCTCTACCAATGAGGCCCAATCGGCTATTGGTGTCGAGGTTGCCACCGCCCTGCACAAGTACATCACCGAGGGCTCGTCAGTTGCCTCTGTTAACTTCCCCGAGGTCGACCTCCGTCGTCCGTACCAGGAGGAGTCTGGTGCTGTTCGTGTGTTGTACGTGCACCGCAACGTTCCCGGTGTGTTGGCCCAGGTCAACGAGCTGTTTGCCGAACACAACATCGTCAAGCAGTTCTCCGACTCTGAGGGTCAGATTGCCTACCTCATGGCTGATATGTCCAACGTCAGCGAGAGCGAGATCCGGAAGTTGTCGGACGAGCTGGAGCGCCTGAACTTCAACATCCGCACCCGCATGCTCTACTAAGGGAAAAACCTCATGTTCAACCATCTCTTTATATATATATCGGCGCAATCAACTGTGCCGCTTAATCCTCTAATATCTATATTGCTCCGAATTCGGCCCCTGACGATCCGCCCGCGGTGAGTTGGGTCATCAGCATTTGGCCGAACGGTGTACCCGCTACGGTTCTGGCAACGTCTTTAACGTACGAGGGAATGCCCTTTCCGACCAGAAACTCGGCCAGCGAGTCGCTAAAGTCGTTGCAGTTGTTCAGAAACAGATGGTACCGATCTGCCGTCCACTCAGGCTTGACCTCCTCAAGATACTCTTCAATCACGTCTAAAGGAAGCTCGGTTTCGCCCAGATCAATGACCCTATGCGGTGCCCCTAAGTGTGTTGTTCCTGGTGGCACGGAAAAAATGCCCTGGCCAAAGTAAATTTCACGATTGTGGACGACCAGCGACGAATGCCAGACGCCCTCCAGATTCTGTCCTAGGAGCATGGGTGCATAGAGCTTTGCCATCCCTCTCGAAAGATCATATATGTATAGTTTTACACTCGACATGGTGGCGGCATGAACCAAGGTAAGCGACCTGTATTTATATGTGCGTTTGGGTGGCGACTTGGCGACCGCGTCCTGTGATCCTTCACGTATATACTTCGCAGCAATAATTTAGACCAATGCAAGTAAAATAAGACTATAAAGTTGTTGAGTTCATCCCAGACCTCTCGCTACATGTCCACAATCCACGCGTGCGTGAACTTGACTGCTTACATGGCTCTCTCATCACCGATTCTGGCTTTGCTCAACGAGCCAGACTACGGCCTTAAAGAGCACGCGCTGCAGGCGCTAAACAAATCCGTGGACGAAATATGGCCTGAGGTTGCAGACCATCTTGCTCAAATCGAGGAGCTGTTCGAGGACCCGAGCTTCCCCGCCCAAACGCTGGCGGCGCTCGTAGCTTCGAAAGTGTACTACCATTTGGGTGATTTCGACCAGTCGGTTCAGTTTGCTCTTTATGCGGGTGCACACTTGGATATGAGCTCAGGAACTGAGTACACGAACACCATCGTTGCCAAAGCCATTCGTCATTATGTTGACTTACGCCAGCAGCAATACGACCCGCGCGATGCAGACGATACCACCACCATCGATTCGAAGTTGGTTTCGTCCATTGAGGCTCTGTTAGAAAACTGCGTCAAGAGCGGTCAAGTTACCATGGCTCTTGGTGTAGCGTTGGAGGCCCGACGTTTGGACATTGTAGAGGCCATCCTCCGGGAAAAGAATTCCACGGAAATCTTCTACTTTGTTTTCGATTGCTGTACTCGTCTCGTCTCTCACCGCGAGTTCCGCAATAAAGTGCTGTTCTCCCTCCATCAGTTGTTGACCGCAGACAAGGCCACATCTGATTCGACCCTTGTAACCAAAATCATCGTGCAGCTTGACCGGGCTGATCTTGCAATCCAGCTTTTCGAGAGTCTCATCGATACCGACACGCCACTTGCTTATCAGGTTGCATTTGATTTGGTCACCGGGGCTAGCCAACAGCTATTGACAGAGACATCGGTGGCGTTCGAGACCGCTGTTGACCAGCGTAGAGCCAAGCTCGTTAAAATTCTATCTGGCGTGCCAACCTGTGACTACGAGATTACATTCTTGCAGCGCAATAACCACGCCGATATGACTGTACTCAATCGCACAAAAAATGCTTTCGATTCGCGCAACTCGATGTTCCATTCGGCTGTCTCCTTCCAGAGTGCATTCCTTCTTGTGGGAACCACATGCGATACTTTCTTCAGAGAAAATATCGACTGGCTGGGTCGTGCCCAACATTGGACAAAGTTTACTGCTACCGCGGCTTTGGGCGTTATCCACCGGGGTAACCTCACCCAGGGCCGTCGAATCCTCAAACCGTACCTGCCCGGTGGTCAAGGTAGCTCCAGCCATTCCCGTGGTGGTTCACTTTATGGCTTGGGATTGATTTTTGCTGGATTTGGCGCAGAAGTCCTCGAGTACTTGCAAGGCCAGATTATTGGTTCCTCGCTGGACGAGACTCAGGACCGATCGGATGACGAAGATGTGGTTCTTCATGGCGCGTGCTTGGGTGTAGGCCTGGCCGCTATGCGTACCGGTGATATTGATGTATATGAGAACCTTCGTACCGTTCTTTACACTGACTCGGCAATCGCTAGTGAAGCCGCTGGTTTGGCTATGGGCTTGGTTATGCTCGGATCGCAGTCTGAAATGGCTGAAGAAGAAATGCTCCAGTATGCTCATGATACAAAGCACGAGAAAATCATCCGCAGTCTTGCCCTGGGCCTTGCTCTTTTGAACTATGGTAAAGAAGAAGGCTCTGATCCATTGATTGAAAAATTAATGGCAGAACAAGATCCTTTGCTTCGATACGGTGGATGTTTCACCATTGCGTTGGCTTATGCAGGTACCGGTAACAATAAGGCCATCAAGACTTTGCTGCACACTGCCGTCTCCGATGCTAGTGACGACATTCGTCGTGCGGCAGTGATTGGCCTTGGCTTTATTCTACTGCGCAATCCGTCAGCCTTGCCCCGAATGGTTGAGCTGCTCTCTGAATCCCACAATCCTCACGTACGCTACGGCACTACCATGGCCCTGGGTGTTGCATGTGCTGGCACGGCTATGAGTGCTGCCGTGGACGTTCTAGAGCCAATGATGAAGGACCCCGTTGACTTTGTTCGTCAAGGTGCTATGATTGCCCTGGCAATGATTCTGATCCAGCAGACTGATCAGACTCCAAGGGTTAGTGGTCTGCGTGAACAGTTTGCCAATGTCATTGCTGCTAAGCACGAAGATGCGATGGCCAAATTCGGTGCTGCCATCGCTTTGGGTATTATAGATGCTGGTGGATGCAGTACAACTATCTCCCTCGAAAATCCACAAACAGGCAACCTCAATATGAAGGCGGTGGCTGGTCTCGCCGTGTTCTTGCAATACTGGTATTGGTTCCCCCTGGCACACTTCTTGTCGTTGGCGTTCACTCCAACTACTATTGTTTGTGTGGGAGAAGATCTCAAGATTCCAGAATTCAAGTTGGATTGCATGGCTTCTCGATCGTTGTTCGGATACCCTCCCCGGTTGGAGGAAGAAAACTTGAAGGCTCCAGAGCAGCTGCTGACTGCAATCCTCTCTACAACACTCAAGGATAAGCGTCGGGCTAGAGCTCGTGCTCTTGCTAAGGGTGAGAAGGATCCTGAGAATAAAATGGATGTTGACGACGCGCCCAAAGCGAGCAAGGACGCCAAGGAGAAAGAAGCCAAGGAAACCGAGACAAAAGCCGAGACAAAGGCCGAGACAAAGGCCGGTGGTAAAGCCGAGAAAGACCAGGAATCCGAGTCTGGCTCTTATCTTATTGAAAACATGTCTCGTGTTGTCCCTTGGCAGCGCGAGCACATCGAGTTCACGAGCTCTCCGTTTGAGCCTGTCGTAGAGCATCAACGCTCCGGTGTGATTGTAGTTCGCCAAACGAAACCGGGTGACTACAAAGTAATCAAAACTCTCCGTCAAGCTTCGAATATTGAGGATGAGACTGAAGAGGCGCCCCTCCCCAGACCTTTCATGCTACCTGTCGAATAAACTGCTTGTAGATCGATACATATATAAACAACAAAAGTTCTACTTGAACCTGCGCAAAGCAGCGCCCGTCTCTTTTTCTAACTCCAGGCCATGAGCAAGACGACGCTCTTTTTCACGAGCCTTCTTTTCGTGTTCCAAAGCAGACTGCAGACGCACTTTACGCTCATCCAAAACGTTCTTGGTTTTCTTGCGCAGCAAACGTCGGATTGCCGAATTCTTACCTCTGACATTTGTGCGAGGTTTAAGCATATCCTGCTCCTTCTGAGCCGCGGCTTCCTGAGCTGCTTGAGCTTGCGCAGCACTGAGCCGCTCTGCAGCTGAACGACGATCAACGTTACCAATATCACCAGGGTCCAAGCTGATCATATCAGGCTGCAGCTTCTCCAGCAAGCTTCGGACCTCTGTCTCGCGGCGACCTGCCCGGGTGGCATACATGAAGGGATTGGACTCCATGGAATCAATGTTGGCTTCACCAGCGCCAGGAATCACCAAACTGCTGAACCCGGAAGAATGGCCGACACCAAGGATATCCTCAAATGGCGCAAACCGAACTCTTTCAGTCTGCTCGCCTGCTAGCAAATGGTTCATATATGGCGCAGACACCTTGGGGCCTGTGCGAGTCAGAACATCCTTCCATACTTGAACATGGGGCCCCCAACCGACCGCAAGAAGGCCAGTATCTGAGATATCCAGAGACGATGCAGGTGTAGGTGAATAATAAGATTCCAAAGTCTTGAAGTTGCGAATATCCCAGATCTTGACAGATCGATCTGATCCGGCCACCGCCATATAGTTACCAGACCGGTCAATCGCCAGCGATCGAACCGGCCCGCGGCATGAAAGCAGTTTGACCAGAGGGGTTTGCATACTGGGTGCCCAAAGTGTCACCGTACCGTTATTATGACCGGCATGAATCACTGCGTTCGCGCGGTTTTGCGTTAGTGCAGCAGTGGGGCCCAGTTTTGTTCGTATCTCAGATACAAGCTGACCAGTAGAAACATCCTGGTACTTGATAAATCCAGTATTACCTGCCGACACCATCAGATAGTGATATGGTAGATATTCTAAATGGGTGGCTTCGATATGGTGTTTCAATTTGTGGACTTCGGTTCCAGTCGAATCATAGATGTAAGTGTACTTTTTCTGAGCAGCAGCGAAAAACTGATTATCATTCTGCAAATACTTTACCGCATGCACTGTCTCGTTCACATGCAGCTCACACTCCAAACTACCATCTTTCCAGTTGAATGAAGCCATATGCCCTTTTCGACCTCCGAGCAGCAGATAATTACCGGTTCGCGAATAGTCACATTGGTACGGACCAAACAGGTCCAGCGATAAATTGAATTGTTTGGCTTGGGTCGATTTGTCCACACTTTCAGCAATCTCCCGTTGAGTAACTTTGAAAGTACGTTCCATCTCATTCTCAGGCTCGAGAAAGCCGGTGCTCTCCAGGAACAGTTCCTCAGTTCCAGCGGCCTGCTCAGCAGCTCGTCGGAACTGATCGTTCGTGCGATCCATATAAGCCCGTAGCTTGCGATCTTTTGTTTTAATTTTACGATCCTTGCTGCGCTTATATTTTTCCATTTCAACAATGATTCAAGACGAGAATATTGGGATCTGAAAAAAAAAAAATTATGTGAGCACATAGTCATCTTGTAGCCCCAAATGGTACTAGTGACAGCTGCTTGGTGGAAGGTTCGTGCGTTTGATAAAAATATAACAGTTCTGGGGTCACACCTACCTATTTAGGTCATTAGTTTATTTTTACTTGAATTTATTTTTAGAGCAACCTCGGTGGTTTGCCGAAGTGTTACAGGGATGTGAGATTTTCGTTAGATGCTGAATCGCTCAGCTTTATCCAGCTCCAATATAAATGAACTCATAGGCACATGTTTAGATATACAACGAAGAGAGGTCTTTTTTCCTTCGGTGCATGGGCCAGCTTGTTCTCGTGCATGTGACGACAAAAATAAACTAGACTAAACTAAGCTGGTAGGCGAAAACAACATGATATATCAATACTGGTGTTGTTTAAACATAGATATATACCACAATTGATTGCGATAATTATCTTGATCTCGAAGTAAATGTGCTTATCACTGCTATTATGTGGTATTCTATTTAAAGTTTACTATGCAATGTTTTAAACACCTCACATATATAAGGCCTGTAAATTTCTTGCACTATAGAATAATGCATTTCTACAAGAGTTTGCTTCTTTTAATCTTAGCTGGAGACGGTGTTGAGGCCTTGGGCGGAATTGACCTTGTTAGATTAGTGGCACCTGGGTCTCAGCCACCAGTTATCTTTGTGGCAGAAACAGGTTTACCAGACGATGGTTCAGGTATTGCGAATATAACACCTTACGCCGATACCACGGATGATGCTAATAGTGCGGATACCGCGACCCCGAGTGCCACGGATATCGCGAGCGACTCTCCGAGTGCTGCGGATACCGCGACTGATTCTTCGAGTTCAGCGGACATCGCAACCCCGAGTACCACGGATACTGCAAGCGAATCTCCCAGTGCCATGGATGCCGCGACTGATTCTTCAAGTGCTACGGACACCGCAACCGACTCCTCGAGTTCCACTGCGACCGCAACTGATTCCTCGAGTACAATGGATACTGCGACCGGTTCCGCAAGCACCACTGATATCGCGACGGATTCTGCGAGCACCGCTGATACCGCGACCGGTTCCGCTAGCAGTACAGATAGCGCGACTGATTCCTCGAGTACGACCGATAGCGTGACAGGGTCTTCGAGTGTTACGGATACTGCGCCCGGTTCCTCGAGTAGCACGGATACCGCGACCGTCTCCTCGGACACTGCCGCTGATGATTTCGCCAACACTGCCGACGGTAATTCGACGAACTCCGCCAGCGGCGAGGCATCCAACACTGCCATTAGTGGACTTACGAACGTCACCAGCAGTGATACAATTAGTCCTGCCAGTCCTGGTGCGACCAACACCCTCGGTGGTGAATTAACCACCGCTATCAGCGATAATTCGACCAACACCCTCAGTGGTGAATTACCCACCCCTCTCAGCGATAATTCGACCAACACTATCAGTGAATCTGCCAGCCCCAACAGTGGTGGTTTGACGAATGTTACAGCAACCAATACTGGTGGTAGTGTATTGACTGAAGTTACAGGCAACGCAACATTAAGTTCAGCAACTATGCCAGGTAATGGTTCAGCGCCAACTATGAACGTATCGAACTCAGGTGTAGCTCCGAGCTCAATGGTGAATGGTACTGCGACGTATAACCCGGATGTCGGCGTGACAGTTACATCAATTGTTACTGAATTGACTACTTACTGCCCTGGGCCAACGCAGTTCGTCCAGAATTCTAAGACCTACTCGTGCGACGGCCCATCAACCTTTACCATTACTGACTGCCCCTGCTCCCTGACCACAGTTATACCCGCAAGCAAAACATGCACCCAGCTTGTAAAAACGCTCACTACGTACTGCTCTGAGCCCACAACGTTTGTACAGAACAGCAAGTCATACACTGTGACTGCGCCGACCATTCTGACCATTACTGACTGCCCTTGCACATCTGTTGGTCCAGCTGGTGGAGCTTTGACGAGTAACATTGTATCTACTTTGACTACGGTGTGCCCATCTGCTACGACTATTGTCACTAATGGGGGTACGTATACAGCGAGCGGCCCAACCACCCTTACGATTACCGACTGCCCCTGTACACAAGTTCAAACATTAATTGGAGACTGTTCGCGGGTGCCCTGTGCTAATTTGGGTGGTCCTACACCTAGTGTGAGTGCTGAGCAAGCGACTTCACAGGGCCCCGTATCTGCAAACGGGAGCAACCTGGTCAAAGCTGGTCTTGGAAGCCTCCTTGCACTTGCAGCTGTTTTGCTACTTTAATTACTCCACTGCCCTCAACGTACATGGGTGCAACATATGCTAAATCTATCTTTAATAATAAATACATTCATTAAGTGTCCGGATACTGACGCACCTGCCAATATCTCAAGGTAAAGTCATCACCGACACTCATCAATGAATCGGTATTCGGCTGCCAGGTGATACTCGTACATTCTCTGCGGTGTCCCTTGAGAAGTACCGCGGTGCATGACACGTCGTATCCGTTGACTATTGCCTTTTTGCTGGGGCATACGAACAATGTGATACCGTTCTCCCCGCTGCAAGCCAGGTAGTTCCCTTCTAGACTCGAGCTCTTGATAAACTCTACCCGACTGTAAGAGCTGGTGGGCTTCAAGTGGGCCGAACTCAGCTCGGAAACGTGGCCATTCAGCGATGATGCGAACAGCCCCCCGCCTCGACGAAGTGCCCACAAGTGTCCTGAATCGTCCATGACCATAGAAGCGATACCTGCCCGCTTGATTTGAGGCGTCTGATTGAGACACTTGCGTGCGTGTCGTAAATCCCACACCTTGACAATGTCCGAGCCACTACTTGCAGTGGCCAATAAGTTATCATCCATCCAAGCAATAGCACTGATTTGTGCGCTTGTGTATTTATCAGCGCGATGGGCGTTCATGATTTTGCGGAGCGGCTGCTGGGTGCGAATGTCCATGAAATAAACATTGCCGGACTGAGTTCCCGTCGCGAAGATGCTAGAACTCGCTGGCGAGTATCGCACTTGCCTGAACCCCACGTCATCATCCGGGTTGAAATTCTGAGCGACTTGACTAGTGTTGATATCGTAAATTGCAATTCCGACCTCCGATCCGCAAAGCAAAGTGGAGTCGTCGGCAGCTACGCTCAGATCGCGAATGGCTGATCCGGGCACAACGCTTTTTTCGTCAAGCAGCAATCCCTCACAGCCCTTCTGCGCATTCATGACTGCCATTTTACCGTTCTGGAAACCGACCAAATTTCTTGGAACTGAGTTCAGACCAGTGACCACGAACGGCACCTGCGTCAGTGAAACTTGTTGTGTTTGGGCCATTTTACGGCCTTCGTACTGATAGAATACCTCCTTTGGAGCATACTTGCCTTGCAACAGGAGATTTTTGGCAGTAAAGGCCGAGGGTAAAGGCTTTTGCTTGCGTAGTGGCGACCCAGCACTCGAGGGTTGAGACGCGCTCAGCTTTTGACGTTTGGCATTCGGCACATTCAGGTTGAGCGGTTCCAGTGGTGAGCTACTTGGCTGTTCACCATAGCATGTCATTCCTCTCTCAGAAGCCGTTGGAGCGGGTGGAACACGAATCAACCACCGGTCCAAATTGTTCATGTAGTTAAATTACACTGATGAGTACGCGACGCGAATATCCTTGGGTGATTTGATGACTAAGAGCTTATATGCACACCCACACACAAGATTTCGCTTTCGAAGGCTTCGCTCAGGGCGCTGCATTCAGGGCAAGATTGCATTAGCGGGTGTGAGATGAAAAAAAAACCTGCCCGAAGGCGACCCGGACACGACCATCTTTTGCAAACGTGTCTCGTATTCCCGATTCTCCGGCACTACTCTGCTGGGCCTGTTGACCCAGTGATATGCAAACCCGCCTAGCCCTATCAGCTGCGCATCGCTTCGCCTCGGGCTTGTGTATGCAGAGCCTTATCTTGTGTCCTTAGTCACTTGCAGCGCTCTGGAGACCTCTAAAAACATGTCTGATAACCCGGATCCTGCAAATTCCGAGCGGCAAGAAGATTTACAACATAGCGCTAGTCGGCCTATTCAGCCTAGAAGACGGTCGTTGGTAATAAACACTCACGCAGGGTCAGTAGTTGGTTCCCTTGGGCGTCAGGGATTCGCAGACACTTTTGGGCTCCAAGCAACCCCGCTCAAGATTGTTGTCAACATTGACGGGCCCGGAGAACGTTGCGCAGTTGAAGACGGTGATGGTGGTATAATTGATACTGCCCTGGGCTCATCAGCCGAAAGAGTTTTGCAAGAACGTGAAGATTTACTCCGAGACAACGGGGTGAATATGAGCTACGGTACCTCGAGCCTCCATACAGAAGCCGCTGCTATTGAGTCTGCGTGGGAGCAAGCAGTTGCTCAAGGAAAGATCAGCACCAAAGTTCGGAGGGAGTTTTACGTTCTTGTCAAGAATGCCGCACCCTTGGCAATCACGTTCTTCCTTCAGTATTCATTGACGGTTGCTTCAATCTTTAGCGTTGGGCATTTGGGGAAAGACGAGCTTGGTGCAGTCTCCCTAGCGGCAATGACCGGAAGTATCACAGGTTTCGCTATGATTCAGGGCATAGCAACCTGCCTGGACACACTATGTCCCCAATCATATGGCGCTGGTCGCTTTGATCTCGTTGGAGTGTATACGCAGAAATGTGTTGCAATGACGCTTATTTGCCTGCTACCAGTTTTTATCGTCTGGTTCAAGGCTGACGTTGTTCTTTCTTTTATTTTACCCGAGGGCGAGGAGTACTTGATTAGCCTTGCTGCTCGTTATTTGCGTATTCTAACTATCGGTATGCCACCGTACGTTGTTTTCGAGTGTGGAAAGAGGTTTTTGCAGGCTCAAGGAATTTTCCACGCTTCTACAGTGGTCATTGTGATCTGTGCCCCATGTAATGTATTCTTGAACTACTTCCTGGTGTGGAACCCAACATGGGGCATTGGCTACGTAGGAGCCCCTCTAGCGGTTGCAATCACTAACTGGCTTATGATGATACTGATGATCCTGTACGTTGTTTTTATTGATGGCAAAAAGTGTTGGAACGGCTTCGAGAGGAGCATTTTCTCCGACTGGGGCCCTATTTTCCGGCTGGCCATCCCTGGTGTTGTTATGCTTGAAGCAGAATTCATGGCTTTCGAGATCTTGACTCTGGCTTCGTCTCATTTGGGCACCGTCAATCTCGCTGCCCAGACTATTTTATCCACGATCACGACATTGGCATATGAAGTGCCCTTTGCATTGGCCGTGGCAACCTCAACTCGCATCGCCAACTTTATTGGCGCCCGCCTCATAAAACCCGCTATTTTGACCGCCAAAGTCGCGGTTGTAATGGCTGGTGGTTTGGCAACGTTCGACGCCTTGATGCTGTACACTTTCCGGTACCCTATTTCAGGTTTGTTTTCCAATGACCAGGAGGTTGTTGAAGCCGCGGCCACTGCATTTGCCAGCTGCTCATTTATGCTTGTTCTCGACGGCTTGTATGGTGTTTTAGGTGGAATTCTGCGTGGACAGGGCCGGCAGTACATTGGCGGCTACGTAAATCTATTTGCATATTACGGCGTTGGAGTCCCCATGGCTTTGCTACTCGCCTTCAAATTCGAATACGGCCTCAGTGGTCTTTGGGTTGGAATTAGCACGGGTGTGTCATCCGCTGTCTTGATCTTGGCGTATAACATTCGTTATACCAATTGGCATTCGGTCGTTAAGCAGGCTGAAGAAGCAACTTCATAATGTATGAAATGTCTATATCATCAATCGTCTTAATCCCCCAATGAGCCAGTTTTCTTGTTCGTCGTTCCATGTCGTTAGCAGAAGGCGTTTATTGGTTGCTGGACAAACAGGCTTTTTGGATCTGTCACCAGACTGCAGGTGGTTGAAAATGCACTTGTAACAGTAGATAACACCTGTCTCGAGCACTGCAGGGTTCTCAATTTCTGCTCTTTTGCAAATGGGGCATCCTTTCAAGCCCAGTGGTGGTATGCCTGTAGATGGGGGGTCAAGTTTAGGGCCGAGCTGGTTCAATTTGCTCGCAAAATTACTTGAATTCCACCATTCGAAAAATTTGACAAAGAACAACGCAGAAGGAAGAGCATAGCTGAAAGTTGAAAGGACGAGCCCTGAGAGATACTGCGTCGTCAAATACTCCCTCCAGTCCTTGACCTCGGCATCCAGTGAGTTCAGTTGATGGTCGAACGAAGAAAGGCGGGAGTACTGGAAATTCACCAAATAGTCCACTAGCGATGTAGCCTTTGTTCGATGGAATAGGTAGCCCAGCAAAAACAGAATAGTAGATGTTGACTCTACCATGCAGTAGCGCGGATACCACTTGTGTAAGAGATAGTCGTAGTGATATCGTATTTTGGCCCGTAAAGGAGCGTCATCCGCCGGCCTGTCTTCCTCAATCGATTTGAAACTGTACTTTCCTTTCAAAATGTCGTACCGTGCCTCACATTTCTCTCGCAAATACGGAACCACTACCACAAAAAATAGACACAGCCAGCGCTGTTTCGCAGTGAGCCGCCGTTCCTTTTCCACAATATTCGGCGTGGCTTTGCGGCTATTGAGCGCAGAATATCCAAGAATATTCGTGCGCTTGAGACCATAGAACTTTTCCGTAAACGTAGCATTCCAGTGCTTGAGGTGGTAATGCTCCACAAGACCCATGGCTACCAAATAGATCTCGTCAAACCTGTTGGCAATGCGCAGGAGGTAGGCCGGGTTGCATTCGGCATAATGAACAATAATGTGCCGAATACTGGGATAAATAAGATCTTGCAGCTGCTTTGCACTCAGGATCTCGAATACTGTGGGGATATCCGGGTCCAAAGTCGCCGCATTAAGCGAGCTGTAGTAGTCCATTAGTCAAGAGGCAGGTTTCCCCACATTTCGGATTATGAGTTAAATAATTTAGAATTTATCGGCATTCTGCAGGAGTTTTTTGTCACAGTTTAGAATGACGGCGGCAAGAACTTCTGTAATAACTCCGACCTCGGTGTGTTCGGACTCTTGCGTGTGAAGCACGTCGTTTTCTCTAACAAGCAAGTCGACTGCGGTAACGATTTTTGCAACAACTCCCTGGTCGACATTGTCGCAGTCTAAAGCTTTTTGTAAGTAGTCACGTAAAACAACCAGGCGCTCATGCAGCAGAATCATAGCATTGGTTTGTTTCGCCAATTGGTCGGAAACGGCTCCTTTGGACTTCGAGCGCATTGTCATGACATCATTAACAGCCGTTTCTTCAGGCCTGTCGAGGCTGAACTCGACCGGGATTTCAATGATTCCTGCTTCACCAAGTTTGAATGCTCTGACCGGAAACTCCGTACTATCCTGGGGTATAGGCACAGAGAACGTACACAACAGTGGATTAGGGACGACCGACTCAACCTGTGCGTGGATGCTATAAACCCACGAATCCATATTCTCGGCACCCATTTCAGTTCTGAACCAGCCTAAAAGTTGCATTGCTGGATTGGTTGTTTTCAGCAGCCCGTCTTTGTCAATCAAGAACTTTGTATCAATGCCACTACCCTCTCGCCTTACCTCGAACGCATACCAGATTTCTATAAAATCATTAACAACTGTTCCATACAGTCCACCAATAACTGGTGTAGTGTCTTGACGTAGCTGGGCACGTGTACATAGCTCGCAAACACTCAATAATGCAATTGGATGCACGCCAGCTGAAGGCATGGTAAGTCAGCAGCTCAGTAGTGCCTAGACAGATCTTGAAGAATCTCACTCATAGTTTAAAACAGCGTAGTCAACAGGGGAGCTTTTTAGGTTTATCTTTTTTTAACAATCATTTCAGAACCCATAGGGTGTTAATTCTATCTAGCTTTTGGTTAATTAAAATCCCAGCGCAAAGCACCTTTCCGTTTGTGAACCTCGCTCGACCCAGTATTTCACTGCAGCCCGCGAAAAAAAAAATTACATCATCATGAGCGACAGTGAAATCGATGATATCGAAAGGTTTCAAACAGAAAGAGACCGAGCACTCTATGAAAAAGCCGGTCTCAATAATGAGGATAACTCAGAGTTCGAGTTCAGTGACGAAGAGGTAATGGGTATTGAAAGCGGCGAGGATGGCGATCAATCCGAGTACTATGAGCAGGGAAAATCCGCTCGAGCCGAATCAACTGGCTGGGGCGCCTCACGCAATAATTATTATGGTGGTGACGACTACCAAGAAGATGAAGAAGCCTTGGAAGATGAGGAGGAAGAGGCATTGCGTATGCAACAGGCTCAAATGGAGGAAATGGACGAGGGTGATTTTTACGACGAGGATGACATGGAAGGGTGGAAAAAGACCGCAGTCTCTACAGAAATCGAAGTGGAAGAGCTTCCACAAGAAACTAGCAATATGAGTGCCGCTGAGCGTTTCGCATTTATCCAGAGCACTTATCCGGAGGTTCTGCTGTTATCCAAAGAGCTACAGAAATGCAAAGAAGCTGCAAAAGACCTCGAGTCCGAGGAGGGTGAACTTGCTGAGTTCCAAAAAGTTGCGCTTAATAGTTACATGGGCATGATATACTCTTATTTTGCTCTGTTCACCAGCAAAGTGGCGGACGGCCCAGTCGACTTGAAAGAGCATCCGGTTATGGAGGGCATTCTGAAAGCCCGCGAGCTTTGGCGGGTTGCCATAGCAGCTGAAGAGCCTATGGAGGAGCTTCAAGAGGAGCCAGAAGATATCTCTGCTGATTCCGAAGAAGCTCTTTCTGAGATCGAATCGGACGTTGAATCTGAAATCTCCAATTCAGACTTCGCCTCCTTTGAGTCTGAGCAGGACGAAGACGAAGATGATTTCACTATCAAGCTGCCCAAAATTAGCCGCAAAAATGCCAAAATTGCTGATTATGATGAAGCTGCAGATTCTATCGAGCAGCAGGCACGTGCCAAGAATAAGCAAAGCCTACGCTTCTATACATCACAGATCGATAAGCGTTCCGCCGTCAAGGAAGACAAATTCCAGGGTGATCTTGATCTGCCCTACAAGGAGCGTGCGTTCGAGCGTCGTCAACGTTTATTGGAGGAAGCTAGACAGCGTGGCCAGCAGACCCAAGACCGTCTTGGTGAGTCTGAGGACGATGCAGAAGACACCGAGGAGAACCATAACCCTCTTTATGCAGAAACCAAAGCTGAGCGTGAAAAGAAGAAGCGCTTTAAGGTGGAGCGTCATGCTGAAGCTGTTGCTGCGGCGAAGCAGGGCCGCTTAGAAGAATACCTCGGCGAGAACCCGAATGTGGACAAGCGGGCCATCAACTACCAGATCCAGAAGAACAAAGGTCTCACGCCAAAGCGCAAGAAGGAGAACCGCAACGCCCGTGTTAAGAAGCGGGTTCGTTTCGCAGCTGCGCAGAAGAAGCTCAAGAGTGTTCGTCGGGTATACCAGGAACCCAGCGGCCCTTACGGGGGCGAGATGTCTGGTATCAAAAAGAATCTCGTTCACAGTACCAAGTTTGGTGGTTAAAGCTCTATATGTTATTCTTGTGTATATCCAGTACCTTAGTTCTTTTTTATTGAGTATAGATGTGAGCGACAAATTGTCTCAGTCCTAAACGTGTGGTTGAGAGCGGCAGCTAATGCGTCAGCGATTGCAGCATGTGTGAGCCCAGCTGAAAGAGACTAAACGTTTTCAAATACTCTCACAGCAGTTCATAGATAGACTGTATGCTGGTCTGGTGGTGGTGTGTTCTTGCCGCTATAAATTTCCTAAAGCCAGAGCGGAAATACTCGCTGGTAGAGCCATATCTATAATTAAGAATGTATGAGCCACGGCAGATGAATAAGTGGGTTCTTCTTGCTCCGCAGTCAATTTTAACGGTGCATCGCATGTGTTACAAGTGAGGTGAATAAACAAGTACCTTAAAACCTTAAGAAAAGTACCTCGCGGATCGAGCCAGTTTTGGCCATTTATCTGAGCAAAGACATATTTTTTTGCGCGCAGATCACTGTCACACCTAATGATTCAAAGCGCACACTAAGCTATGCAAGTGCTGCAGGTTCTAATGTATATGCCACCAGAAAATTGGGGCAAAGAAGTCATAAGATTTTTCTGAAACATACCCCTACTATAGTTTGGCACCCCAAACTGCCAAGCGGCTTATTGTAATCCGGAAAAAGAATTGTTGTTGTAAAGTCATAACCATCACAACACTAACTTGTCTCACCAACGCGACTTTTGGCTAGTGCGCAAAACTTACAAGTTCTTTTGAATAGTCTACCTGTGCTAAAGATTTTTCGATGTGGTTCGAGTCTTTTCATCCAAGCCAAGACGTGCGCCCGTCTCAAAGAGTTTGTTCTTGCACTGCTAGGCTCTTACTGGTAGAGAACATACCTCTTACTGCCCTTCAAAACTTTTTTGAGACAGTCAATTGTTTTGGTGACGCCCAGATATTGAACACGAGAATTGAGGGTGACAGCTTCCAGTCAACTGTGGTTTATAGCGACTTGCGCGAAGGACAGAACGCTTTGAAGGAATTTCAGAAAGTGCCACTATTTCAAACAATATCTGTATCGCCTGTAATTGAAACAGATTTCGCTGTGATAATTAATTGTACTAATGCTAGCCGTCTTCAGCGCGAGCAAATGACATTTGAGTTGTCTCAGATTGGCGCTATCGCCTATTCACGCGTCGAGCCCGATATTTCAGGTGGTTCCCAACTATTCGTCTACTATTACGACAGCCGCGCTATACAGAGAGTAATCAACCATGGATTTGCTGTGGGTACAACTGTCTGCCACCCTTTAATTATGGGTGTCACACATTCCAAAGTGTGCTTCTTTTCTCCTTTCAATGTAACAGTTACCGGTTCCAGTATCCAGCCTCCGAACAATCTGATGGTTGATCATTGGTCTACTTCTAAATCTCCATGGAGTGCAACGGTAGGATCTAGCCCTCCACTCGCCCCCAGTGCAATCGCTCCCTATTGCGGTCCGCTCAATTCTACACGCACAGGATTCTGCTCCCCTCCTGTTGAAGACTATATGGAAAGTCGATGGTTTTCTCGCTCAAAGCGACCCTCCCCTACGACAGATACTAGTGAGGGTATCCCTACTCCTGCCCTCCCGATAGTGGCCAAGCCTTCCATTTGGAATGAGGAGTCAAAAGCGGGCATAGAAAGTGGACTTGCAGAGAAACGTCTACCAGTATCTCCTGCTTCTGATGATACACCTCCAGCTACTCTCGCCACTTCTCCTAGTGAAAGTGTCAAGCCTAGTACTCCACCTGTCTTGCAAGGTGTAGTAACCCGGGACAACGTGCCATATAAAAATGTTGTGGATCTTGATTTAATTGACAGTGGCAAGGAGACGCGTACCACCGTCATGCTGAGAAACATTCCTAATAAGTTCTCTCAGAAGGCACTGAAAGAATTTCTCGACACGACTAATAAAAACACGTTTAACTTTTTGTACTTGCGGATGGATTTTGAAAACCATTGCAATGTTGGATACGCATTCATTTCGTTCACGCATCCAAAACATATCGCCACGTTTGCTAGGGCTAGATGTGGTCAGAAATGGAATATGTACAAGAGCGAAAAACTTATTGACCTATCGTTTGCCAAGATCCAAGGAAGAGCTAGTTTGATTGCCAAGTTTCGCGCTTCACCCGTTATGAAGGAGGCACCTGACTATCGACCTAAACTCTACTATACTTCCGGGCCCCATATTGGAGAAGAGGAGCCTTTCCCTGCCCGTTGATGCTAATGAGCTTTCTTTATTTTTGTTGGTCTTTTATTGAATATTTCTTGCTACTTTATTTGCTATATAACTATATTTACTCTTTTTGTTGGTCGCGATACGATTCACGGAGCTTGTCTACCAATTCCTCAACGTTTTCACGAGGCATATCCACTAAATCATGGGGCACATAGTTTGCTGTGTGGGGCTTCGAACCAAAGTCCCTCGTCGAGTCGAGCTTGCCAATCAGCCTGAGCTCAAACGGTTTATCCCAGGACCTCAGTTCTTCCCAGTCAAACAACAACGTGTCTGTGCGGTCAAGCCACGGGTTGATATCAATCAGCCACGCTCTGTTATAAGACTTTGGAATATAGGCATCGAACACAAAAGACGAATCGGGGAACTTGTCAACGAGCTTCGTTGAAAACTCAGTTAGAATGTCCTGGATCTTTGTACGCAAGGGCGCTAAGAAGTCGTAGAAATTGAGATCTCTTTGGCACACACCAATCAGTTCTCCGTCCTTGACAAAACATCTGAACTCCAGAGATCTGTGGATATCGAACCATTCACGCAACACCAAAGTCAACTTGGGAGGCCCCTTATTTCCAAGAGACTTTGTCAAGTCAAAGGTGCAGTAGTCCGACGACTTGATCAACATGTATACATCGTTAGCATTGATGCATCGCATATCATTGGTGGGTGAGATCCAAACGGCGTCTCGCGGCGCCGACCAGTTGAGTTTGGGAGCAACTTCGCCGTCTAAAGATCTGATAGTTTCCTTCACCAAACTGTCGAATTCCTGCGGAATTGCTGAAGCCTGCGTAAAGCCGGCATCTGAATCATCGTCGCTGTCGCTTCGATCCGAACCATCGTCGCTCAATTCTCCATTATCCGGCAACACCATACCGTCAGCCAGCAGCCACCGCCGGAAATCCTCGGGGCAATCAAGAACTCGAGCTTTCGGTGTATCCCTTTTGAATAACTTGTACCATTCGCCAAACTGGCAGTTTAAAATATGTTTCAAATCCTGGTCACTCAGGCTTTCCGTCATAACTGCAACTCCAACTGCTCCGGGCGTGTTCGAGGGTTTTTTTGTCAGCCGTCCCAAACGATCTCGTCAACTTGCCATCCATTTAAATGAGTGCTAAAGTAGCGCCACAGGTTAACAACAACAAGTTCCAAGATAAGGAGAAGCCGACAGAGGTACGCAAAGCCAATATTCTGGCTGCGCGGTCTGTTGCCGATGCTGTGCGCACCTCCCTGGGCCCTAAGGGTATGGACAAAATGGTGCAGACCAAAACCGGCGAGGTTATCATCACCAACGATGGTGCCACTATTCTGTCCCACATGGCTGTGATGCATCCTGCTGCGCGTATGCTGGTTAATCTCTCGCAAGCCCAGGACTCTGAAGCTGGAGATGGTACCACCTCGGTCGTTGTGCTCGCTGGTGCTCTTTTGGGAGCCAGTGAGCGACTCCTGAACAGGGCCATTCATCCGTCGATTATTGCTGAGTCTTTCCAGCGGGCTGCTCAGCGGGCTACTGAAATCATGCAGAAGATGTCGCACCCCGTCGATTTGGCTGACCGCAAACAGCTTGTGCAAGCGGCTACTACTTCTTTGAACTCTAAGATCGTTTCTCAGCACTCTGGTAAGATTGCTCCTATGACCGTTGATGCTGTGCTCAAGGTCGTAGACCCCTTGCATCCTAAGAGTGTCGATCTTCAAAATATTCGTATCATCAAAAAGCTTGGTGGCACGATTGACGATACCACTTTGATTGATGGCCTCGTTTTGCGCCAGAACGTTGTCAAGAGTGCTGGGGGTCCTGCTCGTGTTGAGAAGGCCAAGATCGCCTTGATTCAGTTCCAACTCTCTCCTCCCAAGCCTGATTTGGAGAACCACGTTATTGTCAACGATTACCGTCAAATGGATAAGATTCTCAAGGAAGAGCGTCAGTATTTGCTCAACCTCTGCAAGACCATCAAGAAGCACAAGTGTAACGTTGTTCTTATCCAGAAATCTATTCTGCGCGATGCCGTTAATGACATGGCCCTGCATTTCATGGCCAAGTTGGGTATTATGGTTGTCAAAGATATTGAGCGTGACGAGGTGGAGTTCATCTGCAGAACTCTGGGCTGCAACCCCATCGCCGACATTGAATCGTTCAGCGAGGAGCGTTTGGGAAGCGCCGAGCTCATTCAGGAGGTCGAGCAGGCTGAGGCTAAGGTTTTGCAAATTACTGGTATCCCTACAAACGCCGAGCGGGCAGGTACCTGCTCTATTGTGTGCCGTGGCTCCAACCAGTTGATTTTAGACGAAACTGAGCGCAGTATTCACGATGCCTTGTGTGTCATCCGCTGCCTTGTTAAAGAACAGGCCTTGATTGCTGGTGGCGGTGCACCCGAGATTGAGGTTTCTATGAACTTGTCGAAGGAGGCTGATGCCCTTGGTGGTGTTGAAGCAGTTTGCTGGCAAGAATATGCTCAGGCCCTCGAGGTTATCCCCACCACTTTAGCCGAAAACGCTGGTATCAACTCCATTGAGGCCGTCACAGAGCTCCGTAACAAACATGCTCTGGGAGAGGTCACTACAGGTATCTCTGTTCGCCGTGGCACCGCAGATATTACAGTGGAGAACGTCTTTCAGCCTCTGCTTGTCAATACATCTGCAATCACACTTGCCTCAGAGACTGTAAAGAGCATTTTGCGTATTGACGATATCCAATTTAGCCGTTGATATACTGTGGTAGATATTTTGATTCTTAAGTTCTATATCGAGTTAGAGTCGGGAAATAGTCCCGGCCACTCGCACTGCGAATCCAGCTCCATTTCCGAGTCGCTGAACCCCTGGAACTCGTCACTGGAGAGCGCATCACTGATTTCGCGTGATGATCTCGGGCGTGGTTTGTCTGTTTTATTGCTTGCCGCGAGAAACATGTGAAGTAGCTGCGCAATGAGCCAGTTGCGCTGCGAGCCAGACGTCTCGCAGCCCAAAAGTGGTGCGGGCAGCTGTGACCGGGGCAGCATCGAAAGAAAATCTCGGCTCAAAACCTGCTTGTATACAATTTTTAGAACCCGCGCATACAACGACGAGATCTGCTCGGAGAAAAGTGCCCAAGTAATCACCAAAACAGTGAATCCCAGAATCAGTTCCTGGTGAATGAGTTCATAGGGGCGCAACCAAATAACCGTATCAATGACCATTAAAAACCTAATTGCATGTTTTACAATGCCTCTAGTACTACTGGAGGCACAACTCCCCAAAACTATAATCGCTGTTGTCAACATACGACGTTCCAATTTCCCGACCGTCTGACTTGACCTGTCACTTTTGCCGAATTTTGCTATATAGCTCAATAGTTGGAGAATTTGCTAATTTTAAGCTATTTTAATTCTGCAGACATGTAGGAACCACATCACGTAACGGCTCTCTGATGGACCAAGCACAGGTCGATCGTCTTGTCGTGTTTAATGAGCTTGAGACCGGGCCCTTACATCGGGTTCTATTTGACTTTGAGAATGAGGAATTTCTTGTGGTGATTTTGAATTATTTGCAGCCAAATCAAATAGTGGAAACGTTTGTGCAAACCTGCTCTAGCCTTGCTGGCCAACGATTTGCGAAAGTCAATGATCTATACGAGGCACATGCAAATAAAAGGCTGGAACTCGAAATAGTCGAAGATAAATTACCCCCGTTGTCGGCTTGGACGCTTGCCACAGATGGTGAAAAGATAATTGTGCCCACCAAAGATCTGAAATCCAACGACATCGATGGTTCCAAGTTCGTGCCTGTTGGGATGATTGTCACGGGCAAGGCTTCAATCAAACAAGTGATTAAGCAAGTGAGGTTCCTTCGAAAAGACGAACCGACCCCGTTTGTCACAGATCAATACGGTGATTCTTATAACGAGTCGTTCTACAAAGAGCCCCGCATTATCGAGAGTGTCCCGGCAACAGTAATTAAGGTCGTTGGCGATCTTCTAGACATCGGCAAAGCCCGCTTCCAAAGCCAGGATTTCTCAATTGCGTTCAAAAAATACCAAAAAGCTTTTCATTATCTCCACTCCTACTATCCGGAGCATCTCGAGCCTGATCTTTTGAAAACTCTAACAGGATACAAAATACGAGCTCTTTTAAACCTCGCTCTCACTGCCAACAAACTCCAGGACTACAGAAAAGCCATCGAAGCTGCCAATTTTGTTTTGGAAATGCCAGAAACAACCACCCAGCCAAGCACTCTGGCTAAGGCTTACTACCAGCTCGGGACAGCAGAGTTGGGCTTGGGAGATGAGCTACGGGCGCAGCAACACTACGAAATGTCGTATGCAAACCAGCAGGATCTAGCCACAAAAAATGCAATAGCCCTGTGCCAAAAGCGGGCCGCGTCTCGACGGGCCAAACAAAAAAATGCCCTACTGAACGCCTTCTCCACAAAAAACTAACTTATTTTTAGACCTTACATAAATGCACTTTGAAACAAGCTGAAACTGTTCGATGTGTCGTGTCGCCATCAGGCAAATCGTAAACAGACTTGACTATTTGAATTTCGTGCCTATATTTCTCGTACATGCTATAACTTTCACTAAACGCGATCATACACGTATCGAGGTCACTTCGACGCGAGCCTCCGCCACCCCATCCCTGGGGTAATATTGAGCGGATCATGCAGGAGCCACCCATGCAGGGTGTGTTTAAAAAAAAGCTGATAACCTTTAAAGCCCAACTACCTGAACGGGGAAAAAGACGACAGCCAAAATTACAACTCTTTTTTGACACATTCCTTTCTGTACTTTGCTGTCCCCAATTTAACTAAACCCATCATGGTGAACCCTGGAGACGCTCTCCTTCAACAGCTCCGCCAGTCGTTGCAAGGAGCCAAATACTCCGCCTCCTCCGTCCTGGCTGGTTTGACAGTATACGTTGGCGGTAGTTTGGTTGCATTCCTTATTTTCCTAATCATTCGGCCACGATTGAAAAGGCTTTATAGCCCCAATTCCATTAAAGGGGTCTTCGAGTACCCTGGAAATGGGCTGTTTGCGTGGATGTCTCCAGTTTTTCGAACAACCGAAGACGAGGTCGTCCAGCACATTGGCCTAGATGCCGCTCTTTTCCTTCGAGCGCTCAAAATGCTCCGGAATATCTTTTTAATCCTTGCCGTTCTCGGGTGTGGAATTGGCATCCCTGTGAATGTAGTTTTCAATTTCAAGTCCAAGTGGGGCGACAACTTGTCCAAGTCAGATGCCTTTCTGCTCATGACGCCTACTTTGATCACAGGTGCACCCATTGTTGCCCACATCGTCAGCGGATGGATCTTTAACGTCATTATTTTTGTGTTTCTTTGGTTGAACTTTTCCGCGGTTCTTACCCTCAGACGAGACGTTTTTCTCAGCTCAGATCATCAGTCAAAGCTTGAGAACCGCTCTGTTCTAGTTACCGACATCAAGAAAGCGGCAAGGTCTAAACAAGGCTTGCGCACGTTAGCTACTGGACTGTCTTCAGAGACTCCGTCGGCCGTTTCCATTGGAACCTCGGTGAAACGGGTTGAAAGTTTGATGGAATCTCATCGACAAGCCGTTCTTTCCTACGAAAATGCGAGCTTTGATAACGAAAAGGCTCTGCAGAAGGGTCGCGCGACACCCACCGTTAAACTGAACGACGGTCGAACCGTAGATGCAGTTGCCCACTGGAGAGAACAGGTTGATAAATATGAAACAAAGGTGCTGCTGGAACGTGAACAAGCTCGTCAAGAGCTAGATCCATTGTCTTACGGGTTTATTTCTTATCCCCGTCAGTCAACTGCACATAAAATTGTGCAAACCCGCCAGGCCCACCAAACCAATGGAACTGGCCTCCAGCTAGCACCATCACCTATCGATATCATCTGGCCGAATTTAGCTATTGGTAAAGTCGGACGTGCACACAAGCAAATGTGGGTGAATATAGTGTTTGCTGCGCTTATGATTCTTTGGATTGTTCCGAATGCCTTCATCGGTTGTTTCTTGACTAACTTGAGTCGTCTCGGGGCTTTGTGGCCTCACTTTGCTATGGTTATGGATGAAAACAAAGTCGGTTTTGCCATTCTGCAGGGTGTCATGGCACCTTTGATCACCACGCTTGTTTTCATGATTCTTCCATGGATCATGCGAAAGCTCTCCCGCTGGCAAGGCAAAATAACACGAAACGAGCGCGAAAAGGAAGTCACCAGAAAGCTCTATGCATTTTTCTTTTTCAACAACTTCTTCGTGTTCACCCTCATGGGCGTTGTATGGGACGCTGTCGCCCAGGCCTTGGAAATTGTAAATGCGGCTTCTCCTGACTCGAAGCCCAGTTTTGGTGCAGTTTGGGCAGAACTTAAAGTCGCTCAACGTATCTCCACGGCAATCCTCAACGTTTCTTCGTTCTGGGTTATGTATTTGTTAAAGTCCTTTTTGGGTGTCATGGTTGATCAGTTGCAGCTGGTCAGTTTGACACAATTTGGCTTCCGAAAAATGTTTAGCACTGCGACGCCGCGCCAGAAGCTGCAATGGCGTCAGCCTCAGCCGACTCCGTTTGCTGTGCAATATATTTGGCCCCTGTTCTACACTACTATTTGCCTTGGGTTCACTCTGATCCAACCGCTTGTGCTCGCGCTAGGCGCCATCTACTTTTTGCTCGCTTACCCTTTGAAAAAGTATCAACTCATGTACATGTTTTTGACAAAGTACGAGTCGGAGGGTCTGTTTTGGCCAATTGTAAACAACACTATTCTTTTTGCTACTGGGTTCGGCAACCTCATGCTCTTGTGTATTGTCTGGGTTCAGTCCGGCTGGATCTATGCTATGGGGGTTGTTCCATTGCCCGCTATTGTCATTATATTCAAAATCATCATGTGGACCAAGTTTGATCGTCATTACTACCTCTTTGTGGACGGTTATGATGAGGACATGTACTTCAAGTCTGCTCAAGCAGAACTTGAAGACTGCTACGAGAACCCCGCTCTGTGGAAAGCTTTGGATACTCCCCTATTATCTGGCATTGATCGATCTGAGTCGGTTACATCTCTCAACTCTAGTGAGTTCCTACCCGAGAAGAAAGATAATGTCAGTCCTGAACTTCCTCAGTACGCTGAACAGCGCATGCCTCGGTATCAAACCCATGGAAACTATGATGAGCCTCACTATGACCAGAGCTACGACCAGAGCTACGACCAGAGCTACGACCAGAGCTACGACCGGAGCCACGACCAGAGCTATGACCAAGGATATTACGAATACGACAGCCAGTATCCTGAACAGTATTATGTTGAGCAAGGCTATTATGAGCCTCCCCACACAGCATATCAGAATCACTCGCAAGTGTCACTCTCAGAGTCTTATCAGGGGGCGGTGAGAAATGACGCTAGTGAATATGACGATAGAAAGCGTCTGCTTTGATATTTAAAAAAAAACAAAATTAATCTTAAATACCCAATTTTTTATTCTCGTTACTTTTTAGCTCTTTACCAGTCGGCACCTCCTACCATGACGGCAGCACGTTTGACGGGGATAAGCTGGTCAGCTTCGGACTCGAGGAACGAGAACTTGACGCTACGAGTCTTTTCATATGCTGCAATCTCCTTCTCTTTCTTCATAGTGAGTCCAATATCATCAAGGCCATTAATCAGACAGTCCTTGCGGAAAGGATCGATATCAAAGTGGTCGACCAGGACTTTGCCATCAAGATCGACGATACGCTGATTCTGCAAGTCAATGCTGAAAGAGCCACCAGCCTCAGCAATTGGCGAAAGCTTCTCAATGATGGTGTCTGCAGGCAGAGCGATGGGCAGAAGACCATTTTTAAGAGAGTTGTTGTAGAAGATGTCACCAAATGAAGGAGCAATGACTGCACGGATACCGAAATCGGCAAGAGCCCATGGAGCATGCTCACGAGATGATCCACAGCCAAAGTTGTCACCAGAGACAACCAGGAACTTTGACTTGTTCCAGGGATCAACGTTCAGACAGAAATCGGTAGGCAGCATCTTTCCGTTGGCGTCAGGAGCATTGCGCATCTCATAGAACAGACCAACGGAGAGACCAGTACGTTTGATAGTTTTAAGGAACTGCTTGGGGATGATGGCATCGGTATCAATGTTAGCCTTAGAAAGAGGCGCGGCAACACCAGTCTCGACCTTGAAGATGGGAATACCACCAGCACCCTCTACAGCGGCTTCGGCGCCTTTGGAGGCCTCTTCGCCCTCCTCAACTTCCTTCTCAATATCCGCGGCAGTAGCTTCAGTTTCAAGACGGTAAGAAGCAGGATCACTGGAAGTAGGTTTGGACTCAAGAGAAACGGCGGTGGTCTTGAGGCGGTCACCAAATTCACGGACATCGGTCAGACGGCCAGTGATACCTGCAGCGGCAGCCATGGCAGGAGACATCAGATGAGTACGGCCCTGAGGGCCCTGGCGTCCTTCGAAATTACGGTTAGAAGTAGAGGCACAGCGCTCATGAGGAGAGAGAATATCAGGATTCATACCAAGACACATGGAGCAGCCAGCTTCACGCCATTCGAAACCAGCAGCCTCAAAGACCTTATCAAGACCCTCACGTTCAGCTTGGCGTTTGACGAGACCAGAGCCAGGAACTACCATGGCACGAATAACATTGTCGGCCTTTTTGTTGCCCTTCACGATGGCAGCAGCTGCGCGAAGATCCTCAATACGGGAGTTGGTACAGGAGCCAATGAAGACCTTGTCAACCTTGATATCAGCAAGTGGGACGTTGGGCTCCAGTCCCATATATTCAAGGGCACGTTTAATGTTGGCACGCTTGTGCTCATCAGTCTCTTTAGCAGGATCAGGCACAGCCCCAGTAATAGGCAAAGCATCCTGAGGAGAAGTACCCCAGGTAACAGTAGGGATAATATCCTCCGCCTTGATCTGAACATCAATGTCGAAAACAGCATCCTGGTCGGAGTGCAAAGACTTCCAATAACTAACAGCCTTGTCCCATTCGGCACCTTTGGGAGCAAGAGGACGGCCCTTGATATACTCAAAGGTAATGTCGTCAGGAGCAATCATACCAGCACGGGCACCACCCTCAATAGACATGTTGCACATGGACATGCGGGCTTCCATTGAGAGCTCCCGGATTGCCTCACCAGCAAACTCGATAACGCAGCCTGTACCGCCCGCAGTACCAATAACGCTGATGATGTGCAAAACAAGATCCTTTGAGGTGATCCCCTCGTGAAGCTTACCGTTTACCTGGACACGCATATTTTTGGATTTTGTTTGCATCAAAGTCTGAGTAGCAAGAACGTGCTCGACCTCGGACGTACCGATACCGAAAGCAAGGGCACCAAAAGCACCGTGTGTAGAAGTGTGAGAGTCGCCACAAACGACGGTGGTTCCCGGCAGTGTGAATCCCTGCTCGGGACCAACAACGTGGACGATGCCCTGACGGGCGTCGGTCATGCCAAAGAACCGCACACCAAAATCGCGCACATTAGCCTCGAGAGTCAAAACCTGGGTTCTGGAATCGTCCTCTTTGATAAAGGTGTCACTGTTCTTGAATGTGCGCCGGGAAGTGGTGGGAATATTGTGATCGACGGTAGCCAGAGTGCAGTCGACTCGGCGCACCTTGCGCCCGGTATTTTTCAGACCCTCAAAAGCTTGGGGCGAAGTGACCTCGTGAACAAGATGGCGGTCAATGTAAATGATATAGTTCTTTTCGTCTTCTTTGGAAACGATGTGGTCCTCGAAGACCTTGTCGTAGAGTGTTTTTCCCATTGCGTGGTGGGTATTACTATACAGTTCACTTCATAGGCAGATCATTTATATATACTGCATGAGTCTGGGGAAAGGTAGTCATACCGGTATCGGGTGCCGATATCGGCGCCGTCGTTGCCCCGCCGATTCGCCGGTACCGGAGATTGTGCCTGCGGAGTTGGCGGAAGCTATGTGAAATTGTGAGAGTTTTCTGTATAATTAGATAGATTTGAGATGTAGGTCAGACTGTTAATAAAATTGACGCAATTTTCAATAGAACCGGCTTGCGAATTACCTTTTTGTTCATTCTCTGAGAACCCGTTGTTAAGACTATGTCTTTTTAGCTCAGAATAATTCAAATTGGAACATTGAGTAATATTTTAGTTGAATCTATGCATTGAACTGTTTTGTTACTCACACATGTTTGCGCAGAAACTATCCTAGAAATCGTCGGTCCCTCCCGTGAGGTAAGCATGTCGAAAACCATCTACGTCGGACGCATACCCTTCGACTACACGGAAGAACAGGTTCGCAGTATATTCCAGTCGGCTGGTCCGATCCAGGATATTCGCTTTGTGTTTGATAAAGAAACCGGGAAATCAAAAGGGTTTGCCTTTGTAGAGTATTTCGATGCTGAAGCGGCAGCGTCTGCAGTCCGCAATTTAGACAACCATAAGGTGGGCAATATGAAGCTTAAAGTAGATTTTTCCAACGAGGGTGGATCCGCAGCTCGGCCGGGACAGTCTGCATTCGAGTATATCGCTATGTTTGTGAACGAAATGAGCCCTGATGAGAAGCGTCAACTAATCACGGATTTCAAAGGGTTTACGGTCAATTCTCGGACCCAAGCCCTTGAATTACTGCAGCAGAGCCCGCAAATCGCATATGCTTTGGTGCAAGCGATGATTGAAACCGGCAAGATCGATCAAAAGATTGCTGATACGTTGTTACCGGCTGGACCGCAACAACAAAGCAAAGAACGAGGAGGAAGAGGCCGTCCAAAGAAACAAAACAAACCAGCAGCACGTACTAATTCTTCACGTCAAAACACTCCTCAGCCACCGGTTCCTGTTGCTCCTGCAGCCCCTGCCGCCGCTGCTCCTCCTTCAGAGGCAATGGAAACCGCAGCGTCGCACCCAACACCGCAAAACCCCGAAGAAACTGCAATGATTCGCCAGGTCATGGCTTTAACAGATTCACAAGTTGCTGGTCTGCCTCCAGATCAACGGCAGATGGTGCTCGATATTAAAGCCAAGGTTCAGCGCGGAGATATTCGTCTATAGCTACCAACCACTAATTGTATTTCTAGATTTCCTAACAACCTCGTTATCCAAGACGTGAAACTTGTCTATCGCTCTGTACTTTGACAGATTTTCTCTTGGCTCAACAACGGTAGTGCTCTCGACTCTTAAAAACTCTTGTTTGGGATCCCAAGGGTCTTCATAATAGATGAGATCAATCCACAAATCTTGAACTCTATGGACCAGTGGCAGATATTCTGGCTTCACTTTGTATGCATGCAATAGATAGAGCAGCTCTACCATGTGAATGTTACCGCGCGACGGATCTACAGGATTCGTTGCGTCAAATAGCTGTCGAAACACCTTGATAGTTTGCTGCATCTCACAGTCCACACTGTGGTTTCCGGCTGCAAATATATAGTCTGTTAGCAGCCGAATCGCTTGATGGTCGGTTTTTAAAGGGTAAACTTTTTGGACAGACTCGGGGATTAGCTGCTGTAACATCCCCACTAGTTGTCCTTCCTGTAATCCATCAGTGAAGAATTGGCCATCTTCTATGCAATCACTGATAATCACTCGATGCATGTTTTGTGGAGGTTTGTGCCATTCTCCTTTTGGTTTGAAATGCCCATCGTCACACTGCATCAAAACTTGAATACCAAGTTCCTTGTATGCCCGTACCAGGTCATGCCATGGACATGTTTGCAGCTCGTCTTCCGTGCAATTGAGCAAGTTACAAATCTTTTTGGTCAACTCTTCGTACTCTTCAAGTGACCTTGTAGAAGTACCTTTCAGGGAACCTGAGAGATATGCAGCCTGTTTGAATTTTGCATCGGGACGACAGCTAACGTTCCACACACAAAACGAGCCAGATGATTGTCCAGCCACTGTGACTCGGTCTTTATCACCGCCAAAGTAGCCAATGTACTTGTGAACCCAGTCTGTGGCCAGCAGTTGATCGTACTGGCCGAAATTTCCTTTCCCTTTGAAAGGTAAAAAGCCGAAGAAATGCACTCTGTACTGAATTGTTACAACAATGAAAGGTTTCCCAATATCAATACCGCGTTGCACCCAATCCTTGGGGTCGTTTACCCCACGATATGCCGTTCCAGCAGAATTACCACCGCCATGTACCCATACTACCACTGGGAGCTTGGCCGTGCCTACGGATTTGGGCATTGTAATCATTAGATTGAGGCAGTTCATTTCATCGTAAACCTCTTCGAATTCGATCACATCTTCCTCGGCAACACTCAGATAGCTGTCTCTGTAAGGCTTATCTTGCGGGCATAACGGTCCTTGACGGGTGCAGTCACAGTCGCCTACGTTATTGGCCATCTCGGCCTCTGTAAATCGAGCCTTTAGAATGCCATAAGGGACATTTCGGAACCTCACGATTTCTCCTTCAATCGCACCTGTGAACGAGCCCCCCGGCACTTTAATCTGCATAACTGATAGGCCGTTTAGCTAATCCAACTATCCACATTTTAGTCTTTCAGAATGAGCAAAGTAACGCAGTTAGTGGCGCCAGACGCTATCTCTCAGACATTAGAAAAGTACCAACCACCTCAGCTGCTTGAGGTTATTCGCGGACTCAAACCTTTGATGGCCCAAAACCCCGCGCAGGCTCGCGAGGTTCTTGAGAAAAACCAAGACCTGACGTTCGCTATTGTTCAAAGCATGCTCTTGATGGGGCTTGTTGACGAGCATGTGGTTCAGTCAGTGATGCAAAATGCCACACCAGCGCCTGCTCCGGCACCGGCTCCAGCTCCAGCAGAGCAATCTTTAGAGGACCGATTAAACGCTCTCCCGGCTGAGCAGGCAACCATGATTCGACAGGTGCTCGCCCTCACAGAGGAGCAGGTTCAAATGCTCCCGGCAGATCAACAAACCTATATTCGTACTATCAAGAATACGTACAGCTAGTGATTTTATTTATTTGTAGCCGCTGACATATTGATCTCTACTTCCCCACCCCAGAATGCGCTTTGTAGCTCTACGACTTTTGCGAACTGCCCGTCCGGTTGCTGCTCGTTTGGCTGTTAGCCCTGCTCGCTCGTTCTCTGCTGCTCGGGCTGCTCGAAAGGACGAGTTTGAAATGCCCGAGCTGAATCAGGAGCAGATCGACGAGATTATGAAGAACCCGCTGATTTCCAAATTGGCCCAGTCGCCCAAGACTTTAGAGGCATTACACGAGACGGCTGAGCTTTTGCAGAACAAAGGATACACTGGCGAGATCACCATGATGAAGCAGGTCAAACTGATGATGGACTCTGAGATCCGAGACAAGATGCAAAGCCTCGCCCAGCTTCTGAAAGACGAAGGGATCGAATTGCGCCAAGAAGATATGGCGGGCCTTTTCAAGGCTATGGGACTCGGTGAAACTGTGAACAAGTAAATCATGTTTATAGGTTTTTAGTCTAAATACATCTAGTGTTGAAAAGATGTGATAGTATAGTTTCTGAAATCAGTTTATGAAATCAGAGCATGTGTTTTTGTTAGCAGGTTTGTGTGCGTTTATGCCTGTGCTTTAGTGCTTGGCCAGGTATGAAAGCAGATCAACCTTGGTCACAACATGAATGGCCTTGTGGTGACCGTCAGAGGTAGGCTCAGTAACCACGGCGGCAGAGTTGTGCTCGAAAAAGCTGTTGAGAGCATCCAAAGGAGTGTCTTTAGTGATCTCAGTGAACTTGCGGCCAACCTCGTGAGGCTGGGCTCCAAGACTGGAGGGCGAGGGCTTGGCGAACGATTTCAGCTTGCGGAAATCAAGCATGACATCCTTGACAGGAGACTCAGTAGTAGCACGATTGCGGGAAATATAAGAGAGCAGGTTACCCAATGTAACGAGACCTACAAGCTTGCCTTGCTCGTTTGCGACGGGCAGCTGATCGAAGCCCTTGTCACGCATGGTGTCAATAGCGCCAGATGCGGGGCTGTTGGCCTGAATGGTTACAACAGGTTTGAGACGCAGATCTGCAATGGTAGCACCCTTGAAGCGAGAGCCGGAGTTGGGAGCTGACTTGTTCCCCGGTTGAGTAACAAAGCCGTTGTAGTCCATCCAGTCGTCATCAATGAACTTGGTAAGATAGGAGCGCAAAGAATCAGGCAGCACAACAACAACCACGTCGTCCTTACCGAGTTTTTTCTCCTTGGCAATTCTGAGGGCTGCTGCAAGTGCACTGCCCGAAGACCCACCACAGAGCAGACCCTCTTCACGGATTAAACGACGGGCAAGTAGGAATGACTCCGTATCCTCAGTCTTGATCCACTCGTCGACAACGTCGCGATCCAGGACTTCGGGAACAAAATCATAGCCAATACCCTCCACCTTGTAAGATTCGACGCTGGAATTAAGCGATTCTGGGACGGCCAAAATGGAGCCCTTGGGATCAGCGCCAATAACCTTAATATCCTTAGAGTGCTTCTTCAGGGCATGACCAATACCGCTAATTGTACCACCAGTACCTGCACCGGCAACAAGGTAGGTGATTTTACCCCCAGTTTGCTCCCATATCTCCTCACCGGTACCATTCTCATGGGCCAGAGGGTTGTCGACGTTACTGTACTGGTCGAGAATAACAGAGTTAGGGATCTCCTCATTAAGGCGCTTGGCAACACCGATGTGTGATTCTGGAGAGTCCCAGGCAGCTTCAGTGGGAGTGCGAACGATTTCGGCACCGAGCGCCTTCAGCACAGAAACCTTTTCGTTGGACATCTTCTCAGGAAGGGTGATAATCGTGCGATAACCACGAACAGCACCCATAAGCGCCAAGCCAATACCGGTGTTACCACTAGTGGGCTCGATCAAAGTATAGCCGGGCTTGATCCGCCCCTGCTTTTCTGCCTCAAGAACCATACGGCGCGCGATACGATCCTTGACTGAACCACCAGCATTGAAGTACTCGCATTTGCATAAAATAGTCGCTTCAATACCCTCAGACTGCGGGATCTTATTCAACTTCACCAACGGCGTATTGCCAATCTGGTCAATAATGCTCTCCGAATAACTAGCCGTCATAATAGTTTGTGGTGACGTGATGGCTGATCTGGTTTAAAAAGCTCTCTCAAGGTTAGGGCCCCCTCGTCTATAGGGACGGTGGGTGTGTCATCGTCCAGCAGTGGTTTCGGTTGGAGTGAAATGTACTCGCATCACTCGCATTCAGGACAATACTGCCAGCATGCGAAAGGCAGTTTGGAAGATATGGTTCTAAAGGCACTAAGTCTGAATTACAAGTTGTTATGTCTCACCGAGCACATGCCTAGACTGGAGAATAAGCATCTTTATCCAGAGGAGCTTGAAACTAATACTTCCATCCAAGATCTTGAAAAAACTTTTGATGACTACTTTGCAGAAGCACAGCGACTCAAGGCAAAGTATGCTGGCCGAATTGAACTCTTGGTTGGGTTCGAATCGGAGGGTATATCACCTGCATACAACAACTACACCAAACAACTCTTGGCAAAGTATGACTTCGACATGTTTGTTGGCTCTGTCCACCATGTCAATGGCATCCCTATTGACTTCGATGAAGTGCAATTCACTCAAGCAATGGAATCATGCGGAGGTCTCGAACAGCTATACTCTGAGTACTTTGATCTGCAATATGCTGTGCTGCAGCTCCACCCTACTGTGCTTGGCCATTTCGATCTAATAAGGCTGCTCTCACCCGAGTTCGACCTCAAAAACTCTGGTGTCTGGCCGAAAGTCGTTCGTAATGTCCAATTTGCTGCCAATTCAAAATGTCTTATTGAAATTAACCACTCGGCTATTCGTAAAGGTTGGACGTGCCCTTACCCGCAATCTGACATTGTGGAACAAATTGTAAAATTCGGTGCAAAAGTGTGTCTAAGCGACGACTCTCACACGCCCTTACAAATTGGCATAAACGTGGCGAAGTCCCTCAATTATTTGCTTGAGAATGGTGTCACACAATTCCATACGGTCACAGGCGAGGTAGTTTCCATTGAACGCTTTTTAAAAACTATGATCTGAATATGTAGACAAATGTCTGAGTTAACCATCACCGACCGATTTGTGGGCCAGATTATCAGCCTGAACGTTGCCATGAACATTTGAATGGCCTTCAACTTTGCTGACCTCGACGTCATATCCCTTTAAGTGGGGATCATTCATTGAGGTTTGTATGTTTGTAACGAGACCCTGGTTTTTACCCAAAGAATGAGGCGCACCGATCTTTTGGCCACCCACTTCGCGGGGTCCGTTTATTGCACCTAGTGAATAATTCGAATCGGTGTAAATGACATGGCTTTTGCCTTTGTCTTGGACGTGATCCAAAGCGTGCTTGATGGCAGTTAGCTCTGCACAGTTGCTTGTCTGTTCTCCTTTCACACGTCCACTTTGATTGTGCGGCTATCACCTTTTCCAAAGTACGTACCCTATCCAGCTTTTGCATCAGATTTCCCCTGGTGTACGGCACTTCCGTCAACATAGATCTGCTGAGTTGGTTTTCCTGTCGATTTCGACTGACCAGAGCTTCTGGGCCTCCATGTTGAGTATTTGAGGCCTTGGAGCTCCCTGTGGAGCACTTGAGGTCTTGGAGCCTCCCTGTGGAGCACTTGAGGTCTGGGAGCCTCCATGTGAAGTACCTGAGGTGTGGCTTGTCGGCATGTGGTTCCGTAAACTTTCTTTAGTGCTGAATCTTTTCAATTGGGCACCAGAATAGCCATTTATATTGTCAACATTTGAAGATTGATAACCCTTAACTAAAGGTGGGCGAGATGACCACCCCGCAATTTTTCACTTGCAGTATGAATTGCATGCATGCACGTCAGGTGGTTTGGCGATAACATGTCACTTTACCATAAACTTGTACAGTTTGGATTTCTGAGTAGATTCTTTCTTTTCCTTTTGCGTTTCGTAGTGGTTGATTCAGGACATTGGCACTACTCACTTCTCGTAACTCGAAAAATTCTCTTAAAAAGTAGCCTGCAGGTTTTTTAGTTGCTGATTCAAAGAACAAGCCAACTAGAATTGTATGTATGCCTTTATTACAAGTTGTTATGTTCGGCTGAGCACAGGCCTAAACTAGAGGGTAATATGCTCATGAAAACTAGTATTTCTCTCTCAGATCCTTGGGTAACTTGTAATTTGGTGAGGATCGGGGCTTATCACCTGTATACAAGCTCTGAGCAAAGCATGCTTTTGGTGTATCTGCTGCTCCGTTCCGCAAGTCAATAGAATTCATATTGGTAAGGAGCGCAGTTTATTAAAGCAATGGAATCATGCGGAAGTTTTGAATAACTCTCCTTTTGTTAATCCGATCTGCCATATGCTGCAACTTCACTCTATTTTATCGGTCATTACGAGGCTGATCTGACTTGAACCCGCCTTAAAAACCAGCTATCTGGCCAAAACTTGTTCACAATATCCAAATTGCTGTCAATTCCAACTTTCCTTTCGAAACTAACCATTCGGCTGTTCGCAAAGGCTGAAATTTTCCGTAAGCCCAACCAGACTGCCTAAAGCACTAGCTCCTCCTAGCCCCTTCTCGAGCTAGAAGGTCAGCTTGCTCGTTGCCGTGAATATCTGAATGGCCTTTAACTTTGCTCAGTTCGACATCATATCCCTCTGAATGGAGAGCTTTCAGTGTAGTTCGTATATCTTTAATGAGATCCTGGTTTTTGACCTGTTTCCCTGTCGAACTGAGCTTCCAGTCGTTTTTTTCCCACCATTCACCCCATGTATTAATTGCACTCAGTGTATACTGCGAATCGGTATGAATAACATAGGTTTTGTCTTTGTCATTGACATGATCCAAAGCGCGTTTGAGTGCAGTTAGCTCTGCGCGGTTGTTTGTCTGCTCACCTGTCACAGGCCCACTGCTATTGCGGCTGTCCTCATCTCCAAAGTACATACCCCATCCAGCTTTTGCACCAGCTCTCCCGTTTTTTAGGCTGCTGCCGTCGACATAAATCTCCAGCTTTGGTTTACCGATCAATCCCGGTAGATCGAAGCTTTTTGAGCTGTATATATCACTGCTATTCTCAATAGAGGATGTATTGCGACTCTTGCAGCTTGCACTTGAATATGGAGTGCTTGAGGGCTTGCTTGCCTTCATGTAGTTTGAGGCACTTTCGGCGTCACTGAAGCTTTTAAATTGAGCGCCTGAATAGCCATTTACTTGAGCCTTGGCTTCATCCCAAGTATTGAAAATACCTGTTCGTCTTCCGCTTTTAACAGCGTACACTTTTTTAGGCATTGCAAGCCATTGCCTAGACAGCCTAATTTTGGAGGTTTTGAGGATGCGCTCAGGTCTAACCTGATGACCTAACCACGCTGAGCAATTAAATAGAGTTCTGGAGGTCGGTTTGTAAGTAGAAAGAGAAAGTGCAGAAGGTCTAGCGGCCATATTCCTATATTTCTACCGTTCAATTGAGTAGTAGTTGCTAAATGAAGAAACTCGTGTTGAACTGTCGCATTCTTGTGGTGTGTGATCTGTAAGGTTTTCTAGTCTTCTGAAAAGCAGGACCTAAAAAGTAGTATTTAGAACTCCCTTCATGATGACTCATTGAACCCAGAATAATACACCTGAGCATAGCTTCACCTCACGATCTCCCTCGAAAACTATGCCAAGTTGAAAGATGCTGCTAATTTAAAACATACGGGATGAATACTTTCATGGTGTCTAATTTTGAAAAGCTCGCCCGTTTAGCTCAGTGGTAGAGCGTTGCACTCGTATCTCGACATGCAAAGGTCGTCGGTTCAATCCCGGCATCGGGCATTTCATTTTAGCTTACCAGATTTCTCTGGTGTATCTTTTTTTTTGGAGCAGCAGAAGCAAAAATTTAGAGAAATGCTATAACAATTCATGAATCTGTTTAAGTTATGCAGTGTTAATAAATTAAATCAGCAGCTATCGTAGTAGGGCGCTGGGCGGGGATAATGAATGATCATTGGAACTGTTAGTGTCGCCGTCATGTTCTTATGCTTCAAAACGATATCAAACTCATAGCTGACAGCGGTGTGACAGGACACAAAGTTCGGTGTTCTCAAAAGAAGGGGTTGCTCAATCTCATAGGCTGCCGATACATGGGCCAAGTTACCTTCCCATTCAAAGCTTGTTGACACTTTGCCAGATGCTACCCTGTAGCTTTTAACTGTGTTTTTTTCAGTTTTGCAAAGCTTGTTTCCGATGCCGTCGGGGGCAGCGTAAATGACTTTTCTGATAACAAAAGACGTGGAAAAGTTGTCTTGGAACTGGGCAGCAGTGATGGTGTCATTAGCGGGTATAAATTCAAAGTCGAACGTCATGACACCTTGTTTAGTATCAGCATCGTGTCTGAACGGGCGCCCATGAAGTGCGACCAGAGCTAAGAGGGAGCCTCTGAAAGATTTGTTGGTCAAGCGAGCGTGGGAACTGTAAACTCTATCAATACTTTTCCCAGTCTCATCAACAAAAGTTTCAAGATCAAAAAGCAAACACCTTCGGGGCGTAAATGTTAGGTTCCGGCGGCAAAACACGCTTGTAGTGCCCAGGAAATAGGCACGAATGTGATAATCAATTAACGCGCCATACGGAGATAGCTCGATTTCACAGCCCACTCCGAGAGTTGGGGGGATTGTACAGTGATTCAAACCGTTCTTGCATTCGATAGAATCGTAATTGATGGGGAACTGAAGAGAAAACGGAAACTTGTATCTGTGGTTGGGTTCAAGTGGGCACTCAAAAGGAATGATGACCCGGCTGCAGACGAACCTGCGAACAGAGGTCTTATTCGATTTCCAAAACTGGCCATTCTCTACTAGAGCCTGCTCGGTCCCCACAATGTCTAAAATAAGGCTGCCAGGCGGCACAACTTTCTTGGGCGACACCACAACCTTGCCTGTACTGAACGAGCCATAGTCCAGTGTGCGTAGCGCACTGTCAATCTGAAGAAACCGGGTGAAATTATCTGGTTTGAATGGCTGTACCTCTGGCTCCGTAATATAGCCTGGTAGCTCCTCAGTCGTGATGGTATCTTGCGAACGCGGGCGGGCCGGCAAATGCTCTGGGGAGTGTGTGAGGGTCTCGAGCATAACAATCTGGTTGCAAATGGACGAATAGCTCAAAAAGCGTAGCGCGTTCTCTGGATGATCGATGAGAGTGTGATTGGTTGTTCAATGAACCCTGCTGCACGGCGATCGCGCCTTAAATACACTGGTGAGGTTACACTTCCAACGCCCAATGTGTCATGCATGGAGTTTACTTCGTACAGTCCGGGGATCGGCACTGTCGGGGGCAACAAAGTATTGCTCGCAATGCATAAAGTCGGACTGTAGAAGCGCAGTGTTGCTTCAAATGTCGCAACCTATATACTAATGCCCCTCTATAAGGGTTTTACTGAGCCTCTGAGGGGGCCTTATTCTCGATGACTAACTGCACCATATTTTATTTTCGTGCGGGGACGCACGATTATATAGAGACGCATGGATAGGGGTTTGCATGGCTCGGCCCATCTTGCTGAACAGTGGCGAAATGTTTCTAAACCGAACCAAGTCGCTTAATTTCCCGGTGGCTTGAGTATAAGAAGCTTCTGAATAGTGGCTTCTGGCCGACCTCAGCAAGATGCATCTATCGTGGTACCACGCAGCTTGTCATGCAAATGACGGATACCTACATATGAGCATGGAAATGCTAAACAGTAAAGTGTACGTTGCCGCGGCTGTTTTTCTAGAAAGAAGCGACAAAAGAAGCGGTCCATTCTGGCAACACTCTATAATTACTGAAAACCCCAAATCGTGCTGGCGAGGCAATATATTGGTTGCTCCAAGCTGACGTCTTTTTCGAGCTGCGATTGCGTGCAGGAGAACCAAACGGCAGAAGCGCTTGGCAGAGCTAGCTTGAAAAATTCCATCCAGGTATTACCAAGCAGACAGTTCATGAAATGCACGCTGAACAAACTGCTCTTGCTCCGGTTTCTAATGCCCTCAATGGTATTTACAACTATATACATACGGTTTAACGTTTCTCGGACCGACAACTTTACGGCGCCGAGACTCGTGCCAACAAACTAAGGATTAAATAACATTGCTTGGTTTCTCGTCTACTCTGTGTGTTCTTTCCCATTTTAAATGGCACTCGGCAATGTCATTTTTAGAATGTCGGGCTCTCTAAATTAGCAGTGCCCATTTGCTAAGCGAGGTTTGTTATGCGCTTTTCTATCGCCGTTTGGGGCGTCTGGCTAATACTCGTTTCGTTTGGCGAAACATGCGGTGTTGCGTAAGTAAACTATACAGGAAGCGCAATTGCGTCGACCTGCCCGGTCTAAGTTCCAATTGATGCTAACTTCCAAGTGTTCATGCCACGCTGATCCACCGGCTGCTTCCATTTTTACCTGAAACGGTTTTGGAACATCAAGACTATTTGCGCGCAGGTGCTTTTTATCCTGATGCTTTCTACAACTGCTTAGGACTCAGTGACGTAGCGGAAGCCTCTCACTGGCCCCCTTTTTTGGCTGCTGGGGCTCAGCTCGTACGTGAAAAAGAGCAGGCCGGGGAAGATGCTGGGCCGTTGCGTGCATTTCTCTACGGCGCACTGAGCCATCAGGTTTCCGATGTGAGTTGGCACTCTCTTGGCGTACATCAAGGGTTGTTGAAAGTAATGGCGGACTCGGAGTTCAATGGGAATATAGACGATGCCCATAGTACTCTCGATGTGGGTGGAGACATGATCCAAGTGTACAGATTGCTATCCAGTGGGCAGAACATTGATTGGCTTACTGAAAGTTGGACCTATGACTCCCAGGATATCAAGGAGATTCTGGCAAAGCTAGGATATAATTCCATCTCAAGCACCCAGATCAACTACTGCATGGCGCAGGGTCGTGCAGCTTTGACTGCTGAACTCAATGTGGCCAAACTTGGTTATATTCGATACGCCCAAAAGTCTCCCACTATCTTTGACCAGCTCGAAGACTACTTTGTAGGGGGTATGGTCGACATGCATTTGCAGACCGTAGAGTGTGCGGGTAGTTTTGAGCCTTGGTTTGAGAATGCGGTATCTGATCCGTGGGATATATGTCAAGTTTTCGATGGAAAACGCCCTCACCATAATATCAAGCTTTTGTTGGATTATGATCCTTATGTTAACCAGCTCGGGAAAATGATCAAGAAGGTCAAGCCCTATACCGATAGCTTCAAGTCGACTATCTCAGAACAAAGCAATAGTAAAGTGGTCGCTGCCAATCAGTTTTCACAACTTGGCAAGTCTGTATTATTCTGGGGTGGTAACTGGGTTGTTAGTGCCCCGGCGATCGGTCAGGTGTTTGTCTTGGATGAAAACCTAAAGGTGAAGTACGTGTTGAAAGGGTCAGTCAAGGAAGAAGGCGAGTTCTATTCACGTTTTGGAGCAGCGCTTGCAACGCTGTTCCTCCAAGGTCAAGAATTCCTGGTGGTATCCAGTCCAGGTCAAAGCCAACTCGACTTTTTTGATGTCGAAGGAAACTACCGGGGAACGCTCGTCTGGCCAGATGCTATAACAAAATATGGAGGGCATGGTATAAAGCTTGTCGGTGAATCCATGTTAGCCGATTGGACTGGGCTTTACGTTGGAGCTCCCTATGCAGATGTTACAGAAACCCAAGACGGCGCGGTCTACAAAATCCTGTACAAGGACATTGCTGAGCTTGTTATGCGAAATGATACTCAATATGTACAAGATGAGCCTATTTCGGGAGCAGCTAAATATGCGAGGTTTGGTATGAAACTCGCCGCTAGCAACCAGTTCGTCCTCGTCGGAGCGCCTGGGTTGGCAAAAGTATACGGGTTCGATCCTTGGACGCTGAAACTGAAGCTAACTCTGGATGGTCCACCAAATAGCGGATTTGGTGGGTATCTTTTGGAGCAATCACCCCAGGGATACATTGCGATCGGCGCTCCTCTGCACGATGAAGGAGGCACCCAGTCTGGATCTGTTTTCGTTTACAAGAATACAGGCCGCAAAGCATTCAGTGGAAGCAGTTCGTTTGCATACTTTGGCCACTCAGGCACTCTTTTCGGATCGTCAATATACGTAGGGTCAGCCCACGCTGAAAACGAGCGGGGAGCCATTTGGAGACTCGATTTGAACCAGTACAGCTTTGAAAAACTCACAAGCGGGCTAACTCCTGGCAGTGGTGGGTTCGCTGCAAAGCTTGCCTCTAATGGTACGCATCTTCTGGTGGGTGCGCCATATTTCGACCAGCTCGGCGGAGTGGCACTATACAACACCACAGAGTAATTATTGTTGTTTGGGGCGATAATAAAATAGCATGCGTGACTGAATGTTCCCGTCGGGCGCCTTTGCACGCGTTCCCAGCTCGTCTAAGAGGCCCTCAACTCTGTCCCGAATAAGTGCTCGACTTTCCAGCTGATTTGGAGTCAGAGGCTGGCGGCGGTAGTTTTTATCCTCTAGTTTCAGTTGCAGACTATGGCCCCGGTTGAATACTGATTCAATAGCTTTGCGTTTCTGTAGATCAAAGTCCTTTTTAGAAATCGACCACGAGACAGATATTTCTTTGATCTGGGCTGGCTTGGTCTTCTTGGCCTTTTTGTCGACAGCCGTACCTTTCTTCAGCAGCTCGGCAATTTTCACGGCAACTTTCGGATCTTCGTTATCCCCGCGGGCATTCACACTAACGACCTGCAATTCACATCCCTTGGGGACTGCGATCGCCGTGAGCTCAGTGTCGTGGCTCACGACTTTCCCGTCAATAAATACAACTTTGCCTTCTTTGGGCACCATTCTGGCAATCTCTTTGACTGTGGCATATCCCCGAAAAGCTCCTGCAACGAGCCTAACTCCACCGGATAACTTGATCATGACAGTAGTTATACTTACTAACTTAATAGCATGGGGCTTTATGTGACGAGAAGTGTCAAGCTGCGAAAGTCCACAAAAAAACCGCAGGCACCTCTGCTTCCCGGGGATGTTGCGTTATTGAGGCAGCTAGAGGACGAGAAAAAGCGGCGGAAAGAGGCGCCTGAAAAACTGAAAAATCTGGGGAAAGCGCCGATTCCCTGGCAGGTGTCTACCGACACTGATCTTGGCGTGGTCATGAAGAGCATTCTTAGTCGACAATGGGTAGAGCTCGAGGAGAAAACCATCCACCATGAGCTATATGCTATGGTCCATACTTTTCGTGCGAGCTTACCGCCGCTTCTTCTAGTATCACAGATATACGGAGTGTTCCCGCACTCGTCAACATACATCGACCGAGAAATCAACAAAGAGAGAAAAGCGGGACGTGTGAGGCTTCTAACTGTGAATCAGGGTGATTCCAACGATTTGCTGATCGATTCAGCTGCATTCTATGCTGCAATGGGTGAAGGTCGGCATATCAACAAATTAAAGGCTATGCTACAAAACGCACCGGAAGCAACTTGGCTTGGTATCAACGCTCTTCGCAATGCAGGATTAACTGATCAAGAAGTCTCGCAGCTTGTGCAAGAAGGACACCTCTCAATTGATCCAGGAAACCATCAAGTCAGGTATATAATGACACCCATGCAGGGAGCGTTCCTCAAGTTAGTTACCTCAGGACGAACCTGGCTTCTAAAGACTCTTATGGCCAACAAATGGAAAGAGTTACCGGAAAACAATATTCAGGAGAAACTCGACTCTAGCAAAGGATATTGGCGTAACCTCAAGGGACTCAGCCTGGAATATATCCTATTTGATGCAGTAGGATCCGGGTGGATCGACGGATTCAACACGCCCATTGGCCGTGGCTGGAAGGTTTTGCGGACAAGGTAATTATCTATTTGAGCACAAAAATTTGGTCTTTTCTTTTTATTACATTTACTGGCGGCGAGTCATACGAGCGCGCTGCTTACGGGCCTCTTTTTCCTGCTGCTTTTTGGCGAGTTTACGTTCTTCCTTCTCGCTGAGGCTGTTCTGCTGTTTGGCTTGCTCACGACGCTCTTCAGCCTTCTTGGCCTCAAGCTCTTCCTTTTTAAGGGCTTCGGCAGCCTTTTCGATCTTTTTGATCTGCTCCTCACGAGAGGCCCGGATCTTACGGGCCACCTCGCTACGCAAAGGCTTTTTGTTGATCATGAAATCGACAGCGTTGATAGCAGCATCAACGAGCTTGGCGAGAGCTTCGGACTGAGCCTTGTTCGACGGATAGCGAACGGAAAGATAGACCCGTATCTTGGGGGCGACCTCGGAAACCTCTGTAGGGGCGTCAATGCCCTGATCAGTGATAGCAAAGTACTCAAGGATATCCTCGGCATTAGTGATAGCCTCAGCCAAGGTACCAGTGAAAATACTTTCAATGATCTCATTATGCTCGGCCATAAACACCAACGAGGCGGGCAGCTTGGACGACTCAGTTGTGCGAGTCAAAGACAGATAGTAATTGTCCTCGCGGGCTTGCTGCATGCCGAACTTTGAGACAACAGCGAAAATCTGGGGCTCAATCGCCGTAGGGTCATGAGGAGTAAGAGTGACAAGGGCGTGATCACGAAGGCCCTCGAGCGAACGAGCCGCTGGGAAAAACAAACCGATGGTGTTCAAAATAAGGTTCTGGCGCTCGAGAGCGTAGAAGCGAACAAGAAGACTCTCAATATTGACACGGCCACTGGCATAAGTTGTGTAACGCACCGCAGAGTCCTTGACAATCTTCATCTGCGGAGTGCAGCCAACCATGGCGAACTGCTCGGCAATGACAGGCTCAGCGGCCCCCATGAAACGATCGACATGCTTGCGGTTAGTACTGACGCCCCAGAAATGGATAGCAAAGTAAACACCAAACACGGCAAAGATAAAAAGCTCCTTGGTCCAGTCGTGAATTTTGACCCGCTCCAAGAAGGTCAATTCGTTCCACTTGGCAGCAGGGATTCCATCGTTGCCGCTAATGGCAGCAAGGATTTTTTGCAAGTGCGTAGGCTCGGCAGCCACAGTAGCGGCCATCAAAATCAAACCAGTCAACATTATCGATGTGTGGTGCTGGCTCCAAAAAGTCTCCAAGCTGAGTCAGGGCCGCGGGGGAATTTTCTATCTAAATGCTCACGCTACGGCCCCAGGTGACCCGAGTTGGGTTTCGATTATGGCGCCCTATATTTGTGCGGGGCGCTAAGATGAAGCGCAAAGTTGAGTCCAAGGAGGCAACGAAAGATCTGGAAGAGCGGATCGCCCAAATACCTATCGATCGGTACCGAAATTTCAGTATTGTTGCCCATGTCGACCACGGTAAATCCACCCTGAGCGATCGTTTGTTGGAGCTCACCGGGGTGATTGAACCGGGATCGAACAAGCAAGTTCTCGATAAGCTTGACGTTGAGAGGGAACGCGGCATTACCGTCAAAGCCCAGACTTGCACCATGATATACAATCACAAAAACAAAGATTATTTATTGCATCTTGTCGATACCCCTGGCCACGTCGATTTTAGACAAGAAGTTTCTCGCTCGTATGCATCCTGTGGTGGTGCTTTATTGTTGGTTGATGCATCACAAGGTGTCCAGGCCCAGACGGTGGCTAACTTTCATCTTGCCGACGATTTGGGGCTGGAGCTAGTGCCGGTTATAAACAAGATTGACTTGCCCCATGCTGATGTGCCCAGGGTCACTGAGCAATTGTTTGATATGTTTGGGTTATTGGATCCCGTGGCGATCTCAGCCAAAGCTGGCCTTCATGTTGAGAAAGTTTTGCCGGCTATTGTTGAACGCATCCCTCCGCCTACGGGGAAATTAGATCAACCGCTAAAGTCATTGCTCGTAGACTCATGGTTCGATCCATTTCTGGGCGTCATTCTACTGGTGCACATTGTAGATGGTAAAGTGTCCAAAGGCACCAAGATCATGTCGGCCCATACTGGATTCAAGTATGAGGTCAAGGAAGTGGGAATCATGTATCCTGAACGAGTTTCCACAAAGAATCTCAGTGCTGGTCAGCTTGGGTACATTATTACTGGTATGAAGCGTTCACAGGACGCTCATATTGGCGATACGTTTATGCAAGTGAATCATCCTGTGGAAGCGCTGCCTGGATTCGAAGAAGTCAAACCCATGGTCTTTTTGGGAGCATTCCCGGCTGAAGGTGCTAACTTTGAGCAGCTTGAGGAAAGCATTGAGCAGCTTACATTGAATGATCGTTCCGTCACTCTGCAAAAAGAAAGCTCAAATGCTCTTGGCCAGGGCTGGCGTTTGGGTTTCTTGGGCACTTTGCATGCCAGCGTTTTCAAAGAACGTCTGGAGAAAGAGCACGGCGGTAGCCTCATTTTCACGGCGCCGACTGTGCCTTACAAAATTGTTGAAAAAGACGGCACAGAACGCATCGTCACCAATCCAGACGACTTTCCGCAAATGACTAGCGGAGCCATGGGAGTTAAAGATCTCCAGGAACCCTTTGTCGAGGCTACTATTCACACGCCTCCTGAGTACGTTGGCCAGGTCGTGCAACTGTGTCAAGCGTTCCGTGGTCAGCAGAGCGACGTAGAGTATTTGGCCAACGGACAGGTCTGTGCCAAATTTTTGATTCCGCTGGCTGAGCTGGTCGATGACTTTTTCGGTAAACTCAAAGGCGCAACTAAAGGCTATGCGTCGTTGGATTATGAAGACGCCGGCTATCAATCGTCACAAATTGTCAAGCTTGAGCTGCTGGTTAATGGCAACAGCGTGGACGCTCTGGCCAAAGTTATGCACGTGTCCCAGGTCGACGAGAAAGGCCGGATCTGGGTGGACAAGTTCAAGGAATACATGCGGTACCAGCTGTTTGAGATCATCCTGCAAGCTCGGTGCGGCAACCGAATCATTGCCCGGTCCACCGTAAAGGCCAAGCGCAAGGACGTCCTCCATAAGCTGCATGCAGCCGATATCACTCGTCGCAAGAAGCTGCTGGCCAAACAAAAGGAAGGTAAAAACCGTATGCAGTCGGTGGGGCGCGTGCACATCCCGCAAGAAGCATACCAAGGGTTCCTGGCTAGGGACTAGTTTCATGTACATAAGAATAAAAAAGGACGCTAAGCTATTGTTCATCGAGGTGCTGGCGTTTGTTAGGAGAGTCGCTTTTAGCCTGAGCCTGTAGCAAAGCGTTCTGGAGGAACGTTGTCAACTCTGCTTCGTCCTCTCTCTGCACGATTTCTTCGAGCTGTTTGCGCTGTTCCTCGCCCAGCAGAGGCGTTCCGGAAGCCTCTTCAGCATACGACATGGAAACGCTCATATCCTCAGGCAGCTTTTCAACTGTTTCGCCGTTGAGCTCGCGGTAATATGTTATGAGATCTGACAGTTCCATAGGGTCTTCTTCTTGGGCCTTTTCGAGCGCGGTGAGCCCTTCGCTGTTTTTCTTTTTGGGATCTGCACCGTGTTCAACCAAAAACTTGGCCATTTCAACCGACTCTGTGGCATGGAGCGGCGTGTCGCCGTCAGAATCAGTAATGTTCACGTCTCCACCTTTCTCCAGCAGGTACGAAATGAGATCAAAGTGACCCCATTCTGCCGCAGCATGCAGTGGGGTGTAGCCGTTTTCATCCTTGGAGTTCGGACTCATGCCCTGCGTCTCAATGTAGTCTTTGACCTTGTCAATAAGGTTGTCTGCCGAGGCAATCCAAATATTCATCACAAATTGGTAGGAAAAAAACTTGCATGCTGACAATATTTCAGAATCTTGTAGACGCGGCGAAATATCGGTTTGGCCAGCTTTCGGCTGAAGAAGAGGCCCAATATAATAGCCGGCTAGCACAAGAAAAAGACGGCAGAGAGTGCAAGCAATGTAACGAGTTCAAAGACTGGAACCTGAACTACTCTCCCACGGTCAGGTTCATGCGGGACGAGATTGCAAAGATTGGGGGTAATATCAACTCGAGCAACGTTATTTGCGGGAAATGCGACGAAATGAAAAGCGGCGGCTTCCATCCGGAGCTAGGAATTCTGTTGTGTCAGAACAAAATCTATTCTCGCAGCCACTGCGAAGACACTATGGCCCACGAGATGGTCCACGCCTACGACCACTGCCGGTTTGAAGTAGACTGGACGAAACTGCAGCACCATGCGTGCTCTGAAATTCGTGCATCATCATTGAGCGGCGAGTGCAGAATGATGAACGAGATGTTCAAGCATGGCTTTCTCAAATTCGGCCGGGGCCACCAGGAGTGCGTTAGGCGTCGAGCCACCCTCAGCGTGATGGCCAACCCCAATTGCAAGGACCGCGAAATGGCCGAACTAGTGGTGGACCAGGTATTCGATCAGTGCTTCAACGATACACGCCCGTTCGACGAGATCTACCGATGACCCCATGTTATTTTTATTTTACCTATGGACTAGAATGTCAGATACAACGAAGTTAGAATTGATGGCCCGACAAAAATACCAAACCAAAAGAGGGCGATTCCGAGCGAGGGATATTTCTGGAAGATCTTTTGTCTCGACAGTAACCCCAGTGGCAACTGCAGCAACTGGAAGCCGAAAAGGTAGCCACGAAGACGTCCAAAAATAACGTACATAGCAAGCTCATGGAACACTGAAGATAGCATAAAGGTCGTAACCATGCCTTGGAATTTCGAGACATGCATGGTTGCAATGGACGAGTGGTAGACATGGCGATACAGGAACTGGTAGACTGGCACATTCCAGTCTCTGGCAAACTGGTCCCACTGCACTGTGTTCCACCAGTCACGGTAAAACAGGCGATCGCCGAAACACGTGAGCTCTGCTAGGGTGTTTAAGATGGCATCCCAGATCAGGTAGAACGTGATGAGATACACAACGAAAAACGGAGGAATCAGATCGGATAAAATCAAAGGATACTCTCTCCATCGCGTACTCAGTGGCTTGTCGCGCAGGTTTATAACCGTGACTGCAATAGGGTGGATATGCTGTTCTGACCAAATGATCAAAATAACAAACAGGGCTAGAGTCGCTGTGGCCTTTTTGGCAACAAACCACCATCTAATATGGGACGTTCTGGGGAGCTCGAGCTGATAAACCAACGTCGGATACATTGTGAACATGAAGAAATTCTTCAAGCCCAAGTTGGCAGGGTACCGGATAGACTTGGACTGAATATCGATCTCCTCCTGACAGAACTTCATACGGTCAAGAATTTCATCCATAACGTCTCCAGAATGAATATGACGCTTCTGGAGACTCTGGCACACCACCAATTCGTTTTCAATAGCGTGCATGTGACCATTATACATTGCGTAGGAGTGTTGCTTCATGAGCATTGTCAAGGAGTGTAGTAACAAAAAAATACGGGCAATCCATGGATAGTCACCGAGCCTCGCGACTGCAATAAAGGTAAGCAGAAACGTAAAGTGCCATACGTACTGCAACTTCCAGCCAATGCCCTGCCAATCCACTATGTTGGCCTTGACAAGTCTCTGAAGAAAGTAGGTGACGTACATGCACAGATACATGAACAGATCCGTGAGGGCCACTTTGAAGATATCCCGCCGAAGAATACGCACAACGTTGTCTTCCAATAGCCGGCCAGTTGAAATGTAATTGACAATCAGAGCTCTAATTGTGCTTGTACCAAGAATTACCCAAAAAAGAACATAGAATCCGTACATAATATCCTTCCTAAACTCTGGTGAATCAAATATAGTCGTTTCGTGTTTGTGAATAATGTTCTTGTAGGCAATCTTGGTTCTTCGTTTCCCAGAGGGGAACTGTAAATCAACAGAACTCTTCTTATCATACTCGGTGCCGGTTCTGCTGGTACGAGACTTGATTTCGTCATCTCTCTTGCTGCTGCTTGCAAGCGTCTCTGTTTTGGACGGCCGTAGCGGTCGTGGGGGCGCCGGGGACGACGGAGTGGACGGGGAATCCAGTCCCGAAGTGGACCAGGAATCAGAGGAGGTTCTGAGATGCCGACGTTTGTGTTTAGGATGTTTCGGGAGTTTGCTCAGACTGGCAATTGCCGACTGCTCGCTATCGTCCGAAGAGCTCATAATTGGAGTTGCCCGTCGGGAAGCAATATAAATACGAGCAATAACCGCTGGATCGCTTATGTCACTCGTATCTGCACGTAAATGCTATCGCAGATGACACAAATACGAGGTTGGGCGTGACGAGATCGGAGCGAATTGGGAATTCCACCGAAAAATATGGACTCAGGCCTTTAGCTAGTGGGCTGAGTTACTGTCCGGTCGATTGCGTTGCACACAGCTCGAGTGGCTTTGCTTTGACTCATGCATGAGTATGCGGAGAACCCCTCCCCTAAGTGCGACAATAACCCCTCACTGACTGGATCACCTTGCTTTGGCCATTTAGTCAAAGCGTACGCCACCTGTATAGCTAAGGTTTTTCCACCCCACCGCACAATATCCGAGCTCAAGGTCGAGGGGTAAAGGTGGGGTGTTACCCAGATCAACTGACATAATACTTTTTTTCAGCAGGACGAATCTTTGTTTGAGATGTCTAGACCGGAATACACAGCTCCGCCAGAGATTTTCTATAACGACGATGAGTCGACCAAGTATACACAGAATACCCGTGTGCAGCAGATCCAGGCCGCAATGACCCTGCGTGCCCTTGAGCTGTTGAACATCCCCCAGGGCCAACACATTCTGGACATTGGCTGCGGGTCGGGTCTTTCGGGCGAGATTCTGACGGAAGAAGGCCATTATTGGGTTGGCATGGACATTTCAGCCTCAATGCTCGGTAACGCTTTGGATCGCGAAGTTGAAGGCGATCTCTTTTTGGCAGATATGGGGGCAGGCGTTCCATTTCGTGCCGGCACATTTGATGCCGCCATCTCTATCTCTGCTATCCAGTGGCTGGGCAATGCCGATAGCTCGCATTCGAACCCACGCCATCGGCTGCAGCGGTTTTTTCAGACACTCTATGCCAGTCTGAAGCGCGGCGGCAAAGCCGTGTGCCAGTTTTACCCTACAGGGCAAAAGCAGCTTGACATGATCTTAGAAGCGGCCAAAGTAACCGGGTTTGGCGGTGGTGTGGTCATTGACAATGCCGACAGCAAGAAGAACAAAAAATACTACTTGGTTCTCGCGGCTGGCGAAGGCGAAGAGGGATTGAACCTGCAGGGCATCCAAGTTGAGGAAGGAAAGAAGCGAGCCCGGAAGGGCGTGGAGACCCGTCGCGAGTTCATTGCCCGCAAAAAGGAGACTATGCGCAAACGAGGTAAAATTGTCCACTTGGACTCTAAATTCACTGGCCGCAAGCGTCGGACCAGATTCTAATTTATAGCATGAACGCCCTTTCGACAATAAGGGGTCTTGTAGTAACTAATATTCCCAAAGACTTTTTGCCTTTTAGTCAAACTGCCTTTAGATCCTTTTTAGTCACAGAGTATTGAGTCATGCGTGAGGGATTCTATTTCGGAGCTGGGCCCGCAGCTTTGCCTACGGAGGTCGTTAAACAGGCAGCCAAAGAGTTTGTCGAGTACGAGAACCAGGGCGTTGGTCTCGGCGAAATCTCGCACCGTTCGAAACAAGCCACCCAGATCATTGACGATGCCAAGTCGAAGGTGATTGAAATTCTCAAGGTGCCCGAAACCCACGAGGTGCTATTTATTCCAGGTGGCGGAACTGGTGGCTTTGCAGCGGTTATTTACAATCTCATGGCTGCCTTTGCTGCCAAGACGGGCAAAAAAGGTAAAGCTGATTACCTGGTGACCGGCACATGGAGCGCCAAGGGTGCTGCAGAGGCTAAACGATTGGGAGTTGAAACGAACATTGTGTTTGACGGTAAAAAAGACGGCAAATATCGGCATATTTCTGATCAGAGTGAGTGGAAGTTTAGCGATCCAGCGGAGACTGCATTTGTTTATTTTTGCGATAACGAAACCGTCGATGGTATCGAGTTCCCGCAATTGCCACAGGTTCCGGAGGGCACGAACCTCGTGATGGATATGTCCAGTAACATGTTTTCGCGGGCTGTCGATGTGTCTAAGCTCGCTGTTTTATTCGGCGGTGCTCAGAAGAACGTCGGTATTGCCGGTGTGTCTCTTTACGTTGTGCGCAAAGACCTCCTAAAACAGGCATCTCCCGCTGAATTGACTCAACTGGGGGTTCTTATTGGCCCTAGTGTTTTTGATTTCACTCTAATTGCCAAGAACAACTCTGCCTACAACACCGTTTCGATATTCGCCGTGCAGGTTATCAACTTGGTGCTCGGCGACTTGCTTGCCAAAGGTGGTTTAGATGCTCAAGAGAAAGAGAGTAACGCCAAGGCAGAAAAGATCTACGCTCTGCTTGACGCACGCCCCGAGCTGTATCTTACCACAGTTGCAAAGGCTGCCCGCTCGCGCATGAACATTGTTTTCAAATTTAAAGACGCCGACACGGAGGAGCGGTTCTTAAAGGGCGCTGCGGAGCTCCACCTTACTGGCCTCAAGGGACATCGTTCGGTTGGCGGCATCCGTGTCTCCAACTACAATGCTATTACTCCTGAGGCTATCGACCGACTCGCTGAGTACATGTCAAAATTCAATTAAAATCTATGCAGAGCTTAAGTAGAAAGTAAGCACATTTTCTTCATTTTCAGTGTGCGGATAGCAGAACACTGCCAAAACTTCGTTGCCGACAATTCCCACTACCACCCGTCGAGCCAGTTGTTGGCAATGGGCTATTGCGTTATACCAATCCCGTGCCTGCACAGAGATTGAAGTGATTGATGCAGTCCCAAACATGGGAAGCGCGCTGCGGGGAGTTGACTGAGATTCCTGGGTTCCCGGCAGCACTTCGGGGAAAATTACCGTCCAGGACGTGTTTATCTGGACACCGGCCGGCTGTATGATCACGCTGAAAACGTGGTCACTAGACAGCTTGATATCGAGCGTGTGATCCAACTGCCGATATTTTTCAGCTACCCGAACGATCTGGGGTAATTGTCCCAAAGCGAGTTCGCAGCACATATCGAGCGAGGAGATGATGGGTTCCGTAGGCACCGCGGAGAGGGGTATTTCCAGCGCATTGATCCGTTGCCGCACAATCATTTCGGGGCCATCGCTCTCGTTGTTGATCCGAAGACCCACCACGCGCCTGGTTGTGCTTCGCGGAGTCACGCGAATAAACACTTCGCCCATGGAATTGAAACTGCGAAACATGCGGTGAAACGACTCGAAGTGTATTTCAATTGCAAAATCGGTCAAATGGCTGATGTGTTCCAGCATGCTATCGATGGCCAGTTCGGCCCAAAGAGTTGCAGACTGCATTGAACTCTGGGCAGAAAACACCAGACGGTTGCGATCAGCAACCAGGAGCCCACTGGGGTTAATGGAGGCTAACGCTGAGCAAACATCGCGAACAAACAGAGGTTCCCGCAGCCTAGCTTCCAGTAACACGCCGACAGCCATGGAAACCTATGTAATCCTTGGCGGAACACAGTCGGAAAGCTGAGGGGATATTAGGGTTTACAAAACAAAAGAAGCGTACGCCTGGACAATATGGGGGAGCAAGGTGGGGGAGACCATCTCGGTTTGATTCGGACACGTCGGTTCAAACTCCACGGTTTGTGTACAATAAGCTACGGCTCGTATTTTTGGCTTCGCAGTGGGTGGTGGGCGGGCTCAGTAGGGCGTGGCTCAGACATGGAGCCGGGAAAGAGGCGTACGAACCCTGCATCTTGCATAAGGGGGCTCCAAGCGGCTAGTGCAAGTACACGGAGAATTTAGTAGCTGTTTCAATGTATTTGCACTGTTCTGGACCGCACTGTTTAGCTACAGAAAAATAACGAGCTTGTTCTCCACTAGGCCCTGCGTAAAGATCAGTTTCAGGTCTCTCTCAGTTCTGCACGCTGCTAGCCCATGCAAGGTGGTGAACTAGGAAACGGGTTAGTCATGCGCAAACTTAGTATTTATAGCTTAGTTGTTACTATACCTCGATAAACCCCCAAGCAAATACCTTTGGTTTTGCTTCAACTGAATAATGAGCTCAAGAGGATACTACGAAAACCAGGGCGGCTACCAGCAGGGAGGCGGATACGGAGGCCCCCCTCAGCAGGGCTACTACCAGCAGGGCCCACCTCAGCAGGGCTACTACCAGCAGGGACCTCCTCCGCAGGGCTACTATCAACAGGGACCTCCGCCAAGGCAGAGAGACGACGGCTGTGGGTGTTGTGGTACCATGTGTGCGTGCTGTGCCGGTTGTGCAGCATTACTGTGCTGCGAGGCCCTGACCTAGTCCGATTATTTACTTACGGTGCAGTGCACACGCTTCACTAACTGCAGTATGTAAATTAATTAGGTGTATGTAATAAAAACGACTAATTTATAGACTCGGCTAAGTCGATTAGTACGCTAGTCTCAGGCAGGGTGGACCAAAGGGGGAGCTCAGGGCCCTGCTGGCCCTCTCCTTAGCTGGTCATACTGACCGTGCCTGACACATCTTTCCCGCACACGTTCTCCAACGGTGCAACAGCATGACGTAAGGATACCGTTGGCGGAGAAAGGGGTTTTTCCCCGGACGCTCGTCACCCCTGTGTAATTGCCCGCTTCTATTAGGGGAATGCCATAGCACCTGTAGCGTAATTTTAGCGCCGAGCGAATAGCCGGGACTTGCACCGACACTGAAGAAACTTAACTTTCCCGCCTTTTTCTCCAATATAACCTTCAGCGCTCCTCACGGGATCCAGATACCGCCATTCAAGCCGACCGGCCGCTACGCACCGTTCCCAGGGTTTTTTTTTGTGGCAGGGTTTGGGCTCTGGCTGCGGCCTGTTCCTGAAAAAAGAAAAAGATCTTTGTGCTTGCGTAAGGTGCCAGCCAGCTAATATAGCGCAAGTCCCAACCATTTCACCGAACTTGCCTTTGCCTCCTCAATTAGGTTTTTTTTCCAATTCAGCACGCCTTGTCGGAACTGTTGATCTACGCGAGCTTTCTATCTACTCAAAGCTTGTACCTCATTTGAGACCAGGATCTACTCTAGCCCCTGCTTAACGCGTGTCTAGACATTTTCATTTCATTCTGCTGAACCCCCGGACCGGGCTTCCGACACTGGACTTTACAGGACCGTGTCAAGAATTATTCGTGTTTACACTTTTTTTTTGAGAGGCTTATCAGTGCAAAATGCCGGATTGGATAAATCAAGTGGATCAGTCCGATTCCTTCCCCTACGGTGACGAACCGGACGAGAACCGCCCGCCCTCAGGGGCCATGTCACCCTTTGCGGATCAGTACGAGAACTCCAGCTCTGAGACGCTTCAGCAGACACCAGATTTACGACGGGCCCATTTCTCGCCTGGCCCAGAGCTCGAGACCATCGATACAAAGGATAGCGAGCTGGAGCGCCAACAAACCGCCATGAAGAGAAATCGCTGGGGTACGCAATATAACAAAAAAGGAAGGACCCCACAAAGACAAAAGTCTCTTTTTAATCGCCGTTTCTCGTCGTTTTTGCACCCGCAAGGCGGAGGCGGCTCCGATGACGGCCGCGACCGAGACACCACCCCTCCACGTGACGACCGCAGCTCTGCCGATGATAGTGGATTTTTGGACCCTGACGAGGTCTTGCCTGGAGAGCGTCAGATTTATTTCAATATGCAATTGCCTCCAGAGCTTAAGGATCCTCTGACAAACTTGCCCGTGCAGAAGTTTGTCCGAAATAAAATTCGCACAACCAAATACACCCCGCTGTCGTTTTTCCCCAAGAATATTTATTTCCAGTTCCACAATGTTGCTAATATTTACTTCTTGGCCATTGATATTCTTGGTGCGTTCTCTATTTTTGGCGTCCAGAACCCTGGTTTGGCCGCAGTGCCTATTGTCGTTATTGTGATCATCACAGCCATCAAAGACGCCATTGAGGACTACCGTCGTACAGTTCTTGATCTTGAGGTAAACAATACGGCCACCGAGGTATTGGTGAACAACGAGAACCCAAACGTTGTGGACGAGAACATTTCGCTGTGGCGTCGATTCAAAAAGGCCAACACCCGGGGTATGATGCGCATGGGTCAATGGTGTTATGCAAGAAAGGCCGCTCGCAAGGAGAAAAAGACTGGCGTGAAGTCTGATACAAAGTCTCCTTTCCATAACACCCTCGACCGTGCCGAGGTGCGATCTGAGTACTCGGCAGAAACCCGCGAGTCTATCGATTTGGAAGATCTTGACAACCCTTTTTCTTCTCAGGACAACGAGCTTGAAGACCCGGCTGAGTCGGTTATCCAGCCCCGTATCAACCCTATTCAAAAGGCATACTTTCAGCGGGATTACTGGAAAAACGTTCGCGTCGGTGATTTTATTCGTATTCGCAGCGATGAGGAGATCCCTGCCGATGTGGTTATTTTGTCAACCAGCGAAGACGACGGTGCCTGCTATGTCGAGACCAAAAATCTCGACGGTGAAACCAACTTGAAGATCCGCCAAGCCCTTCACTGTGGTCGCAAAGTGGTTCATTCCCAAGATTGCCAAAAGGCTTCTTTCTGGATGGAGACCGAAGCTCCTCAGCCCAGCCTCTACACATTCAGTGGTGTGGCAAAATGGAAGCCTGACGATATCACAGAGCGTAGCGAACCTATCACCATCAACAACTTGCTGTTACGTGGCTGTACATTAAGAAACACAAAGTGGGTTGTCGGTGTGGTATGTTACACGGGATTCGAGACCAAGATCATGCTTAATGCCGGTGTTACTCCGACAAAGCGTAGTCGCCTGCAACGAGGCTTGAATCTCTATGTTATCTACAATTTCGCTCTGCTGTTCATTCTTTGTTTCGTCAGTGGTTTGGTGAACGGTATTATCCACACTAAAAAGCAGTCATCATCAAATTACTTCGAGTTTGGAATCATTGGCGGCTCAGCCCCGGTTGCCGGTATTGTCTCGTTCTTTGCTGCTCTTATTCTTTATCAAAGTTTGGTTCCTATTTCGCTGTACATTTCGATTGAAATCGTCAAAACGTGTCAGGCCTTCTATATTTACTCGGATTGCTACATGTATTACGAGCCGATTGATTATCCGTGCACACCTAAAAGTTGGAATATTTCTGATGACTTGGGACAAATTGAATACGTCTTCAGCGATAAAACGGGAACTCTTACACAGAATGTTATGGAATTCCGCAAATGTACAATTAACGGCGTTGCCTATGGTAAGGCTTATACAGAAGCCTTGATGGGAATGCGTAAACGTCAAGGTGTTGATGTTGAAAAAGAGGCTAAGCAAATGGAAATCGAGATTGCCGACGACAGGGCGCGTATGATCAAAACCTTGCGAGGGATATACGACAGTCCTCACCTCATTGATAGTGAAGTCACCTTTGTGTCGTCTCAATTTGTCGATGATTTACAGGGAGCTGCTGGTCCGCAGCAAGCTAGGGCTAATTTCAACTTTATGCTTTGGCTCACGTTGTGCAACTCTGTGATCACGGAAAATTCCAAGGTTTATGAAGGTCGTAAAGATTTCAAAGCTCAGTCTCCTGACGAAGCCGCTCTTGTCTCTGCCGCTCGTGATTGTGGCTTTGCGCTTGTTGGACGGGTACGCCATGGTGTTGTGGTCAACATTCAAGGTCAAGATGTTGAGTACCAAATTCTCAATATTCTTGAATTCAACTCTACTCGTAAGCGTATGTCTGCCATCGTCAAAATCAAGAGCGACGAAGGCGATCGAATCGTGCTTATTTGCAAAGGTGCCGATTCGGTTATCTACGAGCGTTTGCGTCCTGGCGTTCAACAAGAGCTCCGCGAAAAAACTGCTGTGCAACTTGAAGAGTTTGCTAACGAGGGTCTGCGCACAATGTGTATGGCAGACTGCGAAATTGACCCCAAAGAGTATTATGCATGGAATGAACGTTACGAAGAGGCCGCCGCTTCCATTGTCAACCGTGAAGATAAGCTCGATGCAGTTGCCGATACTATTGAGCGGAACCTGATGCTTGTTGGTGGTACTGCCATCGAAGACAGACTTCAGGATGGTGTTCCGACTACTATTTCGCTGTTAGCTGATGGTGGTATCAAACTGTGGGTTCTTACTGGTGACAAGGTCGAGACCGCAATCAACATTGGTTTCTCATGTAACCTGCTTGATAACTCAATGGAGCTGTTGGTTATCCGTGTCGAAAATGGCGACAAGGGCTCTGTACCGGCGCTCATCGACGACTACCTTCACCGTCACTTCAACATGGAAGGCTCTTGGGAAGAACTTGAGGAAGCAAAACGCGACCATAGCTCACCCTCCGGTCGCTTTGCGGTGGTAATTGATGGCGAGGCCCTCAAGCTTGCCTTGAACCCTGCCATCAACCACAAGTTTTTGTTACTGTGCAAACAGTGCAAGTCTGTGTTGTGCTGCCGTGTCTCACCTGCCCAAAAGGCCGGTGTTGTCAACCTTGTTCGCAGCACGCTGGATGTCATGACCTTGAGTATTGGAGATGGTGCTAACGATGTTGCTATGATCCAGGAAGCTGATGTAGGTGTTGGTATTGCCGGTGAAGAAGGACGACAAGCTGTTATGTCTTCAGACTATGCAATTGGTCAGTTCAGGTTCCTTTCCCGTCTTTTGTTGGTACATGGTCGTTGGGACTACAAGAGGTTAGCTGAAATGATTCCGAACTTCTTTTACAAGAACGTTATTTTCACGTTTACCATGTTCTGGTATGGTATCTTTACCAACTTTGATGCAACATATCTTTACGACTATACTTTTGTGATGTTCTTCAATCTTGCCTTCACCTCACTGCCTGTCATTTGTATGGGTATCCTTGATCAGGATGTGCCCGACAAGATTTCACTTGCTGTACCTCAACTGTACCGCCGGGGCATTCATCGAGCAGACTTTACAGAAACCAAGTTCTGGTTTTACATGATAACCGGTGTGTTTATGTCTTTCGTCTCGTTCTTTTTCCCTTATTTCTGCTATATGGGTGGCGGCTTCCAGTCTATGACTGGTCGGCCCGTTGACCACCGATTCTGGATTGGTATGTCTTCGTGCACCATCTCAGTCATGGTTTGTAACTTCTTTGTTTTGACAAATCAGTACCGCTGGGATATTGTTTCTACAATCGTCAACATTGTTTCGACTCTGCTGGTGTTTGTGTGGGCAGGTATCTACTCCTCGTTTGTTGGATCGGCAGAGCTGTACAAGGCAGCGGCAGAGACTTACGATACTCTGGTTTTCTGGGCCGTTACATTGCTGGGCATTGTTGCGTGTATGATCCCACACTTTGCTTGGTTGACCGGCAGAGCTTTGTGGAACCCCAAAGACGTAGATATCATTCGCGAGCAATGGCGTCTTGGTGAATTTGATGAAGTGCTGGCCACGCCTCTTGCATCTGACGACCCCACTGACTCTGCTCAGTACAACAATCCTTATCGTCCCTCTACATGGCGGCCCCGGACTCGTCGGGAAAAGCGTGCCGCCCGCCGGTCGATGCGCCAACCTTACGAGATCCGCAACGAGTCTCACACCGATATCACACGCTCACCAGACTTTGTACGCTTTGGCAACCGCAAAGTTGGTGCAGAGGAGTTTTTGTTTGACGTGCCTGCGTCTCCCACGTCGCCCACATTACGCGACCACGTCCGATCAAACGCATCGCCCTCCCTACGCAAGAGTTTGGAGATTGCTCGGCATAGCTCACGCTGGGAACAACCACCGGTCCATGAAGGTATTGAGAATATTCGAACTTCTATGGAACTGGACGATCTGACCACTGCTGAAGATCTTGTAGGCCGGCATATGGGCCAGCGCGAACGTAATTAGAATTAAATGCATCTTATCGACATACTTGTTTTCCTTGTTTGTTCAGAGTTCTTGGGGAGTGAGGTTTTTTATTTTCCAGCTTATTTTGATTTTTTTTTGGTTCTTAACGCAAGTTAGGATAAATAGTTTTTTTCCAGATTTGATACTCTTCGAATCTTGTCCGGGCATAGTTGACATAGTCAAAGTCTATTTCCGAGTTCGTTGACTGGATTGCCGACCAGATGCCCCAGTAGAATCCCGGCATTCCCCACCAAACAGCAAGCTCGGCTATCATTTGGTCGACTGTGCCGATCACGGTACCTGTGAAGTGCTTAATTGCTTTGATGTAGTGATCAACCCAATCGTTCAGGTTCTTATCGTCGCACAATGGGTTGGGCACCAAGGAGCGGTCACAATCATAGCCCTGCCATTCCTGGAAATGGTTGGCAATATCGAAAGAGCGTGGACAAGGCATGGCGTACTCGTAGTCGATGAACGTTGCCATAGACTTTGAGGGGTCGTTCCTATTGATTGTACAAATCTCACTGGATGAGTCCCATGCATTTGGCACCAAAATGTTTGAAGCTAGAAGATCACAGTGTCCCATTACCTCTCCTTCGTTGCTGCTCTTGTACTTGCTTCTGAACCACTCCAGCTCCTCTGCCATTTCTGCTTTGGACATTTCCAAAACACCACTTGGACACTGCTTGATCCAGTCCTCTAGTAGACTCCACAAATCGCCAAGCGGCTGGGGAGAAAGTAGCTTCTTTACATCTTCGATTTTCAAGAGAGCATGCCATTGTGCCAACCGGCTTGACACACTACTAATAATATCTGGGTGAGAAAGCTCTGGGTATACGGTGGCTCTGCCCTCTACAAACCCATAGACAAGTCCGTTTCCAAACCGGCAGTAGAGTTTGGGAGCGAGGTTCAAAGTAGTGAGCTGGCGGTGGACAGCAAACTCGCGGTTTCGGTCAATGAACGTGGAAGTGCCCTTGCCGAAGGCTCGAACGAGCATTTTATTAGACCCCTGCTGCGCCATGAGCAGCTGGTTCGTGATTCCACCCTTAATGCTGGTTATTTTGACTGCCGAGTCGTCACCGGTGACGTCGCGTATAAGCCGCTCGACGTCCGCATGGCCCGACCCTTCGGGCACTAGTTTCAAAACTCTATCCGGAAACTCGCAAATCATGTTCGGAAAAGCGTATAAGAGCAATCTTCCTGAGTGAGGCCTTTTTTTTTATTGACTAACAGCACAGACCAATATGTTATTAACCGCCGATTAATCACCCTCTCGGCAGAACTAAAAGGTGAGGGTTTAAGGAGGGTTATTTTGTCGCATTATTGAGTTTAAAGTATAGATGCGCTCACTAAGAGACTCGATAATATGAACGGTGCCTTTCGCTGCAAACAGGTCTGCTAACGCACCGTATGTGTCACACGACGTCTATCAAAGCGGGGGATTCGAGCGACCATGCACGCTGCATAATAACCATGAGGAGACACCTAACCCTGAGTTCATCGACCAGAAAAAAAAACTTTAGCGCTAAATAGATTAAAGGTGGACCTGTAAGAGGTCATTTTGGCCAAACTGGCTATTACACAATGGGCATTTACGCATGCGAGCATTGAGACGTGCCATAGCACAGTCGTTGCAGAATACGTGCCCACACACTTTGATGGCAGTGTCTTTCCAATTCTTGGTACACAGCGAGCATAACGCGATCGAACGCAGAGACTCGATTTGCTCTTGTATGGCCTGAGCGGATCCCATACCGGACGTGAGCTGCTTGACGTCCACTTGCTTTTTCAGCTTTTCGATCTGTTGTTCAAGATTACGTTTGGTCGTGCGCTCTTCAGCAATGTCTCCGTCTCTTGTGGTCAACTGGCTTTGAAGCTTCTGGATCTCGTGTCTGGCTGCTGCCAGCTGCTGCTCCAGCTCGTTTCGTCGCCGCTCAACCTGCGCCTGCACTCGCTGAACCTGTACCACCTTGTTTTCAGCTTCGGCCAACTGTCTCTGCACTCGGGCAGTGTTGCTCACCAACTTTTGTTCCTGAGCCCGCAGGTTGTTGATTACTTCCGAGCTTTTCGCCAAAGCTGCCTTCACCTGTTGGTACTCGATATTCAGAGCGTCTCTGGCCCTCATGGCGCCAAAATACTTTTCATCTGCTTTGACCTTGGCCGTATTGAGGGCACTTAGCTTGGCATCAACAGCAGCCTGATCAATGATCTTTTGGTTGGCACGTGCATGCGCCTTGGCAAATGCTTTTTCAAGGCCAGGGATCTCGGCAGCAAACGCCTTGTTTTGGCGGGCTAATTTCGCGGCGAGCTCCCTCAGCTCCTGTTCACTTTTGCCTTCGACAACCGCATCGACTTCCGCAGGATCTATGGTAGTGGAGGAGGAAATTTTAGCTTCAGCAAGCTCCAAACGCTCTTTTAAAGCCTCGGTCTGCTTGATTAGTTCTTGCTCAGCGGCTCGTTTGACGTTAAGCTCGCCCATAAGTTCGTCGCGGACGCCGCGGATACGCGATACATCGGCCTCCATCTGTTCGAGCTGTTTTTCCAGATTCTGTTTCTGCTGGTCATATTTTTCCCGCACGTCTTTTTCGTAGAACGCTTGCTCGCCCTGAAGCTGGCCGAGAGTAGTTTGTTGACGCTGCAGCTCTTGCTCTAGTCTGACGTTGTCTGCGGTCAAGTCTTGGATTTTGCGGTCGTTCATAATATAGAAATCGCTTTTCCGAACGGCCTCCTGCGGTAAATTAGCCACTTGCAGTTCCAAATCTCTGATTTTACCTTCGAGGGATATGACCTGTTGCTCGGCAAGCTTGAGCTGCTCGTTTTGCTTGGCAACAACGCCATGTTCTCCATCAAGCGCCTCGGTGAGTTCCTGGATCTTCTTCTGGCTCTCTTCACTCGAGGACGCTGGCTGAGGCGTCGCAGAATTACTCTCCTCCTCAGCCTTGACATGGCCGTCACTATCTTTTCGTACTGGGTCCTGGGTCACGCGAGCAACTAGCGGTGACTTGAGACGTTCAATTTTACGACACGCCTCAAGGTACTGCTCAGTGACTCGTTCTAACTCTTTACGTATCGACGCTTCTAGCGGGGGGGTAGTAACCGCAGCTAACTGGGCCTGGAGCTCGTCACGCTCCCGCTGATACGCCTTCATCTGCCTAAAGATAGCTTCCTTTTGGAAAAGCTCAATCTCCTCTGGCGTCAAAGGCCCTTCCGCGACTCTTTTAGCGCCGCTTTCGGGGCCATCAAGAAGTCGCTTGAGGTCCATATGACTAAAAACCCGTAGCCATCGAGCCATGAATAATTCAGTGTGCTGAGCTAAGCGGTAGCTAAGCGGTAGCAAAGCGGTAGCTAAGTTCAGCGGCTTTGACCGGAAGGAGCGTAGAAAGCTAGAAGAGTAGTGCTGGACACCTGTAGACAAAGTCCTAACGAAGCTCGCAGAATCAACGTAATCTCAGCAAAATTCCTGTGGTTTTTCACCGAATAAGTCGTTTTGTACGTCTCGTGCCCACAAACGGCCCTAGCCCTGCGTTGTTTTCGGTGTAACGAGCGTAAAGAGCCATAAAGAGCCATTGCGGCTTTAATTCGCAGAGGGCTGGGTACGTAAGGGTGTGCCATTCACAACAAGATTGCCGGGGCAGACGAGCACAACAGGCGCCCATCTGTCATGCGGGCTTGCCCGTAGCTGCACGCTTAGAAATAGCTGCACGAGCCCGAACCCTCGACAGCAAATATAAAGAGCGCCCACAACAGATATGTGTAGTACAATTGTTGATCAATGACTCCTCCTAAATCTGTCGCTCTCGCTGTCACCAGTTATTACGGTCCCTTTTACGAGGACGGTAAGAAAACCGGTGCCTATTTCTCCGAGGTTTACCACCCCTGGAAGTACTTCACTGAGCAAGGCTACAAAGTCCAGCTGTTCTCCGAGACTGGTACCTTCAATTGGGACCAGCACTCAATTGCTGATGGAGCATTGAGTGCCGATGAGAAGGCTGTTTTGGATGACAAGTCCCACGACTTCCACAAGGCCACCCAGGCCATCAAGAAGGCGTCTGAGCTGAACCCCGCCGATTACGGTGTCTTCTATGCTGCTGGCGGCCATGGCACCATCTTCGACTTTGATGGTAAGGCCCCCGGTGTTGCTTCGTTCGCCGGCAAGGTGTGGGACGATGGTGGAGTGGTTTCCGCTGTCTGCCATGGCCCCGTAATTCTTGGATTCATCAAGGACAAGGATGGCAAATTGGTCACCGAGGGCCGCAAGGTAACTGGCTTTTCAGACGAGGGTGAAGTTCTGTTCCACCTTGACGGCTTGCTCAAGAAGAACGGATGGAAGACCGTCCAGGACGTGGTCAAGGGCAAGAGCACCTACGTTGCCCCCGAGCCTCCGTTGGCTTCTACCGTAGTCACTGATGGCCGTCTTCTTACTGGTGCCAATCCCGCCAGTGCTACACCTCTGGCAGAGGCTGTTGACAAGGTTTATAAGTCGCTTTAGGTTAGCCAATACGCAATAGTCTTCAAGTTTTACGAGGAGCTTTTACGGTACCGTAACTCGGGTGCTGCCCGAGTGATAGTGAGTCTGCGGTTCAATTGCCAGCAAACTGGATTGTTTCAAGCGTTTGCCCGCGCAAATTCTCCATTGTTGAATCCTGCGACCAACGATCCTCACCACGTGACCTGTCGCACCTAGATCCCATCAACCGATCGCTTATATAATCGGTCTCAGACAAGTGTTGATTAGGGCTTAGGGCACCGTGACCATTGGACCTACAATGCAATCACCCAGCGAGCTCGAGCATTTCACTACACAATGGTCAACATCCCCAAGACCCGTCGTACCTACTGCAAGGGCAAAGACTGCCGCAAGCACACCCAGCACAAGGTTACCCAGTACAAGGCTGGTAAGGCCTCCCTTTATGCCCAGGGTAAGCGCCGTTATGACCGCAAACAGCGTGGTTACGGTGGTCAGACCAAGCAGATCTTCCACAAGAAAGCCAAGACTACCAAGAAGATCGTTTTGCGTCTGGAGTGCACCTCTTGCAAGACCAAGGCTCAGCTCGCTTTGAAGCGCTGCAAGCACTTCGAGCTCGGTGGTGAGAAGAAGCAGAAGGGCCAGGCTCTGCAGTTCTAATATGGCTACTACTGAAGGCTATGGCGTTCTTTCACATTATTTTTGGCGCTACTGCATTCTCCTCATAGTTATATAAAAAGACTACTGTCATTTAAACTACTTTTGTCTATTGCCTGCCGCCGGCCCATATGCCCTCGACGGGCTGCTTTGTAATTATGGCCATTCACTTCATTTTGATTCAGAATCGCCAGGGGAAGACCAGGTTGTCGAAATGGTATGACCCGTTTCCTGATTCTGAGCGCCGCAAAATCAAAGGTGAGGTGCATCGCCTGGTCGGCAGCCGCGATTACCGGTTCCAGAGTAACTTCGTGGACTACCGTGAATATAGACTAGTGTATCGCCGATACGCCGGTTTGTTTTTTTGTATGTGCGTAGACACCCAGGACAATGAATTGTTTTACCTGGAAGCTATTCACATGTTTGTTGAGATTCTGGACACGTTCTTTGGCAACGTCTGTGAGCTCGACATCGTGTTCAACTTTGTCAAAGTGTACACTGCGTTAGATGAGGTATTTTTGGATGGCGAGCTCGAGGAGACTTCTAAAAAGAAGGTCCTGGGTCGTCTTGAAGAATTCGAACGAGCACAGTGACGCATATATTTATTCAGATCTGCTTGTAGCTAAGTAGCTAAATAACACTTGAAGTGGGGCGGAAAATGATCTCGTTGATATCGACGTTTTCAGGCTGATTCACAGCAAAAATCAACGCATCTGAAAAGACCGTAGCAGGAACACGCTGGATGTTTGCCAGGCGGCTGTTGATGTCCTCGTCTGTGATTCCTTGTAGGAGGTCAGACTCTGTGGCACCGGGAGATACGTTCAAAACCCGCACATTGTATGGCTTGAGCTCTTGGCGAAGTCCTTCGCTAATGGCTCTAACAGCGTACTTGCTGGCGCTATATACAGCACCGCCCATAAGCACATTGTGGCCAGCGACAGACGAGACATTGATGATTTGTCCGGACTTTTGTTTCTTGAACACGGGAATGATGGCAGCGACTCCATACAAAACACCCTTGATGTTGATATCAATGGTGGCGTCCCATTCATCGACCTTGCACTTTTCCATATAAGACAATGGCATGTATCCAGCATTATTGACTAAAACATCAATTCGTCCGTAGATATCAAGGGCAGTCTGGACTAGGTTCTCGACTTGCTCGCGTTTAGTGACATCCACCTTTACGGCAGTGGCCTCGGGCTGGCCAAGCTCCTTTACAAGCTCATTCAAACGATCAAGGCGCCGAGCGCCAACAACTACCTTGGCTCCTAGTTTAGCGAACTCCCTGGCAGCAACGAGACCGAGACCGCTGCTGGCACCGGTAATGACAATGACCTTTCCCTTAACGTTAGACATGATTGCAAAGTGCACGGTGGATGGTCCTTTTATATTCAGTCGTATTGGAGCCTAACATTGGTAGCAACGGTGAAACGTGCATACACTTGCAGCGGTGGCGAGGGGGAGGCGAGATCTACATAACTCTGAGAATCTATATAACTTTAAACAAGTATTCTGGAGTATAATTGACCACCGGGACATTTGAACTGTATATGATTTACTATCAAGATTTGGTATTTTCGTTGTAACCCAATTATGGGTGCGTAATCGATTTTTCATATATGCATGTGCTTGGTAGGGTGGCCAACTCACTTGAAATTTCAGGTCGGCTAGCGTTCGCAGCTCTGAAATAATTTTGAATAGATTTATATCTTTTAGATCTCCTTATTTTTATTAGAGTTACAACTTGAAGCCAGTTCACGCCTTCGCGTAGTCGAGTGTGGTATTTTCACTTTCACAAGCGACGGTAAGAGCATGATGCAGGTGCATTCTGGTGTGCAAGCCAGATAAAATCATATCTGTCTAGCGTTTGCCACACCGAAGGGAACAAAGTCTTGTTGTGAAGGTTCAATGAGTACATGTTGGGTTTAGTGGTTTCATATCTAAATTGCTGCTCAAAACATTTCACTGACTGGTCGGAAAGTAATTTCATTCACGTCGACGTTTTCAGGCTGGTTGACGGCAAAAATCAACGCATCCGAAAAGACAGTGGCAGGAACGGCCTCAAACTCCTTCTCTATGTTTTTCATAACGTCCTCGTCTGTGATGCCGTGTGCGAGGTCAGACTCTGTGGCACCGGGTGACACGTTCAAAACCCGAACATTGTATGGCTTGAGCTCTTGGCGAAGTCCTTCGCTGATGACTCTAACAGCGTACTTGCTGGCGCTATATACAGCACCGCCCATAAGCACATTGTGGCCAGCGACAGATGAGACATTGATGATTTGTCCGGACTTTTGTTTCTTGAACACGGGAATGATGGCAGCGACTCCATACAAAACACCCTTGATGTTGATATCAATGGTGGCGTCCCATTCATCGACCTTGCACTTTTCCATATAAGACAATGGCATGTATCCAGCATTATTGACTAAAACATCAATTCGTCCGTAGATATCAAGGGCAGTCTGGACTAGGTTCTCGACTTGCTCGCGTTTAGTGACATCCACCTTTACGGCAGTGGCCTCGGGCTGGCCAAGCTCCTTTACAAGCTCAGTCAAACGATCAATGCGCCGAGCACCAACAACCACTTTGGCTCCTAGTTTAGCGAACTCCCTGGCAGCAACGAGACCGAGACCGCTGCTGGCACCGGTGATAATGATAACTTTTCCTTTGACGTTAGACATGTTTGTATAGTACTTGAAACCTTCGTATCAGCCCTTGTACCATGGCACTTTTTATATTCAAACACCTCGGAGTTACGGATCTGAAGCAACCGTGGAGGCGCATACCCTTGCAGTAGCAAGAGGAAGCACTATAGCTAAAACTGGCCATAAATGAAGATTTCCACTCCAGTCGTTTTTTGAACGTATTTCTAGCATATCTATTTTTGTGTTCCGTGTTTTTATATCTCAAATTACCTACTTTATTGCACCTTTTTGCCCGTGATGTAACTCAGACAAGGGTTAGGTCATCGGCAAGTTTGTACATTGAAAACCGTCCCGTGTGTGTGTGATTACGCGATGGGTTCGGTTCGAGACAGAGCTCGTTTGAAGATTGATTAGAACCAATAATCATTCAAATGGGCCCTGAAAAAGCGCCAATTAAATCTGGTTGCGCTGGTTGTATCAAAACACGTACTCCCGCTTGCAATTCAGATTCAATACCAAACCAACGCTACAATCAGTATGCTTTAACCCTACACTAACCATCGCACCGCCACCGGAAGCCATGAAATCCCAGGCGGAAAGATGCCAGGGTTCGGGTTCACACATTGGATCAGAGAATATAGTGTCTGACAAATCGTCTTATTCGCGTAACCACTTTTGCTTATGGCCACACAGTACGACGCGATCTATTTCAACCAATCGCGACTCTATGGCCAAATCCGTATGTCCGAAAGCGGTCTGGGCTGGAAGGCCACTGAGAAAGCCCAGGGCGGTTCTGCCGCCAAGGTCTCTGAGCCCTTCCTGCTGCCAGCAAAAGAGCTGCTGTCCGCTCAATGGTCTCGAGGTGCCAAGGGGTACATGTTGAGGATTCAGACAAAAACCAGCGGTGTGGTTCAGCTAGATGGGTTCGATGCTGAGAGCTTTAATTCGCTCAAGAATGCCTTGAGCAACACCCTTGATCTTAATTTGGAAGCCCGCGAGCACTCGATGCGGGGCTGGAATTGGGGTTCCACAGATTTCGAACGCAATGAGCTTGTATTCAACGTCGGCTCGCGTCCTGATTTTGAAATCCCTTATTCTGCGGTTCTGAACTCCAATGTTGTGGGCAAGTCCGAAGTCGCTATTGAGTTCAAACTCCAGTCTGCCAGCGAGCGTACCACTGGAGGCGACGAGGTTGTCGAAATGCAGTTCTATGTGCCGGGCACGGTTTCCAAAGATGACTCTGACGGAGTCAAGTCAGAGGATGGTGTCAAAAAGGAAGAAGAAGGTGAAGAGCCCGTTGAAGAACAGAGCGCTGCGGTTGTGTTCCACGAGCAGCTCCGAGCCCGGGCTGATATCGGTATGACCAGCGGCTCTGAGATTGTGGCGTTTGCCGACATTTTGTTCCTCACTCCTCGTGGCCGTTACGACATGGACATGTACGAAGACTCCTTCCGTCTTCGCGGCAAGTCCTACGACTACAAAATCGGATACAACACGATCCAACGCATTTTTGTCTTGCCAAAACCCGACGATACTCACAATCTTGTCATATTGCAGCTTGACCCCCCACTTCGCCAGGGTCAGACCCGGTACCCTTTCTTGATCATGCAGTTCTTACGGGACGAGGACCTGGAAACTACGTTGAACGTCGACGATGAAGAGTTCAACTCCAAGTACAATGGGCGTCTTGAAAAATCGTACGATGCAGCCGCATACCAGGTTATTTCCAACTTGTTCAAGGGCCTGGCCAACCGCAAGATCACATTCACCGGCTCGTTCATTTCCGCCCAGAACCGGCCCTCTGTGAACTGTTCGCTTAAAGCCAGCGAGGGCAACCTTTACATTTTGGAGAAGGCGGTTGTTTTTGTGTCCAAATCCCCTGTTTATATTCCGTTCAGCGAGATCGCTACTATTCAGTTCTCTCGTGTTGGCGGCACTGTTTCGTCTTCCCGCACTTTTGATATGACAATCACGTTACGCGGTACTGCCGGTGATCATCAATTTTCTAATATTTATCGCGAAGAGCAACAGGGCCTCGACACATTTTTCAGATCTAAAAACGTCAAGGTCAAAAATGAGATCGTCGAGGAACAAAAGATCTTCGAGGCCGCCCTTGAGGATGTGGACTCAGATATCGAGATGGCTGAGGGCTCGCAGGATGAAGAGTCTGAAGACGAAGACTTTGACGATGACGAAGAAAGCGACGTTGCCGAGGAGTTCGACTCAAACGCCGACTCAGATTCCGAAGGTGAGTTCGATGACGATGAGGGCTCGGACGCTTCCAACGGCTCCAACAAGGCGCCTCCCTCTAAAAAACCTAAAACTAAACGTTAGTCTAATTCCACCATTCGGTGCTATGTAAGTCGTACCATTGTAATGTTTCTTTTAACCCGTCAGTCAGGGATTTTTGCCGTTCCCACCCCAGGGCGGTCAAACGATCAAATGACATAGAGTACCGCTGATCGTTATAAGGACGGTCTTGACCGAATTTCACGGTTGCAGACAGCTTGTCAATGCTGCCGCATATTTTCTGCACCATCTCCAGATTCGACATCTCGTCGGTGGTGGATATATTGTACACTTGGCCCGGCTCGCCTTGCAGCAAAATCGTGGCAACCGCAGACACAACGTCGGTTATGTATATGTAACATCGCCTGTTTGAACCGTCTCCATGCACTGTAAATTCTCTCCGGCCGTCCATGCTAGCAGCTAGTGCAGACACGAGTTTCTCCGGATACTGTCTGGGGCCATAGACGTTACAGCATCGAGTTATGACCAGCTGGAGATTGAATGCTCTCAAATAAGACAATGCAATAAGGTCTGCGCTCGCTTTTGACGCCGAGTATGGGTTAGTGGGTGCCAATGGGGCCGACTCATCTACGGGCGGGCTGTCCAGGCCAATTTCCCCGTACACCTCGTCGGTGGAAAAGTAGAGTATGCGTTGGATTTGGTTCTTGTGTCGTCTCGCCACCTCCAGTAGCGTTTGTGTACCAATCGTGTTTGACTGAGTGAACTCGACCCCTTTTTGAAACGAGACGTCCACAGACGATTCGCCAGCGAAATGTAGGATGATCGAGATCTCGAATTCGGATACCACCTCGTTCACCAGGTCGTAGTTTGCCACATCGCCTCGTACAAAGTGCACGTTCTGCCTATCAATGAGCTCGTACAGGTTCTTGGTGCTTGAGCAGTAGCTGAGTTTGTCAATAATAACAATAGTGCCAGCGGTATTCTTGACGGCAATGTCCTCGGCCACCCAGCTTCCAATGAAGCCCGCCCCGCCGGTTATTAGTATATTCGCATTCGAAAGATCACTTTTTGTTACGCTCATGTCGACGCCATTTAAAATCGGCTCTGAAACGCGTAAATTCAGGTTGGTAATCGAATGGGCCGGGTTCGGTTCAAATCAACGACCCCCATACAGAAGGATGATTTGGAGCCGTGGTGGATGAAATACAGACCTCGAAGCTTGGACGAGGCTGCTATGCACAAGTCCAAGATTCGGGAGATTCAGGAGGCACTGGAAAGCCAAAGTCGAATGGTGATTGTTGGTGGGCCCACAGGGGCGAGCAAATCGACCGTAGTTCGGTTAATTTTAGAGGACCTGGACCGGAAAATACTCGAATGGCATGCACCAGAAACCAGTGTCGGAGATACGTCTCTTATAGACTCGTTTGGCGACTTTTTGGTGGGCGCTGCTCTGCATGGGCCCTCCGCCGTAGTGTTTGTCGACGAGCTGCCCAACCTTCTTCACGAAACGACGTTTTTTGGATTCCAGAAAGCGATTGAGTATTATTTATCGGCCAAAGACGTCCCGCAGTTGATAGTGTCTTTTACAGAGACGGAGATTTCTGCAGACTACCGAGAGCATATTGTCGTGACTCGGGTGTTTGCCCCGTTCTTAGATCGGTCAGACGTGTGCCACATCAAAGTGAATGCAGTGAATGCGACACTCATGAAAAAAGTCCTGAACCATGTTGCTTCTGAGGAGGTGCCTAAACGAACACCTGCTGTGTCGGGGGCCATCCAGGCCCTAGCGACCACTGGCGATATTCGGTCCGCTCTGATCCAGTTCGAATTGTGGCTCAGGGGAAATGCGGCCAGCTTACCTGGAGCCCGAGATTCAACCACCGGGTTTTTCCACAGTATTGCCAAAATTATTTATGGAACACAGAGCACGATTGAAGCGGTGGTAGAGGCCCACAGTGAAGACATGGGCTCGTTCAATCTGACTCTATTGGAAAACTATACCAAAGCCCATCATCAAAGACTCACACTAGAAGCTGCTACATTGTGCTCTGAGTGGCAGAGTGTGGCTGATCTCTCGCAAGAGCTTCAACCTTTGGCAATTTACGGAGTGGCCAATGTAGTTGCTGAGACCGAGCCTGATCCAGCGCTTTCAAAGTCTTTTCAAGCCCTCAGTTTCACACCACTTCAGAAATCAAACAGCGAGCGGGCTCAAGCCCACTCAAAAATACAAACTTACATTGCCCGTCAAAGACGGGCAGGCGACAACCTCTCGTTCAACGAAGCACTTGTTCAAATAGAATGCTTGTGCGACGACAAGCGAAACGTCCAGCTGGACTGGAGTGACTCAGATTCGGACTCCGACTGGTAAACCCAGATGAGGGGAAAGAACATTCATAACACTATACAAGTAATGTGAGAGTGTGGGGTGGTTTATATAGATAAAAGATGAGGAGGGCAACCAACCTTCTCGAAACGTTGTTTAATTTCCGCAGCAAACACCCAGTTTACTGATTCACTGCCTTTTCGAAGAACTTTGGGTCTTCCTTTAAAAGCTCCTTGACAATGTCAAGACCGCCCTGCAGCTCACCATTAATATACAGCTGAGGGAAAGTGGGCCAGTCCGAATAGGTCTTGAGGCCCTGTCTAACAGCATTGTCCTTAAGAATATCAAAGAACCCGAATCTTACCTGGTTTTCCCGTAAGATGGCAACAAGCTGGCGGGAAAACCCACACTTGGGTTCGGCAGGAGTTCCTTTCATGAATAGCATTACAGGTGCGGCGGAAATTAGTTTACGCAAGCGGTTATTAAGGTCTTCTTCGGCCTCCTCGGGCTCGTTCTGGGGGGTGGCTGTCTTAGAGTTGGGTCCCGAGCTGGTAGCCGCCGCTGCTGCTTCAGACTGCGCCTGTGTGGAGTCGGCACTGACTGCCTGGATGGCCGAAGAAAGGCCCTTGGGGTCTGCACCGCTGAGTTCTTTGATGATGGTGCGGTTACGCAGTAACACAAAGTAAGGAACAGCGGAAACGTCCAGCAGCTCGGCCACATCGGGGAAGTCGTCGGCATTCACGGACACAAATTGGTGCTGGGGGTAAATCTCGGCCAACGAGGTGAAAACAGAGTTCATGTGCACACACGGCTCGGCCCACTGGGTCTGGAAATACAAAACAATCAGCTTATCGGCCTCTGCCCCATTAGTGATATCATGGAACTGCTGGTCGCTGGTAATCTCGACCACACTCATTCTTATAAAAATCTCAAAAGTAGCTGACGATTAGGTACCGATTTTGCTCTAGTAACCTGGTGTAAACGGTCCCCACTTTTCTCTGAGGGCGTGAAAGACTTGGAAGAGTGAAGAACCTACAAGGTCCTGTTACTAAGCTAATTACTACAGGCGGTACCGGCAGCGAGCTCGGGCCAATTAGGGGCCATTGCTAGGTAAGGCCGGCCGGGTTTTCGCCGTAGATGGTTTCCATGCCGCCGTGCCGTATTTTCCACAGCTGTTCGTATCATTTGAGCCTACTCGTGCCGGAAAACACTGTCCACTATCACATGACTAAATAACGAATGAAAAGTTCGCGTAATGTAATGAAACAAGTATTAGTGGCTAAAGAAGTAGAATAGCAAGTAGTGGCCAGGATCACGCTACAGATAAATTAAGTCGACACGTGGGGGTCCATCAGCCCCAGAGCCTTTATTTTTTCCAATCTGGCGGTCCGGCGGTCAATGGCACGCTGGTGATCAGGGCCCCAGTCCCGCTCGGCCGGGGTTTCGTACTGATCCTCGAACAGACTCGCGTCCTCGCCGGTCTCTTCTCGCAGCAGCTCGTGCACAGAGGCATTGTTTGCGATCTGGCTCTGAATGCCTCCTGCAAATACCCACGTCAGATGTTGCAGAAGGGCTAGCATGGCCCAGGTTCGAATGGGGAGCGATTTCTGTCGGGAAAGAGCGAAATATGTCAATGTAGTAGCAGGATCTTTGCGCTGGGTTCGTAAGACATCTCTGAATAGAGACTTGGTTTGTCGCTTGTCCTTTTTGGCCGTGCGTTTCGAAGACTCAGAGAGCACGCTTTCCAGGGCCTCGACCAGCGGCTCACTTTCCAGATCAGTGCCGGTATATTTTTCAAAAAACACACCCAGGACTTTACCTGCAGCTAGCTTAACTTCGTTGCTAGAAGTTCCAAGGAACGCGGTCAAGCTGGGGGCCAGGTCCTCGATCAAACTGTTGGCATCCCGAGCCAAGGTTGTGACAAGAGCCAGACCCAACAAAGCAGCCGCGGTGACTGCAGCATCTTTGCTGGTAGTCGTTTCAGCGATTTCCATAAGGTTGTTTGCCGCAGGCTCGACATTGAATCCGCCGCCGCCACTCAGAGTGAAGAAGGTCAAAGTGGCCAAAGCAGTGGTCATAAACGAACGAACGGTGACGGTGGTCTCTTTTTCACGAATCTGACCGAGCAGCTTGGGCAAGAACGAGTTGATCTGCTCATTGATGTCCTCGTAGTTCGGGTGGTCCTCGTCTGCAAACGTGTAGGCGACGCAAATTGACTGCAAGGCCAGTAACGCTTCGAGGTCAGAGCGTTGCCCCAGGGCCGCTTTCATAAGAGCGCTAACCAGAGTGCTGTTCACTCTTTCTGGTTCGTACTTGTGCGAAATAACCGTGTAAATAACCACCAATGCGTCCTCACGGTCTTTAATTGAGACCTTGTTCCGCTCGCTTGCTAATAGCTGCACGCTCATGGAGAAGGAGTCGCGCTTGACCTGTTCGTCCACAACCAGCTCGGTTAGTTTTGCTGCGAGCTCGTCCGACACAAGTGATGCGCCATAGTCGTCTTCGCTGAATCGAATCGTAGGCGTCCGCGATCCGGGCGTTCCATGCCTACTTTCTGGAGTAAAACTGCGGTACATGATGTAGACTAAGCAGTCAGCCCACGAGTACATTTTAGGTGATTTTTCTGTGAACCCTGCCAAGTCTTTCTAGCGATTAAATAAGTTTCTATTGTTTGTATTTAGATCTAGTGTACCTTCTATAGTTCAGCCCCGGTGTGGCTTTTTGGCCCGATCGTGGTTGTGATTAAGATATGCACGCTATTTACCGTCTTCACCCATCTGGGGCAAAATGTCCTTAAAGCTAACGTCTGCAGTTCCCCGTTCCAGAGGTTTTGGCTGATCCTCGGAGTATTTCCAACCAATCATGTAGATAACCCGGAAAGTGGCCGGCACTGATCCATCTTCGTCGCCATGCATGTGGGTGTAAATGGAGTTGGCTGCTTGCAAAAGATCGCGGGGAATAGTCCACGGCCGCACCTTGATGGCGTTGTTTTCTCCCATTGCTTTCAGGTCGTCCATCAGTGCAAACATGTCCGGATAATTGACAATAATGTCGTCCACGTCAATAGTCAAGAGCTTGTACTTGGCCTGCTGCATTAGTCCACCCATATCCTTGACATCGGCCAACGGACTGAGTCTGGGCGAAATCCGACCGTACCGTTCTTGTTCGGCGAGCTGTAGAGAGGTTCTCAGCTCGTAGAGACTGTCGCCGCCAACCATGTTGGCCATGAACATGCCATCCGGCTTCAGCATGTTCTCGACCCGTTTAAGCACCCCGGGCAAATCGTTGATCCAATGCAACGACATGGACGAGATGACTGCGTCAACCTGAGACTCGCCCGGCCAAAACGTTTCCTCATCAGCCACGAGCCGTTTAATGTTCATTTCCCTATTGAACGGCAGGTCTGCGTCCCTGTACAGCAGCTCCTTACAGCTATCGACCATGGTGATTTCTCCTAACCGACTCTTGACGATATTCCCGTCCTCGGTTCCACTGCAAATAGCCTTTTCCAGCGATCCCGCACCGGAGCCCAGATCGACCACTTTGTCGAACTTTTTTGTCACAAAGGCCAACCGCTCAATCGTGCGATTCGCAACTTCATCCCGCAAATAGTCGACCTGCCGACTCGCAGCAAGATCTTTCAAAGCCCGCTGCCTCTGCAGAACCTTGTGGGCTCGGTCAAACACCTCGTAGGCAGCCCTCCTAACCAACGAACCGCGCATTTTTGAGTCAGCTTGACGAAAGACCGAAAGAAAGAAAAGAAAAATTAAGTGTTTACTATTTCGTTAAAATAAAAAAGTACAGCAAGTTGATAGCGACCCAGTGGACAGAGCTCGAATCTTAAATCAGTTCACCAATGCACAGACCAGCAAGCAGGGCCGTGCAGCAGGCGCAGTACATTGCTTCCTCTCCACCTCCCTGCGGCCTGGCTTGCTGGACGTACACAGGCTGTTGTGGGTAGCCTTGTTGCGGGTATCCTTGTTGATAGCCATAGTTTCCTTGAGGGGGGCCCTGGTTGTAGCCACCGCCGTATCCACCTTGGTTATAACCACCGCCGTAACCGCCCTGATTGGAGCCTCCGCCGTAACCGCGCGGACCATCGCCCTGGTTCATATTGTAGCCTCCGCCCTGGCCGCTGCTGCCTCCGCCGTAGTTTGGTGGAGCATGAGGAGGAGGGGCATAGCTACCTCCTTGTTGCTGCTTGCCCGAGTTGTTCTGGTAGTTAGTAACTGCTTTCGAGTCCATGGGATCAATTAACAATGTTTTTCCGGTTGGGGGACTTACGTAGTAGTCTGCTGCGCTCATTTAAAGTGCACGCCTGGGGTGGAAGGATGATCGACAGCTGCCTGAGCAGGTTGGGTAATCAGCGGTCCGGCTGCTAGCTACCTCCGATGTGGTCACCGGGGCAACGGATCCGAATCAATTGGTACACAAGCAATTCGCGGACATCTTAAGGTTGATCTGTGTCCGCTACAAGAAGCCGCCTCCAAATGTATCAGGACCACCAAATCCCTTAGGTCCTCCAGGGAACCCATGGTACCCCGAGCTAGGCGGACCGCCCTTGGGAGTGAAGCCTCTTGACAGTGCGTCGAGCCCTGTGCTAGGGTCACGGGGATCTTGAGCTCCCGGCGCTGGCGGATCCCAACGTTGATTGTAGTGCGGATTTTGTCCAAATGGGGTGGGATGCATGCCTCCAGAGGCGCCAGGCATTCCTGGTTCAAACGACGGATACTTGCCGAGCGGGTACAGGTCCGCTTCGCCTATACCGAATGCAGGGTTCGCAATAGGGGCTGCAGATCTGTTCAGCATTTCATGCTCGTCCTCGAACTGTGGCATGTCGTCTGGACGAGATGGCTGAGATGGGCCCGAAGGATGGGATTGTGATTGCTGAATTCTTGGTTGGTCCGGATAATATTTGTGGGGCTTTTGCGGGTGGATCTGCGACTGAAATCGCCGTACGTCGTCCTTGGTCTTGAGGTGGGCAGAGACAAAGGGCTCAGTGTAGCTCACCACAAACCCGGGCTGAGCTCTCGCAATAACGACCTGTCGCCCATTGCTCTCACAACTGTAATAATCCTGTGAAGCGCCTTCTTCTAACGTCTTGTTTAACAGCGTCTCGACGACGTACTCCAGTGTCGCCTCCTCGTCGTCCTCTTTCTTGTTAGTCATGGTTCAACTTCAATGGGTTGGCCAGCCGCATATAATTGGCACCCAGCAGGCCCATTTGATACTTGTTACCCTTGGAATAGCCGGGGTTCAGTTTGCTTGGGGTATTGAGCAAGCCTATGTGAACATTTTTCTCTTACAATTGGGACTTTCAAAGGCAACCGTTTCGCTGGTATGGATCTTTGGACCCCTGTGCGGGCTGATTGTGCCGCCAGTCGTGGGTGTTTTCAGTGACTTTTCGACCTCTCAGAGTGGCCGCAGAAGACCATTTATGATAGCAAGCAGCCTGGTTATAATGGCTCTATTCTGTACGTTTGCTTGGTCGCGGGAGATTGCCGAATCTACACGGCTTCCCACTGCATTGGTGGCAATTGTCTCTGTGCTGTTATTGGATATTGCCGTCAACGTTTGCAACACTTCGTGTCGAACAATTGTCATCGATATGATCCCTAAAAACCGTCAAGTACTTGCCAATGCGTGGGGCGGACGGATGACGTCGACGGGCCACTTGTTGAGCTACTTCTTAGGCTCTGTGAACCTCGAAAGCATGTTTGGAACCCAGCTCAAGGGTATTTGCGTGCTTTCGGGCGTGGCGTTATTCGCTTGTGTTGGCATCACATGTCTCAGTGTTACAGAACGCGTGTTGATCGCTCCATTTGACCGGCCTAGCAAATGGGCTCAACTGCGATTCAAATTCGGCGTGCTTTGGCAGCATGTCACCAACTTGGACCCTGAGCTTGCCTCTATTTTCAGGGTTCAACTTTACGGTTGGTTCTCATGGTTCACGTTTATGTTCTTCGGGGCAACTTGGGCTAGTGAACTGTGGAGACAGTCCAACCCCGACGGAACCACCGATGATAGTGCCAGAGCTGGTGCATGGGCTCTCACTCTTTTCTCTTGCTCTGCCACCTTCTTCTCGTTTGTGATGCCCCTCTTCCCTCTGAATCTCGTGCTGTTCTGGGGCATATCATACGTGGTATACGCTCTAGCGATGGTCGCTGTGGGGTTCGCTACAAACTACAACTGGGTATTGGGTATTTTTATTACTTGCGGTTTCTCTTGGTCCTTCAACATGTGGGCGCCATTCTCCCTAACCGGTGAACGTGTCCATCAGTTGCCGGCAATTGGGTCGCAAGATGAAATTTCAAGTATAGAGTCTGAAACTGACGTCGTCGCATGCCAAGAGCTCGAGGGCGATGATTTGGTAGCAGAGGAAATGTTCAGTGAGGAGTCAGGAGTCTATCTAGGACTGCTCATGTCTTCCATCATGCTGCCCCAGATCGCGTCAACGATCGTATCATTTATTGTGTTCCGGCTGATCGGATCTGGCCATGACAATGATGGCTATGCTATCGGAGTCACGTTGAGATTAGGCACTGTTGTAGCGCTGCTGGCAGCGTATGCCACCACCAAAGTTTCTAGCAGACCTATTAGCCTATGATAGTTATGAACTCTTATTTAATACCGAACCCGCGACATTCGTTCATGGCAAACAACATTTTGCGTTCGAACTTTTCCCGGCTCGAATATCGATAAATACCCAACTGGTTGAAACACGTGTGTGCGGTGGGGAGATTTTCACTGTCATTCCCCAGGCACGAGATTCTGAATGTCATATTGTGAACCCCCATGGGAGGGATTCTGTCACTGGCGGTCACAAAAGCAAGAAGCCTGGCTTGCTTTTCGGGGTCCAAGGAAGCGAAAAACTCCCAAAACCACAAAACAACCGGTTCTTTGGCCTCTATTTTAGACCGGCATCCAAAGTTTTTGTACTTGGTGACCGACTGTAACGCTTGAACGTCGATGGGCCTTCTATCACCGTGCACGAGGTAATCGATTTCCTCCGCACGATACAGTGATAATGAAGCGCCACCCACGGTCTTTGAAAAGCCTTTGCAAATGGCCTGCATTTGTGGGGTATCCACCAAGGAGGTGACGAGCAGTGTGATGTATTCCTCCTTGTTCTCCAACGTGACCGGCACTTGATCGCCGCCCTGCACAAGAGCGGCTCCAGAGGGGGATACAAAGTTGAGGCCAAATACCTCCTCAAAGTCGGGCTTGTCATAATCTAGGATAGCCCGTGCACTTTGAGCAATAAGTGGCCACAGTTGCTCAACATCAGCCAAGTTGCAGGTCTGGCCTAGCATCCTTTTGAAAAGTATTTGGGGGAAATTCACATCAAGACTGGTTGAGTTCCGCAGTGCAAGGCCAAAAGCGATTCCTGCGATAGTGTAGTATGACAAGTCTGCGGTGCCCAACCAACTAAAGCTTGAGGTTTCATCAGTAACGAAAATGGCCCGCTTGGGATCTAGAAGCTCTTTAAAAAGCAGAGCGAGCCATTCTTTACGGGGTCCACCAGCATCAATTGCTGGCTCGCCGACGAACCGGACGCGAATATTTAGCCTTAATGCGAGGTCCAAAGGCTCAAGCTTTGCAACTGAATCTTCGAGTAGGTGGTTGCGACGGATGTGGACTTCGGAATCGCCACTTCGAGGCAAGCGGAAATTGGTTTGGTGGCCTGCCAATCTTGAAAACATCTCCTTACGAACCATTGCATCCATTTCTCGACGGACGGTGTGGTCGAAGATGCGATTTTTTGCGGCAATTGACAGCATGAATGGGAATCTACAAAAGTAAAAGCGTCGCTCACCAAAGGGCATACTGGCACAAGGTTGAGTCTGCCAGGTGGAGAACACAGGCTCCTCACGTTGCATCACAAGCGGCTTTACGTTCATGAACCAACGGTCAAAGTCATGATTCAGCTCGACGTTATCTACCATTGAATTGTAGAATGACGATACTGCCAGATTCCGGCTAATGTTGTTAGCACTGAATAGGATAGACAAAACCTTTGTTGTAGCTGTCAGACGCCAATCCAAGCAGTACATGTCCACAGGAATAAGGTTTTTGCGCGAAGGATCTAACACGTTGGTTTTTTGATGGTAGATGAAGCCCAAACGATGGGCGACATAACCATTGAGCAACTCTACCAAACCGGCAAAGTACTCTTTGTCGACCGTAGCGAAATAGCTTACGATACGGTCACGCTGCTCTGGACTAGAATTCGCCAGCAAACCTAGGCACTTTTCCAATACTACACGAGCCGGCATTCGGTAGGAAGCATAACGTCCTAATTTTTGAAGGGGGCCTGTCAATTTTGTGAACATAGAGCAGTCGGTAAAGATGGGGCATTGCAAGAGGGCCAGAATATAGCGAAGTTCTGTGTCGGTGGGCGGGCCGTAGGGACGGCATCGCATCGCCATAGAAGCACCATGGAGAACGGCTCTCATGGCACTATTTGACGATACATTAGACAAGACGTCGTAAAAGGTGTTGATGTTTTCCACGTCGATATCGAAGGGGGGCAAAGTGCTGGGGTCGGAGTCAGGCGGGGTCGGGTTGCGGATATAAAACGATGCAATGACGGTTGAAATATCACTGAATGCAGAAGAAACAACTGCCTGAAGCAGGGGAAAGTCATTTGAGTTCGACAGTTCGCAGAGAAGCTCTAAATCGATCCCCGCAGTACAGTCTGACTCTGGGGTGCCAAAAGTATCGTGGGAGGTGTCGCAGGTCTCACAGAGCATACCAGAGAACTCATTGCTGCAAACGTAGCAATGGTGAATTTCGTGAAGATCACGGAGTGCCTGGAGCTTTGAACCACGCGACCGCGTGGATAGTTGAGATGACCTGGTGATAGACCTGGACCTGTTGGATCTCACGCTCCGGTAGGAGCTCAGCCCGCTAGTTGCGTGATGTCTCGTGTACACGACTGTGAAAGAGTTAATTGAGTCCACGGCGGACGGTCGCGGAGCAGACACGCTTTGGCCCGAAGGCAGCTGTCGTTTGCGGAGATCTTTACCGTGTTTATCGAATTTCCCACGAGGCGTGGGCGCAGGAACAGGACAGTGCTCGAGGCCCTTTGGTCTAAACAGATTCCATGTTGGCATCAATCAAAGAACAATGATGTGTTGGGTTTAACGGAAGCTTACGGTACCTTTTGGGTGATACCCAAAATTGGAGATGGCAAAGCTGTCTAATGCAGGACTGATGCACGGATGCCCGTAGCCACATAGAAAGTGGATGGTCGGTGAGCTCCAGGTCGGCACGGCTCGCGAAAGCGAGTTGTGTTAGGGCCGAAAGCTGCCGATCCGGAGCCGTAATTCATGGAAAACAATCCTCCAAAGTCGGCTCTCTATTATTGAAATAAAACGCCCTGCCGGACAATTAGCTAGAAGCAGCCCTCGATTTTCATAATGCGTTCGGGTAAGGGTAAAGAGGGGATTCTTATCTGTGTCAGGCACAATACGGGCACTTACACAAGACCCCTCGAAGACGCCTGCACGCCTTGAAAAAAGCCTTACTCGCAGACAGTGTTTCATTCGTGAACAGGCCGGATATCACCCGTTCTCAGCATGTGCATCTGCAAACCTTCGCCCCTCACGATTTGCTTGTACACCATGCAGCCGCAAAGGCTATCGAGTGGGCGGAATCAGGGAACAGCGAGGCTCGGTTCGCTTACATCAGCAAGGAAGTTCCGGTGGTGTTGCTTGTGGGGAGCCCATGTTTACTCAGCTTTCGTGGCAAGCACCTGACGACCCCATCTGTGAGACTACCACGTACCACAGCTAGCCTCTGCTTCCAAAAAACGAAACAGGACTGACCTGACGTGTGCACGCACATATTATTACGGACCATACACGGATTTATACATTTGCGCTCGAATTAAACCCATAACGGAGTTGTTTGTGAACCCATAAACCCCTCTTGTCTTAATCATCGTTTTCCATCTTCTGTGGTTCTGATTTCTATCGAAAACACACAAAAAGCACAATGACAACCACCGTCCCGGCAGTCTACGCTTACCCAGACATCTCGGATGTCGCCGCAACCGTCGCTGATCACATTGTGGGCATTCAAAATTCCGTGCTGAAAGGTGCGGACTCTGCACGCCGCTTCAAGATTGGCATTGCTGGCGGATCTCTTATTGGTGCTTTAAAAGAGGGCCTCCTCAAACGTGACGATGTTGCGTGGAATTTTTGGGACGTTTATTTCGCCGACGAGCGACTTGTACCGTTCGACTCTCCCGAGTCCAACTATGGGCAGTTCAAAAAGCAGGTCTTAGACAATCTGCCTGAGGATGCTTCACCCAATGTGTTTCCTATTGATGAATCGCTCATAGATGATGCTCAAGAAGCCGCTGATGACTATGAGAAGACCCTCATCAAAGGGTTTGCCGCCAAGGACTCTGTAAAATTACCCATGTTCGATCTACTTCTTCTTGGTGTTGCCCCGGATGGCCACATTGCCTCCTTGTTCCCTACCCATGAGCTACTGCGCGAGAAATACGCCTGGGTCGCTGCCGTTGAAGATGCCCCCAAGCCTCCACCTCGTCGAATCACGCTCACCTTACCTGTTATTTGCCACTCACACCGTGTTTCATTCATCGTGGAAGGTGCAACAAAAGCTCCTATCGTGAAAACTATCATGGAGCGTCCCGATAAGGGCCTCCCGGGGTCTTTAGTGAACGAAGGTGCGGCCGGACGTGTCGCGTGGTTTGTCGACGATAGCGCCCTGCAGGGTGTGTTTGTCCAAAAGAAAGAATACAAGCGCACAGCTACCGCACCGTCTACACCTTCTTCCTAACTGCCTTGCTCTTAAACAGATCTCCAACACTTCAAGTAAAAAGCGCTGCCATGACAAGGGTCCTAGCAAGCATATCAAGTATTACCCTTCGGGGGACCCATAACGAGGTAAAATCTTTTTATACTTTTTTTCTAACTTTGCTAGATGGAAGCCAACATCAATAAATAACCAATTCGAAAAAGTCTTAATGACATCCCTCTCTTTTTGCGAACTTAGGAAAGAGGCTCTGCCGCAGTAGACAGGCGATTTAAATGCAGGTAAACATCGGTTCCGTAGCCCTCCATTGAGATCAATTTGAGATCGCCACCGAAGTAGCGGGCATATAGTCGTGACACGGGAAGACCGTAGCCATATCCGGCCATGGGGGCCTTGAAATCGCTGTGGGACACGTCGGGCTCAAGGCTGGGGGTTTCTTTGGCAGTTGTATACATGTAGGTCCACACCTTGTCGCTGGCACGGCGGGGAATACCACCTCCCTCATCGGTGATTTTGATAGCAATGTCTTCGTCACCTTGGGCGATGATGACCTTTACTGGGGGGTATTCATCGGCGTCGACGCCATAGGACTCGACGACTGCGCGCAGCGAGTTCTTAACGATTTCGAAGATCATATGGGACAGATGGCCGGGAACATACATGAAGTTGATGTTCTCGGCATTCGAATGCAAAAGAACTTTTGGTGCTTCGTAGAGGCCGTACCAATCTTCGCAAATGAACCGGGCGTTGTCAATAGCCGCCTGGGCAATTTCTTTGACGTTGGTATTGGTACAAATGATTCCCACATAGTCGTCACGAATGCCCCGGTCCATATTAATCGCAATATGCTGGCCAATAAGCATTCGAATACCGATACGGCTCATGTAGAACCTGTCCAGGAACCCCTGCAAAACGTCGTCATCTGGTTGGTAGAATTTGGAGGATTTCCATTCAAGTACGCCTTGGGCCATAGTGGATACAACGCCGTCATGCCGTGCTTTGATTCGTTGAAGTGCGTGCGAAACAACCCGATTATATCTCTGGACCTCGGGCGGCCATTGGATATCATCCTCGACGGTTGCAAAGTACTGTCTGGTGGCCTGCGATCTGATGCGGTTCACATTCGGATTATAAACATCGTCCTGCTCACCAAGAGGACTTTGCTCGGCCTGAATTCCTAGTCCACTTTTTGGCCGCGTATTTCCGACCGGTACGACGAGCTTGGCCCGTTTCGACGGGTTGTAGAGCTTCTTGCGCACGCTGTCAGACAGCTGAGGCAAAGGAATCGACGTTAACTCATCAAAAGACTGTGCGTACCACTCCTTGACCCTATTTATAGACGGCATATCGCTCAAGTGAAGCGGCAACGACTCCAGCTCTTTGACACGGTGCGCAAGCCGAATAGGCAGCTCCTCGACGATAAACTGCGACGCCCTGAACAGAGTGCCGTCCGAAGGGTACCCACCAAACTGAACCATCTGTTGAAGACTCACTCCAGTGGCCGGAAAGTGCGAATAGTGGCTGATTTTCTCCGTCAAAGCAGGGGTCTCGCGCCACCCGGCGCCAGACGTGGTGCTATCCGCAGGGGGAGTATATGGTGAAGTGTGATTGTATCTACGCCAGCGCGTGCATCTACTAGGTCGTATCAGGACTCTGAGCGACAGCATATGTGAATATCTCTCACGCAAAAGATGGGAATCCGGGGTATGGGAGTCGTGGGCAAGGGGGATTAACAAAAGCTACATTTAGTCATTACTGGGGTGCTCAAGGGGCAATTGGGAACCTGGGACTGGGGTCGGCTGTACCGAGAAAAGCCGCATTGCTGACTAAGAACGGGTGGCTGCCTGCTAGGACATTTTGGCTCTTGCTGCACCTGCTGGCTTAGTCAAACTTCCTTATTGGAAAAGTCAGCGTTCTTTCGTCTTGGGTTGCATCTTGCGTGAGCCGGTGTGACGAAACCGTACCCCGTTTCTCAAACGGTAGCTAGTAACGATTGAAACAAGGTTATGAGACACATATGGACGTTTCACGACATTTTTGCGACAGGTCGGTGCTTAAATGTTAAATATACCTGATGCAGTAGAAGTCAGGCACCTTTGCTCATTTATCTAATCATAGATCGCTTAGCACAAGCGAGGTGGCTTAATTACCGGGCTATCTCACCGAGGGGAGCGATTGCGTTTGCTTGCCTCAACAGCGCCTCGGCTCCCCACATGCGAACTGATAGCCTCAGGCAGGACTCAGAAGAGGTTAGTACTAGACAGGTCACTGTTTTGAGAACCGCCCCTGTCCTCTTTGCAAAAGCAAAGATGGGCATGATGGACGGATTATTCATTCACTATCTGTCAAAAAGCATAGATTTGCTGGTTCGGACTACTCTCCCAAGTCTACGGAGTAGTCACATGGTACCCATATCTACCCCGCTTCGCCTGCTGCCGTCTGGAGAATGAGAGCAAGAAGCTCTCTTTGCTAAATCTAGGCTGAAATACAATACAACATAAAGCGATATTTTCCTATGGTACTCCGTCATGTTCGCGCTCAAAAGCGAGACAGAAACATATTTAAAAGTTTAGATTGCACACTGCAGGAATCACTATGTAAGCACCTGCAAGCACTCCGACTTATAGAATACGAGTTGATTTAATGCGAAGCCGTGGATGGACAAAAATCATTGCTTAAATAGACTATAAGGTGTAAAAAGACAAAAAAAAACTAATCTAGTAACATGTAGGTTGTTGTGTTTGACTTTGTGGTCAAGTGATAGGAACAGTGTTTGGATGGACTATAGCAGACGGTCCAGCATTGCCAAGTACTCGGGTAAACAAGGCGCAAGATAATAATAAAGCCAATAAAAAAAATAGAGCGAGTGGTAGTGAGTTATTCCAGCGGTGGTCTCGGACATGAAAACCGGCGATATGTTGGCTCACTACGATGTTTCCAGGCGCGGTCTGTGCAACGCTCAAATCGATTCATGCGTTCATTGGGAGGATAAGAGGCGGTCTCGTGCTTGCTACTACGGCTATTGCTTCCCTCTTGAACGTGTACACATATGGTCATTTGATGTGGTATTTTGGTTTGTATGGTATGGAATAATTTCCGATGGGAGCGAGTATTTAAATCTGATGTTTATGCACAACAATATCAAGCGCACCCGAACCCTTGCAGAGCAGCCGCTGCAGAGAACCAGTGCTCTAACGTATTTTTGAGAGTAATAATGTGGTCACTGAATCACGCAGTTTGCATCAGAGGCGAGTCTAAGCTTTGTGTCCCTTTAGATGATAGTCTACTAAATACCCGGTGTCGTCCTAATCGCCTATTCCGTTATCTCTTGCCAAGAATAGGTCTTGGTGGAAGATCAACCGAGAATCATACACTTACATGCATCACCCCTACCCCAAAAGAACATGCGCAGTATTTTCTTGCGCGCAGCTGATTAAGGTCACATAGCCCAAGCCCCGCATGCTCTATCACAAGGGCTTTATACCTTTGTTCTTGAATTAAGCTGGGCCATAATTCAAAGTGTGGTCGCGGGTTGCGGCATTCTCATATTCCCACCGTTCTAGCCGATCGGATAATCTCAACAGTTGTGCTGACCGTAGCACATTGCAGCACGATCTGTAGCCTAAGTTCACCGGGCTGCTTGAGGGTGTCGTTCTTGTGGGACTAAAAAACTTTGTCATCTATGTGTTGATTAGTATTACAGGCGGCGTACCACTTTACTGAGAGGGATTAATTTATCGCATTATGAGCATTTGGAGCCCATATTATTTCGAAAAGATTTGAAGTGGTCATGCTGGCGTTTAGCACTAGCGGTTTGTATGCGTTACTGCAATGATATCATTCTTAAAGCTTTATCCTTCCGTAGTAAGCGTTATTAACAGGGTCTTTAGTGTAAGCGTGATGCGAGTTGTCCAAAGCGGCCTGGCTCCAACCTTCTTTAGGTGATACTCCGGTTTATTCGATATGTTCATTGAAAATAATCCATTCTATCTTTCATCAGTTTCTCGCAAGTATATATCTATATTTTCCGCGCAATTTGACAAGCGGAACTGAGCTGGACAGCTGCTTGGTACAAACTTTGATAATACGAGTTCCTTCAAAGAAAATTCATAGCACCAACAGACATATCCTTGGCAAACTTGAACTGAGACCAGTTCAAAAATCTATTCAAGCTGGATTGAGGCAAAATGCCGAAAAGCTATGCCCTGGCTGTGGTATAATTACTTTTGGTAGGATCTAACATGACATTTACTCCACATCGGCTGTAGCATGGTGCATGCACGCTGCTTAAATGTGCAGATGCCCGGATGCATCTTCGCCGAAGCATTAATTCGAAATCAGGATGCTTCACTCGATTAATCAGACACACTACTTGAACTAGTGCTTATTTTAAAGGCTCTATGACCACCTCAGCTGTTAAAGAGGTGAACCTCGATTTATATCCCCATGGCATTTCAACATAACCAACTTGCTCCTGCTTGATCAGACATGGATCGGCAGGGTTGCCAGCCACTCCAGATACTTGCTTCTTGCCTTTGTAGTTGCTGGCATCAGCTCAACGTAACTCGCTCGCCTACGCCAGTAGAAGAAGTTCCCGGTGGCATCTCACCATCTCTATCAGACACAAATTGGTCATAAATATGCTTAAGTTTAAGCACCTCTTTGGCAGAGATGGACGGCTTTGTCTGCTGCAGTGACTTCTCAAGATGTTCTGTGGTTAGGATCACAGGGTCCCCCGCTTTGGCCACTGAACTGGTCTGGGGTGCAATAGCCGCCTGACTATCTGCGGAGTTCAGCAAAAAACTCCGAACAGTTTCCACGTCACGCCGACCATTGAGCTGAAATAGTTCTAACTCTTGATTCGTTTTCTCTGTAGATAGACCCTGTTCACCTTTCGTATCAAGTCTCTCATGAATGGCGTCCAAGTATGCATTATACATTAACGCCTGCAAGTCAGCACCAGAAAACCCTTCGGTTCTTGCTGCAATAGCCGAGAGGTCGACATCCGGAGCTAGAGACATTTTTGCTTTTGCAGTAGCCATGATCTGCTCTCGGTCAGAGGCGTTTGGCATGTCGCACAGTAGCGACTTATCCAGTCTGCCTGGACGCAACAACGCAGAATCAATAAGATCCGGCCGTGACGTGGCTGCCAGCACATAAACACCGTCCAAACCCTCGGCGCCATCCATTTGTGTAAGCATCTGGTTCACAACCCGGTCTGTTACACCAGTGGAGTCGTGACCACGCTTCGGGGCAATTGAATCGAACTCGTCAAAAAATAAAACACACGGCTTTGCAGCTTGAGCACGATCAAATAGATCTCGAACAGACTGTTCGGATGCACCAATGTACTTGTTGAGAATTTCCGGTCCTTTTACGGTGATGAAATTCAACCCACATTGGGCCGCTACAGCACTAGCCATCAACGTTTTACCACATCCAGGATAGCCATATAGTAAAAGACCTGACCGTAAACGTAACGGACAGTTGGCAAAAATAGGTGCATATTTAGTCGGCCACTCAAGCGTCTCCAAAATGACACGCTTGACTTCTTCAAGACCACCAATTTCAGACCAGGTAGCATTACCCTTTTCGAGCTTGACACCACGAAGGCTTGCTGGAGTATAATCTGAAGCCGCTGCTTTGAAATTGTCGGTACTCACGGTCATTTCATTGCTTTCAATAGCCAATGTTGAAATAACCCGCTCGCCAAGAACCCAAAGATCTCCGGGTTGGTAACCTTCAGTTTCTCCAACAACATCTAGAATATCAAACTCATCGTTACCGGTGATTTCTAGTGCCGCCATGACCTCAGTCAACACAGCTTCACGCACAGTTTTGTCCGGTGACCTCAAGTGAATGAGCTCCTCAAACACGTGGGAAGATGTCAGAGACGAATGGAGTGCTTCTTTAGCTTGTGCGGTGGCCAATAAAGTCACAGGACGAGACGAAAGAATTTCATGAGCCAAGCCGTTGAAGATCTCAGCCAGCTGCACGGTGCGACTGGAATCACTGTGCTCCAATTCGGCCGGGATGAGCTTGTCAAGATCGTCAATGACTACCAATGCAGGACTATGCCAAGCAGCTTCAAGAAATACCCGACGCAGCGCCTCCTTGACGGTTGGTACAGGCTTTTCCATTAAAGCACCCACGTCAAAACGTAGTGGTCTAATGAGCTGCTCCTCTAATTTCCGGCAAACATAGTCAACCACAGAGGACTTGCCGCATCCGCGCGAGCCATAGACCAACGTTCCTGTGCCACCAACAATAGCATCTTCGATTTCTGTGAGCAATGAATCTCTGCCAACGACCGCACGTGCAGGTTTTACGATAACGCTGTCAGGCAGTGGCATCACGGAGGACTCAGCGAGTACCTGCTCACTGCCCAGCTTGATCCCCTTGATATCTCCATATTCAAATGGAGCTTCAAAAATACCACCTTGAGGAAGAATATCCGGCACGGGTGGCACCACGAGCCCATTGCCAGCATACGACAGATCGAGCGTTTCATATAACTTTTCGCTAATATTTTTTTTTTCCTCATCTGCAGATTTGCCTGCCTTGAGGCTGTTCATGGCACTACTGGTTGTGTAGGGATGCAAAGTCAAGGTGCCCGAGTCCAGAGTGGGAGCTGAAGATATCTGTAGTAGTGTACTAACCACACCTGGAACCCCAAGAGCACAAGAAAGACCATAAGACATGGATACAAAGTCTGCATGTACCAACTCAGCCAAGACAGTTTTCGCAGGGGTAACAATACTCGGGTCTTTTGGTGAGGAGGGCTCAGGAGCAGCTGCCGAGAGTGACGGCTGGATGACCGAAACAGATACGTGCGAAACACCACCAAAGCGCTTAGTATCTGCACAGAGCTGTAATTTACGAGTAGCTGGTGCATTGGCGAAAGGAAATGAGGCGGCACGAAGCACGACGGTTTCTGGCTTATGGGCAGGGGCTGAACCGTTTTGTTTTGTTTGCCCAGACGGTGCGGTCTGATCTCCATTTTTCGGCTTTAGTTTAGGCGCAATAACCACTTCTGTGTTTTCTGTAATGGCAACAAAAACCTCTCTCGCGGCATGAGGAAGGTCTGGAATAGTGTGGGTCACCTTGAGGGCTGCAATAGCCGTGGCAGTAGGATACACAGTGATGTTACACGACGGCGAAACAACTCGTACTTGGTTGATCATTACATCTTCAAGCAGACCAGCGTGGGTTTCGACTATATCCCAGTCGGCTGGTGTCAACGGCTCGAGAAATACCCTTTCGGCCAGCTGCCCATCCTTGACAGTGGTAACAGAAATAGACACATTGGCACCGTGGGGAAGGCCGATATTCTGAGCAAACGTCGGATCTATTTCCAGAGTTTTATCGTCTCGTGAAGCCATACCAGACCACCCCACGAAGTTAGGTCTCCGCACATGGTTTTGGGTTCCCTTAAAGTCCACTTGTACCACGATCTTCTGCACTGGCGTGTCTGAATTAGCCAGCGTATTCGCCAGCTGTGTAGGTAGATTCACAAAGTTCGTGCGCGAGGGCACGTACACTACTCTGGCTACGGTCATAGTAGTGTGGGGTAAGATAGACGGATTCCAATATGTCATCATCCGATGCCGGTGAACTGAAGCGTTTTGCCGAGGGAGGGGAATTTCAGCAACGGTTTAGCTATCTGGTGCAAAAATTTAGGCAATTCCGGAAACCATGAAAACCCAATCCATCTTTCTTGGGACTAGGGCTGAAAGTGGAGTTTGTTCTTATCTGCAATTGATCCGTCGTCGCGGCAGGCTGTGCGTTTGTCATGTCCCTGCCTCTGGATTTGATCTCGGTGCTTCTGGGATGGGCCTACGTGGTCTGTTGGGGTGTTTCACTCTATCCACCAGTTCTTTTACACCGCCGAATGAAGTCGGTTGAAGGAATGTCTATTGACTTTGCCTTCTTGAACTTCTTCGGCTGCTTGGCCTACATGCTGTCGGTTGGAATGCTAAGGTACTCAACAACCGTGCGGCTGGAATACCAGTTGAGACACAAAAACCCGCCGCTTGTGCGATTCAACGATGTGGTGTACGGAGTCCACAGTTTGGTGCTTGTGGCCGCAGTGCTGTTCCAGTTCTATTGTTCCGGATATCGGCGGTCGTCTGGACAGCACATTTCACGCGGTGTCAAGGTGTTTTCGCTAGTCATGGTTATGGCCGGCTGTGCACTATTGTTACATGCTTGGGAAATCTCCACAACGCGTCGACACTACGAACTGGTTGATGTTGCAAATATATTTGGCACTGTCAAAATCTGGCTGAGCGCTGTGAAATATATCCCACAGGTTCTGTACAACTACAAGCGCAAGTCCACACGCGGGTTCTCAAAAACAACTCCAATTCTGGACGTTCTCGGTGCCTACTTTTCCGTTGCCCAGCTGGCTCTGGATGCATACTTGGCAGGTGACATCACAGATATGTACAAGCATCCGGTCAAGCTGCTGCTGTCGATAGTAACACTGGTCTTTTCACTAGCTTTTCTTATCCAGCACAGCATCTATCGCGAACGGACTATTCCGTTCCATCACGAGAAAAACTACGAGGCAGAGATTTAGAGTTTCACGGATTTGAGTGAATTTCTAGCCTTTTTTTCCTCCGCAAACCATCCTAGTCTACGAACTTATTCATTTTAAATATTCTAACTTATCCCCCGCTCCACCATTCGCTCTCAGTAACATCAGCCACCCGCAACCTTTGTCAACTAAATTGCCAAAACAATTTAGGGTGCGGTAAAATCTCCCAACCCCCCACCTACTGGAGCTAGGGAAACCCTCGACCGCCCAGACAATTTGCCAACATAACCAATCCCAGTGTCGAAAGCTTTTGACGCCTGGTGTGATGCGCGGAGAATGACCAGACAAGGGCCTAGCAATATCTTCCCGTATCCGGGCAAAGCGAAAAAAATCTACCCTGACTATTTTCCCTGGAATGCCAATGACAGTATTCCTCCGACCACAGACGAGATCCAGAAGGGCCTTGCGCCTCATTCAGTGATCAAAAATGAGTACGCTTCATGCGGGGGGCCTAATTCAATGGTGCCTTTGCTAAAACATTGGACTGCGCTCCCGGCAATTTCCTATTTTCTTACCAGCAGTATGCATGTTAGAGAAGCATCCCGCCGCATCCACACACCCTCGACGTTCAAACCACCGCCAAGGGTCATTCTAACCGATCAAAAGCGTGAGTTGTGGCTTCGTGATTTGAGCAATCCCAAAGTTTCCCTGAGAAAGCTTGCTAGAACAATCCCGCATGGCATTTCGGGCGGTAAGCTTCTAGATGAGATCTTTAGACACAGAGTCCCTGTTCTGCGGGCGCTGTGGTTCATAAGATGCGTTGGTGCAAACGATTTCCGCACCATAAAGCGCAAGGCTGGCCCCACAAGCTCGGTCGCTGGTGTTGAAGATACCTGGATGCGATCTTGGACTCAAGAAGTCCTTGATCACTTGGAGGCCACAATTGAACTTTATGATCCAGAGGATTTCCGGGAATGGCAATTAAAAATATCATACCTTGCTAGACTTTTGGCAAACATGTTTTATGAAGAGCTACTTCACCGCCAAACTTTACTGGATTGGCTACTCACTGCGCTGGCCAGTGGCCCCAACCAATGGCTGCCAGTCGTGCTTTTGCTTGTGAGTGTCTTTTGGTTACCTCTGACTCAACCTGCTCTGGTTCAGCGGCTGGTCCGCTCGTTCGTTGCTCGCTACGAGCAGCTCAGTGATGTTCGAGGAGTCCAGGGCCCACTCAACAACCAATTCGTGCGCTTGTTCAAGTCGCGGCCCGAAGCATTTATCATGCCCGAACATTGGCCTTCTATTGCCCGTTATTTAACTCAAGTCGTTGCCCCATCTTCAGTGCAGGCAATCGCCAAGCGCAATGCGAGATTCACTATCCAGACCCCCGTTGATGTCCCCCCAGCATGGGCAACCACCATAAGCATTGCTAGCTCGCTTGATACTTTTGGCCTGCCATACCCTGTCAGCCACCTGTGTCACGAGCTTAGGACCCGAGTATCATCTTCCGAGTTGGCCGAAGCCGTTTTCCAGTGGACGTTACGTCGTGGAGGCTCCAGAGCTCTTGTTCTTTGTATAGCTATCTGCCGACACCTTCGATCAGGCGGAGCTAACCTCCAAGAAGTTTTCATCAACGAGCTGCTGGCCAGTGCTGGCGAATATAGCGAGACTGTGGTGATCAACCTTATCACTGAATGCTACAGGGCCAGAGTGTTTACGTTTGAAGTTTATTTCCGCAGACTCATGGGATCCGGGGCTCTGTACCGTGATAGTGCTTCGAGGCAATGGCACCACAAGATTCTCAACAATCTTCCGTTCTCATTGATGCCGCGCCATCTTCATTCTCAGAGCCGTATGCTTTTGCGCAAACACAGCCACCCCAATGATCGTGATATCGTTCGCCCTTTGGTAGAAGCAGTTGCTGATCGACTCGATACTACCTTGCCCCCGTTGGTGTTGTCTGATTTGACCAAAAACCAACAAATTTTGTTTTGCCAAGGGGTCTTTGAAGCAGCGGCTGCTCGTACACCACCGACTCTAGATCAACTCAAACTGGCCGTATCCGCAGTCGCGCCTCATTGTATTATGGGTGTTTACAAGCTAGCAAGACTTGCATGGCGGACCACAAAGTCTGCAGAAGTGGCCAAATACTGCATTTTCCTGTTCAAACAGAATTTGTTTGAATGCGTTTGCCTGGGTGTGCTGGATAATTTGGTGGAGGGTGTACTCGATGTTCTCAAAGAGCCTCATATTGCCCATTTGGACATTGCAGAACTATTAAGTTTCTTGCAATGCCTTCGTGATGTTAGCACCCACTCTTACGCCCTCCAGCGTTTAGACAATAATATACGCCTTTTTGATGAGCAGGATTCTACATTGTCCCCAGAGGAAACCCAGCCTCTTAGTCTTGAAGCTCAAGTTTCCCAGGCCATGGATCGTAAAGACGTGGCACTGTTGGCGGAATTGCGAGAGCATGATGAAACCCTGGTCCAGACGCTTATCCCCAAATGGATAGCCCAAGTCCGCAATGATCGTCTCCTACTGATTAAATGTGTCATTTACGGTTGTGTGACATATTCTGAGCTCGATGAAGCTTTAAACTATGACGACGATACAATGTTTTTTTTGGCGCTCAAGCCTGCAGTGCGAATGAATCTTCTAGCAGACGAACTCGAGAGAGTGTACCACTGTCGTAAGCTGTATTATTCCACCGCGCCGAAAGAGCGCCTGCTGCGCCTTCAAGAACGGTACCCCATCGACGAGGTTGCTCAGATGCAGAGAACTTTATCCATGTACCCTGCCTTGTCGTTGACAAGGTTACCGTCTGACCTCATTGCTGAATTGCCGATCAAGTACCCTAACTTGGTTAAGCTTTACTCGAAGGGAGTCGCCTTTGATTTGGCGGGTGGAACGGTTGTTGAACGTTTTATCAAGACAGTACAGGCCTCCAATCCTTTTACGTTTCATTTTTGTCGCAGTGCTCTGGCTATTGTGTTTGCCGGTTTAAGTGCCAAAGAGATTGCCCAAGTTGTTTTGGACGCTATCAGAGATGGAACAGACCTGGCTCCCTGTGCTTCGAGCCTCTTCAATCAGTTTAGTGCTGAAGTGAAAGCTGAGTTACTCGCCGCATGCGAACAAGAGTTTCTGACAGCGCCACTGCAACGGAACAGTCTACCTAGTCTGGCCACTATTGTGGACTCTGTGGCGCTGTATGCTCGTGAGACTCCCCAGTCCCCTCCCCCTGATGTATCAGATTGTATTGCTGCCGTTGTGGACATGGCGAGCGCTGCGGATGCGGTCGTTGACGACGTTCTTCGGGCCATCTCGTTGCTGGTAAAATTGACCCTTATTCACACCCGTGATGCATCGCTTGACTACGCAGTTAGCCAATGCAAAGTTGTGGCCGGGCTGATTGAACTGAACCATCTACCGCTAATCTGTGCAAGCGTAGAGGCTTCTCAGCTCGTGTCTGACGCCCTATATATTCTTCAGACCGACCACAGCACCGTGCTAAAATTTTCTGACACCATGCAAGAGACTGCTCCTCTCGAAGGCTTGATGATGTACTCTCGAAGCAGCGATATTTATACACCGCTTAACGTCTGGCCCTTTGATCTCATTGAAGACGCAAATCCAACCATCGGCATGAACGACTTGGCCCTGGATCTTGCGCGTTTCGAAACTTATATCGAGATCAAAGACCCCTCATGATTTTTATTTAACGATGTACGATATAGTTCATGTCTTTTTAATTTTCGAATGCATAATCCTGCAGCTAAACTTTTCACTTAGTAATGGATACAAGCGCGCCGTTGAAGGACATTTTAGAGGAATATAAGGATAAACCGGTGGACCATGTGTTGAAGGAGTTGAATAAGGTCCCGTTCTTTATGACGGAGATGCCAGATGAAGAGAACCCTGCTGTCGAGGCTCTCAAAGCTATGGCATACGAGGGAGAGCCCCATGAGATCGCCCAAAACTTTAGAAACCAGGGCAATGATTGTTTCAAACTCAAGCAATACAAAGATGCTATTGCGTTTTATACCAAAGCTCTGGATCAGAGCTGTAGAGTTGATGAAATTGAGCTGGCATGTTTGGGAAACCGGGCTCAGGCTAATTTGGAGCTGAAAAATTTCCGTCGGGCCATCAATGACTGCACCAAAGTTCTTGATCGGGACCCCAAGAATGTCAAGGCGTGGTACCGTAGCTCCAAAGCGTTTTTGCTGTTGGATCGGAGTGATGAAGCGATAGTTTGTGCTGATTACGGCCTGCAATGCGATCCTGGAAGCGCTGATCTACAGACAATCAAAAACTCGGCTGCTACCCGCAGACAAAAGCTTAGAGACATGGAAGAAGCTCGTCGTCTTCGCCAAGAGCAAGCCGAACTACAACAGAAAACGTTGAACTTAGCCCTTGCCTCTCGTGGATTCACCAGGGCTTTTGCAGAGGCAGATGCTGATCACCGCAGAGCCGCTGGCGAGCTCAAATGTCAGCTAGAGAACCCTAATGATGCTACATCACACCTGTCAGTTCCAGCTCTGCTCTTATATCCTCTTTCGCTGGAGTCGGATATTGTGGAGCAAGCCAGTGAGACCGACACAGTCGGAGGTCTTTTGGAGATGGTATTCACTCAACCGCCTCCTTGGGCTACCGCAGACTACCGACTGGGAAACCTCGAAGTGTACGCACAAACCAGAACTGGCGGCTTGGCGAAAGCTCCGCTGAAAGCGTCGTTGGCGAAGCTTTTTGGAACGCAAAAACCAGATATTATTATGATTGACGATCTTGCTCGGCTATACGTTGTGCCTAAGAATCAAGCAAGTCAGTGGTTATCTACGTGGGACAAGCAACAGGCGCAGTCTCAATTAAGTTATTCAAATTAGTAGGAATAGATGAAGCTTGGGTTCAAGTCACCAGCTAATTTCTTTTGCTCGTCAGTCATGGAATCCCATTTGGCGTCTGCCTTGCCACTGCGCTTTTGACGGTTGGCTTTGTACAGAATGAAGAAGTACAGGAGTCCGACCAGGAAGGACCAGCCGGTCATGGCTAAGCAGGTGGCCACACCCCGGACGTACTTTGGTGCATCCTTGGTTTCGAACAAAAATGTGGAGGGAATACCGCCAATGTTACCGAAACCAATCATCCAGCCAGACAAAACTGCCTTGCGATAATGTCCAGCCACGTTCAAAGTGAACCAGGTGATTGATAGTGGTAGAGCAGCGTACATGCCCATGCAAATCAAGAAGCAAGCGGCGTATCGGGCGTTAACTTGATCGGGTTCAAAACCTAACAGCATTGCGAATCCAGTAATGCCGACGAAAATCATGAGCGCCATAAAGGGGAAACGCATTCTGGTCCAGTCCGAGACAAACGACAGAATCATGCTAACGCCGAAGGTTGCGATCCAAGGGAAAATAGAATACACCTGGGTCTTGACATCGGAGTACTTGAAGGTCTTGATAATTGCTGGAGCGAAATAAGTATAGCCATAGGCACCAATGATCAAACCGAAATAGACGAAACCAGACAGGATAATCTTGGGGTCCTTGAACGGCTTCAAGTAGTTCTTGAGCGAGCTGTCTTCGTGTCGAGAGTCACCCTGGTCAAGAGATAGCTTGGCCTTGATGAATGCACGTTCGTTGTCACTGATAAAGCGAGCCGTCTCAGGGAAGTCTGCAATGATGAAGAAAAAGCAGATTCCACAGAACATCGTGATAGCACCCTCAAGAATAAATAGCCACTGCCAAGATCGCAGGCCGTGAGCACCATCCCACTGGTGGACGCCATAGGCGATTAGGCCGCCAAACGCGCCAGCAAGACAGGTGGAGCCGAAGAAGAACGAGTATCTTTTCTGAGCCTCGTCGCGAGTATACCAGGATAAAATAAGATATGTGCACCCAGGCAACATACCTGTTTCCAGCAGACCCAGCAAAAAACGGGTTGCCAACAGCCCGCCATAGTTTTTAACAAATCCCTGGGACAAAGCCACGGCACCAAACCCGATAACACAGCATGGGAGCCAAATATGGGGGCTCAAGCGCTTGAGCAGAATATTAGAGGGAACCTCAAAGATACAGTAAGGAACAAAGAAAACAGTCAAGGCCACGTTATACTGGTTACCGTGTAGGTTGAGGTCCTTTGCCAACCCATAGACGTTGGCATTACCCATATTGATGCGGTCCAGATAGGCCAAAACATAAAGCAGACAGATGGACGGAATAATCATCAGGTCCATTTTCCATTGCAGCTTTCGCCTGTTGACCTGGTGGATCTCGGCCAGCTCTTCGATACGAGCTTCGATTTCTCCGGAGGTCGGGAGCTTGTCGGAGAACTTTGGCAAGTCAGAGCCGGACTCGTCAACGTAATTGACATACTCTACCTCGGAGTGCTTTCTATCGTCACTGAAGCTGTGCATGAAAAGTGGTTTGTGCAAATATGGAGGTACCGTGTGCCTTTAAGCACGAAAAGAGGCACAATGGCGGGGAACGCTGCATACTGCAGCTGGGTACAGGGCCGATCTTACGTAACCGAGAGGTCTTGGACGGATAAAAACAGAGCGACTGTGCTGTTGTTCAATATGAAACGACATGCGAAATAATTGATCCTTTTGTTTTAAATCAGTGATATGCAGTACTTTATCTGGGCGGTCCTACAAACGCTTTTTCGCCTGATCTGTTGTGAACCCTGCTGGACTTTCCCCCCAACCACCGCCTGTTAGGGTTATTCCGCACAGGCCGATCAGCATGAGCTTTTCGACAAACTAGGCGGGATTCCGGGCGATCTGTCGGCTAAGCGGATGATGGCTTTTCGCGAAGCTCAGCAAAGCGCTGTACATCGTGGATGCCGCACTCAGTTTTGGCCTTGCCCTTCCAGCGGCCAGCCCTTTCGTCTTCACCCTCCTTGACCGGTTCAGTGGAGTGGTAGTCGCCAACCGATCGATAACCGCGATCTAAAAGCGCATTATAGGGTACATTGTTGGAGTTGATGTACTCCTGCACCTGCTGGAACGACCAGTTCGCCAGCGGGTTGATTTTGATCAGCCCGGTATCCGTAACTTCAACAATAGGCAGATCCATGCGAGCCGCTCCTTGGCTGCGTCTGCGTCCAGTGAACACCCCCTTGATGTTGAAATCCTTGTAGGCCCGATCGGCAGGCTCTACCTTCACCAGGTAGTCATAATACAGTTCGTTTTCGTCCCATAACTTTTCTCCGTACCGCTCGGCAAATTCTTGTTCTGTGGCCACTCCTTCTGGACGATACACATGCAGGGCGGTCTGGGGGTAGGCCTGCTTCACTTTTTCCACCAGGTCCAGCGTTTCCTTGAAATGGTGCAGAGTGTCTATGAAAATCAAATCGACAGGTGACTTTTCGGGGTGGGTTTTGGCGATAATGTCCAGCGTGACCAGACCCGATAGGCCGAAGGCTGTGGTCTGATAGAGGCCAGGAATCGTCAAAATCGCCCACTCAATGATCTTTGCCGGCTCCAGGTCGGCAAGCTGCTTGTTGACGTGCTCCAGCACCTCGTTCGAAAACAACGGCGCCGTCGACATCTTCGTCAATGGTGAAGTAAGCCGGTATCGGGAGGTATGGGATTTAATATACTTTGGTACATAGGGTAAAAAAAAGAGCGGAGAGGGCTATATAAGTACAGCAGACCGGAATAAATACTACTCTTTGTTCTTGCGAGAACTCAAAAGAGAGCCACCAGTCCACCAGGCAGCTACGCCAGCAACCAGGCCCCACAGGATCGTCTTATCCCGGCCGGGGAGCTCGTCTTCACAGGGCTCCTCGTCTCGGTGCTGTTTGGGGGCGCCGTCTTCTTCGGTAAGGTTTGAAATAACACGGCTGCCGCTGGCGTCGAACACCACTGCAGTGCCAGACTCGTCTGGAATCCGTTGCTTCACTTTATGCGGTGCATGCTCGGCGGCTTTGTAGTGTGCGTCGGGCGGAACAACCATCCGGGACGGCAATTCGTCCACAGGAGCATCTGCAAGAACATCCTCAGGCATGCGGAAGTAATCAATGCTCGAGCTGTCGTTTTTGGCATCGACAGAAGCCGTGGTGGAAAAATTCTTAGCGGCTACAGACACCTCGCTGCTGACAGTCTTGGCCTGTGCGGAAGTGCTAAACTGCTGGGTAGCCTCGAAGGCCACAATACGATCAATGAGTTCTGACTTGCGGCCGCTGACCCGCAGCCCGCGAGTCTTGCACTCCGTCTTGAGTGCGTTCACGGTCAGAGCAGAATACTGGCTCTGGATCGATGACAGTAGATGGCTGGGGGTGGCCTTCTTAGACGAACTATGAAGACCACGTAGCTTGGGGATAGAACGAACGGCTCGAAGAGATCGAACTGGTGTCGACATTGGTGGAGAAGATGCAAAGTTGCTAGGAATCAGGCGAGGTTTGTTTATAGCTTACCAAAACGGACTCAGGCTTGGGTCACGTGCCAAGCATTTGGCGTCTCAGGCTGGGCTAGTCAACTGATTACAAAGCCGGGCCCTTTTTGGATCGAAGGTCGGAATATAGTACCCGGTAGGTATGAGTACCCTGGGGTTATTGGTTTAAATAGACCGACCGCGAGCGATTAGACAGATTTCGAAGCAGCTAACTTTCCCGCTCGTTTGCCAACACAGTTAAGCAAAAGCCGGTATTATCGGCTCGCAGCCCGGCAATTGGCCAGCCCGCGGCGGAGGGTGCCATTTAAATGGCTGCCCACCTTGACAGTGGGATTCGGCTCCAGAAATTGCTTCACCCTGTAACCAATTGACCGAGGGCCTTCCGAACTAGCCAAGTTGCAAGGGCCCTGCCCCCAGAGGACCGGTTACCCGGACGTTGCTCCACACTTCATAAGCTGCAAGCTTGCCCAATTCTCCCAACTATCTACAATGGTTTCTGCAGTTGCTGTTCTTCGTGGCGATACCAAGGTTTCAGGTGTTGTTCGGTTCGAGCAGGCCTCCGAGTCTGAGCCCACCACTGTCTCATGGGAGATCACCGGTAACGACCCCAACGCTCTCCGCGGCTTCCATATCCACCAGTTCGGTGACAATACCAACGGCTGCACTTCCGCTGGTCCCCATTTCAACCCCTTCGGCAAGACTCACGGTGCTCCCGACGTCGAGGAGCGTCACGCTGGCGACCTGGGCAATGTCACCACCGACGCCCACGGCGTTGCCAAGGGATCCAAAAAGGACTCCTTCATCAAGCTCCTCGGCGAGAACTCGATCGTCGGCCGCACCGTAGTTGTCCATGCCGGCACCGACGATCTCGGCAAGGGCGGTAACGACGAGTCTGCCAAGACCGGTAACGCTGGCGGCCGCAATGCGTGTGGTGTCATTGGTATCACCAACGCTTGACTAGGATCGACCAAGCCCCAGCTGTAATTAAGACGGTTTCTGGGCGTGCGGTCGACGGAAAGGTCAATTGCAACATGAAATAAGCTTGCTCTTGACCAATAGTGGCCTTTGGTTTTTTTCTCTAAGTACACTTTCTCTTTACAATCAAGTTTTGTTAGTCCAGAATAAATCTTAGTTACCAAACCCCTACCCGAGACTCTCGCTGCCGTTTTTAGGCTGACGCGACATCTCCAACCCGTTGTTTCCCCCACTCCCGGGTAACAGCAATGTTATTGATGAGCTAAGCGGACTTCCCCAAAACTCTCTACCTCGCACCTTTTCTGGCCCCGTCTCCGTATGGCGTTATTCCAACGTTTCCACCGGAGTTTGCGGATTGGTAGGGGCAGACGGAATCGTCAGAGGTCGGAACCCAAGGGGACAAGGCCCGCAGCCGAGTCCCCGAATGTCCACGCGCCCGTTCACTCGGTCGCTGGACCCCGTCCCCGCACTATGTCTTTTGCGTCAGGCGACACCCACGTCGCCCACGACATGATTGACGTGGTGGATCTCAAGGAACAGCAGCCAATGGTATCAATTGGCGTCTCTCCTCTTGATGTCGCTGGCATTAGCACCTCGCGTATGCGTCCAGCTATGCTGCCCAAGGACGTGCTCCCCGACATTTTCTACGGCGACGTGGGTGGTGACTCAACATGCCACTCCGCGTCCACAGATTTTTCCCGGCCTGCGGTTGAAATGAAGAGCTCGGTTAGTTACTGCTCTGACCTCACCGACTTGACTCACGTCGACGACGGCTTGACCGACTGGGGCCTCCCCAAGGTTCTGGTCACAAGCTACGACGAGGAAGTCGTTGAGGACAATGCAGCAACCGTCGCTTCTTTCACCAACGACAACGTCTGTCAGGATGTCGACATGGAGTCTCTTTTCGACGTCGACCTCCCTCTGCCCGCGCAACCCAGCCCTCAAACCAGTACTATCTCCAAAACAATGAGCGTTGTTTACCTTGCGATGCTTTTGCAAAAGAAGGGTATCACTCCCGCGCGTTACCAGCCTCAGAAACCTTTGCGTTCTCACAAGAGCCTAGCTCAACTCTGTAAGGAGGCAAGGGACGAAGAGGTTAAATCCTCATTTTTGGCTACTTTTGTGCCAATTTGGGTCTAAAGTATTATTTTTTCGTTAAATTTTTTAGTAAAAACACTTTTGTATTAATGCACTTTTTTCTACGTTCGCTTTGCCTTGGCATGCCGGCGACGCGATTCCTTTTTCAAGATGTTCTTCTTGATCTTCTTGCGGGCATGCGTGGCTGGGGCAGTCACCGCCTCAACAGATCGTTTGGTACGACGCTCCAAACGCTTGGTTTGAACTTGTTGCCGTGCCGCATTGTAGAGATGGAGATACTCCGTAGTTCCCAACGCCTTGTGGTAGATTGTCAGGGCCTGCTGGGCTAGATCTCGAAGTTCAGTCTTCTCATCATCGTCAAGGTGCTGAGTTAAAACGTACAGTCCCAGAATAGCGCTTTCTGCCAGTGGCTTCAATCGTTCGGCACCGAGAACTTGTGCAAGCGAGGCAAGAAGCTGCACAGCCGCTGTCTTGCTTCCTACTGTCTCAGGGTTGTGAATATCAACACGCAAAAGTCCACTTACACGGTTGAACAACCACTCTGTACATTTTTGTTCTCCAGTCTTGGTTTCAACCGTGGGTGCGGGGGTAGTAGACTCCCAGGCAGTCACCGTGTAAACAAGGTTCTTTACGATTTGGACTCCATCGGGTTCAGGTAAACTGGGAGCACCCATTTGACGCATGAACCTGTTTGCTGCTTCAGTCAAAAGCTCAGTAGACAGAGGCTTCCCTTCTGTTTTGGCTAGCGTGTAATAACTGCCAAAAATACGACCAGCTAAGGCACGAACCCAAGGATGAGGGAACAAAAGTGCATCTTCTACGAGCTTGAGAGTTTCAAGCGAGATCGATTGCTGAGACACATACTGCAACACAAAATAAACAAGCTGCCATTCGACTTCAAGCCCAGATTGTCTGCGACTTCCTTCAAGGACTTCAACAACAGTCTTATCGATACGTTCTTGAAGCTTTTGATTGTCCAGGTACCCACCAGCTTCGCCCATCATCGCAACAACTTCCATTCCTCCACGAACCAGCAAGTTATTAGTTCCAAGTTTGCTCAGCCAGGACACACAGTAGTCAATGATAACAGTCTTAGAGTCACTATCCACTCGGGTCAGCAGCTCTTTGATCAACTTGGACGCAGTCGAACGGCATTCTGCCTCATCGTCATTTACAAGAACAAGAACAAGGCCAACAAAGAACGAGGTCAGTGTAGCCTCGATCTGCTCCTCGTGGACTTTGGTGATAACAAGTCGGATCATTTCCATAACAGACAAACGACCATTAGACGAGGGGTATTGTAAATTAGAGACCAAGAATGCAAAATGCTTATCGAGCCTCTGTTTGCCATGAGGGTATTCAAGCAAAAACTGAAGATATGCAGATCGACAAGCTGTTCTAACCATAGCACTTTGGTTTGTGACCATGACCTTTGCAATCTGATCCATCATGTCGTAGAGCTGAGGGAGTAAAAGCTTACGGCTCAAGATAGCACGAGTGAACCCAATCGATACACCTTGACGATCAGGTTCTTCGATGTCCGGTTTGATGCGATCTAGAATGTAACCAATACCAGCCTCCTTGAGTTCAAAGTCCGGTTTGTGCTTGAAAAGCATTACCAGGAACTTCAAACAAGCCTGGCATAGCTCGGTAGTTGTTGACGAAGTCGTTTTAATAAGTGCAAGAGTCCTCCTGCCAAGGCTGGTAATGCGATCATCAATACCCGGAACAGCGATTCGAAGCGAAGATGTTGCAAGCTTCAAGGCAGCAATCTGAGTGTCTTCCTGATTACTTTGAATGGCTTCTTCAACAATAGGAAGCAGGCCTTTGACATTTGCAACCGTCAACAACTCAGTGGCACCTAGCATTGTGCGGAGGGCGTCAAGCACGAATGTTTGCAGCAAATATAACTGTTTCACATATAACTTGCGTGCACCATTAGTTTCATCCCAATGGCGGGAAGAAAGTCGAACAGTGAAGAATGCCTCTGACTCCTTGGCCGCTCTATCAAGAATTGCTTTTCGATCGGTCGGCAAGGACCCGTTCGCGAGCTCACTTTCACGCTCCTGGCGCTCGGTTGCCGAAGTACACATTTTGTACATTTGGAAGCACATAACCAGGCCCTGCTGAGATTTTGAAACCGCGTTACGGTGAAGGCCATTCGAAATTCTCTGCAACAGCTCGCTCACCTTTCGTTCAGTCTTTAAATTAATCTTTGTGTAAAGCAGCAGATCCTTGATGGGCTGAATGAAGAGACCAAATTGCGGCAAATTAATATTAGAGGCAAGAATCTCGGCGGTGTCAAAGCTCTTGTGCTGTTTGACCTCCTTGGCGCTTGTAACATAGCCATCACTATCCTTTTCTTGACCAGTAGTGCCAAATATATCCTCAATGATAATATCGCTAATACCTTCAACACTGGCATCCAAATCGCCAGGGACTATGACATCTTTCAGCTCAAGAAGGAGCGAGTGCACAGTAAAACCCAACACATGTAATTGGGCACCGCGACGCAAAGCACTGCTGAGCTCCGAAACGATGTAAACAAAATAATCTGGTCCCAAGATTTTAACGACACGACCAAGGGTTTCTCGAACTACATCACGCAGTTCTTGCGTCTTTGAGCGAAGGATTTGGCAGAGGCCGCTGAGTTTTCCTGGCAGTTCTCTCTCTAAATCATCTTTAGGCAAGCTGCGCAAAAAGTACACGATTGGGATGGCTAGCGTGATACGCTCGGGCAAGTTCTCATGCTCATTCGTCTTCTGGCTCATAACCTTGTGTAAAGGAGCAACAACTTCATTAGCAACAAAGTCAGCATACTTTTCAGGCTTCGGCAGCTCGAAATGCGGGTTTTCGACCGCAATACCCATCGCATTTACCAGCTTGACGTTTTTGCGAATCTCCAATGGTTTTGTGACAACTAACGAGACATAGCGCCGGACAATAGCTCTGAATTGGTTCCAGGTAATATGTTTGGTTAATTCACCAATTGCAGAAATAGTATCATCAGCCAAGTTATTCAGCTCACCATCTTTGTTACCACTGTAAGCCACAAAGTGCTCGATAATAGGCAAAAGAATCTGGGAAATCGAAGTACCAGAAAGCTTGCCCTCGCTTGCGACAGAAGAGAGCCGTTGAACTGCACGACGCCTGCGGTGAACCTGGATATGCTGGACGTTGTAGAAGAAGTCAACCTCGTCGTCGTCTTCAACATAGAGATTTTTCAAGTCTTGAATGCTTTCGACAGTCTTATTTGTGTGAACCAAATGGCCAAGTACCTCGAGGTAAAGGAGACGGAAGGCCTCGTTACTTTCTCTGAGACCCAATTTGATAGCAGGCAGAACAGCGTCATTCATGATGGCAATGTGTTCCCCGCCGGCCCCGTTAAGAGCATCAACAAATCTTCTGAGACTGTAGGAACTGTTGTTCCGCAAAGCCAACTCCTCTGGATCCTTGATGAAAAATAGCATGTTGTACACCAAGACCAGCCAATCCATCGATGTCAGTTCTAGATACTTTTGCTCGTTGATGATAGCGAAAGCAGCGAGGCGTCGGTCGAAATCAGGCAAGCCGAGCCGGCGCTGATCGAACGAGTTCAGCTCAACCACTAGCTCACCTACTAGCTCATACTTGGGGCAACGAGCTCCAAATGAAGCATAGCAGCGAGCAAGATTCTCTCTGGCACGGCGGTCACTGAAAAGGCGAAACATTTTAGTCAAATTGACATATGCCTCGTCAATCTTTGCTTCGGTAACTGACTCGTCAACTAGCAATTTGCTCAGCGAGTCCAGAAGAGTCGCCTTGACGGTAGTTGGCACCTTACCAGTAGGCTTATTCAATGCCAGCAGGGCCACGCTGATCAAACTATCGCGTGTTTCCTTTGAGAAGCAATCACTATCACGATCCACGAGTTTGTTCAACAGACTAACTTGCTGGGAAAGCGCATTGATTGAGAACTCGCGTTCAAGGAGCGAAGGGAGATGGTCAATGACTGTAGGTACCACAACTTGAGCAAGTTCTGAGTTTGCCTCAAGCAAATTATCCACAAAGCCCAAAACTAACTGGACAACTGATTCCTTGACATTGGCAAAGGTGATGCAGGACACAAGTGCCTCAGCAAGCTTAGGTCGCAAATAGCCTACGAGGCCAATGTCACCTGATAAAGTAGAAACTAGTACCATCAAGGCAGATGGCTGTTCAAGGTTCCGCTGACCGAAATTTACCAGTTGGGGGTTGATCAAGGTCTCGTAAATACGATCAATGTACTCTGCCCACAATCCCTGCTCGGCAATTGAAGAGAATAGGCTCTCCAATGTTTTGGTGGAACTTTGGCGAAGCTGCTTGGCTGACTTGAAGATATGCTCCTCCGACTCACCTATGCGCTCAACAACCTGAATTATATTCAAAAGTGCAGGTACCACAACATCTAAAGCGTGAACCATAAGGCTCTGAAGCTCGTGGATTGTATCCTGAACAAGCGATAGGTAACCCTGTTGACGTCTAAGTGATGAGATATCGCTGCCAAACTCAACTTGTTCGGCAGCAAGCTCGTTGAACAGCTTGATATACTGGGGTTCTAGCGAATGCAAGGCTGTAAGAACAGCATGTCTCTGAGTTGCTCGAATACCACCAGTGGACTTTGCAATTTGGGCTCTACCATATAATAAGCGGACAACAATGGGCATAGCAATCTGTCTATCATCGTCATGGATAGCATGCTCTTGGCCGGTGCCTTTTAATCCAACAATGTGTGTCATCTCATCCTTCAATCTAGCGTCGTCGGTGAGAGCGTCAAGGTTATCACGGTATTTGCGGAGAACGGCAGCTGAGGAGCTGTTGTCACTCAGCACACATTTGATAGCGAGTTTCTGGATAGGAAGATGCCGAGATCCCAAGAAATACAAATAGCGAGCATACAGTTCGTCGAAACGCTCGAGTTTACGTGGTTTGGTGAACTTTGCAAAAAGCTCCAGCAGGGCAACTCGATCCTTGTATGCGGTCTCTTCACCAGCATCGTGTAGGATATATGGGGTCAAAGTGTCACCGTGCGATTCAGCAGTTTTGGGTATCTGAGCAAGAACCTTGATAGCAAGTGAACGAAGGTCTTCTGGTACGGGGACATTAGTCTCATTTGCGGCTCTGATTTTGAGGGCTGTTTCCGGATCTTCGTAGTCCGCCCAAATATGACGGCCCCGTTGTTGAACCTTGCTGAGGAACGTACAGTCCAAATCATGAATATGGGGTAGCTCCGACTCCATCACATCATCTCCATAGAGGGCTTGCTGCTCAGGGGCATCTTTGATCCACTTCAATGCGAGTTCCCAAATAATTTCCTTGTTTTTATCAGACAGGACAGGGACCTGTTCTAGAACTGCGGTCCAAATGGGCTGGAAGCGACTGGTTAAAAGACCAAACATATAGCGGGGAACAACCAGATCCACAATGTAGTTTGAGCCGGAAGTGGAGTAATTTTTCGCCAAGTTGCGGATATGCATAGCGAGGTTTCGGGAATTTGAAACATCGATAGGGATCTGGTCGATTAAAATACATTGATCGAGTAGAGGGGTTGGGTACAGCTTTTTGCAGATCTCGACAGCAGCAGACCGAATAGCAGCATTCCACGACATTGTACTGTCCAGCAGTAACTCGACAAGGTGCTTCTTTTCTGATTCGCTGAGCTTGCTAGGGAGACCTAGCGCCAAACCTTTCAACAAACTTTCGCGAGGATCGAGGTAACTGAAATGTTCAAGAACAAGCTTGTAATTGGCCGGGGATGGATCCGCTAAAAGCAGAGTGCCGCAAATATCGGCTTGCAACCCACGAGAGCTGCTCTCAACTTGGACCTCTACGAGCTTTTTCAGTAGTCCAGTGAACGTGTCATCGAGTACATGGATTTTCCACCATACCTCGAGCAAATCTTTGGCATTGAATTTGGTCTTCTTGTTGACTTTCTGATCCATATCAAGAAGAAACAGGCCAATACACTGGTCCAGAGCATTTCCCGAAACTAATTTGGGTAGTGCGAGCTTCTCAATAAACGTTTGTGTGACATCAGAATTCAGCTCGGAAACAAGAGTGTATACTCGCAACGCAGATGAAGTGTCTTTCAAGGCTGAAGAAACTTGGCCAAAGTACTGACTGGTTGCCTCGAAACTAGCATTAGAAAGAACAACAGCAGTAGCAAAAACAGCATCGACCGACAGGACCGGATCATTGGACAGCAATCCGACCAGCTTTTTGTATATCTCGCCCCAATTGTGAACGCGGTCACCTTTGCGAAGACCTGCGAATGTGAAGAGCAATAAAAAGTTCAAGCTGGGATCTGCCTTTCCATAATTTAGCACCGCATCATACAGAGGCTGACTGCTTTCTTTACGAACGTGGTGCAGCACCTGAACAAATACGTCGCAAGCAAAGTTGTAAATATACCTCGTACCAACCTGGACTACCGAATCAAGCAGAGCGGTTGCCAGCTCACGGGCTCTTGAGTGCAGTCCACTTCCAGGCCCTTTCATTGTGTTGGCCAAGAGAATTGAGGTCGACTTTGAGTACTGTGGGTTCTGTTGACGGTCAACGTCTTCAATGATGTGATTCAAAATAAGAGACAGACTTTCGTCTGAGCATTTTCGAACAAGGAACGCCATAGACTCGGCGGCGAAACGAAGCACAAAGCCCCGCTGTTTATGGTCTTTACCGAACAAAGTGGAAAGTAGATCGTACGTGGGACGCAAGTCAGTGGTCAGTAAACGAGCGAGATACTTGAAAAGATACGCCAAGCAGTTGAAAACTCGTTCGTAGAGCTGCAGATCCGGCTCACCATGCATGTTCTCGGTGATTTCTATGAGCGTGGTAAGCGTGGGGCCAAAATAAGGCTCGAAATCACTGCCCATATCGTGGGCAAAGTGCGTGATCAGGTCGAGGATCGGTTCAGCAGAGTGTGCATCAATGCGCTTTGCATGCTCTAGAAGAAGATCCATGATTTCCTTCTGGTTATGGATGATCAAGGGCAGGCTCAAAGAAAGCCTTGTCGCCTTTTCGGCGAAATTCGTAAAGTTTGTGGCCAAATTGAGCTCAGACCACTGACCAAGTGCTTCAATGAAATACGAGCCATGCTCAGCGTCAGGCAGCTTGCGGTGGCCGCTCACCTTGCGGACCGGATCAATCCTGATCGCAGCAACCCGGTCAGTGAACGGCACAAAAGTGTGCTTGCGCACGTCACTTTGTGTCGCTCTTTTGGCTTTCATTGAAGAAGCTTAGATTTTTTTTTTGCTTACAGTGCAGCGGCTTGCATAGGGAGTTTTTTGTCAGGGAAAGGGCAGGAGCCGTTGGAGAGAGAGGAAGAAGGTGTTAAGAAAGATGCGGATAATAATATTACAGCTAAATAGTAGCCTTTAGTTTATATGGCCTAAAAGTCCGTATCGCGTTGTTCGCCGGTGACTTCATCTAGCTTGCCACAGGCGGAGGCCACGAGACCGAGAATGGGCTGAGAAGGCGACAAAACGCGCGACAAATACTCCGGATGGTACTGAGTGCCGACATAGTAAGGGTTGGAGAAGACCTCGAAAGACTCCATACGGGTTCCGGTCTCGTCTTTGGCAACAAACGACAGGCCGGCCGCTTCGAGGTCATCGATGCGCTCGGGATTGACCTCGTAGCGGTGGCGGTGACGCTCGTAGACGACGTCTTCATTGGCGTACAGACGACGCAGCACAGACCGGTCACTGTACTCGCTCTGGAAGTGAGCCTCGCGGCGTCCGAGACGCATGGTGCCGCCCATCTGTGTCTTGTCAACCTCGGGCATGTACACGATGAACGGGTTGGCGGCATGCTCGTTGAACTCGGCAGACGTAGCATCCTTGATACCCAGAACACTGCGGGCGTACTCAATTACAGCCACCTGGAACCCGAGGCAGATACCAAGATAAGGCACTTTGTTCTCGCGAGCCCACCGAGCAGCCTGGATCATGCCCTCGATACCGCGAGAGCCGAATCCACCGGGAACAAGGATACCGTCTGCTTGGCAGACCTCCGCCCAAGCCTCGTGGAAGCGGACCTTGTTGGTTTCCGAAGTCTTTTCCTCAAGATTCTCGCTATCCACCCACGAAATCTTCAAAAGGCGGCCGCACTGGAGTGCCGAGTGCTCTAATGCCTTTACCACAGAGATGTAAGAGTCCTGAAGGTCGACGTACTTTCCAACCAGGGCAATAGTGACAGTTTCACGGGCATTGTCGAAAGACTCTGTCAGCGCGGTCCAACGACGGAACAGATTGGTGCCATTCTCCACCCGATCAGAGCTCAAACTGATGTCTGACAGTTGCAAGCGCTTAGCAAAGTAGTCCATGAGACGGTTTTCATTAAGCATGAGAGGAACATGATAAGTTGAGTTCACGTCGTGCACACCAAGAACCTGCTCAGGGCCGACGTGACAAAACATAGAAATCTTAGAGATAGTGGCCTCGCTAAGCTGCTCAGAGCAGCGGCATGCAATGATGTCGGGAGTGAGGCCAAGAGACCGCAGATCGCGAATAGCGGCCTGTGTGGGTTTGGTCTTGAGCTCACCGTGGATAACAGGAACAAGCGACACATGGATGAGCGCGAAATTCTGGTGACCGACACGGAACTGGAACTGACGGAGAGCTTCCACAAACGGAGCACTCTCGATATCACCAACGGTGCCGCCCAATTCAATGATGCAGACATCGGGAGGGATGTCAGAGCCATCCACAGGGATATGAGCGACACGCTCCAGCCAGTCCTGAATAGCGTTGGTCAAATGAGGAACGATCTGGACTGTCTTGCCCAGATAGTCACCCCGGCGTTCCTTATCAATGACGTAGCGGTAGATCTTACCGGTAGTGAGGTTGTGCTCGCGGGTCAGCGTGACGCCGAGATAACGCTCGTAATTACCAAGATCAAGATCTGCCTCACCACCATCGGCCAGAACGAAAACTTCACCATGCTCCAACGGAGACATCGTACCGGCGTCGATATTCATGTAGGGGTCAATTTTGATAGACGTCACGCGGTAGCCCAAAGAACGGAACAGCAAACCAGTTGAAGAAGCGATAACGCCCTTTCCGATACCACTAATAACGCCACCCGATACAATCACGTATTTCATTCTTGTCGATGGGAGGAGGGAAAAAATTTGAAAGAAAGCCGGAAAATAAATTATGTCAGCGTTGATCTTAATTGATGCATGGAAAGCGGGTCTGTGGGGCCTTGAACAATTTGAATATGGGCTATCTCATTGTTATCAGAAACTTTAGTTCAGTGCTCTGGCATTTTTAGTGCCCAGGTATTTTTGGGGGTTTTGATCTCGGAGTGCGTTTGTCCGCAATCTGCCGACAAGCATGAGCACCTGCTCTGTAACTGGTCCGCTCTATTCGCTTCTATTTACCGGTTTCTTTTTGTCACCATTGCGTCTTTTAACAGCTGCTCTTGTGTCAATACGCCGGCGGCCCTCCTATCAGCTCTAAGATCTGTTTGCAGGCAAGATCTGACTAACCAACCACCCGCTAGAGCATTGGTATGTCCGAATCTAGCCCTCTTTTAAGTGGCAGTAGCGCTGTATCTACGACAAGTGTAAACACCCGTGGCAAGTTTGGGCCGCAGCGGACGTCTTTTACCAATCAAAAGCTCAAAATCCTGCCGCAGGGTCCGGAAACGTTCGAGGACGATGAGCAAGAAACCCCGGCAGAAGTATATTCTCAATTGCGCCAGATCACCGATTCTGTAGCCAGAAAGGATGCCGAACGACTGGGCAAGGCCCATCGCAAGCTGTTGCCCCGTGTGACCGCCTACTGCACGGCCGGATCGTATCGCATGAACGAACTGAATCGATACCTCTCTGGTCGTACAGCAAATCATGCTGAGCCTAAATTGATTGACGAATGTCTCTATACTCCTTATACTTATTTGCGGCCCGGTGAGGAGCCTACGACCGGGCCCACTCGACTTACTGACGAAGGCGGCGAGATTGATACGTCGTACAGACGCAGTGATCTATTTATTTTCCAGTACGGCGTGGTGGTTATGTGGGGATTCCGCCAGGATGAAGAGCAACGGGTACTGCAAGAGCTGGCTCGTTTTGAGCGGGAGAAGCTGGCCTACGAGGACGTGCACGTCGAGGAGTTCAACTATTACATTACTCAATCGTACCAGCCCCGCATTTACAATGACTTTTTCGCCCTGCGGGACCATAATTACATGACCAAGCTGTCGATTTCACACGCCATTGCTCAGAGTGCAAAGATCTCGCTGTTTGAGGAGCTGGTGGACAATACGATCTCCGACACTCAGGATTTTCCCCTGGAAATTGCAGAAACAGGTAAAATCGACATGTCTCGTAGAGATATTATGAAGAGCATCGGCGAGCTTTTCATTTTGCGCGTCAATGTTAATCTGCATGGCTCGGTCCTCGACTCTCCGGAGCTCATGTGGGCCGAACCTCAGCTCGAGCCAATCTACCAAGCAACTCGAGGATACCTTGAAATCAGCCAACGGGTCCAGCTCCTAAACACCCGCTTGGAAGTTGTCAACGATTTGCTCCAGATGCTCAAAGAGCAGCTTGGACAAGTGCATGGCGAGTACTTGGAAATCATTGTTATCGTGCTCATTGCTGCCGAGATCGTGGTGGCTCTTATTAACGTTATTGTGGATGTATATGCTCAAGAGTAAGTAGACTATGCGATATAATACTCGGTACTGGCAATGACCTGGCGCCCTTTGAAGGTCCCGCTCAGACGCAGCACGGCATGCCATTCCGTAAAGGGCTTTTTAACTGACTCGGCAACCTGCGACAGTGCCTCCTGTGTGGTGAATTGGGTGTCGTGATGAGCAAGGAGTCTAATGTTCATCTCACGGCCAAGCTTCAAAATATCAGGAGGCAGGGCACAGCACTCGTCTGCGTCAATGTGATCGATATCAATATGGATTCCCGCATCCAGTATCGACGATAATGCGGTCGCAGACAGGTCCGCAATGCCATAACTGCGGGCATGGGGAACCAGCGAAAAAACTCGACGCACCAATTCGACCTCAGTTGCGCTCAGCGGCGTGTCTTTGGCGAACTCCGACCTCAAAGCAACAATGAACGTAGCCTCAGGAGGGACCTTGGCCGTGATCTCTTTCAAGATTTCCTGCGAGGGCTCGCCGTTTTCTAGAATAAAGAAAAGCTTCGCCGTGATTTCCTCGACTGAGGCGTCTGCGACCTCCGTATCGGCCGGCGAAAGATGGAATGCCTCTGGAAGAGATTTGAGTCCTGCAACTCTACCTGTGGATATCATATGTTTGTGCCCCGTGTTTATTGCTTTTTCGCCCCTTCACTGACTTGGCCAATTTTGACTAGTAATCACACAAGACGAGCCTACCACTATGGCGGAGCATTGAGCAGGTCGAGCGAGCAACAGCCTGCGAGTGCAGCCCCGGATTGTGCATAAAAATCACAACCAGATGTGAGGTGTCACATCGTGGCGCGAAATGCCCAGGCTTAGCAAAATCGACCCCACGCATAAGACGAGCTGCCAATCGCACTCGCAAGTCCTCTTTGGGACACCCACATGTGGGTCCTCATGCAGAGCTCGCTCTTTTGCATGACTCAGCGTCTAAGTTAGCATTTCGGGTCTCCACCTCAAGGGTTATATAAGTTCCCAAAAAAAATCCTGGCCTCTTGCCAGAACATAGGCTTGACGAGACAGGACCCCGGAGAGCTTCAATTTGCACGCTCTAACTCAGGCGCTTTACAATTCCCGTCTCACAGAGCACATTGCGGTTCTAGGTTGGAAGGAGTACCCCCTGAATCAGCCGAAACTTTTTACGCTTTTTAGTTTTCCGCTCCGCAACACGAACCTTTTATATATTTGTTCTTTCCCGTCACCGTTCACACTTTATTTTCTATGGACAGCGCAAACCCTTTCGCAGGCAACTCGTTCTGTGGTCGAAATGACGACCACTCGACAGCATTAAGCGGAATGCCCATTTCGCCTGCCCCTTCTCCAATACCGTCGATGCGCCTCCTGCGCTTGTCGGATAATTTGGGCTCCCCATTGAGTAGCGGACCTCATACCACACCGCAGGACCGTATCTCCAGTATAAGCCGCATGTTTCGTGATCTCTCAGACGTCGACAAAATTGCTTGTATGCAGGAACTCTTGGGCCAGTGCGGCCATGAAGTTCTGCTTGCAACCAACCAGCTCATTGACCCCATGTTGAGACACGACCCATTCAAGGTTTTGCCTTGGGAAATCTCCCTGCGCATTTTAAGTTATATTAAGGACCCCAGGTCGCTGGCAGCTGCATCCCAAGTCTCCCGCTTGTGGTATCTGGTTCTCAGCGACGACACCACCTGGAAACATCTCTGCGAGGTGCACCATTTCCGCCGTTTGAGCGCAGCCGGTAATGAGATGACCCAGTCTTTTCTCAACCTTACCCGGCGAGCGTCCATGTCTTCACTGGCTTCTCATGACGAAGCGTGTGAGATGCAGGAAGATGACGACGAGACTAACCCAATGGCCATCAGCACAACTCCTCCATCTCTCCGGAATTCACAAGCTTCAAATACCAGCTTGAACTCGTACTCGTTCGGCCAGAGGCAGAATTCCGTGGCTTCGAGTTTAGGAAACATTGTTGAGATGATTTACAAACCCGAAGCTTCGCGCTACGTCAAACCTAAAACTTACAGATCCCACTTCAAACAGGAATACCTTCTTAGCAATGCCTGGGACACAGGTGGAAAACTCGCGGCGCGATACGTTTTGCAAAACTCCGACGACGTCATTGTCACCGAGTTACTTATGCAAGGTGGTTATATTATTCTCGCGTTGGACAACTCTAAAATCCTGGTGTTTAGCAATAACGGCCGCCTTCTCAGCTCTCTATGCGGGCACGTGATGGGTGTTTGGGCCCTGGCCCTCCACGCCAAAACCTTGGTCTCTGGTGGGTGCGACCGTGACGTGCGAGTATGGGATCTCAATACGATGCATTGCACACGTATTCTGCAGGGTCACACCTCGACTGTCCGGTGTCTCGCCATGGCGTCACCGAAAATTGCACTGTCTGGATCACGTGACCATTCCGTGAGAGTCTGGGACGTCCAACAAGGCACTTGTCTACATGTGTTAGAGGCTCATACGGGCGCTGTGCGCTGCCTCAAGGCTGTTGATGAGTATGCCATTTCAGCAAGCTACGACTGTACAGTGCGAGTATGGCGATACTCCACAGGCGAGCTTGTACATACGCTACAGGGCCACCAAGCACAGATTTATTCCCTGGATGTTTCTGGGGGCATTATTGCTAGTGGCGCACTCGATTTCATGATTTTCCTTTGGGACTTACGATCCGGCCGGTGCCTTGGCGTGTTAACAGGCCATGTTGCGCTAGTTGGCCAGCTACAACTTCGAGGGAAAAAGCTAGTGTCTGGATCAAGTGACGGTGCAATCCGGGTATGGGATATCGACAAAATGGTATGCCTTCATCGTATAATTGCCCACGACAACGCCATCACGTGCTTAAAATTCGACGACGAACGCATCATTTCGGGCGGGCCCGATGGTCGAGTTCATATGTGGGATTTAGCCACTGGGCGTCAGATCCGGTCCCTGGGGCCTCAATTCACAACCGTGTGGGGTCTTGCATTCTCTAATGACCGGCTGGTGATGGTAGGAAGCGATCACAGCAACACTGTGTTTGAGCTTATCAGCTTTGTTCCTTAGTTATTTACGATTTTTATTAAGAAAAAAAAATGGAGTTTTCATTTCATGTATTTGCTTCGCTTATAGGTTCTACCGGGGCAACGGCTGCTGGTGCTGCGGGCTCTGCAGGGTGTGCTGCGGGCTCGCCAGGTTTGCTCGGCTGCTCAAGCGCCGACTCGCTCGGCTCGAGCTTGATGTGCTTGGCAGGAGTGTCCTCCTTTGGTCGTAGATCCTCGTCTTCTGTAACATCGTCCCCATCCTCACTCATGAAATCGCTGTCATCTTCCATGGGGCTCTTGCGTTTAGTACCCGCCTCACCATCTCCATCCATCTCCACTTTCTTCAAGTAAGTTGCAGCCCGCTGCTTTTCTTTTTGAACAGTAGGAGACAGTCCCGCCGAGGGAACAAGCGCCATTTCTCGAGCATACCTCAGTCGGTCCTTTTTGTACAGTTCGTGATAGTCGTGGCGGCCAGCGGCCCCCAAGCTTTTCCATTTTTCGGAGAGTACCTTGTTGACGTCGAAATTGCCGTCTGGATGCGCCTCCTCGAGCTTGCGCTTTATATTCTCTCGCTCGGTGTCGCAGAATATTATGTAGGCATTCTGAGGGCGTTTGGGTAGCGACGGATCGCGCAGCGCCGGCTGCTTTTTAGTCTCCTTGCGTTTTTCCACGGGATTCTCGCTGGGCTCCCGGAAAACAGGTGAGTCCGGGGGAGATTCCAGCTCCGTGGCGACAATGTGATTCGCTTGAGTCTCCAAACGTTCCATCAAAATTGCTCGCTCCAGACGGGCCCTCTGGATCATGCGCTTCGTACGTTCAATGGTAGCAACTATAACATCATTGTTCTGTTCTGTCTCTTTTATTCTGCGTTTCAGGTCCACAGTTTTCTCTCGCGCCGCTTCCATGGTGGTCGAAGGCTCAACGTCAAGGGCTGCTGACTTAGCTGCGCTCGGTCCAGCGCCTGCGGGGACATGAGCGAAGGGGGGGGCGTAACGGGGTGAGTTGGGTTAGGGTACCGACCAGGCGAAATAAATTTTCAGGGCTCGGAAGATTTTTTTTTTGGCATTACACCATGTCCGCCAACTGTGCTAACGCTCTTGCTGAACTCTCCAAGTATGCCTCTAAAGATGGCGTGTGTGTGAATGACCTCATGGACTCCAAGAAGTCAGGCGGCCTCACCTACAATGACTTTTTGATGCTTCCTGGCCGCATCGATTTCCCGTCGAGTACCGTCAAGCTTGAGACCAAGCTCACCAAGAAGATCACCCTCAAGCTGCCCTTGGTCTCTTCGCCCATGGACACCGTTACCGAGGAGAACATGGCCATCCACATGGCTTTGCTCGGCGGTATTGGTATCATCCACCACAACTGCACGGCTGAGGAGCAGGCTGCTATGGTGCGCAAGGTGAAAAAGTACGAGAATGGCTTCATTTCTGACCCCATTGTGATTACTGCGTCCCGCACCGTTGGCGAAGTCAAGCAGCTCGCCTCGGAGCTGGGATTCCACGGTTTCCCCGTTACTGGTAAGTTATTTATTTTCCAAAAGATGTTTTTCCAAACTTTCGTTCTACAGCAATGACGGCTCCGTCTTGTTGAAACTTATATTTTACTATTTCTGATGGAAACCTTCTTATTCAATTTTTTTTGAATCTAGTACTAACAAAGAAAACGGCAAAATGAACGGTAAGCTCATTGGTATCGTCACTCGTCGGGACATTGAGTTCCACGACGACGACTCCACCCCGGTTTCCGAGATCATGACCCGTGACGTTGTCACTGCTACCAAGGGTGTTGATCTCGCCGAGGGTAACCGTATCTTGCGTGAGTCTAAAAAGGGCAAACTTCCCATTGTTGACAGCAATGGAAACATTGTCTCTTTGCTTTCTCGCACGGACTTGAAAAAGAACCACAACTACCCCTTGGCTTCCAAGTCTGCCGATTCCAAGCAGCTGCTGTGCGGTGCTGCCATCGGCACCCACACTGGCGACCGTGACCGTCTCGAGAAGCTGGTGGCTGCCGGCTTGGACGTTGTCATTCTCGACTCGTCCCAGGGCAACTCTATGTTCCAGTCCGAGATGATTCGCTGGGCCAAGAAGAGCTTCCCCAACCTGCAGGTCATCGCTGGTAACGTTGTTACCCGTGAGCAGGCTGCCCAGCTCATTTCTGATGGTGCTGATGGTCTTCGTATCGGTATGGGCTCTGGTTCTATTTGCATCACCCAGGAAGTCATGGCAGTCGGTCGTCCTCAGGCCACAGCCGTTCGTGCCGTCTCTGAGTTCGCCAACAAGTTCGGCGTTCCTACCATCGCTGATGGTGGTGTCCAAAATATTGGCCACATCACCAAGGCTCTCGCCCTCGGTGCTTCTGCCGTCATGATGGGTTCCTTGCTCGCCGGTACTACCGAGTCGCCTGGTGCCTACTTCTACCGCGATGGCAACCGTCTCAAGGCGTACCGCGGTATGGGCTCCATCGAGGCCATGGAGAAGACTGGTACTAACGCGAACGCCGCTACGTCCCGTTACTTCTCCGAGTCCGACGCTGTTTTGGTTGCCCAGGGCGTCTCTGGCTCCGTCATCGACCGCGGCTCCATCACCAAGTTCGTGCCTTACCTTATGGCTGGCTTGCAGCATGGTCTGCAGGACGTGGGTGTCCAGAGCCTCGACGCTTTGCGGGCCGGCGTCGACAACGGCGACGTCCGCTTCGAGTTCCGTACTGCCTCTGCTCAGCTCGAGGGCGGCGTGCACTCGCTCCACTCCTATGAGAAGCGCCTGCATAATTAGAATGTGTAGCTCTTGTTTGAAATATTTTATTTATCTGAAATTCCATAACGTCATGCTGCCCTACGGTCGGGCCAGGCTACCAGGCAAAGACTTCAACAATAGGGTCGGCAGGCGGTGGGGACGGGAGCGAACGAGAATGGCCCAACGTTGTAGACATCGCCGGCATGCGCAAGGGCTTCAGTGAGGTGGCGGCAAGCATCAGAGGCCGTCGAAAGAGCGTCGCAAGGCACATCGCGAGGGAATCTTTCAAGAATTCGCGACTGGACTTGAGCAGCAGGCAAAACCATGCTCATGACATCGTCTCGAATGATGGTCTCAACATGGACAGAATTGAAATCTTCGGACTTGGAAACCAACGCATTCAGCAGACGAGTAATGCCTGCCGCATGGTGCGCGTACTCTGAAGCGGCGTTAACCGAGTCCACTCGGTCAAATGAGGCACGCTCGGCCGCATCAGCCAAATGCTGCATAGCCGTGTACATGCTATAGTACTCCTGCTGGATGTTCAACGCATTGAGAACACCTTGATCAGCGGACCAATGGTCTACCATTGATACCATACTATGAACCTGCTCGTTTGCAGCATGAAGAGAGTGGTAGATTTCACCACTAGGTGAAGGAGGGGAAACATAAGGGACACAGTCGGGGTGCGAACGATCGTGGGCAGCAGCCAAAGCGAGAGTAAATAGAATAGCCGACTTCATCTTAAATAACAGTGTTGGTGTGAAATAAAGAGCGCAGTGTCCCGGCTTTTATCCTTCAGCTGAGCATGGCGCAGGAACCTAGTTCGGGCAAGTTGCACGACCAGGCATTACTGGTCATCTGCTTTGGAAAGAATGCGTAACAAGTTCAAGAAAAGGTTGATAATGTCCAAATACAGTGAAACAGCAGCTGCAACTTCGTCTTCGGGGTGATACTGGGTCATAATCATTTGAGTGTCCACAAGAATGTAACCAGCAAAGATAATAACGGCAATTACAGAGTATGCCATCTCCACATTACTCGAAGGAATAAACATAGCAACGAATCCAAACCCGATCAGGCCAAACAGTGCAGCTCCAAGGTATGGAGCATAGCCGGTAAAGTCGTAACGAGTTTGCAACGCGAACGCAGAGAGCGCAGTGAAGATAATCGCCAAAACAATCAGGGCGGATATAATCACACTTGTGTCGGCCGTGCTCGACGCAAACCCAACCATATACCCTTCGCAAACGGTGAAAACACCCAAAAATATCAAATTGATCGGGTACTCACGGCGCTTCCACATTGTCACAATCATCGACGCCAACCCACCGAACATCGCAACAAACATGACCCACGAGTGCGTCATGGCCCACTGCTGAACGCCGGGGTTCATGATCATGATCGCGGAGATCGCAATTGTGAGCACGAGCTGGGTGACGAGGATCAGGTAGACGCGCTGCATAAAGCGGTGCCGGATATCAATTGCACACTCGGCAACAATATCGCTCCACTTGAAATCATCAGGAATGTGGTCTCCATCTGTACGAGGAGTTTCTAGATTTTCTAACAGACCGCCTGTTGCTGTATACTCTGGTGGCGCTGTGGACATTGTATGATTAGTGAGCCTTCCCAGGTGTGGAATATCACGAGCTGGGCGAGCTGGTAGGAAGCTCGTTCATTTATATATAGGATTATAATTTACTTTTGCGTGCGCATGGACCCATCACATTTCAATCACCGAGTGCGTGTGACCGAACTACTCAATCTGTCATCAGCATGCAGGATGATGAAGCGTATGCCGGTCGGGACTTGCATCCGAGCTATGTGCAAGAACTAGCCGCCTGCCCTCCGGTTGTTATATCGAGATTTCTTTACCGGGTCTATGCGTTCCTGGCTGGGCTGTTCGCGGTCTCCTCGGTAGGCGCCGTCTCGCTGAAGTTCTGTTTGTACTTGCTGTTCGACGAGGCCGACACAGACAATTTGATCCCCACCGGTGTCGAAATAGCTGATGTCGTAAGTACACTGCTTTTGATCATTCTCCATCTGCTTGCTTGCTGTTATCGTCGCCAGTTTCCTGCGAATGGCCGCTTGTTGGTTGCGGTTGGAATGGCCAGCATCTTCAGCATTGGTGGCTCTGCGGCGCAGATAAAGTCAAGAGCATACTTGAACACACTAGTAACCATGGCATTTATGTACGGATCGGCCTTGGTTTTGACGCAGCTGTCGCAATTCAACTTTCGAGAGCGCAAGGCCTACATATGGATCGCAGCAATCACAGTGGCTGTCTTCGGTTTGGTGACCCTGGTTCACCCTCCGTCATCCCTTTTCCAAATCATTCTGAGTTTAATTGGTGTTCTGCTGGTTGGGCCGCCGGTTTTGTTCCGCCTCTGGCAAATTCTCCCCATCGCCAGTACTGACGAAGACATACGTTATGCGGTCGACAGCTACTCAATCACATTTGTAGCGCTGCTGCTTTATTATATTTTTGGGAAAATATGCCGCCAAACCCATCCTTTATAACTCCATTTCATCACCAGAGCATGCTCCCTCTAGGGGAGGGTTCTTTATTAGTCAGCATTAGTGTTAGGGCTTTAGGGCTATATCGCCCCTCACGATTATCATCACTCTATCCACTCGAGGATTGTCTCATCCACACAATGGCCGACAAGAACGTTACGCTTGGTCTGCAGACCCGTGAGGGAGAGCTCGTCTTTGGCGTTGCTCGTATCTTCGCCTCTTTCAACGATACTTTTGTCCACGTCACCGATTTGACTGGCCGTGAGACCATTGCCCGTGTCACCGGTGGTATGAAGGTCAAGGCCGACCACGACGAGTCTTCTCCCTACGCCGCCATGTTGGCTGCCCAGGACGTTGCCGTCAAGTGCAAGGATGTTGGCATCAACGCCCTTCATTTCAAGATCCGTGCCACTGGTGGTACTGGCCCCAAGACCCCTGGCCCTGGTGCTCAGGCAGCTCTCCGTGCTCTCGCCCGCTCGGGTCTCCGCATTGGTCGCATCGAGGACGTTACCCCCGTCCCCTCAGACTCTACTCGTCGCAAGGGTGGTCGCCGTGGTCGTCGTCTGTGATTACCTTTATATTTTGTATGGCTCAGGATCGTTATCCTCCAGGAAAAATACACAACTTATCGCTAATAGTTTAGCTAGCAAAAGCGTACGTGAGTTACAAAACCATAATAACTATACATTAAAAAAAGAAATATTATTTCGAGAGGTTCTCAAAGCTGAGATTGTTTTCAGATTTGAAGGGCAAGAAAAAATTAGCCCAGGCGGAATATTTTCGAAAAAAGTCACCCCACACGGGATTCGAACCCGCAGTCTCCCGCTTAGGAGGCGGATGCCTTAACCATTTGGCCAATGGGGCTGACGACTAAGCTAATCTCAAGGATTTTGGGCATAAAATGCACGTGCCACACTATATACGGAGAACGCTGCCAGTGCTCATTTTGCTCAACAAGTTGGCAGTGCCAGACCGAGCACACTTTCCTCAAGAGGAATTCGTGTTGAAGTGTACGGACTGTAATTTTAGGCATAGCTCTCCGTTATCCTCGATCTCATGCCGAGCACTAATAAGACCCCCACCTCAAGCGCGGTATCGCCTACTTAGATGTTGATCAGCAATAGGCTAATCGTATCCATTCACTCCCAGCATGAGCGTTACAAGCCATCGTAATTTGGAGCCTACATAAGAATGTCTCTGAAGATTGTGATGCCTCTAGAGATTCGAGTCCTACCAAGCAGAGCTTCACGTCTGCCAAGGCCGTAAGCCAGGTTTTAGATTTTATGCGTGGCTCTCAAATTACCACATCTAAAACATTTTCACCCTCATTGTATGCGTTCCAAACCGTGCCCCACTGATATTTCCCCATGCGGAGGAAAAGTTGGTTGCATACGTAGCGTCGAATCTGCGTGATCTTAATCGCGAAACACAAGTAAACATAAATGAAGCATTAATTCAACATAATAAATTATACAAATATTAAAAAGCCGCCATGGGCGCAGCGGTTTAGTGGAAGATTTGCCGGAGCTTTGATTTCACAGAACGCCGTGAAAAGATAGGTCTAAGGCTGCTAGCGGAACTTTGCGAGCTCGAAACGGGGTGCGCACTGGCAGACCATTGTGGGGACATAACTGCGGTGAGAGCGCTATCGGCTTTGGGGGTCATAGCAGGTGGTGGAACAAGATACCAGTAGGCAGCGGAAGTCATATTGGTGAAAGATTTGGTGCAAAATGCTGAGTGGGTCGACGGATCACCAATGCAAGTATTTATATGATCCGGTCAGGTGAAATTTCACTGTCCGCTAAGTGCAGCTATCGCCGAACGCTGCTTTTAGACACCCTTCGAGTAGCGGCTTATGCATGCCATGCATGATTTTTTCCAGCCGGACGAGATCACGCAGATACCTTCCGTTTCGAGAAGGAGGCTAGGGGCTCGCGAATTGCGAAAATTCTACGCGAAACAAAATTCCGGATAAATATTGAATTCTTTGGGTGCATGGGCCGAACAATCACTTTTATTATTCTGGTGCAAAAGCAAATGTACAGAGTGTCCATATTTTCTGCGGAAGCATGTTCGTCGAGCTCTACGGCTGGGAGATTCTGGTGCCCACAAGTATGAAAGACGCTGTATTTAAGAAGGAAATGTGAGGCCCTCGAATCCAGAAAGTCTATTCAATTGCTTGATATTTCGATTAATGGAGTGGTATGAGCGTATGTCATTTGCCTGATTGCGCCAAAAAACGGAACCTGCATGCGAACGTGCATTCTCGGGTCTGAGACACCAATTTGCTTGGAGCATGGCCCAAGTGCAGAACGAAGCACACCAGGCAGGGGTGGGGGAGTGTTTAGGAGTCGAGCCGTGTCAATTATAAAAAGCGTGTGTGCTCTTTTTTTCCCCCTGTTCCCTTATTTGAATCTAGTATTTGTTATGAACCAAATAAAACGACGGATGCGTATTATCTAAGTTGCTCGCTAAGGCAAAGTACTTAAACTGCCTGCCCGTCTGGCCTGCGGGAAAACACCAGAACCCGTATGGAGATCCCAGAGAGATTCGCATCGCCTCTTGTGGCAGGACATGCCAAATCGATTCACCAGAAAAATAAGTGCAAAAAAAAATAGTGGTGACAAGGACGAGATTCGAACTCGCGCATCCGGAGATATCAGGGAACTTAATTTTAGGGGGAACCTAAACCTGACGCCTTAGACCGCTCGGCCACCTTGCCTAGTTTAACAGGAAATTGGCATAGGTCTTGGTTTTGTTCCTAATCAGCGAGATTGCCGAACTTGGAGCCCAGATGGCCTGGTTTGATGCCGGTAGCCAAATTGAGCTTTTAAACGTGCTAAAATTGCACTTGTATTTATTTGATAGAGAAAAATAACCCCTAGCTTGCCATTTAATCCGGCCCGCTCGGGCGCACCAGAGCAACTAAAAATGCCGGCTCCTGGAAATAAATAGCACAATAGTGACCCCCGAACAGTCTCAAGGCTTGTGCCGATGCTAATCTTCTCAGAACCCCATCAAACTATAATGCCTCTCATGTGGGCACGTGCTCTCACAATGTAAGCGATGGTTGCCTAATGTAATTTGCGGTCTTCACAACGACAGCGCCCCAGACAGAGTAGAATGGCGGACGATCTAGAGCAGAGTGCACGTCCTGACCGTCCACGGGGTCGATCAATGTACGAGTTTGTTGTGGATGATTCTAACCTAGAAATGGGCGCTTCTCCCAAAGGGGCCCCTAAAATACCAGTTCGAGGGGAACGTCAACACACCCAAATGATCCGCCTTTTTGTGGCTGGTTTGACAATTATGTGTATGATAGTTTTTGGTGCCATTGTTTTCACCAATAAGACAGAAGGTGGTCAACCTGCTACGGCGGTACACACAGGGAGTACTTATGATAGTGGGTTCAATATGAAGCAAAACTGGGGAGCCTACTCTCCCTATTTCGACACGGGTAAGCCTTTCAATGGTATTTCAGAGAACAGTTTGCAGGGAATTCATACCCTTCCCGAAACATGCTCCTACAAGCAGGTCCATATCCTGCATCGCCATGGCGATAGGTACCCTGCTGGTGGAACCGCGGATAAGATAGAGGTGGTTGCAGAGAAATTGAAGGCCATGAGCAAAGAGCCTCACAAAAAGCTGGCATGGTTAAAAGACTGGGAATATGCTTTGGGACGTGAGCTCCTGGTTTCCGCCGGCGTTGCTACACTATTTACCTCAGGGAGCAAGTTCTGGGGTTCGCACGGCCAACTACTGTACAACACCAGCAATACTTCTTGGAGTTCAGGCCTCAACAAGTTCCCAGACGGCTCTTCGCGTCCCAAGCCTTTGCTGAGAGCCACCACTCAGTATCGGATCGAGGAGTCTGCCAGGGCGTGGGCAGCTGGGTTCTTTGGTACTTATGGTCATCCCGCTACTGACCCAGATACCCGCAAAGAGTACGATCTAGTTCTTCAGGTTGAAGAGATGGGATACAACAACTCTTTGGCAGGGTACTTTGCGTGCCCAAATGCCGAAGCCAAGAACGCCGAGTCAGGCTCGAAACGTAAGTGGAAGTGGGTTGATCATTACTTGAAGGATGCTGCCAAACGGCTCCAAACCTTGCTTCCTGGGTATGAAGATTTTGGGCCTCGTGATGCACTTGCCTTCCAGGATCTCTGCACGTTTGAGACAGCGGCCTATGGCTCGTCGCCCTTCTGCGAGCTGTTCACTGAAACAGAATGGCGTGGATTCGAGTACCACCTGGATCTCATGTTTTACGGTGAAAGTGGTTGGGGCAGTCACGTCGGTCCTGCAACAGGACTAGCATGGCTCGAAGAGCTGCACGCTCGTTTGACCCGTCAGCTCATCTCGGAGAGTCACAATGGTGTAAACACTACATTGACGAGCGCCGAGTCTACGTTCCCTCTTGACCAGCCGTTCTATGCTGATTTCACTCATGACAGTGTCATTGTCTCGGTGCTTTCCGCGCTTCAGTTCGAGTGGATCAAAAAGGATCTCTCGCCCAAGAAGATCAAGGTGCCCAGGCAGTTTATTTTGTCCAGGCTCACCCCATTTGGTGCTCGTCTTTATGTTGAAATTCTCAGCTGTGACAAGAGCGATATGGTGCGTCTGAAACTGAACGATAGAGTACTCAACCTGGGTGATCTCAAGTACTGCTCCAATGACTCGAGTGGTTTGTGCTCGCTCGCGGACTTTATCAAGAGTCTCGAAAGTGCTATCAGCTCAATTGATTTTGAAGACGTCTGCTACGCCGAGCACGACTGGGAAACCCCCAAGTTCGATTAATTAACTAGAGTAAACTTATAAACTATTGACCATGCTCGGACCCGGTGCTCGGCATATGCTCACGAGCGGCGAGCACATACCCTCGGCTTACCTTATCGACTGGTCGACTGTAATTGCGGGGGAAATGGCGGAGCCGGCAACTAACTCGGTACGGTCCCTAGCGACTGAGTCGTATAACAATGCAGCGCGGTTGTTTGTGAATAGAGAAGTTAAGGAGAGTTTCCAGCAGCTCTCGCCACTGCTGGCCAAGGCGAAGGTCCTGTTAGCATCAAATCAGATTTCCCGGCAAACGCTATCGAAGATGTTTTCGCTGTACTTTTCAATTATTGATACGCAGTACGGGCGTGTGAAAGACGAGAAATTCTATTACGACTCTCGCGCAAAGCTCGTCAAGAAGCTCAAACATGGCGAATTGTGGGGCGAGGTTGCCACTGCATTTGGCAGTATCCCCAGCGTGCCGCCCGGTGTTATTTTATCACTTCTCAATCTCACGCTGAAACGCGAAGGGGATCTGAAGAAAGCAGAGGCGTTCGTTGAAGAGTATTTGGCGCAGCTGTCTCTTGACGGTTTACCCCAAGCAGAATTTCGGTTGATCCAGCAGGTTGTTGAGATGTTCGCAAAGGTATTAATTAGCGATAATCAAGCCGATTATGCCAAAGAAGTTATTGCAAACAACACCCGGCTTTATACAGCGTCAGAACGAGAGTTAGTTCTGTCGAACGTCGAGAACTACGAGCGGGAGCTCATTGCAGAGCAGGATAGATTGAAAGCTGAGGCCGAAGAGCTACGAAAACGCGAAAACGAACGATTAGTTCAGGCCCTCGAAGCAGATGAGGCGAGAGCCAAAGCTGAAGAGGCGGAGGGCAAAGAGAAGCCCAGAGCCTCGACCCCGCCCGAGGCTTTGATTCCATCTGCTCCCCGTAGAGTGACGAGACAGCAGCAAAATCTGCTGGAATACTGGAAAGACGTGTTCAAGCAGTACATACGGCGTCATGGATTGATCAATGCCCTGTTAATTCTGCTCGTAATCCTCTCGGCCGGCATCAACCGCCAAGCCAGAGGGCGGATCGGGGACGGAACCCGCTGGCTGTGGGCAGCGGTGAAGCAGAGCGCAGCAATGGTTTTTACAGTGACTTATTTGTAGTAGAGAGAGGTATATTCATTTCAGCTACAACATCCTTTTTTAGGGGCATGCGTTACTATCTACCGGTACGCAAACATGATATTAAAAATCTTAGATAGAAGCCGGTTAGACCTTGAAGGCACGGGACTTCCGGCGACCACGAGCACGCTCGAACTTGCGGCCCTTGGACATGATGCGAGGAGCCTTACCCTTGTGGGGACCGAAGCCAAAGTGGCGGACGGCCTCGCGGTGGGAGCGGGGGCCACGGAGCAGAAGAGTGTTCTGGCCGGTGGGGGCACGGCGGGCAAGCTCATCAAGAGTGAGGACCTCACCGCCAGCCTTGAGGATGCGGGCACGGGCACCCTCGGTGAAGCGGAGAGCAGCGACGGTGACCTTGGGGGTCTCGAAGAGACGGTTGTCGTCGGTGACGGTACCAACAACGACAACGGTCTTGTTCTCGGCACCCTTCTGCTGGAGAGCACGGGAGATGGCCGAAAGAGACACGGGAGGGCGGTTGATCTTGGACAGGAACAGGGACTTGAGAATGACCTTGTTGAAGCCAGATTCGGTGCGGCGAGCGAGGAAGCGGTAGAGCTTCACGAGCAAACGCAGGTAAGGATTCTGAGACTTGGGCTCCGTGCGGTGACCGCTGCGGGCGTGCTGTTTGGTGAAGTGGTCCTTAGCCATTGTCGGGTTGGTCTTCGAGCAGAGTTGGAAAATGATACTCATAATTGTGTTGTGATGGGTTTAGGGCCAAGCCCTAGCTGGAATCACGTGAACTGAAGGGGGTCGCCGCGGCGGACCGCTCTGTCTGTGCTGTTCACTTCATCCCGTGGCGAGTCACGAACTATTTTAAACCAATTTATCTAAATTTACAGATTCTTTTCCAAAATGTCCGTCTCACACCCACCCTTCCCCCCTACCTGAACCCGTCGTCCCCCATCACCAAGCTTCCCTGCTGACTATGCCCAAGGAAATGTAAGTCCAAGCGATATCGAAGAATCCACTAACAATAGCCCCGCGCCCGCATACACGAACCCGAGAGGGATCCCACAGGCACCTTTTCTTGAGTCTGTGGGTGACTACGCAAGCGATGAAGCAGACGCCACGCTGCTCCTCCGCAATTTACAGGAACGTCTCCAAAAGTACCAGTTCATGGAGCTGACGACGACGAGCCGAATCCGGGGCCTGCTGGACAAGATCCCGGATATGCGCAAGAGTCTTGAAATGGTAAAGTTCCTTGCCGAGCGCAAGGACGCCTTCGATACCCGGTATGAGCTCAATGACACCGTTTATGCTGAGGCCACCGTGCCCCCCACCGACAAGGTGTTTCTGTGGCTAGGCGCCAATGTGATGCTGGAGTACAATATTCCTGAAGCCGAGGAGCTACTAAAATCCAAACTGGACGGAGCAATGAGTAGCGTCGACCAATGCAAGGAAGATCTGGAGTTCCTCCGGGAGAACATCACCACTATGGAGGTTAATACTGCCCGAGTTATCAACTGGCAAGTTGAGCAGAGAAAGCTAGCAGCAAAATAGATCTGTACAAATTATTTAACATCCTCGGCAACGCTAAGCAGAAGGTCTTTGGAATCGAGCATGACCCGATTACCGGACTGGGAGACGATCTGCGAGATCTCACGAGCGGTGTCGATGCGCTTGAGATCAATGTAGCCCCGGCTCTTTTTGACTGCCTCACCAATGAGCTCCGCAGAGCGGGCCTCACCCTGAGCACGCACAATAGTGCTTTGCTTCTCCTGGCGAGCCCGGTCAACAACGAATGCGGCACGAAGAGCGTCCTGCTGGGCGATCTGCTTGGCCTCGACGGCAGCAGTGAACTCGGGACTGAACGACATCTGGGTGAGCGAAACATCGTCAAGCAGCATATTGAACTTGGCCGCACGCTTCACGAGACTTTCACGGACCAATCTCGAGACCTTCTCGCGCTGGGTGATCAGTTGCGAGGCGTTGAATTGGGCAACAACCGCCTTGAGCACCTCGTTGACCAGCGAGGGCAGAACAACTTGGTCGTAGTCCTGGCCAAGAGTGCGGTAAATGGTGGCGAGCGATTCAATGCGAGGTCGACCAAGAACACGGCAGGTGATGTTGACCATTTGCAAGTCTTTGGTGCCAGTCAGAGACGCCACATTGTGGGGCTTGGCGCGGACTTCGAAATCAATGGGCCGCTGGAGCCAAGGAATAGCAAAGTGAGTACCTTCGTTGTACAGCTGGGGCTGGATTCCACCGAGACGCGAATAGATGATAGCTCTGTGTCCACCCTCCACGTTGAAGAGCGCGGAGTTAAGGAGCACAGCACCGCCACCCAGAAGCAGAAGGCCACCTAGGCCGGCAAAAGCAGCAAATGGGCTTCCACCTTTACGTCCACCGCCAGCGGAGCCACCCTGCTGAGCGGCCTGCTGGACCTGACGAACGAACCGTTGCCACGCTTCTCGTTGCTGATTTGACATGACAAAGCACCGGATGAGAGCTCTGAGCCTGCTGAGCTCCACGGCCTGAGCGACTCGTTGTAGGGTACGGGTTGTATGTAGAGTAAACCCTAATCTATCTTCAGCCCAGTTAGGGCTTAGGGCGTAGGTAACTCTTCACCCATTCAATATACTCGAGCACTCGACACCTTCCCTGTATCACCAATGCCTGGCGTGACTGTTCGTGACGTTCCTGCTCAGGATTTCATTAATGCCTACGCTGCCTTCCTGCAGCGCCAGGGTAAGCTCGAGGTCCCTGGTTATGTTGAGGTCGTCAAGACCTCTGCTGGCAAGGAGCTCCCTCCCCAGGACTCTGAGTCCTGGTTCTACAAGCGCAGCGCCTCCATCGCCCGCCACATCTACATCCGCAAGGATATCGGTGTCGGCCGTTTGAACAAGCGTTACGGCTCCACCGTCAACCGTGGCAACCGCCCCTCGCACCACAAGGATGCTTCTGGCTCCATCAACCGCAAGGCCCTCCAGGCCCTGGAGAAGCTTGGCATTGTTGAGCAGACCCACAACGGTGGCCGCCGTGTTTCCACCACTGGCCAGCGTGATTTGGACCGTATTGCTGCCCAGACTCTTGCCAGCTTGGAGGATGACGAGTAAACTTAATGCATAGTCCCTTTTAAGCAGTCTGAGTTTAAAAAAATCTATTATAGTTCGTAGTGAGCTGTCTTTTGATATAGCACCCCCTATTCTTTTGTTCCGGTCGCTGGGTCAGAGTGCTTTGGACTCCTGGTTCAGATGAGACCTCCTTGCGCCTAGTTTCTTGGGCGCAAATACCGGCATCGGTGCCTTGTGCAGTTGTCTGCTCTTGAGCTTGGCGCTACAAGGAGACATTAGCATGTCTGTGGGTGATTGAACTTGTAGTTTCTGTGATGTTAATCGTGCCGGGGTTTGCATTGGTCTGGATGTGAGAAGCGATCCTAGGTGAGAAGGTTAAGTATACATGCACGGCCTAATTAGGCAACATATCAACGAGCAATCAGCCCAGTCGATCTTCGCCCGATTGCTTGGGTCGAGGCTCGGAGAACAGAAAATATACAAGAAGAGAGACTATGACTTACTGATTCACTGATAAACACTCTGCCAATGCGCTGCTGCTTGAAGGCGTGTAAACACAGTCTATTCTCGAATGGTTCCGCGGGGTCGACAATCCACAGGCCGGGACCCCCAAAATGCGCTTGATCTTTACTCCCCTGTCAGAAAAATCCGCAGCTTAGAACTTTAACTCGAACTCACGGTTGCGTCTGCCCACCGATCCGAGCACCGCATAAAAGCACATCACCTGATTAGTCATGAGCACGTCCCATCCCTTTGGTAAGCCTGAGCACAGTTCCTTAACGCACATCTACTTTTCATTCACAAGATGAACAACTTCTTTGCAAATATCAAAGATTATTTGCACTCTGTAACGACGAGCGACCACTATGCAAGTTACGATCCGTCACGGCCCTCCAACACGTCGCGGGACCAAGAGCAGCCCCTCAACACACAATACCCCTCATACCCACGCGCTGCCGGCCAGCGCGTTGCTGGCTACCAACAGGGCAGCCGTTCTGAGCAGCTGAACAGTGGCGCGACGCCTGGCGATATTCCTATGGCCGACTACGATATGTCTGCCGTGCCCGCACCTACCATCGCGTGGGAGCGGATTGACAAGTGGATTGAGCAAAACTATGCTGAGCTGTTTGACCAGCTGCAGTATCCTGCCACAAACAATGATCTCGATGAGCTTGAACATGACCTTGATTGCCGTCTTCCTCCTGATGTCCGTGAGTCTTATCTGGTTCATGATGGTCAGGAGCGAGGGGGCCGGCCTACTGGATTGCTTTTTGGCATCACCTTGCTGGATATCGAGTCTCTATCTGAAGAGTGGTCCGTCTGGCGTAACACTGCTGTTAGAATTAATGACTTGAAGAGCCGTGCAGCCGCGGGCAAGCCCCGCACTGCCCGCTCAGAGTGGGCAGAGCGTCAGTCCTCGGTGCCCGCAGACAGTGTACAGGCTGTCTACGCACATCCGGGCTGGATCCCATTGGCGAAAGATTTCTGCGGCAACAACATCGGCGTGGATCTTGCTCCAGGCCCCAAAGGTCGCGTTGGCCAAGTCATTCTATTTGGCCGCGATTTCGATACCAAGTATGTTGTTGCAGAGTCTTGGGGACATTTCTTAGACCAGTTCGCTACCGACCTCGAGTCTGGAAACAGCTTTATTGACGAGGATATTGAAGAGGCAGTTTTCGCTTACCGTCTGCCCACTGGCAGACTGACCTCCTACTTTACTGTTCTGAGGTCCCGCATCGAGCGTCAATATCGCCGCACAAAGCCTGCTGCTTCCACCCCTCAGGAGCGGTCCACTGCATCTACTCCGGCGCTAATCTCGCCTGCTGGCAGTCAGATAAACTTGGCGGAGACCACTGAAGAGACTGTTATAAAAATGACACCCATGCCCGAGGTTGCAGACCTCTCGCTGGAGGAGGTCAATCCTGAGCCTATGGACGAACCCACGCCATCAGCGAGTGCTGCACCATCATCGAAGGATAAGGCCGAACCCGAGGCAGAGCCGGAAGCAGAGCCGGAAGCAGAGCCGGAAGCAGAGCCGGAAGCAGAGCCGGAAGCAGAGCCGGAAGCTGAACCCGAAGCTGAACCCGAGGCTGAACCCGAAGCTGAACCCGAAGCTGAACCCGAGACGGAACCCGAAGCTGATGAACAGGCTGCTTCCGGAGCAGATGAAGACACTGTCGAGGTCTCATTAGACGATGTCGAGAAGGACACTAAACCCAAGAAAAGCAAAAAGAAGCGGGGTAAGAAGACTGCGTAATTATCTATATTCATTACCACATAAAGTGCGTGCTACTTCGGCAAAACACCGTCCAAGTTATAATGTCGATCGTAATGTACCACAAGACTTCATAAAGCATAACCCGTTTGGGAACGAGAACAATCCGCCAGACCAAGTAAGGCATGGCGTAGTATCGCGGCTCAAGAAGCGGCGACGGAATCAAGGCCAGCAGTGCTGCGCCCCAGTAAGCAATATGCTCAACACGGGCAGATAGGTTATACCGCAACCACGCCAGACAAGCCTGGTATACCGGCACAATGGCGAACTGTAGCGAGGCAGCTTGGGGTGGGTGCAAGATCCTTCGCCATAAATAAAAAACGTAGTGGCGGTTATCCGCCAGCACAAAGGGGTGGACAATTGTGCATTTCTCCACAGTCAAGCCGATCAGTGCAGCCTCAATGGCAGAGAAAACTAGTCCGACCGTTGAGCCCAGCCGCTTGAGATAAGAACGAGGCCAAGGGTTGGTCAGGATCAGGGGAACCGAGAAGAACGCCAAAAACAGAGCAAAATAAAACAACTGCGGTAGGTTGAAGCTCACCGTGTGGTTATCTGCATCGCCAAGAGTGATTCCACCGTTTACTTTGACAAACGCGGCGAAGAGCAGCCCAACACAAAAGTAAGGGAGATACCTGGAGGGCTGCTGAAGGCTGTCAACACACTCCCAAAGTTGAGATACCAGATCATCCCGTTGGCTCGCACGTTTGGGCATTCTAACTCCCGAAACGGCTAGGGCACCGGCAAACATCGCCCAAACAACATTCGTTTGGCGGAAAAGCAAGGAAAAAAGTAGAGCAAATGCACTACAAAAGTGCCGCCCCCGAAGGGTGAAGCTGATACCAATTAAAGCCACCATACTGGCCCAGACATCTGTGTAGTACAGAGGAGCATAGAACGCGAGCAATGGAAAAGTCATGAGCAAATAAAACAGATCGCGCCGCTCTAAGATATTAGAAACCAAATGAGCGCCTAAAAATAAACCAATTCCATTAACTGACCGTAAAACAGGGACCGACGCACTCTGCACAGCTTGCGAGGCAATATAGCCGACATAGTAAAGCCCCGGCGGGGTGGTGATCTTGGGGTCCCAGGCCTTGAAATTTCCCAAAAAGTACCTTTGAGCCTGGGGTATGTGAAATATCTCGTCCATATACGGCTCAGGAATTGCCTTTCCGACCGCATAGCAAGCAGTAGCTACCAGCCCCACACATAGCGCTCTGCTCAGCATTTTGGCTGACACATTCCGCGAGCTGCTCGCACTTTAAAAGGCCCTTCATCCCGAGTATAAAGCTCGAATCGCTGGCATATCCAGAGCATGCCGGTCGGATGCGCAGTACAGGGATCACTATGTTATGAGATGTCAGAGCGCACAGCTATCGTTAGACTCTCTCAGCGCGATATTTCATACTACTCTTCCGTTGATCAGATCTATACACCTGGATTTGACCTCAACATCGCAGTGTTCAAGGAACTAGGATACACACAAGATGCATTGACTACTATTCTCTCTTATATGGACGCAGGCTTTTTCAACTTGTTCGTTGATGTGTACTACGACAGGAGAAACTCGCAATGGCAGTTGTGCCCATTGCCGTTTCCAGATGGTTATGTTTCACCCAACTTGACATACAACTTGACAGGAAGTGCATTAAAAACGGTTTGCGAACCAGAGGTGACGTTCGGAGAGCTGCTTTCCACTATCAATGAGTATATTGGCCTCAGTAACACCAACGTTGCCGCCCATTTGCTACGATTGTCCTTGCGGCTTCGTGAGTTACCGTTGCCACTTTCTAAGAATGCTACTGGCTACTCGAATGCTCCTGGGGACTCGTCTTTGAATCAGACTCTCACTGCGAACCTTGGCAGAATGGTCTTTTCACCCCTAGACCTCGAGAATTCCCGAAACACCAATGAAGTCACAGATCAAAGCGTTTTCGGAAGAAATCGTACTGAACGATGGCCATCTTTGGACGTTATTCTTTTGAATTTACATCGGCGGATCATGGTCGCGGCGATTGTCGATACGTTCAATGGGAGCACGTCTGCCGTCGACCTTGATCCTAACTACGTGTTTCTCAACAAATCGTTCCGATACGAGTACCTATACCAATACGACGAGATTCCAAATGAATTCACATCTGGCCAAAATTACGTTGCTCAGTCAGAGTTGAGTTTCGCTTCTGCTGCCATTTCTGGTTTCAATCCGAATTTGGAATACGCATCAGCCACGGAGTTAGCATTCTCTCCAGTGTTGAATTTCACTACAAATGGAAGCACACTGGTCAACTTATACGAAGATTACACTTGGGGCTGGGCCGCAGGTCAGCCTTCAATTCAAACAGAACTGGATCGAAAAGATATGATGAAACTGAACGAAATTCTCTGCTGTGCATTACAAACTACGTCTGGATGGATTGTCGGTAATTGTTTAGAGCAGTACACCGTCCTCTGCCGCCATCGTGATAACCCATTCGACTGGACTCCTTCAGATAGCGGCCACACGTACTTTGATGCTGACTGCCCACAAGACTACTTCTTTGATGCACCACGTACCGCTCTAGAAGCGCGGGCTGCAAGAAATAGCTTGATGTCGCATGGTATCGATGCTGCTTGGGTCGATGTTAATTCGCTATCTCTACCAAACTGCTGGGTCACCGGCGGCGTACGTGCTGCTTGCCCGTATAATATCATTCAGAGCAGTAGAAACGGTGTTGCTCTTATTGTTGTAACGGCGACTATCTCTGTTTGCTTGCTCACTGCTATGATATACTTGGAATGGGAGCGTATGCGTTTTCCTCTCATTTCGAATCCCAGTGGTAAAAGAAGACGGCAACAACAATCAGCCGCGCCCGATGGAGTACCCACATAGCATTAATTTTTATTTATCTGATGACTGGATCGTTTGTAGGTGCTGCAATAATGTTGGACACACCGCAGGGGTTTTCGTCTGGCTTCCATTGGAACATCATGAGCTTTCTTCCACTTAATGCACAGCAAACACCGTGAGGGAGAGCAGGTACAGCTATCAACGTCCGCGAGTTACAACCCTGAATCTCTTCAACCAACTGACAGCTAGGCAAAGAAAAAACAGCACCTATCAGTCTGCTTCTTGGAACTTGGCCATGACCGAGCCCAACAAATAGTTCCCATTTTGCCAGCCACACAAGTGCAGTTACCTGGCCACCTACTTTGAAATCATACAGCATTGAGTTACCATCACGAATGTCCCATATACGCACGCGCTGGTCTTGGCGTCCACCTCCTGTTGCGACAAGATAAGGCGCCCAGGGGCAGAATGCTATGGCTCGAACCGCCGTTTTATGAGGTGCCCAGTACAAAAATTTTACAGTTTGATCTGGCAAAACTTCCCAGGCCGATGTCAAACCGTCGTTGGCTCCAACTGATAGATACGTTCCGGTGGGGTTGAGGGTAATACTGCAGATTTGAGCGCGATGTTTGAAGCCCATTAGTACCGATTTGAATGTGAGGTGTCCATTGACATTCTTGAGCTTGAACATAACTAGGTGACCTTTGGTGCTCCCGAGATATAGAACATCACTGCCGGTAGCTGGCCATGCCAAACAAGTCATGGGGCTACAAACTGTGTGACGCCCAATAAACAAATGTAACATTGCGTTGTATATACAGACCATACCGTTCGCATAGGCCACAGCAAGGATTCCTGTAGACGAGATCGCCAAGCAAAGCACAGCACCATATGAGTGCGGAAGCATAACAGGTTCCTGCCCAAACTGAGCGCTCCACAATCTAACGGAGTTATCTATCCCCATGGCATAGATATCGTTAACGGGGTCATACGCCAATAGGGTTGAATAAAAATCATCTCGCAGCCCATACGCGTCTACTCGAAACAATGAATGGACACGCCTGCTAGGTTGAAGAGGTGAGTTTGGCGGTGCACGCGAGGGAGAATCAGCAAAGAGCGCGGGCGAATCTCGAAGTAATGCTAGTCGTCTTCTGGGTGCCAAGGATGCGCGGGTTGGTGTACGGGGCGAATCAGGGGGCGCAAGCGAGGAAGCCTTTGGTGGAGAGCGTGGACGCGCTGTCGGGCTCGAATGGTTTGATAAAGAGATACCCAGTGCCTGCGCCAGCTCGATGTTTTGCACGGACTCGTGCTGCAGAGTTGGAGTCCTCGAGGTGATGAAGCGGTCCATTGGGAACACAACAATGGAGGCCGTGGTTGTTATAAGGAGCTCTTGGATAGTATAAATGTAGAGAATGTCATATAATTACATGGAGAACTCTTCCTGGAAGAAGCACACGCCAGCTCGGCGAGCCCAGAGCTCAGCGTCTTTGACTAGTAATGGGTTACCGGTTGCAATGACCAAGGCGCCTTCTCTACTTTGTTCGTTGACCTCGATGAGTCTGTCCGCGCAGCAGCAGTCTTCATCGTCCGCGGCCAGCCCGTAGAGCCAAGACTTTAGCCGCAGGTCAAGGTGAGGGCGTGCATGCATCATGTGAGGCGCGCATTGGCGAACCAAAGGGTCTCTGAAGCGTCTGTGAGGGTCATCGGTAGCTGAAGCAGTGATGGGGTCGGCACAGCCGTCGAAAATGTCGAGCTCGAAAATGTCCTCAGCTTCGTCCATTGCTTGAGCACCGGTGTAAAAGATTTCGATTGATCCTCGGGCAACTTCATCTTGCAATTGCAACAGTTTGAGGACCTTGACATCATAGGGATTCCGGATAGCCCAGACCATGCGAAGCTCGACGCCGTGGACACGGAAATAGCGGAAAACCGGAGCACTAAAGGCAATGCCCGATCCACCAGCAACAAACAACACCCTTTTGATCTTTCCTTGATTGAGTTGCTGGGTCAGAAACTTTGGTAAAGCAGTATGGGGCCCGAATATAGAGTAATCGTGACGAAGCTTGAGGGGGAAGTTGCCCTTGCGGACAACCAGCTTGACGTCGCTTTCGTCGGGCAGCGATGCAATTGTATAAGGATGGCTTGATTTGAACCAGTTAACTGGATTGTAAATTGGACCTGACAGACGGACATGCGAACCCGGGGACCACGCCCAGAACCGTTGCGGTAGTTGGGCCTTGGGGATGGTTACCAGCATGAGCGTGTTTGTAACATACTGGACTCGAATACGAGAGTTGGCCGTATAGTAAACCCTGAAGATGACCTGGCCAACTAAAATTGCCAAACAAGCAGCCAGGTAGCCGTTGCTGCGCGGGCGGGAGTGTCGCTGAAGAAGGTATAGCGATCCCCACGCGTTGACGACGTGAACGAAGTAGAACAAATTGTATTTTTTGAAACGCAACCAGGACGTAAGACCGGCCAATAAATAAAGTGCCAAAGCGACAATCCCCAAGAAGTTGTTTAGGTTTTTGAGTTTATCAAGAAGCACGCCATTAAGATAGTAATAGTAGGAGTAGGCGAAAGCGTGAAGACAGGAAAGAATCAAAACAACAACTGAGAGCCAGCGATGCAGAGGAAGCACCTGTAAGTATAGGGTCCGGGGCAATGGAGAAGGTCTCAAGGTCAGGAAATATAGCGGGGGCAGAAGGGACATTGCGATTCTGCCGAGTCGTTTGATAAAGTAGTCAAGCCTCATGTCTGTTTGCACGACCACAAAGTAAGCAATGGCGCCGACCCAAACGGCCATAACCAGTTTCATCCAGCTAGCCACGAGCGGACGTCGACTCCTGCGATGGCCAGCTCCTGGGGGTTTAGGTCTGACTGCGGCGGGCGCCAAAACTGTGTTTAGCAGGGCGACAAACATTATGACGCCTGCTGCCGTTGAGGCACTGACAAGACCCCACTTTGCAGTCACTGCTCGCCTGACAAGTTTCTCGCACAGCGGCGCAGGCATGTGATGATCACAGAGGTCTTTGGTCCAGTCCGCCATGGGCATGACAAACCTGGGTAATGTGGAGAAAGTGGTGGATTTGAGGGGGAGCTGCGCTGGAGCCATGTCCAGTAACTAGCGGGCAAACGGCAGGATCCTATGTGTGAGGGCAGGCAGTTCCCCGAGCAGAATCTGCGGTTGAATTTCGGGGTGGGTTCGAGCGGGGCAGCTGCGCGGCGCTAGTCCTTTAGAGTCTGTGGCGCAACTAAATACAAAATGCCGAGCACGAGACGTTGCGCGGCCAGAGCTGCAGTATATTTGGAATCCGACGTGAAGTTGGAGAGTATTGCCGTATGATTCTTGTGCCACTTTGGTTTAGTAAATATAGCCCAGGTAATCATGCATGCATATGCGGGCTGATGAAAAGTTGCGGCCCGCCCAGTTCGAGTTTCGTCGGGATATTTTGGCACAAACAACAACTAGACAGCATACAATCAAAGGAAAAGTGAGATCGGCCAGCACCACACAAGGGAATCCCCAATCGACTTATTACTTTGCTGGCTTGTATGCAACAGATTTTTTTGATAATCGGGATATGCTTATTACATCACTGATCGTGGAGTGCACGCCGAGCCTTAGCCGTTAGGGTTCACACAAGATGACGCCTCATCTATTTTCCCGAGCTAGTTTGTTGTACATGGAAGCTGCGCACTACAAGCAGAAATTAACCGTCCTGACATGTCTCGTCGAAAGTCCTTGGCTCCTCCAGTGAAGGTGGACTACGAGGTTGTCAGTGCGGATTTGACGACCAAGCAGCGGATTGTTCTTGCGTCTTACCAAAAGCTGTTACAGCTGTTGATTGACTTGAACGCGCAGGTCGTAGAAATTTCAAAAACCCCTACTGCAACTCTGGCGCACCTGCGCGACCTAGAGTTACGGTTTTCGATTGTACATAACTCGCTCAAAGCCTCAATTTTCAGTGTCGATGCGGGGAAAAAGACATAGTACCTGCGACATCATTATTCATGTTATTTCGAGGCCCAGTTCGGGTTTACTGCACCGAATTACGCTAAATATGTTCTCCTGCTCACTCACTCTGCGTGCTGACATTATGCTCAGGGTTGTTCGTCAACGGCTGGTAGTGCCGGCTACTGCGGCTTTGCGGCCCGCGGGTCTGAACGTGCCTGCTCGCTTCTACAGCGATGTGTTTGATAGATACAAAGACAAGCTTAGAGCCAAGGCCGAAAAGGAGGGCGTTTCCGTGGACGAGCTTCTGCAGAAATCTGCTTCGAAAACCAAGGCCGATGAGGTGTATGATCCCTTTGATTTGGTCACAAAGGCAAATGCCAAGCAAGAAAAGCCGCCCGCTGAGAACGCTGAGAAGGCTCAGTCGCCGCTTGAAGCGGTTGCCAGAGCCGCGTCTATGTCCTCGACATCGGCCAAGACCAAGGACCTGTCGACGTTTGTAGACGTCGAGGCCCTGGCCAAGCACGATACCAAAGAAATAGAGATGATCTGGAAGGCCCGCTTCGTTAACAAGCAAATCGAGTTTTGCGGTGCTTTGAACAGTGATGCCTACGCCCGTCTCTATGTGAATGCTCGCAAATACCCTACGTTTGTCCTCCCGCTTCCTCAGGGCGAAGGTGTCGAGCTATACTACTCTCAGTGGTCGTTTGTTGGCAACTACACCATCCACTGTCTCATTACTCCTCTTGCAGAGTACAAGCTTCACCAAGAGTATGCTCATCCTCGCGTGTCAGTGATGATGCACAGCGACTTTTTAACTGACAAGGGCATCGCATTGCACAACGCTACTCTACAGGACAACGAGATCTCAATGGACAACGCAGTTCTGTTGACGCTCAACCTGCTCCGCTTCTACACCGCCGACCCTGCAGCCAGCGAGCACAGTCGGGCCAAAATCGACCTCTTACGCCAGTTCAACACGGGCGACACGTCGTTTTCCACCGACAAACTGATCGAGGCTACTGAAACCCTGGATTGATTAAACTGTATATAGAATCTCGTCTCTAGGCTCTTTCGCGCACACTAACCCTCTGAGCAGCCTGCTCGCGATGACGCATCATCCACATGTTGGTGGGATACCTAGGTCCGCTAGGAACCTACTCGCATGCGGCGGCTTTACAGCAGTATCCCGAGGAGGAATTGAAGCCGTATGGCACGCTCGAGGCGGTGGTTGAGGGCGTGAAGAATTCCGAAGTGGAGCTGGCTGTTCTCCCAGTAGAGAACTCAACAAACGGCGAGGTGCGAGCTGCGTTGGACGCCCTGATAGCCGAGATCGGCGAGTGCCCTGAAATCAAAGCTGTTGGCGAAGTTCGGGTACGCATTGCCCACCAGCTGTTTTCAAGATCGAGCAATGTGTCACAGGTGGAGAGAATATACTCGCACCCGCAGGTCTGGGGCCAGGCATCGCATTGGCTTTCATCGACCCTGCCCGGAGCCAAATGCATTGATTGCGACTCGACATCACAAGCGATTGAAAGAGCCTGGGAAGACAAGAACGGTGCAGCAATTGCCGGATCAGCAGCTGGCTCGGTGTACGGCATCAAGCCGCTCATAGCAAACGTATCTGATCGGGACGAAAACACTACGCGTTTCCTGGTGCTTGCCAAACAGCCGGCGCCCGAGAACAAGCAGCACACCATGGTGACATTCTGCGCAGCACAGCAGGACTTGTGCAAGACGCTCGAGGCCCTTGTTAGTTCCGGGGTGCAAGTCACTTTCCTCACCTCGCGACCTTTGGGTACCCACTGGACGTACCGGTATATAGTCGAGTTTGCGGGTGCCCTGGCGAGCGAGCAGGTCCGGGAGGCGCTTGCGAAATTGAATCAGGTCACTCCAGTAACAGTTATCGGGGCATATTAGACAATAAATACTTAGACTAAACTAGCGACCGTACTTTTGCGTCTCCCAGGGCATGTTGTCTAGAGGACACACGGCACGACTCTTGAGCCAGCGGGTAATGCAGTGTGAGTGGAACGTGTGGTTGCAAACGCCCCACGATACCGTGCAGTCTGCCGGGCGGGCAGAGCCCTCGGCGGCCTGGCAGTCGATGCAGGTGTCCATAATGTGGTTGCGGCAGATCGCACAGTTCTCGATGGCAATATCCCACGACCAGAACGCAACGGCACTCCATTTTTTCACCTCGAACCGGCTCTTGCCCGTCTCCTCCTCGCCATCAGGCTGCTCGTTCGCCACATTAGGCTCGTCCACAATGTCGGTCATGACTAAAACCACTTGGTGGTGGGTTCTACATACAATAAATAGATTTTAGATACTGCCAAACACGTTCGACTGGTCCATAGTATCGAGGATTTCCTGCGGCAAGTGCTTGCGTACTCTGGAATTGGCGTCGGTTGCCGCGTATATGCCCTCGAACCGGGCACACAGCAGATCGACCTCGTACTGGAGTTTGGCTTCACGCAAGGCCTCATAGACCTTGATGTACTGGGCCGTGCTGTACTTGAACGATGCGTCGGCGGAAAGAAGGTATCGATTGAGGTTCGACGGCCCAATGGCGTCGGAAACAAGATCGCTGAACCCAAGGTGGGTTATTGGTCTGCCTGCACGCAGGGCATAGTAGAGCTCGGCAGCAAGATTACGAGCCTCCTGGGGCCTCAGAGCGGTCTCGATGTACTGTAGCTCGTCGGCGGCGTGCTGCCCCACGATCAGATCAGTGCAGGCTCGGCTGTGCACCTCGACATCAGCGACCGGTGGATAAATGGCTTCCTCGTACCGGGTGTACGGGATCATGAATCGATCAATGTAGGTTTCAGCCGGCAATTTGGTTGAATGGAACGCTCCACTTTGCTCCAGAACCTGCTGTTCTTGAGGGGTGAGCAGAGAATACAGCTTGTCCATATCGATTTCCTTCAAAAGATCCATTTCGTTTGCTGCCAAAGGCGCCCTTGTATATTTTTGTCGTCCAATCTGCTCGTTTTCCTCTTTGATATATTCCAGCCAGGTTTTACCCGGCTTTTTGGCCGCTATGCTTTGCATGTCGATAAACGACCTCTCCTGACCTCCAATTAGCATATTGTAGGTCTCATTCCCCAGCTCCGTCTTGAGATCGGCCATAATATCGAGAATACGCTTCTCGTCTTGCGCAATAAACACGTTGATTTGGTCTGCGGTGGTTGCCGGCCTCTCAAACGACCGGGGGCCCTCGGGCTTTTCATCTCTCAGCAGACCGCCCACAGATAGGTCAGGGAGCGCCCGCACCAGTGCATCGTACACTAGTTCTCGAGCCACTTCGCCCTCGACCTTGGCTACCTTCTTCTTTTTGGCCATTCTGGTGTGACAAAGCAGGTCCTCACCATGTCCAATTTGGCGACGGTTTTCCCACCTCCGCCGTTCTACTACGAGCTGTTCACTGAGGCGAACTGGGAACGCGCCCAGAATTTGAATGGACAAGCGCCTGACGAGGAGCTGGAGTACCTTGTGCCGCCGCCGCCGCCCGAAACGCCCACGTACCGAGGGTTTGGTTCGATCTGGAACACAGAAGAGAAGCTTGTGCCCCTAAAAGAGGCCGGCGTAGAGCAGCTGTACGAAGACTTGGGTCCGAACAACGAGAATCTCGTGCCCGAACTCAAAAAGCTCCTGAAATCAGTGCTGGTCAACTTTGTCACCCTGGTTGGCATCATGTCAATAAACCCTGAGCAATTCCCTGCCAAGGTTGACGATTTGCGGGTGCTGTTTATCAATATCCACCATTTGTTGAACCTGTACCGCCCGCACCAGTCCCGGGAAAGCCTCGTGCTGCTCATGACCGAACAGATTGCCGCGAGACGCCAGGAAATTGTCGAGATGAAAGCGTCCAACCAAGAGATCGAGCAGCGAATCAAAACTCTGGTCGAGCATCTCCCGAACCTGACCCAAATGGAGCCTACCGATAAACCCGAATCAGAGTGGGGCCAGTTTGATCTCGAAGTCGATAAACTACCTTAATTTATTTAAACACTAAGCTGGGTGCTCTCGGTGTTGACGTATTTAGCAAAGGGCTCAAGAGCCTTGGCCACGGTGACCTTGACGAACTTCTCGGTCTGCTGAGGAGCGCGGCCGACGAATGTGCTGGGATCAAGCAGGGCGTCGAGCTGGCCGTGGACGGGAGCAAAGTACTCGGTGCGACGAATACGCTCAATGAGATCATTGTCGCCGCCCTCTTCCTTGACGACGCGAGCAGCCTGGTGAGACAGAACGCGGATTTGCTCGTGGCACTCCTGGCGATCGCCGCCGGCTTTGACCATGGCCATGATGACGTTCTCGGTGGCCATGAAGGGCAGCTCGGCGCTGATCCGACGCTCAATGACCTTGGGGTAGACGACCAAGCCAGAGACAATGTTGAGCAGAGTGGAAAGAACAATGTCAGCGGTCAGGAAAGCACCGGGAATAGACACGCGGCGGATGGCAGAGTCATCCAGGGTGCGCTCGAACCACTGCACGGAGGCAGTCTGGGTTGCGTCCTGGAAACACGACTGCAGGTGACGGGCGAGCGAGCAGACACGCTCAGAACGCATAGGGTTACGCTTGTAAGCCATAGCCGAAGAGCCGATCTGCGACTTTTCAAACGGCTCCTCCATCTCCTTGAGGTTGGCCAGCAGACGGATATCGGTGGCCAGTTTATGAGCAGAGCAGCCCAAAGACGCAAGAGGACCAAGAACATCGACGTCAATTTTACGGGAATAGGTCTGGCCAGTGCAAGGGTAGGCGTAGTCGAAGCCCAAAAGCTCAACCACCCGGGCATCGAGCTCCTCGACGGCATCGTGGTCACCATTGAACAAGGCCAAGAACGAAGCTTGAGTACCGGTGGTACCCTTGACACCACGAAGACCAAGGTCGTTGCGGGCACGGGAAAGGTTACGCAGATCCCACAACAGCTCCTGGATCCACAGCGTAGCGCGCTTGCCGACGGTGGTCAGCTGGGCGGGCTGGAAATGGGTCCAGCCAAGCACGGGCATGTCCTTGTACTCCATGGCGAACTTGGACAAACGATCAATTACGTTGACGAGCTTGGGAATAAGGATATCCAGGCCGTCGCGGAGGAAGATGAGATCAGCGTTGTCGGTCACAAAGCACGAGGTAGCACCCAGGTGAATGATGCCAGCCGCAGCGGGGCAAGTCTCGCCGTAAACGTGGACGTGCGACATGACGTCATGACGGACAATGGCCTCCTGCTTGGTAGCGGCCTCGATCTCCTCGTCGGTGATCTCAATGTGCGCCTTGAGCTGCTCGATGGCCTCGTCAGTGATGGCCTTGAGACCGAGCTCCTTCTCGGCCACAGCGAGGTTGTACCACAGCTTGCGCCAAGTGCTATAGCGGGTCTTCAACGAGAAGAGCGCCGCCATTTCCTTCGAGGCATAGCGAGAAGCAAGCGGGGTCTGATAGGCGTCGTTAGACATTGGTGGAAAGGTGATAATTTACTGGCGGTTATGTAACCGGTATTTTTCAGTCACCCCACGGGCACGTGCATGAAACGCCAGACGAGATAATTCGGGCAAATTAGCGGGCGAGCAGTTTGCTTGTGCGGCGTCGCACTCGCCAGGACTCGTTCTTTCCGTCGAACCTGTAGCCCGCTCGTCCTCGCGCAGCAAGCCTAAACTGGCCGGCTTACATCACCGGGGCCTCCAACCTACCTAGTTGAGAGTCTCCTATGCAGGTTATTGAGCTTGGCCACGAATCGATCACGGATCACTCGTTTTCCGCAGACAAGTCACTGCTGGCGGTCGCCCGTGGGAACCGAGTGGAGCTGTACTTCAACACGGGCTCGCGCTACGAGCTTGGCACCACGCTGGTCGGCCACGAGAAGACGGTGACGGCGGTGGACATCAACATCTTCAATCAGATCGTAACCTGCTCGCAGGACCGCAATGCTCTGGTGTGGGAAGCCCAGAAAGACGGGTCGTGGAAGCAGACGCTGGTGCTTTTGCGCATCAATCGCGCTGCTACGTGTGTGCGCTGGTCGCCGAACGGCGTCAAGTTTGCCGTGGGCTCGGGAGCCAGAGTTATTGCTGTGTGCTACTACGAGCACGACAATGACTGGTGGATTGCCAAGCACATCAAAAAGCCGCTCAAGTCGACGGTGCTTTCGGTCGCCTGGCACCCGAACTCTGTGCTGTTGGCGGCAGCCACTACCGACGGCCACGCCAGAGTGTTCAGCGGCTACGTCAAGGGTGTCGACGAGCGGCCCGAGCCCTCACCTTGGGGCGAGCGGCTGCCATTCCAAACCATGTGCGGCGATTTCACCGACGACAGTGCGGCCTGGGTCCATGATGTCGCGTTCTCGCCGTCCGGCGACGCCCTGGCCTGGGTCACCCACGATTCAAGCGTGCTGGTTGCGTACCCGAGTGCGCCCGAGCAGCCGCCGAGGGCAATTGTTGCCATTGCGTCGTCGTTCCTGCCGTTTAGCTCGGTTGTGTGGACAAACGAAACGCAGCTGGTCGCCGCCGGCTACGACTGCCACCCGGTGGTCTTTGAGGGCACGGAGAGCGGCTGGACGTTCGCGTACTCCATCGACGACCCCGCCAGATCGAACAAGGCGTCCGAGGTGCGCGAGCAGAGCGCGCTCAATATGTTCCGTCAGCTGGATCTCAAGGGCACCCAGGACGTGCAGACCACGCTGCCCACCGTCCACCAGAACGCCATCAAGACGCTGCGGGCGTTCGAGGGCACTGCCAACGTGACCAAGGTTTCGACCTCCGGCGACGGAAAGGTCGTCGTCTTTGCTGTATCTGAGTAGAACCGCCATCTAAATTTAGCTTAGCTTCGGGGTAAAATTGGCTGCATAACCGCTCACGTGATGTGGTCTGGACAGTTTCGCGGGGTGCGGGCGGGCAAGGCCTCCAGCGATTGCAGGCTTAGGCCCACACCATCGCTGCCGACCGCCCCGCCAGGCGGGCGTTCGAGATCAGCGCCGCTGCGCCCCCCGGCTCGCTTTCCGGGTCTGTTTCAGAGCTGGCCAGTGAACCTTCCGGTTAGTCATCACGCAGAAAAGGAGGTCGCCTGCAGAAAATTTACTAACGGAACCCCTCCACTGCCAAAAAAGACGCTTGAGTGTAGGTGTCGAACATCTGTGCTTGGACTCTCGCCACTCGTTTTTCTGTTTAATTTAGTTTAAACACAAGCGTCACGACCGATACGCCCTGTTTGTGTAGCACATGATCGGCCGTCTCTCTTTTTTAGCCATCGCCTCCGTGGTGCTGGCCGCCGATGAAAATGCCACCTCCTACTACGAGACCAGTCCGGCAGCTGGCAACACGTACACCCGGAACCCCACCACGTACAGCCCGACGACATTTTTGTGGACCCCGAGCTCCTCGTCCATAGAGTACGCTGCTGATACGAGCACTGAAATTTCCTCATCGGTGCCCCTCACAAGCACGTACGAGCCGCCGACCAGCTCGCCCGCCACGTCTTCGTCCGTTTATATTCCGCCAACGAGTTCGTCGTCATCGTCCTCTTCGTCGTCATCGTCGTCATCATCGTCGTCGTCGTCCGCGTCCACAACTTCATACGAGACCTCGTCGTCTGTTGAGCAGACCTCCTCGTCCGAGAGCTCCACAGCCTCGAGCACTTTGTTGGAAACGACAACTTCGCATCCTAATGTGGTGACCGAGACGCAGATTTTTTCCGTGACCGTCAACAGCACTATTTCCCACCGGTCCACCTCCACTCACCACAGCAGCTCCAGCACGAGCTCGCCCAGTACCACTTCAGCTACGGCAAAGCCACAAAAGAAGACGAGTAGCAACACTGGTCGTGACGTGGGTATCGGTGTCGGTGTGGGCGTCGGTGTGCCAGTTGTTTTGGCAGTTGTGGGCCTCGCTTGGTTCTACAACCGCCGGCGCAAGTCTGCCGCCTCGTCCTTCATTGACGACAAAGAGGAAGACCCCTTCCAGGCCAACATCGACCAGTACCATACCACCAACCCCGCGGCGAACTTCTAACCCCCCTAAACCAAAAGGGGGTTGGACCCCATATATAACCCCCCACATCCCTACCATTCAGATACCCCTTGTTCGCCCGGCTGTATTTTATCTATTCTTTGTGGGCGGTTCTTCATTTTTTTGAAACTCCTTCCCATTTTCCACCCCTGGAGATACCCCCAAGTAAACTAAAATAACCTCATTTTACTTTCTTAACTTTTTAGTCATGTTGAGATCAACTCTAGTTCGGGTCGCCCGGCCAGGCCTGGCTCGAGCCTGTCGCCACAGCGTGCGCTCGCAGCTCAGCAGACGGCTGGGCCCGGCCAGTGGGCTGGCAGCGGCAGCGTCAGTTCCTGCCCGCTTCAACTCCACCTTGGGCAAAATCGATAAACCCACCTACCAGCTCACGTTCACATGTAAAGCCTGCAACGATCGGTCGAGCCATCTAGTCTCAAAGCAAGCCTACCACAACGGAACAGTTCTTGTTCAGTGCCCGTCTTGCAAGAACCGCCACCTCATTGCGGATCACTTGGGAATATTCACCGACAGCCGCACTACTTTAGACGAGATCCTGGCCGCCCAGGGCAAAAAAATAACCAAAGGAACAATTGACCTAGAGAAGCTCGGTGATCTGGAATGGGAACCGGAGGATGTTAAGCAGCTCAAATAGACGTATTTATCCCGGGCATGGCCTCCCCCATTCTACCTCATTACTCATGGAGGACGTGCTATCAAAGGTGTCTATCGTCGTGTCGCCGGCCCTGGCTCAATTTGCTCCTGTCACTCTGCCCTATGGATACAAGCAAGTCGAGAGTGTGCCCGAAGTTGATACGTCCAGTCTTCCGCTGATCATCTGTGATTCCGACAACTATCTGGCGGGGCTTGCTGCGAAGCACGAAAGCCGCATCGCTGCGATGGACAAGTGGAAGCGAGACAAAAAGCAAAGAGACATTGAAGAAAAGAAGCGGCTGGCTCCGGGATATTTTGACGGCACCAATCGCTTGTTGGTGCCTACCGCAAAGCAGCCACCTCCCGAGACCCCAGAAAACGACGCCCTCTCAATAGAAAACCTCCATCTATCCTAGTTTATTTATCCAAGCATGGCCCGTTTACGTCCCCGCTGGCGTACTACTTGAAGCCTGTTCATAACCTGAGCTGTATGGGAGGTGGGGTCGGCCTGATAGCCCATTAGCACAGCGTCCACCAGCTGGTTTGCACTATCTGGATGCGTGCTTGCAATGGCCCGTTCCAGAACATAAATATCGACTGCCTTTTCCTCGACGTTGGCCGACTGCGAGGCTAAGCCGAAGTCAATAAGCTTGAGCTCACCCGACTCGGAGTCCACCATGGCGTTTGACGTTGTGAGGTCGCCGTGTGCTATATTCAAGGCGTGAATTCCAGCAACCAGCTCGCCGAAGCGAATAAATAGAGGACGAACGCTGGATACATCGCTGGCGTCCCATGTGACCTGCTTGAGCGACTGGCCCTTGATCAGCTCCATGTAAATAAGACCCTGCTTGTCGTCAACCGACACAACTCTGGGGCATGCTATTTGTGCATCGGCAAGCTTGCGAAGAACCCGCACCTCGGCATTTGTTCGGCGTTTTCTCAGCGGCTGGTCAAGCTCTGCGATCCGGTACGGCTTTGGCGGCCGGTACTTTGCCACACACTTGGGGTAGGGCCCCTCGCAGCAGTCCACGACAAAAGTTAGGGCCTCGGCGCCCTGTGCTATGAGCTCAGGCTCTAATTCGGCCATATCAGCCGGGATCCTGACTGAAAATCCTCTGTCAATTAAGGACATGACTAAGGTCTAGACCGTCTAGGCTTTTACGGCTAGTTATGTGCTTTTACGATTACTTTTTCCCCAAACCAAACTGACCAAGAACGTCTGCAACATCTCCGAACGATTCACGCGGTCCCTGCATAACAACAGTCGGGGGCCCACTGGTCAGAACACGACGGGCGACCCGCTGAAGGTCGTTGATAGTTAGGCGATCAACCCGCTCCACCATGTCAGACACAGGCATTTTCGTTCCATTGAGCTGGACTTGGCGGCCCATATCTTCCAGCTCAACCATGCGACTCTCCAAATTCATGAGCAGCTGTGATCGCAGCTGGTTTTTGGCCCGCTCAACCTCCACAGTCTTGAGCTCGCCCGGTGTCATCAGCAGAGACAGCTGCGAGCCGATGATATAGCTAATGTACTGCGCAGCCTGCGGTATGGTCGAACAAGTAATACCAAAGAGGCCGTCATCGCTGTACGAGTGGTTGACGCCCAACGCAGATTCGACGTAGCCGTACTTGTTGAGAACGTTTGTGTAGAGTCTCGAATACATTCCCTTGCCGGGTCCTCCAGCGGAGAATGATCCGCCACCACCAAGTAGCACTTGAAGAGTAGCCAGAGCATATACATCAGGGTCATTAATGCCTACACCCCGGTACAAAACCTGCAGGTGATAAAACTCTGGCAAGCCGCCGATGGGCTTTGGCAAGGGGATGCACGCTTCGCCTCCCGTGTATGTCGATTGCTGAAGAGGCGGGACGGTGATGGTTGATTTAGGCAGGTCGCCCAAGTGTTTGTTTGCCAGGTCGAGCGCTTGATCCGGGGAAACACCGACAAACGCAGCCGTCATACGTGACGGAGTGTACAGCTGGTGGCGGTATTGCCAAAGCATGCCCGGGGTAATTAGAGGCAGCCGCTCCTCGGGACACAGTAGAGGGCGGCCCAGGCCGTCTGAAAATGCAGTAGAGTGGCCAATTTCTGGCAGGATCAGGTCGGGCTTTTGCCAAATCTCCTGAATCTCATACTCCGTGTTGAGAACCTGCTCAGAGACCTCTTCTGGGGTAATGAGCGGCTTGGTGACCGTCTCAGCCAGCAGCTCGACCATCGCGCTGAAATCGTCATGGAAAGTGGACGCTTGGTACAGCATGGTTTCCCGGGATGACGAGCACATGTAGTTGCCGCCCAGGTGCAAAAGATTCTGCTCCATCTGCTCTTGTGTGTAGTCTTTGGTGGATTTGAAGGACAGCCGGTCCATGAGGTGGCTGGAGCCGCTCAGTTGTGGGGACTCGTAGCGGGACCCCGCAGAGATGTAGATGCCGGCGGCCGCAAAATGACAGGGAACCGGCGACGTCACCACTTTGACGCCGTTATCGAGGGTGTCAATACGGTACTCTGGTGACTCCGTTGCATACGAGCGCACCCTCGCCTGGCTCACGCCTCGTCGAACCGTCCGGACCGTTTGGCGAAGCATTCGTGAGTAAGCTAAGCCTGGCCGAAATTTCACATCTCCGTTGAGATTGGTAATAGTAGCGGAGAAGGGCGGGCCCAGAATGGGGCACTGACAAAACGGTCTGGGGGCCATTGGCGGTTGTACGACGCATTTAGCTCACCATACACTTGGCATGTTGCTTGAAATATCTTGTTTGGCGAAAAGTAAAGATGTGACGGGCCAAGAGGTCTTGGAAGGGTTGCAGGTGCGCTAATGAATAGAGCGAGATCCTAGAACCAATAACCATCCGTAATACTACCCGTCACCTGCTCATCATCTCTCCGCCATCCGTAGTGTGCCACAGTCGTGCTGCACCAAAGATGATTCCGAGCCGGGTTATATGCATGGGCTAGGTCCGCATGCCATCTGTTGCAAACACGCTTCGAGAGTTTTCAAAACCTACAGAAGAAAATTTGATGTGTAAACAAAAGGAAATACTTTTTGTACTTGGAAAAAACATGATCGAAAAAAAAAGACACTACAAACGACCAATTGGTGCGCTGCCGGATCAAAATGTCTTTTTCCGGCTATACCTGTGTAATTACCTGAGAACTTTAGGTAATACAGGGCCCAACGAGCACTACTTAAATCACGGCCCCACGGTGCCTAGGATGTATCTCTCTACTAAAACATGTCTCAAGTAATATTCCCCAATGCTGACTTCCAAATGGCTGGAGTGCTGTTCAAACCCAAAAACTTTGACGAGTCTAAAAAGTACCCAGCCTTTGTTGTCGGCCACCCTGGTGGAAGCTGTAAAGACCAGTCTCCAGCGAACTATGCCACAGCTCTGTGCGAGCACGGCTATGTGATTCTCACCTATGATGCCGCCCATCACGGAGAATCGGGTGGCGAGCCTCGATGTGTCGAGCGGCCCCTTGACCGCGTGCACGATTTCGTGGTCGCGCTCGATTATCTCTCGACTCTCAAGTACGTCGATACAGATCGATTGGGTATTTTGGGAATCTGCGCTTCAGGATTCTACAGCTTGTCTGCGACTATGACCGATCGCCGTGTTAAAGCTCTGGCCACAGTGTCGGCTGCAGAAATTGGCCCTGCCCTCACACTGACCTGGGACGGCCAGGGATCATTGAAAGAGCGTGCTACTGGTACCTTAAGTGCAATTGCTGATGCTCGTCGCGCTCAAGCTGTTGGCGGTGACGTTGTGTATGTTTCTTACTCTCCAGACAGCGCTGAGTCTGCTCCTCACCCTGAGCTTGCAGAGGCCTACGAGTACTACAAGACCCCTCGTGCGCAGCACAAGAACGCACCTGGAACCCTTCGCCTTGACTCGCTTGCTGAGTGCATCCAATGGGATGGTGCCGCCAGAGTCGGCGAGCTCCTGACTGTGCCAACCCTCTTTGTGCGTGGTGAGAAGGCGGCCTCCAGATGGCATATTGATCAACTCATCCCCAAGCTTACAAGCAAATACGAGACTGTGGACATTCCCGGCGCCAGTCATTTCGACCTGTACGACAAGCGCGTCGACGATGCTGCTCCGCACATTGCAAACTTTTTCAAAAAGTATCTTTAAGCAACTTTATAGTTAGTGAATTTATATGCAACTTGTTTTTTCTATGCCGCGGCCAAAGGCTTGCCCCGATTCTCAAACCACCGAACTGCGCGGGACGTCTGCTCATGGAAGGTGAGCACGAGAACAGTATGTGGGCCGACTCGCAGACCTTGTGCCACGAAACCTTTGTAAAGAGCAGTGGGTCCCTCGAATGCAACCGTTTTGTAAAAGCAGTCAAAGACTCCCTTGTACATGGAGCCCTTTTGGTTGTAAATACGGGTCATGACCACATCGAACGGATTCATGACGACAGCGACCCCCAGCCCGGAAACGACACTAGCCGACAAGTGCGTAGGGGGTCCATCAGGCATCAGTTTGCGGTTTTCAATGAAATGTTTGGCCGCCGTGTATATGGGCAATTGGACGCTTGATCCTGCGCCAGTTCGCAACACTGCCGCTCCGCAGCCTCGATACAGAGCACCGACACCGCCTTCGCTCCAAAGAGCCTTCAAAGCGTGCCACGTGTTGCGGTACTGCGTCTGCTGTCCAATTGCAAACACCGGGGAGTAAGACTGCATGCGGGTTTTGATCAAGAATAACGGGGACCCGAAAATAGCACCCGCCATACCAGTGACAGTAGCAACAAAAATAGACACACCGTATACCTGTTTATTGGGATCATAGCCCATCAGATCATTAGTTCTTCGCCGAATTGGTTCGTAAAGTCCCACGCGGGTGCCGTTCAAGCAAGTCTGGTAGATGAATGCTGGGCCCAAACCACGCTGCAGGCCACGGATACCTTCGTAATGTCCTACAAGCTTCAAACTTTGCCAAAGCCCAGTATACACTCGAGGGGCGTTGGATTTGGCCATCAGTTCTCCCTGAAGCTGCACTCGCGTCTTGATCACCTCGATCGGATTCGTGCACACTACAGCCATGCAGGCCGCGCTGGCACCAGCAACAAACCCTCCAATTGCACTCAACTCAGCCATGCGAAATTCAACAGCTCAAAAATGCTCCCTGGAGAATGACTGGTGTAGATCGGTAGTGAAAAACCTGGGTCGCCGATTACGGCATTGTATGCCGTGCGGGGAGACGGATGGGGTGTTGAGTACTCCAGATCGACTAGTGGGAGGGATTGGGCAGAGTCCGTTGAAACGGGCACTGTCACCGCGCTGCTGACCTGAGCAGGCTCTCGTGCACTTCCTTTTTGTATGCATCTGTACCGCGAGCTCACTTCGCCCACGGTAGTGACGCATTCGGTGACTTGTAATTTATCTAGTGAGGAAGAGTCCTTAGTAGTTGTACGTGGAAACTCGCTTCTGCAGGTTTACAATCTCAAGCCCGTGGAAAAAGTTGGTGCGCATGGCGGAGACAACTTGTCTGAGCTGACGCTCGAGACAGTTCGCATTGCATCGAAGCTTGTGTTTGTCGCCGAGTTCCCCATGGACGGATATGTGGTTTCGCTCCAGAAATTCCGCCGATCAGATTACCCGAACGACCTCATTGTGGTGGTGTTCAAGTACGCAAAAATGGTGGTTTTGGCGTGGGATTCCAAAACTATGGCGTTCGAGCCGGTCTCAATGCATTATTACGAGGGAGATTTGCCAAAGGAGCACTTTTTTAACCCAGAATTCCAATGCAAACTCTCTGTGGATTCAAGCTACCACTCGATGTCGCTGCTTTACCAACACGACCGCCTAGCTATGCTGGCCTTTCCCGTGCTGAGTGACGTTGATGTCTTGGAAATCCCCTTTTTACCCAGTGTGCTCTTGAATGCGGTTGACCTGGATGTGTTCTGTACCAATATTGTTGATATGGCGTACCGCCATGGCTACGCAGAGCCCACTCTGAGCGTGCTGTTCACACCAAAACGTACGTGGACTGGTACTTTAGGTCTGGAAAAGGATAATGTGACCTACATTGTGGTATCAGTAGATATGCAGCGTCGTCGCTCTACCCTGCTCTCCAAAATCTCAAACCTCCCCTACGACATCTGCCAGATCGTGCCGTTAGAGGAGTCTATCGGAGGCACCCTACTGCTTGGCGCAAACTCTATTGTCTTGGTCGACTCCTTGCAAAAGACCGGTGTCAACGAATATTCCAGCTTCGAAAGTGAGCTGTCCATTGATTTGAATCAGGCGCAGATTTGCCAGCTCCCAAACACGTCTCACGTTCTCATTGCAACTCAAGCAGGTGTCCTATACGACCTCGAGTTTAGCGTTTATGGGAAAAAAAAATTCAAAATTACGGAGTTGACTGATATCGACAAGTGTTTCCAACCCACCACTATGAGCTGTATAGGCTCAAACTTATTTATTGGTTGTCAAGGGTCCAATGCCAAGCTCTTTTCATGGTCATACGCCCAAATTAATGGCACTTCCGTGGTAGTAAACGACCCGGTCGACGAAATTGATGAAATATATCATGCATTGGAAACAAACAACGTTAAAGAGGGCAAAATACTCTTTTGTTTAGACGACGAGCTGGCATCCACAGGGCCCATGGGTGCGCTCACGTCATTAGGTGACACTCTTACTGTTGCTACAGGATACGGTACGTCTGGTGGGTTCACTAATCTCTTCAAAACTGTCTGGCCCATTCATCGCGATAGGTTGTCTTTAGGGCGCCCCCATAATATATGGGGCCTGGGATCTTACCTTCTTGCCAGCTTTGCTACAGAGTCTAGGCTTTTCCGTGGTCCAGATTTCGACCCAGTAACGGTTGGAGACTTTGATCTCCGAAACCCTACTCTAGAGGCACAGCTTGTCAAGGATAACCGAATTGTGCATGTTCATACCCGAGGTATAGCAACATATGATGCTCAATTCACAAAATTGGCTCACATCGAGTTCGACAGCGAGGCAGTCATTGCAATTGCATCTTCAGACGTTATCGTTGTTCAGTTTGAAGGTTTGATCAGGGCCTACAATCATTCCCTTACCGAGGTGTCTGCCTCACAAGGCCAGGATGCCATTGGCGCCTTTGGTACACAAATGATGTCAAGTCAAGCAGGGCATGTGATGATTGGCAGTAGCGACTACTATTTTGGCTCGTTTGCTAGATTCGTATCCATCTGCAATGAGCCGGTGTTGAGTGATGAACCGGTTACTCAAGTAGTAGCGGCTAAGCTTGGAGACAATATCTTAGCAAACAACGTTTTGGCAATCATTATCGGGGATGTGCTTTCAATTTACCAACCATCAGGTGACTCTTTTGTCAAAGTGTTTGCAACAACGGTGGGAGGAGATGCAGTGGTTGTTCCTCTGAACATCAGCAACTACCAAGTACTATTTGTAACAGGCAGGCACCCTCATATTCTGATGAAGAGCACAGCCTCCCCAATAAGATGCCACCCTTTTGGCCATCGCAGGGTTGTGTCGATCACTACCCTGGATACGGACATTGTTTACACAGACTCCAAATATCGAGTTAATGTGGTCAGTTTGGATGAAGCTTTAGACTACACGACCTCGGAATGGCCTCATCAAAAGTTTACATTGGGAGAGCCCATATCTGCCCTTGCATTTGACCGCAACACTAACTTGCTTTTAGCAGGATGCAACACACCGGTGTCTCGGGAAGCTCTACTTGACAACGGGCAACCCATGGAAGGCACCAAGCCAGATGCCTCATTCAAAGGGAATACCTTTCAAGGTCGGCTTAAATTGGTTTCACCAGATACTGGTTATGTTTATACTGATTTCGAGTTTTCTGATAATGAGGCGGTCGTGTCTATTGAGGTGGTCACTTTACAAATGGGCGAGTTGGCAGATCTTCGTGAAGATTTTGTGGTAGTTGGAACAGCCCTTCTTCTCAATGAGGATGAGGCTTCCAATGGTTATTTCCACATGTTCGCAATCAAGGAGGTCCACTCTGATATGAAAGGGTACCGCCTTGAAAAGGTATCAGAGGAGCTCGTGCGCGGTGCTGTAACAGGCATATGCGAAATCGAGGGAGGTGGGGTTGTGGCCGGACAAGGTCAAAAGATAATGATGAGACGCTATCGTGATGTTTATTCCATCGAGCCCGTAGCTTTTTACGATGCGGCAATTCACATTGAGGATCTGAAATCATTGAGAAACCTTATCGCAGTCGGGGATGCCATTCAAGGAGTGTCTCTTTTAAGCGCAGGGGTCGAGCCCTACCGCATGGATCTTTTGGCCAGGGATCATGATTTTGATACTAAAGTGGGTTGTTTGGAATTCATCTCCAGTGAAGATCGGAATGATTTGCATATTGCGATCGTCGACATCAATGGGCGCCTGCGCATAGATCAGTTTGACCCTGACACTCCCTCGAGTATGGGAGGATCACATTTGGTGACGCAATCTGAGATTTTTATCGGCAGGCGGGTGAATGCCATGACTTTGGTTTATGGCGAGGGCAAGAGTTTGGTGCCCATTGGAGGATCTACGGACGGTGTGCTTGTTACTGTGGAACCACTGAATGAAATGGACTTCAAAGCCTTGTACGTGGTCACAGAGCAAATGGCAGACAAGGAGCAAAGCATTGCTTGTTTGAACCCTCGTGATTACCGTACATTAGGCTGTAAACCCAGCCCACAAGCTGTTATCGACTTCCGGGCTGCACAAAATTTCTTGATGTTGACACGAGATCGTCAGCTGCATTATTCGAGGAAACTTGGTCAACATGGCTTGATCCAAGTTTTTGACGCAATTACTCGTCAAAGCTTTGACTTTTAACTGTTTATTGTGAATTATCTTTCCCTATATCCATCTAGCTAAAAAATAATAGGTTGGTAAACGTTTGCATACAGAACTTTTAGAATTCTGTTGGCTTCCAGCCGCCTATTTCGATGTACAGGTCCAGCCATCTGAAGCCTTCTTTACGCCCACCTTCGTACATGATGGGTTGAAGAATGCATACCCAACAACTTTATCCGTGCTTGGACGCTAGTGCAGAATCAAGATTGAGTAAAATATTTCGCAAGGGGTTGGGGACATGAAACAATGGTTATGGGTATAGATGAACCCCTGAGCAAACAGCTACTGATCTATCGGGTTCATACATGCAGAATGTGCTATCTGGCACGTTGCGCATATGTTTTGCGCCCACCACAGTCATCGATGCATGAGGCCAGCCATCTGTTGAACTGGAATGAACCGGAGATTTGGGAGTGTGACGCGCAATGAGCGAAAAGCAGATGTGACAATCTCACAATAGTTAAAATAAACTGACGGCTCTGCTGCACGCAATAATTGATCCAAGTCATGAATGCGTTGTGTCAAAATCGACTGGGTCCACATACGCATTTCGAGATCCAGGGGTACGGGCGTCCGCACTCCTTTCTCCTGCAGGTATCATGCATCTCATTGTGGCTGGTCCTCGTCAGGTGCTTTGACCGGAGTCTCCTAGCTTTTGCTTGAAAAACAAATTACAATGTTAGGTCGCTCGTACAGTCTCCGTCATTGTCAAAGACTAATTTATATAAATCCGCGATGTTTTAATGAACTTCCCGATTCTAAAAACCTGCTACACTCTTGACGAAACCGGAAGACTTTATGCATGCGGGTGTCACTCAAGGCACCTGCAGTATTGTTGCAGCGTTGAGCATATCTCCTTCTTTCAACAACGATCGGCAGTAAATACTCATAGTCCCAGAAGGGGCTCTCCATGCAGGTCATCTTACTCATAGCAGAACTATTTGTTTTTCATACCACAGCTAGCATTTTACGTTCATCATTCTGATGGGACCAAGGTTGCTGAGGTTCGTAGCTATAGCGTTGAAATATTACTGTAATATTAGACCTCAATTGAAGAAGATATGATGGTCAAATTTGTGCGAGAACAGTGCCATAATTCGATATGCCTGAGTTTGGGAGTTTTCACAAACATTTCAGGAATTTGAGCTAGATAAATTTAAATGGAAATTTCAACTTTCAATATTCAAAGAATACGTCAAAGTCTTCAGAATAACGCGGCTATGTGTCAAAAGGAGATTCATTTCTTTCACCTGACACAACGGCCAATATGCAAATGCAAAGCACAGACGCGTTGTGCATGCATACGTCAATACAACCGCTACCCCGAATGAGGCCTGCCCAAACCTCGTTCCCCGATCGACATGCAGAATGTGGCTAGACTATAATAAGGGATACCAAGTCCACATGCCGTTTGATCCTAGTTTTCCATTGCTCGAATGAAAGCTGCGGTGCTGATCTTGACACTCCTGTTGAGCACGGCCAACGGTCAACGCTATATCCCTTTCAATCGTAGGGCCCAAGCATCGTACTCAAACACGTCCTCTTCTGCTTTACCAACCAGTGATGACTCGTCGGCAGTGATTCCTTCGCTAATTTACTCCAATACCAGCAGTATTGCGTCTTCGACATACTTATCCACAGAACTTTCCTCCAGTGTTGTGGCCTCAAGTGCTGCACCCTCAAGCGCTGCACCCTCGAGTACTGCCTCAGTTGCCAGCTCAGCTCCCGCCTCAGCTGCTAGCTCAGCTCCTGCCTCAGTCGCCAGCTCGGCCGCTGCTTCAGTTGCCAGTTCAGCTGCTGCCAGTTCAGCTGCCAGCTCGGCTGCCAGCTCGGCTGCTGCTTCAGTTGCCAGTTCAGCTCCTGCCTCAGGTGCCAGCTCTGGCGCTCCTTCAGTTGCCAGCTCCGCTCCCGCCTCAGCTGCTAGCTCCGCTGCTGCTTCAGTCGCCAGTTCGGCTCCTGCCTCAGTTGCCAGCTCTGCCGCGCCTTCAGCTGCTAGCTCCGCTGCTGCTTCAGTCGCCAGTTCGGCTCCTGCCTCAGTTGCCAGCTCTGCCGCGCCTTCAGTTGCCAGCTCCGCTCCCGCCTCAGCTGCTAGCTCCGCTGCTGCTTCAGTCGCCAGTTCGGCTCCTGCCTCAGTTGCCAGCTCTGCCGCGCCTTCAGTTGCCAGCTCCGCTCCCGCCTCAGCTGCTAGCTCCGCTGCTGCTTCAGTCGCCAGTTCGGCTCCTGCCTCAGTTGCCAGCTCTGCCGCGCCTTCAGTTGCCAGCTCCGCTCCCGCCTCAGCTGCTAGCTCCGCTGCTGCTTCAGTTGCCAGCTCTGCCGCGCCTTCAGTTGCCAGCTCTGCCGCGCCTTCAGTTGCCAGCTCTGGCGCTCCTTCAGTTGCCAGCTCTGGCGCTCCTTCAGTCGCCAGCTCCGCTCCCGCCTCAGCTGCTAGCTCCGCTGCTGCTTCAGTCGCCAGTTCGGCTCCTGCCTCAGTTGCCAGCTCCGCTGCTGCTTCAGTTGCCAGCTCTGGCGCTCCTTCAGTCGCCAGCTCCGCTCCCGCCTCAGCTGCTAGCTCCGCTGCTGCTTCAGTTGCCAGCTCTGGCGCTACTTCAGTTGCCAGCTCTGCCGCGCCTTCAGTTGCCAGCTCTGGCGCTCCTTCAGTTGCTAGCTCCGCTGCTGCTTCAGTCGCCAGTTCGGCTCCTGCCTCAGTTGCCAGCTCGGTCGCTGTTTCAGTTGCCAGCTCTGGCGCTTCTTCAGTCGCCAGTTCGGCTCCTGCCTCAGTTGCCAGTTCAGGTGCTCCTTCAGTTGCCAGCTCCGCTCCTGCCTCATCTGCTAGCTCCGCTGCTGCTTCAGTCGCCAGTTCAGCTCCTGCCTCAGTTGCCAGCTCTGCCGCGCCTTCAGTTGCCAGCTCTGCCGCTCCTTCAGTTGCCAGCTCCGCTCCCGCCTCAGCTGCTAGCTCCGCTGCTGCTTCAGTTGCCAGCTCTGGCGCTCCTTCAGTCGCCAGCTCCGCTCCCGCCTCAGCTGCTAGCTCCGCTGCTGCTTCAGTTGCCAGCTCTGGCGCTCCTTCAGTTGCCAGCTCTGCCGCGCCTTCAGTTGCCAGCTCTGGCGCTCCTTCAGTTGCCAGCTCTGGCGCTCCTTCAGTTGCCAGCTCTGCCGCGCCTTCAGTTGCCAGCTCTGGCGCTCCTTCAGTTGCCAGCTCTGCCGCGCCTTCAGTTGCCAGCTCTGGCGCTCCTTCAGTTGCTAGCTCCGCTGCTGCTTCAGTCGCCAGTTCAGCTCCTGCCTCAGTTGCCAGCTCTGCCGCGCCTTCAGTTGCCAGCTCTGCCGCTCCTTCAGTTGCCAGCTCCGCTCCCGCCTCAGCTGCTAGCTCCGCTGCTGCTTCAGTCGCCAGTTCAGCTCCTGCCTCAGTTGCCAGCTCTGCCGCGCCTTCAGTTGCCAGCTCTGGCCCTCCTTCAGTCGCCAGCTCCGCTCCCGCCTCAGCTGCTAGCTCCGCTGCTGCTTCAGTTGCCAGCTCCGCTGCTGCTTCAGTTGCCAGCTCTGCCACTCCTTCAGTTGCCAGCTCGGCTGCTCCTTCAGTAGCCAGTTCAGGTGCTCCTTCAGTTGCCAGCTCTGGCGCTCCTTCAATTGCCAGCTCTGCCGCGCCTTCAGTTGCCAACTCTGGCGCTCCTTCAGTTGCCAGCTCGGTCGCTCCTTCAGTTACCAGTTCTCGCGCTCCTTCAGTTGCCAGCTCAGCTCCTGCTTCGGCCGCCAGCTCAGCTCCTGGCGTATGCCCAGTCAGAACTGCGTCGGGTATTGACGCATACGCTACTCAGATCTCAGAAGATGCCGCATCAATCGAAGCTGTTATTGCAACTTCTGGCGAATGGGCACCACTCTTGGTCACCCTTGGGTGCGATATTGACGGTTTAGACAATGCGGTATTGGATACTCCAATTTCGTCTACCTCTGTCAACAATCTTTTGGGAGCTTTCGGCACAGTGACATCCGCACTGGTATCTCTGTTCAGTGACATTTCTAATGCTGCCAACAGCAACCAGCAGCCGGTTCGTCGCTTAGCCGCACGAGCAGCTGATGGTGGTGATTCGGTTGTCTCAGTAGGAAACGAGCTGCTTCAACTTCAGAGCGATATCTACACTGATATTTACAGCACTGCCAATAGCTCTCAAATGAGTTCATTTATGTCTATGGCTTCGTCCCTCAACTCTGCTGTTTCCCAAGCTGCTAGCGCTTTAGGTGCTACCTTTACTGGGAGCTTCTCTGCTCCTAGTGTGGCATCTTCCTCAATGGCTTCGCAAGGCTCCTCTGCTCCTGCTACGGCATCTTCCGCAGTGGCTTCGCAAAGCTCCTCAAATCAAACTTCGGCGTCTATGACATCGCAAGCGGCTACGTCGACTACGCAGCAAACGGCTGCATCTGTCACATCACCATTGACAAGCGCTGTGTCTCAGCCCAACATGGAAAGCCGGGAGCCCACCACTACAGTGGTCACTGCATTCACTACGTATTGCCCCGAAGCTACTACACTATGTCCTGGAAACGGAAAGTGTTACACTGTTACTGAAGCCACCACCCTGACAGTAACTGACTGCCCTTGCACACTCGTGAAACCATCGCCTACTGTGATTAGCGCCAACTCGGGATCAAATCCTGGCGAAGTCAATGCAGTGTCCACTACAGTGGTCACTGAATTCACCACGTATTGCCCCGAAGCCACTACACTCTGTCCTGGAAACGGAAAGTGCTACACCGTTACTGAACCTACCACCCTTACAGTAACTGACTGCCCTTGCACACTTACGAGAGAGTCACCTACTGTGACTAGTCCAAACTCGGCCCCTGAGCCTACTGGCGAGACCGGCACATCCCCACAACCACTCCCAGTGGGTAGCAGCGCAGGACCTGGAGCCCAGCCTTCAAACAAGGGGTCTTTTGCTCCCGCTGTAAGTCCCGTTGAAACTTCTCCCGCTGTAGGTCCTGTTGGATCTTCTCCCGCTGTAGGTCCTGTTGAAACTTCGGCTCCCGGTACCTCCGCTGCTTTGGCTAATAGTGCCGGTAAGGTGTCTTCTGGCTATCTTCTTATATTGATTCCTTTGGTGTCGATTCTTCTATAGGTTTTCTTAGACCAACTTATTTCCTAATTTCAAATTAAGGAGTTGCATGGTCCCTCTGTCAGTGTGCACGCAAACAAACTTATAAAACCCAATGATAAATACGGTGCAATCCTTGTGAACAGAAGCGTTGTTAAGCCAAACAAGTATTGCATCTCTAACAGGGACGCTGGTATACCATGCACTCTAACTAGCATGTAACTAACGATATAAAACATGGAAATTTAATTCAATTGTTGCAAGTTACACAACCACTCTAAATTATATCGATCTTTTTAAGGGAAGAACACACCATTCCGAAATAGCTTCAAATGGCGGATTTGTACCAATTAGGGATTTGTCATGCTGTTCTACTTTTTTTTGGCCCTGACGTTGATCGTTGAGCCATGGCTGGAGAAGTTCACTTTGGAAACTTTACTTAGAGGCTTACCTGTTGTCTGTTCATTTGCAACTTTGACATGCTTGGTCAAACGCTTCGACTTGTACAGCGCTGTCCTGTCAACGGTGTTAAGCGTTCTGTTGACCCCCGCCATGCTTGCTGGTCTAGTTCTTTTTGGAGGTTCTCTGGTCGAACGTCTTCATTTGTCGATTTTGGCGGCGGCTCATATTTCCGTCATTGGACTCCAACCGTTCATTTTCACCTACGGACTCGATTCCGAGGCGTGGTCCCGGGCCCTCTCTTTCAGTCTTCCATTCGATGACGCTTACCTAGGATTTTTGGGTGCGTTTGTCGGAGCATGGCTTGGCGCCGTACCAATTGTGCTAGACTGGGACCGGACTTGGCAAGAATACCCGATCACAATTGTTGTTGGAGCATACCTTGGATCCAGCATCTGCGGGTTTTACGGTGCAGTGCGAGAAAAAACCGATGCTGAGATCAAACTCGCGGCCAAGCTCAGCGCCAAAGCAGAAAAAAGCAGTAAGGTTCAACGGCAGGCCAAGAAAAAGCTCGACTAAGTATTGCATAGCTGGATGAGAAGTCATAACTATCTGGCGGAAATAAGAACATACGGACATAAAGTATTCATATAATAAAATAAAGTAATTCAATAAGAACAACGTGAAATGCAAAGTGGAGATTAGAGTAGACCCAAGACAAGGGCGTGTGCAGCTGCTCGCCCCATGAGGCGGCCATAGGAAATGACAAAAATTGGCGCTGCCAACAAATGCCCTTTAACCTGAGCAGCTATTTGACGCTCTGGCCATTGCAGAAATACTCTTACGATTCCGTGGGAGTCGGCAGCGACGAAGCCTCTACCTTGAACACCGGCGAGGGTGAGCGCAGATTGGGGAATGAACTGGGCTACTGAGACGGCGGCGTGATGAGAATGGACCCACTCGTTTTGGGTCACTTGGCGGCGGAGTCCTTCTGGCTGAGTGTTCATGTGCCAAAAATATGTCCGGTGGTCTTCGGAACCACATATGATCATATCACCATCGTCTGACATTGCAGCAGCAGTCTGCGAATAATCGTTGCGGGGGCCCCTTAGTCGACGCTCTAAAGAGAGGTCATTAAGATTATAGAGACGTACGCGGCTTGAGTTTGAAGTAACAAGCACAAGCGGTTGAGGGTGATCTTTCCGCTTGACCACTGTTGTGCCGGTGATCTTGAGGGTGCCCTTAGGCTTACGAGCGCTTCCGACTTGGGCGGTCTTTAAGATTTTCAAACGATCCGTTCGGCACAAAACCAGTTTACCATTGTAACATCCGGCCAGGCAAGAGGTGCCTTCGGGAGAGAAAGAGACTGCTGTGACCATGTCCGGCATTTGTCTAGAATACACCACCTCGCGATCTGGGATGCTCCAAAGAGAGATCTGCTTATCCAGTGAGCCTGTGAGAAAGAATCTATCATCAGTAGGGTGGAAAGCCACTGACGAAACAATATCTGGGGGATGGAACACCGCCAAGCACTTGTTTCGTTCCACGTGCCACAGGCGCACCGTGCGATCCAGTGATGCAGTTATAATGAAATTGTTCTTGCTCCACTTTAGGTCTGTGATTTCATCAGTGTGATCGGAGAAAATCTTGATTGGTTCTTTGGCAAACAGCGGGCTTTCGCTGGGAGTGAGAGATGTGGCGCGCTCTGTGGCGTCGAGAGTTCTCCAAATGCGAATTTTACCGTCCTGGCCGGCTGTGGCCAGATGTTTACCATCGGGAGAAAACTCAAGAGCCCAAACTGCTTGAGATCTCTGTGTTTTCTCCTCGCGCAAGTCATGTTCTTCCACGATCACAACTTGCTGCAGCGTCGATGAGGCCTTGTTGGACGTATGGACAGCCTTTACTTTGGAACGTTTGTATTTCGACTGTTTTTCGGACACCTTAGGCGCAATAGAGTTCGATTGATCTATTGAGTCGTCCGAGCTTGTTGCGGGGTCGCCTCCACGGAACAGAGATTTGAGATTCGGGAGATTCTGGTTGCGACAACGAGAGCGTCGCCCTAACTCGACCCTTAGCGGGTCGAGGACAACGCTGGACTCACTCAATGATGAGCCTTCCAGAGCTATTCTCATAGTAGTAAGAGTGTGTCGCAATTATCTCGGTGAGAGAGAGAACCACCCGCGGGAGAAAACTTAAACGCCGTTAGAGGGCAAGGGTTGTACAGGATGACTCGTTAAATGCAGGAGGCGATATCCATTGCCTCAAGGTTTGGCTTTAAAATACGAGGGGCTGCCAAATGAGCCACAATACCTGGTTCATCGAGAATTCCGATGATATTTTCTCGAAACGCCTGCTTGGCTACTAGAGCTCCATCCTCTGTTGGCGCTTGCAAATCGTTGCTCCGCACGCCATCCACAAGCCAAGCATCGGCCAATCCGTTTTCGTTACCGAAGCCTTACACATCTTCAGCGGCAGGATTCGTCACCCTGCTAGGGCAGTGGCAATTACCGGTCCACCGCTGAAATATGTCAAAAGGAATTGGGCTTAGTAACCGGAGGCTTTGGAAAAAAAAAATGGCCACTGTAGGAACGCTCCCCGCACCAGTTGTCACAGATAATGGAGACGGTTTGAAGACCATCGTGTTCTACCGCCTGAACGAGGCCGGCAAAAAAGTGAAGGTCACGCAAAAAGTTCGTGAGACCGAAGTCGCCAGGTCCATTGAGGGCCAGATCGAAGCCCGCCGCCAGTGGGCGTGTTACCGCAACAAGGACGCTCCCGCGCCCAGTGTCGAAGAGAATGTCCAGCTTAAACTGTTCCCCAAGACCGCCAAGCCCGAAAAGGGCCAGGACGCTGCGCCCCCCAAGCGCCGCGTTGCCAGCATCGTCTGCCGAACTTGCCAGGGCGACCACTACACAAACGCATGCCCCTACAAAGAAAAGCTCGGTATTGTCACCGAGCCTGCTATTCCCGAGACAACCCCTGGTCGCTATCAGCCCCCCACGCGCGGTGGCATGTATGCCCGCGAGGAGCGCGACGACTCTGCTACTTTGCGGGTATCTAACTTGCCTGACTCCATCAACGAGGACGTTTTGGCTGCCTTATTCGGCCGCAATGGCCGCCGTATTGTCCGCTGCCACGTAGCACGCAACAAGGACACTCATCAAAGCCGTGGCTTTGCCTTCATTGCATTTGACACTCGCGAGAGTGCTGAAAGAGCCAAGCAGGAGCTCCATGGTAAGGCCATTGGCCATTTGGTTATGTACGTCGACTTCCCAAGAAAATAGCGGGATCTAGAGGTGTTCCCAAATGTTAAGTTATATAGGAAGGTATTATTTCTTAATGTATTCCAACTTTTCCACTCCTTCAGGCAGTCCCGCGGCTGGCTTGAGAATATCCAGCGTGCTTTGGACTAGCTCATTAGAGATGGCAGCGCAGTCGTCACTAAACTTGACAGTCTTCAACCAGTTCCGAGCATCTTCCTCGGAGTAGTCCAAGTTGGACGTAATGTACGAAATAGCCTCGTCTGGGTGGGATCGGAAGTAGGCGATGCCTTCGTTTACAGCATCAACAAAAGCCTTCAAGGAGCCACTATCAACGTCGGGGCTGGCGGAAATAACCCACGAAGGCCAGGGCGTGTAGATCTCGCCCACTCGCTTGATCTCGCCCGAGTCATAGTACTTTTTCGAAGTGAAATGCTCCCACATGAAAAAGTCCGTGGGGTGCGCAGCGCCAACATGATTGACGCCGTCGCGCAAGTTTTTAAAGTCATTGTTGATCTCGTACTTGAATGGGGTTGTCCAGCCTTTCTGTAGCTGAAGCACCTTGGCCATAACGTCAGACCCAGAGCCCATTCGGCTTACTCCAACAGTCGAGCCTTCAAGCTCGTCAACGCTGCGGATATCCCGTTTGCTGCCAGTGCTTACTGCCCAGCACAGAGGGGACTGAACGTACACACCCACCAGTTTATAGCTTTCGTTTCCAGCTGCAATTCCCCGAATAAATGCCTCGGTGAGACCTACCGACACATTGATGGTTTTGTCACCCAGGCACTGAATCAGGTGCCCACTACCCGAAGGGAAAGGCTTGAATTCAACATCAACATTATGTTTAGCATAGAAGCCATGCTGCAAAGCAAGAAAAAGTGGAGTGCTGAAGTGCTCAGGAACATAGCCAACAACCAACTTCATTTTAGAAACTAATTTGTCAGGATAGCTACAACGGTTATTAAGTGACTCTTAGGTGTCTACAAACGCTTCGGGCAAATCGGATTGGTCTCGCAGAGAGTTGTAATGGGCTCCCAGTCCAAAGATTTTTGTATAGTATGCTAGAAATAGGGGCTCGCCAGCTGCTTCTTCGTTTACCGTCATGACCGGCTGCGAGGCAAAGTACACTTTGATAGGAGTCGAAAACACTTCGGAGAGGGCTTGGATTTCAATTTCACCACCCCACATTGCTGTGTTTTCGAGAGTGTCACAATAAGTATCGATGTCAATTAGCTCGCCGGTTTTTTCATCCAACAAGAACGAGGCAAACTCTTTCGGGTGCTTGCGGATGTGCTCGGCTGCCTTGCTTCTAAGAGTTTTGACGTCGACCACTAGCGACATGCGCTGATCCAGCTGGTCGGCAATTGAAGCAAACAGACAATGGCCATCTGCCTCAATTTCAAAGACCTCCAAGCCATCGCCGGCGATCTTTGCTGCCATAGCCTCAAGCTCGCGCCTACGGTGATTGGGCATATTACCTGCCTCGACTTCCGCTTCGGCCACAAGCTCACTCAAAGCTTTGTTTCTGGCAGTAATTTTCTCCTTTCGCCTATTGCGACGGGGCTGCGGCTGCTGTGGACCAGGGACCGTCGGCGAAAGCTCGGACTTGACAACATCTTTAGCAATCTCCTGTCCGGCCAGAGTGGACTCACTAATGCCCATTTCCTCTAGAAGCTGGGCAGCCAACTCCACTGCATCATCCTGCGCCTCTTCTCTATATTCCAACTCAGGCTGGGGTTTCGTCTTTGCTTTCCCCATGATCCTCGTGGGCAGTCGGTGTGTAAGCGGAAGATGGATTTTATAAAGTAAATGATTATAATAAATAGCGAGATCTAGGCGACAGATCGAGTTGGAATACTTGACTGAAATCAAGACACATATTGGTGCCCAGTGGCATCGCCGCCTAGGGCAATTTCCACTTTACTGGCCGGTGCCTGTTCAAGCACTCTATGAACCCGCTTGTGACGAACCATTTGGTCTCGACGGGCGAATTTGCGTCCACAAACTTCGCACTGGAACGCAGGCTCTACGTGTGTTTTCATGTGCTTTGCCAGGTTGCTAGACTCCGAGAACCGTTTGCCGCACCACGGAACCTTGCAAACAAGCGGCTTCTCCCCCGTGTGTACACGCTTGTGCACGGTAAGAGAGGAGTGTGACGAGAATCTTTTATCACAGACCTCACATTTGAATGGCTTTTCACCAGAGTGCGTGCGCAGGTGCTGCTTTAACACACATTCTTCCGCGAAGAGTCTGTCGCATATATAACACTTGTACTCACGATGCTTGGTATGCACTTGCAAGTGTCTTATCAGTTTTTGCCGTTGTGGAAACGGCCGTTCGCAGCGCTCGCACCCCTCCCAGCCACAATAGTACTCACTCAGGCGAGAAGCCACATGGGTACTTTCGATGTGTTCTTTCAGCTCAGCAGTTGAACCAAACACATGGTTGCAGGGAACTCCAGAGACAACCCATTTACATTGAATGTTCTCGCCGTGGGTTAGAGGGGAGCTCACTGAGGAGGTCCGGGGAGAATGCGTCAAATCAGGCAGGTTGCTGAGGTTGGGCACTGAGGTTATCACTTCGCCATGGTTATGCACTCTAACATATCCATGGCCGTTTCCTTGGTGTTTATGGATATGTCCGCAGGTATCACTGTGCGTTAGTACAGCCGAGTTGTCGTCATTGGTTGACAGCAGAGAATGCTCCTGTCCAAGATCGTACTCAGGACAGCCACTCTCTGCATAATGGGGATGGAAGGAGTCTTGGAAATGATAATTCTGCCAATGGGACATCATGGAGTCAACTGTAACGAACGTTTCGTGACAAGAATCCCAGTGGCATGCAATGCCTTCGCCATAGCTATTTTCAATGGGAACAAGGTGCTCGGAAAGATGGCTTTTGAGATGGAGATCAAGTTCTGTTTGCGAGGCTAGTGGGAAATCCTCACAGTGAGTATCCCAATGGCAGTACAGAGGAGCTTTATCCGGATCTGATGGATTCTGCAGATCTGGAGTCAATTCTCCAGTGCGCTGCATTCTCATAGATCTAGCCGGAAAGATTCAATAAATATTCTTGCAAAAGTTTCAGCGCCGATGGTTTTCAAAACGACTCGGCTTTTTTTTGTCTTTTTAAACGCACCGCTTGATGGTAACCGTATGGGTACTTATATGATTCAAGGCAAAGTTTTGGAACAGGTACCAACAGGGTACCCAATTATTAATAATAGTACTGATGTTCAGGCGCTGATATCCGCCAGGTGCATCGTTTTTTTACGGAGAAGCTCGATTAAAACAACATAAACACCCGAGAAGCTCGATGAAGTTAACCTGAGTACTTTATAAAACCGTTCCGAGGCCATCTGAAAAAGGGATCATGCAGGGGTTTCTCCAGCCATGCACGTCTCTAGCTATCCTTGGAGTTGAATCTTTCAATGCAGGAACTACCAAATGATTGAGATTTTTCGGGAGAAGTTAGAGCGCGCTCTATGGGATTTAACACAACATTTCGGCAGAGTTTTTTGGTTTTAAAATTATCGATTTTCCTTCCAACTACGCTCAACGCACAACTTCAGCTACAGAGGGTTGCAAACACCCAGACATCCCAACACAGAAATTCCACTTGTGGTAGGCCAATCTGGTATTTGAAGGTAGCTTTGTCTCAAAGAAGATGTTTGTGAACGAGTATATCTGCCGTAGTGTTAAGTTAATCAAGTATGCAAACGAAAACCTCTGGCCGACCTGCCCAAGCTGGATTTGACCTAGTTCATTATTCTCAATTTATGGTGGCGCTCCTGCTTCTGAAGTAATCTCTAGACAAGATCTGACTTCTTCTGCGGTGTTCTTAAGCATGCTGGCTGTTTTCCGGCGAGTTAAGATCGTTGTGCGGCACGATAGACAGTGCATACACTTGCATGCATACTTCTCCGAGCGATGCTTCCGGTGTGTAGAGTCACCAACATGAAATATGATGTCAAAAATAGAGTCCATCCCATGATTTCTCGAGACAGACGTCTATATTAGGGTTTAGTGTTGTCCTGCTATAAACTTATTGGTTTAGGAAAGTCACAATTGTGTTTGAGGAGAATCCACTGAATGAAATTTCTCTGTACGTCCAACAGTCCTTGAAATTTTGACGGCGATCGAATACAATCTTATTAGCATAGTTGACAACAGCTATTTGATTGTTCCCGAAGATCGACTCGAGAATAAAATCCGTTTGATACTTGAACCTTGATATTAGATGCTCAGCCGGACTTGTTCTATACCGCCTTCAGTCTGAAAAGTTGTTCGAATCTTGGTGTGATAATCAGATAAGGTTCTGATCTTTGAAAGAACCCCACAGCTTGTGGCTCTCTGAGATGTTGTAGCTTATATTTTCGAACCCTCCTCGATTGATAGCATCTATGACGTTGTCGAATAAGATCGACCGGCCAAAATCGCTTTGATCCATCGAGACATTCGCAACGTGCACATGGAGATGATAATAAGAAGGTTGGTAGTGGAAGTAGAGTTTCAACTCTGAGGGATCGAGATTATAACGCTCTTTGACTTGTCTAGTAACTTGTTCCTTAATGTTTTGAAGAAGTGGGAGGTGCTCGGTGGTAAGGTCACGAATTGATCTTAAATCCTCGCGAATAACGAGCACGAGCAAGTAAAGCGATTCAATCGACTTGCCGTCCCATTTGGAATTCGGCAGTAAGACGAAGCCCGTCTCGACATCGTTGTCACGGTAAATAACACGGTCTGCTTCTGCCCCGTCGAATAGAATTGCTTTTACCCATTGTATGCGATCACCCAACATAGAGTCAATGTACGGCCGCACCACAGTATTGTACATTTCCATTGTCTCGACAATGCAGCGCGTCTTTGAGGGCCTGTATTTGGCGATATGGGTTTCAGTAGCCGGCCATATCACGTCTACCTTGGCTGCGGGCGCATCCTCAAGATTTTGCTTCATTGTAGCTAGGGCCCAAGAGTAAATATCGTTATTTTCCAGGAGCTTGACTTCTTCTAGAGGGAGCCCTTTGGACACATCTGGGATCTGGGCGCGAGATATCGTTACCAACGCAGCCGAATCAGATATAGTACCCAGTAGAATTACCGATTTCGTCTGTGCATTAGTCGAAAGTACCTCTTCAAGTTTGAAATCTGACAATCTCGTAGCCATTTTTTTCCACAACTGATCGATCTTGGGATGTAATGGCTGTATAAGTCAGAATCCAGTCTTACCGTCTGCGGTCGACCGAGTGGGCCAAAAGCAAATATGTATGCTAAATTAACAATATATATATATGTGTACGTTACATTTCGATTCGGTTGGGTGCGTTCAAAAGTGAGTAAAAGGCACCTTTCTTGGCAATAAGCTCGTCGGGAGTGCCAATCTCCGCAATAGTTCCATTATCCATAACAACTATCCGGTCGCTGTCTCGAATTGTGTCGATCCGATGAGCAATTGTGATGATCGTACGGTCATTGAAAACAGTGCGAATTGTGCTCTGGACGAGTTGATCAGTAGCGACATCGACCGACGCTGTAGCCTCATCTAGCAACAGCACATGCGTATCATGTAGCAAAGCACGGCCAAGACAGATAAGCTGTGCCTGGCCTCTGCTGAGGTTTTCACCACCCTCGGAAAGCAGTGTATCCAATCCACCGGGTGTTCGAGAAAAATTTTCCTTCAGGTGGCACAGCCCCAAAATGTCCCATAGTTTTTGGTCAGTAGCCTGCCCAATGGGATCCAGGTTCATGCGGAGGGTACCGGCGAAAATTTGGGCATCTTGGGGAATGATGGAAAGCCTGCTTCTAAGATCATGCAACCCAACTTGCCTAATATTCAGAGAATCAACCTCAATGCTACCTTCGACCGCCTCCAAAATACGGAAAAGTGCCAGTGTCATAGTGCTTTTACCAGATCCAGTCCTTCCGACAACTCCAATTTTCTCTCTGCTGCGCAGTTTCAGATTGACAGATTTCAAAGCGAGAGGCAGCTCTGGTCGATACCTGGTACTGTAGTTCTTTAATTCCACCTCGCCAAGATGGGGCCAGTGATCAGGGGGGTCGGTTGGCCCAAATTCTTGTGCTTCAGGCTGGAGATCAATATAAGAAAGTACTCGCTCGACAGCCACAGATGACATCTCAACGTTCGTCCAGCCCTGGATAATACGAGATAACATCATACCACCCCGTTGAGTGCTGTGCAAAACGATACCAGCCAGACCAACTTTCCAGGATGTGAAAGAAACGATTGCAGTGACACAAAGAGCACTAGCCAGTGTCATGACCGCTGTCATCCACGAAATTCTCCAGTTGAGCCATCGACGTAAAGACGAACGCGAAAACAATACATGCATCCAGTAATCACTGCGAAGCTCGTAGATGCCAACGAATTGATCAATCTGGTCAAAACTTTTGATGGTGTGAACGCCTTTGATGCTTTCTTCAATATGGCTCAAAATTGGGCTTCGAGATGCGGCTCCCATTCTTTGTAACTGCCGTGACCCAGGGAAATAAAGAGTCCGGTAGGAGTTATAAAGCAAGAGCAGAGGTACTAAGACGATCAAAACGAATGGAGCTCCCACAATCATAATCGCAAAGCTTACGACGATATTAGTGAAAGATCGACTAAAAGAATAGAGAGCATCCGGCAACGAGTTGTCAATTTTATCAACATCTCCTGTGAATCGATTCATAATTGTGCCAAGCGGAGTGGTTTCGAAAAACAACAATGGAGCACGAATGGTGCTGGCGAGCATGCTATTATGTAGAACAACAGAAGCTTTAATTGCCATCGTACCATTGAACCAGTAGATAGAAAAGAAAACTGCTAGGCCAGTTATAACCGACAATGTCAAGTATACAAGCACATAGAACTCAGACGCTTTGAGGCCGCTCAAGTTTTTATCTGACCAAACGGTCAGCCAAACCATGATCAAATTTTTTGACAAAACAGAAAGGAACAAAAGTGCAATGGCAAGGATGGCTATCATTTTTCCTGCAGATGCGAAATACCTTCCAAAAACAACCGAGAAATTGATGTCGACATCTTTTTCCTCCTTGCGATTGGGGATGTAAAGCAGTTGCGCGGTGCGAGGTGTCTTGGACTCCTTGGGAGGTTCAAGTACTTTTCGCCGGTCCGTGAATGAAATATTATCCATGGGCTGATCAGACACTTCACTGAGGAGTTCAGATATGTTTTCAATCGAGTTTGGAGGGCCACAACATTTTATGGAGTTTTCGGCCAGAATTACAATCTGAGAAGCATGCGAGAGCACCTTGAGATTATTTGTTCCCAGAACGACAGTTTTACCTGCCAATAAGCCATCCGACGCAAGTAAGTTATCAATCAGCTTGCGGGAAACATGCTCATCAACGGCCGATAGAACATCGTCTAAAACGTAAACGTCTGCGCGATTGTATACTGCGCGAGCTAGCGCTACGCGTGCCTTTTGACCACCAGACAGCACAATACCTTTCTCGCCAATTTCTGTCATATCACCTCTAGGCAATGCATCCAAGTCACGCAGTAACTCACAAGCAGAGAGAACCCGGTCGTATACTTCGGGTTCGTACTCTAGTCCAAAAAGAATGTTTTCTCTAATAGTTTTGAATTGTAGCCAGGGTTCTTGTGAGCAGTACGCTAGCCTTCCTGCGACTGTGATCGAGCCCTTCGTAATCGCCATTTGCGAACAGACAGCCCGCAACAGCGCTGTTTTGCCTTGCCCAACTCTTCCGAGAATACAACAAAGATCACCACGCCTAAGTTCCAGGTTTATATTCTCAAGAGCTATGCTACCGTCTACGTCACCCCAAGTGCACGACATGTCTTTAATGACGATAGATGGGGTCACGAAATCATTATGCGGGACGGCGATGAGTCTCTCATAGTTTGAAGTATCCTGTTCAGACAGACCCAAAAAGTCATTTATACGGTGCTGTGCAGTCAATGCTCGCCCTAAGCTCGTAACAGCTCTTGGAAGTGCTAGCAACGGCTCGGACAAGGAGGCTAGCAAAGATAAAACAGGGAACACAACCTGGGGTGTGAGTGCTTTGTGGGTGTAATAGAGGTACGCCAAGAAAATAGCAGTCGCGACAAAGTCATCCAGCATGATTGAAATTGAGCTCATCATCGAGTTAAGCCACCGGTATTTTGATACAATTGCCAGCTCGTTCTGGCGAGCTTCTGCAACCTTATCGAAATACGGAGCTTCCCAGGCATATAGCTTTAGCGACTTTATGTTGCGGAATATGCCCCAAGTAGCCTTTGTACGCTTATCTTTGGCAGCCATTGTCTCGGGGAACCTGCGATACATTTTGCGGGTATGCCAACTCGAATAGGGGATGAACAGTAGGTAAATGGGAATCGCCGCAACTGTGGATATGCCCAAAAAGTGGTACAATTGCCAAATACAAATAAGAAGCCCTAGCGGGGCTGAAACCAAAGTTGAAATATTCGCGTACACAGCCTCAATCATGGCGGTGTCGACATTGAGAAGGTTCATGATCTTTGCTGGCTCATTTGACTCTCTAGCCGCTGAGGACAAATTTAATGATTTGCGGTAGATCACACCCATCAACGATGCACGGGACGTGGTAAATGCAATGTTTGATACAAGCATTCCCAGTGACCGGAGCGCCAAGTCGCAAAGCTGGGTTGCCGCAAGCATTACTGCAAAGGTCATAGTTGGCGTTAGCGTACCACCATCGCTATAAGACTGTAAACTGGTCAAAAATTTTGCAAGCACAAGCGGACGCAGATACGTCACAAAGTTCGCTGCGACATTGAGTACAAGGATAGATATAATGTGGTACCTTAGGCTGGTAAGAAGTGCCCAGAAAACACGATACTTTCCATCTATGCTGAATCCATGGAGACTCTCAATGAGTTTTTGGCATGCATTAACAGAGTTCAAATACGGGGGCCTGGATGGTAGATCGGTCCGATCCAACTGGCGCTGTTTGGCTGCTCGTAAAAGGACAGTCAAGTAGTCCACAGAAAGCACCTGGAATATATTTGACTCCTCAAAAGCATTGGCTTTCTTCGATATATGGTAATAGCATTTCAACAAAAGAGCTGTTGCAGCCAAAGCACCGATAACTTGACGAATACCTGCAAGCGACGCCAACACCCGAACAAACGCAATTAAGGTTTGGAACAACCAAAACCACAAAATCTCGCCAGGCACAAACTTTGATTTGAAAGTTAGCCGAGAAAGTAAATAGATAGTCGAGATACTAGTGGCAGCCGTCAAGAGAGAGGCAATTGAGAGGTCCAGCGAAAAGCAGAAGGCTACAACCAACAGGCCCATTGTGCCTCTGAACTGCAGCTTGCTTGGTTCCTGTTTCCTGATACGGGCCCACAAAAACGGCAAAACGCCGCCAGAAAGCACTGCTGAGCACAGGTTAAGAAAGCACCCTGATACGGCGCCGTCCTCCCCAAACGCTGAGCAGGTCATGTGGTAAGCTGCAGAGGGGAAAGCGGACACTGGGAAAAAGATACAGCGAGGTCAGCGACTAAAAAGGGGGTTGGATTTATTTACATCTACTCAATAATACGAGTAATCAGACCGGTAGCAACGGTTTTGCCACCCTCGCGGATGTTGAAACGCTGGCCGACCTCAATGGCGGTGGGGTGAACGAGCTCACCGATCATCTCGGTGTTGTCACCGGGGAAGACCTGGGTAGACACGTCGACGTCCTCGGGGAAAGTCAAAGTGACAGTCACGTCAGCAGCGGAGATGAACATCTGGGGGCGGTAGTTGACACCGAAGGGAGAATGACGGCCACCCTCCTCCTTGGAGAGAACGTAGAGAGAGGCGAGGAACTTGGTGTGGGCCTTGACGGTGCCGGGCTTGGCCAAAACCATACCACGGACGAGGTCCTCACGCTTGATACCACGGAGCAGGATACCAGCGTTGTCGCCGGCCTGGGCCTGGTCGAGCTCCTTCTTGAACATCTCGATGCCGGTAACAACCGACTTCAAGGGCTCCTTGTTGAAACCAACAATCTCAACCTCCTCACCCTTCTTGAGGGTACCACGCTCAACGCGGCCGGTAGCAACGGTACCACGGCCAGAAATAGAGAAAGAGGCCTCGATGGGCATCAAGAAAGCCTTCTCAAGATCACGCTCAGGGGTAGGGATGTACTCGTCGATGGCATCGAGCAGAGCGTTGATACGCTCAACACCGATCTCGGGGTTACGGTCCTCCAAAGCACACAAAGCAGAGCCCATGATGACGGGGGTGTTGTCACCATCGAAGCCGTAAGAGGAGAGCAGCTCACGCATCTCCATCTCGACAAGCTCGAGCATCTCGGGGTCGTCAATAGTGTCGATCTTGTTGACGAAAACAACAACCTTCTGAATACCGACCTGACGGGCAAGCAGCAAGTGCTCACGGGTTTGGGGCATCTGACCATCAGTAGCAGCAACAACGATGATGGCACCGTCCATACGGGCGGCACCGGAAATCATGTTCTTGATATAGTCGGCGTGACCAGGGCAGTCGACGTGGGCGTAGTGACGCTTATCGGTCTCGTACTCGACGTGGGCAGAGGTGATAGTGATACCACGAGCACGCTCCTCGGGGGCCTTGTCAATGGAAGCGTAGTCCAGGAAGTTGGCACCGCCCTTCTCGGACAGAACCTTGGTGATGGCCGCAGTCAGGGTAGTCTTTCCGTGATCAACATGGCCAATAGTACCAATATTAAGATGGGGCTTGGTACGCTGGAAAGCAGAGGCGAAGCGAACCGCACCGCGGAGACGGAGCACCGCAGGGGCCACACGCACAGCCGAACGCAATCCTGTGAACATAATTGTGGTTGGGAAAGAAGAAAATCGGTTTGTCACTGAGTGGTCAGATGAATTTTTCGCGTAGGGTTAGGTTACATAACGGACTGCGGACGGCTGGCGGTTGGTGGTACCGCCGCGAGACAGGAGTGGAAATAGTTAATATATGTACATTAGTGTTTGTTGCGGTTCTGACGACGCACGAAGCTGTCCAGATCTCCAGCATCGTACTTCTTTGTGCCGCGAACAAAGTAGTACTTCTCCTTGGGCCAACGCATTGCCGGAACACGAAGCACCTCGATTTTTTCAACGTCAGGATTGTAAACGTGGACCCGGTTCTCCACGCCAATGCCCGAGATCTTTGTGCGGAGCAGGATAGTGGTGGCCAGGTGGTTGCGGTTCAGGGCCAACAGCATGCCCACGAAAGAGGACTTGTCCTTCTTTGTGACTCGCAGAATGTCTCCAGCACGAGGGCATGTGGGCTTGGTTTTATCGAAAAGCGCCCGTTTGCTTCCGTCCGGATCATATTTCGCATACAGCTTGTCCGTCATCACTTGTTTCGGCGACTTGCCCTTCGGCACAAGACGCGGCGTCTGCTCGTACACAGGCACAACATTAACCTTACGGGTAGGTACAATAAATGTGCGGATTCCCGCAGGCAGTCGCTGGCAAAGTGCCTGTCTTAAGCGGTCCATGGGGAAAGGTGAAAAATCTCGCTGAGTCAGTCTCGACCTAAATGACTTTGGCTCCTCGTCAAGAGGCGACAAGGAACGGCCTGACCGTACAACAGGCGCTGAATCCAGCCAATTACGATGGATGGTACGCAGCAAACGGGCGGTGGGTCAATGGCTCTACGCTTCTGCGTGATGTGCCGTACACAGAGTTCCGGGCCCGTTTACGCGGCGGCAAAGGTGGGTTCGGAGCCATGCTGAAAAAAGAAGGCGAGCGGATGAGCAAAAAGGCCGAGAATGAGAGCTCGGACGCTTATCGCAATCTGAATGGGCAATGCGTGGGCACAATCAACCAAGCACGAGCCATAGCCAAGCAGCGATCTGACGCCAAAAAGGCCAAACAGGACCAAATAAGTCGCAAGCGGGCCAAGCTGAAAGCTGTCCTGAATCCCAAGGTCGATCTGAAAGTGGACACTCCCAAATTTGTTATTTCCAAACGCAAGCCCAAAAAGAAAGCGTTCAATGACGTTCTTTAGTATTTATTCCTAATTTATATATCTCAAGCCCCCGGCCTCTCGTCACCCTACATCATGTCAGCCAAAGGCGATATCAACGTCCAAATCGCTGCGTTCACTGCGCAGCTACAGCGGCGAGAGATTTCTGGCTCGCGGGCTGTGGCGCTTGCTACTGCTCATCTGATCTCACGATTTGTGTCGTCCAGGCGCTGGCCGACTGCTGACGACCTAATCAACCAGGTGAAAAGGCTAGGACGAGAACTGGAAAAAGCCCAGCCCCATGAGCTGGCTTGTGGAAATATTATTCGACGCATTCTGAAATCGATCCGCACCGTCGATGAGACTGTGGAGTTGGTCGAGGCTGTGGACGACAGAGAGCGCAGGTCGTCCATGTTTGGCATTTTGTCTGTTCCCGGATCCGGCGACAAATCCACAGATCATATGCGGTCTCGCGACTTGAAAGCTGCTGTGATTGAAGACATCCAGGTTCTTATTGAAGAAATCGGCAATGAAGAACCGCTGCAAAGAGTAGGAACAGAAATGATCAATGATAACGAGGTGATCCTTACTCCATGCCCCCGGTCGGTTACTTTGCTGGACTTCTTTTTGAAAGTGGCACAGAAACGCAGCTTCACGGTTCTGGTCACTGAGTGCTACCCTAACGGTGTCGAGGACGCCAAAATGTTTGCTGAAAGACTGACCAAGGCAGGAATCAGAACCGAGATCTTGCCAGATGCCACCGTAAACGCTGTTATGAGCAAGGTCAGCAAAGTTATTATTTCTCCACGTACTGTGCTGGCTAATGGTGGTGTGATTGCCTCTTCCGGTATGGCTTTGCCTTGTCTCGCTGCTAAGAACTTCAACAAGCCGGTGCTTGTTTTTGCTGGTTCATACAAGCTGTCGCTGCTCTATCCTTTCGATGTGGAGCGGCTCATCGAGGTGGGAAATAGCGGCAAAGTCATTGATTTCGCCGATGCCGACCTGATGGACAAACTTGAAGTCACAAATCCTCTTTGCGACTATTTGGGTCCCGAGCTGCTCGACATCATTATCACAACCGACGGTGGACACCCGCCAAACTTCATGTACCGGATTGTTCTCGATAATTACAGCACTCAAGACCAGATTCTTTAATTGTATAAAAAATAAAAACTACGTTGTATCAAAACTTGGCTTGATGACATGATAGCAGATCTGTTTCGAAGATCGACTCAGATGGCCACGGCAATAGCCATCAAAAACCGGGCATGGAGTCCAATAGACTACATGGAATTCCTGAAAGCTGTGAGTCAAAGGCCAGCGAAACTGCACGCAGACACTATAGCAGCCATTCAGGGCCCATTGAGAAACATACAAGACCCGATAATCCGGACCCTGTGCGTTGATTCTGTTGAAAAAATGGGCTCACTTAATGTTGAAGCTCTCAAAACATCTTACCTGAAAAGTGGCGATCTGGAAGCAATAGCAGACCTTTTGCCGCCGCTCGGTAAAATGCAAATATCCGATCTGGAGAGCCTCGTACTTCTTAACGCACATGCCGAGCTCTGTGATGCAATAACAGCAGGGGTTCCGGCTAATGACAATCTCTGGTGCCAGGCATTCAATTGGGCAGTTGAAAACGATTACAACCGCGCTATAAAACTATGGAAACTTAGACCACCTTCGTCGAAACTATCCCAATCGCTTGCCTACGATTTTATGGCCCAAGCAGGACGACACCGAGATCCAGCGACTGTGAAACAGGTTGCAGAAGCTTTTGATTTGCCGGTGACGCGTATTGCAGCTGCGGCCGTCCTAAACAGCGTTTCAAAAAGCTCCCTGGATGTGGTATTGGCCGCCCTCCACGAGCTCGAGGGGTTGGCGACTCCCCATGATGCTGAACACGCCGGCGAAGTGCTTGCTGAACACGCCCGCCAAGTTCTACAATTAGAACTCGGGCCATTGGCTACCGACTCACTACTGAATGGGCTGTACAGACGAAACAGCTCCCAGACAGTGTTCCATGTTTACAGGCTACTTAGGAACTGGGGATTTATTCCAACCCAAGACACGTTTCAGATTCTAGCAAATGCCGCATACCGCATGGGTAACTCGAAAATTACCAGCTATCATATATGGAAGGAGGCTGAATCCTTTAACAGCCTCACACGCAAACTGTCTGAAACTGTTCTATTCTGCCAACTTATTGGTCCATCGTATCGCACAGTCTTGTTTTATTTGCATGAAATGAAAACACAAAATATTTATTTACGGTCGCACGTTCAACGTCGACTATACAAAAAGTTTGAGTCGATCAAAGACGGTAGCTTGGTTGCCATATTCAACGATATCAGGTCTCTAGACAGGTATGCTCAGTTCGATATGGATCTAGCCATCGAAGAATCGAAACCGTATGACCGACAGGCTATACGCAATGCACAGGTATATCTTGAAGGACAGAGGCCTGCCGAAGACCCTCTCGAAGTTCTTGAATCCATGCTGGCTTTTGATCGCTCAGCCACGCAGCGCTCGTAGGCGCTCGTTGAGAGCATCCTCAACTTCCTCTTCAGGGGCAGCCAGTTTTTGGCGCGTCTCGACAGATGGCTCTGCCATATCGTGGCGTAGCTCGAGGCCAGCCTCGTCGGCCACTTGTTGAAGCAACAGATCCACCTGCTCCTGAGGAGTGTCTAAAGCGGAGGCAGATTGAGTTGTAGTCTCGTAATAAGCAGCAGAGGCATCCAAGTCCTCGAATTGCTGCTCAAACTTGTCCATAATAAGCGAAATTTGTTCAGTATTCATGGTATCTAGAGCGCGGTCCATGCCTTTCACGACCGAGCCCATGCTACCAGAAACTTGGCGCATGGTAACCGCAGTTTGCACTCGCGACGCCACAGCCTCAACTCTGGAAGCCAGCTTCAACAAATTGAGCCGTTCAGACTGTTTGCGAGTGGCGCTCTGGGCATGGATTCGGGCGATATCGTCGTTGCCCTCTTGAATGGCCTTTTTGATTTTCTTCTTCTCCGATTCAATCTCTTTGCCCGCTTTGACGCTCTGCCTTCGTAGCGTCTTCGCGGTAAACTTCAACCGGAACAGCGAATCTTCCAAACTCGCCGCCATCGTTATGTTTTAGAGTTCGATGTTCGCAGCTGCTGACCAAAGCCGTCGTCCGCTCAATTTGTTTATTCTGTTTGTTTTCTTGTTGTTTAGAACCAGTAAAAGTACATGATTGCAGCACAGGAACTGCTACAAACATGCTCGAGGACTTCAGGCAGTAGTCAGGCTGCGATGGACGCGCGAATTTCTGCTGTGAGTACGTTCAAGAGCGACATCAAGCGTCAAGCTGTTGACTTGAATGAGGTACCTATTTATTTCGACGCACTCATGGATGCCTACGACTTCAAAGATCCGCATCTCCACGCTGTTACATTTTCCGCAATTTGCTACTTGACGCGCCGCGTTCTCATTCTTAACGAATCGACTTTGCAACCGCAGGTGCCTATTGTGCTGCCCCTGTTCATTGACAATTTTGCCCACGATCCCGCAAATGAAAACGCGTCCAAACTTGCAATTCGCACGTTTGAGGATGTATGGCTTGCTTTCGCTCCAGAAACCGAGCAGGCTCTTCGAGAAAACGGCCTATCTCATTCTAGGGCGAATGTCAGGGCTGCCTCACTACGATTATTGTCTCAGTACATTGAAAAATCTGCCAAATTCTCGTTCCGGAAGTTCACACCTTCAGTTACAAGACTATTGAATGATTCAAATGCTGAAGTGCAAGAATGTGCACGGGACCTGATCGTTCAGTTTTTTTCTGCCACCATCCCTCGAGCCAAGGATGATCTTAAAAAGGAAATGACAAAACAGAAAATCCCGCAGAGTATTGCCAATGATATTTCTGCTGCAATTGGATTAGAACCAAGACCCTCATCGCGCCAGGTGGCTCTCACACCTGTACCCAACAAAACTGCCCCCAGTCCTATCACAGGTAAAAGTACTTCCACAATTGATAGCGTTAAAGCACTTCTTGACTTTGAATTAGAAGTGTTGGAGCCAATCGACGCTGTGAGTGTCGACTCATTCCGCAAAGAAGTAGAGCGCATGTCCGAATGCTTTGCAGGCAAAGAATCTGAGACAAACTGGCGCCAAAGAGAAACCAATATAAACAAGCTCCGCAAGTTGTTACGTGGGAATATTGCTGAATATCCAGGTGATGTTGTCTGGGCTATAAAAGCCCTCCAAGACGGAATTGTCAAATGTATATGTTCCTTGAGAACTACCCTCACCGCTCAGGGCTGCTTTTTGATCAAAGATGCTATGCAAATCTATCAATCTTACATGGACCCCGCAATTGAACCCTTTCTCACAAATCTGGTCAAAGTATCCGCTGGGTCCAAAAAAATTGCTGTCAACTACGCTCATGTCACAATCTGCGCTATGATTCTCTCGACATCATATTCTTTCAAATATGTCTCTCATATTTCTGCGGTTATGAATGATAAGGTGGCCGCAGCTCGGGCGCTCGCAATGGTCTGGTTAAACTTGCTGTTTTCCAGACACAATGCCCACTTGGTAACAGTATGGCAGTCTCAAGGTGTAGATACGATCGCCGAGAGTTGTATTGAAAAAGGCTTGACAGATTCCTCGCCTGTGGTACGCGAGGCTAGCCGGCCAGCCTACTGGTCGTTTGCTCAGAATTTTCCAGATAACGCCAGGAAGCTCCTAAATAAGTTGGATCCTGTGCAGAAAAAAATGCTTTTGCAAGTTCCTCGAATGAATACGCCTCCAGAGCCTTCTCGTCGAAGCATTTCAGTGACTATACCTTCTGATACAGCTTTGGATGCTGAGATTCAAGCTCGAAGGAGTGTCTCTGAGCGGGTCTCTGAACGGATATCGGAAAGGGTTTCTGAGCAGGTCTCTGAACGTCTGGATATGTCGCGTGAAAGCCAGGATCTTGATTCTGATGTCGCAAAGCTGAATATTCAGCAGGATCTCACACCAGATCCTGAGCTTCAAGGACATAATGAGGTAGAAGTCACTCCAGATCTTGTTGAGCCGGCCGAGGTTGTAAAGCAAGGTACTGAGCTTTTGAAACGGGCCCAAGAAGACCCGCTAGTAAAAGAAACCTTGGGGGAAGTCTCAAAGCTCGTGGAGGCCACTGTTCGCGAGGCCAACGCTAAAAAGGTCAAATCCTTTAAAGCCGATGCCTCAGTTGCAGAGAACTCCGAGGCGGCCCCGGAAGCGACCAGTGATGATGCAACGGGTGCTATCGATGAAGCGGTTGAAGAGGTTAAAGAGAAACTGGACTGCGACCCAGATAAGCTCAAGAACAGACTTTCCACGCTTAGTGAAATGCTCAGTTCGGAAGATATATCGACCCTCAACCAAGGACTTGATTGTCTTTCTTATGTCCTTCGAGGTAAAAGTGTGCCCGAAAAACTGTCTAAAGACTTGGTCAACGTTGACTTGCCCGACCCGGATCTTATCGGAGCAGCGCTGCAATTAATATTTGATAAAGTGGGCGATGAAATGGATACCATCGCGCCAGAGCTGAAGGATACAGTAGCGAAGTTTGTGTCTCCTGACCTGGTAGCAGTAAGTTTGGAGTATATTGGGCATGCTGTGGTGATTTGGGCGGCAGTCAACTTTTTGCCAGCTGAAATGGTGATGGTGGTGTTTGAGGTCATCAGGCCCTTGCTAGATATCGGAAACCTTGTTGATGCCATTTTTGATGTGGTAACTGCAGATTCGCCTGGCGAGTCTATAACGCTAATATGCGGTCAGATTCTGTTACGGCTGGATAACGTGCCGTTGACAGACGCACTCAAAGGACGTGTTCAGCAGGTTTTGTCTTTAATCTATCGGTTTGGTGATCTTGCTGAAGACGTGTCGGCCGTAATAAGTTCATGGATAGGTGACGATGACTCGAGCGACGACGACGAAGAGAAGCTAGCCAAAAAGCAGTCGCATAAAGATGAAAAGGTAGCATTAGCCAATACCAGCGGTTCGTTGCTACCAGCCAAACCAGAGACTCCGGAAATTGCCGTTTATTCAGATCCGGTTATCATGTCTCACCATGTGTCTGTGTCGTACGTCCCGGCCAGTGACTTGAACACGTCCAAGCCCAAACTGAATCTTCACAAGATCGCTTCTCCACGCAGACGCACCAATACCAAGTGGGATATTGGTCCGGCGCAATCGCTACCTGAAAGTGACGAGGAGTGTGGTAAACTCCTGGAGCTACTGGTTAGCCAAGTCGATAACGGCACAATTGGCAAACCTGAATTTGTGGAGCTTGCCCTATTAGTTTCTGAGAAACAGAATCTACCCAATTACCATACAAATGTTGAGAGACTCGAGCGGTCGATCCTGAAATACCTTGAAGACGACAAACACAGTGAGAACGAGCTTGCAGCTGGACTGCTGCTGGTTCGCAAAATGTTAGAGAGAGGACAATTTAGCACCGCTGTGGAGCGCACACTCGTTCTGCAATGTCTGAATAGGATTTGTGAACGCGAAGTTATTGCCAAACTGCACTATGGCGCTATTCCAGAAACACGAGACCGCCTATTTGAGCTCACGGATCTCGACACGCACGGCACAATTCTCACGCTAGTTGATCTATACACTACTGGGTCGTGCCGGCATTCAAGAGTGTTTGCCCTGCAGTCGCTACGAAAACTAGTGCCTCAAGCTGAGCAAGTCCCGCCGCCGCTGGGCGAGGTGGTGCATGCCGCGCTGAGCGACGACGATGTTTACATCCGCAAAGAGGCGTATCCGGTTCTGCTGCGAATCCACCAGAAGAGTGAAAAAACAGCAGAACTGCTCAAAGCAAGAATGAGCAGCGGACAACGAAGACTTTACGAGTTCTATGCAGGGACGGCTTAACATCCTATTTAATAAAAATCCACAGAAAATTTTCCTAGTTCGAGGCTGCAGTAGTGGCACTCTGCTGGCGGCCCTTGCGAGCAGCAAGATTCCATCGTTCAATGGTGGAGTCGGGTTCCTGCTGGTTGGCGACGTACTGCAGCTTGTTGCCGACAACGTAGGTAGCAAGGCCCACGGCGGCAAGACCGCCAAGGACAACCATCGTGTTGGGCTTCCAGTTTTTAGGTGTGAAGAACCAGCCGCCCGATGGCGACCATGCTTCTCCTTTAATAGCTCCGTGACCACCCATTTTTTGTAAGAGTTTTGATTGGGCTGTGCTGACTGTAGAGTGTAAACCGCCCTGGGGGTGGATTGTCTAGGGTAAGGGCGGCGACCGTCCGGGCTGGTAAAATTTTGTCAGCTGAAATTTGCCAGTCCACTCACAAGACACAACCTTGGCGATGTTTACAGGTCCCCGTCTAGCTTTCCTTTCGAGGCAAAGCGTATCAAAGCTGGGAATGCGTCGGTCGCTGTCCGCTACTGGTCCGGCTGCGTCCGGGGCTGCGGCCGAGTACGCGCAAAAGCATACCAAGTCCAAGGGTGATCCGATTTCTGAAGACCTGGCGGCCACATCCTCTGCTCTGCAGACCCTGGCAGCCCGTTTGCACCTCAAGGACATTCCGTACAGCACGCTCGCGCGAACTTTAATCACCGATACTAGCGGGTCACGATTCGCAAACAACAGTGGCCTAGCCGGCTTTGGAAAGTCGCTCCTCGCCTTTTACACATACGAACACTTCATGATCAACTACCCGCGGCTGCCTCAGCGTGTTCTCCGTCATGCTGTCGATGTCTACACGGCACCTCGGGCGCTGGCTGAGGTCGCAAAGCTCTGGGGTGTGCAGTCAGAAACCCGCACCCCGTTCGCCCGGTACCTTGCTAACGTCAAAGACGAGAGCGTGCTGGGCCGCTTGGCTTACATCGATGCCGTTGAGGCCGTCGAGCCCGGTGTCACCAAAATCACAGACTCTAAAACCACCATGCATGCCGACGTGGCCATGGCTACTTTCATCAGAGCCCTGGTTGCCGCTGTCTATGCTCACCGCGGTTTGGACGGCGCCCGGGACTTCATCCACCAATACCTGATTAAACCCCGGAAACTCGACCTGCAGTCTATTATTTCAATTTCTCGCCCAACCCGCGAGCTGGCCGTTCTGTGTTCCCGCGAAGGTCTGGAGGCTCCGGTTAGCCGCCTCATGGCCGAGTCCGGTCGCTATTCAAACACCCCCGTGTTTGTTGTCGGTGTGTTCTCCGGCCAGTCAAAGCTTGGCGAGGGCCAAGGCTCTTCCCTTAAAGAGGCTCGCACCCGTGCTGCTGTCAACGCTCTTCAGGCATGGTACCTCTACTCCCCTATCGACCCCACTGCTCCCTCAGCAGCACCCGCCGCCGAGTACAAGCCGCAGCCTTACGTCGATGGTGGTGAGATTGTCATTTAAAAGCGTTGAGCGTAATGGTTTTTTGTATATATTTTATAGGTAGAGCGATGAACAGAACGCAATGTCTCTTTTGATGCGCTCCTGAGCAGTATTCACCTTATTGTAGAGATCGATATCACCCATAATTCTAGCCGCAGACATGACTGCGCGACACACCTCATCCAGGCGGTTAATGACTCGAACGATCGTGCCTTCTTGGACTTCGGTCAGCTGGGTGATCTCGTAGAATGACATCCCCTTGGCCCATTCGTATACGGCCTGCATAAGTGCGAACCGGCCTTTTTCAGCAAACTGTTCCTCATCTGACGTCAGAATGACCTGGTGCTTGGTTGCAAGATCATGCACATACTCCACAATGTCCAGCAATTTGCGCATGCCTTGATCAAGCTTGGGTGTAACAGACACCGCCTGGTTGGCGAGGTTGCGTGCACCCTCAAACACAAAGGCACTGAGCAGAGCGACAATCTCCTCCGGCTCGTAATTAGCCAGGAAGTTATCCAGCAACAGCTCAGTAACGTACAACTCGAATCCGGTGGAAATCTCACATGCAACACGACCTTTGAGAAGGACGTTCATATGCTCATCAATATAGTTACCATCCTTCAGAACCTCCAAACGCTGCTCGTAGTCAGGCAGCAGCTCTGTGTTCTGAATGGCCATCGAAGTTCGCAAGCCGGCTACTTGCTGCTCCAGCTCAACAAGCTTCAACACAGATCTGAACTGTTTCAACTTGAACGAGGATCCAAACTTGAACTTGCTCATTTCGTTCATAACCTCTTTTCGATCACTTAGCATTGTCTTGGCATGGACTGCCTTGATCTTGTCGAACGAGACTTCGTTGAAAAATTCGCCAGACGACACAGATTCCAAGAAAGCTGAAGTAACCTCATCAATACCTTTTGGCTTTGCAAGTATTTTGTCAGGGTTTTTCAAACGAACATTGGAAATAAACTCAATTTGTGTGCTTTCAACCTGTCTGAAATTCACCCGGTTGTTGGTCTTAGAAGGAATACGTCTGAAATGTGGGCCATCAGCTATAAATGGCAAGAAATGTTTGTCGCTCATTACCGCCCGCTTCTTGAGAGTATCATCGTTCCCTGGTCGAAAATTTCTTGAAACGAAAACAACCGAGTACGCACCCTTAGCATGAGAACGTCGATACAGAATGCCGACTGCTCGTATGTCGTCGTAGATGAAAACGCAGAAATGACCAGTCAAGTTCAGAGCGATGGCTGCAAATTCGTACAGCTGTCGAGTTAAAAGTTGGTACTTGGTGTTTAGCTTGGCAAAGTCATATAGTTGATCAAGGTTAGCCAGTTTCGATACAACTTGCTTTTGCTCGGCAACGGACTTTTCCAGGGCTTGAATCTTGATCTCAACCTCAGGTCGGAGAACATGCTTGGCATTTTCACTAAACGACTGCTGGATAACATCCTCAACTCTGACTGCCTCAATACGCAACAAAGATAGAATCATTGTGAAAGTTAAGCGGAACTGGGAAGACAGTTTGGTAGGCGTGCCTAAAATAACCGACTTGAGCGAAGCCTGTGATGCCACTTGGTCTCCATTTTGAAGAATGATCACAGTTCCAACCTTATCTAAACCACGACGTCCAGCACGGCCGGCCATTTGTGTATATTCGCCAGGACTAAGCATTCTCATGGCCTTGGAATCGAATTTACTTAGAGCCGAGAAAACAACTGTGCGTGTGGGCAGGTTTAGACCCATGGCAAAAGTCTCTGTTGCAAATAACACCTTTACCAGTCCTCGAGCAAACAAAATCTCTACGACTTCCTTCATAATCGGCAACAGGCCCGAGTGGTGAACGCCAATACCGTTGCCCAAGAAATCTCTGAGCATCATGATTTGGGGCAGGTCACGATCTTCTTTCCGCAAACGCGAAACCGCCTGGTCAATAAACATGTGAACCTCAGACTTTTCTTTTCCAGTATTGAAATCGAGAGCCCGCATAGACATGGCATGCTGCTCTGTCATTTTCCGACTGAAGACAAAAACCACAGCAGGCAGGAGCTCGTCTTTCTTGAGTTTGTTGAACAAATCCATAAACACAGTTTTACCGGGGGCATTATTGTTGAATCTGCCACGCTTGCCCTCCTGGCGCTTGATCTCAAATTTGCCAGCTGCGGCTCCTCGTAAACCTCCACGCCCACCTCGAGCACCGCCACGCCCACCTCGAGCTTGGGAACCACCTCTGCCTTTGCCATCTTGCGGCGGAGGAGGGGCAGGGGGCGAAATCTTATCGCGGCACATGCGCCATCCTTCCTCGTTAAACTGGCCGGTGGGGCCAACCACTTCGAAAACATTGTTTTTGGCCCACAAGTAGTGTGTTAAAGGAACAGGACGCTTATCAGTCGAAATGACGTAGATGTCTTTTTGCTTAGTTCTGCCAACCCAATTAGCAAATTCAAATGTGTTGGGCACAGTTGCCGAAAGTAAGATGAATTTGACATGGTCAGGCAGCATAATAATAACCTCTTCCCAAACAACACCACGCTCACTATCATTAACATAATGAACCTCGTCAAAAATGATAAATTCGACATCTCGAATCAAATCGGCACCACGGTAAAGCATACTTCTCAAAATTTCTGTGGTCATGATAAGAGTACTAGCCTCAGCATTAATTTGAACGTCACCGGTCAAAATACCGATATCATCATACTCTTGTAAAAAGTCACGGTACTTTTGATTGGAAAGAGCCTTGATAGGGGAGGTGTAAATACACTTGGTCATGTTCCTTAGAGCCATGCTCATGGCGTACTCTGCTACAACCGTCTTACCTGCAGACGTGTGTGCTGCTACAAAAACAGAGTCGCCCTGCTCCAAATGATAAACTGCTTCTTTCTGGAAATTGTCGAGCTCGAATGGCCAGGTGCGAGCCGGGTTGGGTACCATTTCACTAAAGTTTGTGATCGGCTGATTGATATCCATCATGTGGGCCCAAACTTTGGCTTTCTGTTGAGGCTCTACAGTCTTTTTAGGACGAACAAACGAAAACTCTTTGGGCAACAGGAAGTCGATAGCTGTCTGAGGCTTGTCATTGTCGTCCTCCTCGTCCTCCTGCTCGTCATCATCATCATCCTCAACCTCAATTTCTGTTTCTTCTAGTTGCTCACTCTCTTCGTCCTCATCATCATCTTCTTCACCGGTAGATTCCTTCTCAGCTGCTTCCAAGGCGAGCACATCAAGATCGATGCCAGTCTCGACCAAAGCCATTCCTCTAGACAAACCAGGCGCAACATCAAGTAAACCTTCAGAATCAGTATGCATGACTTTAGATTCGGTTGTCGAGTTGATATCCAGGCCACCAGGGATGAAGGGAAGGCGACCTGAGCGGCCACGAACAAAGTCCTTTTTAGCACCCATAGCTCTAGTTAAAGAGAGCGCGCCATCTTGGCCCTCTTTCTGGACAACGGTATATTCTTCCAAGTTCTCAATATGGCCTTCCAGACCTTTTCTTTTGAATCTAATACCAGTGCGATCATCGAAATCAGGAAGACTGTACAGCCCACTAATAAATTTTGCTGGGTTTAACGGCTGGTCCCCCTGAAATCTCTTGAGCCAGTCGGCGGAAAAACCAGTCTTGGGAGTCAAAAACCGGTCCACCAGCTCTTCGTCCAGATTTGGTTCTGGCAAGTCGGCTCTTTGACCCGCTAAAGCTTGCTTAACCAGTCGAACCTCTTCCAACATTGAACTTACTAAGTAGTAGGGTATGTCTGGCTTGATAATTAAGATCAAGACGCTGTGTATTTTTTAGAAGGTATCGGAAAAAGTAACTAGGTAAATGCTTTAGCGCGGCGAAGTTCATTCCAGTGTAAGGAGTTTCCAAGTCGCTGCACCCATGCGGCTGTTGAGGCGTTCGGGGCCATAACCTTGGGGAAAGGGAAAGATGAAGCGGTAATTGTCAGGCAGTCACCAAGCCCCAATTCGACCCGTTCCTTACCGTCGAATGAGACATACGAGCTAGAGCGAGCATCGTAAGGCACACCGAGGTGGAGAAGCATAGAGTCGGGGAGAACAAGGGGACGGAACGACAGGGAGTGGGGGCAGACTGGGGTAACTAGAATAGCGGGGACATCGGGGTGCACCAGTGATCCACCCGCAGACATGGAGTACGCAGTGGATCCTGTTGGAGTGGAAATGACAACACCATCAGCCTGGATAGAGGTCAAGAACTCGTGATTTCCGTAAAGTTCGGTTACACCCACGGTAGGATTAGGGCCACGATCAATAACCACGTCGTTCAGGATAACGTGCTCCTCCTCTAGCTCGTAGCCGGGGAATTCTTTGAGCTCGGCACTGGACTCAATTGCTTTGCGCAAGGCATACATGCTGTGTTCGCCAGCAGCCTTGTCTATGGAACGCCAGATCATGCAGTGGAAACGCATACGGAGCGCACAAGAAATTCCGCTCTGGATACGCTCGTCGATGACTTCTTTGAAGTTTTCAAATACGTTTTCTGTCATAAACCCAAGCGAACCCAGACCAAAAGACAAAACAGGCGGGACGATTGATTGGAAGATCCACGAAGTATAAAGCACCGTACCATCACCACCGAGGGTAATGACCAGGTCGATCATATCAGCCTGCTTTTGCAGCAAATCCGGGGTCCAGAATTTCAGGTGCGACTGGGCTTGCGGTGTCTTGGCAATGATATCCTCGTATCCGAATTCTTTGATATCCTTGAAAAAGTCCTGCACGTAGACGACGACTGTAGCAGCATCCCGGGGATGTGCGGCGGTGGTCAGTAAATACTCGACGAGCTGGCGCAGCTTTGGTCGCAATTCTCTGTCACTAAGCTTTGTGATGATTGCCACGGCCTTTACTTTCAAGGAAATGTTGATATTGCTCAGGGCATTCGAGATGCCCCGAATACTGGTTGCCATCTCGCTGAGGCGCTCCTTGGAATCGACCCAAACGAGCTCCTTTTTCGGCGTGGAAAGACCAGACGGAGGGGAGCTGTTACCAGCGGGATGTTTCTCCTGGTTGGCTTGAGGCACAACGTTGAGTTCCGCACAGCATTCTGCGGATGCCAACATGTTGTGGATCATAACCGACGAATTGGGTGTGGCCTTGTCAGATGCAGGCATTAGGATTGTCCTTTTGAGCAACTCGGTGTTTAGGTTAGACTGTAGATACCAACGATCTCAATTGCTACTCAAACACAAATTCTGTTTGAAAATGAGGCAAGGGTGGGAATGCCGGGGGGGATGGGGTTGCTCAATGGTGAGAGTTTGCGGGCAACTTATGCTCACAGGTCTGTTTAGTAATCAAGGTCGAGCCAGGGGCTTTTATTAGCTGATTGCTGTCGTTACACCGGCTGCGCGATTTGAGATCTCGGCACGTTCTAAGCATAGCATGCAGCGTCTAGTTGTGTTCAAGGAGCCCGATGAGTTCGAGCAACTGAAACGCTTGTTTTACGGAACTTACGCGGACCAGAAACGAGCCCTAGCCTTGACCAAAGCCTACCAGGTACGGGGGCACTTGCCGGCGTCGATCCACTTGACCTGTTTGGTTGTATCTGCTCTTCACAATGACGTGCCCCAGAATGACTTGTACGCCATTCGACAGACCTACGCGATGGCAATTATTCGATTAGTTAACGAAATTCTTGATTCTGCACAGGTCGGCAGGATTGCAGCTCCTCTGCATGCTCTGGCCAGGGAGCTCAAACTGCCGTCGTCGTTTGTTGAATTGCGACACGCAGCTACCCATGAGGATCTTCCGACTATTTATTTGCTGCGAGACATGGCTCGGCGCGCTCTCGACTGGCTTTACGACGCGTATTGGGCCAAAAACCGCCCGAAACGGCTTTCCGCGGAGCCTGAGCGGGTTGAGCCTTCTCCCCTGACGGCTGATGAAATAAAGAATTGCTTCCGCAGCTGGCGCCGCATACGAAGGGCCGATATTAATGCACCGTTAGACGGCTCAGCTACAAAATTGGTCGAAGCCCTAGCCGGTGCAGATGTCGCATCAATCGTTGACGTCGCTTTGAAGCGGAACATCGTAGTGCCCTCGGGCACGTCCACTGCCTCTGTGATCCCTCTGTGGGGTCCCCTTTTTGTCAAACTTGGTTCGCCCGTAGTTGAGAGTTTATTCAAAAGCCTTGTAGCGGCTCGCAACGAAGCAGATTGGCCATCGTTCGAGACGTCGGATCTGCACAAGTCTTTTGATCTCTGGCTTGACTATCTTCTTCCTTACGCCCTAGATGCTGAATCGCTGTTAACAAGCCATCCTCGACCTTGGAACGCCCTGCTGCTGGCCAAACTCGCCAATGCAGAGGCTTCCCCGGACGTCTACCAGATGGCCCAAGAGATGGCTGCAGTCACCGGCGCCAGCCTGCCTCCTTATGAGCCAGCCGCAGTGCCGACCTCAAATCCAACAGGACCGTGGAAGCGCGTCCAAAATTGGTCGCCTAGACCTCTAGGTGTAAAATAATCTGTGTAAAATACTATATACTCCATATGTAAACAAGCAGAGCTTTGTTCGCGTTGATTTTTTTCCTGCTGACTTATGCTTGGTCTTTCGGCGCTGGCCAAGTCCACTGGGGACCGGCCAATCAAGAGTGTATGTCGCGGGCGATTAGTGTTTACGGCTTTTGAGAGAAAGATCTTCCAGGGGGGTGTGGACTGCAAGGAGTTTTGCTCCCTCCCGGCCGATATCGATCATCTTGTACTCAATTCCTCAGCCACTCTTTTAGCAGCTGGTTGTGAAGACAGAGTGCACATCTTTAATGTCAAGACGGGGGCAGTAGAAGCAACTTGCAAATTCCGATCCGCTCCAATTGACCTTGCCTGGCATCCTTTAGGCGTCAACGATGCGTGCATTGTCGCCTTGATCCCAGGTGCGGTTGTGACCTACAATCTAAGCAGTAAGGGCTCGGTTTCGGAAACGCTACATTTGGCAAGAGACCATACTGGCACATTTGATGCTACGACGACTGCGGGTGATGCGGTTTCCCTCGCCTTTGGTAAAGACAACACGACTGGCCCTATGACCCTTTTCCTGGCGACATCCGATGGTGATATTTACGGTGTCTGCCCTTTTCTCCCGGCCGAATTCAAGCTGAGCCGTCACCAGATTGCTAATCTTCTCAATTATGCTTTGGCAACTGATTTCCATCTTCGAAGTGCCCCTCTTAGCCTTGACGGTGTCGACCAGATTCGGGCTGAGCAGAACGTTGCCAAACGCCAATTGAACTGGGTCCAAGAAATTATGAAAGAGGCCAGTGAGTTCACAAAGGAAGAGGATGTAGTCCTGCTCCGTCCGTCTAGGCCGGTTGTTGCTATTCAAGGCCCGCTGAGCATCGCACCTTTTCCTGACGTATTGTACGATGATGAAGTTCTGGATCTGGCAATTGGTCAGATAGAAAACGCCATGGTTTTTGTTCAGCTCATGAAAACACACGTCAACTTTTATCTTATGGACACTCCTTTGAATCTGTCGTGGTCCTCTAGCGTTGCTGAGCCCCATCCGTTGGCTCTCATTGAGTCAATAACGACCCCGGCAACAGAAAATGGCAAGCTACATCTTCATGGCCAGATGGTTTTTGTTCAAATTGATACATCTACAATAGTTCTGCAAACATCAGGATGGCAAGATACTCTTTCTAGTGCTATTCAATCTGGCGCAGATCTACCGGCCAGTCTTCCCCAGACTACACAACAAGTTCTTCCCAAGAGTCTGATTGTCGAGCACCAAACCTATATGCTTACCAGGCCGTTGAGCGAGGCAGCATCACAAAAATGGTTTTATCGGTCAGGCATAGAACCCTCGGATATCATCAAAGCCCTGCCTAATCCCGAACCCGTTGCTTACCCTTCGCTCCTTGACAGTAAGGTCATGGAATCTGTCAATGACTTTATGAGCAAACTCAGTCTCGATAACACAGTGCCTGGTCCGATCAGCCTCAGCAACGATGAGGAGTCGTTGGCCAAGCTTAACGATCTTACCACCAAATTCGAGCGGGACATGGCGCGTTTGTACAAGGCAATCAGCATCGCAGTAAACCATGTCCATGTTTTGAGATCGGAACTGTACAGACAACTCACTAAGGTACACTCACTAGACTCTTCTTTGCAAAAGCTTGACCGCCGGCCGGTCCTTGAAAAGCTGGAAAAGTGTAAGACTCGTCAATCCGGCATCGCGAGCCGCATACAGGCTCTGCATGAAAGAGTGCTGAATGCAACCCAGTCGTCCCTGCCGTTGAGTGATCAAGAGCGCAGGTTCCGTGCTGAAGCGGAACGTGTCAACGGCCTCCTAAACAACAAAAAGCCCACTTTGGCCAGTCGCGTCTCAGATCTGGGTCCGGAGTTCGGCCGGGTCACGACGTCATCTCCGCCGGCCAATCCTTCTTCGTGGGCAGAAATTCAAGGCCTAAAAACTCGTTTGGCAGGCATTCAAACCAGCCTCACGAAACTCACTAGCGAGCTGCAAAGCGTGAAGGGCAGTGCAAATATCATAATTTCATAATTTCTACTTAAAAATCAGTAACACGACCGTTGAACGAGTAATCGCCATGGCGCAGCGGATCCTGCTTGGGGCCTCCTACCTCGCCGGTCTCGGGGTTCACATCACCTTCGAAATCGTGATAGACCTTTCGCACTTCCGGGTGTGGGGCGTCGCTAGCCATGGCTTCTTTCTGGAGGCGCTCAAACTCTAGCTGTGCTTCACGATCTAAGGGAGGCGGGCCTGGTCGTTCTTTGAAATTGGTAGCAAATGTGCGGGTAAACCCAGGACGGAAGCGACGAAGCATCATGGTGAAATGATGACGAAACATATGTCAAGTACTTGGCACACATAAGTACACATTAGTAGGTGTGTCTAGAGTTAATCCGGACGTATCGACGGATGACGCGAGTTATACAAAAAAAAAAAAAAGAATTAAATAAAGCTATGGCCGTCTGGTTAGTACTTGCATCAGACATCCAAGGAAGGATTACGGCGGTCACCGGCATACTACTTGGGTTCGTTTGTATGCTACCGAGGAAACTGCGAATGTTTATAGAAATTTCATCATCGCAATACTTACAATCTGGGTTAGTTCTGTCAGACACAAAAAATACTGGCAAGTAAGCCTATAGCGTCCCTTTGGGGGACAGGCAGCCTTTGCTATCATCACAGTCGGATAAGATAGAAGGAAAGGTGGTGTTGTCATCATTAAACTTACTATTTCACTTGGGCGTCACCAGCGTGGGCCGGTGATCATCGTTGTGGTAGGTAACAGTTAGAAGAGAAAAAAATTCACAGCCCGTATATATCACATGATGACTAATCCACACCCTGGCAGTTGGCCGGGAAATTCATCATGTACGTTCTGGATCATGCATGAATGGGCGAATTCAGGCAGACATGTAATTCCACACGATCTCGTTGGCCGTGCCGGGGCGATTGCTCAGAACTTTGTTGGCGTTTCCAGTTGTGATCATGTTTTTCAAATCGTCGCGGCTGATCTGCGGATATAGCGACCAAAGATACGCAGCCAGACCCGAAACATAGCCGGCTGCATTCGAAGTGCCGCTCATGTAGCCATACGACGTGGTCGAGTCTGGTCTAATCGAGTACACATCAACTCCTGGAGCGTACACACTTCCACAGGACCCCCAATTGGAGAAGCTGGCGGGGGTGTTGGTCCAATTAAGCGCCATCACAGAAATAAGGCCACTGTTCTGACTAGCTTCGCCCGCAGGACCATAATTACACACCTGCTTCCCGTTGTTTCCAGCAGCAACAACCACAAGCAAGCCTGCATTAGTGGCCTTGTTGATTGCTGCAGCCCTAGTGTCATCTGGATCACCTACAGCCGAGTAGTTGATGATGACATTTTGGCGGTTATTATCTCGCACGTCTTGAAGCACCCAGTCAATTGCCTTGACAAAGTTCGAAATACTGCCCACCCGCTTCTCATTCAAAACCTTAACTGCTATAATCTGCGCATTACGAGCTACCCCAACCGTCGATCCAGCGACAAGGCCAGCGATGTGCGTCCCGTGTCCATTACCATCACTTAGGGTGCTGTCGACGAAGTTATTCCCCCATCGTGCTCTGCCCCCTAGTTCTTGATGCTGAACAAGCACGCCAGTATCGAGCACATAGACCGTAGGGGTTGCGGCCGTACGAGACTCATAGACAAACGAATTTTCATCGCTGTAGAGATTATTTGCAGTCTTATCATACACATAATCCTTGTGGGATAGTCGAGCGAGCCCCCACGGAGCGTCGCGTTGCCGCTGTAAATCACGGCCAAATAGGTTGTTCGCCGGAGCTGCAGAAACTAAAGAGAGCAGGAGTAGAAGGTTGTAATACATATTGGATCACCCGAAACAATTTTTAGAGTATACCATGTCTATATACACAAGAATATTTTTTCCCTTATCTGTTTTAAGTGAACTTTTCAAAGCATCTTTGAAAATAAACCTTAATCGAGGAGCTCATAGAGATCACCTAATTTCGACGCAAAAAAGTCCGGTTTCACGTCGCTGTCGGCGATTGCTGCTTCAGTATCAACACCGGTCAGAACAAGCAGGGTCGACAGACCACCACGACGACCAAAAGCCATATCTGTGTTCAATCGGTCTCCCACCATAATTGCCCGCTTAGGGTCAAACTCAAATCGTGCTTTGATGCAATCCATCATCGTATCGCTTGGCTTTCCAAGACTAGCAGAGGGCTGACGGCGAGAAGCCGTAGCAACAGCCTGAATCACGGTTCCAGCTCCTGGGAAAAGCCGGCCGTGCGAGGGATACGTAGAGTCGATATTTGTCGCCAAGAACAGCGTTTCAGGATCCTCCAGCTGAGCTTGGGCATATGCAAGCTTGTAGTAATTGATGTGAGTGTCCAAGCCAGCCAATACGCAGCCGACTTCGAGATCACGGCGAACTGTTGCACTGAGCTCTTCGGAATAGTCTTGGCGGAACTTGGGGTCACTCCCCATCACAGAGCTATAACCAAGCGCAGACAGCTCGTCCTCAATTCCTTGTTCGCCAACCACTAGGACTTTTTTATCTTTCGGATAATTAATGACCTTGTCGAGATAGACGGCGGCAGAATACGCAGAACAGAAAATATCGTCGACGCTCACATCGAACCCAAGCTTGGCGAATTTCAACCGGTAGGTCGCTCGGGATTTTGTGGAATTGTTGGTCACGAAAATGAGCTTCTTGCCTCGCTTCTGTAACAACTCAATTGTCTCGAGCGCATGGGGCAGGAGCTCAGAGCCATGCCACAGAACACCGTCACAGTCGAATAGCCACGTATCGTGCTGGTCGAGCAATTGCTCTACTTGGCTCTTTGCGGTGATTTTGGCAATCATACAGGCAACTTGCTTACCGATCGATCGGCTTTTAAGTTCCGACCTATTTTGGTGAAATTCTGTATGTCGCAGCCTCAGCAGTAATAAAATGTATCATTACACATGTGCTCAACCTAGCTACTCAAAAAGCTTGTCGAATTTTCACACCCTGTGTGCTCCCTATCCACCTTCTCTGAAAGCTGTCTGACCAATCAGTCAGCTTTCCTTTCGTAACAAAATGGCCCTCTCTCAGGATCTGCCTCCTAAGGGCGGCTATGCGCCTATCCAGTGGAAGCGTAACCTGCCTTCCCGTGGTTTCCGTCCTGGAATTTACTTTGCTATTGTCACAGGTATCTGTGGCTACGGCTTCTACAAGCTGATCGCCGGTATTCGCGAACGTAACGAGCTGGCTCGCGAACGTCAGTGGGGCCGTATCTATCTTATGCCCTTGCTTGAGGCCGAGGCAGACCGTGATGCCTACCGTCGTATTACCAGTTTGCGGGCGAAGGAGCAGGAGGTTATGGCTGATGTTGCTGATTTCGACGCTACCAAGTCCGTTTACAACGACCCCAAGTTCCGCAAGCCTGCGGTTATTGGTTTCCCCAAGTTCTAATTTATGTAGACCCTGTAAAAAGACATATAAAACAAATTGAGCCGTACTATTTCCCTTGTCCACGGTCGAGCTCGATCCTACCGTTTGTCATGATCGAGTTGGCGGTCCTTCTGGCAGCCCGCCTTATCGCCGCAGCCCGCTCGCCAGTACCAGACTGCGACGAAGTCTTCAATTTCTGGGAACCAACGCATTTTCTCACGCATGGAGCTGGCCTCCAGACCTGGGAATGGTCCCCCGTATATGCGATTAGGTCCTGGAGTTACATCGCATTACACGCTGTAGTTATTTTCGCGGCCGAAAAGCTTGGGTTTGAGGGCTACCAATTGTTCTACGCTTTGAGAATCGTGCTGGGCTCGGTTGAGGCCATCTGTGAATACCAACTGATTCGGGTTCTTCGCAAACACTACGACACTGATGTGGCCTACATTTTCACTGCGCTTAGCTCCGTTATGCCTGGTCTTTTCCATGCGTCGGTGGCATATTTGCCGAGCTCATTTGCCATGAATTGTGTAACTCTCGCTTTTGCTTGGTTCTTGGACTCCCCAACCAACAATATTGTGTGTTCGTTGGTGTCTATTGCCGTTGGAGGGCTTGTCGGCTGGCCTTTTGTGCTGGTTTTGGCCTTGCCGCTTGGTATTTATTATTCCGTCGCAGTGCTGTCGATCAAAAAATGGATCTCAAGTGTTGTCAAAACTCTGGCCCTTGTCGCAATCGTTTTGCTGCTAGTGGTCGCGCTCGATTCAAGAGCATTCGGCAAATTGGCCGTAGTTCCATTCAACATTGTCGGGTACAATGTTCTTTTTGCCGATGAGGGATCGGGCCCCAACATTTTTGGCACCGAGCCGCTGTCTTACTATTTGTTGAACTTGATTCTCAACTTTAACGTCGCTTTTCCGTTGGCTCTGTTGGCAGGTGCTGTGGTCAACTTGCGAACCTTGACGGCACTCTCGCTGATGTATCTTTGGTTTGCTATTTTATTCCCCACACCGCATAAAGAAGAACGGTTCTTGTACGTGGTGTACCCCATTATCGTATGTGCTGCAGCATTTACCATCTCCCGAGCATGGCATATCGTGACCAGCTTTGCCCGCCTGCCAAGAGCCTTCTTATCGTTATTTGTCGGTGCTGTTGCCTTTCTCGGTATTGCTCGTAGTGCAGCTCTTGCTAGTTACTACCAAGCACCATTCGAAGTCTACAAAAATATCCCCACCAACTCCACAGTGTGTGTTGGACGGGAATGGTACAGATTCCCTTCAAGTTATTTTATGGACTCACAATTGAAATTCGTGCGATCTGGTTTCGATGGCTTGCTTCCTGGAGAGTTTTCTTCGTTTACTGCTATTCCCGAGGGAATGAACAACCGAAATGAATTCGACGAAGGGAAGATTGTGCCTCTTGAAGCATGTGACTTTCTGATTGATATTAAACTTGACTATGATGAAGAGTCAGGTGAGATCGACCCTTTGAAGCATGGCTGGGAAGAGGACTTTTGTGTCCCCTTTTTGGATACTCAGAAATCCACCGGACTTGCCCGCGTGCTGTATTTCGGAGTCGATACCACACCCCTTGGTAAAGTCGCGTGGACAAAATACTGCAGATATCGCCGCTTAGAGTAGAGTAGAGGACAAAATGTATGAAATCTATTTGGTGAGCATAGCCTCGCGGCCGGCGCCGACGCCAACCCAAGAGATAGGGACCTTGACAAAGTCCTCGATGAAAGTCAAGTACTCCTTAGCAGCAGAAGGAAGCTCGTCATAGCTGCGGCACTTGGAGGTGTCTTGTTGCCAACCCTTGAAGGTCTTGTATTGGACCTCAGCATCGGCAGCAATGGAAAGATCAGCAGGGAAAGATTCCAGAGTCTTGTTGTTATGCTTGTAGGCAACCGCAACCTTGATTTCAGGGAGCTGATCAAGAACATCAAGCTTGGTGATGTTGAGTTTGGTGTAGCCGTTGATCAGAGTCGAGTACTTGACAACGACGAGATCAAGCCAACCGCAACGACGACGACGGCCGGTGGTCACACCGAATTCGGCACCAACTTCTTGGAGGTACTCACCGGTCTTATCATGGAGCTCGGTGGGGAAAGGACCAGCACCAACACGAGTAGTGTAGGCCTTAACAACACCAATAACCTCCTTGATCTTTTGAGGGGGGATGCCCAAACCAGTACTGACACCACCAATACCAGTGTTGGACGAAGTGACATAGGGGTAGGTGCCGAAATCGAGGTCAAGCATCAGGGCATTGGCACCCTCGACCAAAACCTTTTTGGATTTATCGGTCAGCATCTCCGCCATGAAAGGGACGCTATCGATAACCATAGGACGGAGACGCTCAGCATACTCCTTATAACGGGCAAGCTCCGCCTCTCCATCGTACTCGAAGCCGCCGAAACGTTTTTGCTCGCTCTCAAGCAGCTTGTGATAGCTCTTGACGAACTCGTCCCACGCACCGGGCAACTCGGACACCAAATGGTGAACCCGGAGACCAGATCGAGTAGCCTTGGTGGAGTAGGTGGGACCAATACCTTTACCGGTGGTACCAATAGCCTTCTTGGAACCAGAAAGCTCTTGCTCACGGAGACCGTCGACCAGCTGGTGGAAGTCGAACACGAGGTGAGCTCGGTCGGAAACAAACAGGCGACCGTCGGTATTCAGACCCTTAGCCTGAATGGTCTCGAGCTCCTTGAACAGAGAGGGAGTGTGCACAACCACACCGGAACCAACCAAATTGACACACTTGTCGTTGATAAGCCCGGAAGGCAGCATATGGAAATCGTATTTCACACCATTGACAACAATAGTATGGCCGGCATTGTTACCGCCTTGACACCGCGCACAGACATCGATATCGTCACATAGGATATCCACTAACTTGCCCTTTCCTTCATCACCCCACTGGGCACCAAGAACAACTGTAGCCATTTTTAAACAGAGTTAATCGAGAATGAGTAATTCTAACGAAAAGTTTCAAATCTGTCATCAAACCCTTATTTCGATCCCCCAGGTGCGCCGGTGAATTGTAACTCCAATATTCTAGAGTATTTGACTGAAATATAACCTGGACACTGATTTATTTTTGCTTTCTCTTCCGTCTAAGATGAATCGGGCCCAGCAGATCCTCGCTCGCAACTCAGATCCAGCAGTCGTCACCGGGCGCCTGAACGTCCAGGACTTTGTTTCCGCGCGTAAAGCCGAGATCGAAAGACTGGAGGCTTCACTTGGTGCCGCTGCTACACAGGGAAAGAAGAGAGCGTTTCAGACAGTGCCTCGCCGACTACGTCGCAGAACAGCCAGCCACAATCCCGAGCGGGTTCCTAAGCGGTTGCGGAAACGTGCCCGAATGGAGGCCTCTCAGGATGCTGCAGTCGCACCGCGAAAAAAACCGGATCACGGTAGACTACAGCATACCCCTCAACCTACAGATCACACGGGAATTGGTACCAAGGCATCTCGTCCTCCCGGGTTACGATACGCGAAACGACAAAAGTCAGTAACGTGGTTGCCAACTCATATCTGGCACACCAAACGTGCACATTTGGAGACCTTGTGGGGCTATAAAGTCCCCGTACGCCCGACCCTCAAATTTTACCGTGCCACACATCGAATCAGCGAAGAGCTCGAGGCTGGCATGGCTTGGGACACTAGCTATTTCGCTACGATAATTGTTGAGGGAGACCGCGGCAAACTTGAGCAAAAAGTTGGCAAATCTTTTGTGAATGCTACAAAGCCAATTTACACAAACGGGGTCAAAGTATGGCAGGGTCAATTGGAGGAAGGGCCCGTACTGCTATACTGGCAACCAGCTTGCCTGGTGGCTCACGTGCATCCTGAATTGTTTGAGACTGTTTGGAATTTGTTTGATGGGTTTCAAAGACAAGACTGCAGGTACAGCATAGGATCAATTGAGGTTCTTGGGAAGCGGGCTCTAAGTACCCTAGTAGCCAGTCTGCGGCTACACAAGTCTTGCGATAAATCAGTCGAGACATCGTGGCGGTCTCTGGCTCTAGTTGGTAGTGTGGAGAGTTTACCGCGACATTCTGTGTTGAATCTAAACATTTGCGACCCAAGAGGTTACGTTGCCCACAAGCAGCGACCAAAAGGCACAGTGGAGAAGGCCGTAGATACGTTGACCAGCTGGCCGTCAACCACAGCCCAGCTATTTGATGCAGAAACCCGGCGTGCTTCTGTTTGCTCCCAGCAAAGCCTTGAGGAAATAAACAAACAACGGGTTGCAGGAACGACCCTTACAATTGCCGACCCAGCCATACCTGTTACATTAATCGCTCTCGATGGTGGCCGAATTCGCATGCTCTTGCCATGGGCTTGGGTGAACCCTGTTTGGATGACCTTGATGCATTCTCAGTTATCCGTTGGTGGGATGAAACAGCAAGAGCAAATCGCTTTTGAACGTGGCGTTTGCAGTTTCCCCAGGGACTATCCTCTAACTCCTGCCGGTCAAGCATGGGCTGCCGCTGATAGGAAAATTAGGTATGACGCTTATTTCCGCCGCCCGGCTGCGAAACGCGTTTCATATACACAAGAAATCGGTGACGCATTTACGTGTGACTGGTCTCTCTTGGGCGACCAAGCCCTGAATGTTTCACCAGTAGTAGTTCGAACAGTGCTCCGGGGCGCTCCGCAGGACGGAGCCCGGATTTATGCTCTGCCACCGGATGATTATCAACATTGGCTACGAACGGCAAATCAAGAAACAGCTCCCTCTTCTCTGCCTTCTACTCCCGGCCTCGAATTCCTGATTGGTTTTGTAACCTCTGGAAACTTTAATTTACAGACGGGCACCGGAATCGGCGTAGGCAGTTGCCTACAGAATAAAGGATGGTGCTTGGTGCGCAATGTGGGACAGACACTGTGTCGCCTAGCGAAACTTGAACCAGCAAAGATGTATTTTTAAGTATTTACCTTATTTGATATCAAACAGAGGCTTGAGCTTCTTGATAAGAAGCCAGTCTTCACGAGGGACGTCATCACGGAATGCAGGATCCTTGAGCGTATCGATAGATTTTCGTGAGATGATAGAATAGAGATTGTCCTTTTCGTCAATGTGTCGACCCCAAGTAGGCATATTCGTCATATTACCGGAATCAAGACGCATGGCGACACCAGCGTTGGCTTGGCCCTTGCGAACATTGTCACGGCTCTTGTGGTCAACCTCCATAGACTGGATACGGCCGAGAGGGTAGATGAGCTTCTCGCGAGTAGTAGGATCCTGTTTCACAATAGCAATAGGAGTGCCCACACGAATAGAGCCCTCAGCCACTTCGACACCGATAATCATAGGGTTACGCTTGTTGATAACCTGGAGAGTTTTCAACACACAAGGGTAAACGGCGTCGTGGATATTGTCCTTACGACGCTGTTCAAGCAAACGCTTCTGATATGCGGTGAAATCATCAAACAAGTGATAGATAATATCAGCGGAGAAAATAGTGATACCCTGCTCATTGGCATACTGCTCAGCCTCTTTGTCAATCTTAACATCGAAGCACAACATAACCGCAAACTCTTTATTCTTCTCCAACATCGTGGTAGCGCGCATGACATCACGCTTGTATACAGGACCCAAAGAAATGGACATAACAGGGATCTTCATGTCCTTGAGGAAATCGAGAAGAGCCTCCAAAGAACCAAGAGTACTGGCCTGAACACAGACACCCTGACCGTTCTTGTCGACGGAGTCCAAAAGAGTAGTCATATCATCCATAACATCATCCATGAGGTCCTCTTCGTTATCATCCGGTCCAACCAACAAAAGTCGCGAACCAGCGACAGCATGCTCGAGGTCGTGCGCAGCAATCTTGACACCTAAAGCAGCCTTGACTTCCTTGTGGTGAACATAGGCGGACTTGATACGAAGTTCACGCATAGGTTGTGGCGTCAACAGTGCACGCACCGTCGTTGCTATAGGTCCGTTCAAACCACAGAGGACCACACGGTCACCCTCACGCAAAACACCGTTTGAAAGAACAACATCAATGGTGGTACCAAGACCCTCAACAACCTTGACTTCGAGCACAGTAGCTTCGAGCTCAGACAAATACATGAGCTGCTTGGACATACGGCTCTGGGTGAGCTCCAAGAGCAGGTAGATCAAATCAGGAACACCCTCTCCAGTAACTGCACTTGTAGGAACAAGAGAGACGTACTTGGAAAGATTATTGTTCTTGTAATAGACCTCGGAATTGAAACCTTGCTCAGCAAATAAAACCTTGGTCTTTTCAAGTTTATCTTCAAACTCACGTTGAACAGAGGTCTCCTGCTGAGCCAACGAGTCACGGAAAGAGTTGTTAGGAGTAGACTGCCATCCATAGAGACGATCAATCTTGTTCAAAGCAACAACAAAGGGAGTCTTGCGGTCACGCAAGAGACGGATAGACTCCAATGTCTGTTGCTCGAGACCGTGCATAATATCGACAACCAAAATGGCAATGTTACACAAGGAGGAGCCACGAGAACGCAGGTTAGAGAAGGATTCGTGACCAGGTGTATCGATAATGAGCAGACCGGGAACATCGTATTGAACTTTGACGTGCTTGGACATAACCTCAGTTTTCTTCTTGATAGCATCAATAGGGAAGTACGTAGCACCAATCTGCTGGGTAATACCACCAGCCTCACCCTCCTGAACATTTGTACGACGCATGTTATCCAACAGCTTGGTCTTACCTGTATCGACGTGACCAAGAATAGCGCAAATGGGTGAGCGCAGGTTAGTTTCGGATGCGCTGGCAAGAGCCTTGCTGTGACGAGCCTCACGCTTGCTGGATACTTCTTTACGCTTAGCATCATCAATCTTGGCACGAGCAAGAATAGAGGCCTCCTCTTCGGCCTGAGCGGCAGAAGTGGGCTTATCCTTAGGGGCAGCCTTAGCCTCTGACTCAACCTCTTCATCAGAGAGAGCTGCTTCCCAATCATCCATGAGAGCGCATTCTTCTTCTTCAGATTCAGCCTTGTTATCCTCGACCTTGACCTCAGCGACCTTTTCAGTAACCTCTTCAACCTCCTCGTCCTCTTCGACTTCAGGCTCCGGGCTAGAAACCTCCTCGGGCTTGGCGGGCTCTGGCTCTGACTTGGGCATCTTGCCTTGCTTGATCAAACCAGAGACCTGGACATTACCAGATGCAAGCATTTGCTCGCGACGGCGAGCCTGTAAAGCTTGAAGCTCACGCTGTTTCTTTGACAGCAATTTACCTTGAGCTTTGAGTTCTTCACGCTTTTTCTTTTCTTTTTCGCGCTTGAGACGACGAGCCTCATCGGCGACAGCAGCGGCTTCAGCGGCTTTACGCTCTTCCTCCTCGGCAGCTTTGCGCACTTCCTCAGCAGCGGCGGCAGCAGCTTCCTCAGCAGCCTTCTTAGCAGCCAGCTGTTTTTGCAGAGCAGCAAGGGCAGCATTAGGCTTCTTTTTCTTAGCACCTTTAGCGGCGGGAGCAGGAGCAGCGGTAGCCTCGGGCTCTGGTTCAGGAGTGGCCTCGGGCTCAGGGGTAGCTTGATCCTCTGTAGTTTCCTCGGATTTAGCCGACTTGGAAGCAACGGGAGGCGCTGTAACTTTACGTTGAGCAGCAGCACGCTTCTTTGCCTTCTCACGTTCTTTCTTCTCACGCTCCTTTTCCTTTTTAGACTTGACTTGAGGCGTGCCTTTATCAAGAGCAGCAGCCTTCGCAGCGTCTTCCTCAGCCTTTTTATCGGCCTTCTTTTGCTTGGTGCGCTTCAGGGCGCCCATGAGACCACCCGATCCCCATTCCTCGTCCATATCGGCCTCGACAGGAGCCTGGCTTTGCGGCTCGGGGGTTGCCTCAGATGCCTCAGATGCCTCAGGTGCCTCAGAGGCGTTGCCCAGAGCTCCATCCTCAGCAGGAGCAGACTCACCGGCTAACTCGGGCTCTTCGTCCCAGAAATCGCCTCCAGCCTTTGACTTACTTTTTTTACCCATATCGAACTACGATTTCTAACTCTTTTCTACCTCAATAGAAAAAAAGTAATGGGAAAGATGAATCTTCCTAATCAGCTGTGGGCCGTTTTGAAAAAAACCCTGAAAAGCTGAATTTCACTTTGTCATCGGGCATTTTTTTCCATTTCATCTATTTTGAATTACCATGGCTACTACGGTGGATAAGATCAAGGCTATTGAGTCTGAGATGGCTCGGACGCAAAAAAACAAGGCCACCTCTTTTCATTTGGGTCAGCTCAAGGCCAAGCTTGCTAAGTTGAAGCGCGAGCTGCTGACACCCACTGGCGGCGGCGGCGGAGGCACTGGTGTTGGTTTCGACGTTGCTCGCACTGGTGTTGCCTCGGTCGGATTCATCGGCTTCCCATCTGTTGGCAAGTCCACCTTGTTGAGCACTTTAACCGGCACCCATTCCGAAGCGGCTGCCTACGAGTTCACAACTCTTACTACTGTCCCTGGTATCATCAAGTACCGCGGTGCCAAGATTCAAATGCTCGATCTTCCCGGTATTATTGAGGGTGCCAAGGACGGTAAAGGTCGTGGTAAGCAGGTTATTGCTGTCGCCCGCACTTGCAACCTGATCTTTATTGTTTTGGACGTCAACAAGCCTCTCCAACATAAACAGGTTATTGAGCGAGAACTCGAAGGCTTTGGCATTCGAGTCAATAAGGAGAAGCCCAACATTGTCTTCAGAAAGAAGGACAAAGGTGGTATCAGCATCACCTCCACTGTCCAGCTCACCAATCTCGACAACGACGAGGTCAAGGCTGTCATGAACGAGTACCGTATTACATCTGCCGAAATCGCCTTTAGATGCGATGCCACTATTGACGATCTGATCGACGTCCTGGAGGAACAGAACCGTTTCTACATCCCTGTGATCTATGTCTTGAACAAGATTGACTCCATCAGCATCGAGGAGCTGGATCTCATGACTCGCATTCCAAACTGTGTACCTATTTCCTCCGAGCACCAGTGGAATCTCGACGAGCTTCTTGAGTACATGTGGGAGAAACTCAACCTTGTCCGCGTGTACACCAAGCCTAAGGGCAAGCAGCCAGACTACAACGAGCCAATTGTCCTTCGCCAGGGTCGTAGCACTGTGGAAGACTTCTGTAATGCTATTCACAAGAGCCTTGTCACAGATTTCAAGAATGCGGTTGTCTATGGCACTAGTGTCAAACATCAGCCCCAGTACGTCGGGTTGAGCCACGTACTCCAGGACGAGGACGTTGTTACCATTCTTAAAAAATAATTTATTCTAGTCAACTTTTTTTCTCTGCGGAATGTTTCATGGGGTCGAATTCCACCAATGCACCCCTGAACAAATCACCTTACTGCTAAAAATTTCGCTTACCTCATCTTTTTTTGGGCGGTTTTTTCTCATTGTAAATTTAAACCTTACCCTCAAGTATAGCCGTAGGCAATTGCGGGGCGTTGGGTTTGCAGCCCACAGAAACCCTTGAGCAAAATCCGCGATTCAATTAAGTACAGGACAAAATTTGGTTCGAAAACACAGATAGTACAGTAGCTCGCACACACCACAAAGGTCGTTGCTCTGAGGGCCCTCCTAGCAACGCAGCCCTAAAAAGCAGTCACGCAGCAGCTTCGACGGCCAGGCTTACGTATGAAATAGGGAAGCGCTGGCCAAATTTTCCCGTTGCCAAACGACTTTACTCAAAGATGGTGAATGCATTGGCTGTCGATCAGATCCGTGCTTTGATGGACCGCGTTACGAACGTTCGTAACATGTCCGTCATTGCCCACGTCGATCACGGCAAGTCCACTCTTACTGACTCTCTCGTCCAGCGCGCTGGTATCATTTCCGCCGCCAAGGCTGGTGAGGCCCGTTTCACCGATACTCGCAAGGACGAGCAGGAGCGTGGTATTACTATCAAGTCCACTGCTATCTCTCTGTACTCTACTCTCCCTGAGGATGACGTCAAGGAGATCAAGCAGAAGACCGAGGGCAATGAGTTCTTGATCAACTTGATCGACTCTCCCGGTCACGTTGACTTCTCTTCCGAAGTCACTGCCGCTTTGCGTGTCACTGACGGTGCTCTCGTTGTCGTCGACACCATCGACGGTGTCTGTGTCCAGACCGAGACTGTCTTGCGTCAGGCCCTTACCGAGCGCATCAAGCCCGTTGTCTGCATCAACAAGGTCGACCGTGCTCTTCTCGAGCTGCAGACCACCAAGGAGGATCTTTACCAGACTTTCGCTCGTACCGTCGAGTCTGTCAACGTCGTCATTGCCACCTACATTGACGAGGCCCTTGGTGATGTCATGGTCTACCCCGAGCGTGGTACCGTCGCCTTCGCCTCTGCTTTGCAGGGCTGGGCTTTCACCATCCGTCAGTTCGCCATCCGTTACGCCAAGCGCTTCGGTGTTGACCGTGATAAGATGATGACCCGTCTCTGGGGTGACAGCTTCTTCAACCCCAAGACCAAGAAGTGGACCAAGTCTGAGAAGGATGCCGATGGCCAGCCCCTGGAGCGTGCTTTCAACATGTTCATTTTGGACCCCATTTTCCGCATCTTCTCTGCTGTTATGAACTCTCGTAAGGAGGAGATCAACACCCTTCTTGAGAAGCTTGAGATCTCCCTCAAGGCTGACGAGCGTGATCTCGAGGGTAAGGCCCTCCTCAAGACCGTTATGCGTAAGTTCTTGCCTGCCGCTGACGCTCTTCTCGAGATGATTGTTATCCACCTGCCTTCTCCCGTCACCGCTCAGTTCTACCGTGCCGACACCCTTTACGAGGGCCCTCACGACGATGCCGCCTTCAACGGTATCAAGAACTGCGACCCCAAGGCTGAGCTCATGCTTTACGTCTCCAAGATGGTTCCCACCTCTGATAAGGGCCGCTTCTACGCTTTCGGCCGTGTCTTCTCCGGTACCGTCCGCTCCGGTCAGAAGGTCCGTATCCAGGGCCCTAACTACGTTCCTGGCAAGAAGGAGGATCTCTTCGTCAAGAACATTCAGCGCACTGTTCTTATGATGGGACGTACCGTCGAGTCCATCGATGACTGCCCTGCCGGTAACATTGTCGGTCTTGTTGGCGTCGACCAGTTCTTGCTCAAGAGCGGTACTCTTACCACCATGGAGGATGCCCACAACATGAAGGTCATGAAGTTCTCTGTCTCTCCCGTCGTCCAGGTCGCCGTTGAGGTCAAGAACGCCAACGATCTCCCCAAGCTTGTCGAGGGTCTTAAGCGTCTCTCCAAGTCTGATCCTCTCGTCCAGACCTACATGTCCGAGTCCGGTGAGCACATTGTTGCCTGCACTGGTGAGCTGCACTTGGAGATTTGCTTGAAGGATCTCGAGGAGGACCACGCCGGTATTCCTCTCCGTGTCTCTCCTCCCGTTGTCTCTTACCGCGAGACCGTCGAGGCCGAGTCCTCCATGACTGCTCTTTCCAAGTCTCCTAACAAGCACAACCGTATCTACCTCAAGGCTGAGCCTATCGATGAGGAGCTCTCTCTCGCCATTGAGAAGGGTGTCGTCAACGCTCGTGACGATTTCAAGGCCCGTGCCCGTCTCATGGCTGACGAGTTCGGCTGGGATGTCTCTGATGCCCGTAAGATTTGGTGTTTCGGTCCTGATGGAACCGGCCCCAACTTGGTTGTTGACCAGACCAAGGCCGTCCAGTACCTTAACGAGATCAAGGACTCCGTTGTCTCTGCCTTCCAGTGGGCCACCCGTGAGGGTCCCATCTTCGGTGAGCACATGCGTTCCGTCCGTGTCAACCTTATGGATGTTACCCTGCACCCTGATGCCATCCACCGTGGTGGTGGTCAGTTGATCCCCACCATGCGCCGTGCTACCTACGCCGCCGTGTTGCTTGCTGAGCCTCGCATTCAGGAGCCCATTTTCATGGTCGAGATTCAGTGCCGTGAGTCCGGTATTGGTGGTATTTACTCCGTTCTGAACAAGAAGCGTGGTCAGGTCATCTCTGAGGTCCAGCGCCCCGGTACTCCCATGTTCAACATCAAGGCCTACTTGCCCGTCAACGAGTCCTTCGGTTTCACTGGTGATTTGCGTCAGGCCACCGGTGGTCAGGCCTTCCCCCAGATGGTCTTCGACCACTGGCAGACTATGGGTGGTGACCCCTTGGATCCTGCTTCCAAGCCTGGTGCCATCGTCGTTGAGGCCCGTAAGCGTCGTGGTATGAAGGAGAACGTTCCCGGCTACGAGGAGTACTACGACCGTCTCTAATTTACCTACCAAATAGTTAACTTACAAATTTGTCTGTTGCTTGATCAATGTTTTTGTTCCAAGCCTGAACCCGCGGGAGATTTATTCTGCATCTACAAAATAGCTATAGCACAAAGGGCGGCACCGAAAATAGTAGACCCGCCTACGACCACGGCCATTCCAGCATTAGAAGACGAAGAGGTGGAGCTGGTCGAGCTGGAAGTGGATAACACACTGGAAGAGCTAGCGGAACTGGTAGTACTACTGTGACTGGCAGAGGCAGTGGTGGAAGCGATCTTAGTAGAACTTGTAGTCACGGTAGATGTTTTGATATCAGTTTTGGTACTCTCAGCAGCACTACCAACACCAGCACCGATAGGAGAGGGCTTACCTCCGTTGGCCGAAGTGCCTGTAGATACTGCACTATTGGTTCGGGTGTGCTCGTTATGGTGCGAGTTGTTGTAGTCACGGGTACGATTATGGTCCTGGTCGTGATCCTGGTCATTGTCGGTGTGGTTATTGTCATGTGAGTTGTTGTAATCACGAGTACGGTTATGACCCTGGTCGTTATCGTTAGTGTGACTGTGATCATGTGAGTTGTTATAGTCACGGGTGCGGTTATGGTCTTGGCTTTGGTCGTTGTTATTACCATTCACTTCCGAATGGTGATTATTGTGATCTTCATTGTTGTTGTTGTTTTGGGCACAAGCAAGGGGGAGTGCGACGGCCAAAGTCCAGAGTGAAAGCTTCATTTTTTGTTACATCAAGGAACCACAGTCGCCAGTATTTATATTCCAGTAACTCTTAGCTTCTGCAACTGCACGAAGAGTGCAGGTTATTGCAGGAGTAGCTGGAGAATTTTAAGGATTTTCACATTGTCACAAAGTAATATGAAAGTGTGTGATGTATACCTGGAGTTTTACTTCTCGGTATATGATAGATTGGCTGGGTGATAATTCTTTCAATAGTACAATATGGGAGTCCGAGCGTTTCGTGTAAAGCTACCAGGCAGCATAGTGACAGCCCAAAATACAGGTGGGTCTGGTAATCTGCAGGTCTTTTTACAACCCGCCGGGCTTGGTTCGGTAAGAGCCAGTATGAAATAATTCGTGCTAGACACGCTATTTTGTCAATAGGCTATTCAAAAAGTATAATAGTAATGTTCAGCAATACGCCAGAAATCTCAAAGCTAGTTTTGAACCTGAAAAAACGCGTGTTCGCTTATTCGTGCCAAGACCTCTACGTGCCTGAGTAATTGCTGATGGGCTTCAGACATTACTTCCATCACGGAACAGTTTCGGTGAACAAAATACTCTAGTTTTGTAATAGTACAACCTTTATTTAGGGGTATTGTTATCTTGGGGCTGAACATTCAATCTGGTGGGCAGTACAGTAGCTGTGTATAGCCTGTAGAAATGAGCACCTAAGGTAGCACTACTGAAATGACATATGCTGGTGGCTGCAACCATTAATTTTGTTGAAACGTACGAGCCGAAGTCGGCAGGAGTTGTCTTGTCTTCTCCTTGTTTCGGGGAATTAAAAAAACATTCGAAGATATTTAGCAGACAGTATGACCGCCAACACTTAGCCTCTATTGTCCTACTTGGAAGTCTCGTGACAACCTTATCTGCTTCAAGGTTAAGCCCATCGATTTAGAAGCTCTCTCTCGCCATTGAGGAGGGTGCCGTTAATGCTCGTGATGATTGCAAGGCTTGTACCCATCTCATGGCTCATGATTTCGGCTGAGGAATCTACGAGGAATCGATATTTAGGTTCTGACATGGCCAAGATTTAGAGCCGTGGTCCAGTATTGATGATAAACTCCGGTTTGAAGAAGGGTAGTCAGGTGATTATGAATGTCGATATGAATTGAAACTATGGAATACTGATTGTGTGTAACGATTATTCTGCATCTACAAAATAGCGATGGCGCAAAGGGCAGCACCGAAAATGGTAGACCCGCCTACGACAACGTTCATTCTAGCGTTGTTAGCCAAAGCGACCGAATTGGTCGAGCTGCTAGTGTCAGGCACAACGGAGAGGCTGGCAGAACTGGCAGCGCCAGTGGTGGCAGCAACTGCAGCAGAGCTTGTAGTTGCAGTACCAGCAGCGGCTCCGGTACTCCCTGCAGCACCAATACCAGCACCAACAGGAGAGGGGGCGGCATTACCAGATTGATTTTGCTGGGTTTGGCGGGTCTGCTGGTTTTGCTCGGTTTGTTGGTTTTGCTGAGTTTGCTGGTTTTGTTGAGTTTGCTGGTTTTGCTCGGTCTGCTGGTTTTGCTCAGTTTGCTCGTTTTGGTGCGAGTTGTTGTAGTCTCGGGTACGACTGCGATTCTGGTCCTGGCCGTTACCATTGTTACCATTTGAGTTGTTGTAGTCGCGGGTGCGGTTAGAGCCTTGGTTGTTCTGGTCGTTGTTGTTAGCATTTACTTCCGAATGGTGATTATTGTGATCTTCATTGTTGTTGTTGTTGTTGTTGTTGTTTTGAGCACAAGCAAAAGGAAGAGCGACAGCCAAAGTCAAGAGTGAGAGCTTCATATTTGTTACATTCTGGAACAGCGAATACCAGTATTTATATTCCGGTAAATCGTAGCAATAACATATAGCTTTGTGCATGTCATTGCAGGGTGGCTGGCAAATTATACAGAATTTCGCATTATCATAAATTAATACTTTGGAAAATGCGTGCTCTATGTCCAAAGATTCACTTCTCGGAACACGATAGATTGACTAGTAGTGATCCTTATTATAGGAGAATATAAGGCAGTCGAAGCATTTCACCTGAATTTTTTAGACATCATAAGGATATACTGGGAATATCCATGGGGTCTGGTAATCTGCATGTGTATTAAACCTCGAACCTAGCGTGGTAGGGTACAGGTTTGAAAACTTGGTTCTGGCCACGTTACTTTCTTAATAGACTATTCAAAAAGTACAATGGTAATGTTCAATAGTATCCTCAAAAGGTTTAAAAGTAAAATTGAACCTGAAACCCCCGTGTCTGCTTATCCGTGCCAAGAATACTATGTGCTCGAATAATTTTCCCGATGGGCTTGAGACATCAACTCCATTGGGACGGTTTCGGTGAACGAAACATTCTAGTTTTGTGATTTTGTGATACTAGTACCTTTATTCTAAGATGCGTATCTTTCACAGCTAGGTATCCGAATTTGCAGACAATATAGTGGCTATGCGTAGTCTGTGGAAAATAGCACCGAGATAGCATGGCTAAACATGAAATATGCGAGTTGCTGCAACCGAAACCACTCACCCTACTATGAAGACTACAAACAAAGGCTAGCAGGACTTGTCATTTATTCTTGCCCTTGTTATGCAGAGTTAAATGGTATTCAAAGGCTTTAATTGGATAGCGAGACCGCAAGTACTGAGGTTTTGCTGGCATACCCGGTAGCTTTGCTTATCTTTGAAGCACAGCCTGCTTAAGCGTAGGCTTGGCAGTATAACTACTCAAATTGGCAATAATTAAACTCTCCAAATGTTATTATTTTTAGAATCATGATGCTTCTAGCTGTTCTGAAAGTATATGCATAATGCTCCATTGTTGACTACTTGTCACACAAAACGCATAAAGAGACCACTCGTGTACATTTATAAAACTCTAAAGTCTTATCCTGAGGCATCTGCTAGAATATGAAACGAATCAAAGACTTTTTTTTCAAAAGAGGGAGCCTGTAACACGAATGACTCCTGCACTGTTCAGCCAGGTGACAGCCCTGGCAATGTAATGAACCTCTTGTCTTGAAGCTATCCATAACAAAACACGCAATCTCTCACCAAAGTATTACATTTTATCAATTACAGGACTGAGATTTCCGTGATTTAAGGGAAACGGTATAGAAAACAACCAAAGCTCATGGTCGAGAGTGTTGTCTCATAAGTTCCGAAACCACACTCGGGAAGCATTCGATCCTTGTTTGATTTTACATGTGAGCCATGCGCTTATGCCAACCAGCAGGACAGACTCTGACCAGCACAGAAAAGCTGGAGTGCTTGGTAAACACCACAATATAGTACGAGAAGGGAAGCCAATGACTGCTCCAAAGCGCGATTTCGACTACTTAAAAGCGCAGACTAGTCTATATTTTTTTAGTAGTTCAAAATTAGAGGAGAGCAATGGCAACAGCGGCAAGACCGAAGAGACCAGTGATTCCAGTAGCAGCGGCAGCGTTAGCAGATGAAGCACCGCTCTCGGAGGCGGAGCCAGAAGCGGAACCAGTTGCAGAGCCAGTAGCAGAGCCACCCTTGGTAGCAGAGCCGCCCTTGGTAGCAGAGCCAGTCTTGGAAGCCTCACCACCCTTAGCAGAAGTAGTTACAGAGCCAGGAGCAGAACCATTGGCAGAGCCAGACGCAGAGCCGGACACAACGGTGGTCTGGGTGGAGTTGTTGCTCATAGTGCTGGTGGAGTTAGTGGAGTTGGTAGAGTTGAACACCTTGGGCTTGGGGACGGTGTTGTTACCGAACTCGCCGATGGGCAGACCCTCAACCTCACACTTGTCCCAAACCTTGCCGGCGAAAATGTCGGCGAAAGAGTCAAGGATTTCACCATCCTTGGCGGCAGAAGTGCCAGTATGGTCCTTGCCGGAGACACGGATGTAGCGGACCTTACCGTTGTCGTTGCAGTACTTGGTGACAACCTCATCGATCTTACCGATAGGGGCGATCTGATCCTCAATACCGTTATACACAAGCAAAGGAGCCTTGGGAGTAGTACCACCAAGGGTGTTGTTGTTAAGAGTGTCCAACATGACGCTGTTTTGCAAGACAGCATTGCCGTTCTTGAAGAAGTCGAAAACGTTGACGTTAGCGTAAGTAACGAGATCGGACAAGACGCACTGCGAGAGAGCCTCGCTAGCAAACTTCAGCTGATCAGGCTTGATCTGTTCCTCAAGGAGCTGCTGGAACTCGGGGTACTCGGCACCAAGACCAAGGACACCAGGGGGGACGAACCCGACATAGGGAGTGCCGTTAACGAGCTCAACGGTGGCGAGCAAGTCAACAACGAAACCACCAACGGCAGTAGCCTTGATATCAAGCTCAGGAGCGTACCAAGCTTGGATCTCAGCAGCCCAGCCAGAAGCAATGGAGCCGCCAGAGTAGCCCCACATAATGGTAGGACCGGGGTTGACACCAGTGAAGTTCTGAGCATTCTTAAGAGCACGCAAAGAGTCCAAAGTCATCTTTCCCTCGAGGAAACCAGCAGTGAAACTGGAGTTTTTACCCTCGTGGTCAGGGAAGTTCAGAATGTAGCCCTTGTCCAAAATACCCTGGAGATCCTTGTCGGGGCTGCCGAACATGCTGTAAGATGGGTTGCAATCAAGGAAAGAAGAATCCTCATGCTGCTGGTAAGAAACAACGTTGGCGGGTTTGTCGGTACTGTTGTATCCAACAGGCAAAACGATGGTAGTGACGGTCGCAGCTGGGAAGCCGAAGGTGTTCTCACTTCGGTAAAGCACCTGCCAAGCCTTGGAGTAGTTGTACTGACCGAGACCGACCTCACGAACATTCAAAATATCACCGAGAGCATACTTGGTGATGTTTTGGGCGTCGTACTTATAGAAGTCGTCGTCGACAGGCTTAACAGGAGCGTTGCCAACAGAGCTGACCCAAGAAGAGGAGTTAGAGGTAGCCTTGTTCAGCGCCTCGGAGGCAATGAGCACCCAGGGATCGTACTTCATTGTTTTGAAAGAAAGGTGCAAGAAATTTTAACGTGTGGAATCTGTGTTTATTATATAGATATTTGCCTGGGCGAGGAGAAAGCGGGGCTGTATGCAGCTTACGTCCCACTCACGTCTGAATAGGGGAGTGCATCTGCATTTCGGTTTGATGTGTTGAGGTATTGAGGGCTTAAATGGAACAATTATATACGACGCAGCTATTGGTAGCAAACTCTGTAGCCCTCATTGAAGATGTGGCGGTCCTGAACGGCTGATATTTTCACATCGTAGTGGGTTGTATCTCGAGACTTCTGTGAAGACGCCGCATGTGATTCACGCACGAAAACTGGCAGGCAGCTTCGACTTGGCACAATCAAGTGCAGGTGTAAGGAGATGCATGACTTCTGCGGTAAATACCTTGCTTCAGGGTAAACTTCTTGATACCAGGCATGCAACAACCATTATGTTATATTCTACTTGTAGTATTTCTCGACCTCGCAGTTAAACTTCGGCGAACCCAAAGAAGGTGCATCGCAGATTGCCTTGTCAGCGCCTGCAAAAGTGGCTTATGAGTCTGCTGATGTGCACATAATTCGTTTAATTTGAATTTATTTCCCCCGTAGTCAGTTGCTAGTTGAAATCCAGTGTTTTTCGGTGAGAAGTTTTGCTCGCTCTATGCCAATATTAGCTCCTGGTTCGTTCCAGCTAAGCCCTCCCGTCCAGAAGCACAAACGTCAGACTGCATTCGCACCGGTTGTTGACTAAGATCTTGTTTGCGTGCCTGAATGATGAGCATGAATACAGATAGGTTGCATCTACCAAAAAAAAAAGCTTAGGCCAATAGTGATCTGCACCCAGGAAAAATTCATTTACTTTATTTCGTAGTTTCCAGTATTTCAATGGCCCCTTTTATGGGTTTGTTTTTCTTTCTAATTAACCACAAGCGCTAGTTGCTCTGTCTCGACTCGATCTACCTAGGTTGTTGACAGTCAATCTCCCAGCTAAACTCTAAGCTTACATCAAGGTCGCAACTTGTAGCACAGATGGACATTAGCGAGTTTGATCCGTTATCAGCAAAGGACAAGACCACCAAGGCACCAGAAAGCACGGGCGCGCAGACCAAATCTGATGAAATAGAGGATAGCAATGAAGAGCACTTGCCATTAATTGTCCAGGAGAGACGAGGCTCGTTGCCAAAACCGGATCCCGCCGCTGATGAAGGGCTTCCTTTCAACTTTCATCAGTTTCTGGATGTTCTTAGGCAAAAGCAGGCAGAGCCCATTGCAAAGTATGTGAAGTCGTTTCTCCAAGAGTTTTGTAAGAAGAGCTGGTCTGCTAAAGAGCAGGTCAAGATTATTGAAGATTTCAGGATCTTTATTTCTACTAAAATGGGGGAGAATCCTTTATTCAACACACCTCAAGGCAAGTCAACTTTGAACAGTCGTGAGGGCATTGAAAAACTCATCATGAACCGCCTATACACACGTACGTTCTCCCCGAAGATGCCGAGAGTTCTCCGCAGGGATGATCATGAAGAGGATCTACTGCATGATAAAATTTTGGGGGAAAAACTGAGAATTTGGAGCTGGATTGAGGGCAGGCATCTTGATCTGGACAACGAGTTCTTGGAGTCCAACAAGTCGTTCATTAAATTGGCTTCAAGCGAACTCAAGAAGATCAATGAGCACCGGGCGCCCAGAGATAAAGTCATTTCCGTGTTGAACTGCTCTAAAGTCGTTTGGGCAATGATTCGACAGGCAAAAATGGAGCAGAATGCAGACTCATTTCTACCAATTCTAATTTACGTCACACTCAAGGCCCAACCGCCATTCCTGATGTCGAACATAAACTATATCAATCGCTTCAGGGATGCTGATAGGAGACAAGGTGAAACAGGATACTATCTGTCCATGCTCGCGTCTGCAGCTGCATTTATTGAATCTGTCGACAAGTCAAGTCTGACAATAGATGATGAAGAATACGAAGCGAAACTTGAAGAATCAGTCAAAAGAGAAACCGAGCGGCGGACTCTGAATGAAGGTATGGAAGAAGAGCCTGATCTCTATCCGTCCTCCGTTTTGGCTGCTTCAGCCGAGCTGCTTGTCGAGCACTTCAAATCTTTCACGACCAAATTGTTCGAGGGTGACAGCAACGTTCCTTCCCCTCCACCTGAGTCGCCGGAAGAAGAGGCTGCGAAACAGGCATCAGCGGAAGAGTATCACGCTCAGCAACTTCGCGAGCAGGAATTCGCCGATGTGCTGGCCACGTTGGTTGAAATGTTCCCTACTCTCGACACGGAGGTCATCGAAGACGTCTTGCGGGAACGCGGGGTTAATATTGGGTCTGCGATCGATACATGTTTAATGTTGGTTGAATAAATAAATATAGAAGCTGATCATTTTCCATTCAATGGCTTTCCGTGGCCTGCGGGCGGCGAGATTCCTCGTGAAACGGAAGCAATCGCCCTTAGGTCCGGAACCTTATCGCGCCCTCGCTCGACTGGAGGACGTTTGACTCGGGGCAGAGCATCTTTTTTCGACGGCTGGGCAGAAAACCGCCGGACACTTTCGATATGGCCCTCGATATTCTCCACCTGATGCCGAATACCTTCCATGCGGCGGAGCGTCCGCTTTTTTATGTCGACGTTGGATGGTGTGCGCTTGGTCATTCCATCTTTGAGTGTCTGGATTTCGTCTGAATTTTCGCGTAGCTCATCCTTGGCTCGTTGGAGCTCCTCTTTAGCAAGTGCAAGGGCAGAATCAGAAACTGCAAGTTTCTCCAAGAGCTCTGCGTTACGCTCCTCCAGCTCTTGAACAGTCGATTTAGCAATTCGTTCGCTGCGTTCGATATCGTCGTTTTCGATCTCGACAGCTCGTATTTTGTGCATATAGCGGCTGTTTTCTGCAGTTACCTGTTGTAGCTTGAGCTTCAAGCTCTCTTCATTTGCAAAAGAATCTGCTTGCAGCCCGGCATATTTCACTTTCCAATGTTCGACGGACTTGAGAGCGTCAGCCAACTGGTTGCTCAAATCGTCGATTTGCCGCTGCGAATCTTCCAAGTCGGCTTCTAGTTCTTTCTCCAGCTCTTGCGATGCGAGCTTGAAATCAGCTAGATCCGCCTGAAGTTGCGCGATCTCGTCGTGAAGCATGCCGCGGTAGTTACGTGAGACGGCCGCTCTGGCAAACGTGGGGTGACGCTCAACTATCTTAGAGTCTCTACATTGTTTTAAAATGATATTAAATCAAATGCCATATTCAGATTGCAGCTGATATACAATGTCCTGGCCTAGGAGTTTCAAAACCTCGTCGAAGTTTGACACATGGGCGCGATAACCGTTGATAACCTCAGAAATGAGCTTTTTAAGATCAGGACTGGGGGTATAGTAGTATGCGAATGATCTTAAAAGGCGACCTAGCTGTTCTTGACCCGACAGAGCTCCCGGGTTGGATCCAATTACGATACACAACCCCTGGAACGCTGTATCTTTTTCGTTGGTTTCTTCCACATCTGTCATGACCATGAGCCAGTTTTCAATAAAAATACCCAAATGGGGGGCAATCTCTGCGCTCATAGAGATGCCCATGCGGCCAATAGTGATGGCAGCGTTCTCCATCAGGGTATATGCCGCCGACTGGTTCATCAACACAGTACCGAGTCTTTGGAACAAATCGGTAAAGTACGGAACCAAGTCGCGGCCAACTTGTAGTGAAAGCTCACCAAGAGCCCACATGGAATTGTTGCAAACTGCGTCGGCAATCTGCTCTGAGACTTCGATTTGACTGATGGCCTCAGGTACCAGCTTGGCCAAGTGGGGTCGGAGTTCGTCCACGCAGTAAATGGCCATGTCACCTATGAGTGCATATCCAGACTGTCTAACCTCCATCATGTCGCACTGCAAACTTGCCATTACGAGATCCATGAATGAAGGATTTTGGCATGTGTTGAGCAGAGGAACCACTTTACTTTGCAGACCCTGAACAAGACCATCAACAACATCGATACCGCACACAGCAAAGTCCAGCTCTGGTGCTTCACAGTTGACAGGGTCCTGTTTGAATCGTTCCTCCATGACGAAAATCTGGTGGACAATTTTAGCACTGCGCTCAAACACAACTGATGCATAAGGAGCGAAGCTCTCGCGAGCATTGGCCGCAACGGCAGCAATACACGAAAGCAGGGGAAGCAGCTCGATGTCGGTATCGTCATGGGTTTGCCAGCGACTGACGATAGGAGCCATCAAAATCTCCAGGATTTCTGGGTCTGTCATTGCAGGTGAAATGGCAATGACAACTGACTGTATACACTCGTACAGCGTCAGCATCGATCGCAGCTGGTACTTTTGGAAGCACTGTTGGAAATGGTAGCAAAGAGGCTTTGCATATGGAAGTAACATGCTACCAGCATACTCTGCAATAACAGAAAGAGCATTGCAGCCAGCCTCCTGCACCTTTTTGTTTCGATCCAATGAGCAAGCAAGCACACCGTGGAAAACTGGATTGAAGAGTTCTTGGCTTTCGCAAACAGGTTCAACATAGCGACTGAGCGTCCAACAGGCCATTTCACGAATGGGAGCATGCTCGTCAGAGAGCATTTTGATCAAGAAGGGAACGAGCTCGGGGACGAACATGGCCTCGCCTTGAACTTGGCAGCCCTGGGCAATAGCACCGAATGCAAGTACACCAGACTCGCGGATTTGCCACTCACTTGAGTTTACTCGCTCAAGCAGATGTGGCTGGGCAATTTGCAAGACCAGCGTGGCATACTTGCCAGCAAACGTGTCCAAAGCCGCCGCCGAGCACTTGCGCAAATTCCACGTGCTGAGAATATCCTCTGGATCTTCATTGTCCTCGTCGTCCTCGTCGTCCTCATCACCACCTCTCTTTGACTTTGCCTGGTGACCTTCTTTTTGTTTTATGTGGACAGGCTTGATGTCCTCAGCCCGGTCAGCGACGTTCTCGTTGTCTTCATCAAGACTGTCGAGAAGCATGATATCCATGTCGGAGTAGACCATCGTGCTAAGAATGACGGGGATGATATTAGGCAAATGATGGCGAACAAGCTCAGGCTCGAGAGGGCTGTCTGCCATGGTCAGAATGAACTCAGCTCCCTCCAAAGCAACTTCGTCGTCGTCGTCCTTGATACAGTGCAGACAAAAGCTCACCACACCGTCCATGTGAGGAATAATCTTATCAGCACGAACTTCGAAGAGAGCCTTGAAAGCGCGGGCAATGTTGCTGCGGATTTTGGAATCGGAATCGTTGGCCAGAGTAAACAGGGCCTGCATGAACTCGTCGATATGAGCCAAGAAGGCCTGGCTCTGCAGCGGTATAAATTGGATTAAACAGAAAATAGCCTGTCCACGTATCTTTGGTGATTGTGACGAGCAAACAGTGATCAAGGTAGGGATCAAAGTGTTGGTGGGGCGGTCGCCTCTGCCAGTGTGGTCGGTATCGAGCTCAGCCGCGCTATCCTCGCAGATACGGGCCAGTGCATAAATGGCACCTTCCTGCGCATCGATGGAGGACGACTCAATGAGCTGGAGGAGCTGGCCGAGGATCTCTGGCCACCCGCCAATCTTGACGAGCGAGAGAACGGACGTAACCACGATCGAGGCGACGTTCCGGATCATATGGTCTGGGTCGACAAGCCCCTTGACGATTTCCTCTTTCACGTAGCCTAGTCGGTCGATGCTGTTTCTCAGTGTGTTTTTTAACACCAAGCCGGCCGTGGCTCGAATATTTGTGGGGACCTGGGCCTCCTTGGTAACTAACAGGTATACGAGGTAGTTGTTGATATCGGGGTGGCTACTAGCCTCCTCCATGGCTATTTTTGCCTGGTCTCGCGCAGCACGCGATGGCGAAGCAGCCTGTGAGAGGATTGTAGCCAGCTGCCCTACGATGTTTTCTTCAGGGCTCCACGATGCCATCAATCTTGGTTAGTCAGCACGTGCCGTCAAAGAAGAGGTGAGGCCCAGACACACCGCGAGACGCGGGGCGGCTGTAAACCTGGGCCAGCCAGCGATACCGGGGGCGCTTTGTTTATATTTGTAGTTGAGTGGGTGTAGGGACAAACTATTTAAATTATACGATAAAGTCGATTGTCGTGGCCGCAGGTTTAGGTTCGTTTAAAACGTAGGTGAAACATTAGAAGCTTTCAAAGCCACAGAGCGAAAACAAGCCGCGGGGACAACGGTTGTGGGGGGGGCCTATCAAAGGCCTATAAAAAAGGATAAGCGGGAGCCGAATAGCCCCAATTAGAAACGGGTTTTTATTTTAAACCGCGAATTAGGACACTGAGCTTGTTGTCGATCTTGTGGATTGCGTCAAAGCCGGTCTGGAAGATGGGACTCTCTTTTCTGGGTGCATCTGCGGCGTCCGTTTTCAAATGGATGATGGGAGTGTCCTCACTGATTGGAGACTCGCATTCATCACTAATGTCACTGGTATCGCTGGAATCGTTCTCGAGTCCGGGTGGGCTGTTGGGGCAGCTAGCATAAAAACTGGGCTCGTAGCAACAAGCCTCCGCAAAGCGGACCCTCTTTTTGCCAGAACAGGATGCTGAGGCCCTACGCATGTGTTGCATAGGGATGGGAATAAACGTATTGGCGTCTTTGTTTTGGCGAGCAACCCGCTCAGAAACGAGTTCAACAAACTCCGCCGGGATGTAGCCGATGCATGCAGTTCGCTGAACACGAACAAGCCACCAATACCAATGCGTATCGTTTATGAGGACCAGCTCGTCGCCCACATCAGCGTCAACATGGCCAGCAAGTGTTGCGTGGAAGGGCCGGACGGCATATACCGGTTCTGATTGAATAGGTTGTAACGACATGATCTAGAGAGTGTGAAGGGCCGTGTGGTGTGCAAATTATTCAAAACAGGACCCTAGTGTGGTTCTCTAACGTAGTGTGCTGTTTGAACAAAGATCCCAAAGTCAACAAGGTCGCTGAGATGAAAGATCTCTTAAAAAGCACAGCACGGAAAATATAGAGGGTAGCGGTGCAACACAATAGAGGTGCCTGCATGCTTTACATATGCATTGTGGGGTTTTGTTGGTCGGAATTTAGCTGTATGGAATGTGTGTACGAAAGTCTAATTTGAAACACAGATTTTTTGTATATACCAAACTGTCGGTTTAGAAAAAAAAAACTGCTAAATGCCCAAGTCTACCGGAGCTTGCGCTTGGCTGGGTCTATTGTGGGATTAGGGGGCAGCTCTGCATGTTTGTACTGCGCCTAGATGCTTTGACTGGGGTTGGGGTTACACAGCAAGCAAGCCGCCCTGATTTTGCAATTCAGCGAAATATGGGCCACGAAACCCCCGCCAACTTGGAAGGGCCCCTAGCCTACTGCTACGCAACTACTCCTAGAGCTTTTAACGGATTTTTGAGCAGCTATAACGCTATAAATACTACAATCTCCCTCTCGTATAAGACCATAAACCCAGCCGTTTCTTTTCCCAATTAAGTAATCTTCGTTCAAGCCGCAGCCACCCGCGCATGATTAGGAATCTCCTTGTTGCTTTTTGGAGGTCTCTATGGCTAAGTTTTGCAGATCTCAGGGAATAGCCCCGCTTCACAGAGTGATTTAAGTGTAGATAAATACCCCTTCTCTTTGTCAAGACACAACCGTTTGCTTTGGAAATCATGTTCGCCTATAGCTAAATATATCCAATGACATCATGGGCAAACTTTATGTAGTTGCTGCAACCTTCTGCCGCCTACTCAACAGTAGCGTCTTCACTAAAGACCAGAGCAGTTGTACTCCCGATCGCTTCAATGAGGTTAGTCACGGGATCAAATCAGAAAGATAAACATGCCGATCGGAACCAGCGAAAGTTGAGAAGCCGGCTTCTGTGCGATTGCTTCGGGCTACCCTGTTTGCAATATACTTCATATGGACAGCATCTGTGACAACATTAATAAACTACATGACTGAAACGGCCAGAGCTTATAAGCGACCAGTGTAGATCTGGCCATCATTTCAGCGCATTCGGCTGCCCCTCTGCTATTATTGGGCCCCACAATACTTTGCTATTTGCTACACAGGGTGTCGGTCTTTCAATGTTGCTCATTTCAGGTACCAAAATGCACCCTAATAATAACCCCTGGGGGTGGCAGTATTCCACGCATGAGGATCACACTGAAACCACGCACGAATTACATCATCCGACCCTGGGCGATATTATCCCATCCACCCCGCTGAGTAATTACACCCCTCGACGGAGGGTGGATCCTGCCCCTCCTTCGACATCAGGCAATGCAGTCTCTGACTAAACATCTTATCGCCCCGCAGACACATGGTCCAGGAGGACATTGACTTTGAGCTTGTTCCAGAGCTTAAGCTGGATCACAGGCTGTTAGATCGCAGAAATGATGATGGCGCGCTTAAAGTACCAAAACGCAGCGCCTCCGTGTCGGTGGCGTCCCCCAGTCTACCCTTTGGCCGGCGCCCTTCAGCGCCTTCGGGCCCATCTTCCCCGGCTGGTGCATTCCTGAGCAGGATCAATTCGAAGCTCACGGGTTTGTCGGAGTCGCCGCCTGATTTTGGAGTCGGGGTTTACAAATGGGGTAAAGTTCTGGGGACAGGCGGCTCCTCGTTGGTGCGGGAAGCCTTTGCAGAGGGCGGCAGGGTATGTGCGGTCAAAATCATCAGCAAGAATACCGTGTCCGAAGAGGATATAGCACACGAGCTGGCTGTGTGGTCTAATCTTCACCACCCCAATATTTTGGAACTCTTGGATCACTACGAAACCACTAAATCTGTTTATCTCATCACCGAGTGTATGACGCTCGGCTCTCTTCATGATTACCTGAAAAAGACTCGAGCATTCAATCCAAAGCCTCTGGCAATCTACGCAAGGTACCTCAGAGACCTTGCTTCTGCGCTCAAGTACTTGCACTGCGAGCAGGAGGTTGTCCATCGTGATGTCAAACTCGAGAACTGTTTGATTCACCCGGAGAGGGGCGTTTTACTTTGTGACTTTGGCCTAGCAGAACCTATCGGTGAAAACATCATGAAACTTCAACTCGACCATCTTATCGGTCCGGGTCCTACCTCTACTTTTCTTTATTCCTTACCTCCTTCACGGCGTGCATCGGTGGTCGGATCCCAGCCTGTGATGGGCAGCGCAACAATAAGCCCATCGTCCATTGGCCGTGAACCAGCGGTATTTTCAGGCGGAAATTCCCGACGAGCATCTATCTCGAATTCGCAGCCTGGGTCTCAAATCGGCTCCGTCACATCCTTGGCCTCTTTCGGCACGTTATCTCGCCAGTCCTCTCTATCGCATGTATCAAGCAGGTTAGGCGGCTCTTTGCCGTACGCCGCTCCAGAGCTGCTTGACGAGTCATTACTGCCAGATGAGATTAGCGCGGCAGTTGATATTTGGGCGTTCGGTGTGTGCACTTATACTTTGTTTGCGTCGCAGCTGCCGTGGTCTTACCCATTCAGCCCGAGACTTCGCTCAATGATTCTGACAACAAACTACGACGTCTCACCTCTGGAGGAAGTTGTTAGGCCGTTGGTCGCCAGCTGTCTCAAGCGCGACTATACGGCCCGTCCGGGAATCGAAGAAGTTTACGACCGAGCGGAGAATTTGGTCGACTTCTTCGAGGCCGAAATCAAGTCGGAGTTCAAACCATCATATGATCTTAGAGGTACTGAAACGCCTCGTGGCTCCATGGACGCTGGAAGCGAAGTCCTGCAGACACCTTTCCTGAATGTTACCTAACTTATCTGTCTTATTATCCGTAATTTATTTATCTATCTTTATTTTTTTTGTATATTCAAGACTATCTAAAACTCGTTGGCAAACTCGTACGACTTTTCAAGTTGGGGAAGTAGGAACTGTTTGACAAACTCCTGCTCAACATCATCGGGAGCGTTAGCGACGGCCTCTTCCATGATTGTGACAACCTGCTTGATTCCCATATTGATGCTCTCGGAACCAACCTCTTTGCGAATAGTCTCCACGATATTTCTGCGACAGGCCGGGTTAGAGAAGTCTGCGAGTTCCAAGACATTCTGTAGCTCATTCAAGGTGTGAATATTGGGCACGTACAGTTGACGGTAAAATCGATGAGCCATACCCAAACTCTCCATCACCTTGAAGTCTGAAGATGTGGCAAGTACCAATAATCTGTGTCCGTGAGGGGCGTAACGCTGTACACAGACATTGATGACTTGAATGACGGTGTTAGAAAACCGGGGTCCAACGGCATTGTACTCAATAATATCTTCAAGCTGGTCGACAATGACTGCACTCAACGGTGACTTGTATGCATCCAAAAATACCTGCTGGATATGGTTGACCTTTTGCTGTTCAGACATACCAGCCACACTGTCGGGGGAAATCATTTTGACAAGTGGGAAGCCTGAAGTTAGGGCAAGTTGAGCAGCAAGAGAAGATTTGCCAGCTCCTGGAGCACCATACATGAGAGCGCTAACCAAACGGATAGTATCACTCATCTTCACCAGATTGATGAGTTTCTCACCTTGCAAAAGGATATCTTCAATCTTGGGCGAGTATCTCAAAACATCGTACTTGATAACATCTGTCAGATCAGCCTCGCTAACACCGAACGCCGGCTTGAGGTTCTTGATAGCCTCCAAAAAATCTGCTCGAGTAACAAGCGATTCTTCCTTTTTGAAATCCATCTTGGTACTGCCCTTATGAAGTTCTAAAGCGCGTCCCATGGGATATGATGTGGCCATGTTCACGCAACCTTCAATTTCAGCACCACTATAATTTTTCGCCAAGGCCGCAAGCTCACCGAGGTCTACATCTTTTGCCATCATATGATTTTTGCGCATGTTGGCAGTGTGGATTTCAAAGATCTGCCGGCGGCCGTTCTCGTCGGGCAGTGGGATTTCGACTTGAACCTCGAAACGACCCGGACGAAGCAAAGCAGAGTCAATGAGATCTCGTCGATTGGTCATACCAATGATCAAAACGTTATTTAGCTGGTCGACACCATCCATCTTGGCGAGCAACTGGTTGACGACGTTGTCGCCAACACCAGTTCCATCTGAACGGGAACCGCGCTGCTTGAACACAGCATCCAGTTCATCAAAAATGATAATATGCAGGTTTGAGTCGTCACCCTTGCTTTTAAACTCTGCTTCTGCGTCGGCAAACAACTTACGAATGTTCTCCTCAGAGCCGCCAACAAACTTGGACAGCATTTCAGGACCATTGACAATCTTGGGCTCAACTGTATTCAGCATCTTGGCAATCTGGCGAGCAATAAGTGTCTTACCAGTACCGGGAGGACCATAAAGCAAAATACCCTTAACATGACGAATGCCTAGCTTCTCAATATAGTCCGGAGGAGCGATACGAGACGCAAAGGCACGGCGGAAAATGGTGGAGAACTCCTCGTCTAGACCACCAACACCCAAACTTTCGAATTTGAAGTTGGGCATCAGCAAATTGGTCCGGGCACGGTTGCTTCCGCCCTTGAGCTGCATAAGACTGTTTGCGGCCTTGACGAAATTGACCTCGGTCTGGGACAGAACAATACCGCGCTTATTCTCTCCACGATCGCCGTTGAAATCGCTCATATCGACCACCTGGGTGTGGCGCACAATTGCTTTGAAGTTGACTCCACCCACGTCCATGGCAAACATCTGTCCAGGGGAGAAAATCCGATCTTGAAAGTTTGTGCGGAAGATCTTTGCCAGTGCTTCTTGATCATAAGGAGTATTTGTAGCCTTGCTCCGGTTGTAAAAGTCAACCTCAATCTCCATCGCGGCAAGATACACTTGGGTATTGCCTCCGGCGAAGATGTCGAATGGAGTAACGCTAACCTGCTGCCGCAAAGTCCATTGTGCCCATTCTCGCTGAGGTCCGCCAACACCTAAAGTGTTCGGAGCCATGCTTGGTACAACCTGGACCGAGAACACGTAGCGGTTATCGCAGATCACATACTGGCAGGCAATCAGTGTGTTTGGTGGAATGGCCAAAACGTTGTTCAACACGATTGAAGGAATCGGCGCATTGACGACTTCAAGCATTTTCGTGGGCGAGTAGCTCTCGGTGTGATGGCCCTCCCCCGATCCAGACTTTGAAAACCCAAATTTACCCATCATGTTAGTCCACGTGAGTAAGTCAGCTTGGGAGGAAGGTTTTATCAACTATAACGGAAGAAGAACGGGGAGGCAGAAAGCAGGGCGAGGTATTAAAAAATGTATTCTAGCGGCCAACGCTGGGCCTTCTCCTGGCATAGTCGCTGCCCGTGACAAACCACCGTTACGTTGCGTCGCCCAACTCTCAATCGAACGGGCAACCAAGGAAGGTGCGCAAACCGGATATAAATGATCTTCAAATAGACTAAGGACTCTTCACAGCTTACTAGATTTGACGCCCAAGGGCCACGGTCGGCTTTTCCCACACCTAACCGTGCATGTCGCCTGCGCTTATGCTGCATTGGGCGAGCCACACTTTATCCAATCGGATTCGCATCACAACATGTCTAGCACGCCTAGTTTAACGACTGAAGAGGAAAATGAAGAGATCGAATTCTTCGAGACCTCGGCAGGTGGTTATGGGGTCAACGACGAGACGGGAGTCTGGAGTGCACGAGATGCCAAATCGGCCGACTCCATTATTGGTGGACAACCGGTTGAGGGTGGTGACGCCCAGCAGCGAGTTTTCAACTTTTCGCTTCCTCTGAGTGGACCGTTTGGATTTGTGGGTGTCCGGACCAGACAGGTACGGAAGTTGGGAGCGTCTTTAGTGTCTCAAATCACTTCGCATCGGAAGCAGATAACAATTGAGCCGCCTGAGGCCCATGATCTTGATTTATCCAGTGACGAGGAGCATGAGGCCTACGCCATAGGAAAACTCAATCCGCGTTCGCATGCTCTCAAAGCGTCCCTGATCCCCACCTTGGCCTCTCCAAAGCTTCCCAATGTCAAAGGCAACGTGGTTGTTCTTGGAGGGTATCGAGGGAGCATACTGCGAGATGCACAGACTAAGCGGGCGGTGTGGATTCCCTTGAAAGTTGGACTCAAGTTCCGTAAAATCAATCTAGAGATCGGGCCAAGTGATGACGACGAGCTGAATGCAATCGACTCAATCGTGCCGGGCGGGGTGCTCAGCCATATCGGGCCTGTGGATATCTGTCGGCGTATGATAAACCAACTTAATGATCAGCCCGACTGTAATGTCATAGAGTTTGGCTACGATTGGCGTCAATCTCTGGATTTATCCTCTTCCAAGCTCTACAAACTCCTTGAAGACTTGCAAAACGCCAGCCCAACTGGAGAGGGCGCCATTGTAATTGCCCACTCTATGGGTGGTTTAGTTGCTCACCATGCCGTTCAAAAGTGCGTTAAAGAAGGCAAGAGCTTTGTCAAAGGTATTATTTATGCGGGCTCGCCCTCAGAGTGCCAGCCAATTTTGGGCCCACTGAAATTTGGGGAGCCCGTCATGTTTGCCAAGGATATTCTGACACCAAAGGCGAACTTTTTGATGAGAAGCAGCTTTGTATTTTTGCCTCGAAGCGGCCGCTGTTTCATTGACAAAGCCGATAAATCAAAGGAATACAAGCTTGACTTTTTTGACGTAAACACATGGATCGAGCACGGGCTGTCACCATGCGTTTCTCGTGACCATCAAATAAGAATGAGGCAAAATGGTTTAGAAGCAGGTGAGGATTCTCCACTCCTTGACTTTGATGTTGCGGTTGATTACTTGGACAGAACCTTGAAGAGAGCACGCACGTTTCACGAGGAGCTCGAACGTATACCAGGGAAACACTATCCACGAATGGCCGTTATTTACGGAAACACACTACCAGCATGTCGGGGTTCTCTAGTTACCTCAGAAAGTGAGATTAAAAACAGTCTTCTCGACGACCTTTGGTACTCGGCCGGCGACGGCGTTGTTTCACGCAAGACTCTGGTCCCATTGCAATGCGGCTTTCCTGAGGTTCCCACGTTTGTAACCAAAAACGGTCACATGGGACTTTTGAGCGATTTGGATGTGGTCTCTCAAGCACTGTCTTGCGTATTAGGCGAAGACAGTTCCTCCGAGAACTCCACCAAGTCGGGAATAGGGTCGAGGATAGCAAGGAAAACGATGAAGATGTCCACAAAAACATTCAATCGAGCCCGAAGCGTCTCATTCCCTCGAAGCGGAACGCCCATGAAAATCAAAAAGCCTTTGGAGGACGAATCCCCAGAGTCGGCGGTTAAAGGCTGAACTCAAAAGCTAGCTAAATATATATATATTATAACCCAAACACCAACCGTGCGTTTGGTCCAAAATTACTCTTCCTCAACGGTGTATTGTACAAGAATCCAAATACTGCAGCCAGTACATTGAACGGCTATTTCATCTGCTTCGCCGTTGGCTTCGAGGTCGGCCTCTGTGAGAACGTATCCATCAGCACCACAGCGGCACTTTCTGACCCACTGTACTCCATTGTCTTCCATATCGGCCAAATCAACAATTTCACTGAATTGGACCGGAACAAAGTCCTTTTTACTGGTCTCTTGGCTATCTGTGAGCGTCTGGTACGCCAGGTTAATATCATCCACAGTATACTTGCCGCCACCCTTATCGGGATGGTACTTAAGCAAAGCCAGTCTGTATGCCGCTTTCAGCTCAATCTGATCGGCATCTTTTGTAACCGCCAGTATGCGATATGGATCTCTACTCATCGCATCGAGTTAAATTGCGATGACGTAATTTTTTTCAGTTGAAAGACATTCTTTTTCTTCAGTAATGCCCGACGCCGTTGTAGTACGATTACCGGGTATCAACGTTCCTGAGGACGCTAAATTTGAAGTTTTCAGCAAGAATCAGAAAAGCAAGTCACAAGATCAGCTGATCGAGGGCGAGCATGGCAGTATAGCCTACGAGGGAACTCAGGATGATCACAAGTACTGCTTGGCTATTAAGGACGCCAAAACCGGCAAAATTCGGTTGGTCGAGGCTCCAGTTCACTCTGTGTCAAGCCATGTCAAAGATAGAAGAGAACTCGAAGACAAGACGGTGATTCGACAGGCCAGTGTGCTTCGTTGGGAACAAAGAACTGCCCTGGGCGAGGCCTTTGGTACAAAGAAGGCTAAAGCCGCTATCACTGATGCAGCACGTAACAGACTGGACGCTGATATGCTCGAGGGCTTTGAAGGCGCTATTGTTGACAGCGTGAAAGATGCTACATCCAGCTTACCTTCGAAGGAACAACGTCAACAGGCCATGACGGCAGATCGTCCCATCCCCCAGCATAACTCTGAAACGAGTAACGTGGACGAGATCTATCCAATTGATGGAATTGTATCCCAGAACGAGCTTCATGCTATTGATATTGAGGCCATTGAAAAGGCTAGTAATGCAGAAGAGCGGGCTCAGGCTCTTCCCTTCAAGGTTGGCGATTACGTTGATAACCGTATTGCTTCGGTTATTGCAGATGGCTCTGATGTGCGTCGTCGCTTGCGTATTCTAGCTTATATCGGTTTCCTTATGGCCGTTTATGGTGCTCGTAGAGCCACATCCAAGCCCAAGTTAGTCGAGAAGCTTGGAGCTGAAGTGCCCGACGATCTCGTAGATGGTGCTCTACGTCGGTTTGCTGTTTCAAAAGCCGGAATGTTTGGCACCACCAAGGAGCGTAACTTCACCTTTGATCCTTCTCATTGCGACAAACTTTTGTGCTATATGCTCGCCCTTACGCTCCATATTGATAATTTCCAGGTGAATGTTACCCCCCTGGCTCATGAGCTGGCTCTCAAGCCATCTAAATTGATTGATTTATTCCGCAATTTGGGTTGCACCATCAAAAACCCCAGTGCGACCCAGGCCAAAGAGCTCGGTCTGTCTTCGACCCAAGCGTCGACATACCGTATTGCTGTTCTTAAGGCACCACTAGTCTTGCCAGATGTGGTTCGTCGCAAACGCCGTTAATCCATGATTCGCATGCTAGTTGCAATGTCAAATAAAATATATATCTCGTAGATTAAGCACTATAAGTTCATTGTTATAATAAAAAATGGCATGGTCAAACTAGACCTGGTAAGGCGAGACAGTTTTTTCCAAACGACTGATAGTAGAATCGGTACTACCCAAGTCGTTGGCTTCCTTGGCCTTTGAAGGCATCTTAACCATAGGATGCTCAACATCAGCACCCTCCATAGTCTCAACCGTGATCTGGGGACCATGGTAGTTACGATGGCCCCAGCAATAGTAGTAGACCAAGCTAAAGATCCAGATCGCCATGTTGATGACAACGGTGTAATTCATGTTCGTTTTATCGACATGTTTGGTCATGGGCATGTTGGCCAAAACAGCAACAACGAAGAACAAATAGACACATGCACAGAATGCAACAAATTTGGACCAGAAACGGCCCATATAAAACGGCCCAGGGTTGAAGTCATCTTCAGGAGCAACGAAAGAGCGCATGAAGATGGGGACAAACCAAGACAAACCACTTGAACTGACAGGAATGTTGAACACAGCCTGGGCAGCTTCGGGACCAATAAGAACAAGTAGGCCAATCAAGATAGCAATTACGCAGTCCAAAATATTGGCATAGACGGGAATACCGTTGTGAACCTTCTTGAACCATTTGGAGTAAGGAAGAGCGTTGTCACGACCAACAGAGAAAGTCAAACGGCAGGTTGCAGTGACGATAGCGAGACCAACAAGGTACTGGTAGATGGTCATGAAGATCATGAGGCCTAGAGCCCACCTGTCGTTGAGGGTATCCATCAAAATCTGAGCCATAGGCTGGCCAGTAGGGGAGTTGATAATGTGGTCAAAGTCGTGAGTTATGACGGCGGCAACGATACACATAACAGCGAAGCCAAAGATCCAGGTGAAAAGCGTGGAGGAAATCAGACCGAAAGGAACAACAGAAGCGGCATTGGTTGCCTCCTCAGCGAGATGAATACAGCCATCAATCGCACTAATTACCCAGATGGGTGCCATCCAGGTCAGGAGCCAAGACCATCCATACTGCCAATCAGTAATGTTTGTAGTATCGCCAAACACAAACTTTGCAGTGTTGAGTTTGATGCCCTTGCTTGTGAGACCGACAGGCAAGGCGATGCAAAAAAGAACAACAAGCACGATGTTGCCGATAATCATGAACCACTGCGATCTGTTGATAAAGCTAGTGTCTAACGATGAGATCAGGCACTGTGTGATGGTTGCAGCGCAGAAAACACCGTACTTGTGGAACTTGGAAGGCTCAAAGTCGCCCTCGATAGCCGGCAGCGACAAAATCATGCCGGCAAACCCGTTGTTGATACTGCAGATAGACCCAATAAGACCAAAAATGTTTGCATAGGCGACCAGCATGGACAGAGGTCGGTTGATTTTCTTGGGCGAAAACTTGTAGGTCCACCAGAACAGACCACCTGCCGTCGGCATGGAAGAACTAAGTTCCGCAATAGATAAAGCGACGCACATGATGAAAATGCAAGGGATAAACCAACCCCACGATAATCCGACACCACCGGCACTAAGACTGTCGGTGAATACTGCCGTGATACCAGGAACGACACTCATCAAACTCAGACTAAAGCCAGAGACTTCGATTAGACCAAACTGGCGTTTAAGCTCGGGCTTGTAGCCCATGTTCATGAGGAGCTCGTCGTCTGTTTGCGTCATGATAGATTTGACAGATCGGGAGGTTTCGTTGAGAATATAAGGAGATCTGTGGGGCCAAGCAGCCCAAATTTATTGGGGAGATGAGGGGCATTCTGGGGCCACCCTGCAGCCTCGGTGGTGTAACTGCATAATAATATGCATGCGTCAGGCTACTTCGCATAAAAACATGGAGTACGAATGAGATAGCACTGATAAGACACTTGTACGTTGTGGGTATTTCTGTTTATACGTTTTTTTATATTCTTACTTGCCCTTTCTTATTTGCGGAACTTCCCGACGCGATCGGAAAAGTTTTTTTCGGTAATCGACGTTAATTTTTCGTCTCAATCAGGTGCTAGGCTGGGGCGCGACGATCCGAACTTTTGCTTATGTAAGGAGATTTTTTCTTGGGTTTTTTCCTTTCACCCGCACCTCTTACCTATTTGGGTAAGTCGACGAGAGCGAGATCGGCTTACTCTAAATTTTTCAGGGTGTTGGGTGGTGTGTTGGGTTTTTCACATCAGTGGGGGATTGGGCTACAAATACCTGCAGGGTGTTGGGTATCTGCCAGTGCATGGCTCCACTGCCTGCCGACCAGTTCGCGTGTCTGCTTAGTGATTTTGCTTGCAGCAGTAGATGCCCCGGATATCGTCAAATTCCACGTGACACTCTTTTTACCTTTGCAATGCTCACAATCGACGAGCTGGTCAAAGAGCAAAATGATGCAGAGGAAAGGATCTTTGAGTACTCGCTCACCCTGTTGAAGCCCATATACGAAAAGAGACGCGTGCTGGTTAGCACAATTCCAAGTTTCTGGACGGCAGTGCTCGAGGCCAGTGAGTTACTGGCGGAATACATCACATACGAGGACACAGAGGCGATAGACTCGTTGCGGGAAGTCCATATTGACTGGGACACGGACAATGTCAAGAACTTCACGATCAGCCTTGGCTTTGACGAGAACCCCTACTTTGAGTCTACGGTCCTGAAAAAGAGTTTTGAGTATAATTCCGAATTCCAAAGACACACCTCGCAAAAAGTCGACATCCTGTGGAAACAGGGCAAAGATCTCACCAAGCCTAGACCGGGGAGAGACACCAGTTTCTTCAACTGGTTTGCATATGAGGGCAAAGAGGAGGGCGACGACGACGGCGCAGAAATTGCCCAAATCATCCGCGACGACCTGTACCCGCATGCATTAGAGCTATACCGCAATGCCCAGCAAGATGCCATTGAACCTGAATATGACATCAGTGAAAGCGGTGACGAGAAATAATTAATCACTTTACCATTTCTTATTCTACATAGCTTGTCTTACTTTTTCTTTTTTTTTACAACGAATCAGGATCAGCGTGCAAATTGTCTCCGTCAAGTTCGGTGTTATCCACATCATAGTTGAGATCCTCGTCTTCGAAATCGGATTCCAGGATCCGCGCACGCTCCTCGTTGTCAATACGCTCATAAAGATTGATATGAGATGATCTGAATCTTGAATCGACCTGGCCCAATACGGCATCCCAAACCCGGAGGAACTGGTGGCCTGCATTGGCCGCGATAGATAGAGCAATGACAGCAAACTTGTCGAGGGGGGTTGTGGGCTCCTCAGACTCGCCAAGATAGATACGGCCTTGGTTCTTGAACTTGTACACCAGTACCACGGCAAGCGTGCCGACGATACCCAAAACGAAGATGATGGATATAAAGATCCGGAAAACACTGGGCCCGTTTCCACTGCCGCCATTGTTGCCACCATCATCACTATCGCCTGATCCAGGGTTTCTACCATAGCGTTGTTCAAATTCAGCCTCCTTGCCGGGACAAGGTCTGTCTTGAGTACCTGCGTCAAGTTCCTGACCGCCTTTGCAGGTATCGATAGCAATCTTTCGGTAACCGGTGACATGGTGCCAAGCAATTGCACCAGGTACTGCACACTGGCGATCCATCTCTGGGGTGTCGTCAGGTTCGCTAACGGCGGCACATGCTCCAGTGTCCGTTCGCTTGAAGCCAAAGTCACACTCGTAATCTTCACGTGAACAAAAGCAACTTTTCGTGGTTAGCTTAGGAGCACCAAGCTTCTTGCCCGTTTTCCCGATATAGCATTTTGTCGAAGGAATCTTGCGCTGGTATACAGCTACATGGCCCAACACACACTCGTCTCGAAGCCGCGGATGAGACGGAATCCAGCTCTCAAAATCACCACCAGAGCTATCAGGCCCCTTGTACACGCACTGACGGTCAGTCAATCCACTGAGATCCACTTGGATTGCTACAGCGTTGGTACCATCAGAATGGGGAGGCTGAGCGAAAATCAAAAACTTTCGACTCGTATCGCTGGGGATGTTGGCGACATTGAGAACTGTCACCATAGACTCACTAAACTGATACTCCTCCCACGTCTCACCTTCATCCTGCGTATAACGGATTCTGTCGGTGGGGGCACCCCGGTCAGCCAACACAATGAGCGACCCAGAATCGCCATACTCCCAAAACGACGGATGGTCGTTTATTCTTTTGAACGTCACGCCGCCATCACGACTGAGATATGTAGAGGCATCGTGGAAAGACCGCAGACCTTCACCAGCATTACCATTACCAATAATTAGGCCCACAGCTGACGGTGACGAGGGTTTGTTGCGCGTATCCAGCCTTTCAGTATAACCGTGAAGGTGCAAAGAGCAGTCATTTGTGTCTTGACTCTTGCATTCTCCTTTAGGAGCTGGAATAAAGTCCCAAAAGGCACCATCGCTGTGAGTGATTTTGGTTTTGACGATTTTTCTCTCTCCACGCTGCCGCACCTCATTGGCGTTTGAGACAATGTTTGCCAAGGCAACACCCTCGGTGCTTGAAATCCTTTCAAAGTCAACCAATCCAATCATGTCACGATTGACGTCTGAAAGCACGCTAACATATTCGGTTCCAAAATAACCAGACTTCAGGAGCTCGCTCATCTCTTGGCCGTGCTCTTTGTAGCTAGTAACGGCAAGGAACACGCTCTTTGTTTCGGTGTCAATAACCGTATATCCTGTCTTGCCATCAAGTTTGATACTTGTGGGAATACGCCCACCTGAAAAAGATCTCCCGTCAACTGATACAAATGGCAAAAGAGCTTGGGCTTCGTCGTCGTATGCGACGGTAACAACAAACTCATCGTCAATAGCAAGGCCAAAAGAATTCTCCACATTGACTGTGACCGTTTTGAACCAGTCGATGGATGACACCACATTGAATTTGCTTCCCATTCTTTGCTCACAAAAGATGCGGCTATCAGAGTTTTCTGCCCGCGTGTTCACGACAAACGTACAAGTGGTTATCTCTTCAACAAGTTTTTTCCAGTTATTTCCAAAATTTGTAGTGGCATATGCCGTAGGAAGGCAGCTGTCGAACGAATCACAGCGTTCAGGCGTAACTGACACTATCATCCAGCTGCCCTGGGTGGGGTGGAAACTGAAGGGTATTCCAAACAAGCTTAGCTCTCCGGGGAGCTTGACTTTTTGGAAGGACACTGCTCGGTTGGTTGAAGCATATAGTTCTCGATTTTTAGTGTATACGAGCACATAGTCATTGAAGTAGGGGTTAGACCAGACCTTCTCAACATCACCTTTCTCAAAAGTTTGCCATTCCGAACCTTGATCATGCGATATGAGAAGCTCGCCATTCGTCGACCACACGAGAACAGTTTCTTCGTCACGGTTATCTCCGGATTTGAGATAGAGGTAGTTAGCAAGGCGACCGTTCAATTCTTGGACGGCATGTGACACTTTGCCATCGGCCTGAGCAGACAGAGAAACCTCTGTGCTCGGACTAGTACTCGGTACATTCGCCCTGGGGAGTACTACGAATTCTCCGTCTTTGACAACGGATTTCACTGCCGGGTCTGAAACTGAGTCTGGGCTCAACCGATGTTGGCTGAAAAGAGCACAAATCGCATTTCCTGCCTCCTGCTCAGTACAGTTGCTCACTTCCCAAGTACCAGCCTTCTCTGCATACAGCTGGGCATCACTAAAGGCTCGCAAATGATCACCTGTGTTGCCAAAAGCTATGACTGGCTCAGAGGACAGCCTTTGACCACCAATGGCTGGAAGAACAAGGTGCAGGTGCAGGTTTTGCTTCTTACTTTCAGAATTACCCTTCAAAGGATGCCATGTTCTCCCACCATCCTTGGAAACTTTGGTGATAATGCGAGCGACCACATCTCTGTGGTTTTGGTGGTGGCCAACCAATACATTTGCGAATACTTGGTCGTTTGAGCTGGCGATACTCACAAATCCATCCACAATTGCAACATGTTGAAGCGTCTTTGTGAATGACATCCCTGAAGAATCAGAAATCCACAGATCACGGGCTAGCTGGTCCCGCACACCGATAGTAAGAGCGAGGGTGGGTTCACCAACGTCGACTATGCTCACTATGGTATCTTTGTCGAGAGTGAGACCTTTGAACTCGGCCCTATTCCACTCAACCAAATCTTTGGATGTCGCCAGGTGCAACCGATCTGCGCTGAGAAAAGATGCAACAAAGAACCCACCAGGAGCCGAATCAATTCTGACCAGGGTTTCGCTCGTCATGCCATCCAATTGGATGGTGTGGAAATTTCCATTGCTATCGCGGCGCATCAAACCGTTGTCATCATCCGCACATAAGAACTCGTCGGTCTCGGGATGAGGAAGGCAGTAGGCATCCTCTAGAGCAAACGAATGTGCATCATTCGTAGTCAAAGATTCCACTGCGGTATGGAGTGCGAATGCTCCTTTAGAAAAGTTGATAACAATATAGTCGCTGCGGCCATTACTTTGGTCGATACTAGCATTAGCCAAGTGCTCGGGCTTGAGATCATCGACAGCAGCTAAAGACATGGGGAACCAGGTCGTCCCGGCATCCACGGACCTCACCATACCTTTTTCACAAAACGCAATGGTCACTGCGTTGTTGTTATAGCTTGTCCACAGAGAGTATACTTCGCCTAATGCCTCAGTCGCTATATCGAGCACACTAGGACTCAACGCTCTGAACCTGGTCTCTTCCAGCACAACATCTTCGCCGTCAGTATAAATATTCTTCTGTGGCGCCATTGGCCGTGTTCTACCCATCAAATTCGCATCGTCGGAAGCAAAAGCTAGCGCCAAAGGCACGGCCAACAATGTCCTCCAACGCATGGCAGCTTTCTAAGCCGCCCGGGGTTCGGGCTCACCTCTGAATCACCGTGAGACAGTAGACAATCAGAGTCCTAAACAATGGAAGCGGTTGATTTTAGTCGGCAGTTTTATCTGTATGGGCTATTTACTGGTCATGACTGGCTAGGTTTTTAGAGTTCACAATGGTAGCACAGGTGTTAATAGATTGAACAGGCATGCAGCCCCCCACTAAAAATTCATGTATGGTTTAGCTCTGGGTGTGTGAACGGGGCAGATCGAGCGGAAACAAGCATTGCTGTAGCCAGACATTGTATCTAAGACTGCGAGTTGTTTGTTGCTGAGTTTCTGAATAGACCTACCAATGCTGCAGACATCCAGGATCTCTCGGCGTGACAACCAACTTAATTTGCGAATTTTGATGCAGCCAGGCAATTGCAGGAGTTGGGTGGCGGCCAGTCAATAGCGGGAGTTGGATGATCTAGTCTACAAGTCAACAGCTGAAACGGCAGCACGGTTCCGCTGAAACCTTCTATCCACAAGTGATTAGAATGCTTCTGATGTCGACAAGGAGAGCTCTTCCTGCCTGTAGACGCCCAGGAAACTACCAATTAGTGGCACCAATGCAATTGAATTTGGCTCGAAGCTTTATACAGAAAGATCGTTTGAACCTGAAAGTGTTCTGCCTTTTCAACCTTCTCGTGACTCTGGATGACTTAACCCAAGCGTCCTATGCCGCCCGGAGATCTGAACCTGAAAAAGTCCTGGCATCCAGGCTTGGCCAAGAATCAAGCCAAAGTAAAGCAGCGAGAAGAGGAGGCTCTCAAAGAGCGTCAAAAGGCTGCCGAACGCCAAAAGGAGATCGCCAGTGAGCAGTACGAAGCGGATCTGCTCAAGCTGCAGGGAAAACAAGCGTCGAAATTAGGATGGATGTACCGGGATGGTGCGGAACAGAAAAAGGGGGGGTTGTCTGATGCAACGAAAGAAGACTACCTGCTTGGAAAGAAACGTGTTGACGAGCAGTTCTTCGAGCAGTTTAAGAAAACCAAGCAGCGAGAATCGATGAGCCGCCAGGAGCTTCAAAAAACCAAATTGGACCCTATGGCCGCCATTATTGCCCGCAAAAAGCGACGAGATGCCAAGAGTTCTCGGAAATAATTTATTTATATCATAGATGCTGGGCACAAAGCCTGTTTTCATGGCCAGGGCCCGGACTAACATACTCAAAACAACGCCGGTAAGAAACTGGATACCCGCAGAACCCTCACCGTGCGCCCATCGTGCTCGCCATGGAGAGCGGCCGTAACTCTGTCAAGGTGGTCGGCACTACATCTGACCACGGCAAGTTTGCCCTTCTCGCCCAGCAGATCGAAGGGGACGCCGGAGGCTAGTGTACCGCCATTGCGTTTCAACAGCGCGAACGTTATAATCCTCCACGAAAGTAAATCGCACGAGGTGGAGCACTCAAGCTCAATGTACCCCCAGTCGGGTTGGACTACTCTCATTTATGACAAAGGCAGGCAGCCGGAAGGCTAAACGACGAAGAGAGTCGGAGGATGAGCAGCGGGAGGCACGAACACCGACGACTTTTTTCAACCGACGGCACATGCTGTTTTCCAAGTACGACGAGGGCATCAGGATTTCGGAAACGATGTGGTATAGCGTGACGCCCGAGGCGGTCGCCTTAAAGATTGCCGATCGGATAATCCACTTTTTCCCTGAAATTGAGACAGCAATTGACCTTTGCAGCGGCGCTGGAGGTAACTCAATTGCATTCGCAAGATGTGGATTCCAAACCATCGCGGTGGACGTAGATCCGGCCGTACACATTGACGCGCAGCACAATAGTCATGTCTATGGGGTGTATAATATTGAGTATGTTCAAGGCAGTGCGACAAAGGTACCCTTATCTGAGCTTGCCGACCCGGCCACCACTATAGTGTTTTCCTCCCCCGAGTGGGGCGGCCCGATCTACAAGAATCAGGAAACTTTTGACGTCGAGGTTTGTCGGCCCCGAGTCAGTGAAATCATTGAGCACGCCCATTCGCAAGGGTTCAATCGCATTGTGCTTTTTTTGCCTCGGACAAGCAACTTGAATCAGCTGGCTGATATGGGTGCTAAATATATAGACTACATGTTCCAGGGCACCTGGTGTACGGCAATGTGTGCATGGTGGTGCTAGCGCTCCTTGAGCAGTTTGTTGCGCTTTTCTCGTCTTCGCACTCTCTCCACACGCTTTCTGTGCATAACAAGAGCCATTTTCTCATAACGTTCCCGCTCTGCTTTGAGTTCTCGTCGCTCTTTCAGCCGCCGGATCTGCTCATCCTTCTTGGCCTGTTTCTCCTCCTTCAACTCCTTTTCTTTGGCTTTCAGCGCGGCCTTTTCCAATCTCTCTTTTTGTCTCCGGGCCCAATCGGTGGTCACAGCAGGCGCCCCCGGCTTGTGTGAATCTTTCCAGGTCCGTCCAGAAACGTTGACCATTTTGTAAACTTTTTTTACCCAAAAAAAAAAGTTAATTTGTAAGTGTGTATGACTAAGTGGGAAGGTTATGATGACAAAAAAAGTAAGGGACCAATAACTTGTATTTTATTTACGGATAAATAGGAGGGAATAACATTCAGGGAACGGTCGATACAGAACGCGAATCATGTGCACATATACAGCAGCCAGACCTGTTTTACTTGACCTCGACAGCAGGGTATAGATCAGACTCCTGCTTCTTTTTGACCTCAGCGGCTTGTGACAAAAGATTGCGCAAAACCGAAATGACCCGTAAAGCGTTTAGTGCCTCTTCGCGCGGGCTGTCCAGGAGGGGCGACGACGACTCGGAGCTGGGCTTCGGTGAGTCGGCCTCTTCGGGAACCGGTACTGGCGACCCTGCTGAAGAGCTTGATGAAGAGAGAGCGTTGTCCTTGTCTTCATCGTCAGAAAGATCGTTGTCGCCGTACGCTTCACTCTTGACCTCGCTCTTGTCAGCGGGAGCAGCCTGTTGGTTGCCAATAACCATACGACGGCCGGTGTGGTCGTGCTCAATCCTGGGCACGTGTGATGCGTACTGCTTCTCCCACGGTAGTGGCGGGTACAGAGAAGATGATAGCGATTCCTCCGGAGAAGGCAGCGAGCCTTGCGGTGGCGGAACGTGGTTGGCCTGCATTGCGGCATTTGCGGCAGGCGAGTAGCCAAACAGTTCAGTCTTACGCGACAAGTTCATTGACAGCTGGTTGAGGAAATCGTCAGCCACATTCAGGTCGCGCGCGGGAAGTGAGGCAAGGCGGTTAACATCTTGAGCAGTAGGTACAGGGCCTTGCATCAACGGACTCATGGCATTGATGCGTTGAGCCATTGCCGACGAGTACTGGGGAGCGACCCGTGATCGCTTGACGTCAGAGATCAAGTCGTAAGTCATGTCGAGAGCTCGCTTGCGGCCCTCCTCGTATGGCTGGGTAGATCTGACCATTCCCGACAGAGTGTCATTCCCGTAATAGCCCGACGATCCGTAATTGCCATACATGGGACCCATTGAAGCATAAGGCTCAGCAGAGGACTGAGCTCCATAAGCCCCATATTGGCCAACCGGCTGGCTATAGCCATTAGACGTAGCAGTAGGATAGACCGAATGAGTCTCTTTTACATCTGCATCGTAAGTTTGACGGTGGGGACCGGAAGACGAATGAGTGCGGGCATGTTTCTTGAGGTCCTGGGGCCGCTTGAAGGTCTTGGGGCAGTGCTGGCATTTGTAGGGCTTAAGCGGGATGTGAATTCTGATGTGAGAAGTAATGTGGTCACGTTTAGCGGTGGTAACATCGCAATTGTCCCACTTGCAAGTGAGCGACAAATTTCGGGTCGACTTGCGACCCACATGATCGTCGCAGAGATGTGCATAAAGAGCCTCTGCCTCATCGTAAACATTGGAGCAGCCAGCCCAATGGCACGCAAGCACCTGCTCTTCGGGGCTCTCAGACTCGGGCGACGAGCGGGACGGCCACTCAGGCGAGGGCTTTGGCGTGGCGAGCTGCTGGTTTGGTGGGGACAGCATGTTGGCAGAGACCGGCGGAGAACGCTTGAGCGGTCCGTGATTCATCCCTGAGATGTCAGGATAGAGTGTGTTCATTATGAGTTGCGAAACGAATCGGTCTTGATAAGGATCTGTCTTTTTAAGGATCTGTTTCGGACGTTGACAAAAAGCCTTTGGATTCTCGTTTGCCGGCGGCGTTTTCGTAGATTTATTAATATAATCGTCGTCTGTTTAATAAGGGCTTATATAAAGTCTTGGCATCTTTTCACGCTACAAGCTTAGACGGACGGTTTTAGTCCATTGGGAGACGTGGGGGAAAAAGCAGCACGCTCGCGTTGTACTAGCGAAGGTGCACGCTTTGTTCTAGCTCGAAAATTAATCCGCACTCGCCTCAAAATGGCCCCCGAAGCTATTCTCAACGTTCCTATCAAAGTCTTGGCAAAAAGAGCAAAGCATCCAACACCCCTACCCTGAGGTCTTTTCAGGGCACACCGCCTCGTCTCCACGTTCCTGATCGAGTGGATATTGTTGATCTTCCTGGGATGGTCTCTCCATGAAACACGTGTTGTGTCGATCAGCTAGTGCCACGGCCCTGAACATAGCATATTAAGAGCACTGATTACTTGGCTGAAATTACCTTTAATTCAATTAAACCCGCTGCCGCCGAAACCCACAACACATTTCTCAGTCACACGCCTCCTTTACTCAGCCAGAACGTGACTATAGGCAGACCCACATGCCACTGCGGCCCAGCTGTCTGGCGGTTATTTGTTTATGCACAAACTAACTAGACGGGTTGTCGAAAGATATAAGCTGTAAACTAGCTAGCTATTCACTACTTATTTCTTAGCAGCCTTGGCAGCAGACTTGGTGACCTTGTTGGCACCACCGGCAGACTTCTCAACGGACTTGATAACACCGACGGCAACGGTGACACGCATGTCACGGACAGCGAAACGACCAAGAGGAGGGTACTCAGTGTAGGCCTCAACGCACATAGGCTTGGAAGGAATCATCTTGACGATGGCAGCATCACCAGCCTTGATGGACTTGGGAGACTCCTCAGTGACCTTACCGGTACGGCGGTCAATCTTCTGCAAAAGCTCAGAGAACTTGCAAGCAATGTGGGCAGTGTGGCAATCCAAAACGGGGGAGTAACCAGCAGAGATCTGACCAGGGTGGTTGAAGACAATAACCTGAGCGTTGAAAGAAGAGCAGCCCATGGGGGGGTCGTTCTTGGAGTCACCGCAGACGTTACCACGACGGATATCCTTGACGGAAACGTTCTTGACGTTGAAACCGACGTTGTCACCGGGAAGACCCTCGGGGATCTGCTCGTGGTGCATCTCGACGGACTTGACCTCAGTGGTCACACCAGCGGGAGCAAAGGTGACGACCATACCGGCCTTGATGACACCAGTCTCGACACGGCCGACGGGCACAGTTCCGATACCACCGATCTTGTAGACATCCTGCAAGGGGAGACGCAGGGGCTTGTCGGTGGGACGGGCAGGGGGCTCAATGGCATCAATGGCCTCGAGCAAGGTCTTGCCCTTGTAGGAGCCCTTTTTGGTCTCCTTGGTCCAGCCCTGGTACCAGGGGCAGTTGGGAGAGGGCTCCAACATGTTGTCACCGTTCCAACCGGAAATGGGGACGAAAGGAACCTCCTTGGGGTTGTAACCAACCTTCTTGATGAAGTTGGAAACCTCCTTGACGATCTCCTCGAAACGGGCCTGAGACCACTTGACGGAGTCCATCTTGTTGCAGGCAACAATGAGCTGACGGACACCGAGGGTGAAAGCAAGCAAAGCGTGCTCACGGGTCTGACCGTCGCTGGAGATACCAGCCTCGAACTCACCAGTACCGGAAGCAATAACCAGAATGGCGCAGTCAGCCTGGGAAGTACCGGTAATCATGTTCTTGATGAAATCACGGTGACCGGGAGCATCAATAACAGTGACGTTGTACTTGGGGGTCTCGAACTTCCAGAGAGCGATATCGATGGTGATACCACGCTCACGCTCAGCCTTCAGCTTGTCAAGAACCCAGGCGTACTTGAAGGAACCCTTACCGAGCTCCTCAGCCTCCTTCTCGAACTTCTCGATGGTACGCTTGTCAATACCACCGCACTTGTAGATCAAGTGACCGGTAGTAGTGGACTTACCAGCATCGACGTGGCCGATAACGACAATGTTAATATGAGTCTTTTCCTTACCCTGCGGTTAGCAAATTGTTCAACGTGATTTCTCCGAGAGCATTGTGCTTGTGTCTCCTAGAGCTGCAATGGACTCGCGGGCAAATGGGAGAGAAAAAATTTTCAGGGCGTCATGGGTTAGGGTGAACCGATAGAGTCCGCAGAAAAATTTTCGACCCCACTCGCCAACAAGTACGGAACCTTCGGATACAGTTTTTCAAGCTTGTTTGGCGCAAACTTGGGTGGCAAAATATGAGCGACTCTGTACAAGTGAAAACACCTGAGCCCAGGTGCTTCCGGTGGTAGAACCACCGCACTGCTAAATTTTGGCCGGTTGCTGGAAGGCAACCTCACAAAAAACATGCCGAAATTCCAATAGCTTGCTTGCTAGAGACCATACCAACTCTTTAGAAGAAGTTATCGTGCGAGACAACCCCCCAAGCACTCGCCCAAATGTTGACTTACCATTTTTTACTAGGATGAAAAAGAAAACCTTGAGGGGTGAGGTGGCTATTATATATCTTTGTCCCAAGCTCCACTACCCTTGCCCAAGATCCAAATTTTTCAATGGCGGTTAGGGCTCCCTGCTTGTGGGCCTGTTTTCAGTGATTTTAAATGGATAATCCCTTGGATCTGAGAGAATCCATTTTCATTTAAATTGATCTGAATCGTCCAATGATTTTATGTGTTGTTCCTTCTGTCTCGGGCATGTGAAAATGCTCCTTTCGGCAATCAGTTGCGCTGACTTCAGTGGAGGTTGCCCAGGTGAATAGGAAAAAAAATCCAACTTGGGGGCTAGGGCTTACCAGGGCTCTAATGACAGCGTTCAATGAACTTGCCGCTAAATTGACTATTGCATATCGGCCCCGATGTACGTGCGTCCGAACGAAGAATCAATATACCGATTTGTTTTGTGTTTAATATACCTGTAGCTTGTTTTTCTATTTCGTCTTGTACCGATCAACCCAGTCCAGCGCCGTTTTACCACGCGCCAGATTTATCCGCTCTGGTACTCGATGCACGGCCTTCCTGCGGTCACAGTGTTCTACTGTCCCTCAAGCTACGGCAGGGAATTTACCGGTCATTGGCTTGATTGATATTTTGGTGAGTGATTGTGTGTCGTAAGGATCGAATCATATATTTTTGTCTTCTATGGATGCGGTTGTAGCCGAATTGGCTGCTGTCGAATAGCTCAAGCCTAAGGAACCGCCACCTAATCAGACAGCATAAGTCTAGTAAATGAAAATTCAAGGCTTGTCACGAAACCAGCAACCAATCCTACTTGTAAGTATGAAAACTTAACTAAACGGTATGTGAAAGCTTAAACGGGTATAAACAAAGTAAAACCTCGCCCCATTGACACTCTACACGAAACTCCATAGTTTGTCCACCGGAAGCCCCCTGTTGCTAAAGTCCTTCCGAACCTGTCCTTCAATTTTGTCAATTTAAACTGCAAACTCTAGAAACTACATCAAACAGCTTTTTCGATCTCTTGCCCGAGCCGGACGGATATTGCACTCTTCGCCTTGGGGGATTAATAAGATTGTTGCCTAAGAAACAACCGTTTGTTTACATTCATTATAATTTCTGTCCCTCGTCAACGTGGAAGCGACACCACAATGGCAGCTATCAAACGAGAGTTTGGAGGAGATGAGGATAATATAGCAAAAAAGTCACGTCGCGAAAGCTCCGAAAGCGTTGCCAGCCATGAGAGCGTTGCTGCGCTGGTCGCGGCGGCCACAGACGCTATTCACAGTGATAGCTTGGCCAACAGTGAGGAATTTGATATCGACCGGGTTATCTGTAGCCTGTCCTTACCAGATCCTGAAATTCAGGTGATCAAAGACTTCTCAAACGCTAATAACATTGATGTGAAGGTTCAAGCCTATGCAAAACTTGCTGGACAATCATGGACATACTACGTTCAACGGCTTGAAGTCATTATCGGACGTAAATCTTCTGACGGCTATGAATACGTGGATATTGACCTGGGTCCCTCACGTATCGTTTCAAGAAGACATGCTATTATTCGTTACAACCTAGAGACTCGCCAATGGCAGATCACAGTGCTTGGTCGCAACGGTATTCGGATCGACCGTGCATCATACAAAAATGGGACAGTTACTCTACGCTCTGGCAACATTTTGGATTTCGGAGGCACTCAAATGATGTTTGTTTTGCCCGACTCTGCGCCACAAGTCGCTCGCTCAATGCTTCCATCTTTCCAGTCCATGCCGGCCGGAACCTATGCGGTCGCAACTGGTGATAACAGTAGCAGCGGGGCTAGCAGTAAGCATCCTAGTCCGGAGCTGGACGACGGAGGCAAATCAAAAGCCAGACGGCCATCGTCGGGTCAGCACAGTAGTGGCGGTGAATCAAAACCATATCCCCGTGGCCTAGCCATAGTTTCTCGCCCTCAATTCCAAGAACACTCCCAATACATTGAACAAGACCTCAGTTCTGACGACTGCAAAGACATTAAACCTCCGTTCAGTTATGCCACAATGATCTCCCAGGCTATTTTGTCTACTCCTGATCATATGATGTCTTTGGCTGACATCTATTCGTGGATTTCTACGCGCTATGCATTTTATCGTCATTCTAAACCCGGCTGGCAGAACTCTATTCGTCACAATCTCAGCCTTAACAAGGCGTTCGAGAAAGTGCCTCGACGTCAAAACGAGCCTGGTAAAGGATCGAAATGGCAGATCACTGCAAAATACAAAGAAGACTTTATCAAGAAGGCCAGTGCTGGTAAGCATTATAAAGGACGAGCACTGGCGTCTCCATCGCAAATGAGAAAACAAGTCAATTATCAGTCGACAATGACTCTGTCTAAAGTGGTGGCCCCGCACCCACAGCCAGACCTTGCGGTTGGTGATACCAAATCCCCCCATATACAACAGGCTGTGCCACCTCTTGCGGAATTAGTTCCCGCACCAGCCGAGACTGCTACAACTCCCAAGCATACTCTTAGGAGTCGGCCCATTTCAGGTAATGGATCTGCTGCTTCTGTTCCACCGGTTGTTCCTCCTCTCACATCGGCAAGCACAGGCTATTCTGAAGATCTTCAAGCAGGCTACATGGGAGAATACTACGAAGGTGGTATATATTCCGGCGGTATTCCTCTTCGGCAACTTGAGGCCTACACACCTGAGCGAGGCAGCTCGTTCACATCGAGAGGAAGGCAGGAAGGCGCAGTCAGTACACCTCAACGTGGCCAAGCCGAACTTCAATTAGCTCCACCCAGCGCTACCCATAATCTCCCGTCACACATGATACCGGGGAGCTCGCCCGCACCTTTCTGGAAATATATGCATCTATCTTCGACGCCAATGCGACCGCAGACTGCTGGCACAGAATCAAGCCCACCCGATCAGCTACGAGCAGAAGACCTGGGAGATTTGCCTGGAGTTGATCTGACCAAAGGGTTCCAGCAAGTGGGCAAGTGGGAAGGAACAGAAAAGGCATAATAATTCTCCCTGCTGCTGCCTATTTCTCCTCTTTTTATCAAACAGTCATATATATTTTCCTGGCTATCAATGCTATCTAAAATCACTCTCTTTCATAAATACTACATCAGCAAATCACGCATCATTTCAGAGACACGTGTAGCACCTTGCTCCAAAGCGGATTTGACATCATTAAAATCGACTTCAGAGGCGATTTGTTGAGCGCGGCTAGCAATGTCACGGGCCTGGCTAGCCAGGTCGTCTTGACGGGCACTACCTGACTCGCCAACTTCTTCGGAACGGCCAAAGTAGTTATTAGATGAGATAGAAGTAGCACCTTTGAATCCTTGAAGACGAGTTTTAGCCTCGTTTTCAGCGGCAGAGTCATAGGTGTTGCGTCCAAAGAACATGTCGGATGAAATGGCCTTAGCGCTACCGTATTTTTGAGCGATATCGCTAGTTTTAGGATCATAAGTGTCCACAACCTTAGGTTTTGCTTTGACAGCAGGCGGCGGGGCGTTGGCAGCTGTCTGACCAAAGCCAAAGCGCTGATACTTGGGCTTCTCTTCAGCAGGGGCAGATGATCCCGCCGCTAGCGCGTTTGCGGCTTCTAAAGCAGCATCTTCTTTGGCAGCAGCCATTGCAGCCGCCGCCACGCCTACAGCAGGCGCCTCCTCAATAGTAAAGGCTTTGGAGACGGCCTTAGAGTCCAGAGCCACTTCATGTTGACGTTTGCTTTCCTCTTCGGCCTCTTTCTCAAGCGCATCAAAGTCAAGGTCAGCAGCCTTGGCCTTGTTTGCAGAAGGCTTTGCTCTCGGCTTTTTGGTGCTAAGAATGCTTTTGCCCGACGTCGCTGTGCGAATGGTGCGAGTGGGCTTGGGCACAGTTTGGCCGAGGGCAGGCGAAGCCAATGGAGGAGTTCCGGCAGCAGAGGAAGACGGAGTCGCGCCAAAAGATCCGGGGGTCGCTCTGCGAGTGGGGGGCTTTTCGAAACTCGCGAAAAAGTTGTCTTTGCTGGACACACTGGACACCGACGCACTGGATGAGTTGTCGGTTAGAGCGCCCAAATCAGAGAGTTCAAGCACCCGCTCACCCGGGAAATCAGCCATATTTGCTCTTGAACGACGCTTCAGTTCCTCAAGATATGACTTGGCAGTAGGGCTCTCGTATTTCGCTTTGGCATCGGTGCCCAGGGCAATGAGCCGGCGGCCACCATGGGAAGCGAAAAACGCGGTGGCCGACTGGTTACCACCGACTCGCATGTTCCGCAAGTGCGAGATTTGCCAGTTATCCATTGAGATGGAGCGCACAAAGGTGACGTGGACGCCCAGGTTACGGTGAATTGCCGAACAGTCGTAACAAATGAACACGCCGAACGTCGCGGACGCCCACACGGGAGAGCGTGCGCCACAGTCGAAACATGTTTTATTTTCCGACTTGGTTTGAAGTTTACGGAAAAAGTCTACCAGGTCTTCTTTGGGGATTTGATGTTGTTCGTCTGCCATAGCCGGAAGAGGTGCAGTCAGGAAACTTTCAACCCAAGCCATGTTGGCATTTGAGGTTTGGCCTAATTCCCCCACTAAGTACCCTTACACCCCTGGGTGGGGCCGTAGGTCTCTCCAGGATTAAGCTTTGGTGATGGCAGACACCCGTAATACTTTTTAGTGTAGAGCAAAGCCTAATTGACGACACGAGCTGATGCCCACGTCCTCATCGCACCCTACGTGCAACTTTTCAAACTGCCAAAAGAGCTGGCCAGCAACCCCGGGTTTTACCTCAGCATTTTTTTACTATTCAGATGCTCCGAATCAAAAGCCCGTATTCACAGTGCCTGGGAGGTCTGAGACGGCTCACCGGCAGACCATTTGCTACTAGTCGCAGTGTTGGGTTGCGGCAATCACAGGCGGCGCCGTCTCAACCCGGTAGCGCCACATTTGGCGCCTCGCTAGGGCGGTTCGCTGCATCGGCTCGTCGCGCGGCAACGTTCACATTCTACTCTGCACTAGTTATTGGTGCCCTTGGGTTCACTGGCGTTGCTACGTACTATTTTGCACAGGAACTTCTGCTTCCGTCGTCTGATGTTCAGGTGTTTCAGCGGGCGTTCCATCTGATTGAGCAAGACGCCAAGTCCAGGGAACTGTTAGGCGAGAAGCTCAAGGCCCACGGCGAACAAACCAACAACCGGTGGGCACACAACCGGCCTATTGCTTCAAGACGCAGTGTTGACCACTACGGCAGAGAGCACGTGGTCATGCAGTTCCATGTTGACGGTGAAAAGAACACAGCCCTCGCCCGGCTAGAGCTGATTGACAATGCAGGCAAAAGAGACTTTCGCTATCTTGTACTTGAGATCCCTGGCCACGGACGCCACTATTTGATCAATGAAACGCCAAGTAAACCTAAAGGTCGCGGCCTCTTTGGCATTCAATGGGGCCCCAAGAAGAACTAGACCAGGAAAAATACTATATATGTGATTTGCATGATATGATTTATACCGTTTTTATTTTTTTTGCTTTGTATAAAAAATGCCTCCGAAATTACAGATCTGCACGAGTAAACTCAGCCAAATTAACAGGCTTGTCACCGGTAAGAGTGTCGGGGCCGCTGGCCGGCTCGCAGCCCTTACGCTTGTCCTGGGGGCCCGGGGTGACCTTGACACCGTTTTTGAGGCCGTCGAGGATCTTGATAACAGACTCTGGCGTCAGATCCTCATAGTAATCGTCATTGACAGCGACCATAGGGGCATTAACACAAGCACCTAGGCACTCGACCTCGCTGAGAGTGAAAAGCTTGTCTGGAGTAGTTTGGCCAGGATGGATACCAAGGTGGGACTGGATGGCCTCCATGATGCCGTCCGAGCCGCAAAGCTGGCAGGGGGTAGTAGTGCACGCCTGGATGTGGTACTTGCCCATAGGTTGCTTGTTGTACATGGTGTAGAAAGTTGCGACCTCGTAGACACGCATCGGGGGCATTTGCAGGAACTTTGCAACGTAGTTCATGACTGAAATCGAGCAGAACCCGAGCTGGCGTTGGCCAAGATCCAGCAAGGGCATCACGGCGCTCTTTTTGTATTGCGGAGGGTACTTTTTAAGAATGTCCTCTGCCCGCTTCAAGTTTTCCGGTGTAAACTCGAAAGCGATCGACGGGTTGTTCTCCTTTGAGTCGCGGTGCACAGACACATTGTGCGATGAGTATCTGACGGCTCCGATGTTGCCTGCCCGCAAAAAGCGTGCCAGAGAAGGCACCGCACTCTTCGTCAAAAACGTCATTATCAAAGATGCGATTGGCTGGGAAGTTAGTAACCTTTACACGCGGGTTGTGATGTAAGCGGGCGGCCCCCAGACAGAGGGGGTGAGGGGGTATATAGAAATACATGCAATATAGAAAAAGTTTAAGAAATGTCGAGGGTTTTTCCGGCAAATTTGCCAATTGGCACACTTGCACCGAGCGGCTCTGATCCAAGCATCAGCTTCGTGCCCTTTAACCCCAGGTTGACGCTGGCCATATCGATAACCCGGCCCACGGGAGTGTCCCTGTCGTAATAAAGAGCCATGATTTTGGCGGCCCGCTTCTGTTCGGTGTTGGTGATGGTGTCTAGGTAGTTTTGGGCAGGCCTCCTAATGCGCAGGTACACGCGGCGGTTCTCGGGCACTTTGCTGTCGCCTACTGCGGTCTTGTGCAGGGGGGGTTCGGACGACGGTTTGGGACTTGCAGCAGCGCCGGTGCTGTTTTTACCGCCGATCAGCGACCGTAGCCTGTCGAGAGCTGTTTTCTTCGCAGCAGTATTAGTGCTTGGCAGCGGTTTTGGTTTCTGATCCGACGGTCTCGCAGCCGCGGGTGGCGGTGTGCGCGGCAAAAGGGCCGTTTTGGTTAACGGCTGCTGTGCTGGCTTTGGCGGAGGTTTTGTCGATGCAGGCTTTACCAACGGTTGACAATTGTGGAATTCTCGATGTGCCCCGCAAAATGACTTGTCACATTTGGAACAGGTAAACGGTAGAAAGTCGCGAGCTCCGCAGAACTCGCAGTGAGTTCCAATTGCGAGCATGACGTAACAAAGAAAGAAGGCAAAGGCGAGTGGGGCTCTGTAATGTTGGGTCAATTATATAGTAGCTGGTAGCATGCCAGATGTGTCAACCGTACAGGCTCCAGCAGAATGTTCTAGCTGGCGTTCACGGTTGGGAGGCGAATTATAAGCCGCACCTGCTCTCTCGTCAACCACGCCGGAGCGGGCTTTTACGCAATCCCCCCAAGCCCAGCCAGACCAGATTATTTGTAAACTGTGCATGTTTCGGTCTGGGACTGATTACCAAACCACTCGTCAGACTAAATTTTTCATACTTTGACATGTCTACTGCGTCGGTGAATTTCTTTGCTGCTCTCGATAGCGAGGCGCCCAAGCAGGAGTTCCACACCCCCGTTGAGAAGAAATCAACCTCTTCCAAGAAGGTCGATCGTGCCCCTGCCAAGGCCGACCCTTCGCGTGCACGCCCCAAGAAGCAAGACCCCAATGGCAACAACGCTGCTTTCAAGGACAAGGCTGCTGGCCGCACCGGCAACAAGAAGGTCGACGTGGGCGAGTCTGCTACTGCCCACTCTCGCCGTGAGGGCCGCGGCACCAAGACCGACCGCCAGAACAAGAGCGGCAAGCGTGATACTGGCAAGAAGATTCGCCAGGGCTGGGGTGACGACAAGAAGGAGCTCGATGAGGAGCGTGCTGCCGCCAAGATTGCTGCCGCTGAGCGTGCCGCTGAGGAGGCTGCTGCCTTCGAGGCTTCCCAGGCCAAGCTCAAGACTCTGGACCAGTTCCTGTCTGAGAAGGCCGCCGGTTTGAAGGTGTCCTCTGGCGCCAAGCGCCAGCCCAACGAGGGTGCCGACAACGACCAGTGGTCCAACGCCACTTCCCTGGTCAAGGATCAGCCCGAGAACGAGAACGGCCGCAAGAAGAACCTCCGCCAGAAGAAGCACAAGGAGGTCCTTACCATCGACATCGAGCCTGAGCTTATGCCCTCTCTTACAGGCGGCTCCAAGGACAGCAACCGCGAGGGCCGTGGCTCCTTCAAGTCCAAGCCCCGTGGCAACGGCCGTGGCAACGGCAAGTCCGGCAGCAAGCCCAAGCCCATCGACTTGGCCAGCTTGCCCAAGCTCGGTTAAAAGGTACGTAGGGACGCAGTGTGCCTTTTCAGTTTTTTAGTCTTTTTTTACCGTCAAAGTAACATCTAAGATTCCCCTTTAAAACTTCTACAAGTTTTCTCTCTTTCTATTATGAATGATCTCTATGGTCGGTTTTATGTCTATGCAACTTTTTAGATTATTTGGCGGGGGGGGATGGTAAAAGGCAGGAGCTTTGAACCAAAATAAAGAAAAAGAAAACAAAAAAAAGAAACAAATAGGTGGAGACAGAAAAAGAAAAAACAAAACAACACGACCGGCGTGCTTTAGATAGATCGTAACTGCACAAGGGCCTGAATGGCTTCTTGCTCTCGGGGACTGGCCATCCGCAAACCGGCAGGACCAATTCTTTGCCAATCCTCCTCATCTGTATCGTGCCGCTCTACAGCCCGGTCGCTATCGTCGTCGTCATCATCATCACTAAATACTGCCTCGTCATTCCCTTGCTTGTACAAGTCTTCGCCAGCCAGCTCGATGTCGTCCTCCTCAATTGCTTGTTCATTAGACGCAGCTGCCATTAATCTTGGAGATAAGGGTAAACGGTGGTTTGGAAGCTGGTTGGAAATAGAAGTGCGGCGATCCGAGTCGGCAAGCAGTCTGGCAAGCAAGGTTTCCCGCGAACCCTCGCGGTTCGAGAGCGACGCAGAGCGCGTGCTCCAGGGTCCCGGGCTTGACTCAGACTTTACCGGTTCAGCATTAGTAGAGCTGGGGTCTGCTCGACCCAAACTGCCCGGGGCAGCTTCCCGGACTGCCCAGCGGCCCCACCCTACTTTATCGAACGTGATACCCTTTTTAGTGTCGCCATTGTCCAGAACAGCAATGATCAAACGCCGCTGCTTAGAAAGAGAGAGGTCGCCAAACCCCGGAATAGTCTGCGCAAGGTGGGCCGTGATGTGCCGAATTGCTAGCGGGCCCTGCGCCTGGAGCAAGCGTCCAATTTTCTCAGGGGTGACGGCGGCGGCAGCGGCCAGAGCCACTGGAGAGTGAGTGTTCAACGGCTTGCCAGGCGCAGAGGCGATTGCGTTCGGAGAGAGTGCCCTGCGGCCAGACAACGAAGATGACGCCGTGAGCTGAGAGAGCTTGGGGCGAACGCCGCCGGAGTTTGAGGAATGGCGACGTCGCTCTGGGCGGTTCTTTTGCATGATATTGACCTGGATGGGCGCGGTAGGCGGTGGCACGGACAGTGGCGTGCCTGAACGCGTGCCCGAACTTCTTGACTCATTACCGGGCAAGCTGCCTCGAGAATGGTGGGGTAGCGGAGCCACTGGGGCAGCAATGGGGGCCGGCGGTTGAGGTCGCGGCAAGTTGTGTTGTTCCCCAAGGTTCTGTTGGTCGTACTGCAGCCCTTGTACGCTTCGCAAGTTGCCGGTGGCCATTTAAAGGTTAAAGTGGAGAAGTGAACTGAAATGACGGAAGCTTGGGTAAGGAGATAGCTGCATGCTGCTTACGTGGATATTTCACTTTGGGGGCGAGGAAGGCCCAGCCCACGGGCCTGCTGCAGCGGATCGAGCCAAGCAGGCAGGGGGGCCTGGGAGAAGGTATATGACTATTATTAAAGGCAGCCGCCTAGTGGAAGCTGATATTTAATTTCCATGAGGGTACATAGGGCAGTAGCTAAATCTAGTAGCCGAGGGCAGCCAGCTTCTTGGAAACCTCAGTAGAGGCCTGGGCGGACTTGGCGGAAGCGATCTTCTTGTTCAAAGCAGCCTTCTTAGCGTAATAAGCGGCAGACTTGGCCTTCCGGCGTTCCTCGAGACGCTCGACAACGTCCTTGTACTGCCAGCCAACCTCGTGGGAGAGACGAGAGACGGTGGTGTACTTGCGGCCGGGCTGGAGGCGGAGGACACGCAGAGCCTGGGGGACAACGACGCGCTTCTTCTTGTCGTAAGGAGGGGGGACACCCTCGTAGACGTTGAGGCGAGCCAGAGCAGCCTTGCCACGGGGGGTCTTATGCGAGATCATGCCGCGGACAGCCTTGTAGAAAATGCGCGAGGGGGCACGGAAGTGGAAGGGACCGTGGGTCTTGTTGTAGCGGGTGGCCTTGCGCAAGTAAGCGTGGTACTTGAGCTTGTTGCGGAAGAACTCACCGGAAATGTTCAGTTCCTCGCAACGGACAACGGTGACATGCTGGCCGTTAAGCAGCTGCTTTGCAACAATAGAAGCAAGACGTCCAAGCAGGTGGCCTTTGCCGTCGATAACAACCTCCTTCTCAAAGGTGCTCATGTCTGGTCTGGTGAATCGAGTTGAGTGCGTCAAGACCTTTTCCCTACGCGCGCTTCTGGGGACTGTTAGGGTAAAGCCCTAGCTGTTTGTGACGGTGACCTCCCAGCGTCCCAAGATTTCGTAATGTGTCTCCGTGCTTAGATCATCGTATGCTCAAAATCAATAATAACATTATAGTTTCTATTTTTTCATTTCGACTCCTGCTTTAACCATTGCGGCCAGTAAGTCATCGATAAGATCTTGTGGGTTCTCAATACCAACACACAAGCGAATAAGGTCCTCGGGGAAATCCCGTTCAGCCCGCTCCTTGGGGTCAATTGATGCGTGCGACATCTTGCAAGGCAGCGAGATGAGACTGTTTACACAGCCAAACGATACGGAAATGCCCCATAGTTTGGTAGACTCGACAATGCGTTCAGACAGCGGCAAGTCGTGTGTTCTAAAAGAGAGAACAGCACCAGGGCCCAGCGACTGCTTGGTGTGCACGTTGTAGCCCGGGTGTGACTCGAGGCCGGGATAATAGACTTCAAAGTTGTGCGACTTGAGGAACGCGGCGATTCTCTCGGCGTTGTTCTGCTGCTTCTCGAAGCGGACCGCCAGAGTCTTGATACCCCGCAGCAGCAACCAGGAATCAAAAGGTGAAAGGCCACATCCTGAAGCATTGATGACCTGGAACAGTCGCTCTCCAAGCACCAGATCTTTGACGGCCAAAACACCCGCCATTAAGTCGTGGTGACCGCACAAAAACTTGGTGCCTGATTCGTAGGTGATGTCTGCACCCAGATCAAGCGGTCTCATATTCATAGGACTCATCATAGTGTTGTCGACAACAACAAGGCACTCCGGGACGGCCTCATGAGTAGCGGTAGCCACTGCCTCGATGTCGCAAATCTTGATAAGCGGGTTTGTGGGGGACTCCAGTAGAACCATGCGAGTCTTGGAGTTTACAGTCTTTTTGACGGCATCGACATCTGTGGTATCAATGTGGTGCACAATTATGCCCTGGTTAACTCTCAAGTACTTCAACAGGCGATTGGATCCGCCGTACAGGTCGTCGCCAGCAATGACTTCTTCTCCGGGCTGCAGCAAACGGGCGATCACATCCAGCGCAGTCATGCCACTTGACACAGCCAGAGCGCGACCAGCATGCATGATTTTCGCCAAGTGACGCTCCAAGTGCGACCGCGTGGGATTGCCGCTCCGGGTATAGTCGTATTCACCCATATTCGAAAGTGACTCCTGCTTGAAGGTAGCGGTTTGGTAGATCGGCACGCTGCTCGAACGGTACTGGTCATTGCCCTCAGTAGTGACAATTTCCGTGTCTACTGCGTACTGTGGGAAAGACCGTGGACTAGACGGGGCCGGCGACGGCGGGGCCCCATTGTCGTTCTGGTTTTGAGACATGACTAACTGTTGGAAAGCGGCCGCTTTGCGGCGAAGACATGGGACGGTGTTTAGGGGGATATCACGTGACATGATATGACTTCGGTTCGCTCTCAAAGACTCTCAACACTGTTCGATCCGTGCTTGTTATTATCTTGACAATAAATATTATGTTACAACTTATAACCAACCTAAACTGTTTTCACTCATTACCGGCTGAGAAATAGGAAGCGGGCCCCTAGCAGGAGCAGGCATAATGTCGCTGATGCTGGAGGCGTGGGAAAGACGATAAGAGTCAAACGGATCATAGCTGTAGGTAGACGCATCATCCGACGCCACAGAGACCTCGCTGTCTGTGTCCGAGAGCTGGGCACGCCGCTTCCGGCGTTTGCGGGCAAGCACAATCGCTACAACACTACCGATCGCGACTGCACCGCCCACAGTACCCACAGAGATGCCGGCGGTTTTTCCTGACGCCCGAGAAGACTTCATGCTTGGTTGCATGCTTTGATCAAGCGATCCTACCCAGCCATTAGTTGGTCCCGAACTTGACGAGTCGCCACTACCACTGCTGCCACCAGAGGAACCATCGTTCGTGTTCGTGCTATCCTCTGGTGTTGTAGGAATTGATGTGTCAATGAGACTCATTAAAGTAGCAATGGTCGGGTTTGGATTGCTGAACATCATGCTGCTAGGGTCGCCAATGCCTGAAACAAAGCCGTCCACATTTTTCTTGGGCAGGTAAAACCGAACAACCGTCGCATCATAGTCGGTCATAGCGTAAGGAACAAGGTACCTGAGCTGCACCTTACTACTGTCCAAGCCAAGGCCATACGCAACGCCCTCAGGCAAGTACTCGGCAATCTGAGCAGCTGCCAATGGGTTGGAGGCCACGAAAGGATAGTTCAACGGGTATTTGAAACCAAGCTGCATCTCAACCATTCCTGCTGTGTTTGTTGGAGCAACTGCTGGCGCAATTACCTGTGGCAGATTTGCTGTCGTGCTTGTGCTGGCGCTAGACTCATCCTGGCCTGTTTGGGTAGCTATTGGCTTCGATGTTGGACTAGCTGTTGCGGTAATTAAACCGTCAGGCAGCCAGTTTGTGTTCTGCGATGTAGAGGATGAAGTTGTTGGGGACTCTGGACCAAGGGCAGAAGTGAGCACCGTCTCAACTGGCTGTGTCTGCGTCGCAGTTGTCCCCGGGTTTGGACTTGTCTGGGTGGTTGGTGGCACCTGCTGAACCGAAGTCACAGTAGATGGCGCAACCGCCGTGCTAGCAGTCAATGTTGCAACCTCTAGGCTAGCGCTAGATGGAGAAGCCTCTGGGCTAGCACTAGTTGGGGCACCCTCTAGGCTAGCGCTAGATGAGGCAGCCTCTGTACTAGTCGTAGGCTCTGCAACAGGAGTGACAGTATTGTCCTGCGTTCCTGAAACAGTTAGTACAGCTGATAGCGAAGATGGCTGCTCGCTTCCAGAAGTGGTTTCAGAAATGATAGGTACCACTGTGGGCTCAGGTGCAGAGGACAGCTCCAGCGACGTCATGGGCAAAGGTGTCTGCTGTGTTGTCGCGGGTCCAGTAGCCTGCAAACCCGTAGAATATAACACCGACACTGATGCCGCCTCGACTGAAGTGACTAGCGACGGAGCAACTGGCGTGGTTACCGGTTCCGTTGTCACAAGATGCGAACTTACAGCGGGCCCAAGACTGGTTGGTTCAGTGTTGTCGACCGTAGGACTGGCCATAGTATTGGTCGGGGTTGTAGCAATGGTTACGGCTGTCTCAGCAGCTGTAGTGACCGGGGTTTCAATCGTGTTCTCGGCTGTAGTCGTAGTGGGACTGGGAACTTCAGCTGTTGGAATATAAACAGTTGATTCGACAACGGAAAAAGGAGGACTGATAGTTCCACTGGCTAGTACACTAACAGTGGTCGCAGATGCAGCGTCTACTCCCTCTGCTCCTGTACTTGACGTCGTTGTAGGAGCTATTATAACTGTGTCCATCAGTCGAGTTGTGGTAACACCAAGCGTATCCGGTTGTACTAGTTCGGACGTGCTTGCAGGCTCACTGGCCGGCTCGCTAGCCGTTTTTAGGGTGTCTGTCTCATCCTCTCCCGCGGTGCTTGTCAATGAAGAGACTACGACTGTGTCGACCTGTTGAGTAATGATCGAGGAAGGAGCTCCGAATGACTGCGTTTGCAATGTGACGTACGTGGTTGCCGGCTGGCTAGCCGTTTGTAGGGTATCTGTCTCAACTCCTCCCACAGTGACGGTTTCGGGGTTGACTGTAATAGTTCTATCACCGGGAACAGTTACCGTACGCGTTGCAATAGGAAACGTATTCTGGGGAACTGCTACAGTTCCAATGCTGGGTGCCACAGTATAGACGCTGGTGACGCCCTCAGAAGATGAGGTCAAAGTGACAAGAGGGATGGCAAACGTGGGTTCCGATTCACTAGAAGTTGTGGAAGGGATCTCTTCCGTAATAGGAGAACTGGTCAAAAATGTTTCGACTGCACTCAGTGATGATGTTCCTGGGGCGACAGTCGCAGTGATTGGCGAAGTAGGCAGTGAGATAAGAGGAAATGGTATGAGTGGTGATGTTAATGAAGTCGTTGGCTGCTGCAGTGGCACGTCTACAGAAGTCAAAAGAGCCTCTGTAGCTGGACCCTCTGTCGTTGTAGCAGCCAAGGACCAGTTGAACCTCTGTTGAGCCTCGTTTGTGGCCTCGTCAAATAGACCATCAATGGCGTTTGCGATTTGGCTAACGATATTGGCTCTTGCTAAAGGCAAGACAGTAAACAAAAGTACCAACGATTTGAACGATGGCGAACTCATTGTTTGTTCGCTTTTGCACTGAAGAGGGCTTGAGAATGTAAAAAAAGAAGGTCTCGAACGGCGCGGTTAAGCTCACAAGGAATTAATGTTGTGAGTAGAAAACCAATCAAAAAAAAACAAATAAAGGTTGGAAAATGCAAATCCTAACCTGATCCCAAAAAGATTGATGTGAATTAGGTTTGAATTGTCACTCTGTGGTGAGCTTAAAATTCCGAGTTAATTGGGTGAGCTGAAAGTTAGTTGTTTGTTTCCCAAAGAAGCTGAGATTCTTGCATATTTAGTTCCAGATTAAGTTCTTTTCTCTTTCAGCTCTATTTCAGTGATCCCTTTCAGGAGTTACTGAATCGAGCTTCAATCTCGACCACCAGTCCACGATACCAATGACGCTTGAGCTAACAGTTAGAGTCCAAAAGCACCTACTGCCAAAGTGCAGCCGCGGCTGTGCTTGCAAAGTTAAATCTATCGTCCCGGATACGTGCATTGGAAACGCATGCAACGAACACTGTGGGAGCCCGCAAGTAGCTATATTTCACAGAGACGCGAGTGGCTATAACCTGGCCGGCTACCGGAGACCACTAATACCAAACACGTACCAGCTGTTTTTTTGCGGCCCGACAATCAAGAACCATGCTCAGAGAACGCCTCGAAATACCAAGAGAAAGAGCCAGAACAGCCATGGAGTTTTTTTATCTCCATGCTGAAATAATACACCGTGAATCTTAGAGTACTTACCGTCAAAACAAATCTCAACCTGACTTGAATGAGATGACCTGCAGTCTTTAACAAAGAAAGGGGTGTCAACCTCAAAATTATTTTGTACATTTGCGAGGAATTTAGTATCCTGGGTTAGGGCCTCATCCAATTTCCCTCGCAGGCGTGAAACGCACGATGGCCCCTCCTGTCCAACTAGCGATCGTGGTAAAATGCACCAGCGGCCAAGCGACATGGTGCTAAAACAACACCAGATACAGCGGATTGTGGTTTTTGAACGTATATGAAAAGTCCCACGGGGCACTATTATAGGGGGTTTCGCCAGGAGCTGAGAGCACCCCAACCCAGCTTGATACAGACGGCACTGCGCAGGTTACTTGTTCGATGACTGTACTGCAAGCGCATGCACAGACGCGCCAAATTTGAAACACCGACGGATGGGACGAGAGTAGTAAACCATTGACAAACCGTGCGGGGCTCGATTAAATAGCGGGCTTTGGTGAGTTTTTGGGAATACAGGTGGCAGGGTGGAAATTTACCAGCCGAAAGCTACAGTCACTACTTATAGGGTTTAGGCAGGCGGGGAGGTTCTTGTCCTAGGGGACGTGCGCAAAGTACTCTGGCCATCCAATAAAGCAGTTGCCACGATAGGAGCCATTGTGGGAATAAGAATAGTTCTGGATTAAGCAAAAGTCTACTGTATCTATTCAGCAACGACTGTGCCAATTGGTCCGATCGTCGTCCGCATTCATGTGATGATGTTTTGGTTCAAACGCATTTTCGCTTTCGTTGACAACTAGGGTTTGGTTTGTGCCCGAGGGGGCCAAAAAGACTAGAACTAATGTATGTTAAAATTTAATAAAATCCACAAAAGTATCACTGGCACCGCCTTCGTATCCTCACCTTTTTTCGTAGCCATTCAAGCCATTCTTGACATGCTGTCCTCTGCGGGATCGTGGAACCAAGCTCGTTTGCCGAGCTGAAAACTGTACTTGCGTCAATAATAGTGCAGCTGGCGGCCAAGTCGACAGCTTCCTTATGGCATTGGCCGTAATTGAGCTCCATGTATTTAGTGTGTGCATATTAGATCCCCTACGCTGTTTTAGCTCTCGCTCAGCACGGCTCTATTGATTTCCGAACTCGATCAGCGCTAAGCAATGCATACATGCTTGCATGATACAAGTGTTTTAACCTGTCTTTGTCATCCACCACCTCCGCGTGAGTCGGTGCGTACTCAGCAGCCCAGGGTATTGGAAAGATCACCGGGGTGTAATGTGAACTGTTCGAAACTCACGTCAAAACTGTGATAAATTAGTCTAGCATCATATTTATAGCTTATACTCGCATTTTCTAGTTCCGTACTCGTAATAAAAGCGCCCGGTGCGCCGTCCCCTACTAGTCCTATCATCACCGACATTTTAGGAGTCTGAGTAAGCACATCTCGGCCCGCTTCCCCAGAAAATCAAAGTCCGAAAGATGAGAATAAAACTGGTGGTGATCCCTAAGAATCTACCAAGTCTGGGCGTGCGATTCAATAGTACCTCTGCGGCCATACTTACGCCCGTGCAGCAGTACGACGAAGATGTCAAGAAAGGACTCATTCGAAGCGACGAATGGCAGCGTAAAGTTCTGCAAAACCTGAACTCGGTCCATGAAGAGCTGTGCAAATATCGTCCACCACCAGTATCTACGTCCTCTGGTGGTTTTTTTGCTTCTCTGTTCTCTAAAAAGACTGCACACGACTCGTATCCGGGACCACGAGGAATCTACATGTACGGTGAGGTAGGATCTGGTAAAACAATGCTAATGGATATGTTTTACCGCACTGTGCCGAGCCATTTGACAAAACGACGTATCCATTTCCATGGGTTCATGCAGGACGTGCACAAGCGTATTCACAAGCTCAAGACGCAAGGCAAGAAGGAGGGAGTTGCAGAGATTATTGCCAGAGAAGAAGCAGTGGCCTATCGGGTCCTCTGCCTCGATGAAATGCAGGTTACTGATGTGGCCGACGCTATGATCCTTCGAAGTTTGCTCGAAGGACTGTATAAACACGGCGTCGTTACGTTCTACACATCGAACCGCCCGCCTGACGAATTATACAAGCACGGTGTTCAGCGCGAATCTTTTATTCCTTGCATCGAGCTCATGAAAGAGCGTAACCACGTTGTCAAGCTCGTGTCGCCTACTGACTACCGTAAACTGCCTCGCCCTTCTTCCGGGTCATACCTGTTCAAAGAACCGTCCCAGACTGATGCAGAGTTCCTGGCTGCTGCCAAGGAACACGAAGAGAAGTGGTTCGATTATTTCGCTGATGGCGAGCCATTAGTGGAGAATCGAGATCTAGAAATTTGGGGCCGGCCCATACGCATCCCCCGATCGGCTGCCAACAACGTGATGCAGTTTACGTTCATGGAGCTCTGTGGAGAACCCCGCTCAGCTGCAGACTACCTTGAAATGTGCCGAACATTCAAGGCTGCAGTGGTTACTGACATCCCTGAAATCTCGTTGGAACAGCGTGATCTTGTCCGCAGATTCATCACCTTCCTTGATGCCGCTTATGATTCGCATATGATGTTTGCTGCCACGACCTGGAAACCTTGGGAAACACTGTTCAATACGAAGCATTTAACCATCGACCCTCACACTCATCAAGTCAAATTGCAAGGAGAGTCGGCTGAGGTTATGGACATCTCCAACTTTGTTGGTCACGAGGAAATGTTTGCATTTGCCCGGGCACTTTCTCGTTTGAAGCAAATGGGTTCAGCATCCTGGCAAGAATAAGTCACGTCTATTTTTCTTAGGGCGGAGGTTTTTCTCACGCTTAATTTGTATGTATAGATTAAAACACGACGTCATCATCTTCGTCTTCAAGAACTGTGGCTGCCGGGGCAGCTTCAGAGCTTGCCTCTTCGGTAACTGGATTAATAGGCTCCCTTGGCTTTCCAGAGGCCTTGGCGGCCTCAGCTGCTGCTGTTTCCTCAGCCAGTGCATCGGCAGCATCGCGCTGCTTGTTATTTTGAATCTTTTTGAGGCGGAAAAACTCCTCACGGTCGAGCTCATCCAGCTCGGAGTTAATGTAGGCGATCGTGTTTTCGGTTCGGGGAATAATGACGTGCTCAATAGCATTCACTCGTCGATTCGTGACCTTGATAACCTCGTCAAGAATAACAAACGCCGTCTGTAGGGACGCAAGTTCCACCAAGGCCTCGACGGCCTTTGAGTAAACCTCCTTGGCTTTGGCAACCTGCTGACCGCCTCTGCCCAGGCCAGTCATTTTGAAGTCGTCAATATGCTCCATATGGCGCACATCGAAAGACGGCAACAGGACGCCGCTGACGTTCTCTTGACGAGCCTGCACACGGAACCGTGCACTCTTTACGCTTTCCTGGACTTGGAATGCAATGTTATCGCCTGTAGCGTAGGTGACTTCTGCTAATGAGAACGCTGCCGTCTGCATGACCTTCCCCATTTTCCGCTTGGCCTCGTCAATTCGGCGAGTAATGTCTCTAAAGCGCTTGGTGAGCGCCTCAGATTTGCGCTTCAGAAGATTGTGTCCTTGTGTGGCGCCTTTCAGCTTGCCCTTCATCAGAGCAAGCGTCATTCGCGTCGGAAACACCGCCTCTCGATTGCCAGCGCCCGACATTCAAGTTGGTGATTAGGTGAGCCGGGGGGGTTGAGACTTTGATTTCCAGTTTTTTTGAATATAGCTTTGGTTATTGGGGGCAATTATATGGATGTATATTACGAGAATCTGCTGTTAGACCAACCGGAAAGTGTGGAGTTGTGGTCTGCCTACGCAAACAGTCTCCGGGACCCCTTGGATCGTGCAAAGGTGCTGGCGCGAGCAGCCGCTGCGATGCCTGATTTGACTATATGGCAAAGACTGATTGAGTTGAGAATGGGAAGAGATGGAGAGGCCGCAAAAGAAGCATTATATGAATGCCTCGTTGACGCCCTAGCACTTTTCCCGAAGAATAAACAGATGTGGAAGACGTTGCTAGGCGAGTTTCCAGGACCGGCTTCCTTCGACCATTATTTGCGCTATGGGCCGGATCCGGGCTCAATTTGGCCTGAATACTTGAAATGGGCTGATGAAAACAACCAGCCGGAGGTTTATGCACGTTACGCCGAATTTATAGGCAATCCCGTGCAGGTAGCCGAACAATTGTTGGCGAAAAACCACCCTTCCACGGCACTTGGCATCATTGTTAGTGCCCCAATGAAAAGTTTAGATGATTTCAAGGTTCTGGTGAAAGCTGCGGAGGCGGCCAACGACCCAAGATGCACCGAATTCTACCGTTCGGCTCTACGGATTTTTCCTCAGTCCGATGGCTGGATCATTCCTGCTTTCGCCGCTTATTTGACAAGCCAAGGTGAGAATGAAGATGCCCGTTGTCTTTTGGAAAGTTCTTTGACGGTTGCCACGTCTGTCAGAGCTTTTGTCGAGATATTTGCTGCTGCGTGCTCCTTTTACGAAGCATACATTTCGTCACTGATTGATGCAGGCGAGAAGTCTGAAGTTACCCTTGAATCTTACCAGTTGCTATTAAAACGCCGGCGACTACTCTTGAATGAGGTCTGTATCAGGACAGAGCCAAATTTCGTTGGCCATTGGCTTGAGAGGGCCGAGCTATTAGACTCTCGCGAATTCAAAGTGAAAGTATTTGACGAAGCTCTGGAAAAAATTGATCCTCACCGAGCAGAAGGTGGACTATCTCGTATTTGGATTGCATATTCTCAGTCGTTGAGCTCAATGGTCGAGGTGCGTACGCTTTTCGATCGAGCTACAAAGGTGCCGTTCCGCGAAATGTCTGAACTTGTGTCTATATGGAAGTCATGGGCACAAAGAGAAATATATGACCCAAAAAGAAGCTTGAGAGTTCTTGAAAAGGCACTGGCTGGCCCAGCTAATTCAAGCATTCAACTAAACAACCACCATCTGAGCCCGCAAGAAAGGTTGCACAAATCACCAGACCTGTGGAAGTTTTATCTCGAGCTGGCCACGAAACATAGCGATCTGGACAAAGTTCGTGAAATATACTCAAAGATGTTGCGCTACAAGGTTGTCAGTGTGTCAGGTGTAATTAGTTACGCCAACCTGTTAGCATCTAATGGGTTTGTCGAAGAATCTTATCGAGTTTACGAGAGGGCTACTGCAGAATTTCCTTTCCCATCTGCCTACAAGTTGTGGATTTCTTATCTGGACAAAGTCAAGGAGACCCGCTTGAGTTTGGAACGGCTTCGTGATTTGTATCAGCAGGTTCTAGATACTTGTCCACCAGACCAAGCATTACCTTTTTATTTACGATACAGTCAACTGGAACTAGACAAGGGACTGGTTTCAAGTGCATTAACCATTCTGGCTCGAGGACTAGATGTTCTTCCCCCGTCTGATTTGCCCGAGCTGGTAGGGGTTTATCTCACAGCTCTCAAAGATAACAATGGGTTGCAGTCAACTCGTCCAGTTTACGAAAAGGCCCTTGGCCGGCTGCAGTATGACAGCTTAGGATCCTTCGCAAGAGAGTTTGCCGAGGTCGAGCTCCAGCTTGGTGATTTGAACAGAGTGCGATCGATCCTTAAATTTGCATCTCAATTCTACGATCCACAGCTTCCCAAAGGTGCTGTATTCTGGGACAGATGGCAAGAAATCGAGCAGGAGTATGGTGATGCAGCGTCGTTTCGAGAAATGCTTCTCGTCAAACGGACAGTTGAGGACGCAATTCTCAGTGATCCATACCGTCTGGCCGATCGAGAAGAGTATATAGATTTTGTCAAGACATGAATTATGCACTTTTTAATAACTTAATTAACATTTGCGAGAATTGTGCCGCATCTTCGTCCAAGGGAGCTTCGAGTTCTGCTGGTAAATCCGCGGCGGGAGTTTTGGCTTTAACCAAATCGACCACAAAGTCCACTAGGCTTTCATCAACCTCTCCGAATATTTCAGCGACCTGTTTACTGATCTCTGGCTTGAGGGTGCTTTCGATCCATTCATCAGTCACTTTGGCCCAGTCAATATCTGTGGGCTCAGACTCGTCCACCAGTTCAACTTCCTCATATGGGCCCTCTTGGGCTTCCCTTTGTGCATCTTGTTCATCCAGTTCTCGTTCTTTTGCGCATTTGATCTGGAGACTTCGAATGTCGCCGGGAAATGAGACTTCTTTACAAGACTTGAGTCTTGCCAGCTCTTGTTCGGCATACTCAATGCGTCTACTCTCTTGTTCCTTGAATGCTTGCTGTTTTTGTGCAATGATATCAATTTTCTGCTTCACGTTGGCAACAAATTGCTCCCATGACAGCTCCGGCACGGATGATGATAGCGACAGCACCTGCCTTTCATCGAACTCAGCGAACTCCTTGTCCTCTGGAGGAACACTAACCTTGTCTTCATTTTTGATTTTGTTCCTGAACTGATTTATGAGCTCTGTTCTCCGCGATTCTTGTTCTTTTTGCAGTCGAACAGTCTCTTCACGAAACTCCATAACTTCCTTACGAAGCGTTTCAAGTTCATCAGGCGTGAATCCGGAGGTCAGCGTCCCATCCGGCTCTAGCAGGTCCGTCTTCTTCTCTATGTTTTGGGTCCTTGGCCTTGTGGCCGCGTCGAGCTGCGACTGGATCTTTGCTATCAAGGCTGGCGCTTGCATCCTCGTAACTGAAACAACCGAGGCCGTCCTCGCTGATCCTTCAATCCAATCCTGGGTTTCTTGTGAAACAGTTACGGAGACTCGGTCATTTGAGTTGCTGGTTTGAATCTGGGGTAGAATCTCCAAAGCGACCTTTATTTGAGCAGCGCTGCGAAACTGGCAAAATAACGAGTGCTTCTCGGGATTCCTGTCATCTTTAACGGTAAATATGGTTTGTGGCCCAATACTCGAAAGTGCCTTGTTGATATCCTCTCTCGGTAACACTGGAATGCCCTCAATGAAACATGTTTTAAGACCATCCAATTGCATATATGAATCGTAAGTTGCTTGTGTAATCGAAAGCCGACAAGTAAGATACAATGGGCAGCTCACAATCCACGGAGGCGACAGAAAGAGCGAGTAAGAGCCAGCCCAAAGGCAAAGTAGCAATTATCGGCGGCGGCCCTGGAGGTGCCGGTGTCTCTCGAGCGCTTGTGGCTCGCGGATTTGACGTAGACATCTTTGAGAGTCAAGATGGGTTTGGAGGCGTGTGGAAATATACGGGCAGGGGACCAATGTACAGAGATCTAGATACAAACATTGTCGCAAAGCTAATGGAGTACAAAGATTTTCCATTCAAGGGCTCCCAGGGCTACAGAGACCGTGAAGATGTCTATGAGTACGTGGTCGAGTACAGCAAGAAATATACGACAAATGTCCACTTTAATACTACCATTGCGAATGTACTAAAAGATGAAAACAGCTGGAGGCTAATTGATATCAAAGGCAAAGAGTATGAGGCTGATTTTATCGTACTGGCCGCTGGTCATTATAATGTACCGTTCACACCCGAAATTGAAGGAATTGAGGAGTGGAGGAAGGTTCATCCCGGAACAGTGCTGCATTCAAGAACATTTGATAACCCCGATGTGTTTGAGAACAAAAAAGTAGTAGTGGTAGGGAATGGTGCTTCGGGGCTAGACGTGGCCATTCAAATTTTAAGTGTGACAGCACCCGTGTCTGTTTGCCGACGTCATGAGGCTCCATCTGATGTTTTGTTTGATGGCGAAAACATGGTGCTGAAACCAGAACTCATCAAGGTGGATGCCCAGACTCAAACTGTTTACTACCAGGATGGATCGTCAGATCCCGCGGATGTAATCCTGTTTTGCACAGGTTACCTCTACGAGTTTCCGTTCCTCAGAGAGTTTTCTGATGGCCAAAAGTATCCTTTGCTGCATCCCCGTCGACAGAGATTATGCAACTTGTACGAGCGGACGATTTACTTGACCGACCCCACACTTGCTGTCGTGGGAATGGACAAGCAGATTGTTCCAATGCCAGTTTCTGAGGCCCAAGGAGCCGTTATTGCTCGGGTGTTTGCAAAGGATCTCACGCTTCCACCACTGGCCGAGATGGTCGAACTCGAACGACGTGCGGTCGAGGTGCGCGGCGACGGCCAATCATACCACAACCTGGGGTACCCAAATGATGCTGAATGGATGGCTAAACTAGATGAGTGGGTCGATACGGCACCTACAGAAAGAGGCTTCACTGCTGAAAAGTGGGACTCCGAGAAGTTAGACCTCCGCAAGCACTCGTCGAAAACAAAGCTCGGCGAGTTTCGTCATAAAATCGACCAATCAAACAGAAAGAGACTACAGAAATAACACTATGCAACATTCATACTCCCCGGTATAACCGACAGATGCCTGCATTGGGAGACCCGGCAGACTAAGCTTTCTTTACGCGACTGGGCTTGAGGTCCCCAAAACAGTATGTCGAAAAAAAAGAAGCTGAACGGGAATGGAGGCAGTCAGGCAGCAGTGGTGGAAAATACCGTTTCCACGGATCTTCGAAGAAGAAATCAGTCCAAGGAATGGAAAGCTGGGCCAGCGGCCCCACAGCACACCCTCAGACAAGCGAGCCAATTGCAGAACAAATACAATCAACGGTGCTCCCAAAAGAAGTATTTTATCAGATTGGCAAAATCTCTTGAAAAGACGGAGATAAAACTGAGGGGATCAGTTGCTAAAAACCTCAAGCTGGTTTCTGAGGAACTACGGCGAGGAACCAGCCTGACATTGTTATTACAACAACAGGGAGAGCTCGATGAACTACCGTTTGAGCAGGAAATTTTGAAATTCTGTCGTGTTTGTCGTAATAGCCTGACCACATTGATCTTATCGGTTGGCCATGACATGGACGAGCTCGGAAGAGCCCTGGGAGGAGATCCAAAATTCATCACCACAAGCTCTGTGGATATGCGAGTTGCCGAATTGGATTTAGTGAGCATTGATCAGAAACTAATGGATAATGAAAGCCAAATTGGGTGGCTAGAAACGATTATTTCCACAGCATCGTCGAACTCGGTGGACGTGCCTCGCACGCAGCATCTCATATATGCCAATGACATGGCGCGAAAGATACATCTACGCCTTCTGTCTCTCAAGCATCGCCTAGTATTCTACTTTTGTGACACTGTGGAGGTCATCAATCGTATATCTTTCGCTCGAGTCAAGACGCTCTATGAAACAAATGAAAAAGCCCTGGCGCGTCTACAACAAGCAGTGTCCATTCTACAAAAAGTACTATCCACGTTAGGATTGATGATTGTGCGAAAGCGACTTGCAAATCAACCGGATCCGTTTACTTTTAAAGTTGTTGCGAGCACGACGGGATCGAGTGCTGGCAACTCAGCTGATGAAAGCGAGGTTAGATTTGCTGAGCGTGACGAAAATGTTTCTCTCACATCTCTGGAGAGCTCAAGCAATTTTGTCCAAGTCGTCCCATCACAGGGAGCATCTACGTCGCAGGAGGACATCCACTTTTCTGATCTTACTCATTCTGATGCTGTCGACGAAAGCGATGGGTTTGATAAGAGCGAATTTGTTGCTCAAAGGCAAATGGAAGAATCCGAAAATGACGGGGATGTCGAATCTATGGAACATGAGGTCTCAGCTAAAACGACGCCAGATATTGAGCCGAACCCTAGCGTGCAAAGTGAAGACACAAACACCAACAATACCGCAGAATTCGTTGTCGAGAGTATCGCTCGGCCTACTGAATCACAAGAAGAACAGATGAGCATTGAGAGCCAGCAAGGAAGGCTAAATGTTCACCTTGGAGAAGGCAGTCCAATGACTCCAGCTACCGAAGGATCGCCAAAGTCGATGGTTGTTAGGCTGTATACTGGTATTTCTCAAGTTTTGACAAAATCTGCTCAGTCTGCGAAAAACGTTATATCCAACGCAGAGTCATTCCTGGCCACTGGGGCAGCAGATCTTGACCTAAGCACTAACGACGAAGTGGTTGTTCCACCCCCCGTTGCTCCACTGAATACTGTATCCAAAGCCAAAAAGCACGTGGATAGTCCCCACAAGGACGCTCGCCCACTGGCAAAGCGGATCAGACTGTCGTTGCCTGCAGAACCGGTTGCAGTTCCACGAGCATCTTCCGTAGGTCCCTCCGTCATCCCGCCTTCCGTGGAGCCGCCTGTTCGACGCGAAATCGTGGTATCAGATCACTCCGGAAGACGTGCGGGCCCTTCAAGAACCCATAAAACCGCTCAACCATTGAAGCTGGTGAAAAGAAAGGCGTCCCCCGAACTGCATCTTGTAGCACCAGAAGGAGAACAGCAAGACGAATCCCTCCGGAAGGTACTACGTCGTTTATTTGAGATCGTTCAGAAGTAAGGCTATTATTTATAAAAAAACACATCAATTGGCGGATTGCACTTTGTTGTCAAAAGTCGCAGAGTGGTTGGTCTCAGTATAGGCAGGAGGGTTGTACGGAGGAGAATCAGACGTGCCCTGGACAGGCCCCTGAACATGCTCCTGGACAGGCTCCTCAACAGCCTGCTCAGACGCCTTTGGCCGCTGAACCATAGGCTTTACGAGGGGCGTGGTTTGGGTGGCGCAGCAGTCGCCGCAGTCGGGGCATTGTGGCTGCTCATTGGCATTGCAACAGCTACCAGCCTGGCTTTCCTCATCAATGGGCACGTACCCTTCATGCGCTGCAGGTCTGGGGTGTAGCATGAGGACGTATATGCCATGGACGACGGAGAAGATAGGGAACACGATGAGCAAGACTAAACTGATCCAGAAATCCGTAGAGCGAACGCCATATCTATAACCAACAGGAATAGTGGGCAGAATAAAAACAAGGGCAATAAATAAAATGTCTTTGGCTTTTTGGGCAAAACTCGTGGGTTCAGTCATTATGACAGCTGCTTCCCACACGGCTGCGCCTTGAGCCAACCCACTCCTGCAGCGTGGGTAAGGGTACATGTCAAAAAAAAGTTATTTTAGATCCAGCAGTAGCTCGGTATCTTGCAGCTCTGCGGCCCAGAACTTGGACAGATGCCTCGATCCACTGTCGCAAAGGATGGTCACAAGAGTGTGGCCGGGTCCTAGTCTTTTGGCCAGCCGATACGTTGCGACACAATTGACCGCCGACGACGAGCCCACAAACAGGCCGTCGTGCTTGACCAAATGATGCGCCATTGCTAGCGAATCTGCGTCAGAAACGCGCTCTGCATCGTCAATATAGGGTAACGCCTCCGCTAGATTCGCTGTTACTCGATTCAGACCGATACCTTCCACCAGAGTGTCTACTTGGTGTCTCCTGCGTTTTCCTTCCCTCTCGGCAGTGTCGAACATGACGCCAAACTTGATTCTGTTGTAAATGCCGCTTCCCGGAGGATCAGCTACCACTACTTGCACATGTGGCAGGTTTTCTTTGAGAAAGCGCGAGACGCCGGCCACTGTGCCGCCAGTTCCCGCGCCGGTCACAAATGCATCCAACTGGCCGTTGGCCTGACGCCAGATCTCAGGCCCAGTAGTGGTGTAATGGGCACGCCAGTTTACCGGGGTCTCGAACTGATCAGCAAATACCGCCAACGTGTCGTTAGAGGGGTCGTCATTGACCTCCTGAGCCAGCCTTCGCGCAACATTTACATAGTGACCGCTGTCGGCGATGCCTGCTGGACGCACCTTGTGCACCACTGCGCCCAAAGCCTCTAGCAAAGCCACTTTTTCAGCCGAAGTATCGTCTGGCACAACGATGTGGGCCACATACCCCCGAGATCGACACAAAACAGCAAGTGAAATGCCCGTAGATCCCGAAGTGCCCTCGACGACCCAGTCTGGATGGCCCGGACGCAGTCGACCGATCCGCTCAGCTTCAACAACGACCGCTAAAGCAACTCGGTCTTTTGCGCTCCCGCCAGGATTGCACATTTCCAGTTTACCATAAATTTCACACTGAGTAATTTCCGATAAACTAGCAATACGCACCATCGCCGTTTCACCGACCAGACCATCAACGCCTGAGGCCACTTTGAAACTCCTCCTACTCGTCCACTCTCTCCACAAAAAAAGCCCCACATATGCCGCCGCCAATATCCCGCTGGCGGCGGCAGCTGTGCGACCCGAAAATGGGCCCGCTGCTGCTGACATAATGATGACAGGGTTAAATTCGCGGATCGGCAACTCTGCCTAAAGTTCCCAACTTGGCTCGAACAAACAAAATAGGATGAACCTAAAGTGGTGGACGTTGGCAGCGAGCCTTGTGGGATGCACGTATGCGGCGAATGAGATGGAGGACGAGATAGTGCTCGAGAATAAATCGCGACACCGCCAAATATGCTCTGGCGTGTACTCAAAAGAGGACATCGGAGGGCCTTTCGACTCGCAAATTGAGATTGACTTTACGGGCGACTCAAACGGCAAGGTGTCGCTAATCATTTTCGCATACCAGGATATCGACAGGCTGGGTGTTCCGGTCGAGGATAGCAATGGCCGACAGGGCATAAAGTATTTGTGCGATCACGACGCTATTGATCACGGCCTGTGTCCGGAAAGCGATTATGGCAAAGTAATTATCAACAACTACGGTCACGAGGACGAGGAAGAATCCGGAGCAGATATCTGGTCGGCTCCGATCACCCTGCCGTCCGAACCGGTCATTTATAACGTGTCCACCACCAACTACTACTGCGTGGTGACTTTCCCGCTGGAGGACCGCTTCGAAAAGTACAAGGCCAGCGTGCACTTCATGAATGCGTACGGCCATTTGCCAGCAAGCCAGTACTCGCTGCTGACCTTCCACTTCGTCATGGCCGTGGCCTACACCGTGTTTGCTGCCACCTGGGGCTATTTTTTTTACCGATACCGTCACGACGTGCTCCCTGTGCAGAAATACCTTACTGGTCTGGCTGTGTTCATGCCTGTGGAGCAGTGGCTAGTATGGGGGTATTTTGTTGACTACAACAAATCAGGATTGGCTGGTGCCGGCCACAAAGCCTACCTTGGTATTGTATCTGTTTTGGGTGCGGGCCGGCTCGCGCTGACGTTGTTTTTGCTGCTCATTGTGTCCATGGGCTACTCGGTTGTGTTCCCAACTCTCGGACGTCGCCTAAAATATGCTGGTATTCTGGCCGTCTTCCAGTGGTTTGCTGCGGCTCTGTACGCTCTGGACTCTTACCTTATGTTTTCAGAGGACGAGGAAGGCACGCTGAAGTTGTTGATGTTCTTGCCTCTATCCATAACTATGGTCGCTTCGTATATATGGACTCTGCGCTCTCTGGCTGGTACAACTGCCTACCTTACTGAGCGTCACCAGCAAGTCAAGGCACGCATGTATCGCTTGCTGTGGTGGATTCTCATTGGCTCTGCCTTGGCACTGTTTTTGTTTGTTCTTTTGCACACTTTGTTCACATCGACTCAGCGTCTTAAAGATTTTATCAACAACTACTGGAAAACCAAGTGGCTGCTGAGCGACGGGTGGCCCAATATTGTTTATTTCGTGAGCTTCGGCCTCATCTGCTTGATCTGGGCCCCCACTGCTAACAATAGACAGTATGCTATGTCCACACAGCTCTCCCAGGATGGCTCGTACGTCCCTGACGCCGAGGAGTTCGAGATTGGTTCTCTCAATGGCTCTGGCGACGAAGGCGAGGAGGACGATCTGCAACCGCCTCCCGTCAACCAATCTGGAGTGCATCGCGTTCAGACCCGCGAGACCATGTTCAGTGCTGACAATCGCGATGATCATGACATCTTCTCGGACGACGAGAATGCGGGCGGTGAGTCCACAGACCCCTGGAATCGTGATGAAGACGAGGACGAATTAGTGCAGGCACCGGGCGGGAGACTTCGTAACTGATGTAATTAGCTGAGCTAAGCTATGAATAGTTATCTTACCCTTCGAGTCGTTTAGCAACGCCTCTGCCCAACTTTGGCCTTCTCTCGGCCCCCGCAGATTTTAACGTTCTTTTTTCACGCCTATGCACGAATATTCTATCGCATTATGACTAAATGGACCCTGCATCCGGTTATTGGTTTTCGTCCAAGCGCCTTAACTTTTCTTTACTAATAAACCAAAAACCTAGTCCCCAGCCCTTTTGAACCGAGCTGTGAGTCCGACGTTTCCAGGACACCCTTACTTGACGCACATTTTTCGCTAGACATACCAAGCAAATTGACCGATCCGAGGAGGGGTTTCTTCACAATAAATGCCATCTTCAAGGGTGAAAGTAGAGTCTGGGTCCAAGGGCTCTGAGTCTAGTCGCGGCGAATCAGACAGCCCAAGCCAGCGGGCGACGCAATTTCGCCGCGCACGATCCCGCGCCACGCGTGCCTGTGAGGTGTGCCACTCCAGAAAAGTGCGCTGCGATGTTATGATTCACCAGCCGTGCACCAATTGTATTGCCTTCGGCTGCGAATGCCGCATTCCTGAAAACAAGAGCCGCAAATCGGCGAGTTCAGGCGGACGAGACGCCAGAATGTCACCAAGTCGTAACGGCGCGGCTGACGGTGATATTTCGTCTCGGCCACCTGGATCGGCTGGTAGTGCGGCGTCCACGGCCACCTCGACCCCAGGGGGAATTATCGACACAAAAAGCGACCGCAAAGGTGACGTATCCTTTTTGGGGGCAACCTCTCATTTCAACCTCATTGCTCCAGATGCCAACGATCAAACAACTTACGCTCGTCTGATCGAGCAGCTCTTAGGCACCTCCAGTGTACTTGGCCAGCTGGATCAGGAAGATATCACCGTGTTGAAGATCCGAGGTGCCTTCTTATTACCCGCCCAAGACGTTAGCGATGCCCTCGTAGAGACGTTTTTTGAGAAAATACATCCGACATTGCCGGTGATTAACAAGACCGAGTTCTTGAAACAATACTATTCTCGCGACCACCAGCCACCGTTGTTGTTGAAGCAGGCCTTGTTTTGTGCTGCCAGCCGCGCGTGCCGACATCCCGCGTTGCTAGACTCAAATGGCCTGCCTGAGGTGGCTACCTTGACGTTCTACAAACGGGCCAGAGCCCTGTTCGAGGTCGATTATGAAACTGACCGCGTAGTTTCAGTCAAAGCTGCACTGCTTCTGTCCCTCAGTGTTGACGGTCCGGAGCAGATCAAACACAATGGCTATTACTGGTCCAGAATGGCAATCACGTTGGCTCAAAGTGTCGGCCTTCATTTATGGATGTCGGCCCCCCAGCGTTCGGTAATTGGGGCGAGAATGTGCAAGCGTATCTTCTGGTCTATGTTTGTACGTGATCGCACCACGGCTGTAGCCTACGGCAGACCCATGATGCTGAACCTTGAAGATAGTGATATGCCAATGATTGTTGCTGAGGACTTTGACGAAAGCGATTCAGGTGCACCTTCAAAATATCCGCCTAACGAGGAACATGTGCAGTATTTTATTTCTCTGGTCAAACTAAACGAAATCATGGGTATGGTACAGCGCCAGCAATACACAGTTGGTGCGGAGCGTATGCAGATGCTCGATCGTATGCCAGATGTTTCTCAATGTGACATTGCTCTAGCCTCATGGATCAATCATTTGCCGTCATGTTTACGATATTCGATTCGCGAAGTCGAAAACCACAAAGTGCTACAGGCCAATCTTTACCTCGCATACTACACGGTATTGTGCCTGGCTCACCGACCGCAGGTGGTACACTTTTCCAAAAGCCGAGGTGAGTACCCCTCTTGGGGAATCGCCTTTCAGGCGGCACATATGATTGTTCGCATTCTTGAGAATATTCGCAAACACAAAGAGATGCATCTTATGCCATCGTTCACCGTCTATGTATGCTTCAGTGCGGTAATTCTTCTCTTTTACCAGTCGGAAACCAGTCGCACCGAAGTGGTCGCGTCCGCTCAAGCAGCTTTGGCAAGTTTGATGCAAAGCTTAGACGAACTCGCCAAATATTCTTCGACGGCCCAGAGAATCGCTAAGCTTTCCGGTTATATCAAGAACAATACCGAAACCAAGAACCGTTTCCTGAGATCGTTCCGCAAACGCAAGCGAGGCGAAACCGAGCTTATGAACAGCGAACGTGAAGTGCTTGAACAGGTCAACTCCAAGCCTAGCCTTCCCTCGTCCGCTAATAACATGCCTGTTCGTGAGCCATCAGCAGGCACTCCAGAATCCTTACTGCCAACTGGAACCACGCCACGCTTTGAGTCCACCTCACCCAGAGGTAGTCCTGGCTTTGAACAAGATTCCCAGAAACTTGCTATGGTCACTCAACAAGCTGCCCCCATCCAAGAGGTCTTCCAGCCTGAACACCTATTCCCTGAAGCTCCTGGATCGGCCAACAGCTCGACAGACGTTGCAAAAGAGTTCTTCCTGCCCTTATCTGGAGTTACTGCTGATATTATGGATGCTTTCAATGTCAGCGAGGACACGGGCACCCACTCTAGCGACGATAACTTTGGTGAGGCTCCGGATACTTTGAGTATGGGAGACTGGTACGATTTTCTTATGTCCAACCCAAAAGTGGGAGACCAATGAGGTATATTTTATTTTTTTTTTCTAAACAGGTTTATGTACATAAGCTTAATTAGCGCCCTGGCTGCCACGAGGACGGCCACGAATAACCATGCGATTGACGTTTTTACCCCGGCGGGTCTTGAAGCCGTTTTTGGCAATCACACCCCAAGGAGAGACGGGGATCTTGTTACCCTTAGATTTACCACGACCACCACCTAGTGGGTGATCGCATTTGTTCATCGCACCACCACGAACAGTAGGGCGAATACCCAGGTTTCGAGAGCGCCCTGCCTTACCGAACGAACGGTGCTGATGGTCGGGGTTGGAGACCATGCCGATAGTAGCACAAGCGTCCAGAGCGACGTAACGGGTTTCGCCACTCTGAAGGCGGACGACTGCACGGTTTCTCTCAGGGATCTTCTCGTAAAGACGGCCATATGTACCAGCAGCCCGGCAGAACTTTGCAGGACCGAGTTTGGTCATTCCAATATTGTGAACAACAGTGCCCAAAGGAACCATACGGAGCGGTAAGCAGTTACCACGCTTGGCTGTTAGACCAGCCAAAATACCAGGGTCAACCGAGCCACCCATAGCGTCTGTGATCCGTTGAGGCACGCCCTGCCGGAAACTTTCAACCTCGTCACCAGCCCGCATACCCACGGTAGCGGGGATATAAGACAAAGCACCCTGGTCGTTTTCGAGTAAAGCAAGATGGGCACTCCGATTAGGGTCGTACTCAATACGTTTCACGGTGTTGACACCCTCTGCCAGCCGAAACATATCCACAATGCGTACACGTCGTTGCTTACCACCACCCTGGTGCCGGATCATGATACGACCAGTATTGTTACGACCAGAACTCGGGTGACGAGTGACGGTCAAAGCCTTGACGGGGCCGCCTTTGTGTAAATAAGGGTACTGCGGCCATCTGTACCAACGGAGCGAGGGAGCAATCGGGCGAGGCACCTTCATGCGCACTGCGGTCTTGACGAGGCGCAGCTGCTTCTTGATATTGAGATCCTGCTGTTCGAGCTCGGTCAAGTTCTGCTTAGAGCCAAACGGTACTAAATCAAGACCGTCCAGCTGTTCTTGAAGCTGGTGGGAAACTGCACTGTCCGAGTACTCGCCTTGGACAGACTTGCGAGCCCGACGGGGGCCGGGGGAGCCTGAAGCACCCATCGAGGAATCTTCAGTAGATATAAAACGAGCGTGAACTCTGAGAACAGGCGCGTTGTATAGACGGGCCAACACCCGTCCCGGGAAACTTTTCATTTTTGCGCTGACAAAGAAATCACCCAGGCGAACTCGAGCTTCAGTAGGGGACCTCCCGGGGCCCAACCGGACGGGCAGGGGTGCTGCGGGGGGCTATGGGTGTTGTTACCTAAGCACAATAACCTAACTCCATTGGTCAGCCAGCACACCTTTTCCATCCCCGACCATGTTCCGTCGTATTTCTGTTCCTTTGCGTTCGGTTGCTCGCCGCACCTACGCGACTCAGAACGTCAAGGTTCCTGTTCAGCTCTACGGCCTGGACGGCACCTACGCGACTGCACTTTTCGAGGCTTCCGCTAAGGCCTCCTCCATTGCCAACACTGAAAAGTCCCTGAAGGAGCTCAGCGACCTCATTGCCCGCGACCCCAAGACCGGCGGTATTCTGACCGACCCCTCGTTGACCAAGAGCGACCAGGAGAGCGTCATCAAGATCGTCACCGAGCAGCTCAAAGCTGACAACGTTTTCAAGGGCTTCCTCGACGTCATGGCCTCCAACAACCGCATGGGCCTTTTGCCTGAGGTCATCCGCCAGTTCCAGGTCCTTGCCGATGCGTACAATGGTCGCGTTGAGGCCGTTGTTACCTCTGCCACCAAGCTCGACAGCTCTATCATGAAGCGCATCACCGCTGCTCTGGAGAAGTCCGAGTTTGTCGGCGCCAACCAGACTCTGAAGGTCTCTAACGTTGTCAACCCTGCAATCAAGGGCGGTCTCGTCGTCGATATCGGCGACCGTACTGCTGATCTTTCCGTCGCCCGTGAGCTCACCAAGTTCAACGAGCTTCTGTCTACCGCCATCTAAATGTGATGCAATGCGCCCATTGGGGGATCATCGTTTCAAAGCTTTATTAAAAGATCATAAAAATCACCACACATTTATCAACCGTTCCACAAAATAGATGCCTTGTGTAGTAACCTTTCTTCCACCCTGCCCTAACCATATTACGGTATTTCTTGTGGGACCCCCCAAACCTTACCCCGCTTAATCCGCGACAGTGGGCTCTGAGCATTAAGTGCACCGGAGTTTACTGCTGGCTGAATGCCGCCTCCAGAGAGAGTCAGCGGACACACGAACAACGTGCTCGACAATGCTTATCTCCGTAAGGACTCATATACTGCGTTTCAATTATACCACGCCACGCCACAATGCATTTACCGCGACACCCGTTGTGTGCTTATAGGGCGGATTCCGTCGGCGTTCATGAAAGAGCATAAAATTACAAGAGCGCTCTACAAATTTGCTGAGAAGTTCACGAAAGAGTCTGTTACGGGCGAGGTGGACCTTGTCAATCACTTTGAAATGGACGTGGTTGAGACTATCGCCCATGGAGATCTCAAACATTTGGAGCAGGACCAGCGGAAGCGCTCCGAGAGCCAATCCGGTCATATCAGGGAGAAATATTTCCACTCACATCATCAGCATAGCCGCAGGAAAAGATCCAAGTCGTTCGCCGAGCGCAACATCGCCGCAGAGGTTAATGTTGATCCGGTGCCTCTGGATCCTAGTTCTGATCCCGCTGCATCCAAGCCCGCACAAAAGCGCAGCAGCTCGTTCACCCATACGTTTTCAAGCTACCTCAACAGACAGGCCCCGAGTCTTGACTTTTTGTCGAGTCAAACGTCTGCTAGCACTCCGCCCACTCCGTTGCTGTCGCCTGCGAGCTCCCTTATTTCTCCGCGCATGAGTGTGGGTAGTGAAGTGGCTGCTCCGAAACAACCTGTAGCCGCCCTGGCTGAGCAAACCAGCCAAAGTGATGCATCGACGACTGACACATTCCACACGCCCGCATCAAGTTTGGCGTCTGATGTTCAAGAAACTCCAGTCCGGTTGACAACCAGTTTGCGTGGTTCTGAACTTACAACCGTTCAGGCAGCTCTTAGTCTTGCACACACCACATCTGCATCGCCTCGGACCAGCACCCCAGCATTTAAAGACGATCTTGAACGTAACATGAGTCCAGAAAGCGAACATGAGAACCCGACTGTTTCAAGTACGGAGCTGGACCAATTGCGACCGAAATTTCGTCCCGACACTGCTCCTTCCCGCGACCACCACCACCATAACAACGGGTCCCGTCCTCCGCTCACACGGGCTGTAACCACCATCCCAGCCCGTAAACAAGTTGACGATGACTTTCCCAAAGCACTCGAAAAGGTGCGTACTGAAACCCTCTCAGCTAGGCAATCATTAGAGGAGCCAAAGTCATTCATACTCGATGCTCCCGAGCCTGAAGAAGAAGACAACGATAACGTCCAAGAACTAGTTGCCCCTTTACTTCAGATGAAAAACGCCGACTTTCGTACCGGACACCATAGTCACATGCGCGGGTTTGACCATATTCTTCACAAGAGGCGAGGTGAAGTGCTTTTTGTTCGCCGGTTTCTTGTTCAAGCTCGTGAAGTCCGCAAGCCCTTGGCAGAGAATGCACCCTTGAATGAGTTCACCTCGCAGTCTGTGTTGATTGACCGCTGGAAAGAGTATACTGTTGTTGCAAGACACACTGGCGATGAAGAAGCTCCAGTTGCATTGTATTTCTACAAAGGGCTCGAGGTTGATAAAGTTGAGCGTCGCATGGAACACTTATGGTCGCGCAGCTTTCGCTTTAAAGTTACCCTAACTCAAGACTGGAAGGCCAGCATTTATTCACCTGTCGATCTCGCAGTTGCACTATGGCGTACTGAAGTTGTCGAAGTTAAAGAAAAGAAAGCTTTCGTAGACCCCGGCGTGTTTTACAACACCCAACAAAAGGGTGCTCGCCGTCCTGTCACGCACATTTACATTTTTAAGGCCCAGAATGGTTCTGCAGTTTCTTCTTTGCTTGTTTTTCTCTATTTGGTTTTACGATATGATCTGAATACTCGTCCACTAAAAGTCCATGTGAGTGATTTTGACTTGCTAATTGAGATTCCTCCGTCTCTTATAACAGAAGCGGCGAAATCCGTCTTGAGCAAAAAGAAGGTCGAAATTGTGAGTTATCGTGAAGTCCTCTGCGCAACATCAAGCCCGGCGATAGTCATTTCCAGCATTCTAAGGTACGTTCATGATGTACTAGTTCGTCTTGGGATGTTCAAAATCACTACAGAACTGCCAGCAAAGGTAGCAGTGGCATGGAGGCGGTTCGATCGTTTACTCTGGGTCAATGACAAGTCAGACATCGATCTGTTACAATCTTGGGCTATGAGACCAGTTTTCGATCTTGAGTTTCTTAGTGAGTACCCCGAAAGTCGCCCCCTAGAAGTTAATCTAGGTGAAGAAGATGGTGAAAGGGTTTTATTCGAGCCTGCACCGGTTGAAGGGTTCTGCACACGCCATTGCCAATGGTCTGGTCGTAAACGTCGCCAGCAGCTGGCGAACGTGACGTACTTGCATTCACACGGACATCTCCTAGCATTCTCATCTCCTTCTTTTGCCCGTCCTCCAGTTCCAATGATCAACGGTAAAGTCGCGGAGCCTTCTCAAGAAATCTTCGATAACCTACCCCTGATCTGGGAAAATGCTCCATACGCTTTGGATGTGAGTGGAAACATCGACTGGATTCTCAAGTGCCAAAGTCTCAAGGAATTTGATGCACATGATGCTTATGCTCGATTTGAGCGCAGGCGACGTGCCACCCTGTTGGTTGAAGCAGACGGCCTGTTAGATATGACCACGATAGAAGCTATTGTTGCGCACCAGAAATCTGAAACAGGATTTTCAATTGTTTTCATCAGTGGAAAATCAGTTGATTTCACGGTTGGAAATTTAGAAGTCAGAGATACCTGGGTGAAACAACTAAATGAACTCATCACCTACTGGAAGTTGAGAAAGGAATCTGATTCCCTTCGCCAACGAGCATATTATCGATATAACATGGCTCGTTTGGCTACAGAACAGGATGAGGGCATGGTAAGATACGAAGACAAGTCCCAACTCGATGCGGCAATGGCCGACGCATTCACATTTTCCTCCTCACAGCTTATCCGGAATAGAAGTGTGATACATTGCGACCATTTGTATATGAAGAACCACAAGTACACTTCCTTCCGCAAGTATTTGGCTGTTTTGACGATTACGCATTTGATCCTGTTTGAGGTAAAGCTCGACCGCACACAACGCTTCTCGTCTAAGCAACAAATTTACTATCGTTTCAACCGGTCCATTCCTATGAAAAACGCATACTTTTACACAGGCGTACTTGCTCGAGACCACCTGATGGATCGAGACCGTTACTTTGACCAGACAAACCCTGGTGTTAAAGCGTTGCCTAGAGCATTCCCCAACGGTTGGACTTCTCAGGACACAGAGATTGACCGCTGTTTGGTTATATGGTCCTCTTCAGTGCGCATAAGCACTGCGGATAACGAACACAGACGGGCCGCCGTATTTTTAGCCGACTCACGATACCGACGTGACCGCTGGGCTACGGCCATTCACCACGTGCTTGGCAATGCGCCAACACCTGAAATCGTAGTTAAAGACACATAATAATTTAATGCCACTTTTTAAGCTAAATAGACATACTGATCCGTCCCCTCCCGCTTAAGGTATTCATTGTCGACCAGCGCGCTGATTGCCTTTTTGATGTCGCGGGTGGTGGGGCTGAATCGTTTTTGAGCCATCTCCATTGTTTCGTGAACTAGGGACGCATGGTTTTGCTCGCGGCGAGCTTTCATGATACGCACAATAACAGTTTGCAAAAACATGTTGCGTTCCTCCTGAATTTGCGCCTGCGCTTCAGTGGCTTCATGCCGGAGTTCAGATTTCAGCGGTAAGTTAAGGTTGATTCTCATTTTCTTGGACTTGAAATCTTTGTTCAAGCTGTATTCCGTACCAGGCGCACCCAAAGGAGCGGCAGCAGGCGTCTGTTTAAGGATATGTGCCTTCACAATGTAAGTCAGGGCTCCAATAGCTAACTCGGCGGGTAGACCGGTTTTTTCGATGATTTCGTCGATTGTTAAAACAGTTGTGTCGTTGTATAACAACAGAACTACCATTTGAAAAACTGAGACCTGTAGAACGTATCCAGATCTCGATGATTTGGCAAAATTAACTTTTAGCTCAGCTTTGCCAAAGTTCCATAACCACTTCAATTTACGGCCAGAGTGGATCTCCTCATAAAAGACCAAAAACCGCTCGAGGGTTTTCTGAAGCTTTTCAGGCAAGGAGAATTCAACTTTTTGATGAGGCAACGGCCAGAAGCCATCGGCAAGAATGATGGGTGTGAACTCCACGGAGGGATAGGGGTTGTGCTGTTTGAACTGCTGCTGCATCTCTGTTGACATTGTAATATCAGAGAACATTTTGTTCAGTTTGTTAGTGTAATCCATACCACAGACTTCGGTAAGACGAGAAACCATACTAATTTCCATTTCTTGATTTGCAGAAGTTTGATGAACAAGCCGGCGGGAAAGCAAACGAGTGTAATGTTTTTCGAAAGCATCACGTTCTCCTACAAACTGCAGGAGACGCAAAATGCCTGCCAGTGAGGATTCAACATCAACATTGTCGGCGTTTTTCGATGACTTTTTGAGAAGCGAGTCGCTGAATCGAGCCAACAGCTCTGGAGTTTTAGAGTCCTTGGCTCGATTTCCATTTTTATCTGCAGGCCGGGCAATGAGATTTTGGTTGATAACAGTTGTAAACCCAGTATTCACAGCTTTGAGCATCCCTGGGGAGCTACCGAACGATTTCTTCACCAACTCGTCAAAGTGATCGTGGACCTTGAGTAGAGTGCTAACATATACTCTGGGTTCTGGAATACCCTCATGCTCCGCAATAAGTGCGTCAACTGCCAACAACCCCTGCTGTTCAACGTAAGTTGTAAGCATATCTTGGACAGGCTCCAGGCTGTGGGGGACCTTGGAGAGCAAGCGATAGAGGATGTTGCATTCCTCTTCACGGTTGGCAGATAACAAAACAATAAACTGGTCCTGAATGATTTCCTGATTATCCTCAATGAGCACTTTCTCACAGACCGAAATCAAGCGTTCTTCGGTGTTGGGATGCAAATACATGGCAACTCGCTGATGCTCTTCTTGGAGCCGTTGGTCGACTAAACGCATATACTCAACAACGCCATGCTCATTCAGATACCTCTGGCTCTCAGCCATATAGTATGCAGCAGTAGCCTCAATGAAAGGTTCCTCAAAGTTCTTTGTGTAGAAGGATAAACTCGTGCGCTTGCTGTTTTGATCGTCTAAACCAATTGACACCATCGAACTAATCGCAAGCTGGAGCGGAGTTACCTGGGCAGGGTTACCTTCACGGCTAGATTCGATCTGCTGCAGTAGAGCCTCGACCAGAGCCTGAGAAAGCGACGTGAACAGATAATCTCGCCACAACACCAAGCACAGCACACTCACTTCGTAAACGCCGGATTGACGACCACCCTCATCGCGCTCGTGTTTGACCCAGTGACGGTTGATGTAAGAGAAAATATGATCCAGGTACTTTGCACCCATGGTGTACCGCAGCCAGCACTGGTTGTAATACTGAATCAGGTCGATCCCAACAAGATGCTCGGCGTCACGACGGAGATGCTCCAGGTGGTGGATGAGATAGTCTTTGAGACGTTGGTAGATATCACCTCCCAGGAGCTGGCTCTGCGACGTACGCGCAGAAGAGCCCAATGCCGCACTGCTTCTCGGCGCCGGGGTCTGGCTCGTGGCTACGCAGCAGTTGTGGATCGCAGTGTACATATTCATATACATCTCTGTAGTGAGACCACCCTTGGCCAAATCTTTGACCATGATGATCTCCACACCCTTCGCAATGTATTCCCAGGTGCCCTGGATATCCGTGGCCCTAGGCAGACTCATTGATGTTGATGGATTAGGTGATCGCCACAAGTACAGTAGCGGTTTTTAGTCACGTGACCAAAATAGTTCAGCAGTGAATTGGAGACGTCGAGGCTAAGGCAAAATACACGGATGAGAGATGTTTTTGAATTAAATACGCTTAAGATTAATTTATGGGGGTTTGTCAATGCGCAGCTGTTTCCATCATTCGATAAATACTGACCAAGAAGGTAAATAAAAACATCACCAGGGACACAAATTCCATAGCGACCAGATCGCGTTGACGGCTACATAACGTAGAATTGTACTCGAGTCCAACACCACAGGCCCAATCGTCACTGCCGTGCACCTCGAACCCCAGTGATAGAATCGCCGACGTGAAAATCGTAAACATAATGTCGCACAGGACAAATGACATTTTGGACTTTGCAGTACGGAGGCCGAGCGGCTTGCCAAAGAACTCATCGTAAATGGTGTAGCCAAGATAGAATACAGTAAGAGTCTCCACTACAATGGTCAGAATTGTCGAAGCCTGCTGGCCAGTAGGATATGATTTGGTAAGGACGTAGATTCGACAGGCTAGGCCAAGCGCGCAGATAGCAAATACGAGAGCAAGGCCTCGCAAGGTGAAGGGCACAAAGGGGTTGGAGCGCAGCAGCTTATAGCCGATGCGGCGAATTTTCTTGCGGTTCAAAAACCATACTTGGATGCCATCGTCCTGCCCAGTAGTAGTGTTCAGCTCGTCCTTCCATTTCTCGGACAGGGAGTACTTTTCTAATAAGCCAGAGTCGATTCCTCCGTCTCGACGTTGTTCGAGTTGTTGTTTGATGTCGCTCCACCGCGAATGCTGCTGCTGCTGCTGCTGCTGCTGTTCAAAGTGTGGTGAAGCGGCGGTGTCCGGATGCGCGGTTTTGAAATAGGCTGGAATAGTATTTGGGTTAAGGTCCAGTTGACCCTGGGCCGCCCATGCCGGTGTGGAGAATTGGTCTAGACGGTAGCTCATCGGTCACGCAACTGCCGGTATTTTTTTTTCTGCTCGGCACGTTATGTTCAATCTTAGGGCGATGAGCAAATTTCCACAATTAGGAGCAAGAAGTTAAAGCTCTGGATTGTTGTGATGCGCCTGATGTAATCCGTCGCAGTCGAATGCGCAAACCCACAGTTTCATGCATCTTGGAAACCACTGGGTTTTTCCAAAGGGCCCGGGGAAAAGCGGATTGTGTTGACGAACGGCCAGAATACAATATGTAGGGTGTAGACATCTCGCGAATATCAAGATCCCCAGCGCTAAACCTACCCAATTCCGCAGGCTGATCTCTTTCCCTGCTGACAATGGATGCCAAAAAACTTCAGCAGCTGGTGGACGAGTTCGAAATGGATATAGACGCGGCTGAGGCCCAGCTTGGGTCTATTCTGGATGAATCGCTTGAATCTCAGGCCGAAAAACGCAGCGGTAAAGAGGCTGCCATGTCTTACGCTTTGGCCGCATACTCCCTGAGCTCACTGCTTTTTGCCTACCTTCGAAGCGAGGGCGAACCCATTGATTTGGTGCAGGGCGAGATTGAGCGGGTCCAGACGCTGATCAAGAAGATTGAAGCCACCGAAAACGATGCTCCTAGCAGGAAGGATCGTAAAAACTCTGCCAAAGCTGCCAAGGTGGCCCGCCACAAGTAGTCCACAAAAAAGCCCGCCCCGAATGAGCAGCTAGGGGCACGTTTTAGTCCGACTTGCTCCGCTTTCAGTATAAACACTATTTATTTCAAGCTGTAGATGTCCGGAAATTACACGGTGATTAATCACCCGAATTTCCCCCACACCCACTTTCCCCTCTTCATATGACGATTGGCGATTTTTTTAGTCGCCATAGGCGCAAGTTCTTTGTGGCAATTGGCGCCAGCGCTGGCATATATATGATGGTACAGTTTGTGAAGAACAAGCTCATTGAGTTACAAGAGAAGTTTATTTTTGAGCGGATGGCTAAGGACAACATGGAGCGTCGGTTCGAGCAGAACCAGAAAGACGCCACGTTCACGACCCTTGCTCTTCTCCCCACAGTTGCAACCCAGATCCTTGAAAAGTACGATGTCGAGGGCGCGAAACGAGAGCTTCAAGCCCTGAGAGCACCACCTGCACAGTCACAGGACGCGAAGCTGGCCGACGCCTCGGCAGCAGACTCGGGCGAGGCCCCTCGACCCTCCTCAAATCCAGACGAGCCCGAGGCCCACCTTGGCTCGAGTGTGGTTTCTGATTTGACGTCTTCCGTGCAAACTGATGCGGCAACCGCGTCTTTAGATGGCTCCATCGCTGTTGTTGCCTCCCCCTCGGCCACCGCGTCGAAAACGGCCCTTTGGTCACGAATCAAAATCGAAAGCTTCACCCGTGCCTTCACATTAGTTTATACCATGGCTCTGCTTACCTTGTTGACTCGGATCCAGCTTAATATTCTCGGCAGACGAACCTATCTCGCCAGCCTGCAGGAAATGTCGGAAAAGGGCCTATCGTTGGAGGAGAGTGATGTCAACGACAATGTAAACAGACAGTACCTCACGTTTAGTTGGTGGCTCCTCAACAAAGGCTGGCAGCCTCTCGGTCAGCGCGTTGAGGCCGCTGTTACTGCTGTTCTGTCTGAAACGGATGTTCGCACCGAACTGAATGCTGCTCAGCTCGTCGATGTTATCAGTCGTATTCAATTCACTGTTGATTCCGCTGAGCAACGCCTAGATACTGATGCCTCGCCTCTTGAGCCTCGTCCAAGTAGCTTTTTGGCCAACTTACTCCCTCCCCATGAGTTGGAGACTTATGTGCTTAGCCAGGCCCCTGGAAGTGTCATGGCTCCCGATATCGTTGAAGGTTACTTGCGCGAGATGATCAATGAAACTGCCGATATCATTGACTCTCCCAACGCTGCACAGGTCGTTCATCATTTGGTGAGTAACGGCCTATCCGTGTTTTTGAACAAATTGAAGCCGCTTTATGGTGACGATAAATCAACCACAAAGCTTGCATCTATTCTAGCAAACGCTACTCGCCAGGCTCATTACATGGCAGCCGGACACCCCTCAGAAAACGAGTATGTTTCTGCAATGTCAGTGATTCCGGAACTTGATGCACTCTGCGCTATTATTTACTCTAACGTCTAAGTATACAAATAATGATACTGATCAGATACCCGAAACCTTTTTGTTTCCGCAGATTGTACCACTGAGTGATGTTTTCGCGCCGGTGTGAAGGATGTTGTCCACATTCGACCGAGATATCGGCTAGTGCCGTCATGATTTGCTCTGTAGCTGCCAAATATAGTGCAAGGTTTTTACCGTGCACTGATAGGCACAAGCTTATCTATAGTTTCGAAAAAGGCTGTGCTTCATAGCATATCCAGATTCTCCTCGGACATATTATACTCAAGCCTTCTGAGACATGAGGAACCTACGTGTGCGGAAGTGCCAGTAGAAATAACAGATTATCCGAACCACAGCATGATGCGACCGGCCATCTGCATATTGGGACTGCTGCCACGGACTGGTGCAATTGAGCGCATGAGCGAGTTCATGGATCCCTGTATACACACTTTCAACCAGCAAAGGGTATATCTGTACATATCAGTGCATGCACAGCATAGTAATGTGCTAGTTGAGACCTAGTCCTGGTTTAATTACAAACTTTGCACAAGCAGACCCTACGTAACTCAGGCCACCTGCACCTTTTCACTGCTGCATGTGACTGAGCGTATTTGTGCTCTGCTTGGTTTTAGGACCTCCAACGTGAGAAACTCGGTACATTCATATTTTCAAGTCAAAGATTATGTCTCCAAAAAGCTGATCCTGTACAAAAGTTTTCTTGCTCTTACTTCGAGGATCCCTGTTTTGAAGGGAACGCATGCTGCAAGGGTCCGAAAACAGGGCTGGGTCGAATATGCGTTTCAGCCCTGACGGCAAAAAAGGACGCGGCGTGTCGCCATGTGTGAAACTAGCTCCGATTTTCAGAAAGTGTTCTTCGTACTGTTTATTGTTCATCAGGCAGTACAATGATCTGCCGAGAAGCGGAATAGTCCATCTGCCATCACGAAAAGCAGAAGACGAAGCTAGTCTTCTCCATGCAGAGCGATGTACTTGGCTATCTATCACGAAAGCCGATTCCGATTCAAAATAGCAACGCGGAATACATGCAGCTTTCGAGCATGTGGGTTGACCTGAGTAAGAGAAGCGCCAAGCTTTCGCGTGTGAGTAGATTCTTCACCTGGTGTGTTTTTTTAACTATAATTACAGACACATATAAAGCCAACGTTAGAAGTACCATTAAGAGCTAAATTAGATCCTCTTAGTTGTTTCAAGAGAGCTAGGTTTTTCGCTTGGTTACTCTCAGCACGGGCCATCTACACTGAATCAATCAGTTGCAGATCCTTGTGCATACTTTTAAACTGTACGGCACACTTTATGCCGATGCAGAACTGCAATGATGATCGTAGTAGAGAATATTTAAGGGGTCGGGATTTATTACTCTACAATGGTCCTCTCAGCGCTCTGTGCTTGGCTAGCTTTAGCAGCCTCTGCCCTGGCATTTGCCTTCCCTCCTCCTACCAATGATCTTCCTTTTGATCTTTCTCTGTTACAACATGCCGCTGCAGCGTGTCAGGACACCTACTGTACTAGCACTTGGAACTACCCGGGGCTCGAGATCGACGACATGACGCTTCTTGAATCCATATCCCTCCCTGAGGATGAGCAACGCGCTACTATCTTCCACTCAAAATCACAAGGTATCATCGTCGCGTACCAGGGAACCAACCTATCCTCGGTTGACTCTGTTACACACGACGTAACCTTCTGGCAGGTATCCCCAAAGGCTGAACTTGGTCTCTCTGGCGATGCTAAAGTCTTTTACGGCTTCCAAGACCAGTGGTATAAGTCTTGGAACGCTGTGCAGTCCGCGCTGGCAAAGGCAATTGGACAGTTCCCGGGTGAAAAAATCGTGGTCACTGGGCACAGCATGGGGGCATCTATGGCTCAGCTTGCTGCACTGGCTATCGAAAAATCACTTGGAAAGGTCAGTGCTGTTATCTCCTTTGAGCCTCCTAGAACCGGAAATCCCAGTTACGCAAAGGAGTTTGACAAGATCTTCAGTGGGAGATACACTGGAACTGTTAATGGTAACGACTGGGTTCCCAGCGTCCCACCTCGCAGTTTCAACTACAAGCATCCATCAGGTATGATTTGGATCAATCCCCCGAACTCGACCACCTACACATTTTATCCCGACTCTGAGGACCCCAGGGGTCCAGACAGCCAAATCCCTGGGTTTATCAACATTCCTGCACTTCTAGATGGAGATTGGAACGAGCTGATTTTTTGGGGTAATCACCAGGGCCGACTTTTTGGGGTTGACATGTTGACGGTTTTGGGAAATTGTCCCCCTAATTTCCCCCAAAGTTAAACAAGAATTATCTAACTGTAGAAAATACGGCAAGTGATACTACTTAATAAAACAGCCTGGTAGGTAATTAAAGTGAAATTTTTTTCTCTTAGCTCGATAATAATGGACGATTGTAAAGCGTTCGACTTATCTTCTACTTTTTCTTGTATATAAAACATAGCCAGCTATCCCTTACAGTAATAGCGTTAGTGGTTTAGTGGTAAAATGCGTCGTTGCCATCGATGCGCCCCCGGTTCGATTCCGGGCTAACGCATTTTTTTAATGTTTGTGATCTAAACTCCTCTTTGCCAATTACTGCATGCACTGCTCTCCTGGTTTTTTTTTACTGACCAGCTGAAAATAATTAATTAAATACGTCACTCCTTTATTTTACCGCTAAGATCTCCAAGGATTGGCCTCGCTGCATCTAAAAGCTCATTCAACTGCCCCCACGGTGTCCCTGGTTCAGCGACCACCGCAAGCAAAAGAGAACCGCTCCCAACAACACATATACGAACATTTTCAAGATCTATGCCTGTCCACTTCCGCCCATCTGTCCAAGCTTGGGCAATTAGAACCGCGTACAACTCCGTTTGAACCTTGGCCGGCAAAGCGAAACCATGGTTGTACTCTTCTTCAATTTCTCGGCTATCAAGTACCATACCTTGTGTGTTCAGTAGTATGACTGTTTGAAGCTCATCGTTGAGCTTTAGCATCTCGTTTAGAACATGGCCCAGGGCCTCGCTCCGGATCATGGTGGCCGGCATGATTAGTTATATTCAACAACAGCCCATGGAAACTGGCATGAAAGTATGTTGGGCTCCATTATTTCGATAGAAAATTCAATTTAAGAAAACTAATGATCAGGCATGTTTCTTTGATATCTAACTACGCGCAATGCTAGTTTAGGAGATCCTCTAGACTCCTCTGAACAAAGCTCTAGATTATGCATGATAAGCTAATGAAGAGTCTGGCCTAATAAGCTTATGAATCGTGTTAGCCAGATTTCTAGTCACCTATCTGCTATGTCGAAGCCGCTGCTGAACCACACTATGTTTCGGATCGCTGATCCGAATCGATCAAAAGACTTTTATGCCAAACATTTTGGCATGACTGTTGTTGAGACCCTCAAAGTTCCCGAGCTGGGGTTCACCAATTACTTCCTTGGTTTTGATGGGCAAGGAGCCTTGCACGAAAAGAAACCTTGGTACTTGCGTGAGGGATTGCTTGAGCTTTGCCACAATCATTCAGCCACTGCGGAAAACTTTGTTGCCAACAATGGCAACAAGGAACCCCACCGCGGGTTTGGCCACATTTGCTTCTCTGTAGAGAACCTCGAGCAATTCTGCAGCAAGCTTGAGTCTGATGGTGTCAAGTTCCAGAAGAGACTCGCTGATGGTCGCCAGAAGAACATTGCTTTTGCGCTGGATCCTGACGGATACTGGATCGAGCTCATTGAGAACACAGGCAAGGCCACTCGTTTCAACCACACGATGTTACGGGTTAAGGACAAGACCAAGTCGCTAAACTTTTACATTAATGATCTCGGCATGAAGCTGGTTGATGAGCGTGATTTTCCCGAGGCAAAATTCACTCTCTACTTCCTTTCCTTCGATCACAACCCAGGACCTCGCCATGACACCGAGGGACTTCTTGAGCTCACATACAATTACGGTACTGAAAAAGATGAGCAATTCGTCTACCACACTGGTAACGAAGAACCCCAGGGTTACGGCCACATTGGTCTAGCCGTTGACAATGTTCAGGAGTTTTTGAACAAGCTTGAAGCCAAGGGTGTCAAAATCACCAAACGCGTGGAGGACGGAAAGCTCAAATTCATCGCATTCGTTAGCGACCCTGACGGATACTCTTATGAGCTTTTGCCTAAGGCTGAGTTCCCGGACGACCTTTTTGCTGATCCTAAATGAATTTTTATGTACATCATGTAGTTCTTACTTGGGTTTAAATGTCAAGGAAATTGAATTGACACAGTGGCGTTCATTCGTAGGCTGTTTGTAGCCCTCGTCGTAGAAGACATGCCCAAGGTGACCATCACATTTAGCACAGGTCATCTCGGTACGCATCATACCGAGAGATTTGTCCTTGTGCAAAGTAATTGCACCAGGGATTGCCTCGTAGAAAGCTGGCCAGCCACATCCGGAATCAAATTTGGCGGTCGATCTATATAGTGGCGAGCCGCAGGCGGCACAGTCGTAGACTCCCGGCTTGAAAGTTTTATCATACTTGCCAACATAAGGCCTCTCCGTTCCTTTTTCTCTCAAAACTCTAAACTGATCTGGTGTCAAAATCGCACGCCACTCAGCAGCTGTTTTAGTTATCTTGGACATTGCGGGGAAATGCTAAAACCATGTGGGAGCTTTCAGTTTATATTTCATAATCGACAATGAAAAAAAAGTCGAAGGTGCAAAAACGCCAAGTTAACAACTCAAACGATTTGAATTGGAAACCCGTCGATGATGATTATGATTTGGGCAGTGGTGATGGTATTTTCTACGGCCTCGAAGAGATCGATGGTGTAGAAGTACAAACAGAGGGCGGAGGGGTTAGTTTTTTGGTTGCCGACAGTACTGACCTCGAAAACGAGATCAAGGATGAGACACGGGTTGTAAAGGGAAAAAATAATAGCTCCGACATTAAAACAAAAAGTTCAAAAAAGGAGGAACAGCTTTCTGGCTTCTCTCACCTTGAATCTTCTGCTGGTGCCCAGGTCGAAGTCGAAATCGAATCATTGGGATCCTGGCCGTCTCTCGATCCGGCTATTCTGGGTGCTCTCAAGTCAGTAGGCTACGAGAATCCAACCAAAATTCAGCAAGAATGCATACCAACCGTTTTGGATGGCAAAGATTTGATTGGCAAGGCGGCAACGGGCAGCGGTAAAACTTTGGCTTACGGATTGCCGATTATAGAAGCCTTTTTAGCCAAACCAGACACCCCGGTCGCTTTAATTATTGCTCCAACTCGTGAACTGGCCCATCAAATCAAGGATCACATGAATGCTATCATTTCAAAAGCTGTAACAGAGCACACTTCTGGTGTTGTCGCCCTCACAGGAGGCTTAGCCATTCAAAAACAGCTGCGTCTACTTGAAAATAATCCAGTGGCTATAGTTGGTACGCCTGGTCGGTTACTACAGGTTCTGGAACAAATGCCCGGGACCAAACGAAATGTGTACACAGCTATCTCAACTATTGTGCTTGATGAGGCGGATCGGCTGGTCCAATCCAATAGCTTCGAAGAGCTGGGCAATATTCTGGATATATTAGGTCGTGGAAAACATCAAACATTAGTTTTTTCGGCAACCTTCGAGCCTGATCTTTGGTCACAGCTTGCTAAAGGTAAGCGTCGCCGCAGTCTCGATATTCGCCAGGTTCTCCAAGAAAAACTAGGCTTGAACAAAAATGCCCGCTTCATTGATGTCGACCCTGAGCAGACTGTGGCAGAGAACATTGTTCAAAGCGTGATCGAGTGTCCTGCAATGGAAAAAGATAGTTACCTATACTATTTCGGGCTTTTGTACCCCGGAAAGACAATCGTATTTGTGAACAGTGTCGATGCTGTGAAAAGAATTGTTCCTTTACTGAAGGAGCTCAAACTGGAAGCATTTGGTGTGCATAGTGATATGATGCAAAAGCAACGGTTACGCTCTCTTGAACGCTTTGCAGCTACTAAATCTTCTGTGCTTGTAGCAACTGACGTTGCCGCCCGAGGTTTGGATATTCCCAAGGTCGACCATGTCGTACATTATCACCTCCCACGCACTGCGGATATGTATGTGCATCGATCCGGAAGAACTGCACGTGCTGGTGCAAGAGGCGTTTCGGTTGTTCTTTGCTCCCCTGATGAAGTTCGGCCACTAGCAGGGTTACAGAAACTTGTAAGCACTCAATTAAAAGAGTTCACTGTTGATTTGACGGTACTAGCTCGTCTCAAAGAACGTGTACTCCTCGCAAAACGTATAGCAGACGCAAATTCTTCCAAAGCGCATAAAGGTAAGGCAAATGGGTGGTTAGATCAAGCAGCAGAAGATTTGGGAATAGACTTGAGCGACAGCGAGCGCGAGCTGATTATGGGTAACAAGAAAGTAAGCACTCAATCAGATTCCGATACGAGGGTATTAAGGGCAGAGCTTGAGTCCCTGCTATCCCGCAAAGTTGCACCTAACCGGAAATATCTTACGGCTGGCACCTTTAACATGGCTCAAGCGATGCTTGCGCAGCCTGACGCTGTTGTTCCAGGAAAGGCAATAGTTTCCGCTC